ACTCTCTGACAGTCTGTGAGACGCGACAAGTCTGCGCGAGATGTGACATAGGAGATGATGGCGGAGGTGTAGGAAGCCAGGTAGGTCGTATTAGGTATCAAGCATCTGTATCACGGCTGCGAGCACCACTGCCCAGCGCCGCTGCTGCACGGACTGCCCGGCCGTCGGCTCGCTCGATCGCACCGACTGAGCATGCGGTCATGAGGCGATAACATCCTGCTTCCACTCGTCCTGGACCGGCCTGCCGACTTGGCGCCTCGGCTCACGGCAAAAGACCCATGACAAGTAGGCAGGCTGAGCACGAGAATACCTGTTCTCAAAATTTACTTCTACCCCTCCGTCCCCCGCCGAGAATAAGCGTGAGAGCAGGCGTGGTGGGAGAAGCGAGAATGCGCCACGTCAAGTAGCGCGGGATCGCCTCGAAAATAAGCCACGGTGGAGCGCGCACCCCGACAGCACGTGCCGGCGACGACAGCACGCTGAGCCCCTAGCATCTGCAACGGATGCACGGAGCGTAGCCTTGTGACACCAGGACGAGTAGGTGAGGCTCACTTAAGAATGCGTCAGCCGTATGGGTGATGTTCGATATACGAGACGCGCGCGCGCTGCAGCCCAGCGAGGGATCCGTAGCTAAGACCGGGCACCGCAGAGAGAGCTGCAAACGACCGGGAAAGGTAGGAGCCCAAATCCGGTGCCGAGCCATGGGCAGGTTATCTGGTCGATCATGCCGACCGAGGGACAAGCAGGCCCAATGCAGAGATCGGCTTCGTTGCAGGGCTGAGGCGAATGAAACTCGGAAATATCAACCCGATCAACGTGGCATTCAAATCCCGTCTGACCGGTAACGGTAGGTTCGGAGAAGAGGAGGGGGGGAGGGAATAAGGCCGTTCAGGGGATCTAGCCATCCCAGCTCGTAAGCGCAGACGGCCGTCTCGGACCGAATCTGGCTTAGACCGACGGAAGGATGCAGCAGACGGCGAATACGCCCTCGTTGCTGCAACGCGGAGCTATTTCTGGGTGAACGGAGGGGTGCGAGGGAAACTGAGATACGGAAGAGAGAGAAAACACAAGGCCGCGTGTGGTGTCGCTATTCGGACCCCATGGGACTACATCGCAATGGTGCTCAGATGACCCAAAGATCCCCCCCCCCCCTCCGCCCCGCCCCGGCCGTGCTTTGGCTGCCGATGGATGTACGATGGAAGATCTTGCTAAGGTAGCTCAGTCGTACTAGTCACTACTTGGGCGGTCAGGCGCCGCTGAGACCTGGCAAGGTCTAGGCCAAGGAAAATATAGAGAAAGAGAGGACTATAGAATGACTGCAGATGTAGGATGTCCTATAAAGGCAGTAGTCCACAGCTGAATGGAACACTGCGACAGGGCCCGGAGTGGCGGTCGGATTAATACCTCTTCGTTAGCCCAAATCGTAAACCAAGCAGGCGTTCGAAAGGCTCACCTGAACGTCCCGATAGCTTTCGTGTAAACCGAGTATGCTAGATCTCCGCGGCTCTGGGGATGAGTTGACGTCTTCCCGTAGGTGGGGGACAGCACCAGAACCGGGGGGGTATTCTCAGTATACAGGGGGAGGGGGGGTGGAACAGGGGAGGCGGTGTTGCTCGTGTCGAAGCAGGGAGACTTGAGAGCATGGCTTTCATGCGTCGCCGCTTGAACTAGACCGACGGCTAAATCTATGAAACCTCTCTGTAAGGTGGCAGTGACCAACGTAGAGACTGAACCCGAAACTAGGATAATATCGCCGTGTTATAAAAGATCGGCTCGCCGACTATTGCTCAATGTCTGTCGACTGATCGACCCGTCAGTCATCCTGGAGAACGCGCACCGGAGATGCGAAGATTCAGACCGCAAGAATGTACTCAGCCTGGCTGCCCCGAGTTCTGCTTGCTTTTAAATTAATTATTCGTCAGGCGCCTGCAGCCTTCTCTTTTGGGATGACTAGGAAACCGAATCGGGTCGGCCATGCTCGCGTGAGGCAACCGACGTAAGGTAAGCTGATACTAATTCGACAATGGTATCATGTCGCTTAGTTACTGCTACTGCCAATACCGCCGCCACCGTGGGATGATGAATTGTTCTCTTCTCTCTTGTATACGCTGTTCCGTAATCAGTTACGTCTTACCACGAAGCCATACGTACTGCGATTTACCGATTCCGCAAGCCAGATGAACGGATAGATGTATCTAATGTTCACCCTCAAAGGCTGCCACGTTCCCCCAAGTACCGATACCAAATGCTACTCTGGGTGCCCGATGGCCTCGATTCTACCCCCCTTGTGGACGATCTCGTTCATCCCCAAAGCTCAGAGGTAGCCCGCAGCGAGCCAGCAGGGGGGTTCGGCCTGCTGGGTCTAGCCGGCAGCGTCGAGGAACCATAAAAAATGACCTGTCAAAACTGGGCTCTCGTTCTGGTCCCCGTTTTCCCGCAGCGGTCGTTGCCGCAGCAGCAGCAGCAGCACATACCATTTCCATTGCCAGAACCTGCGAGGCTGGGTGACTTGCCTGACCTTGAGATGTGTCATGGTGAAGAAAGGTGTGCTCCGTTTCGAATCGCTACCAAACCAGTCTTGCTGATCGCACAACGCATCAAGCAACTTTTGAGTGATATGACATGCCCGTGTGTTACACCGTTTACTGCGGGGCACGTCACAATCCCATCCTCGAGTCCAAGTCCAGCAGTGCCGAGGATGTCATGGCATTCCTCTTCGTGCCGGGTACCTAGCCAGAGAATTGAGGTGGAGGCTCTCCTCCGGTAGAATCCATCGTGATGGATCCATGGTGATAGTGATGTATCAGGTGGGACAAGCGAGCCGTTGCGACATCGAGCAAGGCTGTTCTCGGTGAGGATTGGCCAGTCTCACCGACTGACCTGTCGTAGGCGGTATGCTTCCTATCACGAGCCTAGCCTGTCAGGTATGAGCACGAGCGGTGCAGCTCTGGCGTTATGGAGAAGATGGATACTTGGCAAGAGCAACTGTTGATCTGTGAGGTGGAGGGAGGGGAATGATGGGCAGCAGGGCGCCCCAAACGGCCGTCTAGCCGACAAGTCAAAAGTCGGAGCTGTCGCAGAGGGGGTTGTACCTGCTGTTCAGGGGCCAACGACAGCTGGCTCCTTGAGATAGCAGTCTCTCGGGGACTCAAAACGGAGAAAATAATACGTTTGCAGAAGAGACCCGGCCATTTGTGAAGTACCTATGGCAGGCGTCAACGGTTCTGTCCGTTTACATGGGAGCATGGCTCGGGCCTTACGCACCCTGTGAGGCCTAGGCCAAGCAAGGGACTTGAGAGGAGCCAGCGGGGGGAGGGGGGGGTGCTTTTTTTTCGAGCTGCCCACATACCTGACGGCGCGGATGGGCGGTCAGATGTGACAGGTCACGTCGGTCTGTTGTCGCCAGAGACGAGGGCCCGTTCAGGCTAGCTCACGATCCAAGCGAGCACGTCCACCCCAGCTGTCGGTTCGGTTACGACCCAAGAATCCGTCTAGACTTTAAGCTTATACTTCATGGGTGGGTGTAGTCCCTGTAGTCCCTGTAGTCCCTGCCATTTTGTTTCAGCCTCTGGCAGAGTTGGCTACCTGATCGGATAAGGGGCGGCGCAGTGCATGCGCTTATACTCATAATGCTGTCGCTTGCGAATGACGGCTGCAGATGCTGGTCGTACAAAGATCCTAGGAGAGCTGGTAGCTTCGAGGGGAACGAGCAATGGTCACTCACCTCCGCCGCCACTCTCCGGACATCTTCCACAAATTCCCTCTGCTTCAACCAAGCGTATCGGAGACCTGTCGCCGACGTGCTGGCGTCCTCGCCAGATCTAGGATGGTGGGTGTTGCTGTGAGTAGGCAATACCTATGGGGGTTGCACGTAAGAGCAGGCCCGACTCCCCGAGGACGCACGCCCCGGCCAGGCAGGGAGGCTGCTTTGTCTACTAACTTGCGTCAAAAACAGTTCTGTGGGGTAACGCGCGCGCCACGTCGATACGAAGGCGGTTATCTCGCCGTTGACCTTGACCCGCTAAGAGGTACGTAAGCGTAGTCATTTCCAGGGTGGTCTACGCGAAGCGTACGCCATCTCACTGAGGTAAGCATTGGTGTACCTATGGGGGGGGGGGGGGGGGGGGGGGGTTCTAGCCTCGCAGTTAAAGCGATATGGCCATTCCTAGCCAAGCCAGATAGATTGACTGGCGTCGTTGCTCCTACTGCTGTTGTCGTGGCTATTGTTGCTGCTACTCATGCCGCCGTTGCCGTGCCTTCATGAGGTTCTGTCGGCGGCGGATCGAAGGTGCTACGAAGGCGCCCGATCTGTTTGACTAGACCGTCGTCGTGATCGGCAAGCCATAAGATGCCAGCCTTGCGAGGAGGCATCGCAGGAAAACCGACGAAAGAGGCAGCATACGCGACCCCCTGACAGCCTGATCCGACGGCGTGGATAGGGGCCCATTTTTATTCACGTGTGAAATTGAAGGGATCTGGCTGGGATGATGGGCTAATGGGAAACGATGCTCACTCGCTAGAAAGCTTCTAGAAGAGGGAATGGAATTCGACGGGGCTCGCCTGGTTCCTCGGCTCAATGCAAGACCGCACCGTCCAATAAGCTGTCGGTGAGTCCGTAAGCCGTCAAACAGAAGCAGCAGCAGCAAAAAAAAAAAAGAAAAAAAAATCTCAGACATCCTCGCAGACACGATGGCTTGGGTTTCACCTCCGGAGAGGCACTGCGTCTTGCCGTCGTATCGCCTAAGCTGCAGATGGGGCCACTCTCCGAGTATACGCTGCCCCTCTACAGACTAGTAGATGAAAGGACCCCATGATACGAAGCATGCCGTGATGAATGTTGATTAACACAGCGGCAGATGACCAGTGGCGGTAAGCCCCGGAGTACTGCGGGACAACAGCAGGCGACGAAGCTCAATCTGGATATAGAAGTAACCGTGACGAGTCCCCCGTTGTGGCTTTTTTTGTCTTGGAAGAGGAGGGGTCGTGAACATCGGCAAGATTGTCGTACGATATGTGGAGACGCACAAGAGAAGACTGAAATCCGGTCCGGGGCGAGTCGAGAGCAAGTCACCGTACAACTGTGCCGTGGCATCTGGGCGGAAGCTTGGAGGGTCGGAGAGAGAGAGGATCGGAGAGAGGGGAAGAGGGGAGGGAGAGAGCTGTTGTCGCCGTGATGGGTTTACAGGGCTCGGGCGGTGGAGCATCGACGAGCTTTTGATCTGTTCGTCTTGGCCCTCGCATGGAGCTCAAACGGCACCGACCCGTGCATGTGTAGCGCAGCGGCAGCGGCAGCGGTGGCGGTGGCGGTAGCTGTGACCGAAAGTGCAGACGTGAGACGAAATGCTGGGCAGAGAAATTTAGCATACATTGCCGCAGCGATAGGGACGGAGCGAGAGAGAGAGAGAGAGAGAGAGAGAGAGGAGGGACAGACAAAGCCGGTGCCTGTAGGTGAGATTCTCAGGCTTACCTCTTCGGCGGTAGCTCGAGGTCCATATTCGCCAGAGCAGCGAATGGCACGCCTCGTTTCTCAGCTATTTTTATGTCGCTCTCCTAAAAATAAATCCACGGCGGACCTAGGCGGCGGCATGGCGCTGGCACTATAGGCATGCATCGTCCAAGCTGTGGCTAGTGGTAGATGTATGTAGGTAGTAGCAGATGTAAGGCAGGCCAGGTAGCTACCTGTAGGCATATGTGGACGACATAAAGATGAACCGTAGGGGGGCGGGAGAGGGTAGCAGCAGCGGCGGCAGCAGCAGCAAGGTTGTCGGAGGTTCAGAGGCGGCGGCGGGCTGTGGCAGAGGTGGTGAGGACAAGGAGCAACGGGTCATAACTATAACTGCAATTTAGGATATTACGTAACATTCCCACGAGAAATTCTCTCGTGCCATCCGGCGGAAGACTCCATCCTCTCGTCATATCACGCACTCTCCCCTTCGACGATTGTCTTCTCACACCGGGAGTTTCCTCGAGGCAACCTGAGGAGGTACCGACACCTACCTAAACCGAGCTGAGCTCGAATGTGCCTCGGTACCCCTGCCTCCTGCCTCCCGCTGGCTGCAATGCATACGAGCCTAAAGGGAGGTACCTAGGATAGATACCTGCGTCTGCATCCACAAGTACATCGCGGCAGGTACCTTGGCCATGCACCGAACGAACGCATCCACATTAGGTATACGTATGCGGCCGCTACCTGCCATACGGTGGGCGTGGCAGGGCCTGGCACCTATTTTTCCGTCCACTAATCGGTCGTAGCTCGGCCCTTAGCATCGACCAATCTACATTACATGACTCCTCCCCGAGGGTCCCTCGGGATAGCCTCCTGCTTCTGCACACGCGGGCTAGGGTCCGGATTGACGAGGCGCTAATCGCGATGAAAGCGTTCTAGCGGCCGTCGACAAGGAGAAGGGGGAGGGGGGGGAGCCGAGGTGCTCGTCGTTGGCTGCCCAGTAACGGTTTGCCAGTGTCGGACGGAATGGCGCCAACATCCTTCTTCTTGCAACCTTTTTCCCGCCCATCGTGGGCTGTTTGTTTTGCCTTTTTTTTTTCATCTCTTTTTCATCCCCTCCCTCCACCCGCCGGTGCCGCAGGGGAGGGAGCAGGGACGAAGATGCGAATCGCCAATGCATACGTGGAACACGTCGACGATATCAGGGGGGGTAGGGAGAGAGGGGAAGTGGAGGAGGGGGATAGGAGGGGTTAGTTTGTTCTCGGTCATCCCTATTGCAAAGTATCAGGATCGGAGGCGGGTCTGCGGTCCATCTTACGCCGGCGATCGAGCAATCATCGTCGGGGTTGGCCGCGATCCAGGCACGGCGAGACGTGTCTTCGCGAGTTCGATAGACAGCAGTAGGCCGCCTATTCGTGTGCCCACGTGGCAATCCGAGGCCTCGAGTGTAGCCTCGAGCAAATCAATGGACGCACAGTGTAGATCACGTACTTGGTAATAGACAGTACCAAGCAGACGGGGGGAAGGGGGAGAAAGAAAGGGGAGAGTGCGAGAGGGAGGCCGGGGATAAGCGAGAGGGGAGACGGCGAAGGGCGTGGATGGAAGAGTGGGAGAGAGAACGAGACACAACCACTCGGACAGAGACAGAAAGAGAGAGAGAGAGAGAGAAAGAGAGAGGGAGGAAGGGAGAGGAAGGGAGAGGGAGAGAAGAGACAGGCGGCGGAATGGGGGTGGGAGACGTTTCGTCGAACAAACATACATAACCTGTAACCCCGGACCGCTTTTTCTTCGAGTTGCGTGCCTCGCTAGACGTATGGGCGGTCGACAAATTGCGGCGGGTTGGGATGGAGGAATACCGGGTAATGCTGCAGAAATTACGGTATGCATATGTTGGCTCCGTCGATCTCCAGGACGATGCCGGAATTCCGTCTTGGGCGTGCTGTAACCCCCCTATGCTCGAGCGGAACCCGTGCGCAGGCCGAGGGGGAGCAAGGCTGTAAAACGCCAGCTAGAGGCGCGCTAATAGCATTCGCTTATGGGATTCTTTCTGTCTCGTTATTTGTTCTACGTAGTAGTCCTCCCGTGCGAGGCACTATTGTCTTGCCGTCATTAACCATGTGTCAAAGCGTACATGGAGGCTTTTGAGCTCTGATCGCCAGCCGGTCCCGAACGCACCGTTCCACCTCCCCCCCCCCTTCTCCCCCGTCGCCCTCGCCTTGGAGCACCGTAACCACCCACGACACCCGCTGCTACAGCGGCATCGGGTGCCATCGCCACGTCGTGGCCGGGTTTTTGCTTGGACATATTTGCCGCGGAGGGTAACCTCTTTCCGCTACAAGCCCTGGCTGAGGGCGAGAGAAGCGGAAATACGGAGGTGGAGACGGGGATGGCGAGAGAGGAGAGGGTAGGCATGATGTATTATGCCGCAGCTGGTGCAGCCCTATCAGCACACAAGAGCCCCTCTACATACGGTGACGGTGGGATTGGTGCGCACCCCCCCCCCCCCCCCCCCCTAAGCCAATGCGACTAGCCGCACGAAGTGGGCGCAGGCTGGATGGTCGAGCAAATACGGACGCATGCACATTTAACGAAATGCCTACCCGATTGTCTAACTACCTCGAAAGTAGCATCCTACCGGGCTTCTAGCTCTATTCTTTAATATGGCATGTTGGTCCGGTGCGGCCAGGTTTCAGCGCATCGTGCGCCGGCTGCCTCTTCAGGAAAGGATGAAGTGATCGCTATATGGCCGGTGGTCGATGGGGGCTGAAAGGGTCGATTGTCATAGGATAGGGATGACTCCGGAATAAGCTCCGCCCGTCGCGGGCCCCGTCTCGAGCGGCCGCTGCCGTGTCCGCCATCGTGAGCTTGTGACGGAGCGAAAGGGGGGAGGCCAGGCACCTCTATAGCGTCTTTTCCGACAGTCTGGCTTCGTGGCTTGTGGGAAGACAAATCGCGGATAAGGAAGGGGGCGCTGGAGGAGGTGCCGATGCGACGAGGCAGCTTTTCTGGTGATGAGAAGAATGAATACGGGCGAGTATAACCGGAGTGGAGGACGGGAGAAAGAAACGAGGGGAAAGAAAAAAAAAGACAGCGTGGAGGGGCTGATCTTGAGGCTCGCCAACCAGTCAGCTACCAAACCGCGGAGATGGGGATCATCACCTCCCCTGACAACTCGATCCCATTTCTTTTCTTCTTCTTCTTCTTCCTCCTCAAGCTGCACCACAAACATGCCTACATACACATGCACATGCATAATACCTGACTACGTACATACCCATCCACAACTGGTACACCCACACGCACTCGCGCTCATCACTTGCACTTTTCACTTATACACTCGCCTCAACATCCCCCCGTCCCTAGGCGGCACCATGGCTCGGTTGGCGCATTGTGCCGCCAGTACGCTCCCAATAACCCACGAGCAATTCCGGCGCCGTGATTGGTATAGTCCCCCCCTCGCGAGGAACCCCAAAGGAAAACCTCGACGGTTGCGCGGTTTCGTGGCATTGGGGGTAACTGACCACGCAGGGCCTAGAATGGGGGAGGGGCCTAGGTTGCGTTCTTCAATTTCTAGTTGCAGCCCGGGGCTGCAGTCTCGAGATGCCGCACGTAACGAGGAACTGAACCTTTCCGCAACGATATGTCCCTCTTGTCCTCTGTTGGCGATGACATGCCACCCCAGATGGCTCTACATCAGGTCGGCTGCAACATCACCGTAGATAGGTCACGTCGAGGGGGGGAGGGGGGGGTCACGTAGCCAACACGCAGGCCGCGGGCACGATCTAATATCCGAGGTTATCTTTTTGTCAGCCGGGTAGCTTCGCAGATCCCCACGCTCCCGTCTACCTGTATAGTAGATTACGTGGGCGTGGGCGTCGAGATAAGAAAGTGGATTGGGCTGTGCCGGACGAGATCGCTAGAAGCCGAAGCGGAATGTATGATGGGTGACGACGCGAGTGCGATGAGTCCGGGGAATGTCCCGTCGCTACAAGGCATAGCACGCGACATCGGTAGGTAGTTTGCCGTGCAACATAGCGCGGGAGGGGTTATCCGAGAGGCGATAACACCCCACCGGACCCGTTTGACGATGCAAGCCCGAGCAAAGTGAGCTGGTTGTCGTGGATAGGGTCTCTCGTGGATGTCGAGGGATTGTTTACTAGTTCGCGAACTTGGATCGGGATGACAGAACAAAAAAGGGGTGGGGGAGAGAAGACGACAGGCTACCTAGGAGGTAGGTAGTATGAGGTGGTATTACACGGATTGATGAGCTCACCAGGTACGCCGTCCCCCCCCCCCCCCCCCCCCCCCCTACGTACACTCCACCTCTACGCACCCCTACTAACCTCCAGAGGCCAAGTGTGGGATTACCGTTGATACCTCTGCCTACCTAACATAGCATGTATTGTCTGCGTGCGTATAGTTATCGTGACTCGGGCGGGTTCCAAGCTAGGAGGGCGAGTCCTAGGGATTCCGAACCGATTCGATTCCCTGCGAGCCGCTGTTAGCGAGGTCTGATGTGCAGAGCAGCATGGACTCTGCTCCTGCAATGAGCCACGCAACCATTGTCATCCTTGAGGTAAATTGTTGTCCATTACGCCGCTCAGGAGCCCTATGCGGTTGGCGTGCATGGCCCTTCTACGTGCGTGGGGCACGCTAGCTCGCGTCGTGGTCTTGATGCTAGCAGAGATACGCAGACCCGGATCGACGAAAGCATGCTAGCAGCTCCTTCACGATGGCCTATCCTCCGTGCTGGGTATCCGTGATGGGTACTGCGGCTGGGCCCGTCCAGGATGTGTATGTACATACGTACGCACGCATGCACGCACGCACCGATGTGTGCACATATACATACCTATAACTATAGGACAGCACACACACACACTTTCCCACCCCGCGCGTCGATGATGACCCGGTGAGAAAGAGGAGCCTGGCGGAGAGGAGGAGGAGGAGGAGGGAGGAGGAGGCGGAGGCGGGGAAGCAACCATTATCGTGATCATTAACCTGCTTGTTTCTTCTGGATGATCGCCGCCTTTTTTTTTTTTTTGCGCCGCCCCCTTCCCCCACCCGTGCTACCGCAGCCCTACTTTCTGGTCTCTCGCGGGCGGGGAATTCCGCCTGATGGGCGAAGATAATGTTGATCTGATTGTGGCAGGGCGCGTAGAGAGGACGTCCTCCCACGCTCCACGAGACTTGAGTGGTCGTCGCCGTACGGATGCCTTCAAGCAGAACGAACCACCCCTGATATCTCGTCAGTGTTGCCCTGCATACCAGAGACATTGCAGCGTGGTCCAAAAGGTCCTCGTGACACCTGCCCCTGGCTTTGTCGCACGTAGACTGCGAAGAAGGGCAGAAACGGCAAAGCCAATCAATGCGGCGATGGCTCTCGATAGGCGGCCCTGACAGCACCACTCAGCGTCCTCCCCAGTTCCAAAACGGGGTTTCCCATACGTCCCAACAAGGATTACACGGGAGCCTGTGATAGGCATGTACGTACGTACATACACATCCAGCCTGGTCGGGATTGGGGCCGGGCCTGTCTCTCGATCTCGCATTCAGCGGGTTCTCTACAGGGAGATAGGGAGATCAGTGGCCACTTATCGACAACAGGAGCGGTCATGTGCTCGAAAACGACCCAGGAGAAAGGGTTCGGGTTCGCCCTGCTTCCTAACCCTCGTTGCTGTATGGATTCTAGGTAGGTATCCATCAGGAAAATCGTCGAGCGGGCGGGCATGGAGCGGAGGGACTAACTTCGGCGCGCCGAGTCGAATAGGCAATCATCTATCCTCTTCGCTTCCCCGAGCCCAAGTCCTGCTTTACCCCCTTCGCGCGTTTGGGGACTTGGCTGATTTGACACGACGACAATCTCCACCGGTAGAGCCGTCTCTGCCGAAGATGCCGGTGAATCTTGTCCGTCACTCCGTGGCTCGTTGCTAGGCCCTCCCCACGCCCCTACCCTAGGAGCCATAAGGCACAGGGGTATTGTGGCTGCTGATTGGGTGCTAAGGCGATCGATGTCATCTGCTCGAAATGGGATGCAAATGAGCTGAAACTCGAGTCGCTAATGAGTGAAGAGCATGGGGAAAAACAAAAAGGGAACCCCCCCTCCAAAGAAATCGCACAACCTAAGATGATGAAACAATACGACACGTCGTTCTTAATTTTTTGATAATATTATGTTGGTTAAACCAACTTCGGTCGCCCACTGCTAACTCTTGATCACTTAACGGGTCATAGGATATAGCAGTCTAAATGGGGAGTGGATGGATGTCCCTGCTTGCTCGCCTTACATTTAATATTCTAAAATTGGCTTCTACCCTCTTTCAGTTTACCGGGTTTCTCCCTTTTGTGTTTCTTCTCTGAAGACAACCGTGGCCTGGGGCGCGGGGGGGGGGGGGTTCGCCGATGGTAGGCAGGTGAATACGAGCCGGTGCTGCTAGGGGTCTAACATGTATGTGCATAGATAAGTATGCGCGTACATAGAGAGTTGGCGACAGGCGAATCTCAGGGAGCGCTGCAAGATGGCATGCGCCCATCTGGTGCCGTTGAGCCAAATACGATACGACAATACGGTGTTGCGCAAGTCCGTGGATCGATGTCGAGCGACAAGATTGCGATTGGCCAGCGTCTCGAGAACCTAAGCTCTCCTCTCACTGCCTTTGCTCCCTCCCCTGACGCTAATGGCAGCATTGCGGTGTGGAGTTGTGCGCGAGACCCAACAGGGTCTTCGAACAGGGCTGCAGTAGAACAGAGAGATCTGCCTTCTGGAAGACCGTTTAGGCGTGTTGTGACTAAAACAGCACGGTGTACATCGGATCGTCGCCACCTAGTGTAGATGGAGCCACGCTTTGCCTATGAAACAGACTCCCATGTTGGCCTTTCCTGGATCCGGGGAAGATTATCTTGACGTGCGAAGCGGTACACCGTCACCAAACGGTGATGGGGCGAGGTGAAGCGAATGGGAGTCGGGCTATTATGGAGAGGAGAATGATTGCAGGACCTGATGATCGTGCCAGAACGGTTGACGTAATTCTTCAATGCGTCCCTGCGCGTTCGGACCATCGCTGTGACGATTCGATGAGGCCGCCGTGAGAGGAGGGAGAGGGACTAGGGGACAAGGGATGCCTTAGGCCGGGTCCTTACGCAGGTCGATCTCGCGCGGAACCTTTTCTCCTTCGATGGCGTCTCATCTGCCACTACGACAGTATGCAGGTATGGATGCATATACATACTACGTAGTAGAGCTGACGGATATCTATGTGCTACCTCTGGCAAAGAGGGTGAGCTGGTGTGATCCCACCCCCAGTTGCTTTGTAAAGTTGCAGTTGGAACGGTCGAGAGGCGATGAGTGTATGCATCCACATACGATACAGAGGGAGACGGCGAAGGGAGGAGAGACTAGAATATTCCAAAGCGTTTCTCAAGTGGGAATGTTGGTTCCTCCTCTTCTGCTATGCTGTCCCGTTTTACTATCGGGAATATCACCTGGGGCATAATCATGTGGTGCACATATCGTCGTCATCGTCGTCCACCATTTCTCCCCTCTTCTTCTTCCGTTAGCGCCCTGGAGGCGGTGAACGTGCCCTGCATCGGTTCAGCCTCTCGCCAATTATGAACTCTGGATCGGGGTGAACATGTCACTGGATACATGTTTGCGGCCAGTCAAACGGCGAAAACTCGATATCGCTAGACCGGGATATTCGAGGAGCAACGGCCGGCCTCTGGGGGAGGCTTGGTGCAACTGGACCTACTGTTGGACGCTTGCAACATCACAGCTGGCAGCCGTCTTCCAAGCCCACACACACAGACGTACGTACGTACGTACGGGTAATCTAGGATGAGATCTACATCCACGACTGGGGGGGGGGGGGGGGGGTTGAAGCGTGGGGCAATGCAAAGTCAGCGTGTAATGGTAGGTTGGATGTCGGCATCTCGTCGCTGTCACTGGCCGATAAAGTAGGCCCTTTCTCTGAAGGTCGTTCGCGAGAGGAGGCTGGAGAAGGCAATGGAGAATATGTGAATTCGACCCGGTCGGTCTATCGACGATGACGCATGGGGGATAGTCCTTATCGGTTGCGCCGGGAACTGGAATCGGTCAGTCCTCCAGTCTGGTAGCCAAGCCAGCTGGTAGTTTCGCCGGCCAGGGTTCCATTTTCCTCTGGGAGTATCTGATATAGTGTGTCAAGAGGTTGGGTGATGCTGGAGGAAAGGGGAGGCGATTCGAAAGGGAAAAAAAGAGTCCATCTATACGCAGATAGGATCAGGTGCAGATGGGGATGGATAAGACCCACCGGTACAAATGTATCTACACACATGCCTGAGGTTAGGAGGGGCCTACCTAACGTCCGGTGCCGCCCATCCTTCTCCAGGTCGGCACCTAGATACCTCCTATGTACCTAACATATTCACCCTTGCTCGTAACCTACCCAGGGGGTATCTTAGGTACCTACCTCCTAGGGAGATACCTAGGTAGACTAATACTTCCCGAATTGAACGAGCCTCTTGCGGGCAGACTCGCCAGGCTTTCTATCTCTCGCCCATCTCCCTACCTATGAGTAGGTATATATATATATATATATATATAGGTGCGTATACGTAAACATATAGGTAGGTATATGATATAGGTATATTGTGTGTAAGCATCGCTTCCAGTGGGTTCTTCTCTCCTTTTTGGTTAGTTAGCTAGCGTTGGCAGCAGCGATGCGCGCATCATCGTAGATATGTCTTGCATCGACAGGCCTCATTAAACAGGCCTCCGAGGGCAATGGGTGACTTATCGATTGACATCCCGACTGCCGGCAAGCAAGCAAGCAAGCCCGTCTTCGAAGCGTCGTCTCGCACGCCCCCTTTGGCTCCGGCCTATTGTCCCCTTTAGCGACCGCTCCATACGAACCTTCTAGACAAATCAGGACGCCCGAATCGGGTGGGCATCGTAAGTAGCTATGTACCTCAATTAATCCTCTCACATACGTCTGGTGCCGTTGAAAGCCTATCGTCATCATCACCACCGTCATCGTCATGTACAATTAGGTAGGTGTTATTAGCGATATTAGGGGGCTGTATTGTATGGAGTGTTGCGGCAGGCCGACTGTCTTGTTATTCTGTTATAGATAACCTATCTACCTACCTGGTAGCTACCTATACCTGTTATGCATCTAGGTAGGTACCTAACCTAAGCTGCCCACCTAAGGTACCTGATGCATCTGCCTAAGTACCTACCTCCTACGGATATGTATGAGATTGGAGAGGTACGCGTCGGGGAAACATAGGTACGTACGCGTGTACCATATATACGGTGAAATGAGGCAATCTCCAGTAGAACTTAAGCTTGCGTAATTAAGGGGTTTTCTAAGCCCTACATATATAACGTGTGTAGTCATGGAGGGGGAAAGGGGGGGTAGATGGTTGTTACTTGTTATCGTCATAGTCACGGTTGCCATCAGGTCTGTCGTACCAGATCTTCTTGTTATCGAACAATGATCAGAAGACGACAGGAATCAGCAATCGACCATCGAGGCTTGGAGCATGAAAAGTGAACGCCATAATGAGGAGACCGGCATTTTATTCGTCAATATCCTATCTTAGGGACCTGCCTATGCAAATCCCAGAAGCAGATGCCCGGGTACAGTAGGAAGTAGGGCACAAACTGCGTCGCAGACACGCATCATTTGTGTAGAAGCACCACTACGCCCTGGTATCGGGGCGGGTCAGCGATGCATGGGAACTCTCTTTGCTTTGCTGCTACCTCGTCTCGACATCAAGTTCAACCTGAGCCGGCCGGAAATGGCTGTCCGGCTAAAGCCCTTCTTTGATTTCCCCTTCCTTTCTTCTCTTTTTCTTCTACCCTCCCGTCCACCCACCCAGGTAGGTTAACCCTCTGGCTAACCGGACACCCCCTGCTGAGAGACATACCTCTCTCCCTTGTCTTGCTCATCTGGGCGGGAGCCGAGTGCGGATCGGGCTTAGGCGATTGATGATGTAGTTATGGGACCACCGTATATGCCGCCTGGCTCAGCAAAGCCCGCCTCGACTTGACTTGCCCCGCCGATACCTATACCTACGCCCCTGGTCTCCCTCTCGGTACCCTCGACTTAACGGTGCCAGTCCTAGCCACACCAAGCCTTAACGCATTTGCTCCTTCTGGAATAGCTCGTCGACCTTCTGAACAATTTAGCTGCCTCGTAAACCCAGCTAGCCCTGCCCGGCCTGGCCTGACCTCGCCTTGCCTGCCTGGCTGCAACGAAGACTACGGGGATATAAGGTCCTCACCGGTAAGAGGCGGACATGGATACCTTAGGCAGCCAATGTACGTAACTTCCAGTTTTGTTCATGGCTTAGGTACCTCTATTATCTCTGCTGCCAACCTCGAGGAAGCACCCGCATCGACCTCAAGTCTAAGTACCCCATGCAACTGAAGCTTAACAGAGAGGCTTAAGGGGTGCAGAGTACACGCTTGGTCCTCCTATCATGACGGGATATACCCATCCACATGTCTACCTCGTAGGTACCTTATACGTATACCTGCCGAATGCACGAGATGGCATCGAATCTCGAAGCGATAATACACACATGAAGACCTACAATTACGTTCTCTACTACTACTACTACGAGAGGACGATAGAAGTCGCAGAAGAGAGGGTTTGGCGGGCAGGTATAAGCAGACCTACACGTAAGGTGCCTGCCGACGTTCGGTAGCTACACCTAATACCACGTACCTCCTAACATACCTACCTCTAGGTAGCATGAGGTAAGATGCAGCAGTACCTACTTACACTTGTTTATATGCCTATGTACATCGATACCTCCACGTGCCGTCCTGCCCTTGATCAACAATGTCCATCCATGGCCTGTACGTGTATATTTACATATATGCACAGGGTAGGTGCGTGATACCTGATGTGTCTGCCTACATGCCAGCCTTGGGGAGAATAACAGAATGGAAAGGTTTGGTCGACAAAGACCCGGCAGAGCGCTTAAGTCTATCCCTCGGGGGCAGTGGGTGGATGAGACGAGGCCACCTGACTACCCCCTCTCGATATCAGTCGCGCAATGGGAGGCTTTGCCCTAGACGCCCAGCAGAAACAGCTAGGCAACCGGGGGGAGGGAAAAAAAAAGATTGTCTCGTGGGACGGCTTTTCTTGATAGGTAGCGGTGCTGATGTGATTGTGACGTCTTCCCCGGCCGGGTACCTGGGCAGATTAGTCAATTCGTTCTTTGTCGCGGTGCCGTTGTAGGAGCACTTTATGCTTGCGATGGACATGTCTCCTGACTCGCGAGAAAGGGGGAGAGAGAGTCATCAAACTCCCTATCGGTCCCACGTCCGGAGGCACTCTGGCATGAGAGCACCGTGGAGCCCGGCCCAATGCCTAAGCACAGTGGGACGAATGGGAAGCAGCCAGCAGGACGATGCCAGGTGCCTTTGGCAGCCAGAGCTGGAACAATTACGAAAAAAACACGACGAGACTCTACGGTAGGGACGCCGACGAGGAAAAAAAAAGGCCGACAACATGGCAGACAGACTGTCCTGAAAGGCGCGTAGGGAGCTACCTACCTACCTAGGTAGGTACCTCCTAGCCTACCTAACCGCTACCTGCGCGCAAGGCGGGCACACGTACCTTGGGTACCTGATGTCTCGGTCCCACATGCCGTGGTGGACAATGGCGCAACAAGGCGGAGGGGCAGCCGGTACGGTACGTATTCGCATCCAATGGCATCGGGACGGGATTATAAGCTAGGGGGGGGGGGTTTGCCAACCAACAAAACATGCCAGTATCTTACTGTATCCGAGCCAGAAACACGACACAGTAATGCCAACCTTGGCTTGGGGAGAGCGGATTGAAGCAACAGCGAAGAGGGCGCGTACCTTGTACCCGGCACGGGTGATGATGTAGGGTAGGTACTTACATACCTAGGTAGGTAGGTACCCGTAGGTCGGGAGGTAAGTGTAAGTACCTGAGGTGTGTACATACATGCCTACCTGCCTACCCGCCTACCTGCCTACCTGCCTACCTGGGTACCTTACCCAGGTACCAAGCCCAGCAGGCATTCCAAAGCGTCTGTTGCGCCGTCTGGTTGGCTGGGCCGGGCCAGGTTGGACTTGGGAAGAAGGGGGGGTTTTTTCTCTGCGCTCTTCGGCCCAGGCACGCTAACGCCTTAGTACGTGAAAAAGCCCACTAATTCCCAAGGTACCTGTGTACATCGAGCAGGAACCGGCGGCCAGGGAGACACGGGTGCTGGGAGATTCAGCATTAGGGCTTCATACCGCGCTCCCGCCTCCTATATGAGCATGCCTAATGGAACGTGCCACCTGACGAGCGCTGAAGTGGGTACGTAGCTCGGCATTGTATTTATTGTCGGGCGGCCGGTCGCCTGCTGCCATTGTGCCATTGACCTCCCGCCATCAAACGGACGTGTTCCTATAACGGGCTACTAATACCCAGTACATGAGGTGGGATGACGGTGTGTTGTACCGCCCAGCTCCTCCCTACCTACCTCTACCTACCTCTAAGCCTTAACTTAAGCTCGCCTTTGCGGTACCTCGCTAGCCAACATACCTCCTCGTACCCTTTTGCGCATCGTTTCCTCGTTCCTTTCTTCCCACCCCCTACTGTCTTCTCTCCCTGCCTTTTGCCCTTTTGCCATAGCTTGTCCCCTTCCTATCCGCTCCGCTACCTGATAATTTCCCGAACCCCATCCAGTCTCGCCCACCTGTCGACGGGGCTGCCAGCAGCGCCAGCAGCACCAGCACCGCCCAGCAGCTGGTGCACCTCGTCAGAGTCAAAGGTATCCTTTTTTTCTTTTCCTGTTGAAATTTTTTTTTCCTTTCCCCAGGGGGAGGAAAAAACTCTTTTTTTTTCTTTTCCTTCTTCGAGCCCTTGAACATCCTCCCGTCCGGCCCGCTGACTCTTCACTTAAGACCATTGATACGCCTGCGCATACTTACATGCATACGGACGGACGACGCGCATCTACAGACGTAGAGTCTTGACCACATTGCATTCCATTCTGCTCGCGTCGCACAGGGCAGGGTACGCAATCTCTCGCCATACGCGGACACCGGCTCACTACCACCTGCTGGCGACTCGCAAGTCGCTCTCTGCTGCCGGCTGCTGAGCCTCCCTGGACGTCATCACACAACGGCATCGCCAATTCTGCCGTATCACGCACAGAAATTACTAAGAGGCCGAGGCAGTCATCAGCTCGACGCAGTGACAGGATCCACCCTAACTCGTCTCCAGGGGCAAGACCGGGCCAGCACCAGCACGTAGGCGAACCTGGGACGCGCCAGCCAGACAGTTGGTCCGGCCGGGAAACTGGAATTGCAAGCCGGCTTTGCGGCGGGAGATATAAATATACACGTCCTGCGTGTGCGTGCGCGCGTGCGTGTGTGTATATCTATATATACACCCTCGCCAGAGGCTGGGGACTTACCGGGTCGAGTCGCATGGGCCAGGACGGCTTCCCACGAGCACCAAGTGCGGTCGAGTTGCTTGCAGGGGCCGCAGCAGAGCAACAATATCGATCCTCCTCTCGGGAGGAATTACATACATATCATCTCACTTGCAATCTGACGCTCTGGGGGGGAGGAAGAGAGAATCGTTCAGTTCCCCCCAACTTAGATATACCCAAACCAGCGACCTGCATGCGGCCTGCCACCTCATCATTTTTACCGTGAGCTGCTGCTGCAACATCAGTCCCCCATACCCGCCCTGTTTAGGACCTGGGTCTGCCACCTAGGGCGCGACGCAGCGCGGCAGCACCGCATCGAGGCGGCCCAGCAGCTGTGGCCCGTACCGAGACGTACCTCAGTCAGAGCACCGTACCAGTGACAGCCCTGTACTTTCTTATACCGCCGCTCCCGTACCCTTGCTCTCTCTGGTCCGCCATCGACGTATACGCACGTCGTGTGGAAAGGCGCTGCGTTTCCCTGCAGCGTCTCGAATTGGACGTCGACTGAATAAGTTGCCCTCCTTGGTGTTCCCTACCTACCTACCTACCTACCTACCTACCACCGTGGCCCACGGCCCACTGCAACGGCTTAGTCTACTTGTCTAACCTCACCCCCTGCTCTCCTCCCACCCCCCCCTCCCCCTGCCCCCCTTCTCCCTCTGCTAGATTCCCCTTTTTCCTTGGGAGGTGTCTCTATGAAAATCATATCGGCAAAAATGAGGCCTACAGGTTCAGCCCTCCTCATATAGACGCTGTCTCATCTTGTACTACAGGTACCAGCAGCGGTTCGACGCGGGCAGCGCCTCGCCGTATATCATGTCTTCGCATCCCAACCCAAACCCTTCCCGTCCCAGCGTCGAGTCCCGGATTCCTTCCAACACGTCCATCATGGCTGTCCAGAGTACTCTATGGCGGGTGCAACCGCCCAGCAAAGTCCAAACTAACACTCAACATGTTAACACTCTTCCCAACTCGATGCCTACTTCGGCCATAAGCGCCTCCTCCTCCGCCGCACCCTCTGGCTCTCCCCGGCATGGCTCTCCCCCCACGTCTCCAGACCGTGCGGTTTTGGCCACCAGCAGTTCTGTCCAGCCCTCGCCGGACCCGTCCCGCAGTCACGGTCCCGACGCCGAGCCATTCCCCGCCCCATCCCTCCTCCACCTCGGGGACCCTCTCGTGTCTTATAAGCCCGGCAACAGCCCCTCCGTGCCCGCTAGCGTAGGGACGCCGAGCGCTATGGCTGAGGCTTTGAGCCACCACACCCACTCGGGGAAGGGCCTGATTCGACGGCTGTCCAACCGGGCGACCAAGTTCGCCAGTAGAACGCGGCGGCAGTCGGCCGCCGCGCCCATGAGCCGGGAGGGAAGCGTGGGACCCGGCATTCTACGGCGTAGAAGCGATAGCACCAACACCGCACCTGCTGATGCCGTCCTATTGACGGATTCTGACGACGAGTCCCACGAGGACGCAAACGAGCTCAACTCCATCTTCGGCGCGGAGAGCATGACGCGGGACTTCTCGTCCGGGAGCGCTGCGCCGTCGGTAGCAGGGTCGGCCTCTTTTGCCGACGTCCCCACCGGACCGGTCGTGCCCATGGCCCTAGTCAAGGGGACCTATCTCGTCAAGGTATCCAAGAAGAAGAAGGCGAAGCGCCTGCTCTTCATCTTGGAGGCGGATGCCGGCAAGATCATCTGGGAGAAGGGCCGATCTACCAAGTGCATATACATCGACGATATCAAGGAAGTGAGGATAGGCTCCGACATCCGACAATATCGCATCGATTACGGGATTGCCGAGTCTGAGGAAGACCGCTTCTTCACCATCTTCTACGCCGTGCCCGACAGGTCTAGGAGCAAGACGATGCACCTGATCGCCGACGACGAAGAGACGTTCGCGCATTGGGTCAATGCCCTAGACTTGATCTCGAAGCATCGAGAAGTCCACATGGCCTCGCTGATGGCCTTCAACGACAGTGCCATCCGCGGGTATTGGGGCGGCGAGATGACGAAGCAGTTCGAGAATAGACTGCACTCGCCCGACGAGGAGGAGATGGACTTCCCCGGGGTTGAGCGAGTCTGTAGGAATCTCCATATCCACATGGCCCAGAGGGAACTCCGGGCCAAGTTCACCATCGCAGACGCCACCAGGACGGGCCGGCTGAACTTCAACGAGTTCCAGGTGTTCGTCCGCGAGATGAAGCGGAGGGAAGACGTCCGGCTGCTGTATCTCAGGCTAGCAGCCGATTCCGACCGGGGCATTACCCTGCCCGAATTCCTGCGATTCCTGCGCGACGAGCAGGGGGAAGATGTCGACAGAAACCTCGGCATCTGGGAGGCCCGATTCGTTCGCTATGCCTACAAGGGCGGCAAGCCCAGGACCGAGTCTCAACGTCCCGATAAGGATCTGATTACGATGAGCGAGCAGGCACTCGTAACATACCTAACCTCGAAAGACAACTTCCCCCTCGCGCGTGCACAGCCCGAGTACACGCTCGACCGGCCCTTCAACGAGTATTTCATATCTAGCTCACACAACACCTACCTAGTCGGCCGGCAGATCGCGGATGTTGCTTCCATCGAGGGTTATATCTCGACCCTGGCTCGAGGGTGCCGTAGCGTCGAGATCGACTGTTGGGATGGCTCCGACGGTCAGCCGGTAGTCAAGCACGGATACGCCATGACGAACACCATCTCGTTCCGCGAGGTGATCAACACCGTAAATAAGTACGCCTTTGTCGCGAGCCGATTCCCGCTTTGGGTCTCGCTCGAGGTTCACTGCAACGCATCGCAGCAGGAAGCCATGGCGGACATCATGAAGGATATATTCGGGTCCCGCCTCGTCACCGAGCCGTTAGATCCCTCTTCGACGAAGCTGCCGTCGCCTTCGGAGCTGAAAGATCGGATCCTAGTCAAGGTTAAGGGGACGCACGAGAACCCCGAGCAGCGACGCAATGGCGGCGGAGAGCCTACGATAGGCCGGCGGCGCGGGAACAGCCTGACGTCTCCCTTGTCGAGCCCGTTGCTGAGCCCGGTAAACCCGCCTCCCCGGCGCATGCCGGCCAAGCGGGTAGACACCATCACCGAAGGCGAGGTGCACGACACGGTGAGCAGCAGCACGAGCGAATGCGATAGCGAGGAGGAGAAGAAGGGAAAGCGGAAGACGAGCAAGATCGTCAGGAAACTGGGCGAACTCGGTGTCTACTGCACCGGCGTGAAGTTCCACGGCTTCGAGTCGGCGGAGTGCAAGAAGAGCAATCATATCTTGTCCTTTATGGAGGGCACCTTTCGGAAGCACTCCAAAGCCTCGGATTCGAAGCTGGCCCTGGCTCGGCACAACATGCGCTACATGATGCGTGTCTACCCGCAGTACTCGCGTCTCTCTTCCGATAACTTCAACCCCCTCATGTATTGGCGGAGGGGCGTGCAGATGGCAGCGCTCAACTGGCAGACCTTCGACCTCGGCATGCAACTGAATCAAGCCATGTTCGACGGCGGCACCGACAAATCCGGATACGTCCTGAAGCCGGAATCGATGCGCGAGATACGGATCTTACCCGGCGGACTGCCTGCGGAAGCCGTCGGGAAGTTGGAGCGCCAGAACATGTCCTTCAACCTCAACGTCATCTCGGCCCAGCAGCTCATCCGCCCGTCCAGCCTCTCGGCGAGCCGCACATTCGACCCGTACGTCGAGATCGAGGTGTTCCACACCAACGACAAGCGGGACAAGCACGATAGCATGGCCGGTATCCCCGTCCTCACGGATACGCCCCTCAAGTCCTCGACCGGAGTCGTAAAGGGGAACGGGTTCAATCCCGTATTCAACCACAACGCTCATTTCAACGTGACGACCAAGCACCCCGAGCTTGTCTTCGTCAAGTTCAGCGTGAAGCTTTCCGCCGACGGCGAGAACTCGTCAGGCCGCAATCCTACCATCGCGACCTACATGGTCAAGCTCGGCAGCCTCAAACAAGGCTACCGGACTCTGCCCCTGCTCGATTCTAACGGCGACCAGTATCTCTTCTCGACCCTCTTCTGCCACATAAAGGTCGACCCCACCACCAGCGTCTACCTCCCAAAAGCGTCGGAGAACGGCAGCGGCGAGGCTGGCGTGTCCAAGCTGAAGCACATAAGCCGCAACGTATTCGCCCGGTCCTCGGCCAACAGCGCCAAGTCGAGCTTCGAGAAGTCTAGCATCGACGGCGGCCATTCCGACGCCTCGCAGCACCCCGCTGTTTGATACCTACGTCAGCAGCCGTCACCATCGCTCGTCGCCGTTAACACGGATCGCCTTGTACCAACATTGTCTTTTTTTCCCCCGGAGTTTTCCCCTGTGCATAAATCAAGTCGCGATGATTTCCCCGATCCACCCGAATCTGCTACGAATACCCGTCGAACCACGTCCCCGAAGGGATAGTGTAGCATAGCTATAGGCGAAATGCATGAACCGGGGTTTTTTTTGTTTCTTTTTTCTCCCCCTCTTCGAGTCATTGTATCTCGCCTGGTTTCGGTGTCTCGAGAGAGTATCTGAGCAGTTTGCGGGAGCAAAGGAATGGTGGGCAAGGCATATTCATGGGTGTTGAAGGGACATGACAAGATAGATCTGGGAAGTGACAAGAAAATCGTTTTCATTTGTTTTCTGACGCATCGTGGACGGTGGCATTTGGGTTCTGGTGTTTTGTCGATTTGGGTCATTACGAGTTTCCTTGCGACGATATCATCATCACCCACCCCCACTTATCATCATCATCATTATCGACATCTTTGACCGTTGTCGCCGTCGTCGCTATCATCATCTAAGGCATATACGTTGGGAGTTTGTTTGCATTTCCATCTACGAGCAGGACTTGCATGTGGTGCAGCTGAGGCGCAGGGCCGCAATTGGCAGCAGCACGAGAAGGGGGAGTCTTGGGCGAGAGATTTGAATCTCACGGAACGGGGACTCACTGGGCCCCCCCCCGGGGGGTTCGGCGGCGGACGGTTCCTGGTGTCTTGATCTACATCAAGTTTGCGCCTCGACACTCTCCGCCTCCCTCTCGCAAGCCAGGTCCCTTGATGAAAGTAGCATTGGCATGTCGGCTCGCATTTACATGAACTCAGATAAATAACAGCCGTAGCTCGCGCTGCATACTACTACGTATTGAACCTATACCGAGGTTCCTGGCCACGGCAGCGCATTCGCCTGACGTGTCTGTCCGTCCCATCATTCTTAGTGCCTTGCAACCCCTTAAGGTCCCGAGCACGATAACGAATAGTCTATGTCGCCACCAACGAGGGTTAGAAGAAGAAGCACCCCCGACTCGTCTCTAACTTGGCGTGGCACGGCGGCGCACATGCTACCGAAAGCCTCTTAACCGGGCAGTTATTCGGGTATGTAGTTGGTTAGTATGCTCGCGCGCATGCCAGACAACCCCCAACGGCTGGGAATCCGTCGAGGTGTAAGCGGAGGCGACTGGTCTAAGGGGTGATTCGGATTCGCGGCTCAGGCGAAAAGGCAGCGTCGTGAGAGTACCGTGGTATTCAGCGGTCCTTGTCAGCCCTGGTTCGAGTCCTCCGCAACGAACGGCTCGGAATCTGGGTACATGGCCTAAGGATTACATGTCTCGCCAGGGTCTACTCGCACGATGCACCTAACCCCGCCGATCGCGACGCCACGGAAAACGCCTGGATCTGACGGCCATTCTTTTGCCCAAACTGGGGCACTCGACCGACAGCCTACGCTCGCCACGGCCGGTTCTACACCCGTCGCGGGCAAGACGAAGCGTGGCATGGCATCCTACTCTAGCTGCTTTCAGTGCATATTTATCCAATATGCAACGCGTGGCTTTTTCTTTTCTTTTTCCTCTCCATCTCCACAGCGAATGAAGCGTTATTGCTGGCGATGCGATGCCTCTTACCTCTATACGGTAAGGAACTGTCAGCTCGGCCCTCCAGTTGCTGACGCTCTCCGCGTATCTACGGTATGCTGCTTACTAGGAGCTGAGGGGGTTCTGAACCGGGGGCCGAGGGAGTTAACTACCACTAGATCGTGGCGCTGTTGTGACGGCCGGCCTCATCGCCTCCCCCCCCCCCCCCCCCCTTTCTCCCTCTTCCGCTCCCGCTCCCGTTCTCCCCTCACCTCCTTACTACCTATCCTCGCGCAGAATATCTAGGCGACACAGCCCGAGTCGCGGCCCGTATACTGCACACTGGGAACATAATGTTCTACCGATTACGCTGAGATGACCTCGATCAAGACCGAAGATTGGTTATTGGATGGTCCTGTACGGTGACAAATTTGGGGCGTGCGTAGAAGATGCGGGTGGGGATAGCAAAGAATCGCAACGGAGTCGTTTCTCAGCTTTCTAGCTTCAGCTACGAAGGGGTGTGAGTGGCGGAGAGGGAAGTAGAGAGAGAAGTGGAGGGCCACACCATGGGTAGTGAGAACGACGAGGAGGGATGCTTGGCTGCAACCTACTTGCTTAGCCACCACGTATAGCATTCCTATCACTACTGGTACAAGCTACGGCTGCTGGCTGCGCTTCTCCCTGCTGCATGTACTTCACATCTATGCACGAGGGCGTTCCCCCGTCACGTCCTTTCTTGCCCAAAAGAGAGCGACTGAGCTCCCTCATTGGACGGGGACGAGGAGAAGGGGGGTGAGGGTTACGCGGGCAAACGGAACGTGGTTCCTTGGGAGGGGAAGGGAGGGATAGGAGAGGAGGAGGATGGGGTGGCGAGTGATCCCAGCCCCCTGGACTGGGCACGCACGCGCAGCGGACAAGCAAGCAGGCAAGTATTGCTCACAGTATGGTGACGACGACGCGCTTACGAACCCCATCAGCCAGCCAATAGGTCTCACAGCCAGCCCTGTAAATCACGCAGGGACGCAGTTCCATCCTGTCGGGTCCTGCAGCCCGCGGCGACGGCAGTGGTGGTTAACGTGGCGGCATCATTGAACGCAGTCCCCCCCCTTGACCCCTGGGAGCCTTACGAGGCAACGGTGAGTGCCGTGATTACTTTGGGGCAATGCCACCACCCCCCCTCCCTTCTCGTCGCGGGGGGGGCATCGCGTCTCCCTTCCTGCGCTAGGAGACGCCATCGTACCGCATCCCCCATGCGCGCGGGCTCGGGCATGCAGGCCGCTGACAGAGCGGCCTACCCGATATGGTCAGCCACGGGAGTGAAATAGGTCCATTGTCTCTCTCCCTCCTTCTCTCTCTCTTCAGGGGACTTCGGAGACCACATTGGAGAAGCTCTCGGGGCAGATGAGGAACCCGCCATCCTCGAGCGGCTCCTCCCATTAGGTCCCGCTGAGCTTGCCTATCGTCCCGTCCCGTGCCGTCTCGACATGCCAAAGCCATGCTTGCAGGTGAGATAGGTAGGAAGCCCCTAGCATCTTACACTGTGCGTAAGCTGTCTTACTCGCGGCCTACCTAACCCACCACCCCTCTCGAGGAGCGGCCAGGGGTGCGTATACGGGGAGCGTCCCCTGACGTTGGTCGTCCGATGATGCCGCGGACCCGTAAGTCTCCCCTCCCTCTCGATGTCGCTCGCCCGGCCGAAGGCTGTCCGCGGGTTACAACACGGTAAATTACCCCTGGAAGAGGCCGATACGAAGCCGCCCTACCGCCGCACTGTATACTGGGGCGGGCTACGCTGCTGAGGTGACGCTGTTAGCACTGCACTGTTTCCGAGCCCGGGGCTCGCGGCCAGGGGCATCCGTAGCAGGGGCACGAGGCATCGCCTCGACCAACGCGGTCCGGCTGCGTCGAACCCACATATGCGAATATCGCGTCAAGATCGCTACTTACCGCTGCTGACGTGCCAGACCGGATGGGTGGTTCCTTGGGATGTATGTATCTATTGCAAGTATACGTACACACAGTACGTCCGAGTACAGTACGAAGGCCGCCGTGGGAATATTTAGCAAGGCACAGGCTTGTCGCGCGCCGTATTCACTAGACCCCTCTCGAGCAATCCAATATCCAAGACGGCGCGCTACGAGCACGGCTTTTCGCGTAGGTATATGCCTGTAGACTTAAATAAACACTTTAACCATGGCCCCCGCAACAACCTGCCAACCGGCGCCGCTCCTCTCTCGACGGCCGCGCCGCCTCACGGGCCGCGGCGTGGCTCCGGACTGCTGTCCATCGGCTATGCGTACATGTCGCCTACGTCTCCCTGGGCGGTGGTACTTTCGAGCAAGGGCAGAGGGCCGCGGAGAAATGCCCACAGGCCCGCCCCAGCTCGCCTCACAGTAGGAACTGGCATGCGCCGCGGCCCGGCCGGACGTAAAGGATACACGAGCCCGCTCATAGATGACAAAAACCCCTCTTACCCTGGATCGAGGAGGCATAACTCCGGGCCTGCGTGGTAAGACCCCCCCCCCCCCCCCTTCCCCCCTCAACCTCCAGGTCGCGAGGCAGTCAGACGCTCCTCGAAGCGAGACGGGCTATCGGATGGCGCGGGCTCACCGGCTCGTCTGCGGATTAACCCCCCCCCCCCTTCCACCCCCCGGCCCGTGGTTATTAGAGGTCGCCTCGCTGCGTCCCACCCAAGCGGTAATCGCAGCACGCGCGGGGGCAAGGCGGCGAACTGCCGGACCCAAGACTACAGCGCGCTGCGCGCGCGGTGCTGGGCCACAGCAACCCGGGTCCCTTCCGGTCCTATCCGCTCTCCGGGCCGTGCTAAGCACACACCCCCCCGACGTCGGCAGAGGAGGTACTCGAGTCCTCAAGGGGGTTAGTTGGGGAGGGATCGTCGTCTTTTTTTGGTCTTGGGGCGAGGGAGGGTCCCGAACAAAAGGCCCCAAGCGGCGCTCTATCCCCGTTTCGTTGTCGCCCCGACGGCAGCTCTTCCCCCCTGCCTCCCTCCCACCCCCCCTCTCTCTTCGCCCGCCTTATTTTTGGCGTCTGCCAACGGTCGCCGGGTTTACGAGGGCTGCGCCTCCCTCCCCCTCCCCGGGGGAATAGGGGGGGGGGGGGGACTGCTAGTCGTCTTCTCCGTCTCCCTCTCTCTCTGTATCTCCACACGCGCAGAGCTGCGGTAGGCTCGCTACAGACAAGATGGAGCCGACCCCCTGTCCGCCGGCGGGGGGCGGAGGAGGGGCGAGCGCCACTTGGCCGGTAGGTATCCACCACGGGCTATGTACGCAGCGTGCGGGCACGCCAGCGCTCGTCGATAAAAATAACGATGACATGCCTAGGCGCCCGCCGCGCAGGCGTCGAGAACAGGGCCAGGGGGGCGGGGAAGGGCAGCCAGCCAGCCAGCCAGCCAGCCAGGGGAGTAGGTGTGGGCGTAGACGGCGGGCGGGCGGCGGGACGTCGGGTCTGGGAATGCGCGCGCGAAGGGCAGCCTTGGGGACGACCGCGTGTGTGTACACACAAGTAGCGCTACCTCGCGTGGTATAGCCCGACGAAAGCGTGCCTCCCTATGGCGATTACGTACGTAGGCGGTGTATGTCCCCAGGAGGCCAGGCGGCGCGATGCCCTGCAGCGACGCAGCGCGGTCGCGCGGCGGGGAGGGTGAGGGGGAGAGACGTCGACGGCTGCCTCGGAACGCGCCTCTCCTCTCGATACAGACGGCTTTTCCCGATCCCCGAGGGCGGGCGTGATCGCCGACCTGCGAGCGAGCACACGCAGCCTGCTACCATTGTCCTGCCGATCTTGCCCTCATGCTTCCCTCTCTCTTTCTCTCTCCAACCCCTCGCACGCAAGGCTGTCGTAGGTTGCGTGCCGTACGCCTCAAGCCCGCCCGGCCACTCCGCGAGGGAAGATGGAGAAGAGAGGACGCCTTTTCTAGGCGACGCCTAGAGGCTAAAGTTACACCGCGTTGCTGGCGTTGAGAACGATGTCTCCGCGGAGGGGGTGGTGGCTGTAGGACTCGGGGAGGAGACGCGGCGGCGTTGGCACCGAGCGTGCGGGTGCGGGAAAGATACCTACGTGCTCGCTGTTTAGGATGACGGGAGAGGCCTGGAGCACACCTGGCTGGTAGGCAAATCATACTTCTTGCGGCGCGGAGGGCCCGCGTAGACTTGGATCAGAGCTGTGCTTCTAGTTAAGAAAAAATAACCGCACACTAAACATCCTACCTTTGCCCGGAGGTTATCTTGTAGAGATGCTGGCCTGGAGTTGTATACCTCGAGTTGAAAGAGAAGCAGCCCGGGACAGATTCGTTGAACCCTCTCCCGATGTCCTCTCCGACAGGCGTACAAGAGAGCCAGCTACTAAAATAGTGTGGAGAGATTCCCGTAATATCTACCCGCGACTATAGACCTAAAACGTGACTTTCTCATGGGCCATCTTGACCCAACTCGTCGATATCAAAGGGGGCATTCTCCGATCCGTCCTACACCTATGAAACCAGACATCGTCGTCCGTATCAGATCGTAAACCCGCGCTCCGTCCTTGACGTCGACTGCTAGGTGTCGAATCGCGGCAATCGCAAAACCCACCAACCGCCACCGCAGCCACCCCGGAACACCGCGAACCCGCTCGACGTAGAACCGCCCTGGCGCCCTCGACTTCCCGCCTGTCTAGCTCCATAGTACAAGCTTGCCCGCCGTGTCTCGGGCATCGCAGCCGCCTCCGCTCCCCCAGAGCAGCAGCCCGGCCCCTAACAACACCAGATGCCCGCCTCTCTTCTCTCGCCCTAAGCTCACCCGCGCCCTCGTTGCGCGCTCCCAGTCCGAGTGCCCTCGCCGCGCTCCTTCGCAGAGCGCACCCCGCGCCGGAGACCCCGGCCGCTAGCCCCCCGGCCGACGCAGCAGCCGTGGCCCTCCCCACCGCCTCGCCCCGCCGCCGCCCCCCCCCCCCCTGCCCGTCCGTCGCCGCCCCGCGCGCGGCCGAGCCAGCCGGACCCGACGGCCGGGCTATTATTGTATGGCGGGGGCAGCGCCCGCGAGTGAGGCGCGCCGCGGGCGGGGCCGAGACCCGCCGTGTCCCTGCTCCGCCGCGGGTGAGCTGTTCCCCGGGCCGCGGCCGGGCCGAGCAACGGGGACGCGTAGAGATCACGGCTTTTGAGACGGCGCTTGGTCTGCGGGGGAGCAAGCAGGCCCCGTAGGAGCTGTAGCGCGGGCCCCGTAACAGGCTGGGCCGCCTCCCGACGTAGGCGGCGGCGCAGGGCGCAGTCGCGTGGACGGCACGGGCACCTGGCGTTAAACGTCATTCATTGCGGCGAGCGCTACCTGCCTATCCTAGCCCCATGCCCTCCGGGATCCGTATTCCACCGTACAGAGCGAACCCGCTTCCCCGTTTTACTCCCTACACCTCCTCCCCCTCTTCTTCTCTTCCACCCCAGCTGCTCTGCCAACTTCTCCCCCGTATTCAATGGCCCCAAAGCAAAAAAAAAAAAAACCAGCTGTGCCTGCGTCCAAACGCACGTATTATATATGTACTGCCAGAATGAGATGTGGGGAGGAAGCAAACGCCCAAGCCATGCTAGTGCGCGTGCGCGTGTGGGCGACGCGATGTCCGCGGCGTACCATCATACAAGTTGTCCCCGTCTGTAGCCGTGACAGGGGAAGGGGAGGTACTTGAGGCCAATATGCCTAATCGAACCCCCCTCGACTCCTTTTTGTTTATACAATTCCGGGCCCGAGCTCCCTCTTTACCTACCTGCCTGCCTGCCGGGTCGTTCTACCGCTTCAGCCCTTAGCCTCAGTCGACCTCATCGTCGTCGTCATTTCGCGAGGACCGCAGCAGGGGGGTCGCGCTGGCCTTGGCGCTGCCGTTCCTCGCCCCTGTCGACGACGACGACGACGACGGCTTCCTCAGCAGGCCGCTGACGCCGCTCCGCGCCCACCCGCCGTTCGTGACGACGTTGAGCGCCCGCGTCTCGGCGTCGCTGTCATCTTCGTCGTCGTTGTCGTCGTCGTCGCTACTACCGCCGTCGCTCCCGACGTCCACACCCTGCCGGTTCAGCGTCCGCATCGACACCGACGTCGGCGGCTCGTCCGCGTACAGGTTCGGGTCGCGGCCCAGCACGCGGTCCGCCTTTGACGGTGTGCGCCGGCCCTGAACGCCGGTTCGAGAGTTCTGCGGCGGCACCAGATAGTGGCTGCCCGTGGCGCCGCCGACCCGCTCGACGGTGATGTGCGGTGCCGCCGGGTCCGGCTCGCCCCAGCCGGCGGCGCGCTCCCGCTGCGCCTGCTGCTCGCGCTCGCGCGCGATTTGTTCGCGGGCCGCGACCCACTTGGGGCTCGCCTCCCAGCTCCAGCCGTCGCCGGTCGTAGTGACGAAGGGCAAGGGCCAGAGGGCCGGGCGGGGGCCGAAGAGGTGCGCGAGGTTGCGCCGCACGCCGAGGTCGAACGCGTTCGGAAGCTTCTCCGAGTCCTGCTCGTCCATGTACTCCTCGTAACGCTTGCGCGCGCGGTAGCGCTCTATTTCCTCGTACGACAGTGGCCGCTGCCCCTGCCCCTGCCGCGTGATGACGTTATCATCGTAGTTCCCGTCCCGCGAGCTCCGCAGCTCCTCGCCCTCCTCAGGCCGCGTCACACCCGGTAACGCGTTCGCGTGGATATCGAGAAGCTGCTGGCCGTACCGCGGCAGCGGGATACCCTCGCCGTTGTGCTGGGCGATGAACTGGTGCTGTAGGGACTTCCGCAGCGGGCTCAGGTACCGAGTCTTCTCGAGACACTCGATCGTAGTCTGGCCGCGCGAGGCGAGCATAATGTGCCAGGCGGTGAAGGCGCCAACGACGATGCCGATGATTCCGGAGATGACGGATAGCATAATGAAGTTGACAGGCAAGAGAGTATTCGTATATTGGGTTTGCGTCAGCAGCTCAGAGTAAACCCAGGATCCGGAGACGGCGAAGCTGTAGAAGCAGAAGAGGGTGGTGTATATTAGGAAGAGCAGGAAAGCCTTGTGGTTGCGAAGGCCGATGCAAGTGGCGAGCCAGGGGCAGTGGTGGTCCATCTTGAGGACGCAGCGTCGGCAGGTCGAGCAGTGATGCGCGCGGTCAGGTTTCCGGGCCTGGCACTTTTTGCAATATCGCAGCTCGCCATTGGATTTAACGGTGAAGGACGTGGCTCGCGGAGGCGCGGTCGTGGGCAGGCCCGAGTACCCGGCCGAGTCGGTGGTGGTGCCAGGGTTCGTAAAGACGGCGGTGGTGTAGCACCAGTTAAGCATGAAGTAGAGGACGACGCCGCCGATGGAGGTTTGTGTTCCTGCGCGGCCCATCTGTCAGCTCCGGCTCTCGATCTCGCAGGCGCAACCAAATCCCAGTCCTCTCGTCGGCATCCGGCGCAGCCGAGGAGGGACACAGACCGCGAAAGGGGAGATAGACTGACCTATCCACGCCGGCTTAGACGATTCGTGAGAGCCGATACTGACGACGACCCAGACGGCCCAAGAAGTCAGGCTGTAGACAAAGGCTAAGGGAAAGTAGGTGAGGCAATTGCAGCAATAGCGCTCGAAACGCCGCGCCCATCGGCGAGCCATGTTTGGTGATTGTTGCCCGGGTGGTGACGGGACTCTGTCGTCCATGGAGTCAGGGACACGGAGAGGAGGGGAGAAGAGTACGAGGGAAGAGAGGTTCGACAGTGTGGCTTCTGTCAGATCAGATCGAGGCCAGTATCACATCATGAAACAGAACGCTAACTTATGTTGCTGTGTTTTTTTTTTTAACGGCTTTTAGATGGTGACGAGTCCCCTGAGGAATTACCTACGGACTTGGGGACGCGATGGGTCTGGCGGGCTGAGCTCATCTTGGCCAGGGACGACCAGTAGGTCAAGGGGTCGGCATGTTGATATCCCGGCCCGCTGCATAGCATGTGCCTGCGTACACCTCGTTATATGACCGTATCTCACGTAATGTTACGGTTAATTGGGTATCTTCTGGCTTATGTAGTATACATCTAAGTTACTATTGTGTGTCGCTTATCCTCCAGAAGCATATATGCATATATGCACATGTTATCGAATTCTTTTTTTATCTCCTCGACATCGTGATTCTTCTCTCTCTCCTTCGTCTAGGGTCATCACGTTAGAAGCCAACGATCACTGAGGAGATGGGGCGTATGCCCCTACACACATACGTGAATGAACTATGGCCATGCTGCCATATTCGACTGGCTAGGCGACTGTCCCTACTATCTTAATTTATGGCTACCAGTAGACGCCGCGTCAGACGCGTCCCGGCCCGGACACGATGGGTAGACGAAGCGGGCCGACCTGCTTTCCCTCCCTGGCCTGTCGCTGCCGCCGTCTCTCCACGCGTCCGTACATGCATAGCATACACGCGCGCATAACACATGGCTACACCGCCCCTGAGACGGTACCCTGCGAGCGGCCATATGTGCTCCCGATGTCGCCCCAGCGGATGTTCGAGAACGTGACGGCGGTGTCGGGGCGGCGCTCCTTGATCACGGCCGGGTTGCCCTCGCGGAGGTCGCAGGGGCCGGCGCGGCCCGAGTTGAGCCAGTTCATGAACTGGCGGCCGTCGTTCCAGATGCTGAAGGCGAGCACCATGCCGCGGTCGAGCGCGAGCCCGGCCGTGCGCAGGCCCCCCAGGTTCTCGAACGTGTTGCCGACCGCCTGGCAGTGGCTCATGCGCAGCGAGTCCCCCGGCGGCATCGCCGGGTCCGCCACCGCCGCGTTGTCGATCACCACGCCGTCCTGCACGTACAGCCGCCGCACCTCGTTGAGGGTGTCCTTGTTGATCGGCGACGGGTTGTTCGTGGTCAGGAACTGCGTCGTCACCGTGAACGGCCGCGTCGTGTCGATCGTGAACGGCGTCGCCCCCGGCGCGCCTGCCGTGTTGTTGCTCGGCGGCGGCGTTAACGCCGAGCGCGGCCCGTAGAAGGTCGTGTTGCCCATCCGCCATGTGTTGTACGCGCACCCAGACTTGTCACACACCCCGATGCTGCCGCATTCGCCGCCCGTGCACGCATACACGCCTGGTTGGCTGCACACGTGCGCCGTGAATGCCGACGCCACCGCGTTGGCCTCCCACAGGTCCATCTCGTTGCAGCACGCTCCCTTAGAGTCGAGGTTTGCCTAGATATATGTTGTCAACTTGGTCAGTTCGTCTCTTTTCGGGGACCGGCATGTGAGGTGGGCATTTAGGTAGAAAGGTAAGCCAGCTAGCACATGAGAAGAAAGGAAGAGGGAAAACTCACCACACCGTTGATAAAAGGTAGCTTCGGGCACTGTGCATCGCAGTATCCGGTGCCGTACCGCGCGCCGGCCGGGTTGAGAGCGCTGCGGGCTCCCGTCGAATTCATCTCGGCGAGGTACAGGGCGCCGTTCATGCCGCACACAAGCTTCGAGACATCGACGTCGAAGCTGATCTCCTTGTTCTTGATATACAGCACCTCGTAGTTGTCGCCCTCCTTATCGAGCAGGTAGACGCGCGGACTCACGGGCTCGAGGACACCGCGACGTTCCATGTACATGTTGAGGGTCAGGGAGCTGCCGTTGGCGAACACGCCGCTGCCCTCGTAGTCGGCCGCGTCGAAGACACAGTTGCGCGCGCACACCTCGGGGTCCGGGCATAGCTCCTTGCTCAGGGGCGGTGCCGCGCTGCCGATCCCATACCCGCCGCAGCTGCTCGTTCCGTTGACCTGCCGTAGCTCGTGGAAGCTCGCGTCCAGGACGATGGCCGTCTCCTGCTTGACGCAACCGCCCGTGTTGGTGCACTTCTCCGTCGACAGCCGCGGATGCGTGTCAGCGTTGCCAATGCCCTGCGCCGCCACGCCCTGCTGCTGCTGCTGCAACAACAAGGGCCACGCCCCGGCCACCGCGGCAACAATACGTGCGTGCATGATCGCCGTAGATCAAGGCGGCGCACCGGGGAACCGATGGAAACTATGCAGGCGAGGGATACAGGCCGCAGAGGTAGAGGTAGGTGGGAACACTCATAGGCAAGCGCATGCTGTGAGTTCCTCTAGGCGATATCACCAGTATCTCCCCTTTCCCCGTCGACGTTCGCGGGGTCGATATGGTAGTAATAACAATAACAGGTCAAGAAAGATTCCACGGCACGCAATCCTTCTCTCTCGTCTCCTTTCTCCTCGCCCTTCATCCGCTCACGCGTAATCCAAGCTCCTCCCCATTTCCCCCTATCTGCCGGCCCCTCCCGCCACGAAAAGAAAAACGGTGACCCCAGCCCGAAGGGTAATTTGCACGAACGCTTTATGCAGGGTTCGCGGCTGCAACGCTATTAGGCGCGGTCGCGGTGAATAGATTGCGATAGCCCCATTTTATTCAAAGGCCTATCCGTCGCCTAGACGGTTTACGTAGGTATGGTGATATCTCGGGGCGAGAGAGCAGGCAGACATAACACACAGCACAACGACTATATCTCGCCTGCGCCGACTGGGTAGATGCCTGTCGTCGCGTCGGCAATTAATTGTGAGCGAGGACGAACAGAACGGCTCCCCCCGCTGTCCGGTATCCCAGCACCTCTCCCTCTGTGGCAGCGCGGCCGCATCGCTCACTCCCAGCGGCGTCTTCCGCCCCCCCCTTTCGGCGCCGCGACGGCAAATAGCCGCGAAGCTTCCATATCACAGGAAAGCGTGCGGGAACAGCTCGTTAACCTACCCACCTCCCTACCTACCTAACCAACCAAGCCCGCCCCCCTACCCAGACTCTGCCGCCGTTCTTCTCGGCAAGTCCCCGCGACACTTCCCGCGCCTCGGCGGACTAGACCCGGAGACGCGCCTTTTCGGCTCCCTCCCCCCTTTCCCCCCTTTTACCACCCACCCGAGCAAGCATCCAGAGACCCGGCGCGGCTGAATACATGCACACACACACACACATGCATTCATATTAGGTACACGTGCCTACCCCCCTTTTGTCGGGCATCTTCTGTGTTCGCTCTAATTTCTGTGCCATACGAGACTCGTCCGCGCAACTGGGCCCGCGTCGTCGTCGTGCCGTGTCACACACGAGTGGCTATACACAATACTGCGCATACCGACCGATCCTACACCTTGGTTCTTCCCTACCTCCGGCTCCCGCTTCCCCGCGCGCGAGCGGTCGGTCGCCCCGGGTTTAAGGAAGTCAGTAAGAGGTGGAGAAGGGTGTTTTGTATCCGCTCGTCTCCATAGGTGTGCATGTACAGGTGCACGAAAATGAAATGCTTACCTGCGCCCCCTCGCGGATTTTCTTTTTCTTTTCCCCTTCGCGGCTCCGCCCTTATCGGCTGGAGAGACGCGATTCGAAAGCATTAGAAGTTGTCCGCTGCGGATCTTACACACCATGTCGATCGTTGTGAAACTTTTCTGGGATTTCCTATAGCAAGGTGTGTCGAATCTTCTGCCTACTAGACTGTTTCCTACGTAGACACTGAAGTATCTTCTATTTACAATCCCGGCGGAGAGAGCATCTTCAGAGAACACCAGGTGCTCGAAGCACCACTTGCAGTCCTCTCGAACACGACCGCCGTATCATTGAATATCTCCAGGATTAAACGATCTGAAGGCACGGGGCCAGTTGCGTCCGCCGTCAAGTAAATGTTGCCCAATGCATAAATGGGTGCCCGGCGTTTAGGAGGAGGACTCCTGCTGGGGTGAGCTTCCCGCCTGGCTGTCATCCGGGCGGTTTTCACCGCGTCCCTTTCCTCGGCGACGACGGCGCGATGGCTTTTTGGTGGCCTCCTCGTCTTTGTCCGTGTAATAAGCGCTCTTTCGTCCGTCCGTTCCCGGCACGGTGTGAAGCTTAGAAGGTCGCTTCGACTTGGCCCACTCCTCGTCAAACTTGAGTTTTGCCACACCATTGAGCAGCTGGCTGGCCGGGTCGATAACCAGAGCGCCATTGGTTATCTGTTGTATCATGAGGCCGTAGCTATGCAGCTTCCGAATACGGCATCTGGCCTCGCCGATCGTTTCGGCGTGTCTAATCCAAGCACTCTGAGAGACGAATGGGGCTCGGCAACCAGGGCAGTTAAACTTGATATCATAGTGGGCGGGAGATTTCAAGTGAGAGATCAGTCCGGTGCTGGTCTTGAACTTGGACCTAAACAGCTGTTAATGGGAAAATTGGGTAGAGGAAGGGAGGTTTATAGAATTACGAACTTGCAACTGTTGTGGGGACACTTATAAGTGTCGAGAATGGGATCGACGAAGAGGGCCGCATTGAAAGAGGGATGGTTGGGATCGATGATACGTCCTGTTGTAGGATTGGAAGCAGATGCTGGCTGGGCCAAGTCTTCAGCAGGAGGTGGTACGGTCTTATATGCCTCCTTGTATGCCTCTGTCGCAAACAACTTCTTTTGCTGGCCCCATGCATTGTCCTGGTCCTGGGCAAGGTTATCGATGCCATCCCCGGTCAGAAAGTCCTGCTGTGCGATGTCTCCGTGGCGGAATTTCTGCATGGCAGTTCGAGGGAAGTCGTTCTGATGTCCCTGCACATCAAACGTCGGACTCTTCTCATCGGCCCATTCATCACCCCAGACATTTTTGATGTGGGAGGGGGTATTCTCGTTGAGTATCTCATATTCGCCGGCCTTTAGCTTGCTAATGGACTCTTCTTTCATCTTCAATACCTTGTCCAGTCCCCCGGCCAAATCGGAAGGGAAGACGCGAGGACAGGCACCGTTCTCTACATGAACCATCCAGTCAGCGCCGCTGGCGAACTTGGCGTCACAGCCGGGGCAGATGAGATCTTGCAACTGGGGGCCCTAGATAGGTCCACGGGTCAGGTTGGGTCACCAAAGTCGGCTGGGAGAGGCAAGTTGGCTTACATGGGTGTGCACCGGTTGCTTGGCATAGAAGGATGCACCACAGTTAGGGCATGCAGAGTGGCCTTTGGCTTTCTGATGCTGGTCCAAACGCTCCTTGGTCGGGAACTTGCTCCCACACTTGTTGCACTGGTTTGTCAAGGCCGGAGCCACGATATTATCGTGCTTGGAAGCCATGGCTGCCGTAGCTGGCTGGGCTGCTCAGGAAGTAATAGTCAGGAGGAGGCGATGCTGGGCGGGAACGGCGGGAGGATGGCTGTTGAGAAAGACGGCGGAGAGAGAAAGGAAGAGGGGAGAAACAGAGAGACGAGGGGGAGAGGGAAAGGTGTATGGAGACGGATAGGCGAGACGGCGGCGACTTCCTCCTGTCAGCAGCCCAAACAAGGCAACGGCGTGGTGATTCCCTGTTCGGAGGATATATAAAAAGGGGGAAAGAATGAGATATGGAAGTGAAGTCAGGTATCTTCAGGTACCTTCAGGTACTTTACTTTACTGAGGTACCTGTTGATAGTAGTTTGCGTCAGGTAGGGCGATAACTACAGCTACGTGTGTCCTTAGCTGCTTAACCTCTAGAACAATGGACAGACAACACAACCTCCAACCCGGAATGAATACCTGCTAGGTAGGTATACAGTATTAAGAGGTTAGGAGGTAGGTGTAGGTATGCCGCCTCGAGGTACCTCTTAATATAGGTACATAGACACTAGTTCACTGGGCAAGGACTGCTATGTAGGCACCTTTAACCCACAGCATCGTGCGTCAACTGCTTTGAGGCAACTTGGATGGTTTGCTTGTTGTGTTGAGCTCTTGTCTTGATACTTGCCTCAATACCTACAGGTACCTATGTAGGTACCTATCTTCTGGAGGAGTAAATACCGTAGGGGTGCTTGTAGGTAGATGTGTTTACCCACCATCAAAATACAGGTTACCTAGGTAGGTAGGCGTTAATATATGCCAGATCTATAGGAATCTGGCTATCTAGGCACTCTGGTTGAAGCGACGTTGTTGATTTGCCTTACAAGCTTCCATTCCTACCTTATCAAGAGTTGGCTAGGGGAATGTGCTGACGTAATAGAACCATGCTGACATAATAACGAAATCCGATATCGTCATCGTCCCCTCGCCCGCCCTGAAGGGAGACCCTGCAGGTGACTTCGTACTACATCTTGAAACCAAATCCTACCTACCTCTATCATCAAGACAACCTGGCCTCCAGAGCGAGAGCAATCCATCATAGCCAGCAACATCAAAGCCAGCAACTTACTCCGCGATTTTAGTATCAGCCGGCGCTTTACCGATCAACTATTGATAGACTGCAGAATCAATTCCCAGCCTGTCTGTCCCAGCCCAACCGCATCCTGCCCGCTCCGTTTCCCCGTCCGCCATGACCTATAGGTAGATCGACTCGCTACCGCCCTCACCTCGCCTTGCCTAGCACGACGTTATCGCAACCCAGACCACATCGCGACTCCTCCCAAAACACCGTATCGGCCGAGCCGAAAGCCAGCAGAAAGCATGGCCAATCCCCAGTTCAATTCCAAATCGCCTACCATCCGGCGCATATGTACGCTCCTCCCCCCTCCCCTCCCTCGACACGCCTCTATACACGTCCAGCTCCCCATGCCATCCCGTCCACAGCCGACGTCTCTACCTCCCCCCCGTCGCTGACAACGAAGCAGTAAAAGAAGCCGCCGAGATCTCGTCCTCGCCGTCGCCCGACTACACGGCGGCGCCGCTCGAGACGGACCTGTTCGAGTGGCACTTCACGCTGCGCGGGCCGCCGGGGTCCGCGTTCGCGGGCGGGATCTACCACGGGCGGATCGTGCTGCCGCCGACGTACCCGCTGCGGCCGCCGTCGTTCCGCTTCGCGACGCCGAGCGGCCGCTTCGAGGCGAACCGCGAGATCTGCCTCAGCATCTCGGGCCACCACGAGGAGACGTGGCAGCCGGCGTGGGGCGTGCGCACCGCCCTCGTCGCCCTGCGCAGCTTCATGGAGACCGACGCCCGCGGCCAGCTCGGCGGCCTCGACGCCCCCGACGCCGTCCGCCGCCGCCTCGCCGCCGAGAGCCCCGCCTGGCGCTGCCCCGCCTGCGCCCGCTCCAACGCCGAGATCATCGCCGAGTGCGAGGAGCGCTCCCGCCGCGCCGACGCCGACGCCGCCGCCGCTGCCAGGCGCGACGTTCAGGTCCCCGCCGAGCTCCAGATGGGCTTCCGCGACGAGATGGAGAAGGCGAAGAAGAAGAAGAAGGCGGCCGGGGAAGAGGCGGGCGCCGGCGACGGCAACGAGAAAAGGGAAGCAGCGGACGGGGAGGACGACGATGACGACTCCGAGAGCGCCCAGCTCGCCGAGGGCTTCGTGCAGACGGTACCCGAGAGGGATGTCCCGCCGCCGCCGCCAGCGCCCGCCAGCGCCGCGCGGCCCGCGAAGGGCGTCCCGGTGCCGACGGCGGCAGGGGCGGCGGCGGCGACGGGATGGGCCGCCAGCAGGACGGCGCAGAGGACGCAGCCGGCAGACCCGAACGAGGGAGTGCCGGCGTGGGTCGACTACGCCATCGTGTCGCTCGTCGTCGTGCTGATCGCCATGCTCACCAAGATCCTCCTGGCGGGCTGAGAGAGCGGGCGCAGGTTCGCCCTCGGATCTGAATACGATGGCCGGGTTGCTCGACACCCGGGGCCGGTACCTAGATAATATACGCGTGATAAAAACTTTTTTTTTTGTCTTGCTTGCAGAGGGAGGGGACCGGACGGGAAGCATTGGGAATCGGCGTTCTGGTCGGGACACGGTAGATAGGAGAGTGCAGAGGAGAGGGGAGGGGAGGACAGGGGAGACGTTATCTGAGGCAGCATGCAAGAATGCACGGCGGGCCAGTAGTCCCCTCCTCTGCCGACCCCTTCCCCTCCCCCGGCGCGTGCGTCTTAAATGTCAGGCAGGCGAGCGACAGCGAGACCGAGCACTCTTTATTATATTGGTAGGGACTAGAAGTCGTACTGCTGTGGCTAGATTTCGGCGCCCGTCTCCGCGACGTTATGCACGGCCCATTCTCGCGATTGGCATCGACACGGTTTACGTCCGTAGTTGTTGAGGCGCCGAAGACGGTGGGCAAAGGACGTATTTATCTCTAGTCGGTAGGTCAATACCTTTCTATGAATTGGTCAAGCGCTGTGAGGTTATTACCTACTTAAAGCCTCTTTTTTTCTCCTGTTCACTATGCCTACGTGGCACGAGCGCGCGCGGTAGCGCTGATTACTAGGTGCTTATTTATTTACTTTCTACGCCGGGCCAATATACAAAGTGAACTCTCCACCGCAATTCAAGGTTGCCCATCACGCGACCATACGTTACGAAAGCACCATACCGCGGTGCAGCACGTCGGGGGGACGGGGCAATTCGTAAGTATATAATCTCGTCCGGCAAGGCACGAACAGAACTAAACAATACTGAAAGATTTTCCGGATTCCAACCCCTCCTATTCTGTGCCCTCTATCCGCCTCACTCGCAAATCCTAGAACGCGTAGCCGAGGGGGTGGAAGGATATCCTATAATAGCAAGCATCAGCCTTCGACGGCGACGCCCCCCGCCGCCTCCCTCTCCCTCCTCTGGCGGCCCTTCTCCTTCCAGTGCGCCATGGCCTGGCCGGCGACGAGCCACCACCACTCGCCGGCGGCCGCGCTGCGGTCGGAGGCGACGCGCTGGGCGAGGCCGAGGCCGTCGAGCCAGCCGGCCACCAGCTCGGCCTCGAAGGGCTCGACCAGGGGCTTCAGCAGCACGGCGGCGCCGGCCGGCGTCAGCGGGCCCTTGGTCGCCAGCGCCATCGCCGTCATCCCCAGGTACGCCGCCCAGCGGTCCTCGTCTAGCCGGCCGAACAGGTCGACCCAGATCGGCACCTCGCCCCGCGGCCCCCGCCGCGGCACCGCCGCGGCCCGCGCCCGCGCCAGCACCGGCATGTCCGCGTCGGCGACGTAGCTCGCCGTCGGCGCCACCTTCACCTGGAAGTGGTAGTAGCTCTTCGGGAACGTCCTCCCGTCGTAGTTGCCCGGCTCGAAGCCCAGCGGGATGTGCGGCATGTCGACCGGCTCGATGCGCACGCGCCCGTACGCTTGGAGGTTGAGCGCCGCGATGATCATCCCGTCGTTGGCCGCGTACGGCAGCAGGAACTCCTCCCCCCGGCCGAAGGCCTCGTCCAGCGACGCCTTGAACTCGACCGCCTGCGTAAGCTTCTCGAAGTGGGACTGCTTTTCGAGCTGCTTCACGAACACGCCGTGGAGTCTTAACGACTGGCCGAGGATCTTCCCCTTGCTCCTGGCCGCAATTTTCTCCGTCGTCAGCTGATCCACTACCCTTTTCAGCAGCTCGTTCGTCTCGGCTTCATCCCTGCCAGCCAGCTCGAGAAGCTTCGCACGAATCCGCTCCGGCATCTCGGCTCCCGTGATGGGCGTGCAGCAGAGAGACCGGACCCATGATCTTGCGAGGCTTATGCTCGCCTCATCAACGTGCGCGCTGGCCTCCAGAGGTTTCGAGAGAGGTTCGCCGGACACGGCTTCGACTCGGGAGTAGATCGACGCCCCACTAGAGAACCAGATCTCCCGCCAATCAGCGATTTCGTTGACGGGATTTTCGAGAGAATAGTTCTCGTCCAAGGCGCGGCGAGATCCGGGAAGGTCCACATTCTCGTGTGTCTCTAGCTTGCTCGTCCAAATGATCAGAGCCTTCCAGTCATACGAGTCGATGTCGTCGTAATTAAGAGGTGGGATATCGCCCGTCTCGTAGGCCTCGAGAAATGCCGATTGGAATTTCGACGTCAAAGCATCGATGTAGGTCTTTCGCTCCCGGCTGATCCTGGACCAGAATCTTCTTAGAGCCGAAAGAGAAAATTTGGGGAAGATTTGGAGAATCGATCCCAGATCTGCGAGCCTCTCGATACCCCCCAGGAGAGTCTTGAAGACAACATGCGCGGCTATTAGCTCGTCCTCGCTATTGAGGCCAATGTTTCCTTCGTCTGGCTTCGGTCTACTCACACGCCCTCGGTGTTGGATGGGAATTGGTCGGAGTGACCGCATCTTGTACTGAACCTCCGGTTGGGCTCTCCGAAGCCGCTGAGGCCTTGCCACGGCTTTCGCCTTCTCCGCGCTGGTCTTGGATCGCCTCTCGGGCCCCAGCCCAGCACCGTTATCTTGTCTCGGTCTACCCCGGCGGCGAGGTTGGTATAGAAAACCGGCATTTCCATCACCAGAGGGCGCGTCTTTGATCTCATTCGGCATGTTATCGGCAGTATATTGACTTTTACTCGGCCATTCGAGCGTGACAGGTACCGTGCCACCGCCCGAAACCTCAGTCCCGAGGGGGAGAAATATGTAATCGGGCGCAATTGACCCGTGCAACAGAATCTGGGAGCCTTCGGTCGATTGTTCCCATCTCTCGATCGCGTCCACTTCGCGGAGGAACTTGCCGTATGACGGGTCTACCCAGTTATTGGGGTTAAAGTGACCCCTACACGTTTTTACGATTTCCTCGGTGCTCTGTGGTAGATTCTCCCGTTGGAACCATCTGGCATCCGGCATGGCTCCGGCTAGCATGAAACTCATCGAATTCGATTCGAAGAAACTTGTCGGCTGTCGAGGCCAATAGCCCCGATGCGTACTTTGAATGATTTTTCCCTCGGTGAACTTTACGCTGAGCTCATTAGAACGGGCATTTGAAAAGTCGTCCGCATCGCCGTCTTGGTGGGTGTCAATCGGCGTGATGTCGTCTTCCTCTTCTTCAGATCCGACGTCTTCAGGCACAAAAGACGTGGATATCGACGGCTTCACGAATAGGTCCATCGGTACGGACCCCTCCGCGTTTTCAGTGGCGTTAAGCGCTATCCCTTCGTGCTCTTCGTTTTCGCCGTCTTGAGGAGAACCATCCCTGAGGCTCGTTTCGTAAAGCCTCATATGAGCCGGTCTCGACACCTTACTAGGAGCCTGGGTTTGGCGTCCAGGGCGCCGCGGCACCGAAGGCAGTGAATTCTCGCGAGTTTTCTGAAGCGACGATAAGACTACATCGACGCTAGGCCATGGGAAGGACACTTCTTCGGGGGGACTTGACCATGTCCCCCTCTCAAAGTCCTGGAGGAGGGAGGACCTCTGGTCCCAACTGTCCCGTGAGCTTCGTTTCTGGTTCCAAATGTATTGTGCGATATCCCCGGTTTGCCAGTACTCTCTTCGTTTCCGAGTCTTCTCAGCCCTCTGCGACTGGTCAGCTTCAACACGAGCTTTTTTAGTTGGCGCCGCATCTGTGTCCTCGACCTCTTCAATAAGCCGCTTCGAGTTGGGTAAATTCACGGGTACGTCGCTCATGATATGTGCTGGGTAGCGCAGAACCTCAATGTCCCCCGTCGCATTCGATTTCGGCTGTTGTTTACGGGCATCCCCCTCCTGTGAATCATCCCTGTACTTTGATGCGAGAGCATCAAACAATTCGCTCTCGACCTGGGACGGGGAAAATGCTTCCGGTATATAGGGCTCCGGAAACATCTCTCTCATCTTCTCCTTAATAATAACCACTTTGGCGTCAGTAGCCGAGTTTGGTGCACCATTTTCCTCTTGGAGATTTTTGACCAGGACGCAACAATCCTGGAGCTTACCACTGCCGTCGATGAAGAAGAAGTGATTCTGAGTTATCGTCTTTTCTTTCTCCATCCTGTTTACCACGTTCTGCAATACCTTCCAGTCAGGGGGGGGCATGTCGCTGTATTCTTTGATCCAGAAAGACACCACCGCCAAATACAGAGATCGTTTCCCGGGGAATACACCTTCATTTCCATCCAGGAGAAGTTGTATAATCCTAGAAGAACGTTCTCTGCGCGTGGCTCCAAGCGTTCTAGCAGACGGCTTGCGGCTTTTCCCAGAAATAGTCGGTAGGTCCGGTAACGCTGCATCGGTGATCGGTCCATTCTCCGATACCTTTCCTTCAGTCACCGGGTCTATTGGAGGATTTAGTGATGAGGATCCGACATTAGGTTCCCAGCAAAGCCCTCCAATCTGTCTCTGATTATTTGCTTCATGTCTGCCAACAGAATGGCCAGGAAGCGTGTTGTTTAATGTCTCCTTCCCTCGAGCAACTTCTTGTTCGTTCCTTGGCGGTCGTTTAGGTGTCCCTTGCGACGGTCCGTGTAGGGTCTGAGTTTGAGGGGGGTGGGCTGTTGTACTATAAGCGCTATGCGGTGCAACTTGAAGATTCTCTCGTCGTCGTCGATGATCAAGAATAGTATATGCTTCGATATCCTGTAAGATAAGAGAGCCTCTTATAGACCTAGGCTTGGATGGCGTCCCAGTATATTGGGTAGTTGTGCTCAAATTATTTTGGCGAATACGCTTGGAGGGGAGAAGGGGAAGACGCTGTTTGTCGTCCGGAGCACGATGGGGCGTCTTACTTGACAAATCCAACCAGCGACGGGCGGCAGGGGTAGTAAGGCCCCCGCGCTGGTTGTTGTCTGCAGATGATTTCGACGTGGAAATTCCCGGGGGCCTGCTCTCAGGGGGGGCTCTCTTAGGAAGCGGCGTGGTGGGTAGAGAGTGAGGAAGCTGAACGTGATTTGGGTTGCAAGTAGTACGAGATTTGGTGAGGTGATAATCCAAGCCGTTCGGGTTTTTCCAGCTCTTTCCGCACTTGTCACATCGGTAAGGCGCTGTACCAGCACCCCGAACCCTACCTTTTCCTACCAGCTGTTGTCCAGCCTCCGCTGCTGGTGCACTAGCAGAAGATGACGGGTCCTCTGAACCCATATTTTGAGATATGGTCTCTTCTGTAGCTGTGGCAAGGGGGGTTTCGACTTCGCGTGTCTCCCCAGCAGTAGTAGTTTGTCCAACAGGACCCCTTGCAAGGAATGACGCGTTCTTAAGCGACTCTAGCTTAAGCGTAAGAACAAGCGACTTTCTTCGACGCCCTCTCCGCCCAGGCGGATCGAGAAAGTTATTGGGCTCGCGATAGACACCTGGTGGTCTAGGAGGCGGTGGAGGGAGTGCTATTCGTTCTGGAGCATCACTTAGCGGGCGAGGGCTCGTGGTAGATGCAATTTCAGCCGTGTGTTCGTGGGGACGCCCTTCTTGGTCGTTCGTAACCTCCTTTTCCACGTTCACTTCCGTCCCCTCTATTCTAGCCACCTTTTTATCCCGTGGGCACTGGTCCCTGCTCGCGATTCCCCTAGATCCATCGCCAAAGACGCCCTTTCGTTTTCGCCCCCTTACAGTCTCAGGTTTTGGTATATGCAAGTAGCTACTTAGCTGAGCGAGTGATGATGCACTTGCGGGTGCAAACTTCGACTGTAACGGTTGTGAAAATGTTGGCCTGCTGGCCCGGGTACTAGAAGGTCGTTGTGAAGCCTCTCCATCAGTGGCTCCTACAGCAGTGGCCGCCTCCCGGGCCCTATCCCTGCTCTCGGGGATCTCGTCTTTTGCGAAGAAGTGGTAAGTCATTGTCTTCCCCACACGATATAGCTGTGATGTAACATCGAAATGTTCAAGATGGGAAGGTTGAGAATGTGACGAGATTGCTGCGATGAGAGCGACGATGTATTTTCGGTAATTGTACCCCAGTGTGCGGTGGCTAACCGCCAGATTCACGGATCCGTTTGGTCCTGCTCTCTTTATTATCTCGAATACCGTGTTCACAATAGGTTTGTAGGGAGTCCACAATGATTCCGCCGGCTCTTGATCGGGCGATTGGCTTTCTCGCCTTTTTCCCGGTGCTTGGCTCGCCTTGGCTTGGTGTTGCGGGTTAGATGCTTCTTTCCTATGCCTCTCCCGAGACGCTTGTCCTCGTTTCCCCAGCCGCGCTGATGGGAGCTTGACATAGGCCTTCGGTGTACTCCGAAAGACTCTCCATTCCTCGGCTGTCGGTTCCCGAATAAATTTGACACAATCCTTGAAGAGCCTGTTGTTGCCGGCGAATTTTGCGGCTACGAAAGCAACCGCACCGATGCTAGTGAACCACCGCGAAGTCTTTGCCAACGCTCGCATTTGAGGCACACGCTCCTCGACATCCAACTTGACTCGTATATCGCAATACCGGATTATGCCCCACGCCTTAACGACGGCATTGAATGCTTGGGCGATGGCTATGTAGTCGAGTCTCCCCCCGTTCCAGCAGTGACTGAATGGGACAGGAAGGAGATCTCTAGTCAAGGCCGCTTTCGTCAAGTTGACCTCTAACGGATTCAGCCCGTCACGGTTCTCCTTCGCGCTGTCGGCAAATTGAGCTAGCCATAGCATGCTTGATCGACATCCGCGGAGGATTATTGGCTGTTTAATTATGTACCCTTTTTTCGCCAGAGCATCGGTACGCATCGGGAGCGACCGCTTGTCTTGACCGGACAACCGAACCAGGTCGCCCTGGAGAATGCCCTTCTCCTTCACCGATGCAATGTCTACAAGTGCTCGCCACTCGTACAGCGGCACGCGCTTGAGATCCGGACCATGTCCAGCAAGCGTTTTCCATTGTCGCTCCTCGGATACACGGAGACGTGGTCTATGACTTGGAGAGGGAATTCCTGGGGCTCGTGAAGCATTCGAGCGACGCTTGGTTTTCTTGGCCGAGGTGACGCCTTCATTCTGTGATTTTCTAATTTCGCCCGTAGAGCACGAGGGGATCTCTTCTTCCGGAAGGCCCAAGATATCGTCCAAACTGAGATGATTAAATTGCCTGTCGACGCCAACTGATACATCCGGTCGCAAGACGAGCCATCGCCAGACTTTTGAGGCCACGGCAAGGTCACAGCCGCCATCATCACGTAACCCCCTAGATTTCTCATTTGAGTCAGCGATGTTTCCGTCGGCATCGCCTAACTCCCCGGGCCCTTCGCTCTGGAGCTCCGCGACAGGATTACTAGTGTCATCCCGAGGGTCTTTATAAAAGGATTTAATAGCCTCCAATAAAGTGGTGACAGAGCAACCTAGTCGGAAGAGGAAAATAGGTTAGTCGGGTTCGATGCATGAAATACCCTAGGGAGCAACCTGTCGCTACAGGAGCTGATCCTATCTCCTGGTTTTCATCACGCGATTGAGGACGGAAGGCTTACCTCGAACGCCAGAAAATGCGATCTCGGTCAACAGCGACTCAATCAGCTGATCGAGACCTCCCTCCATGTCGCGTGCGCTGGCGATCGAGCATCGGAGACGGCAAGACAAGGGAGGGAAAAGAAGGAGAAAAAAAAGGCTCGGAAATTTAGGCACTAAAAGGATCGAATCGAGGTGCTTCGGGGATCAAAGGCGGGCAATGAGCGGGAGAATGCTGCTGAATGGTTGTGAAAGTGGGGAGGAATAATATCGAGATTGAGTGGCGCGGACAAGGATAGGAAATTCCCTGAGAGGGCAAATCGATAAGAGTGCAACCCACACTTATGCCGCGTCAGCTGCCAACAGCGGGCACGTCATGAATTCACTCTTCATTCCGGTCCGCCACAGAGACTTGACAAGTACCTATGTATGTAGGTACCTAGGAGGTGCACTCGACGGCTTCCCATATTCAACCTGCGAAGGCGTCAGCGACCAGCTACGAAATTTACCGTAGGCACCTAACGTATCTTGCGCCCAGACCTGGTGGCTGTAGGTACATGACGCACTCCTCGACAGTGTCCCGAAAGACCGTATATAATTCCTAGTATCCCTAGTATTCGGGGTATAGGTATATAGGATGCGTGCCTATTTCACGACGAGCGTAAAGAGGGCCGCTTCTCGCCCATCAACTTCCGGTACGAGGCGACGACGTCGTCTCTGACGGTCTGCAGCTCTTCTCTCCGCCTCAAGCTTCCCGCTGCCTTCGGGATTCCATCGATCTCCACCGCCGCCCCCCTAACCGTCATCTTCTTGGACGGTTTAGCGGTGAATTCCGGAGGGGCTTGGACGACGTCATGCAGACCTGGCCTCGTCTCGCCGCGCTTTTTCCTCAACGCCTCCCACGGGTCTTCCTCCGTGTCTACGGCCTCTCCTAGATACCTCCCCTTCTTCCCCTTCTTCTTCTTTTTGCCAACGCCTCTCTGCAGGTCGAGTTTCCAGGTAACACCCAACTCATCCTCCTCGAGTTCCCTCTCCGCCAGGGTTTCAAGTTCGTCCTCTCGCTTCTCCTTGATTCGTCGCTCTTCCTCCCGCCATTCATCGTACAGCTTGCGCATCTTGATCTCCTTCTTCGTCCGCCATACCTTGAGGCCTAGGGGATCCTTCCCGTTTCTGACTGATTTGTTGATTAAGCCACCTATCGGAAGCTCAGCGTCTACTCGAGCGGCGAAATCCGACATCCGTTCTCCAGGCCGGATTGTAGGAGCCTGGGCTGCCGTTTTTGCGCCGGAGCGCGTGTCGGATACGGTGATCTCCTTCTTTTTTCTCTTCCCAGTTGGTTCATCGCCGTTGTCCAGTCCGGATCGTGGCTTCTTGCCCCCCGCAAGAGCCATCAATCTCTTGAACGCCCGAGGGGTGTCGTCTTTTCGCCCACCATCTCGCTTCCTTTTAAGATTCTTGGTTGGCTGATCTGAATTCTTGGCCTCGACCTTTTGCGGCTGCAACTGCGGCTTCACGGGTAGTGGCTTTGCGATTTGGGAGGGTGGTAGGTCGTATCTGACCGCAGTCCAATTAGCTCCTTGCCAGATTCTTTGGGATGTTATTGCGCCTACGTAGAGGGGTCCCTTTCCCTGCGCGTATGCTTGTGAGGCATGTTGCTTTGAGACACGGTAGGACGAAATGACCAGAGCACGGGATGCTATGTTGCACTTTTCTGGTCCTAGAAATTTTGATCTCAAGTTTGGCGATTCCTACTATGCATCTACCAGATTAGCGAGATAAGATAGGGTGCCTGATAAGCGGATATCGGAACCCGTGGTCATTGCGCCTGATCTCCGCCTTTCCCCTTTACATAAGCCGTCAAGACCGCGATGGGTCGCGCTTTAAAAGCCAGTCAATCGATCTCGGGATGAACCCACTCACTCTAACTCGAACGGTCTTCACCATTTTCCCGACCCCCTGTCTCTCATCCGAACCCCATCCCCTAATCCTTAACCTATCAACGTCATTGACCACCTCGTAGCTGTGTTGATGATTTGCTAGTTTGGATTCCTCCGTGAAGGGAATTATTCCACAACTCGTTCTGGTGTTGTTGACTCGATGCTAGCCAGCTCTACGGCATTCCGTATCGCTAGTTGATACCGGCTTCGTGCAAATTGAACAACACCACAGCTCTCCCCGTTCCGACGACACTCGCGATTGTGTTCTCGCAGTGATTAGCGGATCAAGCTAGTTTGCAACTTAGTCTGCCCATCCCACTTCTCCACGTCGATTCCGGACGCTTCTAGCCTGTATCTACTCCGTACGTCGTAGATATAGCCGGCCAAACATGGGGTTTTATTCACGATCCAGTAAAACTTTGCCTTCATTCTGGTCCCCAAACCCTGGTCACGACTACGCCCCAATCAACAAAGATGAAGGTGGCGACGATCCTACAGCAGCAATAGAACCTGCCAGCCGTACGGTGTCTCATACGCTACGAGAGCGACGCCGGTACAATCTTCTTAGGCTTTCTAGTGGCTTGGGCTGGTCCATATTGTAGGTGTTGCCGCCCAGACGTGTGGCCACTAGGAATTGCATGGCTGACACCAGTGCTCAGATTCGTATCCATCCTCACAAACATCTTTACCTTTGTCGGTCTGACACGAGCGTCGCCGGAAGACGACCCGGACGCGATTTTCAGCAATTGGGGGAAACCAGGCACAGGAACAGAAGATTTGGCCTGGTACCCCACAGATTTTCTCCGAGATGTCGTGCCGATACGGTGTCACTCACATAATGACTACTGGCGCAAGGTGCCTCTCTTTTCGGCCCTCCACGTCGGTTGCATCAGCGTCGAAGCGGATGTCTGGCTTTTCGACAAGAAGCCCGAACTCTTCGTTGGGCACGATACGGCCTCCCTAACTCCGAATCGCACCTTCGAGTCGCTTTACGTGAACCCTCTCGTCGAGCTATTGAACGGGAGCAATCCTCAGACAGAATTTTACAACGATACGCGCCGAGGCGTCTTCGATTACGACCCGGAGCAAACAGTCGTCCTCCTAGTCGACTTGAAAACCGACGGGGCTAAGACGTGGCCGCGTGTCCTTAGTCAATTAGAGCCTCTCAGATCTAGGGGTTGGTTGACCTATTTCGAAGATGGGGTTGTCCATCCAGGCCAAGTGACGGTTGTGGGCACGGGGAATACCCCGTTTGATCTCGTAGTGCAAAATTCGACATACCGAGACGCCTTCTTCGATGCACCACTCGGAGACATGTGGGAAGACCCTAGCAGTGCGAACCCGCCGTCCATCAGAGATGGCCCCGCACACGACGACAAAAACTCCTTCTACGCAAGCACGAGTCTGTTTGAAGCTGTCGGGATTGTTTGGGGTAGTTTTAGCGAGAGACAACTCGGCATAATCCGAGGTCAGATCAAGGGCGCTCACCGAAGAGGACTCAAAGCACGATACTGGGACACGCCAAGTTGGCCAATCAGTGTTAGGAATGAGGTATGGCGTACCTTAATAAAGGAGGGCGCGGACATCCTGAACGTGGACGACCTCAAAGCGGCGGCCGAGACGGAGTGGTGACGATTCAATTTCATCCCTTGATACCGTACAAGGTCGGTACATGTGGGCTCTTGTCTGACATTTTAATCCTACCGCCGTCTAGCGATCCCATCGCGGGTTCGATATCGGTATAATGATTATTGCAATATCCACTTCTCTAGACTACTACCTATATAGTATACTACCCGTTATACTAGGCATGTATGGGGGTCGGGCCATCTAGGGATTTCATACCTACACAAAGGGACCCCGCTCGCTTCTGGTCCGTTCCCACGTAATACGGGACAACCCCGCCCCCACCATTTATGACATAGGTAATGTGCTCTCCCTTCACGACAGACAGCACCTTGCCCAGCAGCATATGTGTAAGAAGCCCCTACTGCGAGTAAGCTACCTACGTAAGGTGGTGCTTTTCCACTACTACTTCATCCAGTCCGTTGGTCATAAACGCCAGGATAGAACATGTCCGCGAAAACCGTGTTGGTGACTGGGGCTACCGGTCTCCTCGGCAGGCAGGTCGTGAGAGCCTTCGAGAGAGCCGACTGGAATGTCAAGGGGACGGGCCACTCTCGCGCAGACGGGACGACGATACTCAAGGTTGATCTCGAAAACGAGCCAGAAGTCGTTGCCGCGCTGAACAAGACGAAGTATGTTTGCGCCAACCTCGTGGATCCCCAACTCCCGCTCGGGTTCCGTGAGTTGCGAGGCTGACCATCCCATCCGCCGCCAAGGCCACAGGTCGTGGTCCATTGTCAGTAATCTTCAGCGCATTTTCGGCCGCGAAGCCAGGAGACCTGCTGACACTCCGGCCAGGCGCCGCAAACCGATTCCCGGACAAATGTGACCTGGATCCCGAAGGGTGCCGTGCACTGAACGTCGAGGCTACCCGAAGATTGGCCTCGCTGTGTTCCGCTCGCGACATCTTCCTGATATACATATCCACCGACTACGTCTTCCCGGGCAAGCCCGGCGACGCTCCCTACGAGGCGGACGCGAAGCCGCAACCTACGAACCTGTACGGGCAGACGAAGCTGGATGGAGAGCAAGTCGTCTTGGAAGAATACCAGCGTGCTGGGAAGCAAGGCCTGGGTGTGGTCCTGCGCGTCCCGGTGCTATATGGTGACGCCGAGATGCCGACTGAGAGCGCAGTGAACGTGCTTATGGAGTCTGTCTGGAAGGTGCAGGAACCAGGTACCAAGATTAGCATGGATCACTGGGCCCTCCGATATCCTACCAATGGTATGTTTTCAATTACTCTGCTTCACGGGCGGGCCCCTACGGCAGTTCATCGTTATGGTCAAGAAGCTAACGTATTGTCAGTACGTTGTGTTTTCGTTCTTTTCCCTCATTGGGCCACGATGTGAAATATTAACCTGTAGTAGACCGAAGATGTAGGACGAGTGTGCTGTGGTAAGGTTCTCCTCATATCACGACTTAAAACTGTGCTGGAATTTTGGCGTTACTTACCTATACCTTGCAGATGTTTCTGCTAAATACCTAGGTTCTGATGATCGGTCCAAGTTACCGTCCATTCTACAATTCAGCTCGGAGGATAAGTTCACGAAGTACGAGATCTGCCAGCGGTTCGCAGAGATCATGGGCCTGTCGATCGCGGCCATAGAGCCCAAGACCGAGGGCAACGACCCAGGCGCTTCGGTTCAGAGACCGTACGACTGCCACCTTAGCACGAAAGCCCTAAAAGATCTCGGCATCGATGTATCGACCCAGGACTTCACCGGGTGGTGGCGGTGGAATGTCAGGGCCTTCCGAAAATGAGGGCCCCGGGGCACGGGTCTCGTGGCTACGCGCAGGGCCGGTTATACCTACGGCGTAATTAGCTTTCCCACGGGCCTAGTAGGTATAACTCACGCCCAGCTTTAATCGAACCTGAAAGCGCAGGGGACTCACTCAAACCCGCCGGATGTAACGAGGGGGCCGTCGGAATTTCGAGAATGGGGTGCAGACAATAAATACGGATGGAACTCAGCTACGCAACAAGAGCCCGAGAAGCGAGCTGCGAGCAATACGCGGGCGGAGAGGGGTGGGTACTGCGTGCACAGGCAAAGTAGAGAGTTGGCTGTTATCATGCTAATCAAGCTCAGGTCGAAGATGGCTCGCTCTCCAACATTGCTATGCGTCCCCTTTGGCCTACTCTATTTTCCTCTACTCACGAAATTTGTCCGCCATAGGTATTTGCTTCTAGAGAGGCATGTAGGACCTTAGTTGTGTGCACATACTACCTGACGTCCATAGCATACTACACGCTCACGTAGCTGCACCCTTGTTTTCGTGCACACAGACTTCACGGAGCTTAGATACGACGTCGAGCTCAGAACCCTGCATCTTAGCAGGACACGATATTTTCTTTTCGTCGGGCCCAATACGGGGTACGACGCCATATTTCGCTTATCTGCTTTGCGTTCTCGCGGGCGAAGGTACGCAGGTATTGTGTACATATATAAGTAGGCATACTCATATGCACACCATCTGCGGACTAATATGTGTAAATGATTGTTCGCGACGAGGACAAACTGGTCCCGAATTCAGCACAGGCCAAACCAAGTCAAGCAACAGGCGAAAGGACCGCCTGGGTGTCTCGACAATAGCCTTGTTGTGTCTCTCTGCTAAATTATGTCGGGCTGGACGGTTCTCCAATCGGGTTTAGTAGGTAGGTAGGCAGATAAGGGAGGTATGAAATGTATCCAGGAGGGAGGATGGCGGTTCAGTAGGGGTGGTCACGCTTCCGTCTCGGGATCCATGTCGGTCGGGTTCGCTTTGCTCGCCCCGCAGACCCTTTTACCCCCCCCCCCTTTCCCCGAGGTCTGTCTCATATACCCATCTCCTGACCGGCGCTGTGCTGCTGGCGTCACATGGGAGATTCGGCCTGCCTGTCGCGTGTCAGATGCTGTACTCTTGCTTGCCCCAGGCACCTCAACCTCAAAACCGCTGGAAGGGTCGGCGATGACGTGTGGAAGAATGGGGGGAGGCCAGGGAGATAAAGCGGGCCATGAGCGCCGGAGGTTGGATGGGACGATCTACGCGTGTTATGATACACATATCTATATACATATCTGTGAGGAGGAAATTTGCGGCCTCTGATAGGGTACCAGATAATCCGTGTCGGAGTGGCAATCCGCTGAGGATCGGCACGGGCCAAATTGGCCACGGCAAGTTTGGGAAGGAATGTGACGGAAGTTGGGAAGCTCTTGCCGCTATGCTGGGTTCTTAGGGAGAGGTACCTCCTACAGTCACCTGTATTCACCTGTATCGTATGTACCTGCCTATGTACCTAAGGTACCTACAGGTGCCCACTGTGATGTCAGGTACACTATGCCGCATGCGCAATACGTCAATGCGTGGCAAGGCTCCAATCTTACGTACCTGGGTCTACTTCAGAGGTGCCTACCAGATGTCAGATGTACCCAAGGTAAGTACTAAAGCCCCAATGAGTGCGCCTAACGCGATGCTACTAATAGGCTCTACATATACCTACTAATAGGCTGTACTGACGGGTGGGCTCGACTTCGGCGCCGGCAGCCGTTGAGTTCATTACGCGTTCCATCCATCCAATCCTCCTCCATCCAAACATTCGGAGCTACGTGCCTCTCCATGCCTCCATTCGTCATGCCCGTCATGTCATGCCCGTCACGCCCCGTCCCGCTCATCATCCTGCTAAATCCGCCACAGCGTAGTTGTATCCGCCGTGTCCGCAGCCATGGCTGCCATCACTATACCTACCGTTACCGCGCCCGACACCACCAGCGAAATTGCCCTGGTCTGACCGGGAAATGAGCCGACCCGGGTTTGGCTGGGTGCCGGGCGGTCAACCACTCGATATGGGTCGGTGACCTCTACCTTTGTTTCCTCCGCCCTCCTGCTCTTCGTGCCAGGCGCATCGCCCAGACATTTAGACAATTCACTTAACCCTCGCGATTCCGCTTTGGGTCGGCCTCGCACTCCACATCGCTCAGGAGGGAATATGGGGAGGACCCGGTATATGTCGATCCCCATGCGTCTGGTGTCCCCCATTGGCCTCTCAGCTGGTTCCTTGTACTCCTGTTTAATATGTGTGCATGTGTGTACATATGCGCCTGATCCTCTCGGCAATCTACCAAATTCGACCCGGCCCTCTTTTTCTTTATTGACCACTGGATCCTGCGCATAACAGGATTTACCTTGCCGCTGACAACCCCCCGTCCATCCCATCAACGGGTAGTAATCGTGACGGTGGTAATCGTGATGGTGATGGCGATGGTGATGATGATTGTGGTAGTGATACCGGACGGCACGACGAAGGGCATGGTTATTTAATTTAATATTATTTCAATCTTTTTTTCTTCAGGTGTCATTTTCCCTCCCACAGCGACTCGGCGGCGGAAGACGACACCGTCACGTTCGTACCCGAATTCTCCTAGCGACACTGGCGTTCAGGACCAAAATCTAGCGCCGACCCGTGCTATTACTACGCATAACCGGCCGGTTCCTAAAGTACTGTGGTCGTTGCTTTACCGCCTTTGTCGCAAAGTCGTTCTGACTGACCCGCGGGCCTACGAGGGGACTAGCTGTCATCTCCATTCGTGAGCGCCGACTTGCCGTTGCGCTCGATCTGAGGTCGCGGTCGAGATCCGATATCAATTATTGTCCATATCGATCCGTGGCTATCGCGGGAGCCGCTGGTGTTGTTGTTCATGCGCCCCTTGCAGACCCTGTCGAACATCATCATTATCTGTCCTGCAGACCAGTGGCACGGCCCAACCCTGCTCGTGCCCTGTGTTTCTTGAAGTGGTTTAGTGACACAGACCACCCCTGGCGACGTCGACAGGGCCCGAGACGGTCATCGTGCCGGCCACCCCGTTGCTGCCAAACTTCCTCTCGCGTACCACTTTTCCCTTCCAGCGCAAAGACAGCTCGAGACCACAGAGCCCGAGAGAGGACAGCCTTCCCACGCCCGCAAACATGGAGAATGGAGCGGCGTCGCAGCGCGGTCATCGCCAGAGCGGCGAGCACCAGAACCAGCAGCTAAGCGCTGCACCAGGGAATGCTACTTCTATCGCTCGATCCATGTCTCGCTACCGGAGGCGGGCGCATAGCGTTACTGTCAACGACAATGCAACCCCAAAAATTAATCCCGATCCACTATCCCCATGGGAACCTCCGAGAGTCCCCCCTGTGCCAGCTGTACCACGCCAGTCGAGAGCAGCCAGCTTATCACAAAAGCAGAATGGCGCCCCGGCCAAATCCTTACTCGACTCTCCTCCGCAGCATCAGCTGCGCCATACTGACACGGTGCGCCTACACACATTGCGACGAACCATGACGGATCACCAGAGTCGTCCCGGCACCGCGAAAACCGGGAAAAACGAGGAGAGCCCATGGCGGAAACTGGCGAGTCGGGACGGGCGACAGAAGAGACTAGATGGCGAGGGAGACGACGAGGCTGCCAGGCGCGAAGCCGCCCGCCTGGAAGCCGAAAGCTACCGACTACTAGCTGAGCAGAAGAGGAAGGATTTGGAAAGGCTCGAGCTCGAGCTGGTCAACAGCAAAAAAGCCGCAATCCAGTCGCCGGTGCACAAACCGAGGAGTCCCGTGGTCGAAAAGTTTGTTCTTCTAACCAAGGGCCGGAAGAATAAAGACGGGATGTCCCCTAAGCTACCCCCCGGACTCTCACCCACGGTTACAGTCGAGAACATCGAGTCGGCAAAAAAGCGCCCGATCGGTATAGAGTCCGGTGGTAGAGGTGCAGTGCCTCAAACGGATGCGCCGATATCTGCGATCAACGCAGGAGACCGGGTGAGTACGAGGCGGCTCCATGCTCTGGTAAGGATGGGATGGGATGGTGACAGCGTGCTAACTTGATCTTTCAGAATGTCGCGGTCCGCTTCCGGCAACATACACTCAACCTAGAGGTCACACCCGACACGACATCGGACGACCTGATAATCCTAGCCTCGGCGGAGATGTCTCATAACGGCATTAGCCCGGAACACTACGTTATCGTGGAAACTTATGCCGCGTTAGGCCTGGAACGCCGCCTACGACGTTACGAACGCATCCGAGACGTTATGAATTCGTGGGACCGGGACACGCAGAATCAGTTGACTATAACGACGTCTAATTCCGAGGAGGAGAAGTGGGAGCTCGATATTAGCTCGGTCCCGGGTAAGAATGAGCCGCCTCAGGGTTTTCAACTGAGCATGTATCACTCAAATCGCCCCGGGAAGTGGAACAAGAGATGGATCACCCTCCTCGAAAACGGGCAGATACTTTCCGCGAAAAAGCCGAATGGGAGCTCAATTGATAAAGATAGGGTGAGCTTGTGCCGCATGTCAGACTACGACGTCTACACACCTACGGAATCCCAATTGCGGAGACATATCAAGCCTCCGAAGCGATATTGCTTCGCGGTAAAGAGCCAGCAGAAGACTACGGTATTTATGAACACGGACAATTACGTCCAGTACTTCTCGACTGACGATCCCGGGATCGCGGCTCAATTTAGGGGAGCAGTGCAGGGGTGGCGCGGCTGGTACCTTGTAGATCGCCGACCGGAAGCGCTGAAAGCTTTGAAGGTCTCGACCCGTGATCATGCGGACGACAACCCGCCTCAGATCACGTCTCCAACTAGCCACGCACCAAAGAAGTCGACGAATGTCGCTTCGATGAACGGTCACCATCTCCAGGTGTCGGTCGACGAGACACCATATGCACTAGGCCAGTTCGAGCCGCTTCTCGACATGAGGCGCTTCGATAAGCGTCTATCTCAGTTCGGCCAGGACTTCTTGCCATCGGTACCGGACGTGTCGACGATGCCGAAGCAATTTCCAGCGCACCTGGTTTCCGATGCGAATAACGGCTACAGCAGCCAGAGGCTAATAGATACCGTCAAGTCGACTAGCAACGACGGCTTCACTGGAAGCGGCCTATTAGGTCAAGGATACCGAGACCGCAAGCAATCTATAACGGAAGGGGATAGATCTCTAGGCAGAGGAGGGAGAAGTTCTAAGGATGCCGGGTTCACCGACGGACCCTCGCTCTTGAACGGAATGCCCGAGCCGGAAACGCCAGCCTACAAACCCGAGTCCCCCTCGTGGTTCCCATCGGCTCTCGAGCATTCTGCAAGACAACGCACTTTCGATACGTCGTCCTTATCGGGGAGGCCGAGCACCTCGGCCGGCGTGATGCACACAAACCACACGCGGAGACCGTCATTCTCCTCGTCTTCCCGACCTCCGCTACCCTCTCTCGGCCGCAGGCCGTCGGCGCACGAGCGCTCGTACCCCCCCTCGTCGCCGTCGGCCGGGCTCTCGCACCAGAACCGCCGCGAGCGGCCGCGGCCCCTGGTCAATCTGGAGTCCACCTTCCAGGAGGCGCCGCAATGGTCGAAGGAGAAATTCGGCCACGGCGTGAGGGCGCCCGAGGGCACCCACCACCTCGTCGACCTCATCAGCGAATCCACTCCCGTCAAGCCTGCCCGCGTCGACCCGGAGCTCCCGCCGCGGAGCGCGCTGCGCCGCGTCCCGAACTCGGCGCCCCTGCCGAGCCTCTCCAGGACGCGGAGCAAAACCGCCGGGGCCCCGCCCCCCGCTAGGCTGTCGGAGGACACGCCCCCCGTCCCGACCCTGCCCGCGGGGCGTCTCTCCGGCGACGTATGGAAGTCGTCGCACCCCCCGCAGCCGCGCGGCAGGGACCGAGAAAGAGAAACGGATAGAGAAGGGAGGGGGCGGGAGCACAGAGAGAGAGAGGGCAGCTACAATTCGGTGCCCGGCAGGGTGGGCACGCTCCGGGTGGTATAACAACACCGATATCCGACTGTCTTATCATCAACGGCCGACCGACCTATTATTCCTTTCACGTCGCAGCAAGACGCACCACAGGGTTACCAAGTACGTTTTTTTTGTAATCACACCAAGCCAATTTTTCTCGACGAAAAACGGCACGGGCGGCGGAGTCCCGGGGAGGGGGAGGGGGCCAGGGGCCAGGGGCCAGCATAGCGGGAGATTCGAGTATTTAACGTTAACCGGCATGTTTTCTTGTTTTATGTACCTGTACCTGTAGTTTCGGATGAGGGAAGTGAGTCGAGTAAGCTAGGAAATATCCACGTTGGTATCGATTTGCATGGTTTCGCCCCGCGACCGAGACGCGGGGAAGGGGAAGGGGGGAGGATCGATCTCGTCGAAGGCCATCGGCACGTGGTGGAAAACTCTTGAAACCGCCGGCGTGGCGATGCGTGGTATCTGCCGCTATGTAGCAATGACAATGATCTGCGAGGCCGCCGAGCTCGTCCCAGACAGTCCTGTCCTCTCGCTCCTCCCTATGGCACGTACAACCATCTCCCACCCTCTAGCCGACCAGCGCCCGCCTACCACGTGCTCCCAGACCTCTCTCTGTCTTGCTCCTCGCGTATGCGAAACCCAGGTATGTGGGCGGGCTGCGAGTACCTAGAAGGAGGGGGCCGTCGGTCGAGTCTGCGAACTCGCGCGGCTACGGCTACGGCCGGGCGGCCCGAAGTAGGGAGGGGACTGGGTTCGTACCTAGGGGCTCGCCGCGGCGAACACCGCCCTCTCTCTCTCTCTCTCTCGCTCCGGAGCGGGACGAGTGCCAGCACAGGCTTCCGCGTCTGCTGCCCTTCCCCGCCCCGTCCCCCTCGCTCGTCGGGAGCCCTGCTGCTGCTGCTCCGAGGCCGGGTAGGACCTACATGTCTATACCGCGCACGGTGCGACAGCGCGCGCGCCTACTGTACGCGTGTACCCACGTAGATACGTAGGGAGCGTCTGAGCGCTAGGGACCGGCGTCGAAACGTCGCCGACGCGTGTAGCAGGCGGCTGGGCTGCCGGCCCGGGGAGCGAGGGACCTAGGGGGTCGAAGACGGGGAGGGGAAAGAGGGGGGGAAGCGAGGGAGGTGGGTACGCAGGGTGTCTCAGGCGCCACGTGTCTGCCAGCGTGCTTGCTTACTCGGGGGGGGGGGTATCTACTTGCTCTTCGAAGCGGGGGAGGGAGCTGAAGAAGACAAAAGCAAAAAAGGGAGGGAGGGCGGAGACGATCGCGGCCAATCGAGGTAGAGACCTCTCCGACTGTCCGCATATCTACTACGCCAAGGGGCCGGGGCGAGCGTTGCGTTGGGCGGCTGCGGTGCTGTGGGCTTGGGCCTCACTGGGCCTGGCTCCGGATGACGGCCGGGCAGCGGGTGCCTGGCACTGTCTCTCCCCTTACGCACCGCCTGTTCTTGTTGTTGTCGCCTCGTTCTAGGTGGCCTGTTTTACCCCCCCTGACTGTCTGCCTGTCTGCGCTCCTCACGCCTTCACCTATACGCGTTACCGTAGCACGGCAGCGGCCGCTGCGGTACTCGGTGAGGTACGGTAGGTAGGTAGGTTAGGTACCCCGTGAGACGGCTTCCATGAGCACCTACCTCCTCCTGAGACAGGCCGTCGTTATCCCGATGCCCTACCCAGGTACCTCTTCACCCCCCTGGACCGCTGCTTACTCGGCCGAGCTGCTGCTGCCGCCGTGGCGATATATACATAAGTAAGTACAGTTCCCATTGGCCAGGTCAGAAATGAAAAAGGAGGGACGAGGAGGAGGAGGCGTACGGGATGGCACCGATAAGCGCGTACGCGTGACCGGCTGCCCATCTATCGTACATAAGCAGGTACGGGCGGCACATGCATGGAGGAGGCTCTTGGGCGATCGTCGGGATGCTGGGACGGCCGATTGGTCCGCATGCACGGGCGATGCGGGGGCAAGGATCTGTAGGTAAGAGATGAGATGTTAGGTGGGACTGCGGACCGCGTGCTTGGGATCGCCGATGAGGTGGTAGCAGTGTTCGCGCGAGGCGTGCCTACTAGAGGAGCGGGTTGGAGTATGTATGGCCATGCATTGAAGGAGACACGGCTTAGGTAATGTGGCCGTCGGGTATAAATCGTCCTGTCTCGTCACCGTCATGGGGATGGCCCGAGTCTTATGGTTTTCCCATCCCTCTACCCCATCATCTCCGCCCCCAACACGACGACACTGCCGACTAGTGCACCCGCGCTTCCACCTCGACCACTCGCCATGGTGAGACCTTGATCTCACCTACTCAGTCGGGGGAAACCTTCTACCAGGCTGGATACGGCGTCTGTCGCCTCTGGACTCGGGGTCCCATCCGTGGGGGAGTGTCCCACCAGGTCTGGTGCGGCAGGATCCCAAACCGGGACCCGCGGGCGTGGGAATGTTCCTTACTGCTCTTCGGTCCGGAGCGGCGGTTGGTTGCGACGCATCTTTCTCCGGCTCGGCTCCGAGTTCGGGTCTGGGATGGCCGCTGCCACCTTACCATTTGGCTTTAGGACTCGGAGCTTCCCAGGCATCGTCCGGACGTGCCTGGTGACCTTCTCCAGAGCCGCATCCCGGGCCGAAGACGGACGCGACTTGGGCCCCGACGTTACATCTACACCTCCCTACTCCCTCCTATCTGCTCGGGCAGCGATCTAGCGTACACCTCTGTCCCAAGAAGCCTACTTTTCTATTCTGGGATCGGTACGGTTGACTCCTGTCTCTCTGAAATCACAGGGCCTATTGCAATTACGTGACTCCAAATTGACGGTTTGGCTGTACTTCTACTGCGTGCTGAGCTTTAGCTGTAAAATCGAGGGAAAATCATGAGGCATCCGACATGTGCCTGCTGGCGCACTAGCTTACTTGTCTGCCTGCCCGCTTCCGCCTTTCTGACCCCACATTCTTCCGTCCTCTTTACTTGCTTCTCTTGTAGATCTTCTGCAGGAAAGCCTCGAAGATGCTCTTTTTCAGCCCCGCGCTCTCGTCTATTTGGGAGATCAGTTGTCGGATCTCGCCGACGGTCTTCTCCTCGTAGTCCTGGTAGAGTTTCTCGAGCTTCAACTCGTCGTAGAGCTTCTTGACCTCGGCCTCGTGAGCCGCGTCCTTCCTGCCGTAGTGGTCCTCGAGCACCTTGCGCTGCGCCGGCGTGGCCAGCCGCAGAGCCTGGTTGACGAGCCACGAGCACTTGTTGTCCTGGATATCGGTACCGACCTTGCCGATGTGCTCGGGCAGGCCGAAGTTGTCCAGGTAGTCGTCCTGGATCTGGAAGTACTCGCCCATCGGGATGAGGATCTCCCGCGCCGACTTCAAGTTCTCCGGCGTCGCGATGTTGAGCAGGTGCAGGGCGAGGGCGACGGGGAGGTAGAAGCTGTAGTACGCGGTCTTGTAGATGACGATGAAGCTATACTTTTCCAGGCTGAAGCTGTTGAGGTTGACCCTGTCCTCGGGCGCGGTGAGGAGGTCGCACAGCTGGCCGAGTTCCGTCTGCATCGTGATGTCGTGGAACAGCTCGACCATGTCGATGTAGGCGGGGTGGCTCCGGAAGTGCTTCTTCAGCAGCACGTAAATGGAAGACTCGAGCATGAAGGAGTCGTTGATGGCAACCAAGCCCACGCCCTCCTGGCGGTACCAGCACGGCTTCCCGCGGCGGGTGATGCTGCTGTCCATCATGTCGTCGGAGACGAGGAAGAAGGCCTGGAGCAGCTCGATCAGCCAGCCTAGCGTGGCAGCCTGGAAGTACTCCTCCTCGGACAAGGCCTTGCCGAGGAGGAGAGAGACGGAGTCGGGGACGGACATGCCGCGATTGCATTTTCCACCGAGCGTGTTAGTCTCCAGCGACTAGATCCCGGTTAGCAGACAGCGTCGGGGAAACGCACGCGAAGCCAGCGTCAACAGCGGACACGAGAGAGGGGGGAGGGGAGAAGGATTCCGGCGGGCCTGGACCTCGGGGCCCTCCAGGAAGGGAACAATGGTATACCTTCTTGAACCAGTCCAGCTGCTCCTGGGGAAGGTTGTACTCCTTCACCCAGGCTATGAGGTCCCCCTCGAGCCGGGGAAAGACGGACTCGAACTCGGCGAGGGTCGTCGGCTTGGCCATCCTGTCGCGTCCAATGTTTTTGCGCGGGTGGGAGAGGTGAAGATAGAGGTAGAGGTAGGAGGTAGAGGTAGAGAGCGATGGAGGACAAGAAGGGTGGTGGTTGGCGTTGAGGGACTCTGTCCTCTTTGATGGGGTAGACAGGCTGCTGGGAATGGTGCGTGGAGGCGGGAAATAGCGCGACGGGGTGGTGCCCACCTTGCCATGCCCAGACGCCGATATTTGACGGACAGGCCTAGGAGCTCTCCGGCCGAGGACTTGCTACCGCCTGCTAGAGGAGGTATGTAGGTACCGCGATGCACTGCTATAGGTACTTGCCTACGGGTACCTAAGCTAGTACCGTGCCGTGCTAGGGAGATGAACAGTACCACCCGCCTCCTGCAACCTCCCCGTCGTGCTTCTCGCCATGCATGCATGTATCCCTCTGATGTCTTACGTAGTACACCCCGATGTCTGACCCCTTTTCGCGTGAGATACAATTTCCCGGTCCTGTTTCTCTGTTCTGTTTCTCTCTCGTCGCCTCTTCTCCCCTTGGCCTGTTCCACCCGGGTCTGCCGACAGGACAGCGCAGGCAAGGGGGAGAGCGAGGGGGGCTGCCGACACAGCTATGCCTTAACTACATGTCACCCGGTTGAAGAACGAGACCCTAAAGAAACTGTCTCGTTTTCCCTTAGGATTTGCCCGTGGCATGCTCGTGTAGCAACGGATATATGCATAGTGGTGTGCATCCCGACAACCCGTTGTGGAGAGGGGGCTTCGGCTCTTTTTTTTTTCTTTTCTTTTTTTTTCGTTTTTAGACTTGTGCCCTGTTTCCCGGTTGAGGGAAGCGGTGTAACGGAAATTAAGGAATCTGACAAGACTTCGGCGTCTATAGAATGAATGTGTACCGCACGTGCGGTGTGTACCTTACCTATTAGTAGTATTGGTGGTTGTGGTGGTGTACATGTGGGAGGGAGGCCCTCACAGAGGGTACCGAGGGTACCTAGAGGTCGGTACAAACCCTACCTACCTAGGTAGGTAGGTACCTACCTGGTAGGTAGCCTAGGCCGGGAACAGGAACCGATTCCTCCTGTTCTTATCGCTATCGGGGGCCGCGGTGCTTGTCTGGAAGTTGTACCGACCCGTGCCTCGACTATCGATAAGGTCAGGTCAATATTGACGTCCGAGGGGCAAGCCGGAGAAACACCGTGCTGTTGATAGCGAGAAGGGACGGTCGTCCTTAGGACCGTGTAATTGCATTTTTCCCGCCGTCTTCTTGTTCTTCTTCTTCTTCTTCTTCTTCGTCTGCGTCTGCTTCTGTTTCTGTTTCTGCTTCTGGCTTCTGTATCTCTACATACCTACATACAGGCAGGGAGGCATCTCCTGGTTGTGTGGCTGTAGGTATCCCTCCGTCGCAGCAGCCCGAGACTAGCACCACCCATACACGTCGATAGTGGTCGCGCCGTACTGCACGTTGCGCATCCCACCCACGCTTTCAAGAGCATCCGACAGTGGCTACATAGCAAGCAGCCGCCTCAGATCGCATCCGATGCCTATATAGCAGCACGTAGCGCCATGTCTCTAAATGACAGGGAGAAATCCCAGCTTCGAGGCGCCTTACAGGAAGCTGTCATCAAATGCTCCGAGAGGTGCCTCTATCAATCCTCAAAATGGTATCGCCCCCCCCTCCCCCCCCCCTCGGTGCCGGTTCTGCGACGGGTGCTTACCCGGCGTGTCCTCTAGGGCAGCTGAGCTCCTCAACGCCATTCCCGAACCCGAACCATCGCTCGATGACTCGCAGCTGTCGGACGCGTCTGCCGGATATGCCTCGACCATCATCGCCCCCAATACCGATCCCGAAGAGGCAGCGCTCGAGATGAGAGAGATCAACAAGTACCTGCTGGCCAAGTCCTTCTTCGATTGCCGAGAATACGACCGCTGCGCTGCCGTCTTCCTCCCCGACTCTACCTTGGCTGGCGTCGTAACCCTGAGGGAGCCCAGCAACACCACCCCCAAGGGCAAAGGAAAGGCGAGAGCTTCGGTCGGCGACGTGAAAGCTTCGGATAGCGCCCAAGCCCTGCCGCAGCTGAGCCAACGAAGCCTGTTCCTAGCTCTGTACGCCAAATATCTGTCGGGGGAGAAGCGTAAGGATGAGGATGCCGAGATGATCATGGGCCCGATGGACATCGGCACGTGCGTCAACAAGCAGCTGCTGACGGTCAGCCGCGTCCTGGAGGCCTGGTTCGAGCAGCGGAGGACTGAGGACGGCGAGGAGGCTGAGGGCAGCCAGGGATGGCTCGAGTATCTGTAAGGGGGTGCTGCCGCTTCTGTCTGCGGCCGCTGCGATGCTGACGTTCCGCGATAGTTACGGCATCGTTCTCTCCAGAGAAAAGAACGAGGAGCTGGCCTTGTACTGGCTCGTCCGCAGCGTCCATCTATTCCCCATGAATTGGGGCTGCTGGTTGGAAATGACTTCGCTCATTTCCCGGGTCGAGGACGTACGTTGGCCTACGCAACGCCCCCATTCGCCATGGCTGCTGACCGCATCTAGCTAAATCGAATCATGCCTCGTCTGCCGCAGAACATCGTCTCCTTCATGTTCCACATACACACCTCGCTCGAGTTGTACCAACACGACGCCAACCTCGCCAACTCGCTCGACCAGCTACTCAACATTTTCCCTACCTCGTCCTTCTTGCTCACGTGTGACGCGTTGCTGTCCTATCATGCGAAGGACCTGGTAGCCGCCGAGCAGCACTTCAGCCGCATCCTCTCGCTGCACCCCCACCGCCTCGATTCCCTGGACCATTACTCTAACATACTCTACGTCATGAACTCGCGGCCAAAGCTTGCCTTCTTAGCCCACCTGTGTAGCAGCGTCGACAAGTTCCGGCCCGAGTCGTGCGTGGTGATCGGGAACTACTACTCACTGCTATCCCTGCACGAGAAGGCGGTGCAATACTTTAGGCGGGCCCTGATGTTGGACCGGTCCTGCTTATCCGCATGGACGCTGATGGGACACGAGTACGTCGAACTCAAGAACACGCACGCCGCCATCGAATCCTATCGCCGGGCCGTAGATGTGAACCGGAGGGACTACCGCGCATGGTACGGGTTAGGTCAGACGTATGAGGTGTTGGAGATGCACGCGTATGCACTGTGGTATTACAAAAAAGCCGCCGGCCTCCGGCCGTGGGATGGGAAGATGTGGATGGCGGTCGGTTCGTGCCTCGAACGTATGAACCGGAACCAGGACGGGATCAAGGCCCTCAAGAGGGCTTTGCTCGCCGAGAGCTATTACGATACGGGCAGCAGCTTCGGGATATCGGGCAGCATCCAAGGCACGCATATGGACCCGGAGATCCTGCTACAGATCGCGACCATGTACGATAACATAGGCGAGGAAGAGGATGCCAAGGCCTACATGGAGATGTGCGTGGCCCAGGAAGACGGCGGGGCGGGCGAAAGCCAGGGCGAAAGCATCGCCATCCACAACGACTCGGGAGAGGGGTCGGACGACGGCGACGGCGACGGCGGAGGACGCGCGGCGACCAACGACGGCACGGGGGTCACCGCGGCGACTAGTAAGGCGCGGATGTGGCTCGCGCGCTACGCGATGCGCACCGAAGACTACGCCACGGCGAACCGCTTGGCCGGCGAGCTGTGCCAGGACGGCGTCGAGGTAGAGGAGGCCAAGGCTCTCATACGAGAGGTTAGGTCGCGGATGGAAGCTAGCGGGATGAACGATCCTCCCACAGGACGCGATGCCGTATGAATAGCAATACGACGGGGAATTTACGAGGTCTCGTAATAGTAGAGCTCGTGGTGCTTAATACGTCTCGAACGTCGAGGATATAACTAACGGCTTATGATCATCTGGAAAAAAGTATAATGGGGGAGGAGAGAGACGAAGCATGAGGGGGGGGGGGGGGGGGTAAGGGGTCCCCGCCGTCTCCCCGACGAGTATATCTGGTGATGGTGCGTCCCTTACTGGACTTACGGGCGAGGCGTCCACGAGCAACGTTTCTGGGAGGGAGTTCATAGCTAGCCTCTTAGAGTCCGGGTAGGGTCGAGATGACGTCTTGCCGTTCTCCACGGTTCCAAATCAAGAAAAGATCCTCGAACAACTCAGAGAGAAAAAAAAGAAACGAACAGCTCCGGCAGTAACGTAGTATGTTACAATAACGGCAGCGCTACTCTGACGGAGGGGCAGAGAGGGGAAGGGGGGACGAGAGAAGGAAGCTTACGCTGCGCACGCTGTGTAAGCACAACCCATCCTCTTAGATGGAGTTTTCCGTCCTACCCCTTTTTGGCCACGATGTTGGACCCAAGGCGCACCGGCGGCGCGTAACGTGCCGTGCGCATGTAGGCATGTTCTGAGTCCTCGTGTCGGCTCCTCGATCTAGGGATTGGTAGCTGCACATGCTTCCTCGGCCCGGCCTGCCATATTGGTAAGATCCTGGGGGAGAGCTAGGCGACCGCCAGCGGTTCTCGGACTCCACGCGCGGATCGGATCGGTCGAGGTCTGTAGACGTCGACGCCAGTTGGGTGACGATCCCTCGAACCCTCCCCCCACTCCTGGTCTTATGGCTTACCCGGGTCTCACGTGCGAGTGGTCCGTCATACCTACGTACATCGAGGCCGACGGCGATGGTGTCGCTGTGGGTTAATACCACCAACCGGACGCTGCTGCTACGACGGTGGTAACGTGAAGATCACGATCGCGAATCCGTTACGAGATCCCCTTTTTGTTCTCATTTTTCTTCTTTCCTCTTTGTGGCAGCTTCTAGTGTCTCTGAAAGTAGCATCCCGTGCTAGACGCCATCATACCGGGGTTGCAGCCGTAACCCATGGAGGAACGCTCGTGCGACGATAACCTAACGACTTACACATGTTCCTAGGCAGGATGTGCGCGCGTAAAGGGAAATGGGGATTTAGTGCCGATCAGGCCAACCCGTCAGCAGTAAGCCGCGGGAGTCATCAGAGTTCTCGCCGTAGAGAGATTCCTCTTCCTCCTTCGGCCCGGTGTCCAATCGCTGACTTTTACCCTGGCCCGAGTCCGGGGGATGCTCTAACGCTCTTTTCTCCTCCTCGACGTCTCCAGCTTCGCTCAAGCGCGAGAGGGAAGAGAAAAGAGGAGAGGGATTGTAAGCTCCCCCCTCTACCTCCCCCGGCTGGAATCTCACTCGAGGAACGCCCAACCACATCAACAAAGTTTTTATTCTCCCCTCTTTCCCTTAAGTGAAGTAGTGCGGGAATAAGTGAGCGAGTGAGAAGAGCGGTGATAGCGATGACGCCGTGGGATCTTCTGCCCCGCGTCGTCGTCTCGCCTGGTGCTTCCGTCCCCCCGGTCCTGCTCCCCTTCGCAAGCTACCCTACCCTGACACGACGACGGCCAAGTCGCCCCCGGTGGCATCGCAGCCAGCTTAGCCTTCACGATATTCCCAGTCGCCAAGCGACTGGTCTAGCACCCATGCAAGCTGGGCCGACGGCGCCGTGCGTCTGCCCAGCGGCAGGGCGGCAACGCAAATACGAGCTGGACGACGCCTTGGCGGCCACGCGCCGCCGAATCATCGTCGTACGCCTGTCGCGCGAACTGCCGTCGCATGCCTAATCCGTCACGTCCTCCATCCCCATCCAGCCCGGCCCCTCTGATAGGCATGGCGACGTGTAGGTAGGTAGGCACAGAGAGACGATGCACGTTTGTGGCGTGGCCCGGTACACAGCATCGTGCTGCATACCGACCTTGCATCCGTGACAGATGCGCAGATACACGCATAACGGTGACCGGAATATGGAGGGTACATGCCTCTTACCGGTACCGGCGGTGGTGCGCAAAGGAGCCGGGGGGTTGGTAGACCAACCAACCAACCGCCGGCGCTCCAAGAGGGAGGAAAAGGTAGAGACAGACAAGACAGACACACACACACGCACACACACAGAGAGAGAGAGAGGGAGAGAGAGACAGGGAGAGGGAGAGGGAGGAAAAAAAGAAGCGGGGGTTTCTTTTAAGAGGGGAGGAACTGGGGAGTCGGCACGGGTAGGGGAGTCTGTCTATGTGCCTGGTTGTCAAGTTGTCGGGGAGAGGAGATAGAGGCAGATTGACGAAGACGTAAACGCCACAGATCTTGACGCAGAATACCTTTTTGCGCACATCCACGCATACACGAGTAATGTCATGTATTCAACTATGTCCCCTTGCACTCGCACACGGATACCGATGCCTCCAGTGCCTTATCCGTCCAGTGTCTGCGAGTAGGGAGTTCCGTTATCCACAGACTTACTACGCGAAGATAAAAAATAAAAAAAAGAAATCGGCGGATTTTGTATTCTCTGTAAGAAACACACTTATAGAAACTTGGCGTACGTAGCCAATGCTACCTCTCGTCCCTATTGATAGGACGAACCTATGCAGCCCGGTATACACCTCGCCCAACTAACCAAACCAATATGCGTATGTAGCTAGGCAAGTATTAAGTCGGAGACAAGACGTTTCTTCTGCGGCTTGCTGATGCAGATTACCCGCACGCTTCGCCCTATCTCGACTCCTCGAGGTGTCTGCCTCCATCTTTTTCTCTCTCCAATTTTTGGTTTTCTGCTCCATCGCTATCGCTTACCTACCGCCTCCTCCATTCCCCATTCCCCATTCCCATTCTTCTTACCCCCGGAGAGAATACCCGCCAGGGCGAGGCGGAGGAAAAAAAAACCCCCCAAAGAACCCTTTCTCCAAAAAGTTGCCGAACAATCCACCGTATTACCCTCCCCCCATCTCTGTCCGTCCGCTGTCCGGCTAAGTCCCTCCACCACCGCGCGCCGCCTCTCTCGCCGTGCGTATACGTACCTCTACCTGCCTGCCCACGCGACTACCTGTCCTCGGCTCGCCTACCCGCGAGTCAGGTTGCCGTGCTGGCGGAGCCTGGGGGGAGGGGGAGGGGCTCTAGATACCTACGGCACATCTTGTCCTGTGTCTGTAGGATATGTGTGTGTGTGTGTGTGTGTGCCCTAGACGTACCTACCTACCTCATAGACCTCTCCACCATTACCCACCGACGTAGAACAGCCAGCCCCCCCTTTCCACTCCCCGGGCTCGGCTCGACTCGCTGTCCCCGCTGCGTGCATGCATATATATATTGCATCTGTACGCGGGCTCGCAAGTACCTAGGCAGGTATACGCGTGCGCACGTACCTCCCTCCCTGTATTCGGTACGTACGTCCAACGTACTCGGAGCGACGCCGCCCTCTTGCTGGGTAGACGGTGGCGCGCGCGAGAGATAAGGAGTGGGACCTGCTTTAGAAGAGAGGGGGAGGGGGGAGGGGATGTGTTCACTCGAACTGCCACGGCCGCGGCGGGCCCGAGGGCTAGGTATGCTGCCGCCGGCATGGCGTGTGCTACGTACCCGCCGATCCGCCTAGTCGTGTCCGTATGTGGGAGCGAGGGGGGGGAGAAGGGGAAAATAAGAGAGGCGAAAGAGAGGCAGGCTCGAGCATTGCGAGGTAGTGGGATGGTGTGTTCGACTTGAAGAGGTGGTATACAGATAGAGATAGGTAGGTAGGCAAGGTGTAAGTGGCTTAGTCGCTCCCTCGAGTGATAAGTCGAAACAGTAGTTATAGTATCCTTTTTCTTGTCACAATTGCGGTCCTCCGAGTTCAGTAGTTATTTACTGTTTATTTTGGTATTTCCGTGTAGGTTTGTCTGGGCATTATATATATCCCTAAGGGAGTGTGTGTATCTTCTTCAGCCGTAACGGCATAGTATTAACTACTACTATGTACTCTGTGAGAGCGCGCATGCATAGATGCGCACCACACCTCATATATAGGTATATATCGCAGTTAGATGGATCCCCAATTCCTTCTCTTCACCCGCCTCCTCCCACCATGTGAGCCTCAACTCCCCTTCAGAACTCCGTTTCCTCCCGTAGAAGCCCACATAACCTCGTCAATCGTCGTAACGTATAATTAAGGCACCAAGTGTCCCGTAGGGTTTCCTTGGCCGTCAAGGAGGGTATAGAACATTGTCCGCAAAAGTACACTCGCCCCCGCTCCGTCCGACTCTCAAGCTTGCTGAACCTTCAGAGAGACAGTTTCTCTGAAAAGCCCCTCTCTGTCGAAGACGAACAGGTTGGTAGTCGAATGCCACCTGGGATATTATAAAAGTAGAAATAAGAAAAAGGGGGGGTATCTGCAAAACCGAATAGCGTCACGACTTCTCGCGATACTAGAATTACAGAGCAAGAGCAGCCAGGCCCACGGCGATGAGGGCACCGACGGGCCCCATCCTTTCGGCAGCTGCGGTGGCGATCGTAGTCGGACTGCTCGTTGGCGGGGGCGGTGTCCTGGTCCCGGAGGTGAGCGTCGTCGTCGGCGGCGGCGGCGGCGGCTGCGTGTAAGTAGAGTTCAGGACCGAGGACTTAGAGATGGATCCCGTCGGGTACCAAGTGGGCTTGGTGTACGACTTAGTGATCGGGGGTGGCTTGGTGTACGACTTGGTGATCGGGGGCGGCTTGGTGTAAGTGACGGTGCAAGGGCAGTCTAAAGCATGGTTAGCCTCAGGCTGAACCTCATATGAATAGCAAGGTTAGACCAAGACTTACTGGTGACCGTGATGGTGGTTTCCGAGGTAGCAGTATAGGTCACATTGTGGTGAGAGAAGGTAGTCGGGGACTAGAAATCAAGTCAGTCGTGCTACAGCTCAGGATATGAGTTGGTAGTGAGTTGAGGTTGTATACACATACCGGGCAGTAGGTGGTATAGTCGGTGGTGAAGACGGTAGTCCAAGCAGTATGCTCGCCCGTAGTGGCCTCGACGGCAGCAAATAAGCCAACGGCGGCAGCAAGGATATGCGTTACTCTCATTTTGGTTGGTGATAGCGAGGGTTGCTAGCGATTGTGGTGGTATTAGGTTTTAGCAACGCGGTTGATCAAGCGACTGGGTGAGTTGCAAAACGATGGTGATGTCGGCCGAGACTCGACAGGATATTATGTATGTACTTAGTAGCGATCGCGATATATCTGTACGATACAGGATAGTGTGAGGGCAAAGGTCAACCGGAACTACAGGGTGAAGAGCCACCTATTTATTTTCTTGCCTCGAGACGAGACGAGAGGGCTTGTATGCACATGGCAACCCGATGGTGAGCAATGGGCGTAGCCTGATAGAGCCGGGCCAGGCCGCACATGCAGGCTTACTACCTTACCGAGGATTGGAAGTTCTTTAGACGATGCCATGCACGTTAATGGCAACGGGTGCGCATATCGACCGACGCCCGTCCGGGGTTGGCAAGCCCACTCACAAAGGCGGCCACACGACCTATGGCTATCTTTGGCCGGAGATATCGTGTGGTCGAGCCAGGTGATCAGTAGTTTTATAGCCTAAGACGATATAGCACTTTTTTAGACATGGCACTCTTTTAGTCATGGTGGTCAGGACGGAAAACGAACACCATTTGCCAACCTCGTAACAAGCCCCGGCGGAAGACGAGAGAGATACTATTCGAAAATAGCTGTTACGGGTGACAAGCTGATGGCAGAGGCTGGGGTCTCTTCATCCAACCTCGCCCAACCTGTAGGTACCGGCCTCTACGGATGGGCAGTGAGCTACGTTGCATCTTGATTAGGTGCTCGTCTATCGACTAGAGTGAAGGCGTTCTCTCTCGCAGTCACATAGGTGAGATTCTTTAGAGTGGTGTTCGGAGGTAATACGAAGTAACCGTCTCCTGGTCAATGAGGTTACCCGAGAGCGGCCGGGGGGGAGGATGGAAATTCTAGCGAAGAGAAAATCCGTATCTTGGGCAAATCGCCCTTCGGAGCCGCCCATGATGGGGTGATAGATAAGGTACCAGGGCATTCGGAGGGGTTGGGGACACCAGGCTGGGGGTCTGATAGGCCTCGTCCAGCCTCCCCCTGGCTCACCAGTCGACGATGCAGATGCTGGCCTGAGCTCATTGGGCAACGTGATATTGATCGACTGTCGATTTCGGACAAGCGGGCTTGGCTGGGCTGGTGGGGAGAGAGACCAGTTCGTTGGTGATGAGGGCCCTAGACCAGATCCAGCACAGCGATGCCACCCTGTTACCGAAAGGACCGAGAGAAAAGCTCGTGTTGCTATTGTTACTAGCTCCGCCCGTCGTCGCCTCGTCTGGCCGGCCGCCCAGGCCTCGAGAGACGTCCACGTTTCCCCCCCCCGTCGCTGGGGCCTTCCCTCGCGCGCCGTCACGTCGACAGCGGTACGTCAGAGGGTGCTATTCTTGACTCCCGTATTTTGCGACGCACTCCGCACGTCTGTACTCATAGATGGGGTGGGTAGGCGAGATCGGGCCTGGTCTGGGATTCTGCCAGGAACGCGTGAAATGCCAGCTGACCAAATCGATACGGGGCACGGAGTTTCGTAGCTTCGTAACTTTGAGAGCAGCCGGTGCAATAGCTCCGTAGCGGCAAACAAAGCATCAGAGCGTATAAGCTATTTTAAAGCGCATCGCTTAGGATGGCGCAGGCGATCTCGAGAGGTTGGTTCTGCATTGACGACAGAGGTGGATGGTTAGATCTGGAAGCCAATAGAGACGCATGGAAGAAGAGGCTGGTGGGCCAAAAGAGGGCGATATGCATGAAAGAGAGTCTCTGCATAAATGGATCGCCAATGGCCATCGCCTTACGGGTCCCTACACCTCAGATCTATGCATCTATGCATCCTTGGTATGCATATACTCCCCCTAATGCGCTTAAGGCGGGTGGTATTATGAGTAGAGGTAGGTAGGTAGAATCACACATCACGATAAGGGACAGGTGGAAAGCAAATGTCTCTGGCTTTTCTCCCCACCCTCCCCTCTTCCCACACCCCTTCCAGCACGCACTCAACTCAACCTCCGTATGTCCCTCTGTCTTCTCATCATATCCCCGAATCCATCCTCACTCGCCTCCACCCATCCTGGCCGACCGACGGGAAGAAGCTGAAGTGTTCTGCTTTGACGCCTTCAGTGGCGCTACGTGGTAAACGAAGACCAAGCTGCAATGATTCAACCACCCATCGACACGGCAGGGCCGGTAGCCCCCAGGTGCTGACGCGAGGGGGATCTCCGAATGGAAGGTATACCGTGACAACGATGGCGAGCCATGGGAACGGAGGGCTTGCGCGGCCTGTCTATTTCCGCCAGACGAATGACGAGAGAGCGGCTTCGCTGACCTCTAGCTGAACTATCGCCAGTCGGGAATACCGTCAACATTCTCGCTATGCCTTCGGCCCCCCTCGCCCTTCTATGTGCCTTACCCGCTTCCCACCTCTCGTCCGTCCACGTCTATTTGGGCGTACCTGACGAGCAATGCGCCAAGATACGGGCTACGAATCTTTGGCTCTCCCAATCTTCCCAGTACGCGTGGGATAGGTTAGGTAGCTAGTGCTATGCATGCTATCCCTTGTCTGCTGCTGGCCAAGCGCCCTCCCTCTCGGGTCCGCCAAGTCGGTACCGTCCCACACGGCATATGCCGAGCTTCCTAATCGCTCTGCACCTGAAGGGAGGCGGACCTGCTCTTCCCCTCGCGGTGAGCCGGCCAACACCGTGCACTCCTACGAGAGACTGCCGACGTCAAAGCCCGCCTTCTTCTCCCCGGTTCCCATGTAAGATTTTCTTTTTCCCTGCCGAAGAAGAAGGCTCACCGCCGTAGATACCGACGATGAGTGGTTGAGAGTGCCGAGTTGAGGTGGCTGGCCGCTGTGACGACCATCTGCATAGGTTGTGCTTGGCCAGGGAGGAAATGTGGGCACATTGCGACGTCTCGTCTCGCCGCATCTACTACGGCTCAGTGCTATATTCGCAGGTCTGGGCATCGCGACACATCTTGTGGTGGCAAACGCAAACTAGGGGCGCCATGCCGACTCCACCCCCATGTGCCGGCGTGTGATGGCGTGAAGGCACCAAGACTCTCTAGTGCCCGGCGATCCGCACTCACGGGCTAAGATCACCCTCTCCCCACATCAACTCCCATTTCCGAGTTTACACGTCGTCGAGTCCGGCTTCGGTCGACCGACTCCATCCCTCATGGACACTACCTAGCTTAGGTGCGAATTAGTTTTTATCCGATCCGCATGGCCTTCGGTGTTGGTTTCCCTTAATCGACGGATTCTCCAGCCTAAGAATTGCCGACTTATTGTCCCGTTATGTCTGCCTCGCCGCTTCGGGTTCTAGACCGCGTCCTTTGTTTCTCTTACTACAGCTAATGCCATCTCGATCTTCCTATCTCCGCTGGGAGGTCGGCACGGAACTCCAACATTGTATCGTCTCGTATCTCTGCGAAATGGGACAGGACCATGCGTCTAGCATATGGCCGCAGATAGGCCCGCATCTTACGGCGTAACCACTACTTTTCGGGCTAAAATCACCCCAACAATTTACACCGAAGTTTCTCGAATCCCCACCATCGCTGCCGTGCGAATCTGTAGTGCTTGCTCTCAAGCCTATCCACGTTATTGTGTGTAAAGTTCCGTCCGGAGGCGCAAGGGGACGCGGCACCAGTCTCCCAACAATCACCCATCGCTCACAATGCCTCTCAGCATGGCCATTTGGTCAAAAAGATCCCTCGCGTGCCTAACAATGAGATGCAATATACCGACGACGTAGCGTGCAACGCGCTGCCATCTGGCTCCACGTGTTGGGTGCTTTCCGGCGCAATAGAGGACAAAGGAGGCTCTTCTGACGACGATGCCCGACGACGCGTCTCTAGTTAGCGGCCTGGTCCCGCAGACCTAATGCATGCTTAGGTACGGCGGCATATCTCCTTGCCGGCGGTCGAGACCGGCGTTGTCTTTGTCGGGCGAAGCCCCCCTAACATGATAGAACCGAGGAGCACCTCTTAGAGCATGCCACATGGAAGAGCTGTCAGGTACCAGGAACGGGATCCGAAAGCCAACCAATCGGATCCGAACTCGCACGATTCATGCTAGGTGATATGCAGGTGCAAGAAAAAAAATCCCCTTCCCGCTCTCTCTTTGTGTGTGCCACCCCTCCCTCTCGGCCTTTGTACATCTCTCACCGTCTGCCCTGGCGGCGCTCAACACGCCCGGCCTCGTCAGATTGGTCGAGCTAGCAAGGTCTTACTGTTGACCGGCGGGGAGGGGCAAAGGAGAGAGGAGTCTTGCGGCGGCTTGCGTCTTACTCCCGCGCCCCCTTCCCGTTATCCGTCAGCCCTAAGGTTGGGTCTGCTAGCTCCGCGGCCCGGCAAGCGCTACGGATCAGGGCGGCGCGCGTTTCAATCAACTGCCGCCTCCCGCCAGTACATTCTAGAACTTCTCATCGCTCTCGGCGGATAGACTAAAGAAACGGGCGACGTGATGGTTCGATCGTCTAGCTGTTCCCCGGCATTTGACCCGAGGTTCTACTAAGCGTCCGGTTCGGAAGCAATGTCCAGTTCGGAAGCAACCCCTAGTTCGAGGCTTGCGGTCGATCTGATGTTGTCAAGCCAGCCGGATCTAGGATGTAGGCCGAGTTTAGGAATAGGCTATTTCTGTCATAGCTGGCCAATTAATGGCCTGGACCATGCCTGTACCACCCTGATACACTCACGGCCCTAGATGAAGTGGAAGGAATCCTGTACCTGGATGGGATCGGTGTAGGGCCGTCGACCGCGTCCCTACTCCGGATTTGTACGTTTCTTGCGAATTTCCCTACCATGCAATGGTACTACCGCCAGTGTACCCGAGAAGTTTCTGCTATCGTTGGGCCGTTTGATGGACTGGGGGCCACAATGGGGAAGGTCAGCACGCGGCCGCTAATGGTAAGTGAAGTCGCCTTTGTCCTCCCGTCTATAAAAGGGCTCGACTCACCCTGCAAAGATATCGAGACTTTGTAGACACACTCTTCTGTTGCACCAACGAGCTTTTGGTTCTTCACACTTTCTTTGCTCTTCGTAGCTATCGTTCCTTCATTTCAAGGCTTCTCAGCCATACACTCCTTATCACAGCCCTACTACATAGTTAGCTGCTGTACACAATCCTTCCAGTTCAGGTCCAGAAGACACGACGATCCCTCACTACGTTTAGTTTTCCGCAAAGAAACGCCTCCTTACCAACGTTTCAAAAGTTCACAACGAATTCGGTGGATTCTTTTTAGAAACCTGCATTTCGACTTCCCTTCCTATCCAAGCAGAAATCCGAGAACGACCAATAAGACAAAATGCCTTCCTTCACCCAAGTTGCTGCCTTCGTTGCCGCCGCTGTCTCGTTGGTCAGCGCGAACTCCATGACCTTCATCAACCAGGACGGGACGACTCGACGCATTGTCTTCACCCCGGACTACGGACATGCTGCCATTGACTCCATCACGCTCCCTGGAAACGCACAGGCTAGGGCAGAGTTCCCGACTGGGTGGATTGGTAACGCCTACTCCGTTAGCGAAGGAAAGGAGGATGTCCCTGGCATGCTTGCTGAGTAAGTCTCATGATGCGATGAAAGAGGGAGGTCCTCAACGTGACGAATCGCGTATGCTGACAGAAGGAACCAGGGTTGCATACCAGGGCTGGGATGGCCTGACTTACTTTGACGTCTCGGCCATCGTCAACGCTGCTGACCACGACGGTGTCAAGCAAATGTTCCCGGCCAGCCAGCTGTCCGTCGAGCCCAAGACGGTGTTCTCGGGCTGCCTCGTCTTCCCTTGCGGCACGGCGTACTACCTGCCCGACGACATTCAGACGGTGACGACCCCGGAGACGGACATCATCGTCACGCTAGGCAGCTCCCCTAACGACGTCGTTGCCCGCGAGGAACCCAGGATGGTGCCCCGTCACTACGTCCTCGGCAACCTGTCGGCCTAGTTGGTCGCTTTTCCTTTCTCGAACGGCGTGAGGAGGGCCGCTGTGGGGATGTATCGCGCTGAGCGCCGAGCATACGATGTTACGACGCTGCTGCGGTTACGGTGTTTTCTTCGAGATACCCGGTCCCACCCAAACTTCGCTTCTGTTCCCCACGGCTCATGGCAAGCCCAGGTTCTCGGGCAACGTTCACGGCCTCGACGGCCGCGCTGGAAAACTTGTTACCCTTGACGGGTGTGAACTTCTACGAGGATAGAATCCCGGGTTTCGCTTTGGAAGTAAAAGAGAGGGAAAAACAAACCAAAATAAAAACTTTCCGCCCCTATTCTTGACACTCGCTGGCTTACAATCGTTACAAGATCTGCTTCATGTATATACATTTGGTAACATGGGTTTCTGTGTGGGCTGCTTTGGAGACTTCAGAGAGAACAAAATAACAAGATACCCCTCAAAAAGAGGGACGGAAGGCAATAGAAGAATATTTCGAAATTTTACACCTAGACGAGCAAGCCTGCGAAACAAGTGACCCTTGCTCATAGAGTTAGTTGGCCCCCATATTGTGAAGCGACAAGGTATTTTTTTTCTCGTCTTTGATCGGGTCTCATCCTCAGCTATATTTAGCCACATCCTTGGCATGCCGAACACGCGACGACCCCTTGAAAGAGCGGGACGGACAAGAACAGAACAAACGGATCGGTCCGGCGACATCCCCCCGATCGAGACTAGGTCATTTCGACGGCCACAGGCCGGGTGCAACGCAGTGCCAACTGCGTTGCGCGACGTGGCCAAGCTAAGGGAGGTAACGGTCCCCCCCTCCCAACAAAGTGTTCTACCAAGTCCCTGAAAGGCGCTGTGGGTGGCCCAAGCCGGTAGCGGTATAGCAGGCAACCCACCTGTAGCCTACACTGTAGGTTAGGGGACACCCACATAAAGTACGAGCCTACCTCTAGGCACCTTACCTACCTCCTTAGGTACTTACCTACACAGCTAGGTACCTAACCTATAGGCCGAGCAGGGGATAGTTATACTCTCATGCTGGCCGTATGAGTAGGATGCACCTTTCTGCAAAACCGGGTATACCTAACATATGATATGGTCCGAGGCACACAACGCCGCCGGGCTAATAATAATAACAATGATCACGATCATGATCATATACCTATGTAACGGCAACAGTCGCAGCCAACCAGCAATTAGAATCGCAACGACTACCTACTTGATCCGTCTCGTAAGCAGCCATGTTTCCCATTCCCATCTCGCCGCGACCCCTTGCTTACCCCCTTACCCCCCTGCGCGCTACCCTCACATCCCACCTACCTAGGAGGTAGGTAGTGTGAGGTTACTGTGCGTAACGACGCAGGCGGACCAGCACCGCCGCCCTTCCCCTCTGCGAGCGGAACGCGCGCGCGCGCGTTCTCGCCTCGACCTACTCGTGCGTGGTGGGCGCCCGACCTACACCGCCCGTGCTGCGCGTGCGGACGCCGCCTCCGCCACCGCCACGACCACTAGCAGCGGCCGGCGCGAGGAGGCGTCGGCGGGGGGGCGCAGGTGGCCGCGCGGAATTCGCCCGTCCGACGTCTCTTGGCGCAAGCCACGGCGTGATTCCGATAGATAGGTAGATAGAGGGGATCGGGCGGACCGGCTTAGGTAGTGCTTGGCTGGCTGGCTGGCTGGCTGGCTGGCGGCGGCGGCGGCGGTGGAACGATGGGCCCAGTTCTTCCCTTGACCGCTCTCTCGGCGCCGAGCTGCTAGGTTACTGCTCGCCCAGCGCGCGATCGCGTCTTGCGTGGCGGCGGCCTCTGGGATCGGTCCGCCACGCGCGTGCGCCGCTGCGCCTGTAGGCGAGTGAACAATCTCGCCTTACTCCCATCTAATCCCACACTACCGGCCGACCCGTCGCCAACCTCCGGCGGGGTTCTTACTTGCATACTTGCCTGCGGGTTTCCTGCGGCTGTCTGCCGTGTCTCGGCGAATACAAGTACCTAGGTAGATGTATCCGCATATCGCATATGCAGAGGTGCGCGTCAACACCTGGTAGAGGTACCTATCTAATACTACAGTCTATCGGGTCGTCGGGGCCGCCCAGCTCGCTCCTAATTAACATGTACGTCGCCCGCCCCCGGCTGGGCATTTAATCGCCGAGATGTCACCCGCCAGCCTCGACTGGGGCTGCGACGACAGCAACGCGCCCCCGTCTCACCCGCTCCGGCAGTCGGACGAGTAGACGTGGCCAGGTGCTGGGGGCTTTACCGCTCCCCTTCCTCTCCTTCTGTCCTTTGCCCCAGATCAGTAGGTTACTTAACGAAGGATAGGTTCGATTCCTAACAGCGCTACTTGGTAGTCCGGCTCTCACGGATACCTACTTAAGCACCCTATGCTTATATGCAGACGGATCGACGCGCGGACAGATTGCCGGGCGGATCGAAGGGGGCGCGTCGTAAGCTGCGCGAGACAACGTCGTGTACCGGTGCTCGAGGACTCGCGGCGGCCTGGTTGGCTCGGCCCTTTGTCTGCCCCCCGCCCCCTTTTTGTACGTCCCGAAAATTAAATGTGCGCGTCACTTATCTGATAACTCACGCGTGGTCGTCGTCGGAGCCGAGTAAAGCGAGATGGGAATCCCGGAGCGAGAAGGCGGCTCAAGCAGGTAAGCAGGGGGGGTAGGCTAGCTATGTGTGCGATGCGTTTCCGCCGCGACAGCATGAGGCCCACGACAGTGAGGTTGCTCACGCCGGAAGCGAAGGCCAGCTTCAGCCCCGCTTCTGGCATTCTAAGTATGGCATGTATACCACCTATCCTCGCCATCTCGACCCCGATCCTTTGAAATCTACCATATGAGCCCTCGAGTAGCCCGAGGACGACGCGCATACTCCTCCACCATAGCTATACCCCTACCTGCCTGCCCCTCCCCCTCGGTCTACACCCACAACCCGCCCCCCTCTCCCGCCACGCCAGACAATAAGCTGGCCAGATATACCTCACTCGGTCCCTACCTCCAAAGAGTGCCCGCAGCCACGCGTCGGAGCGCGCGAGTCGGGGAGTAAAAGCGAGCCACGCGGGCCGGCTCGTGGCCGCTGCTGCCACTTTGCACTCTCTTTGTGTCATCCCCCTTTGTCTCCACCCCTCCTCTGCCTCTCTACCCGGCACTCCGGGTCTTTGTCTTCGCCGCTACCCCCCACTCCAGCCGGACAAGCGCGACACGGGCCAGAGACGGGGATCGAGCAGACAAAGCAGCCTTCGTGCCCCTCTTCCGTCCTTTTTCCGGGGCCCGGCCCGAGCTGCCCCCCCCCGATCCGATACGATCTAGGCCTACCTAGGTCGGGCCCAGGACGCGGGGGGGAGAGGGGGGGGGGGGCAAGGGAGGACCGCATAGCTCCCCGATAGGCAAGATCTTCATGTAGACGCAGGACACCCCGATCGGCCGCACCTCGTGTCCTTGGCGCCGTCGCACGCAACGCAGATATGTACGTATCTATGTAGACATGCCCGCCCCTGTTGCGGCAGCCGTAAGTCCGGCTCCTCGGGTCCAAGGCCCTGGCTCGTACAAGCGGCCCGGGCTGAAGCCGCTGGTAGCGCTGCTCGATGGCCTCGGGGATGCGCGCGGGGAGCAAGCGTTGCCGGGGATAGACCGAGAGAGAGGGTTTCCGGGTCGTGACCTCGTCAGGGACTTTTTTTTTTCATACTGACCGCGGTGCCGTGGTGCTCCTCCCGTTCGAGGGGCGGGGGCGCGGGACTCTGGACGCAAAGGCGATCGATCATATAACTACGTCTGGGAACGTAGGGCTGGAGCGGTATATACCTACGTGCATACATTACATACGTGCGCACCTCACCAGAGGATGATAACAGGGCCCGCGCCGCCTGAGGCGCCGCAACGGAAGGCTGCCTTATTCCTCGCGCTATGTGAGACAAGAGGGAAAAAATATTTCGTTTTCTCCCTGTGTAGAACTGCCAATTCCTTCTAATGGTAGACGAACGCCTTTTCTGATGCTGGACCGGGTGTGCGAGTGACCGTACGAGCGACTCACAATTAGAACGCTTCATCTCGCCTTACTTGCTCTCCTCCGCCTCCGCCTCCTTGGACTCGTTAGATGTGCGTTCCGGTTTGCCCTCTTCCTTCGCTTCGATGTCGTCGCTTTTCTCGGTCTTCTCCACCTCTGGGTCGGTGGTGACGGCGGCCGTGGCGATGCCGCTGCTCTCCGGCGCCGTCTGCTCGGGCTTCTTTAACTTCACGATGCCGATTAGGTGATCGTAGGTGTCGCCGAAGCCGTCTATTTTACCCAGCCGGTTATTGAGATAGTCGATATCGGCTCTCATCCTGTTTTGGGTTTCGAGTTAGCCAGACGAGCTGTGCGGTGGTGAGGCGCGACGATCTCACGATCGTGCGCCCTTCTACGTACCGGTTGATTGACGTCTCCGTCCTCGACTCCAGCCCCTGCAACGTCTTCCCGAGATGGGCCTTGTAGCTCTCGAACACGGGGGTCATGATCAGCCGGACGGTGCCCTCCGGTAGATGCTTCGTGAGCACCCTATGCAGCGTGACCGTCTCCTTGACGAGCGTTTCCATGTACGGGTTCGCGGTTTCCTCCGTTTTCACGTCCCAGTTGATAGCTTTCATGCTCTTAGCATGCGCGGCGGCGCGTCCGCTCATGATCTCGACTAATTTGTCGTATATGCTGTTCTGGTGCTCTTGGAACAGGCGCCTGACCTTGCCGAATTCGTTCATGAGGTTAGCGACGTTGGCATTGTTGACATGGGGACCGGAGCCTGCATGCCGGCGGACGAATTCGCGGACGTGGAGGATGAGTGTTGAGATGAATGCTAGCGCTTGTGAGGCGAGGGCGAGATGTCTGGTCGTGATGTTCTTGAGACCCGCCGAACGAGTAGCACCGGCGCCGAGGATGAGCTGCGTGCACCGAGAATTGAAGAGCTGTAGATACGAAATCAGGGATGTGGATATGTCGGAAGCCATAGAGGGGATTCCCGAGATGAGATGTAAAAAGTGAGACATCCCTTCGAGGCAGAGGATCGCCGAATTTGGCAGGATAAACGTCTCCAAATCTATAACCGCGCTTCGCGGCTTTTCCTTCGCTGCAGCATTCGACTCGGATCTAGGTCGCCCGCTGGAAGCTCCTTTGTCAGTCTCCGATTCTTCGAACGGTATGTAGATCTTGCTGTCCTCTAGCCAGGCAGCATTGTCCTTCGTACTGCATTCCAGCACGCGGTTGAGTAGCACAGTATCGTATTCGGTGAAATCCTTAGCGGCCCATTGATCGGATTCCATCCCCTGGGCTAACTTCTGCTTCTCCGCGTCGCCGTGCGATTGGATAAACTCCTTGATCTGGGAGTTGACGATACTTTTCAAGGCTGTCCCGCTCCGGCCGGAAATGGCTTCGCACTCGTTGGTGAAGTAGAGGTTAAGTGTGAAATACCGCAGGAACCACGCCAGGGGTAGGTGGGTACTCTGGTCGTTCCGGACACGGAGTACCTTCACGATTTTATCCTGTGAGATATCCACTGCCTGGCCAAGGAGATTTGCCATATCCATCGTCATATGGATGTCTTCCTGTAGATCGCGGTTTGCGTTGTTTAGGGGTGGCGACTTGAGAGGAGGCGGTGATTTTAGGCCTGCCTCGATAGACGGCTGTTGCCCCATCGAACTGACGACGTCAAATAGCACCTTGACTTGGGTACCTAGTCTTCGCAGCGTCTCCGTGACGCTGATATAGATCTTGACGAAAAGGGCCTCCGCATCCCGCTCGTCTAGTGCTCGAAGGTTTCGAGCTAGAATAGACGACTTCTCCTGTGGTGTCAGGCGTTTCGAACCCAGCGTAGATGCGGACATGATGGATTCACTGTCGTCGTCGTTAGAAGTGGGTAGGGGTCGCTTGATGAGATTTCGAATTTCGCGCAGAACCATCTCTCGATAAGACGCTATGGCAATAGAGACATGCTTAGAGCTGTGCAGCCCGTCGAATATAGGCACGAGCTGGGAGCGAAGATCTTCTGTATCGGCCAGGTATGACGGATACGCCGACGACTCCCTGCTGTGGGGTCCAGCTCCACGGGACCGCATTGCCGAGCTGCTCCACCGTAGGAGGACTTCCTGCGTGGGGACAGTATCGACGTAGTGCCTCAAATCCCCGATCAGCACGTCGATGAATTTCGTCTCGAACGCCTTTCCGATGCGGAACCGCAAGGCGGAGATGTCGCCGTTGACGCCTTGAAGGGCAACGGCGTCTCTGAGATCGCGCAACTGAGGCGCATGCTGCCCCTGCTCCTGCGCCTGCCCCTTGCCGGGTCTTGTCAGCTTCGTTATTCGTGTTCCGGCGATAAGCTTCTCCAAGGAATCGATGTTCGTTAATGCTTTTTCGGCTTCTCCCTCGTCTACCAATGCTTCGCAAGCAGCGACTGACTCGACAATCTCTCTTAGCTGCTTCACGGTGTCGTTCAACTGGCGAAGATTTTCGCGCCGCCGCTGTTTTTGGATGATATCTAGTCCCGTAGTCGCAATCTCCCGATCAAGGGTCTGCAGTTCGCGCCTTAACGTCCTGATTCTCTCGACGGAGTCGGCTGCCTCAGAGTGTAGTTCTCTCAGTGATCCCAGGGTCGTGAAGAACGTGGTGGAAGCCGTCGAGATGGAAGAGATCAGATGCATCTCGATAGTGTCCATATACCAGGACAGTTTCTCCTGCAATATGGCATTCGTAGCCAGAGCTTTGCGCGGGGCCGGAGCACTCCCGTTAGCGGCATTCTTCTCGTCCACAGAACCGGGAGGAGGTCGGACAACCTCGGACCGCTCGCTGACCACATCAAAGGTGCGGGGATTCTCGAGATGGAAATCCTCATCAAAGTAGACATTGGGAATGGTGGATAACGGAGGCGGGCCTTGATTTGCGGACTTTCGGCCGAGACCGGAGCTCGATCTCCTGCGGGTAGGGCGGACCAAGGGAGGTGAATCGATGGGTGACAGGGACCTCGTCGACGGCGCAGACACCTTGCGCGAGCTCGACGGACGGCTACTGGGTTTCAGGTGCCCGTCGTCGAAAACGCTCGAAAACTCGTCCATTCTGGTGCGCCCAAATACGTGCTCGCTGCCATCATCATCGCTCTCTTTGACACGTCTCAGTTGTTCATACAATGCTCCAACTTGGGTCAGATAAGGTTTGAACTCGGCGGCGTCTATATGGGGTATGTTGGTAAGGGTGACGGGTGGTATATCTCTTGCCGTCGGCGGCTTGTGAGTACTAGATGCGGGGGCAGAGGTGTGCGGTAGCAGTCCCGTGCGGACTATCGGCGGCTGGAGCAGGGTCGAGATGGCATTTTGGCCGGTCTCGAGGACGGTCTGAGACCAAGTACTGGACGTCTCGAGGTGGCTGCCGATAGAGTGGAGGGAGTGGATGGAGTGGATGGAGCTCGCTGTCGAGCCTCGTCGTGGGGCCGGGTGGGAGGTAACAGAGGGCTGCCGATGGTGGGGGAAGTCGGGTCGGGAGCTGGGCGACAGGGGCGGCAAGCTGTCGACAGACTTGCGAGCCTGGGGGTTGGAGAACATGGCGAGAGAAGCCGGAGGGCTACCGAGGAATCATAGCTATGCTGAAGCCAACTAGTTGAGTGTAGCGAGACGCCGATAGGGGCATACACACGGGGCGATGGGCGTGGTGAGGGGGTAAAGCTGCGGATTCAGCGGCTTAGGTGGATTAGGTAGCTTAGACGGCTAAGACGGCTAAGACGGCAAAAGTCGCAGACCCTACCGATAGGGTGGTAGGGCGGACGGGGAGGGCAAAAGGAAGAAACAGGATAACGAGAGAGAAGATTCGGGTTTGTAGGTCTATAGCTCTACAACGCGAGAAGGCCGAGTAGACAGGTGGTTGGCTGGCTCTCTGGACGTGGTAGGCAATGCGCAGGCCAGCCTCGGAAAGCTTGTGTTACGCGTAAGCCGATGGAGATTCAGTATCACGACGGTTTGGGCTCCGTGGAGGGGGTCTCGTTCTACCTAGTATAGGTGGTCTTGGTGGTTTTGGTAGCAGAGGCGGTAGTTGGTGATAAGTAGCAGCGGTGATTAGCATCACACCGGGTTACCTCAGCCAGAGAAATGTATGGGTACATAAGGGGTACCTAGAATGGTAGGAGTGGACGTCGATCAGGTCCCAGCAACCGGCGCGCCTGGGAGGGCAGGGTACCTTCTGACATGTACCCACTACGTCGTATAAGGTACCGTGTCCCCTATGCTCTTTCAGAGTAGGTCGGTGCGCATTAGATAATCGCAGCCTTAGGTCAGCGGCGGCGCTAGCTCCGAAGCGGACTAGAGGCCTATGCGACCTCTCAACCTCGCAACGCGTCTTCATACCGCGTTTTCAATTAACGCGAAATCCAAAATTCACCAGGAAATGAAATCTCAGCCGTCGACCCCTCGACCCACAACCCACCTGCATACATCGCCGTCCCTTACTAACCTGCCGCCTACCTAGTCGTCGATTAGTCGTCCGCGACACGTAACGCTTTCTCCCACCTACACATACCACAGGCTACTCACTCACCGCACTCGGGCTATGTAAATCGGGCGTACTGGCCCCCTAAACTTCTCCCACAAACAACAGCCCCCCCCCAAGCGTGCAAGATGGATCGCCAATCGGTCTACTCGGTTTCTGTCTTTCAGTCCAACTCGGGGCCTAACGAGGACAGCCGGCTGCAAATACTGGAGCAGCTAATGACCTTCATCCTCCAGTTTAGACACGACAATATCTTCGTGTATAGGTGCGCTAGCTTTCCCTCTCTCTTATCCTCTCCGCCGCCGACTGCCGGTTGCTGACCGATAGTGTGGTGCAGAGACCAATTACGAGAGAACGCGCTGTTAAAGAAGTATTTCTGCGATGTGAATATCACTGACTTGATCAAGTACAACGAGGAGCTTGCGCACCGGCTGGTGACGGAACCCGCCGATATCATTCCCCTGGTATGTTACATAGTGCTACTACTACGTCAAGCCGAACAAACCAGCTAAAGCGGTGCGGCAGTTCGAAACGGCCCTCAAGAAGTGCACACACCGGATTGTCTTCCCCCACGACCCGAAGGCCGCAATTCCCGAACATCAGCTCCTCCTCCACTCCAACGCCGAAGATGTCTCTATCCGCCACCTCGACTCCGAGACCATCGCCCGCCTCGTTAGGGTACCCGGCATCGTCATAGGCGCCTCCGTCATGTCTTCCAAAGCCACCGAGTTACACATCCAATGCCGAAATTGTCTACATGCCCAGACGCTACCCATCCTCGGCGGGTTCACCGGCGTCGCCCTCCCTCGACAGTGCGGCCGCCAGAGGGCCGCGAATGACCCGTCCGAGAAGTGTCCCCTCGATCCGTATTTTGTGATTCACGAGAAGTCTGTCTTTGTGGACCAGCAGATCATAAAACTCCAGGAAGCCCCCGATCAGGTACCCGTCGGAGAGTTGCCGCGACACGTACTGATTTCCGCCGATCGATACCTCACGAACAGGGTGGTTCCGGGATCGAGATGCACCATCATGGGCATCTTCTCGATTTACCAGAACAAGGGCTCCCGGAACTCGTCGACCGGCGGTGCCGTGGCTATTCGAACACCCTACCTCAGAGCGGTAGGCATCCAGACGGATATGGACTCCACGGCGAAGGGGCACTCGGTGTTCTCCGAGGAGGAGGAGCAGGAGTTTATGGAACTCAGCAGGCGGCCTGATCTGTACAACATCATGGCCGACTGCATTGCCCCGTCCATCTACGGGAATCGGGATATCAAGAAAGCCATACTGTGCCTACTTCTCGGAGGCTCGAAAAAGATCCTGCCTGACGGCATGAAGCTCCGAGGCGACATCAACGTGCTCCTCCTCGGCGACCCGGGTACGGCGAAGTCGCAGCTGCTGAAGTTCGTCGAAAAGGCCGCGCCTATTTCCATCTACACGTCGGGCAAGGGCTCGTCCGCGGCCGGTCTGACGGCGTCGGTGCAGCGGGACCACTCAACGCGGGAGTTCTACCTGGAGGGCGGAGCGATGGTGCTGGCGGACGGCGGGGTGGTGTGCATCGACGAGTTCGACAAGATGCGGGACGAGGACCGGGTCGCGATCCACGAGGCGATGGAGCAGCAGACCATCTCGATCGCCAAGGCGGGCATCACCACGATCCTCAACGCGCGCACGTCGGTCCTCGCGGCGGCGAACCCCATCTTCGGCCGCTACGACGACCTCAAGACCCCCGGCGAGAACATCGACTTCCAGACCACCATCCTGTCCCGCTTCGACATGATCTTCATCGTCAAGGACGAGCACACGCGCGAGAAGGACGAGCGCATCGCCAAGCACGTCATGGGCATCCACATGGGCGGCCGCGGCCTCGAGGAGCAGGTCGAGGGCGAGGTCCCCGTCGAGAAGATGCGGCGGTACATCAGCTACTGCAAATCGTAAGACTCTCTATCTCTCTTCTCTACTCCCCATCTCCGCGGAATGACGCATTCGATCGCTAACCCGACCTTTTTTTTTCCCCCACACACAGGCGGTGCGCGCCGCGCCTGTCGCCCGAGGCGGCGGAGAAGCTGTCATCGCACTTCGTGTCGATCCGGAAGCAGGTGCACGCGTCGGAGCTGGAGGCGAACGCGCGGTCGAGCATCCCGATCACGGTGCGGCAGCTGGAGGCGATCGTGCGGATCACGGAGGCGCTGGCGAAGCTGACGCTGTCGGCGGTGGCGACGGAGCAGCACGTGGACGAGGCCATCCGGCTGTTCCTGCGCAGCACCATGGACGCCGTGTCGCAGGGGACGTCGGCCGGGCCCGGCGGCGCCGGCGCCGGCAACCGCGAGCTCGCCGACGAGGTCGCCCGCGTCGACGCCGAGCTGCGCCGCCGCCTCCCCATCGGCTGGAGCACCAGCCTCGCCACCCTCCGCCGCGAGATGGTCGACGGCCGCGGCTTCTCCGAGCTCGCCCTCAACCGCGCCCTCATGATCCTCCAGCGCCGCGACACCATCATGTTCCGCAACCAGGGCACCCAGGTCTACCGGAACGGCGCTTGAGGAGGAGGAGGAGGAGGAGGAGGAGGAGGAGGCAGAGGCAGAGGTGGCGGCGCCGGGTCTGACCCCGGAAGCCGGATTCACGACGTGACGAGGAAACAAGACTGCAGTTTTTTCCCGACCCGTTGGCTCTGCGTGCGTTCGGCTCGGAGTTGGGGTGTTCTGCTTGCGTGCCTACCTATGTATGCTGCGTGCACGCGTGTCGGCCAGGTCGGCCGGCTACCTATCAGAATCGGAGGGGAGGGGAGGGGCGCGAGTAGATAGATAGCCAGGTAGGCGGTACACGATTATGACGATTCGCAGATGAGATATGCATGCGCGAGAGATGTCGACGGAGGAGCGGGCCTTAGTCTCTACACGAACCGCGAGGAGAGCGGGTATATGAAATAAATGAACAATTTAAGGGCCACCGGCAGAAAGAAAGGGGGCATGTCCTGTTTGAACAGACCCGCTCTGTCCTGGCTTCTTAGCTGAGGACACCGCTAAGCGTAAACAGATACTACGAGTTCCTTGGTCACCTAGGGTCTAGAGATGTAGGTCTATCTGTCGTAGGGTGAAAATGAGCGATAAAAACGATAGACGGAAGAGCCGACCAGACCTAGGCAAATTACCGTCTATCAACTTTGGAACAACGGACACAGACACCGGCAGGGTTACACTTCGAAGGTCGAAAGAAAATAGACTCTTTGCATTTCGCTACCTATACGTCAATGTACCTGTACATTGACTCCAACAAGCTGAACTGTTCCTCGCTATATCTCGTCCTATCCACTCCGCCATGCCGTATCGTACTATACCGAACCAAAACCGGCTTGTTGCAACCGCTCGCCCAAGGCCGCGCAAATCCGAAGCCTCGGGTCCCTCCTCTCGTCATTCCTTCTTTGCCCTCGTTCCTCTCTAGACAAGAGCTAGCGTGTTATCCGTTCTGATGGTGCCTACGACGCCGAGCGCGGCCTCGGACGCTCCTCCCCGGCCGTCGGCTTCGGTCTTGCGCGCGACCGCTGGGCCGCGGGCCACAATCTCGCCGGTGTAGTAGCTGTCGCCGGTGAACCTGTGGGCCGGGGTCTCACGGAGGAAGATCTCGATGCTGCTGACGGGTGGGCCGAAGTGAGAGCCGGTGCCATCGCCCGACACGCGGTAGTCGTGGATCTGGGTCTGCGAGACTGCGCCGGCCACGCGCGCCGCCGTCAGCGCGTACACGACGCGTGCCCCGGTGAACACGCGCAAGTCCGATAGCGTCTGCTCCGAGAGCCGCGGTGTCCCATCGTCGACTCCCGCCGGGTGCGCCACGAAGAGAAGCCGTAGCTTGCCCGGTGTCGGCGTGACGGCGAACGGGGAGGCACCTATCTTAGGATACAATGAGTCGTTGTACGACGCCAGGAACGAGGCGACTGGCCGTGCGCCGTTCTGCGTTAGGCTGTTCGTCTGCACCCAGTGCGAGATCTGTGTGAGCAACGAGCCGATCTTGGCCTTGGTCTCCTCGTGCGTCTTCTTGAGGGTCTGGGGTGTGGCGACGACGACGGTGGGTGCGACGCCGGCGGTGGCAAGGACGAGGTCCGGTGATGTTCCTGCGACAGAGTTGAATGCGACGGAGGCGTTGGAGTAGAGAGCGGCAAGGGTCAGTACTAGAGGGAACGATGCCGATAGCGACGCGGAGGGCAGAAACAGATCAGCGGGCGAGAGGCGCTCCCTCTGCGGGATGGCGGCGAGTTGGGCGGAGATGCCGGCAACGAGATTCCCTTGGCTAAATTGAACCACCTCCTCGAGGTTCCCCGGCTTGGATTGCCAGAAGGTGATGACGTCCGGCGACGTGGTCTGGGGGTCGACCTCGGGTACGTCGATGCCGACCCCGACGGGGCTGTTGTCCAGAACGTCTTGCCAAGTAGAGACGTTAACGCTGCCACCAGTACCCTTGGGAACCTCGTTCCAGTCGAGGTGCTTGTTACCCTCGTCGACGACCCAGATGAGCTGGCGGAGAGCCGGATAGCTTTTCACCACATTGTCAAAGGGGAAAGCGCCGGGCGCGGTGACAACGGTGTCGGCGTCGGACGCGCGCAGCATGGAGATTATGACATCCTCGGGCTGGTCGAAGGGCAAGAGGATGGCAGTCAAGTTGTAGAAGCTGGAAGCGAACAGTGTGGCGATGAATTCGACAGAGTTGGGAAGGTATATGGCCACCCTGCTGCCGCCCTGGGCGGATATGTGCTGTCCAATAAGGTTAATCTGCCGCGTAATGTCCTCTAACACTCGATTAGCCCTCGCTTGCCGGATGAGAGATAGCAGAGAAACAGCGTACTTAGGTCATGTTCGAGGACCTTCTCGCTGCCTAGTACGGTCAAGATGCGGCCGGTTGCCTTGTTGCCGGAGTCCTCGGAATTTCCGGTCACGACTCTACGCCAGACGTCCCTTAGGTCTCCGTTCCGGCCCGGCGCCCATTTCTGTGCGCCAGACTCCCGGACATTCAGGCCGCTGTTGAGCGGCATGCCATGGGGCGCCGAGTTGCCACGGTAGATAGGAGATTCTCCATTCTGTCGGACCGGCGAACCTGAAGCCTGGCGTGCGAGGAGCATGGGATGGATGTCAGGATCAACGCGGTTCATGACGGAATATGTGACGATGAGCGCGAGAACAGTGACAAGCACAGTGGAATAGACATTCCACTGGGCCAGCAGGGAACTCAGCCCATCGTCGAACTGGTTCAGAAGGCTAGCAACGCCCATGTTGGCTAGATGGGGGCGGGCTCTTCTCCTATAACGAGATTCGGATTCGGACGGATTCGGACGCAGGAAAGGATTATGTTCTCATGAGCAGCAGGCGTTTGCTTCGACATATGCTCTGGTCGGGCGGATCAGGCACCGGCCATCCAAAGGAGAAGCGGCCGGAGGTAAGATATAAAGAAGTGCGTAAGCTGGGGAAGGTCGGGAGGTGGAGAGACACGGGGTGGGTGGTCTGTCTCACTGCCGAGATGTTGTTGAATGGACGAAGCCGCAGCTGAGTTGGTTCCCGCCTGTTGGCGGGGCAGAAATAGAGTGGTGGCCAGTACGGAGTATGGTAGGTATGAGGTACTGCTTACATCGACGTGGGTACATAGCCGGCACTAGTGGGTACATGCGGGTGGCAGCTAATCGCGCTGTCTACGCGATGTATCTCGCCGGCGTCAAGGCCGTATCGCAGCTACGTTTTAGCCCTGCCCGGTACTTGCGAGTTCCGGGTGACGTAGCGATCCCACCAAAGCGGCAGGCTGCACATAGTTATGTATATGTATGTGTATATTCATACGTACATACTCTGCCAATACAAGTAAATACATAGCGTGTACGTATTGCTTACTCAAATATTTACTACAGGTACGTATACTTGGTACCTCTTAGGCAAGTGCCCTCTCCGCACAGCTATTAGATAATCCACCAACCACCCACTAACATCCCCGAGTGAGTTGAAGGACTTACGTAAGAAAGGGTACCGGACGATATGTTACTTCGTCAATTCCGGGCACTGGCTCGACAACCGCCTATCCCTGGACAATAAAAACAAAGCGACAAGGCGTCCTGGACGCAAACTCGACAACCACGGCGCCGACATACTAACATCAGTTACTAACTAGCACAGCAGCAGGCGAAAACGCAGAGAGGCAGCGGCCTCATGCTATAAAAATAATCTCTGAAACGACCCCGGCTGCGTTGATTCTCGCCTTTGTTCTCCCTAATTTCTCCCGTCGAAGCTGTCGCGACGCCCTCGCCGTTTGGCTTAGTCTAGTAAAACAACCCTCCCACGCCCCGTTCTCGAGGTCAGTCCCGGCCACCAAGCCATCACCTACCCGCATCGCGGCACGAAAGAAACGAGCACGGCCACGCAGTATGTCTCTATCCACCGCGCAAACAGCTGTCTCAACCCCCAAGAAATCCACCGAGGCGCCGGTCACTGAGAGCCCGGGGACTTGGCGCCATCCGCGACTCCCAGAGATCATCCGCCGACAAGAGGCCACCAACTTTGGCGAGAAGAATATCCGGCGTATTGCTATCAACGTTGCCGTGTTCGTCGGAACTATCGTGGCACACGCTCTGCTCACGCGCCTATTGCCGCCTAAGAAAGCGTTCCCGTACCTGTATGCTGCTGCCCTGGGCCTGCGTCCCCATCTCCAGCCGGATCAGGGAACTAACCAGAGGGTCTCATCTAGTGTGTGGTACTATTCGCGATGCGCGTACTGGGTAGTGCTCTCGATACCTCTCCTTAACATAGCCGTCAATTGCCTCCCCCTCGTGAGGCCGAAGGACGATCTCTCCGACATTCCCCTGACCCCCGGCCAGCGGCGACTGCTGGGCCTGCCGCCATCGTCCGCGCCTCCTACGCCGGGCTCCGCCTTCAGCACGCCGCCGCGTTACTCCCGAACCCCCTCAATCTCCGGGTCGGCAGGTAGCAGGCGCAGCTTCTCGACCTCGCCGCTCTCGAACCGCAGCATCTCGTCCAACTTCGGCAGCTCCGGCACGCTAACCGGAAACGGGAGCCTGAACGCGAGCTATCTCGGCCTCGGATCGCCGGGGAGCCCGCTGCTGCAGAAGGCGATGAACGGCGCGCGACGTTCCTCCTTCAGCAACTCGCTCGCGTCGAGCACCGCGAGCGCGAGCATCATGAACGCGAGCACCAGCTCCTCGTTCTGGGGCGGCGTCCCGGACAGCCCCAGCCCCAGCCCGTCGAAGAGGATCAATACCCTAGGCTTGAACAACAAGTGGTTGTACGAGAGAGGGCGGGACCGCAGGAGCTCGGCCAACGCCTGGTTGCAAAACTAGGCACGGGAGCGCCGATAATGAAATGACGATACACACTCCCATTGTCGGGGCGTTCGCGGCCGGCAGCTTGCAGAAAGCCCTCAGCATCAATAGCGACGTGGTTCATGTTACATATAGTACTCAGCAGGCTAGGCGTTTTGGTCTCCCAAATCCAACCGTAATGAGAAAAAAAAAATTATAAGCCACTAGTCCAACGCTCTTGTCCTGGTGTGAAGAATAGCTTGTCGTGGAAGCCCCGCGAAGTATCCCGAACATCGAACCCCTCGCTGTTTGAAATGCTACAAGAACCACGCGGCAATGGACCTACCTGCCTGTGCTCTGGTACACAGAACGGGCGACACAAGCGAGTCTACAAGGAATACACGTGTTGACGTGTCTCTCCCTCGAAGCCTCCGACGTGACCAATCGCCTTGCTCCGCCACTCTACCACTAATATTATGCGGGCGAGCCGCAGTGAACGCTTCGGATGGATGTATTACTGGCGGGCGACGGCTGGCCTGGCTATCCGCACGGGACCTTTTCTCCATCCGCTCGCTCCCGTTTCTCGAGTTTTTTTTTCCTGCCGGCGATCTGTTGCGACTGCAGCTAGAACGGGCCTGCGAGGATACGGGGAGGGGTTTCGGACGCTTAGCCACTTGCTCTCAGTCAATCTCTTTTTGTGGCTGTACATACACAGAGATAGAAAAGGGGAATTCTAGAGTAATCCGCGCAGTCCAGCTCTTGGCAAGCTCCGAACGTCCAGAACCAGAACTACGAGCAAGACACGCGGAAACGAACCAGCAATTCTATGGCAAATAAACCATAGCTATACTTCATCGCTCGACTCTGCAGAAGTCGCCGTATTCCGGACGGGCACCAGGGTGACGAGAGAAGGGGGTTGGGGGGGTACTACTCGGCTACGCCGGCGGTTGCCTACAAGAAAGCGCGCATAGGAGCTCGCAGCCATTAGAGTCAGTCGACAAAGTCCTGACACGCCGGTTTCCATTATATTTCAGCAAGCATACTACCTCGTCACACGGCCCGTGAGAAGAAGTCATCCAACCGGCGGAATAGGGGGGAGGAGAGCGTGCATATAAGTCTTCTTCGCGGCGTGCATCCACGATCCCAAGCGCCGGCTCCTCGTCGCAGCCGACCTGCCTCCATCTCCCGTCCGCCAGATCGTCGAGGCTATGAATTCGCGACGGCTTGTGGTCCCCGAGGGCGCCGTTCGCACGCTCGAAATGGGCGTAGGTGAGATTGGCGCGGGGAAGATATGGGGAGGCTCGGGCGGTGGTCGACGACGGGCCAGTAGGCATAGTACGTGTAACGCGCATCCAGACCTATCTACATACGTTCCCACGATAATGGTGCAGCGTATAACTAGTGTAAAGTTCGCGTACAACTCAATACCTGTAATGGTGGGGAGTATGTTGCCACGTGATAGACGTATTAATCGTTGGATACGTCCTCGTAGAAGCCTTGTTAGTGCTCTCTAGGAGCTAAGCTATGTATATTTCTAAGGGCGTTGAAGGTTACAGGGTGTTGGAAAGTAATATCGTGTCCAAAGGCAACCCCGGACCCTACTTATCAGCCTCGCCCTCGTCGTTCCGGGGTACATATCTAGGTTGGTGCCGAGGCTCGGGATCGGACCGCCGGTTGAAGTCAAAGACGCGGAGGTAGCAGCGAAGCGTAAAAAGGTGTGGCAGCCAGAGATCTGTCTCGGTGTGAGTGGAACTATGGAAGAACTTCGACGATCAAAGTAAGATGAAACAAGATCACCCCCCGGATGAGATGAAACCTTACACTGGATACTAGTTCATTGCATAACATAAAAGGGGGACGAGGCGAAATGTAGGTTGCAGAGAAGACCCTGGGGTGCGCATTGATTCACCGTGTGGCGAGATCTGGTCTCGTTCGTGTCGTTCGCTCCGCCGGACATTTGGGGCAGCCCGGGTAGTTAAGTCGCAGAGCAGGCCACAACCGGAACAGGCCTGCTAACGAGTCGCGCATTTTCTCATTGAGTAGTCACGCAAAGTAGGGCGATCGAGGGAGAGAGTTCTTAATGGAGGTCCTAGCTATAGGACCCCCATTTACGTGTATTACACCTCGAGGCACGCCCCGGCGCCCTTATATGCATGCTTTCTACCAATGGTATCGGTCTAGATTTCGACCCAAGTATGACGGTATGCTTCCGTGTGCTTTCTTACTCCGTTGACCTTATGCCCATTTTATTGAATGCTTGTCGTGTCCAATCGCTCACTTTGTGTCGAAAACGCCGGTCTAAACAACGAGCTTAATCATTTGCTTTTCATCTCCGTCGCTTCATCTCCGCCATCGTTTCCAGAACATCCAAGACGGTGTCGAGTCGCCAGAGCTAGTTTCTCGCTTCGTAACCTGGTCGCGACCATGTATTCTCAAAAAATACACCGGGATGCCAGAGAGGACGAACGTAACCACGATGAGCGTCTTTAACGGCTGGGCAAAGATTGCTCGGCTGAGGAGGAACAAGCTCACGCAGCAGAAGATGATCGGCGTTGTGATCCACGTTTTATACGGTCTCTCAAGATTCGGTTCCTTCACCCGAAGGATAATTAGGCCCAGTACCGTCAGGAAGTAGAACGAGTACCCGGCCACGCCATAAAACGTAACGAGTTCACCGAATTCACCCACTACCACGTAAATACCCGTTAAAACGCAATTCAACGCGAGCGCGTATACTGGGGTGAAGAAGAGTCCGGTTTCTTCATCGCCGACCATGTTACGCAATCGCTTCGAAAACCAGCTCCTGGACCTAATAGTCGAAGTCCCGGCCTCGCGAGAGCCAATACCAACGCGACCGATGATAGTCGGGATATAGCCCTCCTTAGCAGCCGCATAAACAAGCCGACTGCTCGTAAATGTCGTGGAGTTGAGGGCACCGAAACAGGAGGCGCTAACGATGAGCGCGAAGATGAGAGCGCCGATGGGACCGAATACTTGGCCGCCAAACATCACAGCGACCGTGTTCGTAGAATTGAGCGCGTCCAAGGGCAAGACAAGGAAGTACGAGACGTTGGCGAGAAGGTAGCAAACGATTACGAGGGGCATAGCCGTGTGGATAACGCGCGGGAGGTCTCTCGAGGGGTTTCGAAACTCGCCAACGACGTAATTTGTCTGGTGTTGCATGTTGTTAGCTAGAGGTAAGCCGTACCGGCTCTATACGCAATAGCATATCTCGAGGGGTTGGGGTGCACACTCACGTTGTCCCAACCATCGTAGGCCCAGAGCCCGGCATATAAGGCGACGGCCCAATGGCTCCCGTCTGTGCTCGTGCCATCGAACCAGGACTGGTTCTTCCAATCCACACTAGCGGTACCAGAAGCAGAGAACCCGGTAAGCGCTACGACGATCCCGACGACGGTGACGCCGATCAAGGCGATGAACTTCAAGAACATGAGCGTATCGTTCACGCGGGTGCCGAGCCGGGTCGACACGCAGTTAAAAAAGGTCACGAGGATTAGTCCCCCGAGGCCCACACCTTTGGCGACCCAGGGATTAACCGTCTCAGCTTGAGCGCCAATAACGGCGCGCACGAGATATTCCCCCATGATGATAGCTATGATGGCGGTGCTCCCAGGTTTCAGTACTAGGACGGCCACCCAAGTGAAGAGGAAGCTAGCTAACTCTCCCATGATCTTGGCTAAATAGGCTTGGGCGCCGCCATTGAGGGGAATAGCACCGCCAAGTTCCGCATAGCTTGCTGCACCCGTCCAGGCCAGGACTCCAGACAAGACCCAGACAATCAAGGATGCGCCGGGAGAGCCAACGTTCGCGTTGACTTGGCTGGGCGAGGAAAAGATACCGGAGCCGATGATGAGCCCGATGATCAAACTCAAGCCGTTCAAGTAGGTGAGGGTCTTGTGCTTTTCCAACGAGACTCCGCCTAGCCCCCCATTACGGTGTGCGGTAGATGTCGGGGCGCCGAGGGGGGTGTAGCCGGGGGCGTTGGACGAGGAGAGCGGGAAGAGATTCGCGGCAAAGTCGAAATTGGAGGTGACGGAGTAGGACCTGCGTTGGCGGGACCCGAACTCGGCGCGGGCGGCGGGATTGTTGTGGTCCAAAGGGTCTTCTCGCTCTAGCGAAAGCTTTCGCGACGAGGATATCGACGGCCGCGAATCTGTGTCTGAGTAGGCGTCGGGGTCGCCGGCGGAAGAGGCTAGCGACGCGAGCTCGAGGGAATCTCGGGCGCTGGGGTGGAGGGCGGAATATTGAGTGGGCATGGCAACTGCAGTACAGGTATTATGTGAGATGATATTTAACGCCTTAGCTAGTGTCTGTATTCTCAGCCGTGGCAGAGGAAAGCATTGTCGGCAGGTGAAGCGTCGCGAAGTGGTGGATTGTCGGGTGCAATATGGCGGCGTCGCTAGAGAGGCGGTAATGTCAAACTCCAGGTAGCCAAGATTTCGCAAGTATTGCACGGAGGAGGAGTAGGAGGGGGACAATTAAAATTAAATGCCAAAGCACCGTAGCCAACTTTCTCAGCAATTACGGACGGGACGGGTATCGCAATACACTTGGATAGAGAATGGAGTAGCCAGAGGAGAAGATGTTATGGAGACGGACCGGAAGCGAGAAGATGGGACAATGAGCTTAAGGGAAGACACCTGGAGGACGTGACCCATGCAGAGCTTAGCGTCGGTTGGCTGTCACTGGGCACTAAGCGACTGAGAATGCGCCCAGGGTTACAGCTATTCCCCCCTATGCATGTACCTATACATAGTACCTCCCCCCTAAAGGAGTTGGCATGTTAGGACTCAGGCGGTCGCCCGTGCTCCCTGCGTTTTTTTGGTTCTGAGGACAGTACCCAGACATGTTGTTGGCTGCGGTCGCATACCATTCTGTAGGTACCCTATACGTATTGGGAGTCGTCGAACCCAACCAGGGTACCCAACCTTAGGTGGAATGACCTCCTATGCAGGTTTCTGTACGAGCCGGTATTTTGAGCAGCCTAGCACAACCCTCTCCTAGACTTCATCGAGCTCCATCCAACGCGAGATAGGTGTGGTTGGGATACTGAGAGAGCCTGGAACCCAGGCCAGGTGCTTAGGAGACGACTATAGAGGACGGCATTGCTGTGAACGCCTCATCCGAGTACTCTATGACGGTATGGCTTCGGATCGACTAACCCATGGCCAACCGCTGTTCACATGGAGCCTTTCTCCACTTTGATCCCTCAAGTGCTCAATAAAGTATTCACCACCTCCCCCCGGATCTGCAGGAACCCCTTGGCGCTCACCATATAGGTATGCTTCGGCGGCATGACGGCGCCAAATTTGTCTACCTCGACCTTCGCAATAAGGATCCCAAGCGCGAACACGTCGGCCGGGCTGTTCTTGGTGAGATGCGTGGTAAATTCCCCAATGGACTTATTTATCGTTGACCTCGCTCGGAGAAATTGGAGACAATTCCTCACCGAATCCGAAGGGAACGATTCGATTGCGTTCAAGTTCGAATGTGAAGACGACTTCGTATCGTCATCTCATTTACCTACATCTCTCAGAGCTGGCCCTCCTTACGTCGACCCTTGGAACGCCTACCATTCACGACGAGGAACATGCCGGTGTTTGAAGGAGTGAAGAGTCTGTTTGACCGACTCTGGCCTCGCCCAGAGTGTGTGTGTGTTTGAGGAAGACGAGGAAGACTAGCCAAGGCTGGACCCCATAGCTCGGTAAGCCGATAAGGTTGCCCCGCTTTCGAGTTGAGTACCTAAAAAGAGGCACACATCGACACCTTCTCCCATATCTTCAGGGAATCTACCCCAGAGCGCACGCGATCCATCCGATTCGTGTCGAGAGGCTGAGGGATAGTCATCCTGCCTACTCAATCCAGGGTAAAGCCAGCTCTGGGAAACTGACTCTGATGAAAGTGCTCGGTCAACATCCCTAAACCTGCCCCGCTGCAACACCCACACCACCCCCGTAGGGCGTCGGATACCGCAAATCCGGTTCTAACCTCGTTTAGGCCAAGTCCTCGAAATAGGGCTTTAAGGCTTTGACGTAGATGTTTGATGTTGCGTAGCTCTAGGGTCAACGATGGGCTGGCGTAAAGTCCTAGGGGCGCGCCCAACGTACCTACCTACTCCAAGGTCGCTCCTAGGTATAAGTTAGACGCTTGCCTATGCCCACATAGAGTACGCGTAGGGGGTATCGAGGGTGGCTACTCACGTTTAGACTCGCCTATACATATGCATGGTAAGAAGGAAGACCAACCTGGAGATTATTTTTAGGGATGGTCTCCCCAGGCCAAGCTTCCCATCAGTTCGTATCGTCTAGGCTTGGAGGGAGTTATCGATAAACAACTCTGTTACCACCCGGAATTTCACAACCCTCTCTCTAAAAAGCCTCGACATTCGAGGACTGCCAAGCAACACTTAACTACAGCATATAGCTACCATGCACACGATGTAGGCGTGCACATCACAAACACTCTTCTCCATTCCTTTTCCTGTCGGGCTTCCAAGGCTTCTCAATTGCGCTGGGTTAAACAGGCTAGGATTGTTGTTCGTTTGACCCACTTCTCCCTAGCTCATGGCATGGCAGCCATGCGCGCTCCCTAGATCGCATCCAATGCAGTCCCTCGCGGGAAGGGCCATTGGCCAACCGAGACCGTTCCTGAATCTATATCGCTCGAGACCTCGATACGCCGTCCCTCGGCGGCTGTACGCGACGACGCAGCTCGACTTGCCTGCTCTCGACCAAAAATGGCGCCAAATTCGAAAGCAAAGCGAGACCTCCAAACCTCAGTCCGCTCAGCCTGCGTCCGCCGACGATTCTATGTACATCCTTTCCATGTTCCCGTATCCCTCTGGCAATCTTCATCTCGGCCATCTCCGAGTATACACCATAGCCGATGTAATAGCTCGCTTTCGTAGGCTACAGGGCCGCCGCGTTCTGCTGCCTATGGGTTGGGACGCCTTTGGGCTACCTGCTGAGAATGCCGCTATCGAACGTGGCATCGACCCCGCCGTCTGGACGCGAGACAACATCGCCCGCATGAAGGAGCAGCTCGAATTGATGAATGCGAGCTTCGATTGGTCCCGGGTTCGTTGAGGCACACCGTCATAGAGACAACTATAACCAGTATTGACCATCGCCCCGCAGGAATTCGCAACCTGCGACCCCGACTTCTATAAACACACACAGAAGATATTCCTTCTTCTCTACAAGCATGGCCTCGTCAGCCGGAGAAGAGCGACTGTCAACTGGGATCCCGTCGATAACACCGTACTAGCGAACGAACAGGTCGATTCGGACGGTCGGTCCTGGCGATCCGGGGCCAAGGTTGAGCAGCGCGAACTCGAGCAATGGTTCATCCATATAACCGAGTTCAAGGAGTTTCTCCTGAGAGACCTCGAGAAGCTAGGAGAGGACGATGCCTGGCCGGAAAGGGTCTTGGCTATGCAAAAGAATTGGCTTGGCCGCACAGAGGGTGCTTATTACCAATTTCCCATCCACGGTGCGGATACCATCTCGGAGTCGCAGGACCTAAAGATATACACCACGAGGCCAGAAACCATCTTCGCCGTTCAATTCGTCGCCCTATCCCCAAACTCGCCTTTCGTGCAGCAATTGGCTCAGAAGGACCCGGGTCTGCGCGACTTCGTGGACCGCGTGAAGGACCTCCCTCCGGACACTACAGAGGGCTACAGGATATCGTATCTGAGAGCGACCAACCCGTTGCAGTTCATAAAAAATGCACCCGGAGCTAGCTTCAAGCCTCTGCCCGTGTATGTTGCCGCCTACGTCAGGGGAAATTATGAGACGGGGGCAATCATGGGAGTCCCCGCCCACGACGCGAGAGATTTTGCATTTTGGAAAAGACACCACCCGGGCGAGAAGTTCGAATATGCCGTCACACCTGAGCCGGATGGATCAACGTCCGCCCTGAAGGGCGAGCCTTACTTTGATGCGGGGTATTTAACACCGATTACCGGTCCTTACTGCGCAAAGCCCTCGAGTGCCGCGGTTAAGGACATCATTGCCCAGATCAACACCGACTCGAATCTCGCGGAGGGCACCACAAAATGGAAAATCCGCGACTGGTTGATTAGTAGGCAGAGATATTGGGGAACCCCGATTCCGATTGTACATTGCCGCCACTGCGGGCCCCAGCCCGTACCGGATAGTCAGCTTCCCGTCACTCTCCCCAAGGTTGACAATCACTGGGCGAATGGTCGGGCAGGGAACCCGCTGGAGTCTGCCACGGATTGGGTCAACACGTCCTGCCCCAAGTGCCACGGTCCTGCTAAGAGGGACGCTGATACGATGGACACTTTTGTGGATTCGAGCTGGTATTACCTGAGGTTTCCCGATCCGAACAATTCAGAGGCACCGATATCCAAAGCTGCGGCTACGAGCCACCTTCCCGTCGATGTTTACGTCGGCGGTGTTGAGCATGCCATTCTTCACCTCCTCTACGCTAGGTTTGCGTACAAGGCCATTATGGGCACTCTCTGGCCCGAGTTAGAGGCAGACAAGAACAAGGAAGACGACGCCCGCACATCGCCACCCGGCTTCTCCGGGGAGCCCTTCAAGAGACTCATCACGCAGGGCATGGTACACGGTAAGACATACTCTGACCCGGATGGCGGCCGCTACTTGAAGCCAGACGAAGTAGACCTTTCCAACGCTTCGCAGCCGAGAGTGATAGCGTCGGGAAAGACTGCGACGGTGACGTTCGAAAAGATGTCGAAATCGAAACATAACGGCGTAGATCCGACTGCTTTCATCTCCAAGTACGGCGCTGACGCCACGAGGGCCCATATTCTCTTCCAAGCACCAGTTGGCGAGGTTCTCAATTGGGATGAAGACAAGATCTCGGGCATCACGCGCTGGCTGCGTCGGGTATACGACCACGTCCAAAGTGTCGGGGGCCTACGTGAGCCTCTGTCGACGCTAAGCGCAACCTTTAATGGGGAAGTATACTTTGATCGACCTGCGGGAGCACTGCAGGGTATGAGTGCCCACGAAGCAGCGCGGTGGGCGGCCGATGTGGAGGTCTGGCGCACCACACAAAATGCCATTCTCTCCGTCACCAACGCGCTGGAAAAGGTTTACCCGTTAAATACGATGGTCTCGACCTTGATGAGTCTTACGAACGTGCTCATCGAAAATAAGGCGGTTTCGGATCTGATCAAGTACGAAACCACGCTACAGCTAGTGCGGATGATGGCGCCGATTGCACCGGCATTCGCTGAGGAGTGCTGGAGCATAGTCGGCCCTCAGAATGACCGGAGCATCTTCGTCGAAGGCCAACGCGCCTGGCCCGTACCAGACGGGTCGCTGCGGCTGTTAGGGCGGAGCCGCATCAACTGCGCCGTCCAGGTGAACGGGAAATTGCGCTGCGTGGTGGAGATCCCAACCAAGCCGGTGGACATCGCGGATGGTAGCCCCGAGTTCCAGGACTGGGTCACCGCGGAGATCCTCAAGTCCACCGACGCGCAGGCCAAGCTAACAGGTGGCAATGACATCCGCAACGCGCGGAAATTCTTTGTCGCTAGGGGCGGAGCCGTCGTCAACTACGTGATGCCGAAGAAGTAGATTAAAAACGTGTGTATATGTGTATATGTAAGTAAGTGAGTAAATGGATACCCAGCTCGGTGCTTTTCGTCGGATGTAGAAATGATATACCTACTTAGAACGAAGAGGAATGGGAGTAGCTTGACTATACCTAACTAGGATCAAGATATACGGGATGCCGTGAATTACCTACCTACATTAAAATATTGGTGGGTTTTTTCCTTTCGTCCTAGGTAATCATTCTAAGGGAGAGACATATAACGAAACCCCTATCTCAGGGTTCTACCGACTTGTCAACCAATCACTAACAGCCATTATCACGGACCGGGTTAAGTAAGTGCTTAATCCCGAAAGAGAAAAAAAAAAAAGTCCTACTAACACTGTGAGTCGGTTTTACTACGACAAAATACAGGCCTCACTAGCGACTCTGCTTCCTCAATTTCAATCTCACCGCGACTGCGACCCGCAGATACATCTTTCCCTCCCCCCGAGCACGAACGGGGGCGCAATGCCGCGTCTGCCACCGTCCCTGTTCCGACGCGCACGCAGCATCTCGCCGCACGTAGCGACGCTTCTCCCCGCGTGCCGGGACCTGGACACGGCGCGGCGCGAGCTGCGGTGGATCCGGGAACACGCGTGTTCTGTCCTGTCTCGCAGCGCCACCCTGCGCGCCCGTCCGCCGACCGCTGCGCACTCCTCGCGCTCGCCGCGGCGGAGGAAACCGAGGGGTGAGCAGCTAGGCCATAGGCCAGGGACGGGAGCCGACGGGCGGGGAGCCAGCCGCGGCAAGCAACAAGGCGAGAAGCGCGCGGAACTCGACCGGCTCGTGGCCCGCCTGTGCCGCGAGCGCGGCGCGGGCAAGCCGCTGCAGTACGTGCTGGGGTCGCAGCCGTTCGGGCCGCTGGAGATCGCGTGCGGGCCGGGGGTGCTGATCCCGCGGGCGGAGACGGAGGCGTGGACGGCGCGGGTGGCGGCGGTGGTGGGCGAGGCCTGCGCGGCGGGCGACGCGCTGACCGTCGTCGACCTGTGTACGGGGACGGGGTGCGTCGCGCTGTTGCTGCACGCGCTGCTGCAGCGGCCGGGCCTGCGCATCCGCGGCGTCGACGTCGCGCCGCGCGCCGTCGCCCTCGCCCGCCGCAACCTCGCCGCCTACGCCGGCGCGGCGGCCACGCCCCCCGACGTCGCCTTCGCCCGCGCCGACGTGTTCGACCCCGCCGCCGGGCTCGCCGCCCTGCTGCCGCTGCCGCCGCCCGCTGCACCCGACGCCTGGCCCCGCGTCGACCTCCTCGTCGCGAACCCGCCCTACATCGCCCCGCGCGACTTCGCCCGCGACACCGCGCGCGCGGTGCGCAACTGGGAGCCGCGGCTCGCGCTGGTGCCACCCCCGGTGGCCGGGGAGACCTGGGCCGGCCGCGCGATCTACGCGCGCCTGCTGGACATCGCGGAGCGGACGCGCGCGCGCTTCGCTCTGTTCGAGGTGGGCGGCGCGGCGCAGGCGCACGGCGTGGTGCGGCTGGCGCGGCGGCGCGGCGACGTCGAGATCGAGATCTGGCGCGACTGGCCCGACGCGCAGCCGCAGGACGGCGAGGCGCAGGCCGTCGACGTCGACGGCGTCGCGCTCCCGGTGCGGGGCAGCGGACATATTAGGTCTGTGTTTATCCGGCGGGACGGGGCGAGGTAACTGCGAGGAGGAGGACGGGCGGGGACTGGGGAGCTCTGGCGGGTGCACGTGTGCTATCGACTTGCAGCTCCGTGGTGTGGATTTTACGGGAGGGGTGGCTGCGGTGGTGATACTCATAACTACCTACAGCAGACATGTTCTGGATGGTATGGGTGGCCTCTGAAGAGGAGCACTAGGTCGAGCATGGACTCACGAAGGCATTTCTCGAGCTTGACATTTCCCGTTGCAGTCTTTGGTAGGTATAGTTAATCCAAAGCACTTGCTCTAGGACTGTTGCCTCTCTTTCCAGATATCCCTTCCCCGAGGATACGGTCTATGCGCGGTATTACCTAGTCATTTATTCCGATGATATGTACAACGAACCCAAGAAGAACTCCTTACATATCCACACGCCTGTACAATTAATCGCCCTCTTCCCCCCACTCACGGCTTGGCGAACCGGTCGAAGAAGTCCATGATGATCCGCGAGGCCTGGATATACGTGGGCCCCTCGCCGGCCGCGATCTGGGAGAAGTTGATTTCGGTCGAGGCCCAGCAGTGTCCTGGGCGGGGGCGTCTCGTCAGCAAGCCGTTGGCGCTCCAACACGCGTCTGTCTCTCACCGCCACCATAAGAAGTGAAGAGAGAGAGAAAAAAAAAGGGGGGGGGGGGGAGAGAAGGGGGAGACGCTCACCCATGTCTTCAACGCGCCAGTGCTCCACGACGCCCTCGGCGCCGCCGCACGTCCACCTCTCGCGGCGCACCTTGCCGCCGAAGCTCAGGTCGACGGACGCGGGCGCGCCGTCGCCGCACGCGTTGCGCGCGGCCCAGCGCGCGAGCCACTCGGCGACGGGCGGCAGCGCGCCGCCCTCGCCCGCGCCGCCGGCGTACCGCACGCTCGCGTCCGCGGCGCCGTGGATCTCGAGCAGCGGCAGCGGCGCGCGCGCCGGCGCGCAGGCCGCCGACGCCGCGCCCCCGCTGTCCGTGTAGAACGACCCCGACGCCGCCGCGAACGCCGCGAACGCCGCGCCCGCCGCGCTGCACGCGATCGTGTTGACGAAGCCCCCGCCGTTGGACATGCTGCGCGGGTTTTTTGGCGAGGGTTAGCGGTTAGGTTGATTGTTTCTCTCTCTCTCTTCTTCTTCTTCTTCTTCTTCTGGGGTCGTGCCCGCCTGGAGGGGGAGAGTAGGGGCGGGAGAGGGTCTGCGAGTGGGGGAAAAAAAGAAGAGAGAGCAAGCAAGAAAAGAAAGACAGAATGAGAAAGGGCCCAACTCACCCCGTCGCGTAGATGCGGCTCTCGTCGACGCAGTACTCGGCGCGCAGGTCGTCGAGCAGGTCCGACACGAACTGCAGATCCTCGTCGACAGAAATCTCGGAGTAGTTCGCGCCAGCCCAGGCGCCCTGCGATAGTGGTCAATGCCGTTGCTAGAGGGGAGGGGAGGGGGGGGGGTAGAGGTGCGTAGAGGGAGATTGAGGTGTACTTACTCCAACGCCGTTCGGGTAGACCATTATTTTCTAGAGCGGTGGTGGCAGTTCTCGGGTTAGCTCTCTCCCCCCCTGCCCTCGATAGGGTCCGTCGCGACGACGTACGTTGGCGCTGAAGCGGCTCTCGCTCAGCTTGGTGTCGACCTCGAAGAAGAGCCCGATGCTGCTGGAGCCGTGAAAGCCTAGCACGACGGGGTACGGCGTGTTCTCGCTGAAGTTGCTCGGCAGGTGGAGCGAGTAGCTCCGGCTTCGCCCGCCGCTGGCAATGCTGCGGTACCGCGGCACGCTCGGGAACGGATGCGGCTTGCTGCAGCCGGCCGTGCCCGCCGCGGCGGAAACGGACGCGTCGTCGGCACGGGCCGGGGCGGCGAAGGCACCCGTGATAATGGCTGCCGCGATGGCGGTTGTGTATATAGAGAGCCTCATGGTTTCCTCCCTGTCCTAGCTGTGTGGGCGTGGTTGGTGGTGTCGGGGGTGCGGAGGATGTGGGTCTTGATATCTTCCTAGTTCCCAACCACACGCCATCACGACACAAAAAATCTCGATCTGCCAATCTCAACAGGTAGATAGATCCCTTATAAATTTACAGCCAGAGTGGGAGGATCGGCGGCCCCGACCCAATTACCGAAGGATCGCGTGTGACGGGCTACACGACTACGACGTCAGACACAACCACCTGCCCGAATTGTAAGGTCTGGCGGTTTGAGGCTGTGTTCTGGAAAGGCCTCAAGTATTAATAACTGCGCAGTTCATGCAACAGATGCTTCGAATATTCGTAGTATTCATAACCGACCCCTGTTCCGCTGCAAAATCGGGAGAGAATACGTTTCAAGGTCGGTAATTCGCACCCCCTCCCTCGATGATAATTATTGCCATCAGCATCCCGCATTTCCCAGCTTAACGAGCATTTGAACTCCTACTTAGGTCCCTCCTGGATGACAAAGAGACGTAACATCGTCCCTTTCCTCGGTCTTTGGCATCAATCGAAGCCGGGAAGGGAATTGTTCTATTTCGTTCTCGCAGCTACGGCTGCATGCCGAGCTCGCCGCTGTACTTTTTACGGCAGATTCGTCGCGCGTTAAAGTGCCTATTGCTTAATGTCATATTATCTACGCTATGCCAGAGACTTGGAACATATGTTGGCCTAGTCGCGGACATAATATCACTCTGGGATCTTGTCCTCCCGCTGCTCTTCTTCCAGTATCCCCTTGCAGCCGGCGCAAAAGAAAATAGTTGCGCGATGCGTTTCAGGACTGACAGTTCCAAACGTACGGATGACACTTCGAAGGTGATAGGGGAGCGAAAAGGGGAAACGAAGCCGTATGGCCTCAGGCACACCACCTTGCAAATTGCTTAAACATTCGAAATGTGAAAGGAACGAAGAAATTTTATTAAAATGCGTATTTATTCAACAGCGGACACGAATAACCCAACCGGTACTCGATAACCCTGCCGGTCTGGGGTATTATTATACCATGGGCTAGGATCCGGCATATCTTGTCAATTTTTATCTCTGCCACAACTTGATGCCTTGTAATAATAATCTAGGAAGCAGGTTGTATCCGATGCCTAGTACGGAAGCCTAGGCTTCCAAGACCAGAGGTCTCTAGTTAACCGTCCCATCGCCTTCCGGATCCCTTTCACGACCGCTTATCCAAAGGATCGGACGTCTTAATGTACACTTGCGGGCTGAAACACTAAGCAGCGACGGCACCCCCCTGGATGAAGAGCTTCTTCCGCTATAGAAATTATCTGGTTAGCACATGGGCCGCGCCCTCAAGTTCCTAAATGTTCTAGGGGCAGGGTGCTTACGTTCAAGAAAACAGACGTGATGAAGCCTATGGCACTGGTGCCAACAAGATAGAAGAAAGCGTCCCGGATGGCCAATGTCACTTGATCGACGACCAATACCTGCTCCTCGGGTACCAAGCTCTGATAAAAGCTTCCGCTGGTTCCAGTAACCAACTGGCTGACCTCATCGAACGAGGCATTTGGCAAAACGCCGGAGATATGAGTTATGGCGATGTTCTGGAAGATGGATCCGGACACTGCAAGGGATATTATGATGCCGATGACTTGCGCTGCATTTTCCAGTCTGTCAGCGAGGCAATCTGGAAATGCCTTTATGCATTTTACCGTGAGGTATCGGTACTTACAGATGGTCATAATGGAGACGGCATTGTTAATGTCGGCAGCTGGGGACAGTGCTGACACCACGGCGATACCGGCACTCTGGAAGCAGCCTGCCCCAAGCCCGATGAGCACAGTGAAGCCGTAGAGAGCGGAATCTGAGATCGATGCGTCGATAGTGGCTATATATACCCCGTATTAACAAACAAAACGTCGAGTCCGATAGAAGATAAGAGTCCCACTTACTCATACAAGCGGCGCCAGCTAATAGCAAAGCGTTGCCGAAAACATACCAAGGAAAGTAGTAGCCGAACTTGGGCATCAAAAAGCCGTTCGAAAGGCACCCGAAGACAATCATGCAGATGAGAGGCAAAATGCGGACACCGGCGTCCAAAGCGCCATCGCCCCTGGTGAACTGGAATATTAAAGGTGTATAGTAAATAGCCATCATCATGGACCCTGCGACGAGCATAGCTTGGAGGGGTAGGATGAGAAGGTCCTTGCTGCGCATGACATGCACAGGAAGCAGCCTCTGATCAGACGGTACGAAGGGGTGGAAGTAAGTGACGAAACCGAACGCGATCATCAGAACGACGGTCATGACCCAGAGGGCGATCTCCGAACCGCTGTTCCAGGCGTACAGGGTGCCACCGAAACTGCCGGCCATACAGAAACAGGCGCAAAAGGCGGTAAAGATGACAATTCCGACCCAGTCCTGCATAGCGAGCTTCTTTCTCCACGGCGTATCCGGCATGGCGTTGATGCTGGGCAGGCAGAAGATGTAGCCGGGCGCGAACACGGCGGCGATAGGCAGGTTGATATAAAAGCCCCAGCGCCAGGTCGCGGCACTCTCGGCGAGCGAGCCGCCCACGATGGGGCCCAGGACGTTGCCGACACCCCAGACGGACATGACGCCGGCGAGATAGATGGGGCGCTCGTGCGGGGTGGTCAGGATGCTGACGTAGGTCAAGCCTCCCACGTAGACGCCGCAACCGCCGACGCCGGCGATGACGCGGCCGATGATGAGGGCCGCCATGTTGGGCGCGGCGCCGCAGATGGCACTGCCCGCCTCGAAGAGGAAGATGCAGATCAGGAACACCCACTTCATGCTGAAGAGACCGAACGCTTTTCCACTACGGAGAGAGAATTATTAAGTCAGCCAGCCGGTCCATCAGTCAGTCAGTCAGTCAGCCAATCGGCGGCGCGAAAGGGGCAGAGGCGGAGACGACACTTGGGCGGGCCACGCACATGGGTAAGATGACGACCTGGCCCAGCACGAAGCTGACCCCGATCCACGCCAAGCTTTCCTGCTCGCCAAACGTCTCAACGATGGTAGGTTGAATCGTCGCGACCTTGCGAGGGACACGCGGTCAGCAAGCATTCAACCCAGATCACAGAACAGGCCGGGTCTGGACTTGGATTTGCGGTTTCGTCTACTCACGATGGTGTTATCGAGCGCGAAGAGCAGGACAGTCGACATGAGCGAAGCGTAGGCGAAAAACCACTAGAGGAAAAGAAAACGCGACGTCATCGTTAGCATAACAGCCATCGCACACGATGGGCGGTGCCAGGGGATGGCGACGGGACGACTTGCTCACCTTCACGCCGGTAATAGTCCTCTTGGGCGGCTCCTGGGGGCTGTCTTGTGCGCCGTCAAGAGTCTGGTGCTCGGGGGGCGTGGTGGTCGAACCCGAGACGGAGACCTTCTCGGGGTCGGCAGGCTGGCCGCCGCCGTTGGTAGCTGCCGTCATCTCGCCGGTGCCGTCTCGCGAGGTCGTCTATTAACGTTGCGATGATGCGTTGCCGTGGTGGGAGCTGGGGGTAGCACGCGTAGGAGGATCGTGGTCGTGGTGAGCCTGGGGAGATGCATGGGAGCCTGGGTAGTAGAGGGGGAGGTTTTTTGTATTTACGCAGCTGGGATAGTTATGGTGGAATTTGTAAGCAGTCTACATTTCTAAGCAGATTATTCGATATGTAGCCTGGACCCATCCCTTAGAAGGCTGTAGGTTGTAGGTAACGATCTGGTAGAGATTAATAGATCCGGCGGCATGAAACGTGTGGTCGTATGATCTCGGCACTGCAACTTGCAATTTCTCAGCGCGCCACGGTGGATGCGCCTCGCTCTACCACAGCGCCCTACACGATTCGCACTCACACTTGCGGCTACCGGCTAGAGAAGACCTATTCCTGATTTTGTTCATCTCAAATACCTATATATCTATCAACGTTTCCGAGGTGGTTTTGCTGGTACCATTCGTCTACCTGGTTACTGTGAACCGTGTGAGTGCCAGCAACCACACCCCATCTTGTCTGCAGTCTGACAGGCAGGGTCTGCTGGGATTACCGTAGGTATGTCGATCTCGACATCCGCAGAACACTCCGCTTGTGCGAGATTGGTTCGATTCGTGGGCTCTCGGATTGGGCTCACACGCAGGCTCTAACGTCCTACTCCACGACTGTCCGATTGGCTTGATTCGGATGCCTTCATGTCCCCTTCACCCTGTCAGTGCCGTACCCATATATCTGTTCTCTCCCCCCGACTGGCCCAACCCAACACGAACAGCGTCAGGCATCCCGGTCTACATCTACCTCCGGGCTTTGCTGACTTCTGTCGGTTACGTAGCCGCCTCCAGTTGGCAGGTTTGGCCCTCAGTCGCGTTGCCCGGCCCTGCCGCTCACTGACCTCCCTCTCCTCGCCTCTACGTTAATGAGGCCGATAGCGAGAAAGCGCTGTCTCGCAGCATCTGTTCGGACACTTGACGCGAAAAACAGAAGCACGATTACGGACGTGCTTTGGGGAGAAAACCAGGGAGCAGGTCGCGGAAAGTGGGAATAGGTGGGAATGAGACGGGGGCGCAGGTACGTACATATAAATTATGGGGCGTTTGCATGGCAGCGGCCCGGGAAGGTGCGGGGCGCGTCGACTAGCGCGGGCCGGGTGGGGCCGAGCCTCAAAATTAAGGTTTGGAAGCGCTGAAGACTTGACTCGATTCGGTAAGGCGCCGGGCCGATCTGACCGATCTACCTATCGCAGATCGTCCCATCTGGAGGTCCCACCCCGAGAGGCCCCACCTGCATGTCGAGCCCCCATTTGTCAAACCTGCTCCTACTCTTTCTCGACAATGCCAAGATCGACATTTCCTTATGTAATAATGTCATTCACGCCTCTCGCCTCCATGCCGCTGAAGGATATCTGTGCTCTGTTTTTGCTACCTTTTCTTCTCTCCTTCTCTCTCTTGGGCCTTTTTTTTCAGGGTCTCCCTTGTGCCATCTTGCAACTTTGCTACTATGAAATGCTAGTCATTCCCGTTCGCAGCCTTCTGAGCGTTCCACTCCTTCATCCAAAAGTCAACCAATTCTGATAGGTCGGGTCTCTTATTCGGATCCCGTGACATACATCGATCAACGAGCTGCTTCCAGGTGATGGGGATATCTTCAGACTTGTCCCAGTCCGTGACGAGCTGGTCGGGATGCTTAATGTCCTCAAAGTCGCTCTCTGGTTGACGAAGAAGCATCCACATACTTCTGCCTAGACTGAAGACTTCTGCAAGCTCGAGGGCCCATGGGCATGTATTATTCCAAATAGGGAAAACATTCCACGTATGCCACGGCGCATCTCCGAGGACGTCCTCGTCTACGTTTCGACGGGGTATACCACAGTATTTTGTGTACCGTAACGGAGGGCGCCCGGCCTGGATGGTCAGAAAGTCCTCGGTAACATCCCAGGTCCCATCCGCCTCGGGGGCGAGGGTTGTGGCTGGCGCGTCGTGCTGCTCCCAGTCGCAGAGAATAAGGTTATCACTCGCATCCGCGACAAAATTGCCAGGCTTGATATCCATGTGATACATCTTTGCGATTCGGTGCGTGTGGAAGACTGCCGTAGCCATATCGGCGCACCAATGCGCCTTGAGAAGTAGAGGAATGCGTACCCCCTTCTTGTTGCTGTCCTCGATGCGGGAAGCCGCACTACCCCCCGGATAAAACGGGAACAAAGCACCACAGAAGACTGGTGAGGCCGAACGGTCCGGCCACTGAATCGTAGCTAGTAACGACGGCGGAGGAAGCACGTTCGGGTGAGGCGGGATTTGCTGGAGGGTGTTGTACTCCCTCCACCAATTGCGAATCAGGTTCCGAATGACCTTATCACCTTGGTTGTCGCTGTACTGCAAAGCAGTTCGAAAATCGACGCCTTTGAAGACGGCGTATTCGCCCGTCGGTAGACGAACCCGCGTAGTACAGCCTCTTCCTCCGAGCTGCTCGTACCGGATGAGGCGGGCAAAGTCTACCGACTCGGCAGGACCAACCGGCGTTCTGCCGACTTTCGACTCGTCAATTTTAGGCCGCTTCAGCAAGGGTATGTTGACTTACGACTCTCCTCGGCAAGATTCCGAAGAAATTGGGGAAAGAGAGGATGGTTGTAGACATTCCACGTAACTTTCTCGATAGAGCCGTCTATGCTGTCGACCGCCACAACGGTATCCAACCTGATTCCGAGATCGGCGTGGGAGAAGTAGCGAGGCCAAACGTGACGAATTGCCCCCCAGATGGCGGCGTGCAAGTCCTTGATGGTAGGAAAGGTGGCTGCAGCGTCCTCCGTCTCGAGTCCTTCATATTTGGTGCACACTCGATTGGCTAGTGAGGTAGGAGGGTTGCGGTTGTCGGCAGAAAAGGAGAAGATGACAGTGAGATTTCGTCCATATCCCTGTGCGTACACATTACTGCCTTCATCGTCGACCCAAACCCATTCGGGCTCAAATTTATCGTATGTTTCCATCCTTCGTGCTGTAGTGTATGAGGGATGGTTTGTGTGAAATTGTGACGAGGATTTTGTGCGAGTGGACGAGGGCTATCTATGAGTCAATGGTGGAACGCACGGGACTTCGTCCGACGAAGTCAGTGTAGAGAAACCACGAATGGCAGTTACAGTCCATACATGGCTGAAGTAATGGCGTTCGGAATATCGGGTCTTTAGATTCTGCATTCAAAACGACGCATCAAGTTTTGGCGTAAGAGCCTAGGACTGATGCCTTTGGTCCCGGTTTCTTGCCCCGCGATCTGAACTCTCCAGTTTTCCCACGGCTACAGTAGCTACGTCATCCGGTCCACTTTTGCTGCCTGGTCATGGCGGCCGTCCCCAGCCGCCCGCAGATGGCCACGCGTCGGCTAACGATTGTCATTTGGTCGACGGGCGGCGATGTGGATAGCAACCACTACGAACCCAGCAGGCTCCATGTAGGCCGAACTTAGGTGTCTACCGGACTGCAAAACCCAGCTACCGCTTCATTTTTAAACGCCAAAGGCCTCCAGAAACGGTATAAATAGATGTTGTGGTGATGGGAATCGCTTATCAATTTTGTTTCCATAAGGGGCCGGAGTAAGAAATGATCCGACACGGGCTTGCCTCGGAGATTCCGCGGATTTGCCCTGGCAAAATTGGCGCTAACTCTGGGGACATTCCGCCAAACAGATGGCCTTCACCGCCCGGCATAATCAGGCAGCAAATTTGTCCAGCATCCTTTTTTACAAAATTGAGCGGCTATATCATTGGCTGACAGCTTTCCCGAACGACCATCCAACCCCGACACTCAGCCTCCACAATACAGCTCCCGAAATGACTAACCCGACTAACCACAACGATCTGAAGCCAGAATCAAGGCCCAAAGTGCGCAACGACGTGTAGGCTTCAGCGTGTACGTGCGGGAGTTTGCCGTAATTCCACGAGCAGGAGGAGCGGGCGGAGTAAAGAGGAGCAGAGGGCGGAGGGGTGGGAACGGGGAACTAGGGAGGAGTAGCGAAAGGGGAACTAGGGAGGAGTAGCGAAAGGGGAGTCAGAGGAGCAGAGGGGAGTAGAGAGGAGAGGAGGGCGCCATGTTGCTCTTGAAGTGTGTGTTTGAGAGCGAGGCAAAACAATACCCAGCCACTTATATCAACCAAAGGACCATTTCACCAACGAAGGGAAACCGGGGCAAGGTTCCAACTCGGCCACACAATGCGCTTTTGAGCCATTGGTCCGCCGATCTACCGGCCATCATGAGGCAGCCAACGGGTTATGTAGATTCATGCAAGGCAGAATGAAGTCGAGGAAGGCAGATTGTTCCCTTGCAGTGGAGATGTCCGTATGTAAGTGAAAGGGGAGGGAGGCCTCTGCCCAAGGTAGGCCACGACATGTGGCTTACGGGCTACGCGTGTCGAAGAACCACGAGACTCGATTCTTCTCAATGAGTCACGGGACCGTTGTTGGTGAAGTTTCAAATTTAGAACTGCATGATTCTAAGCCTCTTCTGCCTGCTGTTCCATGTACATCTGAGCCGCCGTTCCTGCCGTATCGTCTCGATCCCGCCTGCTTCCTGGTCGCCGCGTCAGCTGGCCCCTTTCTCGTAGTATCGGCCGGAGGAACTCCCCTGTCGGCAGGGCGCAAGATGTCCTATGAGGAGATCCTCAGGGCGTTCCGGATGCCGTAAGTCTAGGGGCGCAGGCGGCCTCCGCGGTCAGAACTTCCTCAACGGGAAACCTTGCGTTTCTGTAACGGCATGCGGGCGTATGATTCCGCCTGATCGACCAAATGGAAAGTGGTACTCAGGCGAGGCTGGTCCGAACTGCGTTCGGGGCCCATCCGTCCGAGCTTCCTTTCGTCTTCCAACAACGCTACCCAGTTATGATGACACCCATACACCATTGAGCGTTGGCCATCGAAACCTGCCCTGCTGGCGTGGCTTCTTGGTGTTGGCCCGATTCCAAGCGCCGGCGTCGTCATCAGCTGAATAGGCTCATGCCCTCGCTGTGCCACGATGTGCTGATTCCTGGTTTGCCCGCCCCTAATCTCGCCAGGTCCCTGTTCTTGTCCGCCTGACCCCAGGCACCCACGCCTCTATCTAAGAAAGCCCTGATGGCCACGTCGGACTGGCACCATCAGGGATGCCGCTGGTCCTGGGTATGGTCCTGCCCTGCCGCGTGTACCTCTCCGGTCCACCGAGATTGAGAACGAGCGGCGAAGGGCACCATGCGTCTTCCTCAGCCCCTGAACGGCCAGCAATGAACCCCAAGACCGGTGTAATCCCTGGGAGTTCAGAATGTCTGCCCGCGACGCCTAGCCAGGGGCGTCCCGTCCCTGTTCGCGGTGACCATGGCGATTAACGTTCGCGTACTTCGTTTGTCGACAACCAAAGACTTCTAGCCCGTTGGCTGCTGTTCCCTGGGCCACGCGGCTGTGCAGGCCTGGCTCACCCTGGCTCACCCTGGAGCAGCGGCAGCTCAGGGCCATGCGCGGACATGGAAATTGCTGAGGGCAACTCGTGCGTAAAACATAGAGCTGTTCTAAAAGACGAATCCCGTCATTGCCCCCCTATAGGGACGCGCGTGATTTCGGATTACTTTTATAGAGATTATACCGGCGCTACATACCCTAACATATGTGCTAAGTAACCCTACACCGGCATTAACCCGTAGCGCTTCTAATTACTTTATAATTAAGTCCTATAGTACTAATCTCTTGTATAGCACTAGTATAGGGCTAAAAACACTACTATAGTACTAGGTTACTACTGTACTAGACTATAGGCGTACTACTTTACCAACCCTGGCTTCAGGCTACATATACTTAGGGATTTTAGTATACGTTTTGCCGGGGTTTCCTGACGTCACATGTGGAGCGCGGCGGCGTAGCGGATAGCAGAAAGGCAAGCTCGTCGATGGCACTCTGGCCTGCGTAGTCGACTTCCTTTGAGACGCAAATAATCGTTTTCTGCGGGAGCCTAAGAAGTCATCTGATCAACCTGTGTATTGATGTGAAAGAGCAACTATGCTCGGCGATAGCCTCGTAAGGAACCTGACTTTTCCCGACCTCTTCGACGTTACTATAGGACGGGCTCTTAGAGGCACCAATTATCTCTCACTGCCAAGTCTACCACAGTTCTGAAACTCGCTCTCAATACGTCTGTTCTGAGTTGCAAAAGACCTGGGAGAAGTAAGCGGGCATATTCATCGCTTGCCTCGCGAGCAATCATAGTGGGGAGATGGTCAATGGCAATGATGCGCAGCTCAGGTCCGCCTAGTGTGCCCGATGGCAAAATAGCCGGGCTGTCAAAGGAGCTGTATCCGGAATAGACGGGAATTGGGTTGTTCTCGTTATTTGGGTCACAGCTTACATCGCATATCACGCGAAGCCGCCTCTCCGGCGTCGACAACGATTCGAGTGTGGTAAAAGGCGGAACCCGGTGTGCCCTCAGATAGACGCAACTCAAGAGGATATCAACGTCGACAATTTCGGGAAAGGGTCCGCCACGGCTGGTCTCAGCCATGTCCCATTTGAGAACCGACTTCTCGGGGATTCCCTCAGCAAGGCGACATTCAGTTGCCCCTTTTCCGCAACGACCTAGGGCTCCGATGATCATGAGACGGGGGTACTCGCCATCATTTAGTGGCAGTGCTTCTGTAATAGAAGATCGAACGAATTCCACCAAAGCAGAGGCGGAGTCGAATGCTGGCACTGCGCCTTGGGGAACTCTAGGGTAGAGAAGTTGATGCGCCTAGGATAACAAGGCCAGCGCAGCATCAGCAAAGCCCGCGCTGAAGCCGAACGCCGCTATGCGCGCACCTCTATCACCCATGAGAAATTAGAGATCATAGAGCAGACCCCCGGCCTTGGCAAAGCGCGAGAGCTCGGTGGCCCATCCATCCTGCTTCTTGAAACAGTGGGCGAAAAACATTTTTGCGACGAAAGAAACTACAGCGCCAGATTCGTCAGAATGCAAAACGTAATCCTAACGACTTTTGGGTATATTGCCGCATTTCTCATGTTGACATCGAGGAAGTTTCCCTAGCTTTACTTACCGTGTTGCCGTACCCGAGGTATTTCATGCATAATGCCTCCTTCCACATCCCGTTCCTCCTTACTCTAGCGGAGGCGGTAGATGTCATCTATCTCGGAAGCATCGCTCCTGGCAATGCTGAATCCGCTGCGTCATGGGCAGGGGAGTACGGGTACAAGCTGAGACCGCGTTCTATGCCGCAGCCACCTTTCGAAGGCCTGAATCAAGCCCTTCCGCTCAAGCAACCGACATTACAATTTGGTTCTATCACAACAAGACAATTTTAGACCCTAACCGAAGTTCTTTCATTCATCGACATATTCGCCAGACACCAGTGCCAGCTTTATTGCGATTCGGTCCCAGGCAACAAACGAAATTTGGTGGTCAAGCTTTTGGAGCAGCAAGGAATTTCGAAGAGCAGGAAACAAGGACAGCCATTGTACCAGCAACTGTCACAGGATCGAACATATACGGTACCCGGTTTATTCCTCGAGGAGTCTGAAATCGGAATTAACAAAGGAGGACTGATTTGAAAGACCAATTCATACAGTCGTCTATCGGGCTAACATCCTCATCATGATGTGAAATTTAATATTATTATAAGTTGCCAATGAGGCTATATCTGCTCCGGACTAGTCTACGTCTTGTGTAAAAAACCTAACCCAATAGACTACCTTCAATTAAGCAGTAGTTAAGATTTTCTTGAGCAGCAAAAAGGTGACCAGAGTCTAACAAGGTGAAAGGAGGAAAAAAAAAACCAGTGAACCTAGCTAGGCTGAGTTGTCCGACAAAAGATTTAGGGATCGACCTGGGCCTCAGAATTCATGGTGAGAAGTTTGACCTTAGTCTGACCCGCTTCCTGGGGTGGAGTTAGTGGAACCTTGGGATGATGCATCCGCTGTAGGTAAATCGGCAAAAAATTGCACAAATCGCCCCCATTTGCTTATGTAAGCAAGGCGGTGAGAAGAAACTGAAATACTTTCAAATGGACACATTATCCCAGCAAGCGGGGCGGTGGCGTAGTTGGTTAGTGTTTAACCACCTTGCGGGAATGGCAATCAATTAACTCATTATAGGGAGCGCGTCAGACTGAAGTCAACTTCATCACATAATCTGAAGGTCATCGGTTCGATCCCGGTCCACCCCAGAATTAATTTTTTCCATCTTTATTTACGGGTAGACACATTGGCTGAGTTTGCTTCACTTAAGATACCACGTTTTCAATCACGTGCTGAAAGACACGGCGTCGCTTACATGGGCATACTCTTAAGACTATCAGAATCTACTAGCGATGTGGCGCTCTCACATCTATGAGGATGGTTAGACACTGTAAGGCCAGCTGATGACTTGAATCCCAAACCTTATAAAAGTTTAGGCATGAACTGCTTCCTCTGGTAGAGTCTACCAACTACTGTCACGGCACTTAGGAAAGCAGAGGGTAAAAGCCAGAGATGATATCTCCATTGAGTAGGATCTCAAGCTGAGGAGAAAAGAAAACTAGAAGCTATTTCCAAGCTACTAGAGGCAAAGGTATACATAGTCTTAGGCATATGCTTCCCATACGTTCCCTACCGTAGCCCAGTATCAACATACCGCATCTGTAGAACTTGATCCTCCATCCAGACAAGGCCATTTCCTCTTCTGCTTCTGGCGGCCTAGATGTAGGTATGTCGTGTTGTAGGAGTTTGAAAACGACCCCCTGTAGCTTTGTGGCTTTGATTCCGCTTTTAGCTTGTGGCAACTTTAACCAGGTAGCAGAATGAGGCTTCCAACAGCGCCGCATTCCACACACCCAGCATTCCCTGCACACCTTGATGACAAGCATGTACGTGTAGATCTAGATAGGATGAACAGGGGCCTGGACTAAGCCCGGCCTTCCTAGTCATTCATCATCTCAATCAGCTGTTTCTAAGGCAAAAGTCCGGAACCCGACTCTTGAGCCCTTTCCTTCCACCAACCACAACTGCAGCAGAACTTATATGTAGATTTGCGAGACGCGTGTAGCCAGTAAGAGGGATAGAGTACAAAAAAGGGGGGTTTTTCTTATAAAAAAACGCAGTACCCTACGTTTAAAGACTATAATGTTGCAAGAGAGAAAAAAAACAGGTGGTAGGTTGTATGGGTGCGCCGTTCCGTCGATGACGTCGTGCCCTAAACCTTCCTTCGGAAGTCACATTTCTACTGCAGTTTTCGTCCACCATTTCACATTTCATGGCTCACGGCCATCGCAACGATACTTCCCTGCTGCTGCTCAACCATATCCTCCCTCTCCCACTCGTCTCTCCTACACAAACCAGAAATACAGACTTCGCGGCGGTATGTGCAAAGATAATGAGGGAGGACGACCCCCTTGAAGCATTGCGGGAGCTATTTCCAGGCCGCCATAGCCTTCAGGCATTTATGGACTGGGTCTATGAGCAAGTAAGAGAGGCAGCGCCAGAGACTCTTACCCGGGACAAGTTTGTAGTGGATATAGACAACGCTCAATTCTTCGACCTAGGTTTCCTCAACAGCATGCTGCGATCGACGAACGCCCGAGTCCTTCCTTGGGTCGCTGTCGGCAGAGATGGACATTTCAGTTAACGGCTTACTGTCGAGCTATTTGGTCTAGAGGCGACCGCCGATCAGAATCTGGCGTCGCAGCTTTCGCCCTGCATTCTCGCGTTCCAATCGCATGAAAAGCTAGACTTTGTCTTCTTCTGGCTTGGGAAGCTGGAACACACTCCATACACCGATACCGTCGTCAACGCCATCCGTCGCTGGGATGAGACGGGGTTCTATGTCGTTGCTCGAGTTGGACAGAGTGGCAAGATGGACGGCGTTTTGCCGTCTGTAAGATGCCTTCCGAGGATGACGATATGGGTGAAGCTACCGATGTGGAAGATTCCTGGGGACTGTTGCCGACACCACTTGGGGTCCTTGATAGCGTGGCGAAACGGTTCTTTTGCGCACGCCTGGGTGGAAGTCTCGGGCAACTGGGAGATGGATGGTATTACCATGAATGTCTGCTGCTCGTCCCCTATCTTTCACCCACCACATTCCGGCCACCGAGGTAATCAACACACTTCCCGTTTCAAAGCTGGCGATCTATCACGATATCCTCGCGGATGCCGCACAAGCGTTAACAACGGACATCAATCTCTTCATACGCGAAGGCCTTCACATCCCGCAGCGCCTAATTTCGGAAGATTTATTAACCGCCGCCAGATATTACAGCATAACATCAATTCAGGCTTCGCTGCAACAGCTAAACCAGCAGAGTAGTTGGCCAGTTTCGCTTGCCAAAGAGAGAACGAGCGAAGATACCACGTTCGCGGCCATGATGCCAGCCACAAATCGCCTCCGCGGCAGGATCGATGACGCGGGCTGGAACTTTATATGGCCGTCCCCAAGCTCTGTAGTTCCCTCGGCTAGCCTGTACCAATGCCTATACCGAACTTTGCTAGAGCGGGCGGGCTTGGCTAGCGTGAGGGACATAGGGAACGTGAGAGACTTGCTACGGAAGTGTCCTCCTGTCGCTTAGCAAATCCTATGTTGCTAAATTCATGACAGTGTCAGGCGAGCATCGAAGACTGTCACGTAGCGGCTATGGGTATGAGGGAGCGAGTATAAGAGCGTGAAAAAAAAAAAATAAAGTCGATAGAATATTCGTCGAACCACTCCGCTTCGCTTCGTTAAATTCGCGAAAACGTGGGCACGCCGTTCCTCTTCACGACCTTATGAGAAGAGTTGCTGAAGAGACCGGGAACTCTCGGCAAAGGAAGCCTTCATCTGGACAGTGCCGGCAGGATGATGTCACTACTCCTACGGCAGTTTCTAATATGCACAGTTGCATTGGCTAGGCTTGGCGGTTCCAACTCTGAGAACTCTGCGTAATTCGGCGATGGTATCAGATAAGGGGTGGCTAATGGCTCCTCTAGGTCAGAACAACTGGGCGGCTAATCTCCTAGAAGTTAAAGTAAGGCTAGGGGTTCATATAGCCACCCATTAACTGCCTCGACTCTTCATATTCGACGTCCTGTATTATTATAGATATCCGGGACCCACCTGGAAGTCGATCGGAAAACTGCTAGAGCTAGAGTATTCCTGATTCCGTGGAAGATTTAAAATTAACACAATGAGGCCTGCTGCTTCGTTTTCTTACCCGTCACGTAAGGTTACGCTTCAGGTGGCTCTTTAGCCAAGAGCTACTACTATAGAGAGCGCAACCTGACTCAACCAAGTTAGGTTAAATGTATATGTATATAGGCTAGCTAGCTCGACACTCTAGCTAGCAAGTCAGTTAATCTACCTTATTTCCGACATCCACATACTCCACGCGTAACCCATCACCGAACGCGTTGCTCGGAACTAGCTATGTGTCGTTAAGTGAGCTGTAAAGGGCGGGTAACTCGGATTAACCCCTACTTCTCTTCGGCGTCACAACCCCTAAACAAGACTTTGCTTAGGAAAAGAAGTAGAGAGCGTTTCCCCAACCAAGTGGTGCGAAGCTTATTTTCGGTTGCCAATCCAAACCAACGAATGACTCGCAGTCTCGAGCAAACGTCACCAGATCATGTACTCCCTTTAAGGGACTACGCAGACGCCACCACCAAGCATAGACAGGCCTGGCAACTTAGCCCTAAATATGTTTTGAAAGCAGTTACATAAGTGCCAGTCGAGTGGAATTTGCTGTAGAGTCCATGCCCAGCATCAAGGTTTCAACCTCTCGAAACTCGCTAGCTTTATGACGTTAGCCCCTGAAGGCCAGCAAGGCGCCATAACATCTAGACAACTAACGCTAACACGGCCGCTTTAGGAGGACATTTTAATGGTCCCCAATAAACGAGACGATCGGAGCGAATCGTAGGGGAAATGTGAATTCGGTAACCTTCATAGCGTGATGGTAACATCGAAGAAGACATTAAGTTACCTAGATAGTTAGCCAACATTGTCAGCTAATAAATCGATCTGACCGCCTTAAATCAAACCAAGTTCCCTGTTAAGTAATATGGGTATGACAAATCCATGTACAGATCAGTGCCGGCGGGCGCGGCAAGATAACAATGGAAAGTCCCAAGTCTATAAATAGGGTCGAAGGACTTCTTGCGTATGGTCCCAAATCTTTCCTGCTGCCTTCTCTCGAAGCCAAGACACGACCTTCACATTCGGGGTACAGTCGCACTTGTAATTGGCGAGAAACAATCCGTCCGCCGGCTGCCCTAGCGAATTTATGCCGGGCTTGCCCTTCCACGGTACGCCGCGGCCGCCGAAAGCAGCGCTCGTGCTCTGGAACAGGTGCCTCTGTCCGGACTCGTCGTCGCTGATCGCCAACAGGCGGATGAGGGGCTCGAGGACGAGCCAGACGAACCAGGCCCAGAGCGAATTCGGATCGGAGCCCCTCCTCACGTTCCCCGTGTCGACCCACCCGGGCCAGGAGTGGACGAAGGTCACGCCGGGGTTGTCGGCGGCGAGCTTGTCCAGCGCCACGGTGTTCATGGCGGCGTACTGCGGCTGGGCCCTGACGCCGCCGAAGCGGCCGGGCCGGCGCAGGTCCAAGTCGTCCAGGTCGACGGCGGCGCGGCGCTCCAGGCCGCCGGCGAGGACGCTGACGACCCGGGGCGCGGCGGCGGCGCGCAGGAGCGGCAGCAGGCGCAGCGCGAACAGCACGCGCGAGTAGTACTCGAGGCTCTGGGCGACCTCGACGCGCTCGGCCGTCTCGGCGCGCGCGGCGCCGAGCGGCGCGTAGCCCGCGCTGAGGAACAGCAGGTCGACGCGCGACTCCGCGGCCCGGATCGCCTCGCACACCCGCCCGACTTCGCCGAGCAGCGCCACCTCCGCCTCCGTCCAGACGACTTCCGCCCGCGGGTTCGCCGCGCGCAGCTCCCGGATGAACGCGCGCGCGCGCTCGCCGGCGCTCGGGCGCCCGACCAAGTAGATGCGCACGCTCGCCCCCGTGGCGACGAGGGCCCGGATCGTGAGCTTGCCGATGCCCGACGTGCCGCCGACGAAGACGGCGACACGCGGAGCCGTCGCGTCGTTGATGAGCGCGTTCGAGGCTCGTATTTCTTGCGAAGAAGCCATTCTCGATAGGTAGATTGACTGGTTGTTTCTGTTTTCAATACGTCCAAACCGTGTCAGACTGGGAAGGGATTACAAGAGCGCGACGGGCACGAGAAGCAATGTTTTGGAATGTTCTCGTGAATGATTACCTACATGAGAATATATAGAACTTAACAAGCACCCCGGCGCGCGCCGGGTTTCGGGCTCCCGGGCTTTTTCACATGCCGTAGGAGCGACACCCCAGTCTAGTTAGTTTCTAAGAGCCCCTCCAAGTTGCTGTAAACTACGGTGCGCTCCCACGCCGGCCTCGTACTCTCAGTTGGTCTGCGCTATTGCTGATCCTAGATAATTGTAAGTATTCGAAAGTGGACGTTAAGCTAGAATCCTATTTAATTACCTAATATCACGTAGCAGTTGCACCAGCCCTTATATGCCTACATACCGCAAAGCGTAAAAGTAGGCGTCTGCGTTTTACGCGATAATTAAACTGTTGCAACGGCTTTCTCCTCACTGTGTATTCTTGTTCTCCCCAACACTATGGACTGAGTGGAATTCTTTAAGGAGACCGTGCTTGTGTTAGGTTCTAATATGTATCTCTTGCGTATCTCCGGATAAGAACGGCCTTGACTATTATCTCTAACGGACAGGTCGATGGGAGCTCGGCATGATTGTGTGTGAGCTACTCTGGCCCCTTTTATCGTTCTCCCGAAACATTTTAACAGGCTGCCTGCTCCCGGGGCCAAGCAAGCCGATGTTTACAGTTATATGCCCTTCGCTGATAGGGTTCTCTGGTAGAAAAACTTATGTTCGCAACCCCCACTACCTGTAATTAAACCCCGAGACCCAACTGCTAACCGGGAGAGAGAAAGTCTTCGCCGCATAATAGTAATAAAAGACGATCATAAAGGCTGTAATCACGCTCAGCCCGCCGTAGCCGCTCTTGCTAGGTTTGATATCCTCGTTGGCCGTATACTTCCACGGCATGCGACCCGTAGGGAACTCCCCGACCTCGAGGAAATCCAGCTTCGGCGCCGAACTGATGATCCTCCCCAGGTTGTCGGCTAGCACGCGCTGCGGCAGCAGGGGGATCAGCCAGGTCGACAGGATCCGGTACCACACGGTGGGCCAGTTCTGCGCTTCGTTGGTTATCGAGGAGAACTTGAGCATCATCTTCATGCGCTCCAGGCGCTCCTTTTGGTATCTAGCGAGCGCCTTCTCGATTTCGGCGCTGCTCGGCTTCTTCCAATGGTTATCCACGAGCATCTGGCGAAGGTGGTTTGTCAGGACAGAGACCGACTCGATGCTGGCATTTCCCCCCAAGGCCATGTTCGGCATCACCTAGCCCGGTTAGCATTATTATCGGGAGGGGGGCGGTGGCTACGCCAGCGGCGGTTCGCCCTCGCTTACCTTGTGCGCCGAGTCGCCCGCCAGGGCGATTCTTCCAAAGTACCAATGGTCCAATATGCCTTCCTCGAGGTTCACAACGGTCGCACGCACCCGATGCTTCCAGATCTCTGCAAAGGTCAGCGTTTCAGACATAGGTTGGTCGGCGACACGTCTAGCCAGGTCGTCCGCATCCTGGTCCGTGTATCGTGGCACTGCAGGCCAGGTGGAGGGCTTGTCCAACTTGAAGTACACAAAGAAGTACCCTCGCTGTGGGGTAATTGTGAACAAGTGCGAGTAGTGTTTTCCGTGGATAACCGTCAGGTCGGAGGTCCCGAGCTCTGGGATGCCCGTTGTCATGAAGACCAGGCATTTGTAATCTGCCTTGATCGCTGGAAAGGGTCGTCCGTGAGCAGGTGTCTTTGGCAGTGGGGAAAGGGCATGATGCCAGAGGAATCTCAGAAATAGGGGCTGGGGTGATCATACCTGTCTTCTCCTTTACCGTAATCATCCCCGGCGAGGCCTTGTTCGCGTAGTCCCACATGATACTCTTCACCATGCTATAGACCCCGTCACAGCCTAGAACCAAATCACCTTTATAAACTTCGCCATTGCTCAACACCACCTCAACCCCATTCTCATCTTGGGTGATGCTATGCACCGGAGAATTTGTCTTGACGCGTGTCTTGTCAGGTAACGTTTCGTATAAGGCTTCAAGAAACTCCCGCCGCTCGATGTTGAGCATGCCAAAGCCATGACTGAAATTATCGGCCGGCGTGTATAAATTAGAAATGACTCAGATCAACCAGATATCTGTCGAGAGAAGAAAGAGACCAGGTGGTGGGCTCACTTGTCCTCGAGGTAGCGGAAAAAGCTACTATCTATAATCTTCTTGCCGCTTGGGAGCCGTGCATACCAGCGGCCGCACCGGACGGTGGTCTTCTTCACCCGATCCAGACAGCCCAGCTGGCTCAGAATCCGAGCCCCGTTCGGGTATATAGCAATGCTGGCACCAGCTTGTGGCGCGACAGTGGACCGCTTTTCGAGTACGACGTGGTCGATTCCAGCTTTGTAGAGGACATGGGAGGCAGCCAGGCCAGCCACGCCGCCGCCAACGACAATGACACGAAAGGGGGACTCCGGGGTTGACATATTGACTAATTTTGCAGTTTATTGTAATTTGATACTGGTGATATAACTGAGAAATTATAGGAATGGACTGCGCTTGGTGTCTTTTATACGGTTTGGCCCGACGCCACCCCCTGGAGCCAAACGGTGTCCGTCTACCACGCCTCCAGGCCTACTATTCCCTCTCTTCAACATTATACACTTAGTAAGAGCACTGTAGGTAGAACGTTAGGGTATACTCTGACCCTAGACTGCGTAAGTTCTTCGAGCTGCTGTGGTTGCTCTGTCTGCCCGGGCCGGGTACTCCGTTCAACGGATAGCTCCCCTGTCTATAGCTTACTTGGGTGAGGCACTAAACCACACGAGTTACTGTGTGCTGCAATCATCATTCTCCCGAACTCTGTGATTAATACCCCGGTGATTGTTAGTTTGGACTATTACTGCTTCCAGCTGAAAGGTGAAGCTCAGTATTAGATGTGATACCTTGACTTTTACGACTCCGAGCTCGCTCTAGGCTCGGATATCCGAAATCATACCGGCTATTCAGTACTCCAAAATAATCTCGTAGTTGTTGCCTAAATCATGAATAGTAATAATAGCTCCACAAAGAGAGCATACATGGCGCAGAATTCGGGGAGCATCATTTTGGGATGCCCTGCAACTTGGATACGACCTTGGCGCTACACGTAATCCTCGCAGGTATGACATAGTAGCGCTGCTATGGTCTTAGCCGCTTCTACATCACTGTGCGATCTAGAACACTGGATGACGGGATCTCGAAAGGCGCCCGTCGCCCCGTATCTCCGAGCAGCGCTTGCGAAGTCTTTAACCCAATGAAGGGTTGCCATTCCCGCCGGGCTGAGTGGAGCTTGACGGTATAGAACTGAGGGGGGATGCTGGTGCCTTACAGTCACTCGGGAGCGGCTCTCTAGCGAAATTTGCGATGAAGCCGTCTGACTAGCCAACTGGGGAGCAGCCCCGAGCTCAATCCCTCCTTCGGACCGAGGGCGCCGAGGCTCCTGGTCTGCCAGTTGGTATCGAGCTTCATGCCGTGAACCTGGAACCTTGGATGCCATGTTTCTCTACGTGAAGACGTAGTTGGCTTCCGCCGTTAATCTGATATCTTAATGTTTTTACAAATTGGAGATACCTCGCTACCGTTACGCTGCTGCCTATACTGCCTGCGCAATGACCTGATCTACGAGAACGAAGCCAGCAGTGTTTTCTTAAGCGTCTCTGTGCCGTCTATCCCGGATATCTCCGAAATAGTGTCTGCCCTGCTAGGCGCTAGGCTTTCGCACTATGAGATCGCGACTGGATTCCGGAATCGGTCGCATTGACCCCCAATCCCGTCTAATAACCAGCTTACCGAATATCGAGCGATACTTCCGTGTCCTCTTCTATGCCGCCCTCACTTTCCTTTGGGGGGGTAATCTCGTCAACGGGACGGTCAAGGCCCTCCTCCTGGCGGCGTGGAGGGGCCGTTTCGAGAACGGCGTCCCGCTGAGAACAGATTATACGGGCTTCCCTCCTCTGGACTACTGCCTCGCTATCCTGGTCGCCTTCTTCTTCTCCGGTACGAACGGACAAGAAACCGCATATCAGCTCTTCTTATTTGATCTGTACATCAACCTCCAGCTGGGTTACCTATGGCTGTACGCCGAGGCAGTCCGGCCGGGACCGAAGCCGAAATGGATCCGCAAGTGAGTTAACAATACCCCTTACCTGTCACAGAAACAGGAAGGTCGGGGAAGATGGGACTAATACCAAACACCGATGCCCCAGCCCCATGTATTTGGCGCTTCTCTGGCAAGCGTTGGGGGGTGCCGTCGCCATGCCGCTGTACTTTGGGATGCATATCCGATGGACCTGCAAGCAACGGGTTACGAAGGTCGCCGACCCGCACCAAGCCCGGGCCCTGGCCACGGCGTTCTGGCTGGGCGCTGTGGTCCCAATGCTGTGCCTCATGGCGCCCACCTGGCAGGGCCAGGCGTCGCGGTCGCCAGCCACGCAGCAGGGCATCGTCGCATTCTTCCAGCCGACCCCTCTCTATGCGTCTGGTATCATGATGGCGATGACCCGCGTTTCGACGCATCTGGCCGGCGGGCTAGGTTCCACTACAGAGACCCGGAAGGAACAGGCCTTGGCAGGACGGTGGATTCGAAGACTGTACTTGGCTGCTGCTGCTCTCGCGGCCATCGGGCATCTGTACGTAGTTGGTAGGGCTTTCCAGGCCGCTGACGGCGGCATAGTCACATTGACGCGCATGTATGTGCCCTCCCCCTTCCCTGGGCCGGCGGGTGTAGGCGAAGTTCTCGTCCGAGGACCGTGGCTGTTCCTACAATGGGACGGCATCATTATCGCGCTAGCCAGTCTATCGTGGGGGGTGATTCTCCTGAAACAGGCACTTCCAGCCGGAGAGGCTACGACGATCACGGTGATCCTTGCGTCTCTCGTGGGGGCTGTGGTTCTCGGGCCAGGCCCGACGGTTACGCTGGCGCTGTACGTCCGGGAGGGTTACTTGCAGGAGGGATCGGAGGAGCGCACGCAGCGTGGAAATTAGGAGCTGGTTTCGTCGTATTGCCGGTTTATGTCTGCAACGACACATAATATACCACGTAGTAAACGCCGATGGCCAGTGGCATCAAATGTGAGCGTAACACAACACGTGTTATTAGAAGGCGGCGAAGAGTGCAGGTTGATGTTCCTGCAAGAGGGGCGGGAATCGCCAGAAATACCCATTCCGACGGACGTGGGGAAGACGGCAACATGGGTGTAGATATCGAGGTACCGTTAGGTATCTTAGGTGGGTGGAATCGAACTACTAGCCAGGTACCTGAGGTGGGTAGGTTAGGTACCTACCGCATGCCTGTCACTATTCCATGGGTCCTTAGGTGGGTTATCTAGGTACCTTTAGGTGCCCAGTCACCTAACCCACCCAAGTATAGCGCTATAGTAGGTACGTAAATATGGATATCGGGGCTCGCCTATCCATGTACTTCTTAGGTACATGGGAGATGAGCTAAATGACGAAGGCTATCAAGTAGCGCTGTTAGGAATCGAACCTATCCTTCGTTAAGTAGCCTACTGATCTATAGGTAGGTAGAGGTACCTAGTTTCTTATCGCTGCGGCGTATGAACGGACTCAAAGCAACACCCCTTCTTACCTCCGGGATCACCTATCAAAAGAATCGTTTTTTCCTAGATGTAGATATGCGACTCCGTAAAAGTGCCTAAGTCGGCCCTCGCTACTAACGGCCCAGGCCGTTCAGCCACGGTACCTATGTAGGTACCTAGGCGAACGAACTGGTAGCAGCAGTTGAGCCTCAGGTCGGGAGCCAACCCATCACCTAAGCAGGGTATACCCTGCTTACTTAAGGCAGCGTGCGCATGATTCAACTACATACCTACCTAGGTACCTTTACTCCACACTCCTTTGAAGTCATGCTCATGATCGATACTGAGCAATGCATCTAATTCTCCGAAGTTCGTAACTGGCCATCTCGATACGGTACAAAGGTAATTTCTTATTCTACCCCCTCTTCTCGCTGATATGATACACGCACGGCTAGATTAGACATGACGAGGACGGCTAGGTGTATTCTATCCCGCTAAGATGCGTGAATTCACAGAAAGAGGTAGGGTGCGAAATGGTGAAAGCGGTGATGCACACCCTCTTTGGTCCTTCAGCGACAGCACTCCCAGCCAACCCTATAACCCCCGTCACCCGCGATTTAATTTCTTCGCGTCCGCTTTCCAGGGACTATGGATCTTGGGCGTCACCCCGTACAGTACTTCGTCTCGCAGCCAGCTCACGGCCATGATCGTCGTGCCGGGCCCGACGAGGAAGGAAGAGAGGAGGCAGACGACCGCCATCCGCGCCCAGCTGAACGATCCTAGGGGCTGGTCCGAGAAGCGCATCGAGTTCTGGAGCTGCGCCAAGAACACGAGCATGAACATCGTGAACCCGAACACCTGGTCCCACAGCATGAACCCCCAGATCCCGTCCCCGGGCGTTCTCACCACTTCCATCCCGATCGGCGGCACCGCGAGCGATAGAGGACGCAACGCTTCCGCGTACCCCGGGGCGAATATGGCCGGGAACAGTGCCGCCGAGAAAGACACGGCCGTCACGGAGGCGTGCATGGCGAAGCCGAACACCACAGACCCGACGCCGAGCCATCTTACCGCGCGTAGGTGCGCCTGCCGATCCGACAGCTGGCGGCCGGCCAGTACTGCGCCCAATAGCGGCTGGAGTGCGTATACGATGGCGACCAGGATCAAGGGAAACACATTCCAGATGACGATAGCCCACTGCTGAAAGTTGCCGGAGACGACGGTGGGCGACGGGATGCCCATGAGGACGGTGGTGCCCGCGAAGGCGACGAGCGTGGCTGGCAGTAGGAGGCTGGCAGCGATGGGCGACGCGACGAGCGAGACATCCTGCAGGGCGCTAAGCCCGACGGACGGCGAGAGCGTCGGCGACGAGGCGAGGTAGACAAGGGCCCAGGCGGCGCCGCTGGACCCGACAGCAGCAGCAGCGAAGACGAGGTACCAGAGCACAGGCCGGAGCAGGGACGCGCCGTTGCCCCTGCGCAGCCCGTCCAGGTAGATGGCCACGATGGTCGGGGCCATCTGCCCGGCGAAGTAGAGCCCCGCCGCTGCGTTCTTCGGATGCGAGCCATCCACCGACTCCCAGAAGAACACGACGAGCGTCCGCAGCAGGTAGTCCACCGGCCCGATTCCCGTGAAGCTCGGCAGCAGCTTGCACGCCGATCCCGGGAGGGTGTATTCGTCCTGTTCCAGGGCCGCTGTGATCAGACCCAGACTACCGCTCCCCACCGTCCGGCCCCAGGTGGCTATCGTCCCCAAGACACCCAACCCTACGAAGACGGCTTTTAGGCTTCGGCTGCCCGAAGAAGAGTGGCTTTCGTTCGACATTGTGGCGGGAATAAGAGAGGTATTGTGGCTGATAGGTGTGTGTGTGTAGTCTCGCGGCAAGAGAGGGGGGCGGGGGCAGAGAACGCAGGATTCTCTATAAAGCTATCCAGAAGAGCTTTGGAGACCCACCCAGAAGGTTTGCTCTGGGTTGAGAGATATAGGAGATGGACCTGCTTACCGCGCGCCTCAAGACTGCCCCGGATATAGTGGAGTCCGGGCCGTCCCGGCCCGGGATTCATGGGATAGTGCTCATGGCGCGGCCCAGGGAGGCCGAAAGAGGAAGCGGAGGAAAACAGAGGGCAAAGGGCGTTAAAGAAAAGAATAGTTATCCTGCCGTGCCCTGATTCTTGATTTGTCAGAATCGCTGTCCGGAGCGTCTTCCTCGCTACCAAGGTACGCAAAACAGAGCCTCCAGACCTTAGTGGCTATATTATTCCCCGATAAGCCGGAAGCCCCGCGGAAACCCGCATCCTGCTTGCTGCTTACCTTACACGGGCAGCGATAGGGACTTACGTAACGTCTATCGGGCATTTTCCCTACGAACGGTATCTTGGCCTAGAATCAGCATGCGGTGGTGTCGATCCGGTGTTGATCGTCGAGGCTTAGTTAGGTGTGGATACTCTTTGATCGGCTTCTAATGACGTACGCCGGGACGACTACCGTAACGGGCGAAGCGTTCGTAACCGGCAAGGGTTGCTTGGATTATTTGCATATCTAGCTTGGTTATTTTCCTAGTAAGGAACCCTTGCAGAATCTCTATAAGCCACCGTCCCCTGTCCTCTCACGAGAGCACCTTATTGTTCCGTTCCGCTAACCGGCCATCGCCACCCCCTGTCGCGAGCCGCTCGGAGTAAACTCCTAAGTAGCAGTGTTCCCCGGGCGACAACGCAGCGGATTAGACAAAGCCGAGGGTGAGATGGGAGAATTGTGGTAAGTCCGGCCTGGCCCCATATTAAGTCCTATTCCCCCAGGGTCTCTGCATGACCTACAGCCAGACCTCGAGAACAGGCGACGTGTGGTCTTATAGGTTGTAGCCGGGGTTCAACCGTTGATGTGGTTGTCTAGTCCATAACATTGCAACATCGAGAGGTCTCCACGGAGCTAGCTCGATGTCGTAATACCGAGAACCCATGGCGAGATAGCTAGAAGCGTCCAGTATGAGGGCGGGCAACCCGTTAGCCGCCGGCCTGCCACGCGACTCTCCGCATGCTCGTTGCAGACGCGCATGCAGCCAGCTGCGGTCATGCTCTGTCGGATCCTCCTCGACCGTAGGTGGCTAGATAACGGCGTGCGAGCATGCATGGAGCATGAGACCAGCTGACACGCGGATAGTCGGTGAGAGCCGAAGCGCATCGGCGAGCTATAATGGTCTATTTCTGGGTCGAGCACGGCCAGCCTCTAGACTGAATAGGGTAGGTAATATCGTGAGGGTCGTCGGCGACGAAGGGATTCGTGTCCGTGGTTCCTTTCTTTCACCTAGGCCTCTACGATACTACCCTGTTTCTACCCAGCATGCTCATTGCCAGACCCGATAACGATTTGGTTGTTTCAGTCCAGTCATTATAAACCATGCTTGACGTGGGGTAATAATACTCTTATTCCGCTTTGTATCGGCTTCCTCTGCGTATGTACGAATTCTAGGCGCTTTGCCGGGGGAGGGGGAGGAGGAAGGCGAGCATGGGTGTCCGATGACTTTCTCGTGAGCATTCATGGTTAGTTAAAAATTCCTTCCTACATTATCACCCCTGGTATAATGTCATCCCCAGGGCGTGGCCTGTCTGTCAGCTGTTGAAATACCACAGTTGGCCCTCTGTTAACGCCGAAACCTCCCCGGTCCAGCATCCCTTGCCTGCAGGAAGCGCAAACTACCTAGTTATCCCCCTCGCCTTATCAGTGATCTGGGATATGCTCACGTAGGGGGACTGGGGGCAGAAGGAGTACGTCAGACGAGACGCGAAAATCGGACCCAGGGCGGACTGGGGCCGTGTATAGTGAGGATTACATAGTAGTGCCGCCCCCGCATATGATAATATCATGTGGGGGGCGGGTGAACACATCCGGGTTTAGTTATGGGCACAATCTGTATAATGTGAATTTGCCCGGCTCATAGTCTGGGCCTGATCCTCCATTGCCTACGTTCTCGAATAAAACATTCTCGCCGTTGGTTCCACGGATTGTGTGAGAGGCGACACATGATGGCATGAGGCGTGGAGGGAGCTATGATATATGTGCATTTATAAAGTCGAACCCGACTTGTATCTATACCTAACGGTACGGTAAGACCCCATGGATCAAAAAAAATATACCGCGTACGGGGTTACGGGGTGCTGACCCCGTCGTCTAACAACTTGACATAAAATATTTTCCGGCAACCCATGTACTTTTTGATCATGGGTACCCTCTTTGGGTACATTGTGTACCGGCCGTTGCCGCAACTCCGGACATCGTAGGTAGGTTTAGGGGCTCCGGGGGATGGCAAGGATGCCTTGAGAGCTAAGCTTGTGGTGGCATAACGCCGGCACTCGGTCTTGTCATAATCCCAAATGTATCGCGTTAAGACTTCTTTCTTCTAAGCAATCCGTCGCGTGTTCGTCGTAAGCTACACGCGGTCTTGCCGTCAGGCCGTCAGGACGTGCCCCGAGGCTGCCCCGCGAGGGCGGTACAGGGGTCATAGCGCGTTTTGAAGAACTGGGACAGCTCAAGCGATTGTCTCTGGAGATCTTCTTCTAGACTGCTGAGCCTCGCGGCCATCGAGCCGCCTGGCGGCGCCACCCCCTCGAGTGCCGTCAGGAGCTCTCGCAACTCCCCGTGGTGCTTCTGCTGCGCTAATTCGCCCAGCTCGCGGAGGCGAATCTCGATGTTCTCGAGCATGCTCCTGATCACCTCGCTGGAATTGAGCGGAGAGCTGTTGGTCGGCACTGCGCGAATCCAGGCGATGTAATCGGCCACTACGGAAGCCATCCCCGCCGCCTCGCACTGTGTGCGGAACATGGCCGAAGAGAATGCTGCGAGTGTGTTGAGGATGACGGCTCCCGTCTCTTCGCTTACTTTCCCCATCGCCGCAGGATCGCGTGAGGGCGTGGGTGAAGGAATCGTGGTGCGGCCCGACGACAGATTCCGCGTATATATGCTCTCCTGCCCGTGGTCACTGCTGTCTTGTTGGGAAGGGTGCCCCCTTTTTGAGTAAAAATCCATATTGGCGTTATCGAAGGTCACTCTCTCGTCTACCCGGAACTGGGCTGAGCCTTTCCTCCCGTCCATCTTATGCTGGTTAACTCCTTGGGACGCCTCCATAAATTCGTTACTTAACATCCCCGCCGCCTGAAGCGACGACTGATACAATAAGTCTGGGTGTCCGGGCTGGTTGGTGGAAGGGCTGATCCCGCCCAGGGGTACGATAGAAGGAGTCGCAACGCTGGACGATACCAGGGTTGAAAATTCGCTGTTACCAGACCAATCGGAGCCGTAAGAATAAGGGGTACTCATGTTATTGTTTGAAAGGCCGCCCATTTTAGAAATTCGGGCTTCTGCTTCACCTTTTCGTGTAGTGTTAGCTAATCGTCCCCGGGTCGGCTGGACAGCGGTTCGGGTTGTCCAACCTAATCTCTTCTGCAGATCCTCCACAGTTTGGGCTAAATCGGCCTTGGTGGCCTTCTGGGTCGGGAGGTAGATACATTCGTCCCCTGACCGCCGGCACTTCTCGCATATCGGCTGCTCGCCAGGACAGCGAACCTTCCGGTCACGGCAAGGCTATATTATAATATGTCACCGTCAGTCCGGGTCGATAGGGGGTTTGGGGAGCAGCCAACCTTGCAAGCCATATGACGCGAGTATCCCCCCATTATTAAACTCGCGTCGGCGGTGGTCATGGTCTCTCTCAAGAAGCGAGGGCCGCGAGTACAGAGGGTAGCGTCTGGTAACCAACGACGGCGGCGGGGGCAACAGAGAGGGAGAACAAGGACAATATAATTAATATATCTTTATAGCACTCGCGTTCCGGATTTAGCAAGGAGACGGTATCTGCCGAAGACAACGTAAGCGATTCGCCAACCTTGCCGGTGCCGCAGTTCCCTACCGAAACGGTTGCTGTAGGCCAACTGGCATCAGTACCAAGTCCGGTCCAGGATTCGCTGCTCACCAACAGCCCTTGGCGACGCGGTATTTCCTGAGCAAGCGGCTTATCGCCTTGGGTAACTAGGTTCGGATGCGATAGAGCGGGCTTGGTTACCCTTGGAGTCGACGCGCGACGATTAGCTTAATTTTCGAAACCTGCCAGATATCTGCTTATGCTGTCTTTGGTGAGGCGATGCGGGGTTCAAACCGCAGACACGCGAGCCGCGTATGGCTCGTCCCGCGCGACGCAGTAGGTACATGTTGGTACCAGGGTGAGAGGCGGATTAGGCGACCTGTGGCCGCGGGGGGACGCGGCATCGAGCCAGGGATGTGCAGTATCGGCATGTACTCCGTAGTATCCGGGAGGGACATCGCGAGAGAGATCAGCCCCAAGCACTCGACGCTTCGATCCACGTGACGACCCCGGAACGGAACAGATGCAGTGTCCTTCTCACCCTAATCTCCTGCGGTTAGGCGCCTACAGGCCTGTATCAGGGACAAACGTCAGGCACCTTGGGGGTACCTACCTATCTGCTTTAGGTGTAAGTAGGTACCTTGACCTTGGGCAGGTGGCATTAATTAGGCCCCCGGGTAGGTACCTAAGGTGCCTAAGCGGGAGGTGGGAAGCACGTAGGGAGCTAGATACCGCACATTCCGTGCTAGGGTTATACCTACACCCACGAACCCGCGGGCACCGTTCTCAATCGCGTTACCGTCTCTCATTCTGGCTCCCTAGGGAATCCTGGAACACGGCGTCGCCAGCGGTGGGGGTCAGGTCATCCCTAAATATACCACGTAAGGAGTAAGCACGCACTAATTGGTTCACAATTCCAGGCGCTGGTAATGCCGTGGTGTATGCGACGAGGGAGCGTCTCATGCGCGCGCGGCTTTTCAGAGCGGAGCTAAGCCGCTTCTTCTTCATGGCCAGGCCGCCGTGTGCGCACCCGGAAAGACACCAGCCATATCCGATACCAACCAAACTGCATGCGGACGCAGTGAGAAAAGGCCTGGGGCGGGAGGCCTATACAAGACCTTCAGCGAAGAAGACACCGAGCACGACTAAATACGAATACGACCACCATCAAGGCGCCTCCCAGGCTTGCTTACCTACCTAGGTAGGTAGGAACCTAAGTACGTGTAGTGATGGGCTAGTAGGAGGTAACTTAGGTAAGTCAGCCTCCGGACGGGGCGGGAATAACCCGCTACGGCAAATATACCTACCTACCATCGACATCTTCCACTACCGTGGCGCATGCGACCCCATATGCGACAGGTCAAGCCAGCCAGACAGGCTCCCTCTATCAGCACGGCGCGCATATCAGCACCACTGCGCCTATCGTCACCTTCTCTCTCCAGCTCGTAGTTAGTGCCTGGTTAAGCGACAATTAAATAGCGCATACTGCGCGAACCAAACGCCGCCCAAGCACCTACCAGGGCGCTAACATACCTACGCGTTCGTTCGACAAAAGAATATGGCACCGGGGCGAGGCGAGGCAAGTCTCTGCGGGTTGTCTTCGATGACGGATAGGAAAAAAGCCCATACTTCTACAAGCTTGATGCCATGAGTATTGCAACCCATGGGTATTGCAACCTTCGCGAAGGCATCAGCTCACCCGTGACTAATACGCGCCGCCTTGGGTCTTTGGTAAAACCACCCCAGCGATCGACGACTACCAGCACAACCCCGCCGATGGAGACCCAGAGCTGATGACTTTGGACGGATAAGGGATTGACAACGTATAAGAGGATTTATTTTTTCTGCAGGGCCGCTTAAGCCGCTGGCGAATTGCTTTCGACCAGGAGAACCACTAGGTATGCGGCAGGCTATTTTTGCTTGAAGGAGACGGGAGCGGCTGCGAAACCTCGTCAGAACAAGCTTTCGTTACCTAGGTATGAGGCCATCGCTGGTGGGGGCCAACGCCCAGACGGAAAACAGGGATTGTCCCCTAACATCTGCGGCAGCTATGTATGAGTATGTACACACCACATACTACAGGCCCCACGATGGCACGGCGTTCGGAAATACGAACCTGGTGTGCCGATTAGATCGCCGGTCGGTTGCGATACGAAGCATACGAGGGGAAGGGCGGGGGGATTAGGTCAGAATTTCGGAATAGCTTCAAATGTCGCGTGTCACGGGACAGGAGGGGTTTTGTTGGCTACGTGAGTAGATCAGACCAGCAGTCACACTATTCGCGTTGAATACGGCCACCATGGCCCCTCTCCCCCCTCCGCAACGACAACAAAAAAAAAACCAGACCAGAAATACTGAGAAGAAGAGCACACATACAATACAACCTCTCAGCTGGTGGTCAGACGGATACTGCGCTTCACGCAATGCGACCCCCAGTTCTAACAACCACAACTTCTTACATGACTTCAGAGGTCCCCTTGGACGAACTGGGTAGGGATGCATCTACACTTGCCGAGATAAGTCGGCGCCGTATTACAATCAGCTGACAACCCCAATCCAGAAGATCAGCCACAGGAATGATCGTCAAGTAATACCGAACTAACACCCGAACTTCAGAACCCGAAAACGGAACTCGCTCTTGTCATTAACAACCATCATATTTGCCCTCCGCGAGATCGCTCGATGAACGAATGCCTACGTGAAAGCCTAGAGAGTTTCCATCCGCTTCCGTCCTTCCCCGCTGCCGTCAGTCTCGCCGACCTAACCTGCGCAGGACATGCCTCCGTCAATGGTGATAGGCTGGCCAGTGATGTAGCCGCTTTGTGGGCTCAGGAGAAAGGCCACTACCTCGGCTACCTCCAGATCCGTTCCTAGGCGGCCCAGGGCCGCCGTGGGTCCCCTGCCGTACATGTCTGCAGACGCCGTCTTGCCCATGGACGCCGCGACTGCCTGGAGCATCGGCGTATCGATCAAACCGCTGCGCGTCCGTTAGCGCGGGCCGAAGCCGGAGATGATGGAGGGGGGAGGGGGGGGGTTGGGGAAGACATGAAGATTGGAGAGAAGGATGAGGAGACGCGAGGCAGGACAGCGAGAGATATACTCACGGCGCGATAGCGTTCACCCGGATGCCCCTGGGAGCTTCCTCCTTGGCCACGGTGCGCGTTATCCCGATGACGGCGTGCTTGCTCGCGACGTAGGGCATGTAGCCGCCTAGGCCCATGAGGCCGGACAAGCTGCCGGCGTTGACGATGGCGCTGCCTTCAGCGGCGGGGGCGCCGACGCCGGCCTCCCGCATGTGCGGCAGCTCCGAGCGCAGGCAGTTGATGGTGCCCCGGACGTTGACCCCGAAGATGAAGTCGATCTCGGCGTCGCTGCTGTCGCGACCGTCGCACGCCGCTGCCTGGGGCAGCGTCACCACCCCCGCCAGGTTCGCCGCCCCGTCGATCTTGCGCCCCGCGAAGTGCGCCATCGTCCCCGCGATCCAGGCGTCACACGCTGCCTGCGAGCGCACGTCGCACGGCGAGGTGAAGACGGGGTCCGTGCCGTCGCTGGTCCCCTTCGCGGCATCCCCCCTCGCACTCTGGATCTCTTCCTTTAGGGTTTTTAGGCCAGTCTCGCTCACATCCGAAAGCGAGAGCAGGGCGCCGCGGCTGGCCAGGATCTTGGCCGTGGCCCGGCCGATACCGGAAGCGGCGCCGGTGATGACGACGAGTTTATTCTCGAAAGAAGCCATTTCAGACGAATAGAAGTAGCAGCAGACTCAGATGAAGGACGCAACGTTTGCCGCGCGATCCCCCCAGACTTTCTAGTATATTTTATGTTCTCCCCAGAAGTCATGCATGTGTGACGCTGTCCTGTTCTCACTCGTTTCGGTCCGTTCGGATGGATGGATGTAGGCAACGTGCCATAAGACTACTGTACCCATTAACACTCATGGTACACCACCGGAGATTTCCCCGATGGCTTTAAGACCTATCGCCGCGGTGAGTCTAAGCGTTGATGAGGTTCTAGATCCTGTCTAGCCATCAATACACATACGCACCCCAACCAGCGTGTGTTACTAGGTTTCAGCCCCTAGTCCTCCGGAAATATCCTAGCAACCGGGTCGCCCGGCACTCGTCCCTATTATCACCTGCCCAATTGCCTCGTCGACCAACTCCCTGCAGACCCGCCGGCTTATCCGCGGGCGTGGGGTACCTACTTTCATTCGTCCCCAATAATGGTTTGGCCCTCGCTCCAAGTTCACTAGGCGACTTCGTATCGTAGGTATACCGAGACGAAGGTGACCAAGGCCAAGATGCTTGGTCCCCAATCAAGCACCAGGGTAGAGATATTCCGGGGCATCCACCTGCGCCAAGAGCCCTGCCGATACCCCGTCGTGGGAACCTGAATCGGAGGATTACAAAGATTACAGGAAGTCCGTGGGCCGAGCCGCGCCGGCTGATGATATAGACCAAGGGTGGCCCGTTCCGCATCCCGGGGATTAACCGCCGGCCAGGGGCGAATATCGCCTGCGAGGGACTCGCTGACCGAACCCCGGCCGGGCTCTCCTTTTCCCTTACGTCATGCCGAGATGTGGGTCCCGGGCCGGGCCGAGAGGTCTATTCCCGAAACCCTCGGACCGAGAGCAGTGTAGAGCATCATCCCAAACTAGAAGTGAGCGTCTACACACCGGGAACTAAGGCATATCAGACGTCGATGATGGGGTTGCCATACCCCAAGAGCGAGTCGCAGGCGGTGGATATATCCGCACCTAGGTTCTCGCGGAGGTGGGGTGGGTTAGCTCTCCAGACCGCAAGTGTTTCTTGGCCCCCCCTTTCGAAAACTGTACCCAACGCCACGACGAGACATCATGGCATCCGAACTCCAAGGATTCGCGGCCTTGAAGCCGTGCTGTATCACCAAGGTGAACGTCGACGTGCAAAAGGGAATCCACCCTTTCGGTACGTAGGACTCGTCCTCTGGCGATCGGCGATGAATACGTTTGCTCATAGCTACTAGGGGAGGCCTACAACGGCTCTAGACTTACGCATTTTGTACGTATCGGCGGCCTTGTCACGCTCGCCGTGTATCGAGGCCTACCACTCGCTAACGCAACGTTTCCTCTCTCTCTCTTTCTCTATAGGAGTGTCCTTCTGGGACGGTCGAGAGCGTTCCCGGATTCGAGCCGGCCTTCAAGGCCAACTTCACTTTCGGCGGAGACTGGTTTTCCATGGACGCCGATGGCAAGCACGGACGCGTTGACTTCCGGGGAATTGCGAGGTGCGTGATCGAGAGGCTGAACGTCGACGAGCAAGGGCTAACCCTGGGCCCGGCCTCCAGAAGCGAGGAGGGACACGAGATCGACGTCCGCGTCTACGGCATAGTCAAGATGGGTCCGGAGGCCTCGAAGGTCTTCAACCTGCAGCCGGACATGGCTACGGTCCCGTTCGGCTGGATCAGTCAGTCCCACCCCTTCCACGCACCAAGACACGATTTCCTACTGACGCCCCCTATTACAGCTGCCAAGGCTGAGTACATAGTTTCGGACCCCAAGTTGAAGTTCTTGGAGACTAGCATTCTCGTCGGCAACGCACGCGTACTCATCGACCCCGAGACGGGTGTGACGATCGAGAATAGGCAGTCGATAGTTCTTAGCACGACAGCCGAGTGAATACATGTCTAGGTGGAATTATCTGAGTCGAGAGCGATGTGGGTAAAGCGGTCTGCTGCGGTATTACTGCTTTATTTACGGACAGGGGGTCTAGATCCCGATAGGAAAAGTCCTTCTCATCATGGAATTTGGGCTTGATTGGTTGTTGTTTTCGTGCGGTTATGCGCAATTCCGATCCTTTGTTCCGTAGCACTCGAAATATCCACCTATGAAGTCCTCAGAAGTCACCATCTACCAACGTTGAAGGAAACACTAGGCCTTTTGTCCTCGGAGATATTACTCCGAACCCATCTTCCCGACTCTGTATTGCCACGAGAAAAGTGTGGACGCCTAAATTAACTTGTGTAGAAATGCTAGCATCTAATATACTTAGGGGACGCTTCCTTGGGATTATGTTTCTGGATAGGTACCAATCACAGTTAAGACCTAATATCCTCCTAGTCGGTCTTATTTCCCTTTGAATAACCGCTATTCTACCCTAAAACTCATTCCTCTAGCCACCGTTATCGGGAAATTCAACGAATGAGGCTCTCCAGAAATATATTAACATCTAATCTCTTATGTGAATAGGAACGGTAGGATTTCTTCTTCAGATCGGCACTCTTTACGTCACCCCTCAAAACCCCTCCTCTTCGCATATGGGAATGGCATTTATGTTACTTCGTAGCGGGGCGTGAGAGCGTTAGAACCGATCCCTATTTTCTTCTGGGGCCCCTTTCGCGCGTTGGCCCTCTTCGTACAGCACATTAGCTAGTAGACCCTACACTGACGCGGCCGCAGTAGAGGCGAAGGTGAAGAGTCTCGCGCCTTGGAAGACCACCATCAACGCAGCTGCTGTGCCCAGTATCCGCATCATCTGAGAACCAAGGGATCCCATCGAACTGGGCTCGGGTTCTCCATCCTTGAACGTCATACGACCCGGACCAAACCCCGCATCGCTTAGAAAGTCTAGCTTCTCCCCCGCCCGGATGATCGCGGAGACCTGGTCCGCGATCGACCTGTCCGACTGCAGAGGAAACACCCAAGTATCCATAAACTTGTGCCACGGCGTCTCCCACGACTGGACCTTAGTGACCAGACGGCACAGGTCGGCTACCTCTTTCATCCGTGGGAGACGCTTGGCCTGGTAGGTTGCGAAGATGTGGTCGAGCTCCACGTTGTTGGGTTTCCTGCCCTTGCAGTCTTTCAGCAGCCGAACTAGTTCGTTGCACAGGACTGCTATATCTTCGATGCCGCAGTTCCCGCCAAAGCCCATATTTGGCGTTACCTGTTGCATAATTACTTAGTAAATGTGTAACACCGTGTAGGCTGGTCCCGACCTTGCGTACCTTGTGCGCCGAGTCTCCGGCGAGGACGATACGACCGGCATGCCAGTGATCCAGGACGCCGTCTTCGAGGTAGATGAGGTCGCTGCGGAAGCGGCGCTTCCAGAGCTCGCCGAACGTCATCGTCTCGGAGACGGGGAAGTCGGCGACGCTCTGGGCCAGCGTCTCGGCGTCCGGGTCGTTAGGGTCCGCCCGCTTCGGCATGGTGAAGGGCTTGTCGATCTTGAAGATGAAGAAGAAGTAGATGCGGTCCGGCTGGGAAAAGGAGATGAACGTGTGCCCCTTGGCCGACACCGACGTCATGTCGCGGTCGCCGAGCCCGCCGGGCATCTGCGGCGCCACTCCCACCACCGCCTTCCAGGTTGTAGTATAAGCTGACACGCGCCGATCTCGTGGTTAGCGGGGGGCCGACGGCAGAGCCAGCGGTACGCGGACTCGTCGCGAGTGAAGGGCCGACTTACTGGTTTTCTCCTTCACCGTAATCAGCCCCGGCGTGAGCTTATTCGCGTGATCCCACATAATGTTCCTGATGGTGCTGTACGTCCCGTCGCAGCCGAAAACGATATCGCCAGTCTCGACCTGGCCGTTCTGAAGCACGACTTCCACTCCGCCTGGAACGTGCTTCACGTCTTTTACGCCATTTCCGGTCTTGACGAATGATTTGTCGGGCAAAGTATCGTATAGGATTTGGAGAAACACCCGCCTTTCAAGCAGGATGTAGCTACAGCCGAAACTATAGAATTAGAGGTCTTTGTCAGCGCAGTGTAGACTCACTATAGTAATCTCTCGTCTCGAGCCGCCAGAGCTAATCGATGGCGGTTCATTTTTTATTCCGAGGGGAGGACTAGGAGCTTTGGTCACTTACTTCTCCTCTACGTGCTTGAAGAACCCATTGTCCATCGTCGTCTTCCCGTCCGGAGTGCGATACCACCATCTCTCGGAGGGCACGCACGCTGCTTGGACAGCTTTCAAGCAGCCGAGCTGGTGCAGAACCCGTGCACCATGGGGATACATGGCGATGCTAGCACCTTCCGGGGGCGCAACGCTGTCTCTCCTCTCCAACACGACGTGGTCGATACCTGCTTTCTGCAACGCATGGGAGGCCACCATCCCAGTAACGCCCGAGCCGATGATGATGACTCGGAATGGGCGGTCTGACTCCGACATTTTGGCTAACTGTGAAAGAACGAGGTAGGCGATTACACAATTTCGTTTTCTCCCTGGATAGCACTGCTACGGCCTAAGCGGAAACGGCAGGCATGATGATAATAATATGTTTTTTCCTCTTATTCTTTTGTTCGTTTCTACCTATGTGGCTCAGCAGAGCTAATACCGAAACCAACCACCGCCACTATCTCTCGGCCGGGGGCATCCAAGCTGAGGCGATTAGTGTGCATGGCCTCATTCCTCACCAAACCTGATTAGGGTGACGCCGAATATCATCGCCCACAGTGTAGCGGAAACTGCCGTCATGCCACCGTCGGCCCGGGTAGGAAGGGGGGACGCCAACACCAAGCCGAGAATGGCGTTACGAAACAAAACCGATCACCACATCGCGGTGAGTCCCCCCCTCAGGTATCCTCCGCGGCCTCGCAAGGTCCGACTTAGCCGCTGGATTCTCGGCGTGCATAGGGCTGTCGAAACCGTGAGAGCGGAAACCCCTGCTAACGGCTTAAGGAGGACGGTCGTCTCGGAATATCCGCATGCGATGATAAAGGAGGGTTATGCGAGCCGAGCCTCCCTAGATCGCTGGTCGCCCTCGGCCTTTGTGACGCTGCACCAACCAGGGAAGTCGGGGAGATTCGGACCGGGTCTGTACGTTTCCTCGAATGCTACGTCGTATGTCCACGCCGCAGGCCGGACAGAGGTGTTGTGCATACACACATGCGCTTACGCAGCCAGGGTGTTGGCGGTTCCTACGGCGCGGCCCTCGCTGGACCCAAATACCCCTCCAACTAATACGCCCGGATATAAGCCCAGGAGTCGTAGCGGGGCCGGGGTCGACGCGTTGGCTAAGCTCTGGCAGAGGACCCAAGCAGGTAAGGGGTGGACGGCAAGCGTACCTCCTCATGGGTTCTCTTTGTTTCGTGTTGTTATAGGAGTTGGCATTACACGGCGACATGGTCGGCATCCCAATGTCTTGGTGGAAATTCGGTGTTAGGCTTAGACACGTACTTCGTCGTTTTGTGAGGCTGCAGGGACAAGGGATAATAGGAAGCTAAAAAGACTGGTGGCTGATAGTAATCTACCGTCTTTTAGCAGGCATTCAGAAGATGCTTAACGCTTTAAAATTCGTTGAAGTGTTGATATAGAGGTCCAATATATGATTCCATGAGCTCTGGCGTGCCGTTTCCACCGTGGCCGCCTCCCTATACCCCCCTTACTGGGCTAAGCTTAGGTACTCAATACCTACGGCACGGCATATACTTAGCAATATTAATAGCACCACTAGAATCACGCTTGGGAGCTGCTGAGTGAGAATCGGCGAGAAAAGATTTCAGGGAGGCCTTCTGTTGGCAAATGAACGTGGTAAACTACACCCATCCATGTCGTAAATAATATCGTCTTTAATGCGCTCTCCGGCCTGTTCCTTTTTCCCGTGTGGCCTATTTCTGCGTCCCTGCCGCCCGTCATCCTATCAGCCAAAACATCGCCGCACATAGTACCACAACAGCCATCACCAGCAGCATAACCTGCGCCCACCCGCCAGCATCAACCCCAACATCAGCCGGCACTGGCTTTCCCCCACGCTTTCTGATTTGGACTTGCCAAAACTCCTTCGTCATGCCGCGGTAGTGCTTCGGGTAGTATGGCAAGAACATGTGGGCCAGAAAGTTGGTCTTGCGCCTCGTCTCGACGCCCAGGTCGCTGAGGAGAAGGTCGATATACTGCAGCAGGTCAGCCTCAACGTTCCCTTCGCTCGCGAAGTCCTCCGGACCCTGGTTCGCGGCCCGGCGTGTCCGGCCCCGCCCGCCCCGGCCACGGCAAGACCAGGGGGGCAGGCCAGATTCGAGGGGTGGGTGCTTACAGAGATGTAGTCGTAGATGGCATAGGAATGCTTGAGGCCTTGCGTGAGGTACCGCTTGCCGGTCCAGACGTTCCATTCGGCTATCTCCCTCTCCATCTCGCGCAGCGGCGGCACGTCCTGCAGGCCGAGCAGGAAGGCCACGCCCCACAGGGCCTGAACCTCGCCGACCAAGGGGGTGTAGACGTTGTGCATCAGGCCCGGGAAGATGATCGATCTGTCGCCCTGGGCCGCCAGCGCGGGGGCGACCATCCGCCTGTAATGCCGGCTCGGCCCGTACGAGAGCTCCCTCTTCTCGCCCCCCACGATCTCGGCGTTCATCGCCTTCAGCTTGCGGAGCGGGACCCCCGGATTGCGAAGAACAGGGAGCACCTCGTCGACTGCCTTCACGGCCTTAGCTTCGAGCCCGGTCCACTTGTCAGCTTCCGCGGGATCTAGCTTCAGGCCGCACGCGTATTGCAGCTCGCGACTGAACGGCTCGTAGTTCTTGTCGAAGCCCGTGCACAGTATCACGTAGTCGGTTTGTAGCTCCGTGCCGTTGCGCAGCTTGACCGTGCTGCCCTGGAAAGACTCCGGCTCGCTTCTGTGCACGGTGCAGTCTCCGGCGTGGAACACTTTCCAGAAATTCGGGACGCTGGCACAGCCGAGGCCGCCGTTGGCCCAGAAGATACTGTTCCGGCCGTTAGCTACCACGAATCGTCTCCACGTAGGAGAAGTCGACGACACCACGAACATACCCTTCGCCGCGGGGGACGGTCCGTAATTTGGACGCATTGGGCGTCCTGCCGTATCCAGCATGAGTTTCGGCAATCCAGTTAGTCACCCTCCAGAACGCCTTGTGGCATATCCTCCCTGGAACGGTCCTGTGTATGAGCCTGTAGCTGTGACCCTTTGTGGCCATGATGCTAGCACCAAAAGCGGCGAACATTCTAGTGGCCATGACATCAATCGTGTTTACCAGGCCAAAGATTGTGGGCGGCATAAGGGCAGCCGGCCCTGCCCCGCTCTCCCGGATTGTCCAGTCCACTTGCTTTCCGGCCTTGAGGAGGAGAAAGACCGTGTCGAATGCGGACTTTGCGCCGCCTACCACAGTTGCCCGTTGGATCTTATCTAGAGCATCGAGATGCGTTCCCGTCTCCGACGAGTGGATGACGGGGGGATTGAAATTAGACGTGGGCCATGAGGGGACAACCGCGTGTGATGTCGGCCCCGAGGCGTATATGAGCTTTGCGCACTCTATAGGAGTTTTGCCTTCCTCGAGCTCCAACCTCCAGCCACGACCCGGCAGGTGGATTATCTCGCGGACGGTGGTGGACAGACGAGACCTCCTGACGAGATCGTAGGTCTCTGCAAAGTCCACCAGATATCTGTTGATGGTGTCTCCTGGAATGTAGCCATCGTTACTGATGCCTTCGCGGCGCATGGGGAAGAACGAGTATTCAAACTGGCCATATTTCACTTGAGCAAACAAGCTGGGGTAGATCCTTTCTGCCCTCCAAGAACCACCGACAGATTCTCCATTGTCAATGAGAAGCAGATTGGCACGGGGTTCGAAGTCGAGATACGTCTTGGCGCAAATGAGACCTGTCCAGCCTATAGCAAAAGTGTAAGTATCAATCTCGACTCTTCAGAAAAAGACAGACGTGAGAACAAACCAGTCCCAACCACTACACAATCCACTTTCTCCGGTTCCATAGTTTCGGATAGAATTCGCTATAGACAGGTTGTTACGTAAAGCGTAGACGCCTACATTCACGCTTTGCGGTATGTAGGCTTATATAGGCTGGTTTAATTACTACGTGACACAGGTAGAAATAATTAAGGCCGAACCCGGCAGGTTGGAACTAGATATCGACCAAGAGTTATGTCTCGGATAGTTATCGGCTTTACTCCTTCTATATTACGTGAAAGCCGTGCGATAATAGAACGTCCTTCTTCATCCCTGATAATCGCTTAGCCGTGGCTTATCTCAACAGACGCTTCTAGACTCAATGTTTGATTAGACACCCAGTAGTCAAAGGGGACATGCAGAGTGCTTCTTCGGTGTTTTCTCCCGAGCCTTTCAGACTCCCCGCCTCAAGTTAGGGGACCGGGGCGAGTCTATACCTTACTCAGCGCCGGACCACAGACCCGAAAAATCCTTCCCGCGATTATGGTCAGACACATAAGCAGTTCGGCAGGGTGTCACTTCTCGGATCTCGATCCGGCATATGTTACCAGATTTAGCCTTCGGCCGTTTCGGTCCGCTTACATGACTCTTCCGAATAGGTCTATCGGAAAGGAGGCCAGGGGAAGTTCTCCGAGCTTGCTATTCGGCACCCCAGCTTGTCACCGACAGGCCAGTATGCTCCCAGATCTCGACCGCCCGAGAGCGGGCTCGCCAAGAATGTCGATATGCAAATGCCTATCGAATGCAGCTTAGTCTTATCTTTTGAAATAGACAACAGTATAGGGGTGCGTAGTCAGTCCCGAGCGAGTAAATAGTATACTAAATACACAACCATGTCCAAGTTTGTTGGGGTGTTTCCAAACTAGATATCTGTTCAAGACATCAACTCGGGAAGCTTGTCATTCGACCATCATTCGATCTCTGTAATCTCAGCACTGTAATCCCTTGTGTGGAATCATCACAACATGCCAAGCCTAATCCTCGAGTCGCGGCCCTCCTCGAAGGACTCCCGAGGGAGTCGCGGATCCAGCCGAAACTCGGTTGTAGAAGACAACTACCGAGCTAGTTATTTCCCGGGGTATTCGGAAAAGCCACTTGATGAGCAGTTAGAGCCCATTGCTGTGATTGGAATGGGTAAGCCCAAATACCGAGACCGGGGAGGGGAACCCCTGAAACTGACAGCACGTGTTTCTAGGATGTCGCCTGCCAGGGGATGTTGCTTCGCCAGCTGATTTCTGGAACTTGATGATGAAGAAAGGAACCGGCCAAACTCCCAAGGTTCCATCATCACGGTTCAATATCGATGCCCACTTTCACAAGAACAATGACCGACCGGGAAGCTTCGGCGTTTTGGGGGGATACTTCCTCAATGAGGATCTCTCGGAGTTTGATCCGGCTCTCTTTAATATCACTCCCGTTGAAGCCATATGGATGGATCCACAGCAGCGGAAGCTCCTGGAAGTCGTCTACGAGGCGCTCGAATCCGGCGGCGTTTCGCTCGAGGCTATTTCTGGCACTCGGACAGCCGTATTTGCTGCCAGCTTTACGGCTGACTGGCAGCAGATGTCCTTCAAAGAGTCTTCCTTCCGCCACAGCCTATCCGCCACGGGCGTAGACCCTGGTATCATTAGCAATCGAATTAGCCATGTCTTTAACCTAAACGGTCCCAGCATCATGTGCAATACGGCCTGCTCCTCGTCTGTCTACGCCTTACATAACGCATGCAATGCCCTTCGGAACCATGAGGCTGAAGGCGCTATTGTTGGCGGTGTCAACTTGATCATCACCGTCGACCAGCACATGAACACCGCAAAGCTCGGGGTATTGTCGCCAACCTCGACCTGTCACACGTTTGATATCACCGCAGACGGTTATGGCCGTGCCGACGCGGTTGGCGCTGTCTACCTGAAGCGTCTTTCTGATGCGGTTCGCGACGGTGATCCGATCCGCGGGGTTATTCGCTCCAGTGCCACCAACTCGAATGGAAAGGTCCCTGCCGTCGGCATAACGTACCCGAATAGAGACGGACAGGCCGACGTGATCGGCCACGCTTATAAACGTGGGGGAGATCTCGATCCCCGTCTCACCGGCTACTTCGAATGCCACGGCACCGGAACTGCCATCGGCGATCCTATCGAGGTAGAGGCTGTGTCCATCGCGATGAATAAAGGGCGTAAACCTGGAGAGGACCCCTTGCTGATTGGGGCAGTTAAAACCAACATTGGGCATAGCGAAGCGGCCAGCGGCTTGTCAGCGCTGATCAAGGCCATTCTGATGGTTGAGCGGGGTGTTATTGCCCCTACTAGGGGTCTTGTTACGCCGAATCCTAAGATCAAGTGGGATGACTGGCAGGTCAAGGTGGTCACAGAACCAACGCCCTTTGCTGCTCACCTCCCAGTGAGACGAGTGTCGATTAACAGCTTCGGATACGGCGGTACTAACGCACACATTATCGTCGAGGCCGCCGAGTCTTTACTGGAGAAGGAACAGACTTATAAATTTATCGACAACACTACAGATAAGCGGCCGAGACAGGCGCCCCGTCGCGCTGCTCACCGCAAGCGTCCGTTTCTGCTACCATTTTCGGCCCACGACAAGCCGACGCTTCTGCGTAATATCACTGCCCACGGAAAAATCGTCAATGATTACGATCTTATCGACCTTTCTTATACCCTGTCTACCCGCAGAAGCTCACTCCAAAGCAAGGGCTTTGCCGTGGTTAGCCATAGCAACCTGAAGAGCGTTTTTGATAACGTATCGACTAGTTTCACTTTCGCCGAGAAGAAGAAGACGCCAACTCTGGGCTTTGTTTTCACTGGCCAGGGGGCTCAGTGGGCTTGCATGGGGGCCGACCTGATGAAGAACTCCTACCGCTTCCTTAGGTCTATCCGTACCCTGGATCTGGCGCTCGAAGAGTTGCATGACGGACCGTCATGGTCCATCGAAGACGTCCTGCTGGAGCCACCCGAAACCTCAAGGGTTAATGAGGCTGAATATTCTCAACCTCTATGCACCGCTGTGCAGATTTCACTGGTACAGCTCCTAGAATACTGGGGCATCAAGCCAGTCGTGACTGTTGGGCACTCTTCCGGCGAAATGGCTGCTGCTTTTGCCGCTGGCCTGATATCTGCCAGAGAAGCCATCACGCTTGCTTACTACCGTGGAGTGGTCACGCGCGAGGTGAACACGGACGGCGCCATGATGGCTGTCGGTCTTGGTGCTGAGGCTGTTTCGCCATACCTCGAGGGGGTTAAGGATAAGGTGGTTGTGGCTTGCCACAACTCGCCTTCGGGAGTGACGCTCAGCGGAGACGCCGGTGCGTTAGAGGAGGTCCGGGTCGAACTTACGAAGAAGGAAATATTCGCCCGCGTAGTCAAAACAAACGGGAAAGCATACCACTCGCACCACATGGCACCCGTCTCCGCGAAGTATGAGAAGCTTGTGCGCGCGGCCAAGAAATATGCCAAGTTCGACCCTGCTACACCCTCGTCCGCTAAGATGGTGTCTTCGGTGACCAACCGCGTCCTGCCGGAAATGGCTACCCTGGATGAGACCTACTGGAGCAAGAACTTGAGGAGTCCAGTGTTGTTTAACCAGGCTGTTCAGACAATCTTGACGTCAGACGAGTTCTCTAATGTCGAGCTCTTTGTTGAGATTGGTCCTCACTCGGCTCTAAAGGGTCCTATTCAGCAGATCAAGGCAGAGATGAAGGCAAAGTTCGAGTACCTACCGACTCTTCTCAGAGGTGCCGACAGCGCAGTTCAACTGCTGAGCCTCGCCGGCGAGATGTTTTTGCGCAGCTATCCCATGAATAAGGAGCGCGTCGCACATGCCTACGTCGATGAGCCCTCCCACGGCGGTAAGCTTTCCACAACCAAAGGATCCATTATTGTCGACCTTCCCCCATACCAATGGAACTACGCGCGACCCTTGTGGGCAGAGAATCGGGCCAGCCGCGAACAGCGTCTACCCAAGTTCCCCCGACACGATGTGCTAGGACAGCTTGTCATAGGAGCTTCCCTCGCCGAGCCGACGTGGCGGAACGTGCTTAGGACCCGGGACTTGCCTTGGTTGAAAGACCACAGTCTAGGTGGGGAGGTTGTCTTCCCCGCCGCGGGATACTTTGCCATGGCTATGGAGGCCGTCACCCAACTAAACGAACTGAGCGAGTCGCCCATCGCAATCGAGAGTTACGTCTTACGCGACATCTCGATCCAGAAAGCTCTCGTGACCCCGGATAATGACGAAGGTATCGAAGTTCTACTCAACCTCCGTCCATCCGTGTACGGTGGCGAGTCGAAGACAACCTGGTGGGACTTCGGGGTTTCGTCGATTGACGGCGAGGGAGTTATCAAAGAACACATGGCTGGCAGTATAGCGATCAACGCGCGCCCCCGCGGAAATAAGCCCCGAGAGATACCTCAGGGTACGCAGCGTGCGAGCGGCAAGGCCTGGAATGAGGCCTTACGTGAGGTCGGCTTCGATTACGGGCCAACGTTCCAGGACATGGAAGACGTACGGTTCGACGGCAAGAACTATTGGTGTAGCTGCAGCACGAACATTAAGAAGCAGGTGGACGAGTCGCTGGGAGAGTCTCGATACCCTCTCCACCCGGCTGCCATCGACTCAGTGCTGCAGCTCTCCATTGCGGCCATCCACGCAGGCCGTACCAACGCCATGGATTACGGTGCCATCCCAATTCAGGTCGACGAGGTGACCATCTGGCCACCAACTGAGGCTCAGGTTGAGAATACGAAAGCATTGGGATATGCTTGGTGTGATCAGCGAGGTATTCGCAATTTTAATACCAGTGCTCAGATGACCGCATACGACGGAGAGCTCGTGGTGGAAGTAACGAATCTCCGCTGTGTCAGCTACGAGGCGGCGGTTCCCCAGAAGCCTCCATCTGCCTTAACCGAAGCTCCCTACGGCGAGATGGTCTGGGGTGTTGACTTCGATAGCCTGAAGACAGCCTCAGATATCGACGGTCTGTCCATTGCCGATTTAGTCAACCTAGCGTTATTCAAACACCCCGGCAAGAAGGTCCTACACGTTGGCTCAAGTGACGCTCGGAATATCCTTCAGAAGAGTCCCCGCGCCGCGTATACGATAATAGCGAGGACCGACGCCGAGGCGGATGCGCTCAAGACATCTCTAGAGGAATACCAGAGCGCAACTGTTCTCAAACCCGCAGAGGCTTCCTCCCTTGCGGAAGGGTCGTACGACATCCTAGCTGTAGACCAGGGGGCATACACAATCGGAGATATTCTTCCCGCAGCTTGGAAAGCTCTCAAGCTCCACGGCTCTGCTTTCATAGACTACAGCGACGAATTCCGAAAGGTCGGTACGGAGGGTCTGGAAATCACCATCCATAACAGCAGCACCGGTAGCACGATCGCCCGAAAGGTGACACCCGCCGTGAACGGTGTGAACGGTCACGCAAACGGAATTAAAAAGCCCAGCCGCACAGTGCAGTTGGTTTTCCGCGAGTCTCAGGCCGCCATCGTCTCCTCAGTCAGGCTTGCTCTAGAGGCCCTCGGGTGGGACATTCAGGTCTGCCGCTTAGACGCTTGCGTTGAATCCGGTGTTAAAGAGCACGTGATCATACTTGCGGATTTCGAGCGTCCCCTTCTGTATACCGTGACGAAGAATGAGTTTGAGTGTATACAGGCGATCATCGACTCAACGTCTTCACTCCTATGGGTCACGGCCGGGGGCCTCTTAGAGGGCAAGCAGCCGGAGTTCGCCATGGTGTCAGGGTTGGCTAGGACCGTCACCTCTGAGCAGGCGTCGCTTGACTTCCGGACCATCGACGTCGATCTCGAGAACGTCACGCTAGACTCGGCCGTCGATACCATCGTAGAGGTCGCGCGGAAGCAAGAAAAGGCAGATGAGGAGATTCCAGACCGGGAGTTCTGCCTCTCCCAAGGGAAGAGGTACATCAGCCGTCTCGTTCGAAACCACGACCTCAATAGTCTCTTTTCGTCTACAGGTCCCAAGCCAAAGGCATTCCGCCCAGGGGAACACATATCAGGTAAAGTTGTCGGTGGCAAGGTTATCTTCCAGGAAGAAGCTGCTACTGAGGACGAGCTCAAACCTGGTCATGTCCAAGTTCAAGTCCAGGCTAGTGGGTTGACAAAAGAAGGCGTTCTCGTCATCACGGGATCTGACTACCCTACCACTTTCAGCCACGAAGTCGGTGGAATTGTACGAAAGGTCGGGGCAGGCGTCTCCGGCTTGAAGCCAGGTGATGTGGTTGTCGGGTTCCACGCGGACACGTTCGCCAGCTACCAGCAGATCCCAGCTTCTATGCTGAATAAGCTAGACAGCAACGATGACTTGGACGAAGCCGTAGGCGTCTTAGCGGCCTACAGTACTGCGTTATACGGACTGGAGACACTCGCGGGGATCCAGCCGAATGAGAAGGTCCTCATCTTGCCGAACACGGGCGCGAGCGGCATCGCCGCGGCGAAGATTGCCCAGAACAAGGGTGCCATCCCGTACGTGGTCACGAAGACGGCCCACGAAGTCGCCTTCCTGGAGAAACACTTAAAGCTCGACGCACGACGACAGATTATCGAGCTTTCGGGCAATGCCTCGATCTACGAGCAGATCCGAGGCCTGACAGGCGGACATGGGGCCGATGTTGTTTTCAGTGCCGGAAGCACGGACATAGATGCTTCCCGTGAGGCCTGGCGTAGCATCGCGCGTTTCGGCCGCTTTCTCGACAGCGGCCGCAAGGATGCTCTGCGGCGCAGCGCCCTCTACGGCGTGCCCGCGCAACGGGGAGCGTGCTACATGCCGTTCGATATCCTCGACATCTACGAAGACCGGCCCCAGATCCTCTCTAGCCTATTCCCAACCGTCCTCGGTATGCTACGACAAGGCTCTATTGTGCCTCCCTCTAGCACGCAGCATTCCGTAAATCTGGCCGACCTCGACAAAGCGGTGGCGAGGTTCTCGGACGCCTTTGGTGCCTCTAGGCCCATCATCAAGTACGAAGCATCCGAGAGCCCGGTCATGGTAGTGCCTGCCCGCGCCCCGCTGAAGTTCAGCCCCGACGCCACTTACCTGCTCGTCGGCTGCCTAGGCGGTCTAGGACGCAGCTTGACGTCCTTAATGATGAAATCGGGCGCACGAAGGTTCGTCTTCCTCTCACGCTCGGGCACAGACGCACCAGCCGCGGCGAAGCTCGTCAAAGATATCGAAGGCGCTGGAGCCATCACACAGGTAGTGAGGGGAGACGCCACCTCGAGAGAGGACGTGGTTCGGGCCGTTCAGGGAATCCCCTCCGAATACCCGATCAAGGGGGTTGTACATGCGGCAATGGTACTTCGGGTAAGTCATATACTGAAAGCCGTCACGTATCTGTCGGCATGTACACAAGATAGATGAAAGAAGAAAAGTATAAGAAAAGCTAACAGCGAATTGTTTACTCTAGGACGGTTTATTCGAGTCGATGACCTTTGAAAATTGGAGGACGACCGTCGAGCCGAAGATAGCGGGCGCTGCCAATCTACACTCGGTGCTGGCCAACGAGCCGCTGGACTTCTTCCTCATGACGAGTTCGGTGTCTGGCGTCCTGGGCAACCCCGCGCAGTCCAACTACGCGGCCGCCAACACCTACCTAGACTCGCTAGCCCGCCACCGTGCCGCGTCTGGAAAGACAGCGACCTCGCTCGTGCTGCCCATGATCCTAGAGGTAGGCGTAGTGTCAGAGAACAACGACCTGGAGCAAGCGCTGAAGCGCAAGGGCATGTACGGGATCGGCGAGGCAGAGCTGCTCGAGAGCTTCGAGGCGGGCATCTTGTCAGCGACCAAACTAGAGGGGACGGCACCCGATCATATTGTCGTGGGTCTAGACCCTGCGCGGTTGAAGAAAGCTATAAGCGACGCGGCCGTGACGGACAGCTACTGGCTCGAGGATGCGCGCTTCAAACAGGCCGTGCACGACATCAACTCGGCAGAGGGCACAGGAGGGAGCAGCGGCGGCAGCGGGCAGGACATCATCTCTACCATCGCGGCGGCAGCTTCTCCGGCGGAGGCGGTAGACGCGGTGACGGAGCATTTCATCGCCAAGCTGGCCCGCATGCTGCTTCTGGAAGACGACGCGTTCGAGCCCAGCGTCAAGTCCATCTCGTCGTACGGCATCGACAGCATGATCGGTGCCGAGTTGCGCAAGTGGATCTTCAAGGAGTACAAGATGGACGTGCCGTTCCAGCAGCTGCTTGGGCCCACGTTAACTGTCACCAAGTTTGCGGGCCAAGTATGTGCTTCTCGGGGAATTGAGGTGGCAGCATGAAAAGCAGGACGTTGAGGTTTTTTTTTCTTTTTTTGGTATAGTTTCTTCTCGGGAGGCCACAAGGGCTTAGTAACGACGTAAGAGGCCATCTGGGCTTTAGCAAGAAATGATTATGTCAGCTCATACAGCCTCCAATATTTCCTGCTTATCTAATCAGCTCCTCCATATGGCAGAGCCGTAGATACATTTGTTTGGTTCTCCTAGCTACCTCCCTGTTCTATAGACAACTATCCAACTGTTCCACCAACATGCTTGCTCAACGTTTGATCAACCACAGGATACAGATCGTCCATCCTAGCATAATAGCTGGTAATGGTACATTTGCCTCTCTGCTTTTGGCAGCCGACGAGGTCTTGAATAGAATGCCGCCATTGGGAACATCCCAGTGGTAATTAGGTAGGTACGCGTGCAACACTGGTTAATGGGGTCAGTGTCCGCCCAAACGACACTTCTCCATCTCTTACAGGTGCCCCCCGGCATAGGGCTATACAGTATAAACTGAACGACTGGCCAACCGGTTCAGAAACTGTCTGTGGGTACAGTTAAGGTTAGAAAAAGAATGCCTATTAATTTACCCACTCACGTTGGGCTGGGGAAGGAGGCGAAGAGCGTCTGTCGCCTGGAGATAGACAATGGAAAAAGACGGAGGAGAAATTGAAAGCGATAAAATGGAATTGAGTTAGGAGGGCGCTAGAAAAAGAGTAGGGAAGGAGTAAGAATAGAAAGCGCCCTACCCTGGACTCGAACCAGGAATCTTCGGCTTCTTAGCACTGGGTGTTAGAAGGCCGACGAGTTAACCATTTCTCTAGCAGGGCAATTGAGTCATCTAGATCTGTCACTGACGTAGCATTATAAGCATACAAAAGGACAGGCAGGTCCATTACTCTTGTCGGGCATGGGACAGTTGGCATGGCTCAGTTACTCCTTCGGCAAGAAAAGGAACGTCATAGGTTGTTGTTTTGTGAGTTTGTCCGCGCTGGAAGTTTGTTAAGGCAACTCGTGATAACGCACCCGGCTGTCCACCTCTCCTTGTCTCAGATCCTAGCCTTGATTTGGACTGTCCAGAAGACAGAAGATGACACTTTCTACATAGGTTTACAATTGTTACCTGAAGTTATCGATGTACTTGCCAATCTTGTCAGAAAGAGCTGTAGAGCGCAGGTGTCTTAAGGAAGAGAAGCGAAGGGACAGTAGAGGAGAGGGAAGTGGGATTAGAACCCAGATATCTTCGGTCATATCGAGCCTAGGTAGGTACTTAAGCTTCTCTATATAGGTATTACCTGTGAGAGGCATCTGGATCTACTAAACTGATACAGTTCCTAGGCAATTCGATTTCTCCTAAAGGTAATCCCACACGATATGCATTTATGCATACCACGCTGTATTCTCACGCATAGATACATAATTAATCGAAAATAGAGCATGTGCTCACTAAGTCATATCAGGTAATTCCGCTATCACCGCTAATGCCGGCCTAGACTAGGAGAACACGCTCTGCTTAGCGGTTGCGCCGATCGGAATTCCGACGTTCCGAGGTACTTTTTAGCAAGGCAGCACGCAAGGGGTCGAGAACAAGCGGCACGCCCCTAAGATAGGGAGGAAGAGACAGATCGCTCACATAAATAAAAAAAATAGCCACAGCCACGAGCATAACCCCGAATGTGAGAAGTCCCGTGCCAGAGCTCCCGGGGCTGACATGGCCTTTGCGAGCCGCACCAGCTCTCAAACGGGACGCGATCCTGCCGTAACGTCATCATCATCTCCGCAATGTCCACCGCCTTCGCGCTGCTGGCCCGCGGGGGGTGGCGGATCCGCGCCGCCTCCAGCGGGAGAAGCAGACCAGCAAGAAGAGGCTCGACATTCGCGGCACCGCTGCTGTTCGGCGCCGCGAAGGCCGCAACGGCAGCGCGCGGCCGTCGCCTGCTGAACACAGTGCCGACGTGTCCGGAGCCGACGTGCGACTGCGCCGAGACGCCCGCGATGCCGTTCGGCTCCGGCATCGACCGGTCCGCCAACCTCAACGGGCTCATGCCCGCCTACGCCCAGCAGGTGCTCATCTGCACCGGCCGCGACGACTGGGCCTCGCGCATCGAGGAGGACCACAGCGGCGACAACCTCGCCGCCGACCTCAAGGAGCTCATCGGCCGCGGCGGCATGTACAGCGACGTAGGTGGCACCCCGGCGCTGAACCGAGCAGCACCGTTTTTTCGTCGTCGTCGTCGTCGTCGAACCTTCGTTTCTCTTAACTGACGCCGCCTCCTCCTAGTAGCCATTCCACAACATATCCGTCCTCAACGCCTCCTTCCCGTCAGCCGTGTCGCGGCGCCCCGAGGTCCAGACCACGTCCGCGTACCTGCTGCCGAGCTTCACCTACGTGCCCTTCCTGCCGCGCGTCTCCTTCGACTCCGTCCAGGCCCTCGTCAAGGGCTACCTGCTGCCGGAGCGCCTGCACCCCATGCACGACGGGCTGTCGCCCATCCACCGCGACCGCCTGCGCCGCAGCGACGCCTACCGCGCCCTCCTCTACGGCGTCCGCGACGCGCCCGACGTCCTCGTCCTCGTCTGCGGCCACGGCACCCGCGACCGCCGCTGCGGCATCTACGGCCCGCTCCTGCAGGCCGAGTTCGAGCGCCAGCTGCCGCGCGCCGGCATCCGCGTGCTCCACGGCCCCGCCGTCGACGAGAGCGTCCCCGCTGCGGCGGTGGTGGTGGCGCCGCAGCAGCTGCCTGGCGGCAGCAGCGACGGCGTCGCGCAGGGGGAGGCGGCGCCGCCGCCCGCGGATGGCCCCGCCGCGGTCGCGGCTGCCGAGCAGACGACGGCCAGGGTCGGCCAGATCAGCCACATCGGCGGGCACAAGTACGCGGGCAACGTGATCATCTACCTGCCGCCGCGGCTGCGCGGCAGCGACGGCGGCCCGCACCCGCTGGCCGGCCACGGCATCTGGTACGGGCGCATCGACCCGAAGCATGTTGAGGGTGTCATCGCCGAGACCATCGTCAACGGCAACGTCATCGCCGAGCACTTCCGGGGCGGGATCAACCAGCAGGGGGAGATACTTAGACTGTGAGAGATTTGGAGGCACGACAAGCATCTACGACGTAGGCAGGATACTCTTGGAGAGAGGAGGAAGGGGCGCAATTGGGCGACGAGTCATCTTATACTATAGTAGAACACAAATCCGCTCCAGTTCAGCTAATTTATGAAAAGAGGAGTGATCTAAGGCATAAATGGGTATGTTTATTTCTCCAGGTAAGGAGGGCCCGAAAGGTGTACGGAAGCGCGCAAGAGACGGGAAACTCAGATTCCCGGTTACACAACCGAACAGTTCTTATTTCCGCGAATATGACCACCTCCTCTATGACCCTTTCCGTGTTCACCCGGTATATTTATATTTTCCTCATCTTTTCTCTCTCCTTTCCTCTATCTTAGTGTTATGCTCGACGCCTAGAAAAATAGGGGGGCTTGGCCTTCGGCCCGCCACTTGGCAGTAGGTCCCCGCCGGTAGAAAGTCCAAAGCCATACAGCTGTTCACAGCCGGCAGTAACCCTTTACCCTCGTTGTTGTTTTTGACTGCCAGTTACATTCTCTCTCCAATCTTCCCCCGTTACTTACTCCATCAGACAAGTAACCATCACCGCATACCAACTCTTTCCCCCTTCCCGCACGGCCTCAAAATGAACCGTCGTCGATGAGTTGTCACGTAGCAATCCGATGCGCCAGCCGGACAAGACCGTGCTCCGGGGGTACGCTAGCCAAGCCTGGTACCCCTTTTTTCGCACGCCTCCTCCTCCCTAGCGGGACCTCCCTCCCGCGACCCTTCGCCTCCGGCCCGCCTCCCCTCCAGCACCAGCTGCGTGAGCGCGAAGCACCAGCGCGCGCTGCCGGCACCGGCACCCCGAAACGCGGGCGCCCGCGGTCGCGCGCCCTGCTCGTCGGCGCGGGCTTGTGCGCGGGCGTGGGCGCCTGCCTCGCGCTGCTGCGCGGCGGGGGCGGGCCGGACAACGACATCCTCAGCGCGACAGACTTCCGGGCGTTTGCGATCGTGGCGCGGGAGGCGGTCTCGCCGTCGGCCTTCGAGCTCGCGGTGCGCGCCGACGGCCCCGGCGCGGGCAGCGGTCCCTCGCCGGCGCTGGCTCGCGCGCGCGCCCACGGGCTCTGGTCCGTCGAGGTCAAGCAGCCGCAGCTGCAGATCGCGCGGCACTACACGCCGCTGCCCTCGCCGCGGCGTTGCGGCGACGATGGCGACGATGGCGACGACGACGACGACGACGACAACGGCCGCACTCTCCGCTTCCTCGTCCGCCGCGTCGCCGGCGGCGAGGTGTCGACGTACCTGTCGAAGCTGCGCGTCGGCGACCGCGTCTGGCTGCGCGGGCCGCACCTCGGGTTCGACGTCGGGCGGCGGCGAGGCGGCGCGGGGAACGTCGTCTTCCTCGCCGGCGGCACCGGCATCGCGCCCGCGCTGCAGATCGCGGCGCGGCTCCTCGACGGCGGCAGCGAGCAGGGGGGTCCCCCCGACGTATCGGTGTCGATCCTCTGGGCGAACCGATATGCCGCCGATGCCCTGGGCCGCCCGCAGGCACGCGGTGGCGCCAGCAGCCTCCCCCGCTGGTGGTGGTCTCTGGGCCGCAGTCAGGTGCCCGAGATAGCCGAGGCGGCGGGCGCGGACTCGGTGCTGGCGCACCAGATCCGCGGCCTACAACGACGGCACCCAGACCACTTCCACATCGCGTACTTCGTCGACGACGAGGGGACCGCGATCGGAGCGCGGGATGTGCGGCTCGCGTGTGACTCCGGCGCCTCGCCGGTGCAACTACCGCCCGCGAACCCCTCCTGCCCCTGGCACAGCCCCGCGGCGCTCGAGCAGCTGCCCGACGACAAGGACGCGGGGCGCCACCGCGAGGGGTGTGTCTGCCGCGGCCCGGGGGTCGGGGCAGACTTGCTCTGCGTGTCGGGCCCCGACGGCTTCGTCGCCGCGTACGGGGGGCCGAAGGTCTGGCGCGACGGCGCCGAGACCCAGGGCCCGGTGCGCGGGATGCTGGGGCAGATACTGGCCGAGGAAGAAGAGAAGGGGAACATGAGGAATTGGCTTGTGCTGAAGCTATAGGCTAGGCTGTTCGTTTGTGAGCAAACGCGCCCGCACTATAGGCTGAACTATGGAATAGGTACCTCTCTCTACCGGCATATATGCACATGGAAGCAGAGGGGGGCGCGAGGTAGCATGGGGGGGATAGATGTATAGACACTACCGCCCGGATATATACCCGGACGAGGAGGTATAGACGGGTTGCGGAGGCATGGCCATACGTGCAACGACGAAATAAATAAACAATGACAGGCTGAGATGCCATTTCACATGTACATATACCTATCCTCTAACTGATTATGCCGATATCTTACCGTCATAACAACTATCATCACTTTCTGCAGCCCCTCAGGTGCAGGGCCCCTACATGCATCCATCCTCTCCTATCTACTCTATCAGGTTAAGAAAAAAAAAAGGAACACGTCTCCCCGAATAATACCCATCGAACGCGCAACTTTCCCTCTCCTATTACCCCGTCGTCGTGTCGTCCTCCCGGATTTCTATTCGTGCTTTCGTAGAATCTCACGAAAACCTCGCCACCAGAGCCGTCGACGAACCGCTCTTAACATGCTACGCGTACCCGCAACCACGGGCAGATCGAGCCAAGAAGCGAACAATTAATAGTATCTCTTCGTAGAAACTACAAGTCTAAGTAGTGTGCAGTATACTATGTCCTTATCTTACGGCGTCTCTCCTCTCTCCTCCCAGCTCGTCGAGCTCTCTTGGATTTTATTTTTCCTGTCTCCTCCTATCTCTCCGTTTCTCCCTCGCCCGCTCTTCCCGTGCTCTTCTCCTTTACCACACTCCTGCCTTTCTCCCCTCACTTCACTGTGAGCGTTTTCAACATGGCCATTCCCCAACCCGTGCACATGAGCAGCAGCTGCCCAAGATTAAAGAAGATTTTAAAAAACCGAAGCAAGCCCGGTCCCAGGAGACCGCTTCCTCCCCTGTCCCTCTTCAATTAGAAATTGGATGTACAGAGAAAAGTCTTCTGAGGCTCGTATCGTCTCAAAAAATCATGACATATAGAACAAGTAGGTGGGTAAGTAAGGGTGTCGTGACGAGGCGACCTTGGGTGACAAAGGGGATGCGTATGTATTTAAGACAAGCTTTTGTGATGCAGCAGACAACAAGGCTCGGCCCAAGGAATCCATGTACGGTTACTCTCGGGCCACACTGGCCATGCTGTGTCTGATAAGAGGAATGCGAATAGCTTCCACACAGGGCTATCGTACTTAGGAAACGCGTGTGGTGTGTGAGGTGTTGTGCTTTGTGTGTAGAAGCAGTTTAGCGGAAATGCCGGCCGCAAAGTCGGAGACTTAGAATGGGAAATCTGTGCAAATAGATGTTATTGTGACCTCGGTGCCCTTTTCGTATAGGGTCGCGGTTTGGGGACGACCACGCCAAATTCGAGGCGGTGGTGGTCCTCGACGGTTGGTATACGTGCTCGTCCTTCGATAGGTTATAGGTATCGTAGACATTATATATCGTACTGGCTGAGAAGATGGAACTCGCCAGGCTTGTATCCTATTAGCTCCTCTCGTATTGGGACCGTCGCTCTCACGGTGCCGCGGCTGCTTCGGCTGACGGTTCCTCGGGTATAGGGCTCTTCCTTCCATCGTCGCCGTTGGTACTACCAGAGGCTGCACCGGGACCGGCCTTGAACCGACGACGTCTGGCTCTCCTCTCCTCCGCTGCCGACTTTCGTAAACTGTCACGCTTCTCGGGATCCTCTTCATCGGCGGTGTCGCCGTTTCTCATGTCCTGCAGCAGCATAGCAGCTCTTTGAGCCAGGCCGTCTTCTCCGGCTTCCGAAGGAGTCTCGCTAGTAGGCGATACAAAATCGGGGCTGAGAAGGTTGCCGTCGGAATCGGCACCACTGTTAGTGTTCTCTACACGTATATTGACCTCGGCTTCGGACACCTCGCTGAGATCTGGAATTCTCTGGCCTGAAGCGATACGAACTTGGTGGCGATCTTTGAGACGCGCACGCCGCCTTCGGTCTCGCTGATCCCTGGTTTGGGGTGCCGCCGCGCGCAACTTTTCGAGGAGAGAGTCCATCGCGCCAGCAGATGCCGGCGACGGCGGCCCGCCCTCGACAGCCCCTGCGACCCTGAGCTGGGCATGCTTGCGTTTCATGCTGGCTTCGTTCTTGCGCCGCGTCTCTTCGTATTGTATATTCTTGTCCCTGCTCTTCTTCCATTCCTGAAGGAAGAGCGCGAGCTTGGCGAAGAAATCGCGGCGGGCATTGTCATCCTTGGGATCTTCGCCGTAGAAGACCATTATGTCATCATAGGTGCGCGACATCTCCTCCAGGTACAGAGCCATCTGCTCTGCTTTGCGACGCGCATCCTTCATGCAGCGCTGAACGATCTGCGAGACGCGGTCCTGGGGATGGAACTTCTTAGGATCGCTGAGGTTGCCGCTGTCCAGTGACGTCTGTATGTTGCGTACGTTGTCGATGTATTTCTTAGCATCGGTCTGCAATTGCTCGATGTTGATTTTCTGGGCGGCAATGACAGGCTGGATGTCGTTGGCGAACCCCTCCCACTCCGGGTACTGGTTGCGCACGATACGCTCGACGAGGTCTGCTAATGTCGACTCGTTCTTGTCGTCTTTCACCATCCCCAAGCGGGCAAGTGAGCTCAGTTTGAAACCCCGTGCTTGCTTGTTTGCGTCGTTCATGTAGTTACCGATATCCAAGATCAATCCGAGAACATTCATCAGGGACACGGAATCCCGCAGCGATTCGGACACCGAGACGACTTGTCGAATCTTTTCGTGAATCTCGTCATAGTCGGCCTCGTAGCTCTTCGTCAAAGCCAATGCTCGCATCCGGCTCTTCCAGTAGTGGTGCAGCTCAAATGCGGTGAGCAGGAAGATCTGATCTTGCCGAGTGAGCTCACTCGGATCTTGTTCCCGGTTCTCCTTATTGGCCTCTGGACCAGTCCAATCCTTGCTGTATGGTGCCATGAGCTTCGATGTATTGTCCGAAATGTTGCACAGATCCTCCCTTTGTAGGAAATCCATGACCACGGGATTGTCAAGTACTTCCTTGTCGCAGTGTATGATCATCTGGGTAACCTTCTCTACGGAGTAGTGTGAAAATTTGGCAAAAGCAATTTCTATAACGAGGTCAGCTTTCTAAGTAGTGCGGATGAGCACCGGGATTCACTCTTACCATAAGCTTTCCGAAGATCGCTAGAGATGATTTGCTTCTTGTCATCCTTCTTAGAGGCTCCAACCCCAATCTTCTTGATCTCCTTTGCCAAGAACAACTTCTCAACTTCATCGAGGATACCCTTCCTGCTGAGCTCGGCATACTTCTCTTCTCTTTCTTCTGCCGAAGGCGCATGTGCCGCCCAGTGGCTTGTTTCGGGAGTATCAACCTTGTCCCAGTGAAGAGCCTTGAGTTTCTTTTTCGGCCTCACGACGGGCAGACCCATAGAGGGCGATGGGGTAAACCCATTTTGCGCCGACAAGAAGTGACCAGACATAGCGCCCGGCATGGGCGGGGGCGGGGGGGGCATGCCCCCGGGAACTCCAGGCATAGGTGGCGGAGGTGGAGGTGGAGGAGGGCCCCCTGCTGACGGCATTCCCGGCATTGGGGGAGGCGGAGGTGGCGGCGGCGGCGGCGGCGGCGGCGGCGGGGCACCTGGAAGTTGACCTGGCATCGGGGGTGGAGGAGGGGGCGGCGGAGGAGCACCCGGAAGCTGCCCTGGCATCGGAGGAGGTGGTGGCGGCGGCGGCGGCGGCGGCGGAAGCGGAGGCGAAACAGTCGTATCGCTAACTTGAATCTTGGGTGGCTCCATTTCGCTGGGGGTAATGGGGGATTGCGATTCGAGGCTGGGGTGTGACGGGCCAGTGGTAGCACCCTCGCCCTCCTCGGAGTCGCTGGCATCCTCCCTCCTCCCTTTCGCCTGGATCTCGCTGAGCAGGCTGGCGGCCTGCTTGGGGTCCATAACGGGTCTCCGAATTTCGACCACCCGAGGTTTCTCGTAGACAACATCTTCACCCTCAGTGGTGGTACCTTCGTCGCCGGAGACTGGCTCTCCTGACACGTTGACAGGCTTCCTCGAAAGCCTGGTCTGCCGGTTGACAATCCCGAGCATGCCGTTGGCCATACCGTGCGGGGATAATCCTTGGCCATCTGGCGCACCGGAATAGGTATCTGGGTAGCCATCCATCTCTTCGCGCAGTGCGCGCAACCGATCCGAGGGGCCGACAGCCTCGCCCCAGACCCTTCCTTCAAGTTTGTACTGGGTCTTCTGCCGCTCGAGCTGCATCGCGAGTCGGTCCATAAGCCTTTCGCGATCCAAGATGCCTTGCATCCGAGCAGGGTCTTCGTCGGCAATCTTGCTCCCGGCACCGCCCTTGACGGCCTGCGAGGCAGCGACATCTTGGGCATCCCTGAGCATGAGATACAATTCTCTCGTCTCCAGCTCGTACCGCTGAGCCTCTTTGGCACGGATCGTCTGCATGTTCTCGATCTCGGCCTTGAGACCATCGGCCTGCCGCTTCTGTGCCTCGATAAAGCGAGCTTGTTCGTCCAGCTGCCTCTGAAGCTTAGCGACGAGTCCGTCCGCACCCAGTTCCAACTGAGCTTTCACCTCGTCCCTCTCTGCCATGGCAGCATCGGCAATCTGCCGAGCCTCCAACGCTTCGTCCAGAGCCTGCCGGGCCTCCGAATCGGTGTGCAGCTTGTCTAGAAGGCTTTGCACGGTGAAATTCAGGCTTTGCTTCAAGTCCATGTTGGGCAGGCGTCGGTCCATGGCCACATAGCTGAGCATCGAATCGACAAGCTGGAACATGCGCAGCCGTTCTTCTCCATCGTTGTCTCGGATCAAGAGCAGATGTTGCAACGCCGATACGAAGTAGTCGTGAGTCTTGGAGCCCTGCAATCGCTGTTGAATCGCATCGACAATCTGAGATGGGTCGTTCAGATCCTTAACCTCGCCGTCGACACTATCCTTGACGCTGCTGTTCTCGCGCTCGAGCATATCCTCGTAGTCAATAGCTTCGTTGGTGCGGAAGCGCTCGATCTGCTTGTCGATGAGGTCGTACTGGAACGCCTCCATCTTGGTGAGGATCCGCTTGATCCCGCAGGCGCCGAACTGCGCTCGGATGTGCATGCGCAGCTGGAGATCATTTTCGGGCGCATCGATGATGGAGTTGACGAGGATGAGCGTGGCAACTGCATATTCCATAAGGAGGTTCTCCATGCCAATACCACCACTGCGCACTTCGTCGCTGGCTCCAACCAGACTACCCATCTTTCCTCGCCCATCGACCGTGACCTCGACGAGCCGCATCCACGCATCAAACCGGCCATTCTCATTCTGCTGGCTCTTGACTACGTCCATAGCCTGGATGACCTTGAGGTGGCCTTGACCGCCATCCCAATGGCATAAGAAGGATAGGACGTCGCTGACGAGCTTCCGCGTCGTGAGTCGCGGCGATATGAGCGACGTGACGAGGGCCACGACCACCTGCTGGTGCGCAAGCGCGTCATCGGCACCATACTTGTTATTCAGCAAGGCCTTCAGGCACTTCAAGATGTCGTACTCCTTGTCCAGATTCTTATCGCTCGCCTTTACGTCAGCCGGAGTCGTAGGACCTACTGCGCTCTTCCGGTTCATCTTCAGCAAGACGTTGGTGAGAGCCACCTGTCCTTGGCATTCGATGAAGCGCTTAACCCAGCCGATTTGCTGCGTTCTCAGGTTGACCTCGAGGCTACCGAGGCCCTTCGGATCCAGGGTATTATCCATTACCTTCCGAACGTACCACTCAGGGGAACCTTCTTCGTCAGAAGATTGAGCTACATCGTCGTGCTGATAGACCCCTGACTTCCCCGCCTGCCTCCTCTTTTGGTCACCCTGCCACTCTGCCAGGCGATCCTGATATATGAGCGTCCATTTTTTCGACGATGGGTAGGCCTGCATCTGCCGGCGGGCCTGTTCCGGGAGGTTGTGCCACCCTCGCTTCTTCATCAACTCATAAAACATCTGCTCGGTAACCCTATCATCGTCCGGTCTGGTGAGAGAGAATCCGTCGGCGGGCGCTTGCAATCCGGGGCCTGGAAGTTTGGTTAAACGATGTTGAGAGTCTCTACTTGAGAGCTGCGAGGCGATGGAACTCTGGGATGTTGCACTGGGGAGTGCTATTCTGGATGAGCGCTTGAGTGTGGCATAGCTGGGGGGTACTCCATTACCTGAAAAGACGCTGGACTGGTCGCTCTGTCGAGACGTTCTGCCGTGGCCTGGCGCGCCGTAACCGGGTAGGGAGTCCCACCTCTCGCCGTAGCCGGCCGTGAGCAGAGAAGAAGCGGTGCTTCCGCGAGGCGTCGATCCAGCGGAGGCGGGGCCCCATTGATAGAATTGGGTCTGGCGACCCGTGGATGCCATGGTGATGTTGGCCGCGCCGGGAGGGGGACGCTGGCCGGTCGAGAGATGGGATCCGGTAACATTGGTAACGGTGCTCGCGTCGAAGGTTGGATACTGGTGGAAGTCGCTGGTCGATTTGTTTAACTGATGCGGCAGAGGGTCCCGGCGTGAGGACGCCTGGTCCCGAGGAAGATATTCGACAGGTATCGGACTTCGCTGGTCCGCATGCGTAGTGTCGTAAGGGATAGACGTAATGATGCCGGCGTTGATGTTTACGCCGGATTCGGGGGAGCTCGGTCGGTCGAGGGATATTATCGACGAATCTCTAGTATGTCGAGATGCTCGCGATGACGAATCGTGCTCCGTAGCAAGGAATCGGCTCTCTTCGCTGCCGGTGTGTCTCTTATCGCTCCTGTGTTTACTCCTAGAAAAGAAGCCGCCCTTCCCGCCAGAGGACTGTCTGGTCTTGTCGGCGGACGACATGGCTGGCTGGGTGGAGCGCGCGCTAAGACGCCGGCGCTCCAATGGCCGTTGAACAATCGCCTATCGACCAGACGGCTGCTTGATGGATGTGTTGATTTCTCTTCGTAAGGCGGGGGGGATTCGAGATAAGGGAAGCGGCACAAGCAAGGTATGGTAGCCTATGGGGGATCTCGGGTTCCGGCTGTCAGAGTGTTGGATGCCGAAGGGGTCGGGTAGATGGTTGCATCATGTTCTCTAGCAGGGGAAGCGTGCTTCGCAACGAATGTATAGGCTGAAATCGAGGATCGAGGACCGAGCGAAGACCTGCGAGTACGGGTGGTGGCATTAGCGGTGGCATTAGGCAGGGTATTCAAAGGACGAGGCGGCAAAGGGGCAATATAGCATATTTGACAGTTTTATTGCGAAAGGAGTCAGAAGTCATGAAAGAAGAATGCGCAGGAGCAGAGAGGGGGGTTCGAGGGAAGGCTGCTCGGAGCATACATACATAGAACTAAACACGCGAGACTACATAGAAAACAAGTACTCTAAGGTCGGCAGTTGGCTCCTGAATGGGCCGACGATGTCGTTGAGGATTGGAGGAAGCTGGGGGAGTGGAGGGGGTGGAAAAAGGAAGAGATGGTGCTCGCAGCGGCTGTGGCAGTGGAGGCCGCGGTGGTTGTCGTAGTGGGAATAGTAATAGCACTGGTGGTTTGTGATTACCGGGGTGTGTGATAATATGTAATGTCGCTCAAAGGAGGTTCGACCCGTCCGTGTCTGATGGAACCGATGAGACGCATTGAGGGCTACATGTACCTAGCCTAACCTGGGCATCTGGGTGGGTGGGCGCATGTACACTCGAAGGTACCTGATGTACCTTACCTAGGATATGTAGGTACCGAATGTACATAACGTGGGCGTCCTGCCTTACTATATACATACAAGAGGTATATAGGTACATATTCAATCCGTGCATCGAGCCCAGGCACCGGGGCGTGTGTTTATATGCATACACGTACTTCCGTGTGTGTTGTGCCTGGGCCAGTTACATGGTGGGTATGCAGGCGGATATGTATATACCCGTATATAGGGTATGTATATGTATGTGCGCTGCGAAGCACCGAGCGCTCAGTGACAGCCTGTCGCCTGTCTGTCTGTCCGACCAGTGCGATGCAATAGCAGGGGTGTATCCAGATTACCAACTCACAAGCCCATACTTATATTCCTACGTTTCCCTCCCCCCTCCCAAATTTGCGATGAAGCTCCATACGCAGGTCTATCTTAAAACCAGGAACTTCGTAGCCCTGTTTAACCACGGAGTTCCTACGCATTTCCTACGCATTAAAATCGCTAAGATAATATAAGGACACGTGCATTAGACGTGTGTGCATGTACTACGCGGTGTATACGTATAACCTATCCGTTCCAGAGTCTCTCCATTCCATTACCCCGTCCCCGTCAACGCTGGGTAGAGAAGACGATCAGGGGGTTTCGTTACAGCTCAAAGGTCACGTTTTGCTGTCCTGGGTGCCAATTTTTGGCTAGCTCCGACCCGCTGTTTTTGGCACCCTCGATCACCCTTCAGAAGTACCTAAGGTACCCCTAAGCTCAGCCATAGGTACCGACCAAAGTCGACTTTACAGCCCAGAAAGAAACTCCAAGTGCGCACCGCAATTCAGGGCCGCAGAGGCATCACAGCATGGCCTGAAGGGGAGCCCGGGAGCCAGGATCCGGGAGTCCGGCTACCCAAGGGATTTCAAGTGAGATGCTGTCCCACTACGTAAGTTTGTCTCGATAGTGTATTTGGGTTTCCTCTTAGACTTCTATAAAGCTGTTGTATTGCACCAGACACAACTAAGAAGATCCCGCTATCTCGCCTCAACTCCATCGCCCAGACATGCCGCACGTCATCTACACTCTCGACAACGCCATCGACAGCTTCTTTTCGGAGGCTGGGGCGTCGTCGTCCAAGATGCAGTGCGACGAGGTTGCCCGCCGAAGGTACGGAGGAGAGATCCGGCCTGTTGATATCCAAGGCTCGACCAGCTATACTGTCATTGCAGGGCCGAACGGCGACAAGATCATCCAGTTCCGAGAGCAGACTGCCTTGTTAGACATGAACATGTTAGCGCTGGCCAAAGATATTCACCAAGGCGTCGTGGCCAGCTGTTCTGAGCTTGGGTGGATCGGCGACCTAAGCGGTTCACAGCTAGCGATATACGAGATGGACAGGCTTCCTGGAGAGAACTATATCACCGCTCGCCCCTCTCTCACGCGCGACCAACGGCTGAGTACCGTGTACAGCTTGGCAAGGTTTCTCGAGACTGCAACCTTACTTTTCCTCTTCGCGTCAACCTGCTGATATGAAATGAAGTTTCTTTGCACAGTCGTGGCAGAGAGGCACGCCAGCAGATTCGCGATTGGCCGATATGTCTGTTATCAGCGCCGAATGCTACGCCAGGTTTGAATACCTAGCTGGCACCCTCCCCGAGCGCTTCCTGCCAGCCGTCACAGAAGCACAAGCCGCCCTACCAGCACTCCTCGACGGACGCTATCCAGTGGTCCTTACGCACAGCGACCTCAACGAGATGAACATCCTGGTCGACCCCGGCAGCGGAAAGATTACAGGCGTTGTCGACTGGCCTGGCGCGAGCATCCAACCGTTTGGCTTCACCCTTTACGCGCTAGAGAACGCCCTCGGCCGCATGGGCTCTGACGGATGGAAGTGGTTCGATAACATGGATGACCTGAGGGATGCATTCTGGAGGGCCTTCAGAGAGCAGACTGGCACGTCCGAGCCTCAAACAAGACTTATCAAACTTGCAGGAAAGGCCGGCATCCTTATCCGCTATGGCACCGCCTACGACAGCGGCTTCCCGGGAATGATAGGAGTCAGAGATCCGAACGCTGAGGATTTTAGATATCTTGATGCGCTCCTTTTCTGAGAAGCCATTCCTCGCGCGTTCGCTGGGATGAAAGACAGAAGAATCGAGGCTTGGGGCGGAGACACGGAAAGCATCTCATAATCGACCTCGCGACTTGAGCAGCTGGTACGGGGGTCGCCACAGGATCGGGGACCGTGCACCGGATTCTGATTAGCGGAGCAAGGGACCGGCTGGAGCGAGGCGAACCACTTAGAACCCGCCGGATGCCTCGACAGCAATACACGTCTTATAACGAACAATGATCCGTCGGATGCGAGTGCGCACTAGCAGCAGCTGAAAAGATAACCCGCGTATCGATGGGACTGGTTGAATGCGATCGAAACAGCGATCGACCGTCCATCGTATTTCTGTTCTTTATTCCAAACTTATAACATAGCATAATACGAGGCCGGGATTTACTTCTATACCAGGCTTATCGCGTTGTGTCTATATGTATATATGGATACACACCTACCTAGGTAATAAGTAATTACTAATACCTAGATATCCCCGGATATTTGGATACAGATATGAGGTTAGGGGTGCTGCTGTGTTAGAAGGGTCCCTAAGGTACTTGTGGGTACGTACGTTCTCATCATGTACCTACGCTCTCACACATTTGTATAATGCCACGCGACGACCACGAAAGGGAGAGGTGGAGAGAGGGGGAAGAGAGACGACGAAAACCACGCTGCGCGGTTGGCGGGATATCGAAAGGTGCAGGCGTTCCTGAAACTTGAAATGGGACACGAAACCCCTGGAAGATCCAAGACAAACGATGATGATAATGATGCGATCTGGGCGCGGCCCCAGTCCCCAGACTCCAAGAACTCAGGACGTTAGGTCGGACGTACGATTGGCATTCCCGATCGGTGCATCGCGGACACGCTACCAATATACATACATACGATATACACACCCAGATACGGACATCTCGGTGGCCCGTCGAGATTGGGGATAGACGGATCGGAATATTACATGTAGGCAGATAGATTCATCGTCGGGATCTCTCTCATCGACATGCGAGAGAAAGGGGGCTGCATACCTACGTTTTCAATTCCATCCATTGGTCTTCTTGTTCTTCCCGTGCGCTCAATGCTATAGGTACCTCGGGTACCTAGGGTACATACCTACCTACCCGGAGATGAGCTAAGTAGCGAAGACTACCAAGTAGCGCTGTTAGGAATCGAACCTATCCTTCGTTAAGTAACCTACTGATCTCCCGGGTACAGGTACCTCATCAGATCTTTCAGAAGGACCTCATTCAATGACGGACAACATAGCGAGGTACCTACAATTAAAGCAGTCTTCTTGCGGTGGAAGCATTCCACACTACCTACGGTAATTACAAGTATTCCCAGTACGAACGGCTCATCCGACCCAATGCAAGAAAAGCGATATCCGTCACCATTGGTATTTCAAGCTATTACGTCGGTGATTTGTGCTGCTATCCCCCTAAAGAGGATATTCTTTCTCAACTTCGTATTGGAATATGAGATTGAGCACATCTATGGGGCGGCAGAAATACCTGCCTACCTATATATAACGTACTTAGGTAGGTACCTACCTATATCTACTATTGACGCTACGAGTACACACTACGAAGCACCTACGCGTCGACGCAGAGATCTGATTGGTACAGCACCCGCTACCCACGGTAGCGGTTGGAAACCGTTTGGTCGCCCAGCGAGCAGCCACCTCGAGCCAATAGTACGGGAAAGAACCCCCAAAATAGCTTCACACAGACCAGGAGAGAAATTAACATTAGGTAAGCACACACAAGCCGGCCTACATACTATACCTAAATGCGGGTTCATAGTGCGGGTGTGCCCGCGGGCGAGGTTATGCAAGATGTAGGTATGGTAGGTATGTACCACCCACCTACCTATGTACCTGCCTGTAGGTACCAAGAAACTACGCGTAACTGCCTGCCTACGTAACCGCCTCCGTCTCAGCCTTGACCCATCATTCTCTGGGCGTGCCGAGGGTTCCAGACGACCCAGAAGGCGGCATACCTACGTGAGGTTCTGTGGCGCGGAGACCCTCCGCATCGACTCCTCCAGCCTCCTACCCAACATTGTCCAGAGATCGAAGTCACACACAGAGAGAGGCGCGGGCAACCCTCCGGACGACCATCCGTCATCATCGCGCTTCCAGCCTCTGTTGCCGGACACTTCGCTTCCCGTCACCGTTTCCGCTTGGGTTGTGTACCAAGTCAATGGTTCAACATAGGTAGCTGTGTTTTTGGTCGAGGTTTCATGCAAGATCGCGGGCTTGTAACCTGCGCCGTCAGATCTTCGTCGCATTACGCACACGACAACACGCCATTTAGTCCTCGCCCCCCTCCTTAGCATGCCCTTCTACCACTCCTCCTGCTCCTACCACTAGAATTCGTCGCTTTCCAGTTCCGCCAGCGCCATGGGTACCACGCTCTCGGTAGCCAAAGTACGTCGCCGGCATCACCAGACGTGGACGCTGTAAGAGGTAGTCATTCTGACCGTCACAGACAATCATCGTACCCGCCGTCATCTCCCTCATCCTCTTCGTCCTCTCCACCTACGTCCTCGTCCCGCTATGGCAGCGCTACCGGGGCCGGTACAGCCAGTACCTCCCCCTCGAATCGATATCGAACCACACCTCCACCCTACGGGGCAGGATACAGAACACGATGACCCGTTGGCTCGTGCCGTCGAGGTGGCGGCGGCGGCGCAATGTGGGCGATCGGCTCGTGGTCGGGGCCGACGAAGCGTCCGACCTAGGCCTCAGCTCCGAGGACGGTGAGGAGTTAGACGAGGTCGACGACGAGCGCCGCCACGCACTCTCGCTCGACACGCGGAACGCCGAGCGCATAGACAGCGCGGGAAGGCTTAGCCGAGAGTAGGTCAATGAGCAACACTTCCCCACTCTCGCCTCCCCCCCCTCCCCTCCCTTTCCGTCCCACGCCTTCGGGCAAGCAGCGAGATTCGGTCTCGCGATACGGGCTAACTACTGCAGCCTAGTCTAGAAGAAGGCTTCCGAGACGACAGCGACGAGGAAGACGAGAATGCGCGTCGAGACGGCCGGCGGTAGTGACGTCTATCCCAGCGGCCAGCCACCACCAACAATGCTGCATCGGGGCTACGGCACACATATTCGTCGAGATTCATGGAGCAGGATACCACGGCCCACCATACAAAACACTTTTTAGGATAACACTATATAGAAGTCGCCCGGCCAAGTAGCCATAGGTTGGACGAGCGCGGATTCCGTCGGGATATGCGTGGCGTTAGGAGGATCGGTCTTATACATGAAGTCGGTGAGCTCGGCCTTATCAACCTGCCGTCTCTCAAGGTGACTTCGTCCGTCTCCAATCACGGCCTTTTCGCCCTGCCCAAACGCTGTTAGGAAGAGAAGATTGGATTGGACATTATCCAATTTCCGAGATGCCCGAGTAGGTGGTGACGCGCTACTATGCGGACGGCCCGTGTCATGTATGGCCACGAGGGTGGCTCCCATTTAAAAGTTGAAAGCCAAGTAAACAAAGCCTTCATTATCGTCCGCTCCAGTCGCCATCTACGGACCCCGAGTTATGCATTAGAGGCGAGATCCGCCTTGGGTGAAAATGGTCCTATACGGCGAAAAGCCCTATGCCCCTCATTTCAACCCTTGACCCAAAGGACATAGGTACATGCCGAGGAGGTCACCTGTATACATACGACGAACAGCCTTCGTTGTACGAGACACAAATGTCGGCGTAGTAGATAACCTGCCACAATTCGGCCAGTCTGTCAGGAGACACTACCTACGTAAGACAGGTCTACGACTGAGGCGATTTGTTGAGATCTGTTCTTAGGTGAGCTGTAGTACCGTGAGAGCCAGGTCGAAGCAAGTCGTTCAGTCCGTTTGGGTGTCTCGACGGATATAGGTATTGCTTCCGCTACGTGACAGAGTTCACGCCACCGAAACCAGCACATGCATGCACGGCTTCAAGTCGTAATGTCACAGCCGCCCGGTGCTAAGGTTGCGAGGAACCCCCAGCCAGCCCTCCAACCAGGAGTCCGGATACACGGGTGCGGAAGGTCGAGATATTATAGGTAACCCCCCCGAGCTTATTCTTACTGCAAGCAGCGCGCCTCGGTAAGTCTCGAGGCGGATAACGACGAGGCGGACACGGACGAGAATGCCTGAGGTTATCCGGGTAGCGTCGGTGGTTTTCCGTGTTCGCTCGTACACCACATCGACGCAGGTCGGCAGCATGCCATCCCAAGTGGGTAAAGCGAAATAACGCCATCCCCGTTGCGACTCCGGGCAGGCGGGTGATGCGCAGCTGGACCGTCGGACCAGATATCTCGGAGGTTGGTGCGGGCTGGCGCGGGGAGCCTGGCAAAATTCCCGAGAAGGGGATCGTCGAGCCCGCATGCGGAACGATCCAAGCCTGACCCAGCGGCGGCGGCTAGCGTCTGCGCAACCGCAGACTCCAGTCCATCGCATTCACCGCCGACAGAGAGAATACCAATCAATCAATGTCTAGCGGGCCTACACTGCACGTGGACAGCATCACATTCCAGCCTTATCTCAGGTCTCGGCGCTCACGCATTCGGGCGGCCCGCAAGGGTAGGTAGGTAAGGAATAGAATCCGCTGCGCACATGGGGAACGCTTATCTGCCCTTCCAGTTAGCCGCTAGAGCGATATACTGCACATGATGCTCATGATGGAGGTGGAGTTGACGGTGATCGACCTAAGCGGATCGAGGACAGCCAACCAACGACAGGAGGCACCCAACACCTCGCCGTTTGTGAGCACTTTAGTTTGCGAGGGCCACTCGCCAGCATAACAGGCAGCCACAGAAGGAATCCTGTGCCGAGTAGCCAACCCATCCTCGGATCCACCCGGTCGCGCAAGGACATGCGTATCGTGTGTGTCTGTATCCTTTTCCCCCTCCTTCTAAAATAGCTGTAGGTAATTCACGCCCAACAAAAAGTCTACAGGTCCAGCGAGACACTGATTCGTAGGCCTCGCTGCCCTGGACGGGACCTTGATTGGCAGTAAGCTCGGATCCATTCGCGGATTCGGATGCCCATCAAACCGCTCTCGTTCGTCTCCTGCTTCTGTTTTCGCAGGGGGGGAGGAAGAAAAAACGAACAGAGACAAAGGCGCCCCCCCCCTCCCCTCTACTACCCCCCCCCCTCCAAAAAAAGCCGACAACGAGCCAATTGGCCGCGCTCGTGGCCGGATCATCTTGATCGCATTATTAGGGCACACATACGCGCGCTCTGAGCTTCCTCGGGCGACCTGGCGGTTTCTCGCTCTCCGGCGCCCGTCGTATCGACTCAACCTCTCCGTCATCGTGAAACTTAGGCATCCGCAACCCGAGGGCCCGTTACGTCCAGGGCAAGCTAAGCTTAAGCGACAGTGGCAGACGGGGAACCGCCGAGCAAACAAAGAAAGAAACAAGGCATTCACCTAAGCCCAGGCACCGCCTATTGTTCGCTTACCGTCTGCCTATCAGTCTGCCTGTCTGCCTGCCTACCTCTCTCTGCCTACCTACCTCTGTCTACCTACCTCTGTCTACCTACCTCTGTCTACCTACCTGTAAAGAGGCCGAGTTCTTCAGCTCTCCCGCTCTCCACCTCTGTGTGTGTCTCGGAGAAAGAGGGGAAACGAGAAGGTACAGAAGAAACAACAACAACAACAACAACAACGCAACGACCGCAAGAGAAGAACCAAAAAAAGAAAAAAAAAATAGAAAAGAAAGAAAGAAAGAAAAGAAGAAAAAACAGCACGCGCAAATAGGCGACACAGGAGCGGTTGACGGTTACATATCTTCAAGTCGGCCTTGGAGGGGTCATCATCATCATTCTTATCCTCCACCCCTCCATCCCAGCCCACCTTTCCTTGCCCAACTTCGCTCTTCTCGCTCTTCTCCTCTCTCGTTCTTTCTTCTCGCTACCTACCTCTACCTCTCTTGCTCGCCCCCTCCCCGCTTGCCTCCTCACCCACCCGAGCAGGAGTCCTCCCTTTCTATCCTCCCATCCATCTCAGCTAGCCACCTCTCTTCGGGCGCCGGACTGCACGATTCGATTGAACGCGCCCGCATCCCTCTCGGGTGCTGTGTGCGCGCTGCGTTCCCGGCTCGCTCAGGCGTCTTTTCGGTGTCGCAAGTCGGTCCCACTCTCTCCCGCGCTGTGCATCATCGTTATCGGCCTCGAGCGCACCTCTCTCCCCCTTCTCCTCCTCCTGCCGACGCTTCCCCGCCCTCCCCCGGCCACGCGCTACCTCTGGCAAGGCAAAGGAAGGACGGCTGCCTTTTGGCCGGCACAGCGACCACCGTCTCAGCACCGCCAGACCTGCGATAGGTAGGCATATATTAGATACCTGCCTACCTATTTACCTACCTACCTATTTACCTCCCTACATATTTACCTACCTACTCGCCAACATACCCAGTATTCTGCTGCGGCCCTTCGCTCCTCAATCGTACTCGCAGTTCACCTCTGCCGTCTTCTCCTCTTCCCTCCCCATTCCCCGCCATTCCTTCACTCCTACACCATCTTCTAGATACCTCAGGCGCCTATCTTTTTACCTCGGGTATAACACAAAGCTTGTAACAGCCAGCCTTCCTACACCTAGGTATCTCTCTTCACTGTTTCTACGCAGCCTAGCCTGCAATAATACCTAGGTACCTAGGTAATTATCCGACACACACACCCACATACACCCACATACACCCACATACACACATATACACGCCGCACAATGCGTACACTCCGGGCCGGCCTCAAGTTTCTCAGGAAGCTATGGCCTCGAAAGACCCGTGCCGTCGTCACCGGTGCCGTCCCCTTCGACACGGCGGCAGCTCCCGAAGCGAACAAGGAAGCCCAGCCTTCGTCCAACCAGTACCAGTCGCCTACGCCTGTCCCTCCCCACCTCGAGGAGTGTCCCATATGCCACGACCCCGTCGGCATCGCGAATCCAGAGGGCATCATCGAGTCGTGGACCAAGCTCCACTGCGGCCACAAGTTCGGCACCCACTGCATCCAGACCTGGCTGCAGGAGTCCATCGACCGAGATGAGCGGGCCAACCCGACCTGCCCCATCTGCCGTACTACCGCCAAGCACCCGTGCGGCCATCTCATCAGCCCGCTCCCCTTGTTTTCATCCATGAGCTTCGCCGACAGCTACGATTGGCGGCTCTCGCGACCGCCCCCCGCCTTCGCGCCCCTCCGACGCCGCCGCCGCCTCACCCGCCGCCCGGACCATCCGCTGCGGCCCCCTGCCCCTCCTCGCCGCGCGGCACAGACGGTGGGCGAGTGTAGGACGTGCGTGGCCAACGCCGAGATAAGAGCCCGCCTGCGCAGGGCCAGCGTAGGCCACGAACACTACCGTCAGCAAGAGGAGCAGCAACAGCAGCGAGAGCAAGAGCACGAGCGGAGGCGGCGGCAGCGACGGCAGAACACGGACGAGTCGACCGCTAGCACCGGGACCGCCCGGTCGACAGCGGCCGCCATCAAGTCCCTCATCCCAAGCCGCAAGAGGTCGGCGAGCTCGAGGGTCCGCACTACCATCGTAGACATGGACGAGGGGGGGCCGTCGCGATCAAGCCAGCGTCACCCGAGCCAGGCCGGCTTTGGCGTCCTCTGCGATGCTACTTCGAGGATGCAGATATCACCCACTACTACATCAGAGATGAGTGCGATGCTCCGATCCGAGTCCCTGGACGAAGGGTACGACAGACGGTTGAGCCTGTAGGGGAGTCTTATCATAAGCTCACAGCTCTTTCCCGCCCCTCCGTTTGTCCTTCTTCCCCACAGGGTTACGGCTATGGTATGACGCCTGAACGGAGAGGCTAAAGTGCAAGACGGAGCAAGAGACGGGGAGGGTGGCTGGGGGATTCTGAGAGAGAGGAATGCAGCGCGTAGGCGAATAAGGTTCTTTCGACCGACGCCGGTAGCGAAGGGCGGGTTGCATGCCATTTCCGGGCATGAATGAGGCTGATGATAATGTGTAGGAGGGGGAACTCGACGTTGGGTAGGTATACTAGGTATATAGATGGTCATGGCCATAGGTTCTCTGCTTTGTTACCGCTGTTGCGATGGGCGTCTTTTACGGGTTTGTCGGTGGATTGGCTACATGTGTACGTGCTTCACGTTCTTCATTAGGGAGTAGGAGGGCTGTGCCACACAGGGAAGGATATCCGACGCCGATGTACTGCGTTCCCCATACCAGCTAATGCGACAAGGGTTTCTGCCGCCGCTGGCTGTTCCGCTTACTATCTGCGCCCTTCTCTACTGTTGCTATTGTTGTCGCTGCTATTGCTCGCTGCTGGGACTACGGATGTTGGGGCATCTCCCTAACGGGACTGATGAGGAGGGCGATGATAACGATAAGTGGTAGGTACCTAATAATGAAGATGGCGGGGTAGGTCCCTCTCGCGCAGGATGTACCTACGTACTATAGAGGGGCTTTGGTTGCTCCGGTTAGGAGGTACCTCCGCTTTGCCCGCTCTTAGCGCCGAAATAAAATACAGGTACAGCGTGTACCTGTTAGGTAGGTACCTAACCTAAGAGTAGTACCTAAGGCACCTAGGCTAGAGGCAGAATGGGTAACCTGGTAACCCAGCCTAGTGACCGGCCTATAATCTTTAGTGGGTAGGTACCTATTTTGTGCGCAGTATTTACCTAATCTACAGGTACCTAACCTATCCAGGGTGCACTATTACTACCGACGCTAGACGCCTGGGAACAATCCCTCCACCGCGTTATTATCACAAGTCCTCATCCTCTACCCTTCTATATTCTACGCGTCCAGCCTCCGCGTTATTTCTCCTCTCTCCCCACCTCCGTTCGTCTGTTCGTATTGTCCCAAGGTATCCCAGCATTAGGCAGAAGAGGGGGGAAAGCAGAAAGAGAAGCGGTGCTCGAACCCACGACCAGAAGCCAAACGACCCGTGCAAAGATGCCAATATGAGGTTCAAGTCCGATCTCAGGAACATCCGCACATTCTCGAGTGAGCCCAACACCCAGCCGAGCCAATCCCCTCCCCGCCTCCGCCCTCGACGACGCTGCGTACTCCTTCTCCTATCGAGACACTAATTAGCTGGCTTCCGCCACGATTAGAACTAGTCGCCGCCCTCTCCTCCCTTGAGAAGATCGCCTGGGTCCGTCTCGACGATGAGACCGTCCGCTTCACCGTCATCCCGGACACCGGGTCCCAAGTCTGGGCGTTCGTCCCCCTTCCCCCCCCCTCTCTCCCCGCGTCTCCCGAACCCCGTCCCCGGCCTGCGTGTAACCCTCGTTCTCTGACCGGGTCGGAGCCATGGTTGTGTGTAGTTTAGGTCTTTCTCGATGGACTTCATCTTCAAGGACTACGCCCTGCAGTCCGCCGAGCCGATGAACACGATCAACCTGGAGCTGCCGCTCGGGCCGCTGCAGCGCGCGCTCAAGTCCGCTCTCAACGGCGACTCGGCCTCGATCCGGCTGACCAAGAAGGACGACGGCATCCCCGTGCTCTCCCTGACCATCGTCACCAGCGTCCCGCGCGCCGGCGGCGGCGGCGGCTACCCGGGCCAGGGCCCCGGCCCGAGCGCCGCCCCGCGCCTCGGCGCGGCCAGCGCGGCCACCCTCGGCCTCGCGGTCGGCGGCGGCGACGCCGTCTTCCCCCACGAGCCCCTCGTCACGAACCTGCACCGCGAGCGCGAGAAGATCGTCACCCAGGACATCCCCGTCCGCGTCCTGCACCCGGACACGGTCGAGATGATCATGCAGCCCAAGGTGCGCGAGCCGGACGTGCACATCCAGCTGCCCCCGCTGCTGCAGCTCAAGGCGATATCGGACCGGTTCACGAAGCTAGCGCAGGCGTCGCGCGCTGGCGGCGGCGGCGGGAGCGGGGGAGGGGGCAACGCTGGCGGTAACAGCGGCGGCGGCTCCTCCTCGTACTCGCCGAAGCTGGAGCTCAGCGCCAACATGCACGGGGAGCTGCGGCTGCGGCTGGAGGCGGACACGCTGGAGGTGGAGAGCCGGTGGTCGGGGCTGGAGAACCCGGAGCTGGACCCGGCGCAGCTGCCGTGCGCGCTCGAGGACCACCCGAGCACGCGCTTCCGCGCGGCCGGGCCGGCGCGCTGGGCCGCGGTGCGCGTCGACGGCCGCGACTGGAGCCGCGTCCTGAGCGTCGGCCGCCTCGACGGCCGCGTCATCGCCTGCTTCGCCGACGCCCACGCCCTCATCCTCTACGTCTACGTCCCCCACCACGACGACACCGGCGCCGAGGACTCGGTCGTCACCGTGAGTCTTGCGCCCCCTCTCTTTATCTTCTTTCATCTTTTCGAAAATATGTATATATAGTCCTACTGTATTCTCCTCACGACGCGCCCCTAAGTCCTCGGGGGACTTTCCGTGTCCCTGGAGACCCTCGAACCAGGGACGCGCGGGGCAGGTTTCTCACGAGCTGTGCCGTGCTAACGTCTCTTCACCCCCACTAGTATTACGTCTCGTCGTACAGCCTGTGAACCGGCCCTGCCTCGCCTCGCCTCGCCTCTCCTACCCGTCTGCTCGCCCTAGAAGGCAGGAGGCTACCGACGGGGCCCCTGCCGCCTACGACCTTTTGCCGCTTAGCGACGACGACCAGGGCGCAGCCAGCCGCTTACTCGCACGCTTTTCGCTGTCGCTGCAGTACGTCCGCTCAGCTCGCGTTTTTTTTTTGGGGAGGGGGGGGGGGGGGGGGGAGGCGATCGATCCCCGGCACCGCACCCGCGCGTCCGCGGGATCCTATTCCGACCGTAGAGGCTGACGAGGGGAGGGGAGGCCGCTGCGGTGCTGCGGCGTAGAAGGGGGGCAGGGCTGGGGGTGTGTGTGTGGTTTGATCTGGCCCCCCCTGCCCCGCGCTGCGCTGGAATAGTAGGGACGCGTCGCGACGCTGACACAGGTACACATACTCACTCATACGTATCTGCCTCCGACGGGCCGGGGTGCTACCGTCTACGCACTGCCCTACGTAGTAGATAGGCGCCGGGCCGCGCCGGGCTCGCTGTACCTACCTTCTCCACGATCCACGTGTTATATTCTCCTTCCTCTCGTCCTATGTCGTGGCAGTGTGGTGCGCAGCGAGATGGGCGGAAATGCGCAGATTGCGCAAGTGTCGAAGATGCATGTATATATAGGAAAGTGAGCTTGAGCTCATCTGTGGCTACACAACAAGCTCCCAGCTATGCATCTGAGTGTACACGCCGCGCCGAAGATATGTCAGATATAATATATATATATATATATGCCTGTAACAGCAAACGAAAGGGAGGGGCTCGACGGCCCGCATTACAACGGTCATACATACTAATTTACGTCTATAGTACAGTGGTTGTGTATAGGTAACTACGCACGGTGCGGCACGATCCCCAGCCACGTCCCATGCGTGGTGCTCTCTCTCTCCCTCTCTCCCGCACGCGCTCTCTCTCTCTCTTCTAACTGGATAGCTGATAATACCGAGCCCGGCTACCACAAGCACGTCTTGCTTGCCCCGCTCTCGTTCCGTCGTTCGTCTCCTCCGTCCTCGTGCTCGCGGGTCTTTCTCCCCATCCCCGCCCGCAAGACCCTAGTTCGTAAATCACACGTGTGCGCACATTCGTCTCTTCTTCGTCTTCTCTCCGCCCGTTTCCCTCGTCGTCCGTGATCCTTTTTCCTCCAAAAAATACCGTCAAGTCGTGATTTCGTGAAGAAGAAGACTCCTCCTCTTCCTCCTCCGTCTACTTCGCCATGACGTCGATATAGCGCCCCGACTTCCGCGCCTTCTTCCCGCCCTTCCGCGGGCCTGCCGCCCCGAGCAGGTCGTCGATGCTGCTCGCGTTGCTCAGGCTCGTAGCCGGCCTGCTAGGCGGCGCGCTCGGAGGTCCGACGGCGGCGCTGACGGTACTCTGGTTCGAAGCCGACCGCATCATTGGCGGGGCGCTGGGAACGCTAAGGCTCTCTTCGGAATCCGCGTGGCTTAGCAAGGCCGGCGAGGGGGAAAGCTGAGTGCGAGGAGGGCCGGTGGGGGGGCCCATGGGAGGGCCGGCGGGAGGGGTATTTAACCCTCCCGCTGGAGCCGATGTGGGACCATGCGGTGGAGGAGTACCGAGACCAGAGGCGGCGCGAGGCGGTGGTGGCGTTGCTGCTTTGGCGGGGGTATTCTCGGCTCCCGGCTTCTTGTTGACCCAGCGCTTGAGCTCGGGGTCATACACAAAGGTGCTGGCTTCACCTAGCTTGGCCTTAATAGGTTTGTTGGGGTTGGAGAGGTCGGCCGACTCCTTCTTGCCTCCACCGCCGAACCACCCTCCGAAGCCCCAGCCTTTCTTGAATGCCTTTGCTTCGGCAGCTCGTTTCGCTAGCATCCTGTCAGTGCCGCATCCCGGGACGTCTCGGTTGCAATACTCACCTTCTTCCTCGGCTACCTTTCGCACCATCTCCTCGTTCTCCCGATCCCTCTCCGCCTTGGACTTTTCCCGCGGCTTCACACTAGGTATATCATCTTCGTCGTCATCAAAGAAGCTCTTCTTCTTTGGCTTTGACCCTGTGGGGGAGTCCTCCTCGTCATCCGCGGGGCCTGGCTCGTAAGACGGTGGCTCGAAGCTAGATGGTTGGTATGAAGGTGGTTCGTATCCGCCGCTGAATCCTTCGGATTGTTTCGTGGGTTCTTCGGTGTTAGTCGAAGGCGGCTCATAACCATACGACGGAGGCTGATAGCCTTGGGTAGAATTTGTGTCATTCACGGCCACATCCGGCTTCGAGTCCGTTACTAGCGAGCCGCCTAGCTGAGAGGTGCCGGAGTACGGAGAATTTTGTGCGGCGCCATACGGATCGTATCCGGTAAACGAAATACCCGATGGCAATAAGCCCTGCTGAGCTGAATCCGATCCTTGCGAGTTGGGCAAATATGGCGATGTCTGCGAAGCAACCGGCGCCATCGGCTGATAGCCGGCAGTAGGGACAGAATTCGATTCAGGAGTGTACGGGCTTCCGTAAGCAGAATGCATGTCGGACCCCCTTCTCGGCAATTCGTAAGAGCTTCGGCTCATCTCGCCCGAGGTCCTCTCCATGGAAGACCGGGGAGCCGGGTTATAAGCATTAGCAGTATCGTAAGGGGAGCCGGAAACTTGAGATCCCACAGGGGCGTAGCGTGACGCAGCTTTGGTAGTCGGAGCGGTAGGTGAAGGGCCGCTATTCCCGTATATTTCGAAATTCGAGACGGACGGAGAACGACTGATCGTCGGCGTCCCTCCCGCTATACGGGCGAAAGGCCCAGATTCGGCGCCAGCTTCGCCCGATGCTCCATTTCCAGAATTATCTTCGTCATCGCCCGCGACGAATTTGTTAAAGCGACTCCACATGTTGTTGGAAACTTGATCCATCCTAGGCTTCGGGATCCACGAAGACGACTCTTCCTTCGGGGCCTGCTTCAGTCTTCTCATCAAGTCGTCGACCACCGATTCGAGAACAGGGTTGTAGTATGGCGACCTCTTGGTCTGAGAAGTGATCGCGTTGTATATCCCTTCGCAATACTGCAAAGCTTTATCTCTGAAGCCGTATTCAGCAAGAGTCATGGCATACTGCAATTTGTACGCAGCAAGGTGTGGGCAACTCTGAGCAATATTCGAACTAGCAGAGAGCGAAAGTGCGTATTCGTAAACCTCGCTAAGCTGGAGAGCCTCGGTTTCTTTGGCGAATTGGTCCGCCTGCCGACGGTGGTCGGCTCCTACGAGGACGAAATTGGCGTTGGGATCATCGAGGCCGCCGAATGTAGCAGAATTCCTTGCAAAAATGTAGCAGATATGAGCCGCCTCTGCTCTCCCGTATCCGGAAAGCAGGTTACCAAGTGACCTCAGGGCCTGGGCGTCACCGAAGCTCCTATTGCTTAACACCAGCCCGAGCGTCTCGCGCCATTTATCCAATCCCGCCAGTGCGTCTCGCGATGCGCCACTAGAAGCCGAAGTCGACATGAGCTGGAGACCCGCCCGCGCATGGACCGGAACCAGCTCATCCACCGACTCCTCGAAGTTCCCAGATAGAACGCCGTAGAGGGCAGCGAGTGATTCGTTACCGTGGCCCGCATGATTTACTTCCTTCTTTATGAACTCCTGCGCAACCTGCTTGTAAAGCTCGGGACCTTGCATCGTGTTCGATATAAGCATCGCATGGCCCCATAACCTCTTATCTACCGCGGCCCAGACAGCTTTTTCTCGGTCGCCAGATAGAAGGTGGTGTCTAATCTGTTCTACGGCTGTAGAATTGACGGCATCCGCCTGTATCCCTGTCACTGCGGAGGGGAGTTCGGATAGGTTAGCACCTGTCAAGATCGAAGACCCTAGTTCAGGGCTCTCGCTGTCGAAGCCGGGAGTGATAACCTCCCTGACAGCTTTCACTACTGAGGGATTCCCCTCGAGAATGCCGTCGTTTTCGATGAAGACCCTGAGAATTTTCCACAATAACACTCTCTCGATAGCTCTCTTATCCTCATGCGAGGCGGTCGAGTGGAACGGGATGTTGGGGAGGCCTTTCTCGAGAATTTCAATACCGGCGGTAAGCCACGCCAGAGTTTCTTTCTTCTTTGACTTGCCCCTCAGGGGGCCTGGGAATTTGGCTAAACGTTCCTCCAGTGGGTAGACGTCCTTAACGTGTTTAATCTTCACCTCGCCTGGGCTTCGCACGATCATCGGCAGCGCTTGGCTTATACCATAACGCGGAACGTTGGTTGGAAATGAGGACACGAGAATCCCACCCACACCCCATGCGGTCACCGGTGCTCCCCGCCATCTCTGCAAGGGATCCAATTCTCGACCATCGGTCGGCGGGACGAGGTTCAGATGCTGAGACACACCCCGAGCTCTAGCGGAGCGGGTAGCGTCAACATTTTGTATCGACTCGCGAGGCGAAGTTGCGCCTTGCACCGACGACGGCCGAGGAACGGGATCAGCATGTCGTCCGGTGACTTGATTTCTGTGAAGCGCCCCGGGAGACTGCGTCTGAGACCGTGGCGGTGGAGCAAAGTTGACTTCCTTGTGTGGTGCCGCAGCTGGCGACATTGGGATGTAACTAGAAACTGAGCGTTTAGAGGGAGATGTGATATTGTACGGAGGCGACGTAACCGGCGGCGGGGTGTGCCTGGTTTGCCTCGGACTGTATTTCGACTCGATCGGAGGTTTGGGGGCTGTCGGAGGGGACCGTAGAGGCTGCTCTTCATCGACCTCCCTTGTCGGCGGTAATGAAGGCACTCTAGTGAGGCGGGGTTCGTGCTGAGGCGGGCCGCCACGATTCAACAGCGAGTTACCGTCACCATTTGTCGCTCCCGCAACTGGCCTTTCATGCGAAATTTCGAAGTGAGAATGGGCAAGAGGACTCGAAGTTCGCGGTTGATGAGCAAGCGCCGGGGACGGAACAGCGGCGTATCCAGTACTAGACGAGCGAACGAGAGGCGGAGCGGGCGAGTATCGACTCGAAGCTGGTGGGGGATGCCCTCCTCCATTGGAAACTGCCAATTGTGCGGGCGCGGGGGAATATCTGGTGTTCGACACACCCAGAGCACTCGGCCGGGGCTGCGAATTAGACTGCAAGGCGGTATAAGGACTAACACGCTCGGGCGGAACCAGCGGTGCAATCCCGGCGGCATTCTCCTGAGGCGGGTGAGATAGGGGTGGAGGCGCGACGGCGGATGTCACCGGCGGTCCATAAGGCGAGCCATGAGGTGGTCCATAAGGTGAGCCGTGAGGCGAACCATGAGGTGAGCCACGTGGAGGGCCATGTGGAGGGCCTTGGGGTTGCCCGTACGGGCTCTGCTGCGGCGGGGAAGGGAGGCCGCCGTGCCGTACTGCAGCCCGCGGCTTCGACGCGATCGGCAGATCCTCAAAGAAACTAGGTTTCGACTTGAGGGGGGGAGTCGACTGATGGCCCGTCGGGGGCGGGTGCTGGTTTGAGTGGCTAGAGGGCGGAGGCGACGCGCTCGCATTCGAGCCTCCTGAAGGTGGCGGCGGCACTTGAGAATACATGCTCGCACTCCTCGGAGGACCCGGTGGCGGTGCCAAGGGCGTCGCCGTGGTAGATCGCGGAAGCTGCTGCATGCTGATCCGCTTCTTCGGCTTAACAACCTCCATAGGGAGATCGTATGGTGACGTATACCCTCCCTTGGACTTGTCAGCAAAGCTCTGAGCTTTCGGCGCAGCCGGCTGCGGTGGCGCCCCGTATCCTCCCGTTACCGGCGGAGGAGCCGTGGCCGGCTGGATATAGGTAGGATGTGGCGGTTGCACTTGAGGGACGGTTGGAGCCGGAGCGTAATGGTTTGTGCTGGGCAGCGTCGAACGTTGCAGGGCGTCCGGTACGTAATGTCCATTCACACCCGGAGGCTGCGCGGTTGCGTTCACACTGGCATTGGGTTGAGGCGCCGGCGCCGTCACCGTTTCTTCTGGCGTTTCCTCCAAGAAGCCCTCGTCATCACTACCAAATATGTCGGCTGGATCCAGCTCCTTTGTCTCCGCAGTTGAATCTACGAGGAAATCGTCGTCGTCGTCAAACGCAGCCGCCCACTTTGCATCAAGGTCCGATGATTCTGGTTGCGTGTCGGTTCCACCCGTTTCTTCCTTCGATACGGAGTAGACTTCGTCGCTAACCGCCCCTGGCGCCTCGGTCGGAGTAGGGACTTCCGAGTCGGAATGATTTTCCCCTGTCGTCGCATGCATAGCTTCGCTAATTACCATAGTCGTAGACTTCCTATGTAAGGCGCGGTCGAAGCCATCGGAGCCTAGCTGGGAGCTCTCGTTATTGATCTGGCTGAAAAAATCATCTCCTCCCTCCGCTGCGTCGTCCCGCGCGAAGGCATCTCCCAAGTCCGAAGCCTGATGCGCACGGTTATCCCCCGAGTCTAGCGCTTCGTCATGCGGAATTAACGGTAGGCCCTCCTCGAACCGAGCATCCGATTCGTCCTCCTCAGCACCCACTAGATCCCCGCCAAGGTATTGTTGCGAAAAGCTTCCAATAGCCACACCGGCATTCACGTCTTGGTCATCGCCCAGAGCTCCAGGGAAATCAGACTGCGCGACCGCGTCGGCATGGAACTCGTCTCTCCCCAGATCCTCCAGGATGTCCCGGGCCTGGCTGGACGGAGGCGGGTGGTCCATCTGATCTTCCGTCGCATCCTCTCTTTGTGGCACCACGGGAAACGAATTTGACCTCTCACTGGGAGGCATGAAATTGAACGGGTCCGTATCCGCCCGCTGCAAGTTCCACTCGCTATCGTCACCATCACTGAAGCTCACATCGTGGGACACGGTACGCGTAAAAGATATTGTGCTAGAGTGCTTGGCCGCTCTGCTGGTCGGGGCCGATTTCGGTTCGAAGGTATCAGGTTCGTCACGAGAGGCGAAGGCATGGTCGTCGCCACCTTGCTCAGCCAGAGCAGAGGACGGATGGGACGGATTCGAGAGATCCCACGCGACGTCCCCCGCAGCATCCTCCTCCCCATCGAATTGGCCCAGGAATGCGCCATCGCTCGAGTCTTGAGGTTGGGGAGCGTGCTGTGGTACCTCGGCATCTGATACATCTTTAGGGGGGTGCTCGAAAGATTGCTCGCTACTAGGCAACACGGGTTGATTTGGCGACGGGTCAGGATCTGAGGCTTGTTGCTTGGGGCGATGAGTGTTTGGCATCATGGCTGGATGCCACGTCGCATTTGGGGTATCCATCTCCGAGTATAATGACGGCAAATTAGACTAGCATCGAAATAAACAGCCCGCGAAGTACAATGAAAACCGGTACTGTCAGGAAGAGGATTGTCAGCCTAGGAGGACGATCTGCGACTCTCTCGTGTCTACACAGGATGCAGCAGCTACAGATGGGATCGGATGCTAGACTTGGGGCGATATACGGGACAGGCAAACCGCCTGCGCGTGCATCAATAAGGGGATGACGGGTGGGCGAGCAGCAGCTACATCCGGCGCGCATCCAAGGCAGGGAAGAAGAAAAAAGGAAGAAAAAAAACAAGATACCTAAGACCAGGCAAGATGACGACTTACTTATACAAGAACTAGGAGTAAAGAAGCAATGGCAGAGTCTTCCTACAAGCCAGCCTCCATGCCCATCTCAAACGAGCATCGAGCTTTGCATGCTGGTATTTCTCGTGGGGAGGACGGGTTTGGGGGGTCGAGGCAAAGTGGCCGATCCGGGTCGTGAAGAGGTGACATGAACTTCGCATACGAAGATGGGCGGACGGGGTGGACGAGCAATGGTTATTAGACCTCTTCGGGGGATCGTCCGTTGAAAAGGCCAGGTTCAACTAAATACATATGTACATAGCTACCTGGGGTACAGGCGCCGCCCACCGCGGCATGTACCTACCTACATTGAATGGAAGCATGCGTATTATGCAGTGGGGAGGGGATATGCGGATAGACAGCATTATCATGTCGCCTTGACTAGAGGTACCTACCTCCTACCTGCCCACGGTATCCTCTATAGCAGCATGAAAGCACGCCAGGAGGGCCAAATCCTCACCTCGGAATAGCGATAGCTTCCATTGGACATAACGTTCCTCTCGCCGGCCCGAAAAAGTACCTAAGTAAAGTATGTACCTATACGTGGTATACAATAGCAAGTGCTATTGACGTATAATGACATAAACGCGGTGGTGGAAAGGGACAGATAGCACATGACAGAACCGGCAACGGGGGCGGCAGCGGACTTCCGCATATTAATGAACACATCGCCTCCGCCTGATTACCCGAAGAAAGACTGTGCTGGTTTTGCGATATGCCGGAGGAGGAGGGGGGTTGTCTGGATTCAAACGACGCGCCTCCGAGTCGGCTTAACCGGGATTGTCTACGTGTACCTGGGAAAGACAGGTCTCACATGCTTACCGTACACGCATATATCGATGTTCGAGCTCACCGGCACGCATAGGATCGATAGCTATATGTCGGACTGCTACGTCGCATGTTGTATCTGTAGCATCCCGAGTACATGCCTCCCTTAGGTTAGGTAACTCTTGGAGACAAATTGCCGTCCCGTCTACCCGATCGATATCAACCCATAACGGTATTAGGTACGGAGTTCACGTCTAGGTACCCGGGTGTATATGAGTAGGCAGGTAGGAGGTGAAATGATACCATTAGAGACGCCAGAGTCGTCACTATTTATTAAAATAAATAAATGAAAAAAGAGGAGAGATTAGAAAGCACCTAACGGGCTCCTAGACATAACTTTTATGTACATAACAGATACCTCTGGTACCTCTCTCGTGCCGGTGGGTACTTCTTATGGACGGCCAACCAATCAAGAGGGACAGCCACGCCGATAGCTGTTTATTTATAGGTTGCATCGTTAGCATAAGCTCCGGCCGCCGACGCCGCGGTCTCTCGTTACGTAACGAGCCACTCGGGGACATTCCAACCTAACAAGTTACCTATCTACAGCCTAGGATTTCTGATACTATGGAATGTCTCGACGGACACACACACGCTTTCCGTTACGCAGATGATCGACGATCGAGCCGAAAAAGGTAGCAGCCCCGAACCAATGTCTGGAATCAGTCACGTAAGGTTGGCAAGTATAGGTACAGGTAGGTATACGTGAGCGTCGAGCGAGCGAGCAGACCCTCTCCATCCCCCTCCCCCCTTATATCGCACACCCATCCCCCCCTGATCTCCGTGTCGAAACCGTCAGAACTTGAGATAAACATCCGCCCGCGCGCGGCCCGCCGTCGCCGCCTCCGCCGCCGCCTCCGCCTCCGATATCTGCCGGAGGCGCTCGGCGGTGGTCTCGTAGCAGGCGGGGACGCCTGCGTCGGCGAAAGGGGCGCCGTCGCGGACGATGCGGGCGAGGCCGCGGGCGCAGAGCAGGGCGTTGGGCAGGCCGCCGCCGTCGAACCCGGCGCAGACGTGCAGCCCCGGGCGGCCGGGCACGGGGCCGACGTGGGGCGCGCCGTCGGCGGAGCACTAGGCGCTGCGTCAGCTGCGGCAGCATCGGGAAAAAAAGGGGCGAAGGGGGGAGGAAGGAGGAAGAAGGAAGCGGCACTCACGCCCACGACGCCGGTCCACTCGCTGTCCACGCGCGCCGGCACCGCCTCCCACCCGAGCAGCGTACGCGCCGCCCAGCCGCCGAAGTGCCGCGTCGCCGGCGCCATCAGCGTCGCGTCGTCGTAGTTGCGGTGCCAGAGCGCGGGCGGCGCCGCGAACGCGCGCCCCGCGCCGCCGCCCAGCACCAGGCTGCCGTCCGGCGCGCGCACCGCGTAGGCCGCGTCGCCTGCCGCCGCCGCCGCCGCTGCCCCGGCGCACGGCGCGTCGAGCGTACACGCGCCCAGCGCGAGCGGCGGCGGAGACGCGGGGGGGGAAACGACGACCCGGCACGCGGCGCCGCGCGCCGCGCACACGGCGTCGGCGTACTCGGGCAGCAGGCCGGCGAGGTAGGCGCCGGTGGCGAAGAGGACGTGGCGCGCGCGGGTGGGCCCGCGGGCGGTCGACAGGGTCCAGCGGCCGCGGGCGTCGGGGCCGTCGACGGCGTCGACGGGGGTGCGCGTCTGGAGGTTGGCGCCGCGCGCTACCGCCGCGGCGAGCAGGTGCATGGCGAGCTTGTAGGGGGCGAGGGTGGCGGCCGGGTAGGTGAAGGCGGCGCGGGCGCCGCGCACGCCGGACGCGGCCTCGGCGGCGGCGGGGTCGAGGTGCGCGACCACGTCCGGCAGCAGCGGGGCGCCGCCGCCGCCGCTGCCGTCGCTGCGCAGCCGCGACAGCGCGTCCCACAGCTGCGCCGCCCGCGCCGCCTCCCCCGCGTCCACGAACACGTCGCCCGCCGTCACCGCCCGCAGGTCGCAGTCGACGCGCTCGTCCGCCACCAGCGCCGCCACCGCCCGCGCGTTGGCCACCTCGAACGCTGCTACCTCGTGCGCCGTCGCGAGACCCCGCGCCTGCATCCGCCGCGCCACGCCGACGAAGAGGTCCGGCCGCAGTTGTCCGCCTGTGTGCGATGAGGTACTGGTTAGCATTTTACTACTCATACGTCTAGACACGCGCGCACACGTATACATCCGTATATATACACCTATATATACGTATGCGTGGCATGTATCGCATGGCGTTTCATCGCCTTTTGCAGCGCGCGGACTTACCGTGCCTAGAGCTCGCGCCGGAGCAGGCCTCGCGGGCCTCTAAGATGGTTACGCTCGGCCTCGGCCTCGGCCTCGGAGCCCGGGGTGTCTCGCTGTCGCCGTCGTCCCCGTCCTCGTCCTTGAGCAAGTAGTGTGCCAGGGCGGCACCGGCGAACCCGGCACCGATGATGACGATGTCCTGCTCCTGGGGCAGCTCCGGCGTGCTGCGGTGAGAGTCGAGCGCGTGCAGCTCCGTCCGCCAGTACGGGACCGTCGGGTTCGGGACGGGGAAGGGTCCGGTCATGTCGCCAACGTCTTTCTCTCTCTAGCGATGTCCGAGCTGGTAAGTATGGCAAGCTCGCGAAGGCGTCGACGATGTAGGAATTTCGGTCAGAATAGGTTCAATCGTAGTAGCTTTCATCTCTTTAGCTATACTTCACCACCACATCCTACTTCGACGTTTTATGAACTTCGTTTCTACGCCCGTGCGCGTAGGACTCTACGCTATAGTACCGTGACTCGGCGGCAAGCGACGGGGAACCGTCGTAAGCAAGTGCGCAATGGAGTAGCAACTGCCTGTAGATGCATGTCCCAACAAAGTCGTCTTTGGCTTCGGCGTGACTCCATAGCTATCTATCTGTCCATCTAACCACCTCTCTTCTGTAACTCGGCGCGCGTACGTGCGTGCCAGGTATACTCCGCGAACGCTTCCTAGCGTTGTCGACATCGTCGCGACGTCCTCCCGCCCGCCTGCCGCCGCTCAGAGACATGGATTAGAAATGTGGCGCGCGAGAGCGCCGCCAGCGAGATGGCCAGGCGAGGCAGTCGTGGCATCTGCGTCAGCAGTCCTTTTCCTTTTCCTCTCGAGTCTGAGCTGCTGCCTAGGGAACCCGCCGTCGCAAAGCGATACCCGAGTTGACATAGGTAGGTCAGGTGTAAATAGCATTACTATCCCATGCCACGGAGCGTTTACGCGTCTGCATCGATATCTATCTACCCCGTCATGAGCGGGTGATTCATCTTCCCCCCCCCTATCCTCTCGATCTGACGACGCATCCGGCCTAGCCTCTTCTAGCGACGTCGATTCAATGATCGCCCGCACTAATGCTCGCCCCTCTATGTAGACAGGCACACGGAGCCGCGTGGTGCTTGTAGCCTGCAAGCGTTATACCGAGGCAGGCAAGCAGACGGCGCCGACGACGACGGCGATGACGACGACGGGGCCGGTGACTACGCCAGCAAGCGAAGAGTTGACAGCGGGCCGCGATTCCGTGCGCAAGGCGCGAGAGCTCGCTTACCCGCCTTGCCGGCACACGCCCACGAAGGGGGGGGAGGGGGGTGGCATCTGGGGCATCAAATTTCAGCCCAATCTCTCGTCATGGCGTCGCGTCGCCGCCCGCCGCCAAATTCCGTGTTTGCTACTCCCCCCCCCTGGCCTGGCAGGGCCGGGGTGGTGGTCGATGAGGCGGTCGCGCATCGGTCCATGGACCTGGATGTCTACGCAATACCCAGCTAGATGGGGGAGCGGGGAAAGAAGGAAAAGGGAACGCATGGAAGAGTGAGGGGGGGGAGGGAAAAAGCACACGTTACATGCAGCATGGGAGACAGCGCAGCCCGGTACGCCGTAGAGCCGCTCCTTGATGACGCGGCGCCGCCGTCACGTCAATGGCCGACTTCCTCCGCTACCGGCCGACGAAGAACAAAATACACAACGACGACAATAACCAAACACCATTAGGTATTTAATAGAGGCAAGTAAGCAGCCGTGTGAAAGCTGCGATGAGGGAGATGGCTAGGGGCAGGAAACCGCAAATTATATCGAGTCCGACGTTGCACGCAGACAAATAGACAGATCTTATATCTACACGAGCCCGTCTCCATGTACGATCTACAAAGGCCGGTACCAAATAACCCCAACACCGCTTGCGCCAGAAAACACGTCCCAGGAGGCCTAGTCAGTTTACGCTTTATCCGAGAGCCCGCGTATGCATCCATCACTCCCTCTTCGACGCCGTGCGGTGTTCGTGTTACGCCCGTGCCGTGCCAGCCGCCTTCTGCCGGCGTTACGAGCAATCGCAGAATCCGTCTCCACGCCCGTAGGCAAATCTGCAAAATCGAGTCGGTATAACCCACCCGCCTAAACGCCATCTGATGCTTCCCGGCCCCTATTCCTTCACTCGCCTCACCCCCGCTACATCCGCTGCCTCTTCCCCCCGCCGTCCCGGCCCGAGAACTCGCGTGGCCGCTTGCGCTCCAGCTCCTCTTTCATGATGCGCTCCGCCTCGCTAATCTTCCTCGGTGGCTCAAACGCCTTCTTCCGCTTCGCGTCCCCACCAGCAGCCAGCGCGTTCCTCTTCGCCGCCGCGAACACGTTCTTAGGGGCCGCCTTCGCGGCCCCCATCTTGAGCGATACCGCGTTGTTGGTCGGGGCCGTCGATGACGAGGAGATGGCGGTGGAGGCCGCTGTTTGTTCGGTCGACGCGGGCTTCTCCGTGTCCCCGTCCTCTTTGGGTGGGGGCGACTTCGACGACGCCGGCTGAGCAGCAGAAGCAGCAGCAGCAGCAGGCTTCGCGCCAAAGGCCAGCTTAATCTTCTCTCCGTCCAGCCTCTTGAGCTCCCTGCTCTCTGCATTGTCCCCGCCCTCCCCCTCCTCGTCCTCGTCCTCGTCGCCCTGCCCGGCGTCCCGCCTCGCGCGGCGGATCTGCTCGCGGATGAGCATCTGCTCGCGCTCTTCGTCGCCCTTGTCGAGGGCCTCGCGGCGGCGCACCTGCTCGCGGCGCCGCAGGGCCTCGGGCGAGTCGTCGATCCAGGCGACGTGGATCCCCTTCTCATTCTCCTCGACCCGGCACAGCCCCGACCGGCCCAGGTGCTTCGCGAACTCGGTCAGCGAGTGCCACCGCGTCGCGTTCATGTGCACGTGCTCCTTGTCCGCGATGTACCCCTGGTAGAAGTGGTTGATGTGCACGGCCTTCTCGCCGTGGCCCGTCCGCAGCTGCTGCAGGAAGTCCCGCTCGAAGCGCGCGCTGAACTCGTCGATGTGCTTCGACGGGTCCTCCCCCACCAGCAGCATCTTGCGCGTGTGGCTCTCGCTCTGCGTGTGCATCTTGAACGCGTTCGCGTCCCGGCACTGCTTCTCGCACACCTGGCAGTACCATCGCAGCCGCTGCAAGCCCTTCGACTTCAGCTTGTTGCTCAGGTACTTGGTCGACCCGACCTCGGCTCGTGGCATCCTGGCGGTGTCGGGAGGAGATTCAAAGTTGGGTTCGGCGGTAGCGGGGAGGATCGGGGGTGGAAGACTATTCGCAGTGTTGCGATGACGGCGGGCGAATTCGTTGATAGGGAGCGGAAATTGATAGATTCGAGTTGTTGGTGGGATAATATGGGCTGGCTGCGAAAGATGTCGGCGCAGGGATCAACAACCGTGGCTTATCGATATGAGAACACGCCACTTGGCAACAGCCGCCAGTCATATTCCATCTCCCCATCGTGGGGAGAACAGCTGTTGCCACCCGGGTATACCCGTACCGCTACATTCCGAAGTACACAAGAGGTACATTGGGCAGGTACCTAAGGTCACTAATCAGCTCATCCCCTATACCTACAGTCTACGTATCACTAACACTTGGAATACCCTCATTCTAGCATTACCGTCGCGAATAAAAAGTATTTGACGACGGTCGTACCTCGGTCAAATTCGGAAGTCTCTCTCTTCCTCTCCCTCTCTCTCTCTCTCTCTCTCTCATAGAACCGATCACGGCCACAGGACAGATATGATGAAACTGCTCTCTATAAACATAGCCTACATACATACCTATATACCAGCAATGCGCCGTTTTCTCGTCCCGCTTACCCGGCGAACCACTGGGTATGTGGATAGCCGGGATGCGTCGCGCGTAAACCCCCTAAGCTACCTTCCTGCCTTTTCCAGGTTTTGATAGCCCAATTTCTACACCCGGTTTCCCTACTAACCCCTTTTCCCGTTCTATACCTAAAAATCCGTGAAGCGCCGGCCGGCTATTCCCATCCTTCTGCTCCGTGTATGCGTATAGATTGTGTGCGAGTTTCAGCGCCTCCCCATCTGCTTAATGCTCTCGGCGCTAGATACAATTCGTAGAAATCGTGAGGCCCGCTACAACAACCGACCTTCATATCCGTCTGTCCTCCACGCCCCGTATTCCCCCCTTTCCCAGATAGCTGGGGAGAGGCAGGTTGGGTGACCGCCGGCAGCGGCTACGAGGTTTACTCTAAAAACGTAAACAGGTTCGTATGCAATATGTTCATCGCCCTCGTAGCCTCTCTAGCGTCGAGGACACACGAGATGTTTATCTCGCTCGCGCCTGTGTAATTAGTTAGCCGACGAACCAGCCTGTAGTATTAAGCCTCCCCTCCGACGTGCTCGTTCACTAGCCCGTGTGTAGCCACTCACGCACCTTGCGATATCATCTCGATATTAACGTTGTGCTCACCGAGGGTGGAGAACATGCGCCCGGCGACGCCGACCATGTTCTTCATCTCGGCGCCGACAAGGCTCAGGATAGCCATGTCGAGCAGGATGCTGACGTCGCCACACTCCTCGAGCTCGGCCGTGGCCTCCTCGAAGTGGTGCACCGACGGGGTCGCCGAGTGGATCGCCATCGACACGTGCACCTCGCTCGTCGAGATCAGGTCGACCGAGATCCGGTGGTTGTTGAGGATCGAAAACACCTTGGCGAAGAAGCCATGGGAGATGGACCGCTTGTTCGAGTGCACGTTGATCACAGTGATGTTGTTCTTGATCGTCACCGCGGTCGGTCGCCGGGGCGTCTTGCGCAGCGATAGCTCCGACGGCCGGGACCTCCGGATCTGCTGGCTCGGCGCTTGTACGGGATCCGGGACGATGGTGGTGCCGTTGCCGCGAGGGTTGTTCACATTCTTGATACGGATCGGTATCGGCGGGTCGGCCTTGATGACTTGGTCCATGGTGAGATGGTGGATGACTTCGGAGCCGTAGAAAGTGAGCTCGGCCGCCTCCGAGGGCGTGATGGTCGCTAGCAGCCTTGCCGTCGGGACCTTGGTCGGATCGGCGGTGAAGATGCCGTCCACCTCCTTCCATATCTGAAGCTCCTTGGCCCCGAGACCTACGGCAACGAGAGCGGCGCACAAGTCGGTGTACCCGCGGCCAATGTCTCCGTCCATCAGACTGCCAGGGACGTTGCCGAAGAAGCCCGTAATCACCGGCACCCTGTCTTGGCAAGCCTGGACACGCTTGCGGAAGGCGGCGGCGGCAGTCTTGTAGAAGGCCGGACTCAGCCGGTCGGTGCTGTCGCAATGCATCAAATCGGACAGGTCCACGTATTCAGCCTCGATATGCTGCGACGCCCGTTAGCCAAGATGAGCGGATGGATCTGTTCACGCGGGAAGTGGGGCGAACCCGGTCTCGGAGCAGGTACGCCATAAATCTGCAACTCAGCTTCTCTCCGAAGCTCACCACGCGATCCTTAGATCGGGCATTGACCTCCAAGTTGAACCGCCTGGCTGCGAGGACGTAATCTATCAGCTCCTGGCAGTCCCCCTGGATGTCGGCGGCGAGCGCCTTTTGCAGGGCGGGGTTCTTGACGAATTCCTGTACGGCGGAGAGGTGCTCCTCGCAGATGGCCTGGATAGCGGACTTGGCCTCCTCGACAAACTCCTGCTGAGCAATGACATCGGTGGTCGCTACCGAGACAGAGCGCAGGTTCTGATAGACGTCTAGTAGGCTACATGCCCCCGGTCAGACGGTATAAGGGGAACAGCCCGGCCCGTGTGACTCACCGACTAGTAGTGCCCGTAGCCTTCTTGCCGGAGCTCCTCGCAGAGCAGACGACAGCGATCCTATTCGAATCCAAGCCGGTTCTTGTCATCGAGGGTCAGCATTCCATCACGGCGAGGCCCCAATGGCAACCTCAGTCTGCGGGACATACCGAACAATATCTCGAGCAATCTGCGGCCAGGTCAGCTTCTGCACTACGCGGGTTGGGCATAACTAGGAACGAACAATATCTGGGAATTTGCCGATGCTGGTGCCTCCAAACTTCTGCACGATCCAACCTTGATCGCTGGTGTTGATACAAGGTAAAGCACCCATGGCTCTCGGAAGAACTCGAGCAACGAAAGGGGGAGGGGGGAGGGGGAGTTATGCTGGTGTCACCCGTCGATGTACGTCGAGGTAGCAGTGGCTACGTGCGACGTCACGCCCAGAGCGCAAAGGTGTAGGAGTTGAATGGTGAGACGACCTCGGTGCGCACTTGGGACGAGTACCTAGAGCAGAGTCGGAGGCGATATCACAGAGAGCGGCACGACAACACCGACGGCGGGGAATGAACAAGAGTGAACAAGGGAGCGAGTTGCCAGGTAGGTCGGTAGGCAAGAGGGAGGTGAAGCTTGAAAATAGATACTAGGTCACTTTTTTCCCACTGGTCGTAGAGCAGTCCCAGCCGGGTCCTTTTAAAGAAGAGCTGGCCTGGCTTGGCTTCACCACGGGTGTTTATCGATAGTCCCCGGGAGAGTGGCCTGGATCGGAGGTGGGCAGATTGGGTAGAAGAGAGAGAAAAAAAAACAAGAAATGAAGAGACGAGACGAGAGAACAGAAGGTAGGTAACGGTTTAGCGTGCTAGAGCGGTCCAAGGGAGACGGGGTCTGGCAGACGGAGCTAACTTGGCCTGTCGTCTGTCGGCTACCTCTACTAGACGTAGACGTGAGGTACTCGTAGGTAGTATAGAGGTAGCTCGACGAAGAGGCCAGTTGGGAAGGCGTCAAGCACAACACCGGCCAAGAAAACGCAACCGCGATGGCGGCACACAAAAGCGGGACCGATGTGGGGTGGCTTCCGTACCTGGCCGTATGCAGGGAGCGGAGGTTATGGTGGTAGGGGGGCACGGAGGGTGCTGTCCTTCCTGCTATGCAATGCGAGTGTTGTTGTACATACGTCTAGACCCGCACTTGCCTTTGAACTACAAGGGGTGCTTGCCTTGGGTTGGGTACGGTAAGGTAGGTAGGAGGTATGTACAATACGATCGGTACATTAGGTACCTTAGGAAGTACCTACCTACCTACCTGTATGTGGGTTACCTGGGGTAGCGGCATTTGTAGTTGCCTATCTACCTACCTGCCCAGTAATACCTCCCAACAAGGCTGCCTATACCCGGTACCTGGGAAGTGAGTGAGACTAGGAGGTACCTAAGGTACCTAACCCTACCCTCCTGCGGCCCTCCCCATACCGGATGCTATAGGAGCAACGGGGACGGCCACGGCCACGGCCACGGCATCACGCATCCGTCCATTGGGCAGGCGAGGCGCCTCGGGGTAAGCAACCCAGGGTACAACACCGACCTACCTACCTATATCGGGTCGCCTGCGCACCCTTAATTACCTTGCTTACCCGGGCAGGAATGCCCTAGCGTCAGGGTACGCTCAGCGAACCAGGAGGGCAAAGTCAGCTTGGCCCAGTGTGTTCAACGCCGACGGGCCGATCTTTGCTATACCTATACTATGTAGTACGCTTGCCTGCCTACCTTGCTGTCGCCGTCCAACCTCCCCTCGTAAACCCGGCCGCCGCCCTCCTACATGAACCCTACATGCGTACGTCTCCTAGTAAGACAAGTCCTGCGACGCCGACGAGATGCGCGCGCAGCCTGCGTCTCGCGGCATACTACCTACCTAAATCGGACCCCGAGCTGAGCTGAGCGCGCCTACCGGAACGCACCCAGGCCGCACGCACGCACCGGCGGGACAGCGCGCGGGCGCGGGCGCGCGGCGAACCCCCTTCCCTTCCCTCCCCTCCCTCCCAGGACGAACACGCAATACGCGCGCCGCGGGGACCCCTCGCGAAACACTAGCTCTTACTATCGCGCCGTCGTTCTAGGCAGCTCGGCGCAGGAGGCAGGGCCGGTGGCGTCGAGAGAGGTTCGCGGCACGAACACGCACCGCTCGCGACGCTACCCGGCCGCCAGCTGAGTGAAGGAGGGAAGGAGGGAAACGAAATTAAAATAAGACGAATCCGATGCACATGTATAGTACACACATATGATCGCACCTTCGGCTGGGCGCGCGGAGGGCGGGCCGAGGGCGAATCGCGCGCGCTCGTGGGTATCTTAGCAAGTTTGCCTATCTGCTACCTGTCTGGCCGCCCCTATAGCCGAACGTGTCAGGCAGGGGGGTGGGCAGGCCGTTATAGTAACAGACCAAATGGCACCGAAGACCAATTCCGTGTCGTGCTTCCTTCTTCTTCCTGGGAAGCGGAGGGGAACGCCTACGTCCCCCCCCCCCCCCCCTCCTCGAGGAAAAGGCGAGACAGATGAAAAAAGATGAGAAAAAAAAAAGAGCCACCGAGGCCGTCCCCTCGAGACTCTTGACCGTTCACTGTACAGACCTGACTGATACGGAAATATCAGCCCCGATATCGTCTCATCCGCCGTACTCAGACGCCCTCTCCTCAGGCCAAGTCCAACCGTTACCAGGTTCCAGTCCAGGCCTACAAAAAAAAAAAGAAAAAAAGAAACCACCCCCCCCCCCCCCTTTTTTGTTCCCTCCTCGCCCTCCCCTTAGTATCTCAGTTACACAATTACAAGTGATACTCCTCTCAACCGACCGCAACGAGTCCATCGTCTTCTCTTCGAGAAACCCCCCCTCCACAAACTAGTTGCTCCCGGTCGTCTATCGTGTCTGGTCATGCCATCGTACCTTCGTGCGTGTGTGCGAGCGTGCGTGCGAGCGTGTGGTGTATGCGTTGTATGTTCGGTGACGGTCCCTCCTCGCGTGGGACTACGCATGAAATGGAAGAAGAGAGGAAAAAACGGGAAAAGGTGCCTCCAACGCCGATTATTAATATATAGGTAACTGGGTCCGGGGTGAGTGGCCCGGCCGGCGTGGGGCGCGCGCGAGAAACGTAGTCGAAGAAACAAGGGCGAGTCGCCGTCTACTGCAGCTCGTGGTCCAGGCCGAGAGACTGCAGGCTCTGGCCGTGGCCCGGCTGGAAGTCGTACTTGTCCACGGGAAAGTCTTCCTCGGGCGTCCGGATTCCTATTCCGCTGTCGTCGTGGTTCGTCGACATATGGATCGGGTCTTGGTTGTTGGCGTCCGCTTGGGATGGAAACAACGCGCGGTCGGGCTGTGGTTGCGAGACGCGCGGCATGTCGATGTCGTCGCTGCTGCCACTGTTGCTGCGGCCGCTCAAGTGCGAGCCTCGATGGTTGGCATCGGTATCGGCCGCGGCGGGCTTGGGGACGCTAGCGGCGGCGGCCGAAGACGAGCGCTTGGCCTTGATGAGCCCACCGAGCTCGGCCAGGAACACGATCATCTCGTCGACGAACACCTTGGTCACCCACCACGAGCTAAAGCTCTTACTGCCCGCGATGGTGAGATCGCGCATCACCTCCATCCCGACGCGTTGCACGCATACGACGATATCCGCCGGTGACGCGTACGGGAAACGCCCCGGCAGGGATCGCAGGAACGCGACCCATCCGTCTAGCACTGTCCGCTTGTCGACCTCGCGGGATTCCGCAGCCGGCGGGCTTCCCGCCAGCTCTCCGTATAGCGTGAGACACTCGAGGTCCCAAGGAACGTTGGCAGGGTTGATCAGAGCGCGAATCTCGGTGAGCAAAAGATCGACGACGTCGTCCATACCTCTGGCGGGCACGCATTCCGAGATCTTGCGGATTCTGACCTTAGTAATCCAATCGAGATACATCAGGTCCCGGTTGGCCGGGTTGGACAGCATGTTTGCGGCAGCGTGCGCCGTGAGGTTGACGCGTAAGATGCGGTCGAGAAGGTTGGCGAAGATCGTCGCGGGTCCTTCTTTGGCCTTGAGGAGGTGGCCGGGCTGTCCGTTGAAAGACTGGCGGATGTGAGCGACCAAGCGCTCCGAGATGTTACGGAGGGTATCTAGCACCGTTGTCGGGACCACCTGGAGGGTGAGATTGGATAATATCTGCATCATACGTTTGTACAGTACGAAATCGCACTCCTCGATCCACGGGGCGATGCTAGGGTTCGAAAAAAGCTTCTGCACGGGCATGGTGAGCGTGCCCTGGAAAGAGGTAAACAGGTGAAAGAACGCCCTCTCTTTACAGTAGCGGATACATTCAACAAGCGAGGTGCAATGGGATCGATACAGAGCCGTCAAGGACTTCGCCGCATCGGGGTCGGTTCCGTCGGGGAGGAAGGGATCGATACTGGGCAATATGAGAGCTTGCGACTGTTGGAAAGACTCGTCGGCCTCGTCCACAAACGCTAGGCGCAATGTAGTCTTGGCCTTGGACGAATTGAGCTGGTCCATAGACGTAACGTCGGGCTGGTTGTAGACGCTGACAATTCCGTAGTGGGATTTTTGCGATATTGACTGGGCGTCTGGATGCTGTCGTAGCGTGGGCGAGGCAAGGGTCGAGTTCTGGCCGTTCAAGGCAGGAGATTGAGAGGGAGCGGCACTGTTAGGTGTCAGAATAGAGGAGGGCACGACGTAGCGCACGCCGCAGCGGCCGGGTTGGGCTTACCTGAAGGTCTGGGTGAATGTCATGGGCTCCGGGAAGGGAAGCGTTGGCTGGGAGGCCGGCTCTCCAGGAAGCTCGGGCTGCTCTTCGATCAATGTAAAGTCAACGTAGTGATATTTAGACTCTCCGCGAATTCCGAGACGACGCGTCTTCAAGTCACGGAAGAGCACTCGGACCAGCTTTCCAAAGCTAGCTGGATTCAAGACCGTTATTCTCTCTGTCGCACAGCGAGATGCGTAATTCGCATACACTCGGCTCCTGGGCACAGAGCCTTTACCGGCGCTGCAGACTTGATTGATCCTATACGAGAGGGGGGAGAGAGAGAGATCCCAGTTAGCGGAGGCGGTCTCTTGCCGACATCATCCTACTACCCACTTCCGCCTTCTCGGCGGGTGTGAACTTACCACAGCATAGCAAAGATCTGGCGGGCGCGCTCGGAGTTGGGGCCGCGTTCGTTGCCGTGGAGCTCCTTGGCGACGTCTCCCAGGTACCGATGCTTGTTGGCGTGGAACAACTGGCGCATCTCGAGTTCATTGTTTGCGCTAGCTCGGCTCGAGGACGGCTTCGAGGCGGGCATAGGCCCGGCGAGCGGCTCGCCCTCGTCCAGGTTGTCGCGGTCCATGATCTGGCTGTCGGCGTCGGTGAAGCTGGCATTTGTGCCGAATGTCTCGGGCGGGAGGCCGTGATGCAGGGCCGGGTGCTGGTGGTAGGCCATGGTGGACCCAGCGGTGGAATGCATGCTGGAATCGACGGGGAAGGACTGAGCGGCATGCATCTGCGAAGCGGGACGGAGCATCATGTCACTGGCGGGCATCGGCTGTACGGCGGAGGGATCCCTGGGTTGGCTATGGTCGTTGGGGACCCATTGGTCTGCGAAGCCGGGGTGGTGCGGCATCAGACTCGGCTGGTCGATGGTTGGCTGGGTAGCAACACTATGAATCGAGGCAGTCGAGCCTCTCGACAGGGCCCTCTTCCTCGGGTTGAGGGGGCGGTGATGCTGCGACATGGCGCCGGCATCGAGAGGCTGGGGATCTGCAGGGCAATTAGAGGAGAGGAACAATGGAGCTGCATGAGGTAGCAAGAAGACCGGAGGGTCGGAGTAAGGGGGACTCGGCTGCGGTGGTGCTTTGCAGGCTTTATTGGCAGAGGGAACATACTGGTCTCCATGGGTCGTAGGGTTGTTTACCCCGTGCAGGTGGTATGCGACCACGATAAACACGGCAGAGGCGGCACCACAAGCGGCGGCAGACAAAGGCGCGCGGTTAGAAAACGGGAAGAATAATGCGAAATCGGTACAAGAATCAAACCGTTCTCGGAGCTAGCGTGTGCAGAGAGAGACACCGCGTCGCGACGGTGCATCGGTGAGGGCGACAAGCCTGGACAGATGCTGGGAGAGCAGGAGCAGAGATGGAGGAGACGACCAGCCAAACAACAAGAAAACTCTCGTCGGGGCAACGGTGGAGAGCTGGGCTAGGATTTTTGTGGGAGGGATGCGAAAGGATGGGTGGCTTGGTTGATTGGTCGGTTAGAATTACAGATGGGGAAGAAGTGAGTAAGAGAGTGAGTGAGTGAGGGAAGCGGAAGAAGCAGACTGGTGCGGGTGTGCGTCGTGTGCGTGTGAGAGAGAGAGGACGAGTACCGGGCCACCTAACCCGGACTGGAGCGTTGAGGAGACGATACAAAAAATAAAAACAAAAAACACAAGCCAGGGAGCAGACGCAAAATAAAATAAAAATAAGATGAAAATAAATAACCTATCAACCCCGAATTCGACGACGAGAGAGGAGGACAAGCGTTAAGCCGTTAAGCCTAGCCCCCCCCCGCCTGATCGCTTCTACCTGACAGTTTGCTAAGCAGGTACCTAACTTAACCTACTATCAATCCTCGCGGCGCGTTACGGGGCCGCGATACGGTTAATTTCCCCCCAAATTCCTGGTAATGCCAAGGTACCCGAGACGCGGAAGACCACAGCGCTTGGGAGTATCCGCGTATCTGCGATATATCATCGTGATCCGCCCACCCGAGGTTCATTATCATCAACGTCTACAAACGCTTGCACGCACGCATACCTGGCCAGAGGCTGCCTAAAGTACCGCCGTTAGACACAGGCATAAATTACTCAGTAGTAGTGCCCTCGTATGGGGCACGTGCCTACAGAATCTCCGTACCGAAACGTAAGCAAACAGACACCCCGCTGGTACCGTATCTGCTCCTCCCCCGCACGCGTTGGGTACGGTGTCGATTATCAGATCTCGAGGAGGCTGCAGGCGGCATTACTCACATGATGCCAATGCCCATATGTGTGTGTGTTAGTACGCATGTATGTATATACGTACGTATACACCTACCTACCTCCTAAGGTAGGAGGAGGTACGCGGGCAGAGACATCGATGGATCTGCATTCCGAGGTACGTCGACATCAGTGCTTATATACCTACCTGAGTAGGTATGTATTACCTCCAGTCGGATACATCTTGCTGGGTAGTGGATAGACGGCGGCTAACACGTCGATGGGGCTACCTCCACAGGCGGTGTAAGTAATATACCTAGGTATATAAGAGGTACCTAAGCGCCTACAAGAGGTCTACCAGAGGCATGCACGTAGCTTTACAGGTATGAATGTGTTTCTCATAGCACAAACACCCAAGGCACCTATATAGGTATGTGGGTACGATCTGGCTGCCGCATTCGATGATGTTTTAGGTATACCATATATTACCATATGTGAAAGTAAGCTGCACTCAAACGAGACTATGAGAACGAGTTTGCATGCCTCCGAACAACCCCTAACCTCTACCAACTAAGATCCCTCTTCATTACGCACCTAATATAATAACACATGGGTGTATCTCGTGTATTTAAGCCCGCATTACCTTCCCGGGGTATTCATACTTGCCTTCTCACACATAAGAGGTACCTCCTAATACGAGTAGGTAGGAGGTAGGTGGGAAGCCCAGCAATATACCTCTACCCAAGCCCCTTTTATTATGGGACGATATACCAAGTTCTTCAAATGCTCATGAGCGCAAGGAGAACCTATATCTCTGTAACGGACCTGGTATTTACACCCGTGATGTAAAAACCATAGATATATCTGCATAGGTACCTAGCTACCTACGTAGCACATGATAATAGGTGGCACACATATGGCTATGTAGATATTTTATCTTCGAGCGTGTACCTCCTTACTCTGGACATATATATCCAAGGTAGGAGAAGCTTCCAATTGTGAAGTGCAAAACATCTCCATCAAAGTGTGCACGTTCACTCGTTGGACGATGTCTCGTCGTGCAATTAGACATTACTATCCACGTGCATACTCGCTGTTTATCATCCGGAATCTCGAAATTTCCACTTGGTGTCCACCCACCTCGAAATCCACATCTCCTCACACGACACACATAGCTACTACTCCTTAACGTAGTTAGGTGGACCCGTGAATGCTATGGACCTCCATCTAAGACCAACTCCAGTAGCGTTCATGCTAGAAGATATCTATAGGTATATCCACTTCATTAGAAAGGCCCAGCGGGCGTCCTGATCTCCATACCCTTAGCCTGGTAACACTATCCACATTGCTAGTTTGAGGGCCGCAGCAATAGACCGGAGAATACATGTACTTGAACTTGGCAAGGCTGTGCAATATTCACCTGGTTCTCGCTGTGCCTCCGACTATTAGAACACGGCAGGCAGTAGTCGCAGATATACCCCTCCTCCTCCCTCGCCCGTTCTTATTCCCTCAACCAACCTTACGGCTTATCACCTCAATGGTCGACGAGGTGGGCATGCTTTTAGAGACAACTTCGTTAACGCAGCACAAGACCTGTCGGAGATAAGGCCAGTGAAGCAAGCGTCTCCCCGCAACCTATCTACAAACCGCGCCAGAGAAGGCTTGCACCCGATGTGGTAATGGTCGTGCCATGGTACGAATCAGCTTCCAGGGCCGCTGTCCGGCATCGCGTTTATGAAAGGGGTCCATCAAGGTACTCATGGAGGCATACTAACCGCGAGAAGAATGGGAGAGCAGCAAGCCGAGCTTCATACCAAGGAGACATGATAAGAGGGAAGTCGTCGTCTCCGGGACCTACCTACATAGACTAGTTAGAGATGTCCTCGAAACAGTCGACTCCACACGTGTTTCCAATCTCATAAGAGACGCAGCCTGGAGACATCTTCTCGGAAACTTGGTGGTCTCTTGCTGGATACCTGAGACTTTTGAGAGAACCAGAAGGCCGGCTCACACTGTGGATCTAATACTCTTGCTGTGGGTATTAACCTTACCTGGAGGCTGGAGGCACCCAAAGTGCGGATACCTAAGGCAATTATGCTAGACGCCTTGCATTGCTTGTTCCTAAACCATGAATAAGGCCGAGAAATGAATTGCTCTACGTCATCTAGGATGGGTATACTAATCAACAATCAACGATCCAGCCCTTAGGCAGGTAGGTTACCTAGGTATATATGCTAACATCTACTAGTAATTATATACTCGGTACATTATTGCTATCTTCCATTGTATACCTGCCTCCTGTATGAATGTATATACCTCTTTCAGGTTCCTTCAGTTCCTTTCCTATTATGTCTACTACGTCATTTGTTATTAAAAATTCGTAAGGTACCTTTCAATACTACCTGTGTACCTAAAATCAGTGTGCAGCTAAGAGACACCCAGGTACCTACCTATTAGGTACCTCCTATCTGGTATGCCTGCGCCTTTGCTGTACCTTAGATACCAGATAGGTATTGCTTAAGGTAAACTTGAATCTTCCTCCATTCCAGTTCTATCAACTCCATGCTATTTGGACATGTATAATAAGGAGAGGTATTGGCTCATCCTGCAGACGCTTTGGATTCCTTATCTACCTACCCGTATTGCGCCAGAGATCCCATCTCTGTCTTCTGTCTACCTAGAGGTTGGCAATGCCATGCAAAGGCTGGACGTTAGGCACAGTACATCGTATCGAGCCCCTCTGGGTACTGCATGGGCCTCGTTCCTCCACGTATCTGTACCGTACCCCTAGGTACACAGTAGGACCAGTCATCGTAAGTCCGGATAACAAACGCCGATGATCCGCCATCCCACTTCATTCCTACGTGTACGTTGCGTCCATATTAAGCAAGGTGGCTTTTTTTTTTTTGTAAACTACTAGCCCTAAAATACTACCACAGCCGGCTTTCCTCTGCCTCCTTTGACATTGGCAACTTCATCATCACCCCCGCCCTCCACGCAACACCTTATCGACCTGGTCCTCCTTACCCCTTGCCAAATAAGAAGAGTGTCATCTCGCAGCCCGTTCCAACCTTTACACATATCTAGCAATCAAGCAAAGATGTCTGCCCAGGATCGCGTCCAGCATTATGTGTCCTTACTTGACCGAGAGGTATGTGATGAAAACCACCTTTACCCTATTACGTACCTTGGCCCTGCCTGCCGTCCTCTTCCTCGACCTCGGGCCGAGTCAAATCTCCGACCAGACCAGAAGACTAACGGCAGCTTGCATAACAGCTCTCCAAGTATGATGCCCTCAACAACCTAGAGAAGCAGATAGGCGTCCCCAAGGTCTATGCCGTCATCGGCGTCGCCAGTCTCTACTTGTTCTTCATCATCTTTAATCTCGGAGGCCAGCTCCTCACCAACTTCGCCGGCTTCGTCGTCCCCGGATACTATTCCCTCGCCGCCTTGTTTAGTACCACCAAGTCGGATGATACGCAATGGCTGACGGTATGCTCACGGCCCCTCCCCTCCGCCTCGACTGCGAAGAGGTATTATCAGCATCCTGTTGCTAACTCGCTCTAGTACTGGGTCGTCTTCTCCTTCTTCTCGTAGGCCACCCGCTGCGTATAATCCGTTCTCTAGTGTCTGCGTTGCTGATACCCTTCACAGCGTCGTTGAGAGCGCCTTCAGCGTCGTGTATTGGTTCCCCTTCTACTACACCTTCAAGTTCATCTTCCTCCTCTGGCTCTCGCTGCCCATGTTCGGGTTAGTAGTTGCCTGCCGAAACGCCCCGTGCTACGTCGACAAAACTAACCGCGCTCCAGTGGTGCGCAACTGATCTTCCGATCCTTCCTACAACCTATGCTCGGCCGATACTTCTCCGAGTCTGGCTCGACTGCTGCCAACCTACGCGCCAAGGCCGACTCGCTCGGCAAGGACCAGTAGGCCAGTCTATCTGACCGGACCATTGCTACGAGCATGGAAGCAAGGAGCGCAGCGACCCGCACTATTCCAGCAGACAAATAAAGATTTACCGAATCGGTGGGACTAGAGCACTTGTTGGCAATGGCCCATACTTAGGGGGGGGAACGCCCCAATGAGGAACCGAAGAGACGAGGCGATGACGTGGTAGGGGAGGACTCGTCCAGCACCGCATCGCAACATGGTTACTGGTTCTTGCAGCGTTGGTACTGGCTCGTCTTTGCGCTGGGGATATGGTTTCGTTGGGCGGACATAGACACAGGCTTGAGTGTGTGTGGCACACGTACCTCGAGGGAAGGTATAGATAGAATGTGGATCACGAACAACTTGGTACTTTGACAGCATTCCCGGCGCTGGAATCGTTCTGTTGAAGCTCAAGTTTTTTTTTTCTTCCTTCACTGTACGGACTGAGTAGTATGTAGGACTTGCTTTGTCCTGAATTATGATTGATGATTTGAATTGCTATCTGGTCCCCGGCTAATAGGTGGCTGCGTGTTCCCGGCAAATCAGCTACGTGCTCGAGACGCTCGCCCCTAGCCATCGCTATTCTGCGCAGGTGTCAAGTCAAATCTGACGTGGATAAATGCGCAAGGGGACTGAGCAGGGAGGGGGTGGTTGAGTATTTGACCCATTCAAGTTACGATTCGAGAAGCTTCGGGGGATGTTCGCACAGCTTTTTATTTCTCACGTGTGGATATTGTCGATTCTGTGTGACGTCTATAGAATTAGCGTATGGGCGGCCCAGTGTTAGCGAACATCTGCTTGGTTGCCATGTGTGTAGTCTCAGAACCCCCCTCCGATTGTGTTATTAACTCAGTGACTGCCGTTTTCCGCAAGCTCAACCAGACAAGACGACGGCTGAGCGCCATCGGGTTACCAGGCTCAAAATAGTCATCAGGGTATATCGAAGGGGTTGCGCGAGAACAATGCCGTGGCTTTCCTTTCCTCTTCCTCGGACTTACCTCCAAGACAGACGTGTAACGCATGCAGCCCTCCTGTAGGTACTGCTCCACGCTGGGGGTAGACCAGGAATCGGCCCAGCTTGCCGCCCGCCCACGTGCCCATCGTAGGTGCGAAGCCGCAGCGGTGCGCCGGCTGGCAGATTATGTCCGGACTTGCTTCAGGTCATCACCGCATCATGGTAGCCAGCAGTTAAGGGCCCTCGTGATGATGGTTTTAAGCAAGGGATTCATCGAAAGTTACTCTCGACGCACGCAGCAGAGTCGCCAGCAGCGTGGAAACACACGGTGGGTGGGCGAGCTGGCGGTGGTTTTGCGTTGGTGGTCTTTTTCAAATGTTTTTGTTTTGGAGAAAGGGGAAAAGAGGGAAAAAGAGGCGAGGCATGCAAGAAATTAGCACCTACCTCCTAGGTACCCAGGTACCTGAGGTAGATTGCATGGCTTATAGCCTATAAGTAGGTGCCTTATCGGGTTCGATATCGTGCCCGCTTCTGGTGTGCCTGAAAGGCAAGCGTCGAAAAATGACGTCCGAGAAGGGAATTGTAAGAACGGCGTTCACCGCCTGCCCTAATTTAGCGGACATTGGGTTAGACATGTACCTACCAACGTTGCGGCCAGGTACCCGGCGCCGTAAGGCCATAGAAGGTGCCGAAGCCTGGAGGATAGCGGAAGGGCAGCGCCATATAGGCATCGCGTAGGGACGGCTATACACTCGCCTTTATGAGTAGGCGTTTGGGGGTTATCTCGGACTTGGGCACGTACCTGAAGCAAGGCCTTCAGGTACCTACTTTGGGTGGCGCCAGGGCGTGTGGTACATGTGGTCGACAAAGAGGTACATACCCGACCGCAGGCGCACCGCCGAACGAGCTTCATTTTTGGCAGTTTCTGGGCGCTTTGCATCGACCAATTGGCGAAAATGATTTGTACCCGGTACATTTCCGTTGTCACTTGTGCGTGTAGTTCACTCCGTCCTCTCCTCCAGTCCCTCTCGACGCAGGAAAAAATCCCCAATCCCCTCCACCTAACCGTCGCCTCTAAAACAACACCAGCAATAACCTACCTGCTTGCCTCCATATATCCGTACATACATACATGCGTTACCTGCCTACCTACCTCCTGTCTGCCAATTCCTACACATACACCCGCCATTCAGCCCGCCTCTTTCCTACACCACACCACGCCAGCCCGTAAACCTGCCCGTTCGAAATACCCACTACACGATCCTGTGTTAGCCTCTTCCACAGATCGCACCTCTGCTATAATACAACTTGTCCGTTTGTGGCCTGTCCCCATCCCACCTGGTCTGTCCCCTCCTGCCGACCGGACACCTTCACCCGGCCAAACCCGACCAACCTGCTCGATCACCACCGCAAGCCACCCTCGACAGCAGCCCCGGCACCACTGCCGTACCCGTACCTAGAAAGAGTCTACCCCTCCGGTTCAACCCTCTCCTAGTCCTGTCATATCGACAGCGTCGCTCGCTACAAATATCTACGTGATACCGGCCGGCTCCGAGATCGCAGAGACGACGGGTTGCCGGGGACACTTGGGAGCTTGTGCATACTCATCCTGGTCAGAGCGGCCGAGACAAGCCACGGGAACTCAATATGGAGAAGCAGGAATCGATATGGACTCGTCGTAGCAAGTAGGTCTCGTCGTGAAAATTTCCCCCTCTACCTTCCCCTCCCCCCTCCTCCCCTGCCCCTGATCCTAGTCACTTATAGTCCGGCTAGTCTTAGCAGCCTCTCGCTGTCCACGCCCGGCCCGTCCGATAGCTCTCCCTCCACTACCCCGCGAGACTTCTCAAGCCTGGCACGCCGAAATGGCGGTACCTCGTCCGCCACCCGCTCCAACCCCTTCAGCGCAACCACGCCCGGCGGCCTCACGTCTCCGACCAGCGCTGGCGGGTCTAACCAATTCGGCCTCGGGTCCGGAGCGTTCGCATCCTTCGGCTCGGCAAAGACACCAAAGGCTCAAGGCAATCCCTTCGAGCATGCGATGGGTGCCGTCGGCGCCAAGACCCCTTCCTCCGAGAAGACGACCAAGGAGGCCGTGCGATCTACCGCTAGCAGCAAACCCTCGATGGGCTCCATCGCCGAGACGGGGTCCCAGCAGGCCTCGGCGCCGACCACACATCCCCTCCGCGACACCTGGGTCTTTTGGTACCGCCCTCCCATCACCAAGGCCAACGGTTATATCGAATATGACAAGACGTTGCACGCCATGATGGCGGTCAAGACGGTAGAAGAGTTCTGGCTAGCCTACTCGCACCTCAAGCGGCCTTCCTCGCTCCCTACGGTGTCGGATTACCATTTCTTCAAGAAGGGCATCCGTCCGATATGGGAGGATGAGGAGAACAAGCAGGGCGGAAAGTGGGTCCTTCGACTGAAGAAGGGCATCGCCGATCGCTATTACGAGGATCTCCTGCTGGCTTGCGTGGGCGATCAGTTCAGCGACGATACTGACGAAGTTTGCGGCGTCGTGCTGAGCATGCGCAATGGAGAGGACGTATTGAGTATCTGGACCCGTAGCACGGGACAGAAGGTCCTCAAGATTCGGTACGTATTGATCTCCCCCACGCCTTCTCATCTCGGGACCGCGGACTGACGGTACGCAGCGAGACGATGCGTCGCGTGCTCAACTGCCCTGCTGAAACTCGCCTCGAATTCAAGAGCCACGATGCCAGTATGCAGCAGCGCTCAGCCATCGACGAGATGCGCCGCGAAAAGGCAGCTCAGAACCACCACGGAGAGAAACGACCGCACAACAACAACACCAAGACCAGGCAATCGCAAGATGAGCAGCGATTATAGTCGGGCCGTGTCGAGAGAGGCCGACACCGGAGCCGGGCACAGGCGTCGAAATGCGCTCGTGGTGCCATAGACAAGTTTTAAATCAACGTATTATTAAAAGAAATATATGGCTCTTACTAAAGATGAACGAGATATCCCGGTGAGGGTGACATCCCCGACGAGGACCAGGAGTGAAGCGTTTTCCCCCCAGGGTATTCTAATCTATATGTCCGCACAGACTTCTTGCGCAGGAGAAACGAGGGAAAGTTGGGGGGGGGGGGGGGGGCAGGGTTGAGGGGTCGCGCAATTGAAAGCATGCTTTTATGGCTCCTGGACGTTGCTACACTGATGCTTGCTGCTCTGTTTTTTTTTCTTCCCAAAGGGAACTTACCATGTATGTGTATGCTGTACAATACGGAGAGGGCAGCGTCTGCGAAAGCAATTTGCAAGCCCTTTTCACTCATTTCCCGCGTCTCTGCATGCCCGCTTATCGCCCGCGCGATCTGGGAAGCCTCCGAGCCTGGTTCGGTTGGCCGCCGGATCGGGGCGGTGGTGGTCGAGGGCCGAGGCGGGACTGGCGCCAAGGGGGTTTTTTTTTTTTTTTGCGCTCTGTCTTGTTTGGAGTCCGGGACGGACCGGATGGGATGAACGGACTGGCGGACGGATGAATGGACGGGCGGATGGATGGACGGCGTGTCGTCATAATCCCTCCCCTCGAGGTTTCTTAAAAACAAAACCAGAAACGACAGAAAGGAAAACAAAATAAAATAAAAACCCGACACTGCTACAGGGCTGTATCAATATCGTGCGGATGAATGACGACTGGTTCTTGGGGACGGATGTGAGGGCGAGAGGGGAGGAGGGGATAGTGGAGTGGGGGGGGGAGGGGAATAAGGGGATACGGGACAGGCCTAGGGCATACCAGCGGGCCGTCGACGATTCGGCGTAGCCAGCGTCTCTCCCCCTGGCGAACGCGAGCGAGGTTCACGCCGGGCATGGATGGATAGATGTACGAATATTCGTGTAGCCACAGACAAACGAGGAGGACAGGGGGGGCGCGGGCCGTACGTATTATTCTTCGTGTGCTATGTCGCCTGGTATCCATCAGGCGCGTACGGTGTACCTACTAGTACGGTAGGGCAGGTAGGCATGCTCCCGACGACGACGGCGACAGGCCTCCCTACCTACCTCCCTCCCCCGCTCCCTCCTGACCCGGGAGCGCCGGGCCGCAAACTAGACGGACCGAAGTGCGACTTCGGCACGGCAGGGCGCATAGGTACGTCTATCTCTGCCCGGGCCGAGGGGGGCAAGGGGCACGTGCTCTACGCTCTCGTCGCGCCGAGCCGCTTTGCCCCTCCCACCAGGCGTGCGCGAGGATGGGGAAAACGCTCGGGTGTCTACGCTCCGCTGCATGTCACACTACGCTCGGCTCCCGAAGCGCGCGAGGTGCACACGGTGCGCGTGCGCGCGTCTGTCTCTTGGCCTGCCTGCCTGCCTGCCTGCCTAGCCCCCCGTCCGTCCGCCGCACTCCTTGCCCCCCCCTGGCGGCGGACTGCGGTCCCGACTCTATGTGTACAAGTGCGCGCGTCGCCTCGCGCGTCGGCTCTAGTCTTTCTTTCTCTCTGCGCCTCGAGCGCAGGTTCCCCCGGCTGCTGGTCTCCTTCTGCTCTGTCTTCTCCCACTCCTTCTCCCGGGGGCCTTCTCCTCGCCCTTCCTTCTCGCGCCAAAGCGGGCGCGGGTTGTTGCGGCGGTAAGTAGCGGGAGCGGCGGCGGCGCGTCCGCCCCCCCCCCCCCCAGCCGTCGCTCCCTGCCAGTACGTAGGTACGTATTGCGCTCGCGCTCGCGCTACGTCGCGAAGGCGGGCAGCAGCTCCCAGCGCTTGTCCGACTTCCGGGGGGCGCCGGCGGCGGCGACGCGGCGGGCGACGCGGTCGAGCGTGGCCTTGACCTGGGCCTTGGTGCAGGCCGGCGCGAAGCGCTTCGCCAGCATCTCCGCCACCGTGCCCTTGGTGAAGCCGCGGAACTCCTCGCTCACCACCGCCGCCCGGAACGCGTCGAACACCTCCCGCGGCACCACGTCCCGCGCGTCCGCCACCGGCCCCGAGCCCGCCGCCGCGTCGCCCACCAGCAGCCGCGCGTACGCGTCCGCCGGCGAGGCCCCGCCGCCGGGTGGCGCCCCCGGCACGGACTTCGGCACCAGGCCCGCCGTCGGCGCCGCGCAGTTCGCGCTGCCGCCGCTCTTGCCCGCCGCCCGCTTCGGACCCGACGGCCAGTACGATGTAGAGAAGGGGTCGATGCCGACGCTGGGGTCGGCCACGTCTGCATTCTCCCGTTAGTCTAATTAGCCTCTCCCTGCGTAGCGCCGGATCCACGATGCGCTCGGGCCGCGAGAGACGAGGGAGGAGGCCGGGAGACTTACCGATCAGGATCTCGAGGCGGTACTGGTGCATGGCGGCGCAGGGGTTCGCGCCCCGGCCGTCCTCGTAGCAGATGCCGGTGCTGGTGGGCTCCTTGTCGCCGAGGAAGGCGGGGCGGGCGGCGGCGGCGGCGAGGACGTCCTCGGAGTCGTCGAGGAAGTCGTCCATCTCCTCGTCGCCGTCGTGGTCCTCGTCGTCCTCGTCCTCGTCGCCGAGGTCCTCGCCGTCGTCCTCGACCCACTCCGCCTCCGAGTCGTAGTCGTACTCGAGCTGCAGGTGCCGCCCGGCCGGGTCGCGCGCCAGCTTGCGCAGCCGCCCTGGCCCCGCCGCCGCCGCCGCCCCCGTCGCCGTCCCGAAGTACGCCGGCCGCACGTCCTCGTAGAACCGCAGGCACTTCATCCGCACCGCCCTGAGCTGCTCCTGCACCCGGCTCGGGACCGCCGGCGCGGGCCCGTCCCCGTACGCTTGGCTCATGATCTTCCGCACGCTGACCGGCGGCAGGCCGCGCCTCCGGGCCGGCGGCAGACCGAAGGCCTTCGCCGGGTCGAGCGGCTTCGGGTCGAACTCGCCGCGCTCGCCGCGGACGTACTCGTCGAGGGCCTGCGACTTGGCCGCCCTGGTCTCTTCGTCCATCTCGAATGGCGAGCGAGCCATGGTCACGCCGGGCTTGACGAAGAAGGGCTGGAACGCGCGCTCGTACGCCGACTTTTCGGGTTTTGTCGCCGCTTGCGATGCGGCGGAACTCGCATCGGGTTCGCTGGGTTTCGTCGAAGGCCCCGGGGCGGTTTTGGAGGGCGCGGTAGGTGCTCGTTGGATGAAGCTGGCCATGACGCTCTGCTGTTTTTCCTTTTTTCGCTTCGCGGCGAGCTCCTCCTCCTCCTTTTTCCGCCTCTTAGCCTCCTCGGCCGCCTGTTTCTTGGCCTTTTCAGCTGCCTTTTCGGCAGCCTTAGCGGCTCTCTTAGCAGCCTCTTCCTCCCTCTTCTGGCGCTTCTCAGCGGCTTCTTCTTCCTTCTTCTGGCGTTTCTCCGCCGCTTCCTCCTCTTTCTTCTGGCGCTTCTCCGAGCGTTGCTCCTGGGCCGGGGTGGGCTTTCGTTTCGCCGGCTGTAGGGTCTGGTCCACGTGCCCAGGTACTTGAGGGACGGAGGCGCGCAGTTGAGGTAGTTCGGTAGTAATGCCTTTCGGCCCGGGAGAGTTCGACAATGTCTTGTTCGGGGAGTGTGGATCCCGAGCGGGCGGGCTAGACCTAGCATCGGCCAAAGCCGCGGGACTGCCCTCGGGAGCGGAGTTGACCATGATGGTTGGTACTAAGGGCAATTCTATACGATAAGGGTTAGTAACCTGATTTTCCGAGTGAGGCCCAGGAAACGAGGATGGGGTCCGGGAGGCTTCTTACGTAGTTGGGATTTCGTAGGTGGCGGCGGCGGTATGGCGACTGGTTTCTGCTCGCAAAAGTTTTCGGACTGCGTAGATTGGTCCATATCTAGCCGGCCGGGACTGTCGATGAATTCGTCATGCGTTCTCTTCCTCGAGCCGGCATCCGGTTCGTGGATATTCGGGGACATGTCGAATAGAGGCATCGGCACAAGGGATCTAGCACAGAATCGCCTGTACCATTACAGGAGAATGCGTCGATAGATGTAGGGGCGTTGCCAATTAGGGGGGGGGGATCGGATGGGATAGGGCGGCGCTCGCTCACAGGCGTCGAGGGGTTACGGGTGAGGGAGGCAGGTTCACGATGACGACGAGGGCCGAGGGGCGAAGGCGAATCGAGAGGGTTGGATTAGATCTAGGGTGAAAGGGGCTATAGAGGGTGTACGCTGGACGAAGGGCGGCCTACGTTCAGTTCAGCGACTGGAAAGATCTCGAGTTGCACCCCCACTGGCGAAAGGGTCAGTTGGTAGGATGAATTGGTCTGGCCAGGATTTGTGGGTGGAGCCCAACACGCGTTTGGACGCGCCAACCACGGGCCATCCGGTCGCGTCGGCCTCGATGGCCAAATTAATTTACCAGATCAGAATTAGCGCGTTGTTCACGTGACGGAAGTGTCGGACTAGAGGTACCTATTCCCAAAATGCCACGTGACCTCTTCTGTCTATCTGCACTTAAGTACTTGTGTATCCATGCCAATTAAGGTTAGGTTAGGGTAGGTACCTAAGGCAGGTATACTAGGTACCCGGGTACCTGCTCACCTTCGATCCCATCCACAGGCCGACCCTTCTTTCCCATTATTCGAGCATCCCCTCATACAAGGCGCGGCAGGTACGATTGTAAGAGGAAACACCTAGGTACCTACCTATTTACGTAGGTAGAGGTGTAAAAAGAGACCCGTATAGATGTACCTTACAGCGGGAACAATAGACGGGTTGCTGGACCCGCACATGTACTAGGTACCTACAAGTGCGTGGCGCTGACAAGGTCGCCCCTGCGCAGGAAGGGATAGAATTCTGCCGGCCTCTGCCACACCGCCCTCACACCGCCCTGCAAAATGCATATAAATACCTGGCTTCCCTCCCATCTTCTCAACTTTTCTCTTCTTCTTTTCTTCTTCATACTTACCTTGTCCGAAGAGTCCTTGCTCAAGAATAAGGGCTCTTAAAGGGGGAGACCTGCATTGCACAGCGCGGCGTCGACCCTTTTCTATTATCCTTCGTGGATCGTAGTGGGCGCAATTTTTGTTCTCTTCAAAAACCTCATTTTCATTGTAGTCGACGCTTGAAGCATCGCTATGAAGAAGATGAACGTAGTCTAGCTCGGTAATATCTTGTGGGAACCAGCATCCCGAAGCAAATATGAATTGCCTGCAAAGACCGGCTTGAGGTATATTGTTATGAACGCATGGCGTGTGGTTCCGCGAAATTTGTGGCTGTCCCCAACATGTGCGTAGACATACAGCGAAGCAGCGAGAGGCAACTATTTCCAGCCAGGCTTTGCTGCTCCCGAGGCCCGAGGGTTGCGTTCTAAAATATTCACTACCCTCGCCTTGTACTGGTGCTCTCAGGCCTCTATCACAACGTAGCCAATCTCGTTGCAGTCTATCCTCGATCCATCATAACTTCTATCTATTGAAGCCTTATCATTTCTCTCACTATCTTGCCATCGCTCCCTAGAGGGATATTGCAGCTCGTCGACGTGTGGCCTGGGACTTCAAGTCAAGAATTGCCCGCCTTTTCTTTCACACAAAACTCTGCCACATCCCGCACACAAGTTCTACCGGACCGTTGCCATCCGCCAATCTTTCGCACTGTGAACTATTTTTTGTCCCAACCCCAATTGACCGACCGACAATCCAGCAGCAGAGCCAGTCACACACACACGACACAGCTGGCCAGCTCGCTCGCCCGTATCGGCACTGGCCCACGCCTGCACAGAAAATGCGGCCTCTCATTCTCGCTTCCCTCCCGAGGGCCTGCGGCTGCGGCGGCTCTATCGGCGGCAATGCTGCTGTGCTAGCCGCAACGCCCCTCAGCCTGCGATGGGCTACGAGAAGGTGAGGAGGAGGAGGAGACGGAAGAGACGGCAGCACACCCACTTCGCCCTCACAACCCCCCTCCCGCCAGCACCACCATCGCTACCAAGCCCCCTCCCTCTTCCCACGCCGCTAGCTAACCGCCTCTTCCTGTGCAGGACCTTCACGACGCTGCCCGGCCTGCGGCCGACGGTCCTCGCCCGCTCGCCCGTATTCCGCTCCTCGACCACGAGCCGCGTCGCCCTGGTCCCCGGAGGCGGCGGCGCGGCGCCCGACGTGGTTCCCAAGACGGCGATCACGGCGCACCCGGCGCTGGCGGGGGCGGCGTCGCAGGTGCGGTGCGGGCCGCGGGCGACGCTGGAGCGGTCGAGCCGGCTCGTGCGCAAGCGCCGCCACGGCTTCCTCAGCCGCCTGCGCACCCGCAACGGCCGCAAGATGCTGCAGCGCCGCAAGGACAAGAAGCGCACCATGCTCTCGAACTGAGCGACGGGGAGCGAACTACAGACACGCGGGCGCGGAGACGAGAGAGACCGAGAGTGCGGTGCGCCGACGCCGACGCTGACGCCTAGACTTCCCTATCTAGGTATATACCTATCCACTCGCCCAGACGGACCGGACGGCGGTGGGAGAGCGCGACGCAGTGCGAGGCGGCTGCTGCTACTGCTGCGCGCGCCTTCGTCGGAGCGTAGAGTGCGATCGATATACACCTACCCACGACTCCTCTCGGTCGGTCGACCCTTGCACGGAGAATAAAGGGAGGAGGAGGAGGGTTGTACTATAGGCGCCAGGCATGGCAGTTATACTGAGGGAAAATAAATCACCCAAATAAAGAGACAAAAACACCCCGAGACAATAAGACTGCTCAGGCTCGCAGGTGCGGAAGTGGGAATGGCTGTGTTCTGGGTGGCATCTATGGCACCGACACGTCCTCTCCTCTCCTCTCGCAACTATATCTGAGACGTTGTCTATCGCCGTCTACTTCCGACCTCGTCGGGGGAAACCCATGCCCCTCATCATCTCGCTACGAAAGCGGGTGACAGAAAAACGGGGGCCCGAGTACGAGCTGCCACCTGCTCGCGGAGACGTGCATAGCCTACGATAAATGCTGCCGGAAGCATATGTGCGCGGTATTATATTCGTGACAAGGAGTAGATATAAACATAAGCGTCCCCGACTCGGGACTATCCGATTCATATATATCCACAAGGCAAAGAGCCACAGCCGTTGCGCCCGCGGCGAAGAACAGTCCCACAGGGGCGGCTTTCTCTTTCGCCTGCCCTCCCCTCCTGCGTCCCGCCTTAACCCAGATGTCCCATACCCATCACTCCTTGCTCCGAATCCGCCCACCCAAAAATAACGAAGCAAGTCGAGGAGAGGGGAAAAGCCTTCTTTAATCACCCCTCACCTTGGTTCAGACGGGGGGCTCGAGACCCTCCTCGCACGTCAGCGTGTCTGTGTAGCACGCGACCCGGAGGTTATCGCTCGCGTCGCCGACCCAGATCGCGTAGCGGCCGCGCGGGTTCGGCACGATCCAGTTCTGGCGCACCACGTCCCACACGCTGACGTCGCGCCGCGTGAGGCTGAGCCGTAGCTGCGCGCTCTCGCCGCCGCCGAGCGCCTTGCCCGTCTTCGCGAAGTCCCGCAGTTGCACCGGCGGCGTGTCCCACGCGATCCCAGCCGGGAACTGGACGTACGCCTGCGCGACCGCCTTGCCCGCCGGTGCCTTGCCCGTGTTAGTGTTCGTCACCGTCACCGTCACCTCGTACGCCGCGTCCCATAGCGCCGGGTTGCCGCCGTTGGTGCCGCCCGCGACGGGCACCTCGGTCCGCTGCTCGGGAGAGTAACCCTCTGGATACGGGTACTTCTCACGGCCCTCAACACCAATCGTGTACGCCTTGTCGGCGTCGCCCTTATCGAGCCACGGATACAGATACCGCCAGATACGGTCGAGGCCAGACTCCGGATAGTATGCCTCAGTGGCGTCCGGCAAACTGACGTCGAGCCCGGCGATGGGCGACGCTAGCTTGGGCGGCCGCGCGGGCGGTTCTTCCGACAGTGGCGCGTTCGGGACACGCTTGATCGTCGCATTGGAGAACGTGAACGATGCGTAGCTTAGCCCGTGGCCGAAGGCGAACCGCGGCTTGATGCCGTGCTTGTTGAGGTACCGGTAGTCGATATATATGCCCTCCGAGTACGTGTCCTGCGTCTGGCTCAAGGGCGTCGCCACGAGGCCGACGCTATCGGGGAAGTCCTTCTCGGAGACGGGAATGGTGTACGGAAGGTGTCCGCTCGGCGACGCCTCACCGAACAGGAGTTCTGTTAGCGAGTCACCGGCTTCCTGCCCTGGAAGATGCGCGACGAGCACGGCCTTGACCGAGGGCAGATCAATCCAGGGCTCCACAACAATAGGGCCAACCGTGTGGACGACGACGACAACGTTGCTGTACTTCGCAGCTGCCTTCTGCACAAGCTCGTCGCCGTTGTACCAGGCCACGAGCCCGCTAGCGTCGCGGTCGCCGTGGTTACCCTCCACTGTGTACGTGTTCTCGCCCCCGTCGGAGCTGATGAAAACGATGGCGGTGTCGCCACCACCTGGCGTCTGGACACTGGGGAAGCTATTCGTCGCGTAGTAGGTCACGTTAGCCGCCTTGCGCCTCAGGGAGCTGATGGGGTCATCCAAGTATGGGTAGTTTGCCGAACCCGAACCCCATCCCATCCCTAGGAGGCCTCGGTTGCAGCTCTTATCCACACACGAGTTGATGCCTCTGGGATCCGCCTGCGCGTCGGTGCCGAAGACGAACAGTGGCGTCGAGGTCGATAGAGGAAGGAAACCCCCGTCGTTCTTGAGCAACGTGATCGCCTCTTGGGCTACTTGTTTGGCCACCACCTTATGGTCCCCCTGCACGTTAACGTATTCATTAACCACACCAGACGGAGAGAACAGGGCACCCGGATATAGGGGCCCTTCTCGATCGGCCGTATTGGTCGAGAAGTTAGGAGGAGGGAAATCTTTGTCCTGGCCGAATTGATACCACGTCGCGACGATACGCGTGGCCATATCATTGAGGCGATCAACGGGTACGGAGCCGTTTAGGACCGATCGCGTGAGCTCATACATCCAATGGGAGTGCCCAGTCAGAGGAATGGCGTTTCCAATCGTGTCTCCAGGCATGGACATATCGAGACCGGCTAGAGCAGCAGCAACGCCCGAGATCTGGGAGAGCCAGTCGGTCATCACGAAGCCTTGGAAGCCTAGTTCGTCTTTCAAGAGGCCGTTGAGAAGGTAACTATTCTGAGAAGCGGCAGAGCCATTTACCTAAGAAGACGGATGGTTAACGAGGGCAGCATAGAGGTTTGGTCAGGAAGCGTACATCGTTATATGCTGACATGATTGAGCCCGCGCCAGCCCTAACGCCTTCTGCGAATGGCCAGAGGTACACTTCATGCATTGTTCGGTCGTCTGCTGTTCGATTAGCCCCGTATATCACCGACTTGTTCACTGGAAGACATGCCGATATTTGCGCTGTACGCTCGTTGAAATGGGTTGTACATGCGGTAAAGCTCTTGCTCGTTTCCGATCAGGTGCTTAAGCGTCGCAATAACTCCTTGCTCCTGGACGCCCTTGATCGTCTCCGCTCCGGCTATTGCCTGGAGCACCGGGTCCGATCCGAAGCCTTCCCAGTTACGACCCCCTCTCGGTTTCCTCCCCAAGGCACCGACGCTCGGTCCCAAGTAGAAGTTGGCTCCCTTGCCCCTGAATTCCTCGCCGAGGGCAACACCTCTCTGGTATATAAGCTCCTTGTTAAAGGTCGCACCAGTGGTAATCCCGGCGGGGAACGCGGTGTTATTGTCGGTCGAGCGAATACCAAGGGGTCCATCCTGTAGGCAGAGCTGCGGGAACCCTAATCGGGGTACGCTGCCGGTGTTGCCAACACAGCGCCCTTTCGGCCACAGCCATATTAGTATCGAGACTCCCCTCAGCCTGACGTCAACATACCCTAAGGCTACATTAGCGAGAAACAGTGCGCGGGAATGGGCTTGCAGTAGACCTACCATGAAAAGACCGGTACCAGCAGTGATGTTCACCTTCTCGGCTACGGTCATCTGCGATACCAGCTTGGTCGCCTTGCTATAGCTCTCAGCCCAGTCGTCGGCCCACCCGCCGTAGGGGGATGGATAATACGGGGGGGCAACAAAGCCATCGGGAATAGGGTCTCGAGGTATCACGGCGGCTGATGCTGTACTCGCCAGGAGGGCGAGCGAGAGACCGCGGAGTCCAGAGGGACACCCCATGGCGAAAACCACCATCGTTATCGCTCGGGGACGAGTGGGGGCAGCTAGACAGGTGGGTAGCTAGGTGGCTTGAAATACCAATCTACTAACACCCGGGAGGGCGCGCGCGAACTCATATAGGCACGCGAGCTGTGTATGGGCAGCTTGGACCGCGATCGACCCGGACGCCCATGATTGGCAACCATATCTTGGAGAAATACACAGCCATCAGGATGACCCCTGGGCCGGGGGGGTCTGAGAGAGGAACCTTGACGCTGGTGACCGCTACAGCCTCTGCCCGCCTGGTCGCCCAGGACATTCCGTCTGCACGAGGTATCCAGTTCGGATTCGATCCGAGCACAAGGAGGACCATCACCACTACACCGACCCAGGTACTCGAGCGGTACGAATGCGAGCACATGGTGTGTGCTATCGGGATACCCGCGGCGTGAAGAATTAGCACGAGCAGATTGGCTGAAGGGGGAGATATTCATGTGCCTGCCAATGCGCTCGCCCGGCCTCGAAGTACGGATCGACACCCCCATACGGGATCAGCCAAGTTCGTCAATGGTACCTACCTACATGAACCGGAATCCGGCACGACCTCGGCCCACGAACTTCGCAGAGGGCTAGGACTGGTTTACTGAGGGTATCCTTGAGGGGGGCTGAGATGTATACTCGTGTATGCCGTGCCTATGAAAAAGAAAAGAGGTAAGTCACACGGGGGACCGGGGGCGTTCCGTCGCTGTCACTTGAGCACTTGGCTGCTAGGCATTGGATATGGAGAAGATCGACAACGCAGTAGGGACTCATTCTCCAGCAATCGAACAGATACATTGCCCTAGTTCGCCCAGAGCCGACGATGCATGTCGAAGTCGTAACCAGGGTGGATATCGGCAGCATTGCGGTTGCTGTGCATCGAGGGCGCAATCTAGATGCAGATTCCCAGCATCCGATGCTCTCTACTCGACCAAGGTAGGAGATGTATTGGAGCCCGTGCCAGGGTTCTCAACGGTGGCTGTCTCCTGATGATCAGCGCCCACACGGATACCTGAGCCTCGGCAGAATCGACGACCACGGCCAGGAGATGGACGAGAAGAACGTTGGTTCAGGTGGCTTCGGGGGAAGGGGGTGGGCGAGAAAGGGAGGGAGGTGAGTTGTACGTGTAAGGTTGGAGGAAAATATGGTGAGGGAGGTTATAGAAGCGTCGGCTATCGACTTCGCAGGAGATTCGACCTGCGTCATAGGGGGTTTCGTCAGTATAGAGCGCGGGTACCTACAGGCTTAAGGGGGCTCGTCAGGGCACATGCCTGGTTGATAATATGTACACGTATATCGGCATATGCATACTATACCTACATAACTTGTAGGTACCTCGGTATACAGACCGCGTATACGAATATAGTATGGAGGTTAAGAGTTAGGTACATGGATAACCCCCTGATATAGGTACCTAGGTAGGTATGTACTATATGCAGATACGAAAAGCGAAAGAACCCATTACTTGGGTGCGACCCAACCTTGACACATCAGGTACATGTCCGACCTGCCTTTCACATGTCCATGTGCGTGCGTTGCCGGCGTTGGGAGGTATCTAGGTACCTCTCATAGGTGCCTACCTATGTACCTATGTAGTTAGGTGACGGGCTGCCCCCCAGCTGGCCAGGTCCACTCCAACGACCTAGGAGGTAGCTGGTAGGCGGGGTGGACCTAAACAAGCCGACTATTTCCCGACCCCCGTTATGTAAGATGATATCATGCGATGTCATTGGTGCATGTGGGTGTGCCCGCCTCCCAGGTTACGTAGCAGCAGATGTGCGTGTACATATAGTATAGTAATCTTCCATTGCTACACTGCTACGTACAAGGCACCCTGTACCTTGATCCTCCAAGCCATCTGTCCACTAGACCTTCGACGATACAACACAAATCCCCTTCTCCCCGTCCACCTCCCCTACCCGTCCAGCATAATCCACGATGGGCGTGGCCACCTAAGATGACGGGGTCTCTTGCTTTTTCCCTACTTTAACGTAGCGCCTCCGAATGATAACCCTCCGTGTGTTATACCATACCCATCTGCCACCTGCCTCGCTGCCTGTCTGTAAGACGCTGTCAACCTAGCGAAATCATATAGCCTTCTTAGGTTAAAGGCCCGACGTCGACGAGTCCGGGTTTTCTCTGGTCTCGGCCTTGGCCTCCGAGCTACTGATACTTCCCCAGACATACCATGAGGCATGCTTTATTTCATGTGGCTCTCATAACATACTTATCCGACCCCCTTCTCCCCTCCTCTCTCCCTTCTCTCTAGAAAAACGGACACCGTGGGGAGGCTGAGTCGACGGGGACTCGGAAATCGGAAATCGGGGCTTGCTTCTCAGCCTCTCTCTCTCATCTCTTTACGCGCTGACACTGTCAAGCTTTGAACTCGACGCGTGGCACCGACGAAGCGTCCCAGATACCGAACCGACAACCAACCCCCGCTCTACTCTCGTCACGCCCTAGGCTGTGGGAAACTATTGAGTGATAGCCCCTGTTAATATTTCGCCGTCGTATTTCACGATCATTCCTACCTTGCGGATTATATAGCCCTACCTGGACAAAGGCGGTCTTGGTCCGTGCCACGGTGTATCGGAACGTGTCCGTAGGGAGAGGCCACCAATAGACCACCCGGCGTCCATTCGACAATCCTGCCGTGGCCTCTTCACACTTACCCCAGCATACGGCCGGGAGACCGCGACGCCATCTTAGTATCGCGCAGTTCGACTTGGAGAAGCTATACGGCTCTGGAGATAGCGCGCTCCATCTCAGCTTCCGCATTAGGCGGCCCCGCGTTCACGACGACCGTAAACGGGGCGGGGAAGCAAAGCGAACTAGACCCCGTTCTCTTGACTTAGCCTACTCTACGTTCTACAACCAGGGTGCGAGCAGAAGGATACCCGAAATCTAGACGCACGAATCTGGTAACAAGGCCTGCTCTACCCCGACGACAGTCGGGTCATGTGGTACTGCTAACGGACCGACATCGTGAACTAATTAGCACAATTCTACCGAGGATAGCCCCCGGGGAAACTATGCATTTTATGGGGACGTCGAAATTTAAGCGGCAAGATGCTGGCCTGGCGCCCGAGCCCTCGCCGACCATGCTCGGTGGAACTCTCAGACCACAGCATGGCTCTGTCAGGTCTATGCGGTATGATCACTCGAGCAACGCTCGTCCACCGTAAAATCGACGAGTGGAGAGTCGGACCTGTTGCATAAACGGATGAAGAGGGTTCCGTGCATCGTGCTGCTCTCGATATCGGCATCCTGCCGAAATAACGACTGCCTATGTCCTGGGTGAATAGGCGGGCTTGAAATGGTTTCTAGTATATATAATCCCCAACCCCGACCACAGATGTAGAGATGAAGTTGCCCTGTGTTTGTGCTTTGCACTCCATGGAATCTGTGCGATTTCTTCAGAGTCCTCGCGATCGCCATCTCTGCTCCTGTCCTAGAACTCAGCAGGCGCTGTCGCTTTATGGACATACTCTGGCCTTTTATCGATTCCCGGTTCCTCGTTAGAGACGAAGCTCTTTAGTTGCTTCTAATCGCCTACTCGAGCCCTTTCTCCCCTAGCAAATCTGGCCTCTCTAGTTTCCGGGGCGAATGTTCGTGTCGAAGGTCACGGCGTGTCTTTCGCACACGTCCACGCAAGGGGAAAATGAGAGTTGGCGGGACACTAACAGCCCCCAGGTAGGCGAAACTCGCCCATCCATTGTATCTCCGTAGCGGTCGGAACAGCCGCTCGCTCGCTCGCTGGCCTGCGGAAGCGGGGCTTCACGCCGACGCCCAAGGCTCCGGTGGCGAGTCTCGGGTCCGTATCGGCGACTGCCTAGCCCCTGTCCGCGGCTTCGAGCGCATTGCCCGACACAGTGGCGACTTCACACCTAGGAGCACGCAAGGGGAGGTACTAGGAATCTGGCGGCGGAGCGGGGGTGTATGGGCCGCGGGTTCGCTACCAGGTTGCCGTAGAAGCTGTGGACGTGTCGCTTCATAAGAATCAGGCGCCGTAGGTAGTGCTAAGTCTAAGTATATTAGATAAAGCTCCGTGAGATATATTAGTTGAATCTCGGTCGTGTCTCACGCGAGCACGCACATGTCATTGTATAACCCCCGAGAGGCAAGATCTATGCCTTTTTGATTCTCAGAGGTGCGATGTTGTGATATCCGGTGTTACATACTCCCTGACCAATATTGCCTGTTCTGTTTCTGAGCCCAAAATTTACGCCCGCCCCCCTTGCCTCAGTCATGTCTATCTAGCCCGAGTATACGCTGCGCTTCTTCCCACACGCATGTTGCATGAATATAGGTATGCAAATATCACCCCGCCACATTCAAACCCGGCTCCTCTCCCTTCTTCTTCTCCTCCTCCTCCTCCGGCCCCTCGCCCTCGGGGCCCTCGGGCGCGGGCTCGAAGCGGAAGCCGAGCTCGGCGAGGGACTGGGCCCTGCTGCCGTCCTTCTCGAACCGCATCTTGGCCTCGGCGAAGATGCTGCGCTGCCAGAGGAGCTCGGGGCCCCAGCGCGGCGGGGGCTTGCCGCCGGGGCGGGTGGTGCGGGCGGCGACGAGGTCGTGCAGCTCGTTGAGGTAGCGGCCGTCGGCGCCGGGCGGGAAGACGTGGTACTTCTCGTCGGGGTCGCGGCGCGCCGCGGCGGCGTCGGCGCGCGCCTCGTCCGCCGCCCACCCGTCCACCGCGTCCAGCAGCGGCAGCGCGTTCGCCCACCCCCGCGCCAGCACCGCCGCCTGCGCCTCCGCCAGCGGGAACGGGATCACCTTGATCGGCAGCGCCGGGAACGCCAGCGTCGGGTGCGCCGCGCACACGAAGTGCTTCGCCAGCCCGTGCACGCGCCGGCCGTCCGTCACGAGCGGCTCCTCCTCCTCTTCCTCCTCTTCCTCCTCTTCCTCCTCTTCCTCCTCTTCCTCCTCCTCCTTCCCCCCCCCCTCCCCTTCCTCCGCCGAGGAGCGCGACGGGCCCAGCGTCCGCGGCAGGAACGGGAACGTGTACAAGTAGCCGGTGCAGAAGACGACGGCGTCGACGTCGCGCTCGTAGCGGGTCTGCGGCGGCTCTGCGCCCTCGTCGCCGTCGCCGTCCAGGGGGTGGAACTCGACGGCGCGCTCGGCGGCGACGAAGCGGCTGATGCGGCCGACCTGGACGAGGCTGGCGGGCGCGTCGGCGGCGAGGTGGGCGAGGACGTCGGCGGCGGCGGGCGTGCGGGCCGAGAGCAGCAGCGGCGGCGCGCACACGCGGCGGATCTGCGCCGCGATGTCGAGCCCCGAGGGCCCCGTGCCCACGACGACCACCTTGCGGCCGCGGAACGGCGCCGGCCCGCGGTACGTGCGCGAGTGCGTCACGGCGCCGGGGAGCGCGGCGCGGAACTCGGCCAGCCCCGCCAGCCCCGCCGGCGCCCGCGGCGTCGCGTAGTGCCCCGACGCCACCACCACCGCGTCGTACGTCTCGCGCGTCTCGCGCCCCGACCGCAGGTCCCGCGCGCACACGTCCCACTGGTCGAGCGCGCGCCGGTCCTCCTCCTCCTCCTCCCCTGCGCGCCGCCGCCGCCGCCGCAGCGCCACGCGCGTCACCTGCGTCGAGAAGCGCACGAGGTGGCGCACGTCGCGCGCGTACGCGAGCAGGTAGGCCTGCACGGCGTCGCGGGGCGGGTAGAGCGCGCCGGGCGCGGCGAACGCGCGGTCCGAGAAGCGCATCAGCGTGTGCGGGATGTTGGTGTGCAGGTCGTCGTACATGGGCGAGGGGAAGCGCGGGGTGCCGTCGCCGGCGAGGACGACGGGCGCGTCGAGCGGCGGGTGCGCATCGCCGGTGAGGGGCGCGCCGGCCGCCGCCGCCTCGACCTGCGCCTTCGCCGCGCTGTCGTAGTTCCACACCCCGCCCGCCTCCGCCTGCTGCTCGAACACGTCGACCCGCGCGAAGTAGCACCCCGCCGCGCCGCCCGCGCCGTGCGCCGGCTGCGCCAGGAGGTACTTCGCCGTGGCGAGCCCGCTCGGCCCCGCCCCGATGATGGCGACTCGCCGAACGCGGAACGGGCCCTCGCTCTCCGCGCTCGCAGGCCCGGCCGCGTCGGGCCCGGCCGCGGGCGAGGAGGAGGACGGTGCCGAAGAGCCCATCGCTGGCAACGGGCGTGTGGGAAGAAGGGTAGTGACGGCGGGTAGTGTGCGGTCGTTGTCGTGTATATCGGTAGGTATGGCCCTAGTGTGCAAGGTAGAAAGGAGCTGGCCGGGGCACCGGGAGGGCGGAATAGATGGGAATATCCAAAAAGGTTGCTGCAGCAAGGGAAGAGGGGCGTGTTTAATAGAAATGTCCGACCAGGGGCGGTACGCGAATATCCCGCGATGCTCAGTCGACACGCTGTAAGCTTTCTCCCCCGAAGACGGAGGGAGACTTAGTGCGGTGCTAGGAGGTATGTCTCAACGATATATATTCTTATCTGCTTATCCCAGGCGCCTTGCGAATTTGTCTCGTTAGAAATGAGATGGAAAGGGAAATGAAAAGGAGCAGGAGAGAAAATCAGACGATCAAGCCATCATCGGTGGACATCGGCAGTCGAATGGGGGCGATTGGAAAACCGGGCGATGGCGTAATACCCCCTACGGCGGGACCGGCCGAGCTAAGTTGGGTCCGGCGCCGGAATGCACCAGAACAAGTAGAGATCATGGCTTATATACCCATAGGTTTGGGTGGATAGACGCGTGCTTGCAGCGACAATGTACTACGAGACAAATCAAGTATTTACATAGAGCTACCACACGGCTCTGCTTGGCCTGAGAGCTGCGTGCGAAGCGTGTCATGAGATCATATGCTGTACACAAAGGACGTAACTGTGCATGATGCATCGCCGCCATCACCGTTCGCATCTCTCCAGTGACATCGCCTTATCTTAACGTGGGAGCACAGCCAGAGGGAAAAGAGAGGGTGAGGAAACAGAGGGTGGGCGAGAGAAGAGATAAATGAGGGAAGTAGGTACATGTAGTAGTGTAGGCGCGTCGACTGTGTGGGCTTACAAGTAGGACGAAGAGCTACGCCGAGTCAGTTAGTAATAGGGGTGGACAGGGCAGAAGGGCGTTTGCCTATCCTCGTCGGTGTCAGCATCGTGCTTGGCGCCCGCTAGACGTCGCGTAGAGACTGGCGGAACCGTGACGAGAACGTCGATACTTTCAATCGTCACCCTCGATGACCATTCCTATCGCGTTCGGCATGCCCACCAAGATTCTACCCTTGGGGACGCGAACGTCCTTCACCTGCAGGCCGCCGTGTTGTTAGTCTTGACGAGTGCCGTACGTGTCGGGGACGGTCCCATCAGGGAGCTATTCGGACGAAAGACGAGCAAAGAAAAAAAAAAACAAGGGAAAAAAAAAAACTTAACGGACCCTCATGCAACCGAAAATGTTCAGTTTCTTCAAATTGGGGCAGCTGCGGAAGATGGACCCGACGACGAAATCCGTGACCTCCTCGCAGAAGCTAATCTCGAGGTCGGCGAGGTGGGGATACACCTTGTCGGCGGAGAAGACGTCCTCGAACGCTTCGCGCGAGATATGCCTGCACCCGTGGACGTTGAGCTTTCTTAGGATCCCGCCCGAGTGGCTCATCATAGCCCGGAACCCGTCCGAGCAGAGGCCGACATTGTGCCGGTTCTGCCTCGGCTGTTCGGCGTCGACGTGGCGGCAGAGCTCCAGGTCGATGGACGCGATCTGTTTGTTCTTCCATCCCTTGAAGAGCCTGGCGAATCCGGCGTCCGTCATCTTCTCGCTGTGGGTGATGCGCAGCTTCGTCAGCAGGCGGCAGTGTTCGTGGAGGGCATCGAGCAGACGGTCGTCGACGTCCGGGACCATCCGCAGCGAGAACGTGTGGAGATTTCTTCCGACGTTTCGAATGACGTCGACGTAAGGCTCCGTCGAGGTCATCTGGACGAACTGCAGGCTCAGGCGCTCGAGGTGGCGGAGGTGCGCGATGTGCCGGATGCCTTCGTCCGAGACTTGCTGGTTGTGGCAAATCTTCAGGTGCGTCAGGGACGGGCAGTGGGTTTGTAGCGACTGCACAACCTCGTCGCTAAAATGCTTATCCGTGTAATATACGCGGAGGCCCTTGAGAGCTGCCCCCTTTGCCTGCAGATACTCGGCCCAGGAGGCCTGGGATATGAGGTTTGCGCCGTGCAGATAGATGCTCTCGAGCGTGATATGTCTTCCGATCAGGTACTTCATGACGTCGTCGTTGAACTGGATCGCGTTGCGCAGCTTGAGATTCTTCAGCTTTGCACAGGTCTGGAATATTCGGACATAGTCATCCGAGCTTAGGCGAGCTGCGTCGTACAGGCTTAGGTCCTCCACGTTAGGCTGGAGGAAGAGCGGGAGGGTCTTGGGATTGAGAAGCCTGCGTTTGGATAGGTGTCTGGCAACGCTGTCGAGGGCGGTGGGGGGGAGGTCGCCGAGATCGTCGGCGAGGCCGATGTTGTTGGCCAGAGTCTCGACGCAGAGGGTCACCAAACTCCTGACCCCGATCTGGCCGTCGAGCATCTTGCTCTGGACCCTTCTTCGCCCGCCGCCAGCGGGGCCGCTGGTCGTGGCCCTCTTCTTCTTCTTCTTTGCGGCCTGGTCGCTCCCGGCCAGCACGCTCCCGCACTTCTGACAGAGCAGACCGCCCTGGGGCCCCGCGCGCGAGTACGGGGTTACGGTGAAGCGTTTCTGGCAACTCTCGCAGTTCTCCGTCTGGCCCGGTACGGGAGCCCATTGCTCGGGGTCGCGAGCCAGCATGTCCATAGCCAGATAATACTCTTCGTCCTCCTCGCCATCCTCTCCAACCCGAGACCCCTTCTTACCCTTGGAAGCGCGCTCGAATTGCTTACGTCTCGCGAAGGCCTTGGACCTCTTGATCTTTCGGATCGCCTCGGCTTCTGCCTTGCGCTTCTGGGCCCGGGTGGAAACCTGTGTCGCCTCTTCCTCCGGTGCGGCCTCTTCCCCCGCGCCCTCTTCGCCTTCTGCAGCGGTAGGGGCGGTGGCAGTGCTGGCGGCCTCGCGACGTGCCTGTGCCTGCCTGGCGATGCGGCTGGCCGAGATGTTCTGGGAAGCTAGGTAATCGGTGAGGGCGGAGCGAGGCCCGATGATGATATGGTTCCGACTCCTGAGGTGGGGTTAGATTGTTAGTTAGTTGTGGTCTCTCCGCCATCTGGTGCGACATACATGGTGGAGGTTGCACGCGGGCCTGCGAGAGGGCCACTCGGATAGGATGCACGGCGGGTTCGGATGGGAGCTTGGGATGAAAGCGGACCGGGGTGGACGGATAAGAGGGAGGAGAGATTAGGTTGCCGTCGATAGTAGGGCGAGACGGGAAGGGCCACGAGAACAAGACTGCGCCGACGAGACTGTTATGGTCGTCGGGCGCGAGGTGCCACGATCAATGCTGGAATGCTGGAGATTATCTGCCGGGACGATCTGCAATTCTGTTCGGTATCCTTGGCTGTCGGGCGGAAAATGTGTGGTGAAGTTGGTGGGAGAGGAGAGCTAGGGAATTTCGAACTGGGACGAGGGGGGGTTTCTTTTTTTTTTTTCCTTCCCAATGGCTGGTTGGTGGGATGACTAGAAGGCAGGTATGTAGGTTGGTAGGTATCTGTCGAGACAGAGCAATCGATGGCGATTTCGAGCTCTGAAAGAGAGGGCGGGACGGATTGGCTTGAAAGAAGCAGTCCCTATGTAGGGAGGCGGAGAAAAGGCACCCGAGACAACAAAAAAAAAAGCAGCGATGGACGAGTCGGCAGGGAGGAGGAGGAAAAGGGAGCGTGTAAAGTGTCAGACAGACATCCATGGCCACCGCGAGACAGCGCGTTAAGTGCCTACGTCCGACAAATGTACCGACATGGGGCGGGTACCTGGGTGCTTGGTCCCTCTGCTATGGAGGTAGCAGGTACCGAGACAGCAATCCGCCGTACCGGGAGACAAGGGCCCCCCCTGGGCCATCCCGCGTGGCAAGCATCCGATTAGGCATGTACATCTCTCTTCACACACCCAGCGGAACGGCGTGAACGTGTCGGTACCCTCTGTGCCCTTGACCTCCTCCTTATGGCCTTCCAGGCTGCGGCGCGCAACCTGAGGCGGCGATTGGCCAGCTGTGGACGTCCTCAGGGCTTGCCAGGGCACCCTTCCCCCCTTGAGTGGGCGACCAGGTCACGGGCTTGCGTGTGTCATTCGCGAGAGCCATTTTCCGGTGGCGCGCTTGGTTGGCTTGCTTTTTCTTTTCTCTCCCTCTCTTCCCTCGCTCTTCCGTTCCCACCCCGTACATATATTGTCAGCGCTTGCTACAGCCACCCGGCCCGTACCTGGTGCACGCAGGTACATCGGCACTCACGCTGAGCATTCCCTGTGCCGTACCCGTCTACGTTGGTGGAAGAGACCACAGCCGGTGGCCAGTACAATGCCTTCTACTTAGACTTGCCCTTCCCCAACCCGGCAAATGCGGTACCGGCTGCACCCACCTGCATGTACCTCAGGCCCACTGCATTAGGTTCACGGGTACTTGGGCAGGTACCTGCTCCTGGACGGGTACATCCACACAGGCCATGCACCCAATTGGGGAATTCAGGGTCAACTCGGGCTGGTGTTTTAGGTACTTACTATACCTCCTATGCATATTTAGGTAGACCACCTCCAAATCTTCTCTTTCTTTTTTGGTTGCTTCACACCTAAAATTCCTCCCCTTGAGGATCTCGTCCGACGGCTGCCTGACGTTTACAACTCTTCCACCAATTCTCCTCAATTGTGTTTTTGTTTTTGTTTTGCCCACGGCGCCACCGAGTAGCTGCCTCCCTCCTGGCACCTCTCCTGGCACCTCTCCTGGCACCTCTCCTGGCACCTCTCTGGCTGCTTTCTCCTCTCTGCTCAAAGTAATGGCCCCTGTCGCCTGGGAGGTCTCTCGTCCTTGTCGTCTCCGCTCCCAGCTCTCGACTGCCAACCCTCAGTTCGCAGTTCTCGAATCCTCGAAACCGCTCCAATATCATTGAGCCCGTCAACCGCAGTCTGGGGCTGGATCGTCTGGGGGCGTGTCTGCATCCTGCCTGCTCGCTTCATACATACATATGCGGGCAGCCGGCGGGCAAGTAATTGGATCGATCGAGCCGTAGCCTGCCGCCGCCGCCGCCGCCGCCGCCATTGCTTCTAGGAGGTAGGTATTCCCATCCCTAACCCAATCTACGCTGCTAGTCTACCATCTACGCTACTGGTTGACCTCCACTCCCTCTACCCCCCACTGCCCGCTCTGTCTCACCTGCACTTACGTCTATCCCAACCTCGAATCCCTCCCTCCCTCCCTGCCCTGATGCTACCCCTCTAAGCTAGACCCCGTGTCCGCCTCTCCTCTGCCTCTGCCTCTGCCTCTGCCTCTGCCTCTGCCTCTGCCTCTGCCCCTGCTAACCCTCCAAATACGTACATAGGCTACATGCCAACAACGCCCGGCTCCGTACGTGCATGCGTGTACGCGTTCTGACATGCAGCAGTCTACCTATATCTTGCCTCCGTCTGCAACTGTCTGGGTCATTTGTCTTTTTCAGCTGCCGCGGTGCGCCCTTCTCGTTGCCTTCGCCTATAAATTCAGGCACCTAATATAGCCCGCCTCCTGGTCTGCCGCCAGGTTGTACCGCCAGACCCTGCTGGGAAAGTTCAAACCTCGATAGGCGCGCCTCCGACTCCGACTTATTTCGCCATCCTCTTGGACGATCCGCCCTCCTTACCTCTTTACCTCTTTTTTCTCCTTCTTTTTTTCTTTCTTTGGCCACTTTCGCTCGCGCCCCAATTCATCCTCCTCTTTCTAACCCCCATCGTCTGGGTGGCTTACCTGGTTGCCGGGGAGCTTACCTCCTAACCGAAGCAACCACTAAGGCTTTGGGGAATAATACTGTACAAAGCCACTCCTGGGCACGTGCAGAGCGCGTACGACACACCCTGCCTTTTCCCTCTGCGTCGTTGCCAGTCCTCCTGCCACGCCTACCCAACCCGGCCAGGTTATATAGGAGGGGCCGCGGCCTATTTACGCTCGTTTTTGCTGCCAACTGCTACTTTTCCGTAACCCATTCTTGACTATCCCTCGCACTCGCGCGCCTCCGACCTAACGCTATGGCGCCTACTACGCGTCGTGCGAAGCGTGCGCAAGGGAGTCTCCTGGGTGCCGGCGCCGATACCCCTGTTTCGGTTGAGCCTCGGGCGGCACCTGTCCCGAAGGGCCGTTCACTCATCAAGCTTACTACGGAATCTCACGTCGCCGCTTCTACCGATAGCGTCTCGACCACATCGGCACCCACCCCAGCTTCGACCGGCTCGGACGGCGAATATTCCACTCCGGCAACTAGTAATACGGTGACGCCGTCGCCTTTTAATATCGCCGAGTCCGCTGAGCGTGCCGCGCCGACGGGCGGGCGTCGGTCCAATCTAGTCATCGAGGTGCCCGCAATCCCGCAGAGCTGGGACACGACTGGCAAGAAACCCAAGGCATTCACTGCTAGGAACACCCGCCGTAGGCCTGGACCCGTCTCTTACCAGCCGGACTCGGAAGATGAAGACGATGACGAAGTTGCTGATGCGTCCACGCGTCGCAGCTTAGCTCTGATTCGCCGGCTGCAAACCGAAGGGGGAGAGAGGGCCGCCGCTGCGCATTCGGCCTCTCTGTCATCCAAGCAGCGGGATGCGAAGCCTTCTCGTGGAACCGGCCAAGATCTCACGTTGAGTGTCGAGGACATGCCCGCTGCGCGTAAAAAGAGAGTGATGCCATTGGTCAAGCATGAGGATGACAGCGACGACTCAGAGCCGATTGCCGCTCGCAAGAGACAGAAGACGGCAGATGATATCACGGATCCTGGCAATATGAGCGAGCTCGCTTTCGTCAAGCCTGGCAATGTTAGTGATGAGGTGGGATGGGATAGCGACTTGAGTGCGGTTCTGATGGCTATCGATAACAAGGACGAGAACGAGGAGGATGAGGATGAGGATGAGGATGAGGATGAGGACGAGGACGAGGACGAGGACGGACCGTTTCACTTACGCCCTACGTCACGCTTCCGTTCCCGTCAGGGCTCGAGGACCTCGCGTTTCTATGGAGGGGGTAATTCTCGAAGAACCCAGGCGCGAGAAAGGCTTGAGAAGCATCATCCGGAGATCAACACGATGTGGACCGAACTCGAGAACATGCCCATCCTCAAAGCTGGCAAGGCCGAACAGCCGAAAACTATCTCGCGTCAGTTGAAGCCGTTCCAGCTGGAGGGACTAGCTTGGATGCAGGCTATGGAAAAGACGAAGTGGAAGGGTGGCCTCCTCGGAGACGAGATGGGCCTCGGCAAGACGATCCAGGCTGTCTCTCTCCTCATGTCTGACTACCCGGCCAAGGCACCGTCGCTGGTGCTCGTCCCTCCCGTCGCGTTAATGCAGTGGACATCCGAGATCGAATCGTACACGGATGGCCGACTGAAGACGCTTGTCCTCCACGGCAGCAACTCCAAGGCAAAGAATATGACCGTTGCCGAGCTCAAGAAAATCGATGTCCTTCTGATGTCATACAACACGCTAGAGTCTATGTATCGTAGACAAGAGAAGGGGTTCAAGAAGTCGAACGGCAAGGGCGGCAAGGTGGCAACGCGCAAAGAGAAGAGCGCGGTGCATCAGATCAAATTCCACCGCGTCATCCTCGACGAAGCCCACAGCATCAAGGTAAGCCTACTCGCAGCAGCGACCCCTCTTCCTCTATCCTGCCTCTCCTTGGCCGTCTCGACTAACAGGAGCGTATCCAAGTCCAAAACCACCATGACCGCCAAGGCTTGTTTCGCCCTCGAGGGCACGTACCGCTGGTGCTTGACCGGTACCCCGCTGCAGAACCGAATCGGCGAGCTCTTTTCCTTGGTTCGATTTCTCAAGATAACCCCGTTCGCCTCCTATTTCTGTAGGCAGTGCTCCTGTGCCACCGTGGACTGGGCAGTAGACGATCAAGGCCAGTGCCTACATTGTGAGTCCGCCTACCCTCTGTCAGGCGGCGCATCGTGTCGGCTAACCGGTCTCAGGCCCCCATCATATATTGTCGCACATATCGGTCTTCAATCAGGAGCTCCTGGTGCCCATCCAGAGATATGCCCACCAACACCAGGGGAGGGAGGCGTTCAGAAAACTACGACTCCTCACGGACCGGTTCATGCTGCGCCGTCTGAAGAAGGATCACACGAATGCGATGGAGCTCCCCGTCAAGGAGATCTACGTGGACCGCCAATTCTTCGGAGAGGAGGAGACGGATCTCGCCAACAGCATCATGACGAACAATGAGCGCCAGTTCAATACCTACGTCGCCCAGGGCGTAATGCTTAACAACTACGCCAACATCTTTGGCCTCATCATGCAGATGCGACAGGTGGCCGACCATCCCGACCTGATCCTGAAGAAGAACGCCGAGGGCGGGCAGAACGTGTTGGTCTGCTGCGTCTGCGACGAACCGGCCGAGGAAGCGATCCGGTCCCGGTGCAAGCACGATTTCTGCCGCTCCTGCGCAACCAGTTATATCAATTCTCAGGAGGCGCCCGACTGTCCCCGCTGCCACATCTCGCTATCGATAGATCTCGAGCAGCCGGAGATCGAACAAGACGAGGCGCTCGTCAAGAAATCCTCCATCATCAACCGCATCAAGATGGAGAATTGGACGTCGTCATCCAAGATCGAGCTCCTCGTCCACGAGCTGCACCGGCTGCGGTCGGACAACGCGTCGCACAAGTCGATCATATTTTCGCAGTTCACGACGATGCTCCAGCTGATCGAGTGGCGCCTCCGGCGAGCGGGCATCACTACGGTGATGCTCGACGGCAGCATGTCGCCGGCTCAGCGCCAGGCATCGATCGAACACTTCATGAACAACGTGGACGTGGAGTGTTTCCTCGTCTCTCTCAAGGCGGGCGGCGTGGCGTTGAATCTCACGGAGGCCTCGCGCGTCTTCATTGTCGATCCGTAAGTAACCCTCTCTCCACCTTTCTCTCCCACGACGAAAACAATGTTGCTTACCGTAAACAACTATAGGTGGTGGAACCCGGCAGCGGAATGGCAATCGGCAGACCGGTGCCACCGTATCGGCCAGACACGACCATGCGTCATCACGCGCCTCTGCATCGAGGATTCGGTCGAGAGCCGCATTGTGCTGTTGCAGGAGAAGAAGACGCAGATGATCCATTCGACGGTCAACGCGGACGGCACATCGGGGCTCGAGAGTCTCTCGCAGCGTGACCTCGAGTTCCTATTCAGAGGTAACTAACCCCCCCCCCTCCTCTTCTTTTATACCATTCTCTTTTTCGTCCGATGGCGGAGGAGGGAGAGGACGGGGTGCACTAGCTGTAGGCATTTGCTAGGATGACGATATACCTTAAAGTGCGCGCTGCAGCTTCAGGCGAAGGGGATAACGTGATAGGGACGATGGTTATTAGGGGCGCCGAGGGACTCGGTCTAGACTTTGTGTGGACACGGGACGGTAGCAGGAAGCCGGAAGTTGTAAATAGCTGTGGCTGGCTCTCGACGGCTGGAGCAGAGTACGGCTTTTCCGCCGGCCTGCCGTCGGCATGATGCGAACGACACGAGCTTCCACTATGTACCTAGGTACTTATGTATTTATGTAGGTACATAGGTACCTCCTGGGCGAACGTGCCCGATGACGTAATACATAATATGAGGTACCTCCTTACCATGTTGACCTCCACCAGCAGACTGGGATGTACCTAGACAGACTCGAATGGAAAATCTGTGTCGACACCAAAACATGAAGCTCCAGATCCTGCCCGCTACCAGCCACCTATAGCCAGTCGCAAAGACGAGAAGGAAGGGGAAAAGGCAGGGAAAGTCTCCATGCCATGAAGAGTCAGTGGGGCGTCTTGAGCCGGCGGCTATCCATAGGCGGGGCTCGGCCGACGGCGCACCACGGCTGGAGATGTCAATCATGTCGCGGCGGCCAGACGCGGCGCAAGCCGTTTAGCACCACCGCCGCCGTCCGTGACAGCGACAGGGATGGCGATGGTAAGCCGTACTATGTGACGACGCCCATCTTCTACGTCAATGCCGGTGAGTCGGGCCCTACCAAGGCATAGTGTCCCGCGTGACTGCTGATACCGACCCCGTCCGGAAGCGCCTCATGTCGGCCACCTGTACAGCATGGTGATCGCCGACGTGCTCAAGCGATGGAAAGTCCTGAAGGGAGAGCGATCGTTCCTAAGCACCGGTACGGACGAGCACGGGATGAAGGTGCAGCGCGCCGCCGAGCTCCAGGACGTCCAGCCGACGGCGCTCTGCGACGCCAACTCGGAGATCTTCCGGGACCTCGCGAGGAGGGCCGACATATCTAACGACTGCTTCATCCGGACCACGGACCCGGCGCACCGCGAGGCCGTCGAGCACTTCTGGGCGCGGCTGCGCGAGGGCGGGCACATCTACGAAACGAAGCACGAGGGGTGGTACTGCGTCGGCGACGAGACCTTCTACTCGGACAAGATGGTGGAGAAGCGCGTGTCGCCGCAGACGGGCAAGCCGTTCACGGCGTCGATCGAGACGGGCAACGCGGTCGAGTGGACCGAGGAGCGGAACTACCACTTCCGCCTGACCGCCTTCCGCGAGCCGATGCTGCGCTTCTACGCCGACAACCCGAACTGGGTGGCGCCGAGCAGCCGCTTCGCCGAGGTGATCGATTGGGTCAGCAACCACCTCGAAGACCTTTCCGTGTCGCGCCCGGCGAGCCGGCTCAGCTGGGGCATCCCCGTGCCCGACGACCCGAGCCAGACCATCTACGTCTGGGTCGACGCGCTGATCAACTACATCACGGTGACGGGGTACCCGGGGTGGCAGCAGGGGACGGGAGCCTGGCCGGCGGACGTGCACGTCGTAGGCAAGGATATCTTGCGCTTCCACGCCGTATACTGGCCGGCGCTGCTGATGGCGGTCGACCTGGCGCTCCCGCGCCGCATCCTCAGCCACGGGCACTGGCTCATGGAGCGGCAGAAGATGTCCAAGTCGACGGGCAACGTGGTGAACCCGTTCGGGGCGATCGACCGCTGGGACACGGACGTGCTGCGCTACTTCCTCGTGTACCACGGGTCCGTCGCGAACGACGCCAACTACGACAACGGCCTCATCCTCGATCTAGCCAAGAAGGGCCTCCAGCGCGGCCTCGGGAACCTGCTGAACCGCATCGTGGGCCCGAAGCTGTGGGACGTTAGCTACGCGGTGGCGAAGATGACGGGTGACGAAGACCGTCCCGGTCTGGCGTTCCTACGCCTGCCGGCATCTGTCGACGCCCATAAAGCGCGCGTAGAGGCGATCACGGATAAGGTGCAGGCGCACATGGACGAGTTGGATCCTACCGGGGCGCTAAAGGAGATTATGGAGCTCATCTTCGAGGTAAGTTGGACCACGAGGTTACGGCCCTCTTCCCCCTCGCCCTTCATCCCTTTTCCTTTTTCCGCTGCGGTCTCGGGTCCCCCCCCCCCCCCCTTTGCACAGCTCGCTAACCTGGCCTTGAAACGTACGCATAGACGAACAAATTTGTACAGGAGACGTCACCGTGGGTGGCGGCGGGGACTGGGCGGAAGAGGGAGACAGACCTGATCGTGTTCTACGCGGCGGAGTCGTTGCGTGTCGCGGGCATCCTGCTGCAGCCGTTCATGCCGAACAAGGCGAATGAGCTGCTCGACCGCCTGGGCGTGAGCCGCGAAACGCCGCGGCGCTCGTTCGCATTCGCGCGACTGCAGGCGGACAACGCGTACGGCAAGAGTCTAATAGAGACGGGCAAGGGGGCGTGGAAGAGCCTGTTTCCACCATTTAAAGTGAGTGATTGATGGCCTGCCCTGCCGGAGGTAAGAGAAGATGGGGATGCAGGTGAAAATGACGAGACAAGAGGCCAGCTCTCCGTTGGAGAACGTTCTGTGTAGGCGTATTCCCACACTACGCTGGGCTACGCCATGGTTTAGATACCCCTTGGGTGCGGAATCCAGTACAAGCCCCCCCCTGCCCTCCCAGCCAGCTCACGAGAAGGACATGTCTGGTTTGTAGACGTCACATTAAACAGCCCATCTGGGAGGAATCCGAATAAGCGACGGTAAGAGTCTGGTTATAGCCAACCGGTAAGAAGACGTAGCCGCTGAGTACAGGGACGAATGCAAGGACAAGCGTAGGTAGGTACCTATATACCTATGTTATCCAGCTTATAGCGATCAAAAACGGGGTGCTTAAAAATGAAGAAAAAAACCCGCAGTCAACCCTACCCTAACTCTTATTCTCAACTGCGGAATCTCAACATCATCCCAGCTAAACACCTCCCTCGTCCATAGGTACATTACACACTCATACCGATGCGCCACGGCTGCACTTCTGGCTCACTTACTTAAGTCCCTACACACCACGTCTCGCGACTCTGCTCAGCGGGACGCGATGCGATTGAACGAGAACATCGGTCAGTGAAGCCAGCCCGCCAGCCTGTCGTCTTCCTGGCGGCCTACGCCGAGAAGGCGGCCGTCGCTCGGCACCAGCGCTGACGACGCCCCACGCAGCCGTGTCGACGCGCGACGTGCTGCTCGTGCCGTACGACGCGCACCACGTGCAGCAGTACCACGCGTGGATGGAGGACCCGGTATGCTCCTGTTCTGTTCTTTTCACGCCTTCCCCCCCCCCCCCCCTTTCCCCCCTTCCCGCACTGCCCCGTTCCCGCATCCGGGACGCGAGGAAGAAGAAGAACAGACCGGAGCTAACTGCGGGGGGTGACACGTGTAATAATAATAAAAAAGGCCCTCCGCGACGCCACCGCCTCGGAGCGCCTGTCGCTCGCCGAGGAGTACGCGAACCAGCGCCCGTGGCGCGCGGCGGCGGACAAGCTGACGTTCATCGTGTGCGAGGCATCGGGGCCGGGGGCGGCGGCGGCGGCGGTAGTAGCGGCAGGCGTGGCCGACGCGCCGGCGCGCATGCTCGGCGACGTCAACGTGTTCCTGACGGAGTGGGACGGCGACGACAGCGGCGGCGGCGGCGGCTGCGCGGCCGAGATCGACATCATGATCGCGGAGGCGGCGGGGCGCGGGCGCGGGCGCGGGCGCGCCGCCGTCGCCGCCGTCCTCGCCTTCGCGCACGCGCACCGCGCCGCCCTGCTCGCCGAGTACGGCGCCTCGCTGCCGGGGCCAGGCGCCGCGCCGCCGCGCCTGCGCGCCCTCGTCGCGAAGATCCGGGCCACCAACGCCCCCAGCCTCGCGCTGTTCGCCGGCCTCGGGTTCGCGCGCCGCGGCGGCGTGAATTACTTCGGCGAGGTGCACGTGGTGCTGGAGGGGTTTGCGGAGGAGGAAGGGGAAGGGGAAGGGGAAGGGGGCGAGGGGCAGCCGATGTGGAGGAGGGCGCTCGAGGGCGCGGAGTACCGAGAGCTGGTTTACGATCGGACGGGACTGAAGGCGGCAGAGGGGGGGAAGGAGGGAGGCAGAGAGGGATGAGGTGGGTGGATGGGCAGTGGGTTCCGTAAGGCTTGGTTGGGAGAGGTGTTTGGGCCCAGGACAGTAGGATAGTGGCCTGGTCTATTCCTCGCGACGCCCCGAAGTGCCTACACCCCCCGGCGCTACAAAGGCCGCAAGACAGTGGCTAAAGAAGACGATGATACGATAATGGGCTTCCTTATTTACACGTGCCTTTAGTGTATCTATTTCTTGACAGCATCTGGCGCTCTACCCCCCTCCTCCGCTCCCACATCACTGCCCCGGTCCCGTCTTCAGCCCAAACTTCTCCTGGTACGCCCGCAGCAGGTCGAGCGAGATGTTGCTGCCGCCGCACACGATGACCACGACGTTCTTGCGGGCCCACTCCTCGTCACCGAACCCTTCGTGGCCCCTGCCCTCCTCCGCGGCCAGCAGCCGCCGCAGCTCGCCGCTGTACGCGACCGCCAGCGTCGCCCCGCACGCGACCTCGACGAGCATGCGCGCGTCGTCGGCGAACCGCGCGGCGGCCGCCACCGCCTCCGCGTCCGTCACCACCACGCTGACGAGCTTGCGCCGCTGCCGCTGCCGCTGCTGCCGCCGGCCGTCGTCGTCGTCGTCGTAGTAATCGTACTCCTCGGTCGCCCACCGGAACGTCCGCTCCGAGACGCGCGGCGCGCCCAGGCTCGTCGCCACGCTCGTGATGGCGGGCAGCGCGACGAGGCGGCCGGCGGCGAGGCTCGCGTGGAGGCTCTCGGCGCCGCGGGTCTCGGCGACGACGACGGTCGGGCGCTTTCCCCCCGCTGCCCTCAGACGCCGGCCCGCGCCCTCGTCCTTGCCCTCGTCCTCGTCCGCGGGCTCCGGAGCGGAGGCCGCCCCGTAGTTCCGCTCGACGCCCTCCATGACGCCGTTGAGCAGGCCGCCGCCGCCGCAGTTGCATAGGATGGCGTCGGGGGCGGGCGCGTCCGCGGCCAGCTCGTCGACCAGCGTGCTCACGCCCGCCCAGATGTCCGCGTGGTCGAACGGCGGCACGTACACGCCGGCCGGGTCGCGCGCGAGCAGCTCCGCGCGCAGGTGCGCGTCCGCGCGCTCCCAGTGCGCGCCGACCTGGTGGACCTGGGCGCCGAGGGCTGCGGGGGTAGCCGGGGGCCGTGTGCCGTCAGCTAGCGGCGTGGTAAAGGCGGGGGGTGGGGGGGGGGGGGGATGGGATGGGACGGGGCTCACCGCGTATCTTGTCGATCATGTGCGCGGGCGTGGTCAGCGGCACGACGACGGTGCAGGGCCGGCGCAGGGCGGCGGCGGCGGTGGCGCAGGCGAGCCCCGCGTTGCCGCCCGACGAGCAGTAGAAGCGCGCGTCCGGCCGCGCCCCCGCCGCCGCCCGCATCATGTGCCCGATCCCGCGGGACTTGAACGACCCCGCCGGCTGCAGGTTCTCGAGCTTCAGGAAGACGTTGCTGCGCTCTCCCCCCCGCCCCTCGGCGTCAGCGCTGCGGCAGAGAGAGAGAGAGAGAGAGAGAGAGAGAGAGAGAAAAGAGGGCAGGGCGCTCACCACCCGATCGCCTGTGAAAGCGCCGCAGACCGGATGCAGGGCGTCTCCGTGTAGAGCTCCTGCGGCTCTGGCTCGTAGGAACCCATCGCGGCCCCTCCGTCCGAGTGTGTAGGCGCGTTTGGTGAGGGTGGACAAGCAAGTATCGTCGTCAGTATCGTGCCTGGCGGCCGCGGTGCCCCGGGTAGGTGGGCCGGCCAGATTCTTCGAGACCTGGACCGAGTCAGGGACAGGGTTTTAAATTCAGACTTCAGAGGACGCAACTGGACTCTGGACGGTGGGTGTCTGTGCACCTCTCGCCTGGAATGGACGGATGGTCTCTTATAACGCAGGGAGCGCTCCGATTCCTGGACGATCGACGACGTTAGGGCGTACCGGCAAATGGACAATTTATACCTACATACTTAGCATAATGACCAACCCTGGGGATCGCGGTAGGGCAGCACTGCAGGGTCGGCTGATAAGGGGGAACCTGCGTGTGGACGGGGCTGGTGTCCTACGGCTGCGAAGACGGGAGCGAGAGAAAGCAGGGGAACGGGACTGGGAGGAATCCGGTAACGGCCTGCGTGCGCCCTCCCGTCGATTGCCGACGCTGGCCGGTTTGCCATCCATAATTGTTACCTAACCGGCCCAGGACCGCCAGCCCCCGGGCTCCGGGGTCGTGATATGTGATTCCTCGCAGCCCCCATGGGGATCGGCTAGCAATTACTGCAATGTGTAGATATGGCTGCTAAGGTGGAAAGTGGCCTGGACTTGGGCCGGTTTTCACGTCAGCCTGTAAATCATTCACAGCCAACCGGTTCTCATATCGGTCGTAGGTAGTGAGGGTATTTGGTTGGGACGGTGGCAGGGAAAATAAGTCTATCATTTTGTGGTCTTCCCTGTATGTCTCCTACCCCATAATGCGAAGATATGCGCACGCGTGCATTCTCCTATAGCTTCCCTCCGTGCTACGTGGAATCCTCTGTAGTGTTGACCGCGACATGCGGTCTAGCATCCTTGACCCTATCCGCTTCTCACGGGTGTGCGTGTGCCGGCTGTGTGGCTGCCGCTACTATTGATACGATCCACCTGTTCGCATGTCTCATCTCCCCTCTCCATCGCATGTGAGTTTGGCCGATATTTACTACTCCTCCTACTTCTCCTCCTCCTCCTCCTCCTCCTCCTCCCAATCATCACAGGGCCCGGAAGTTCTGGCTGACAATCACCCACTTTCTGAGGTTCCTGGGCGCGTTCCGGGCCCAGGCCTCCCAGTGCGGGACCAGCAGGAAGGCCTCGTTGAAGCCCTTCTCCACCACGTCGGCCTTGCTCCCGCCGCCGAAGATGGCGCCCCTGCCGTCTTTCGCACCGCTGTTGGCGCCGCCGCCGCCGCCGCCGCGCCCGTACTTCACCACGCCGCTGACCTGGACGGCGAAGCTCATCGCGTCGCCGTCCTTGACCTTGGCGCTGCTGCTGCCGCCGGCGGGGTCGGGCTCGCCGAGGACGTAGTGCGGCACGACGGGGTGCGCGTCGAACGAGGTCACCTCGTACGCCACCGGGCGGCCCTGCGCGTCCAGCATCGCCTCGTACTCGGCGACGCCCCCGTCCGGGCTGAGCACCTTGCCGTTGATGCTGATGTCGGGCTTCACGCCGGCGCCGGCCAGACGCGCCGACGTCGACGCGTAGAAGGGCGCCAGCGGGCGCCGCTTGTCCAGCGCGTCGTAGAAGTGCTCCACGAAGGACTGTGCGGCTGTGGGTGTGTAAGTAAGGACTCTAGGCGATAGGTAGATAGGTAGGTAGAGGGGTGTATAGTAGAGGAAGTGCGTGGAAGTAGATTGGCAAAGGGTCTCGACGTGTAGGCGACTAAAGGGGGTTGCGCTCACATTCGCTAGCGACTCTAGATAGAGTCTCGGCGGTTGGCAGCGCCATGTCTTTTTCCTTTTGCACGATGCTCTTTATCCTCTCGCCTTACTCTCGCAACTCCAGCTGACGGGCGCGAGAAACGGCACCTGTCGGCCGATTAAATCATTCCAGCCCCCCACGGCTACGACCAGACAGGTGGTGCGAAATATGATGGATGTCTAGGGCGAGGAGAGAGAAGCCTGAATATGTAAGGGAGGACGGGGTTTTCCGCGGTACAAGGCTGACGATGGGGGCCCGGGATGCACTCGGAGCTCAACAATACAAGAGTAATAAGACGAGGTCGAGGGAATGGGATGAAAACGAGAGGTATCGTCGCCAGCATCCGCCTATATGCTACCAAACGGTAAGAATTACGATGTGGTTTTGGTGGCATCGGGTAAGTGAATTAAATACGATAGCCTACCAGGCTGAGCACACTGTGCGCGGGGCGGGTGGGGGGCCTGTATAACTAGGGTAGATTGGGCGATAAGACCGTGAATCACGCTGGAATGTAGGAAGAAAAACACGGTGTCAATAATACACACTCCATACCATTTCTATTTCCTCGCCGCATAATTACATAGTCGGGTCAGAACTAACGGGTTCCTACATACATATGCACCTACACCACGCCGCCGAATTTAACTTGTTACGGTATGTTCTCAAAGCCTTGCTTGCCTCTTTGCTACTATTTTCTTTTCTTCATCATTTAGATCGCAGTCTTCGCCGAAACGACGAGCATTCCCTCGACATCGGAAGATGTACGCTCACCTACGCTAGGAGCTGCTGTCCCGCGACCTGCCTAGGGCTTAGATATGTATGTGCGCCTTTATTCCCAGGTATGCTTGAGATATGCCTCGATGCTTCTAACCCCAAAGTTATGAAATCTTGCGATGCTCCGCGGTTTTCTGGGTCGGGTTGGCGATGACTCTCTATATATACGCTCGATAACCCAGAGCCTTCTCGGCCTGTCCGAGGCTCCCCACGCTGTCCGCCGCTATGCGATGCCGGTCGTATCCATGCCGCGTGTTTCCTGAGTGTATCTTCATATTTGTATTCCTCCCGCTCCACTCCCATCCTTCCATTCCTTTCTTTCCTTTTCGTCCCCTCTCCTGTGTATGTGCATAGGTGTATGTTTCTACCTCGGAAAACGCCACAGGCCCAGCCGCTCCACCACGCTGTACCCCAGGCCCAGGTAGTCGCACAGGGCGACCCAGTTGTCCGCCTGCGCGGCTCTCTCGAGCGCGAGCACGTCGAGCTCGAGGAGCTGGCGGGAGCGCGATTCCCGCGCGAAGAAGGACCGGACCGGCTGGGCGTGGTCCGACGACGCGGCACCCCGGGGCAGGATGAATCTGGCGTTGGGCTCGGACCGCGCGATCTCGACGAACTGCGCGGTCGACGGCACCTCGATGTACGTGTTCGCCGGCGTCGCTTCTCGGTAGTCGAGGTCGCCCTCGAGGCTCTGCTGCCGGGGGCCGTGGTGGCGCCGACGGTAGCCCAGGGTGTCGAGGGCCTTGCCGAGGGCGGCTGTCGCGGGATGCGTCGTCCGCAAGACGTAGACGGGCGACGGGGCGACGGGGCCGTCGAGCTGCTGCGTGCTGTTGCCGAACGAGGTGTGGATGTCGGCAGACAGCCAGCCGAGGCCGAGAAGCGGCGAGAACCTCATCGTTGCGGGGGACTGGGTAAGGGTAACTCTCGGGATCTCGGTATTTCGGTGTAGGTATTTATCTCTCTTTTTGAGGGGGCTCGAGCCGCGGAGAAGTAGACGCGATTATAATCGCCGAAGGTCGTCACCGGCCGGCCAGCAGAACTTCCGTAGGCGAGGAGAAGGCAAAACAAAGGAGTAGCTAAGAGAGTGATAGACGATGATTTGTGTAGATTTGATAATGAGTGACGTTGTCTTGACCGCTCAGCTCAGTCGACAAGTTTGGTATAGACGTGGGCCACGACACATTTGTTCGTATTAGATTCCTCGTCGGTGAGACGACACGACGCGTCCCCGCATCTACAGTATGTCTCTACAGCAGATTCGAATCCGTATTCCTGCGACCCGTTGGCTGCGAATCTAGGTCAACTGTAGGTGATTTCGCACCACATCAGCCCTAAGAACATGGGGTTACCAGTTAGGTATCGCGGTCGTGCTGGGGAAGTGCCGAGCCGTCGGATCTATTAGTTAGGTATGTCTGCTATGCCGCAAAAAGTCGCCTTGTTTTCTCCGAATATGCCTACCTACAACGCAAAGGGGACAGGGACGATAGGAGAGAAAAGGAGAACTAAGGAATGGATAAGGCTGTAGAAGATCAAACGATCGAGGAAGTCCACCATCCTTACGCCCAAGCCCCTTTCCCCTCGCTATAATGGTTAGACGCCAGGGTGGGCGAGAGACCCTTCGCCAAGCCGATCCTTGGCCCAGGAGGCGTCGTTTAGGAAGACAGGGGGTGAGATCCATACATGGATAGACCAGGGGCGCCTAACCATTCTAATATTTCGCAGACAAACGAAATCAAGCAGCTGACATATATGGATACTTACCATAAGGCTTAGTAGGGCCAGCTGGGGGTAGATCCAGCATCTATGAGTATACTAGGTAGGTAGTTATGTAAATTCAAGTGAGGGTGAGCCACGAGCGCTAAAGGAAGCAAGCATAAGACGATCTGCGTAGTGCATATGCATCCGTACATACATACCATCGATATATCTATACCTCCCCATGTACCCTACGTAGATGGCAGCTTATCGTTACCTCGATATGCATCAAGGAATTTTACCTCAGCCCCTATATTTAGAGGCAGGTAGGTATATTCCATCCATATTCCATCCACCCATCCACTCGGTAAGGCTCCTACGGCTAGGTATCTGGTAACGATAATAATAGTAAGCGCTTTACGAACCCGAGATCGTATGGACAGACGAGCAGCTGAGCCCTCTTCCAGAATCGCACCCAGACCAGACCAGCCCGCCAAAAAAAAAGGCGATAGAAGATGATTTATCTTTCTTTTCGTCGGTGCTAACGTGCGTACATTATCGAAGGAGAGCCGCTAATAAAATACTAGATAGATGAGCATCATTACGCCTTGCCACACCGAAGCATCGCCTCCTACAGCGCGACACATGGATGTATTATGTAGTTGACCAGCTGTGCGCTGCGTTCGTGAACCATTGTAGCTTTCTTCGCCAGGGCCACGTATCCGTATAGATACTCCCCTAGCCCATCTCGCCGCGCCGGATCTCGGCGTGGCAATCGGGGCATGTCGTCGACGCGCGCGTAGGAATAAATCATTAGGCACCGCGTCCCGGGCAGGCAGCTTCGCGGGGATCTAGGTATCGTCAGATTTGCAAACCTATGGACCTACATGGCTGCGTCCGCAGAACCAACCGGCCAATCCATCATATGTATATGTATACAACACATACAACCATGTACGGGGGCCCTGCTATCCACGCGATCGGAGGTTGCCTTTCCAAATCGGAAGCGTTTGCTCCCCCTCCTTTATTTCTACCCCTTTCAGGATTGGTCGAGCAAGCCTTTCCTATATTCCCAGTAGCCCCGGCGGATGCGGTCCCACTTGAACGACAGTCTCGTCAGGCATAGCAACGCCTGCTCCTTCTCGCCGGCCTCCTTGTAGATGTCAGCTAGGAGGTCGAGCGCGTGGGAGCTGCGCACCTCCTCGGCGTTGTCGTCACCCAGGTTCTTGACGAAATGGCCGCTGAACTCCCTCGCGGTGCCGAGCTTCCTCCCGCCCTTGATCAGCACGCCCCGCAGATAGTTCCACGGGCTCTGGTTCTGCGGCGCCAGCATGATCTTGTCCTGTGTGTATGCGATCTCGCGGTCGACGACGTCTGCCGGCACCTTCGGGTCGTGCTCCGTCGCGTGGGAGCCGGGCGTCGTGTAGGCCGGGTCCGAGAAGACGACGAAGAAACGGTGAGACCACGCCGAATTATTGCGCACGTCGAGGTGGATCAGGCTCTCGGTGCTCTGCCGCTCGACGTCGCCCCACATCCCCAACTTGCGCACGAGGTACTGCCGGAATGTCCAAACGTGGTAGTTCTTTGCGTCTAGCGCCAGCATGCGCGTCATGAACGCCCGCTCGCTCTCTGCAAGTGCAGCCACATCCGAGGCCGACGTCGCGATGGTCGGGTAGTAGTGGTCCATTAGCAGCTGTCGGTGGTTCCAAATCTGGTAGTTCTTGATGTAGTTGAGCGAGACGTCGTTCAGCCACTCGATCTCGTCCGGAATCGAAATATTGAGATGCTGTATGATGGCGAATCGGTAGAGCCAGACGGTGTAGTGGGCGGGGTTTTTCGCTATGATATCTTCGGTGAGTCTCAGGCAGCGTGGCGTGTGTTCCTTGGACGCCATTACAGCGCGGAGGTAACCCATTGCTAAAGACGCGTGAGTAGCGAGAGCAAGGCAGGCAGAGATGCCAGAAACGTACCCTCGGCGTAGTCCTCGGGATACGCTATCGCTGCGAGAGCTCCCTCGGGCTCTGACTGGGGTATAGGCGTGACATCGTCCCAGTCGGGATCCAGCGAATACGGACTCAGCCTCTGCCCGTAGAGTTCTCTCTTTAACTCGGCCATCTCTTGTCGCCTGGCCCTTTCGACGTCCAATTGTTCGTCCGAGCAGGTGTATATAGGATGCGCGCCGTCGCGTCGTGGAGCGTCGTAGGCCCTCGCGTTGCTGGATTTGAAGAATATGCTGTCGTAGAACAAGCGCAGGTATCTGTCTTTCTTTTCTCCGTACGCAGCGTACTCCTCGAGGGTGTAATCCCCGATGTCTCGGCCGTTCTTGTCGCGGCCCCACTGGTCGTCGCTCGGCCGGGGCAGGCTGCGAAAGGGAATGTTGGCCTCGTTCACCCGCTTCCAAAACTCCCTCTGGGCTTTGTTCGAGAGCGTCTTTACCCTCCCCGGTTTCAGATACTCTTGGTCGCAGTAGGCTTGTCGGTCAGCCGGGGTCATGCCACTGAGACCGTGCTCTTCGTAGGCCTTCTGGTAGGGGTTTGTAGCATAGTACCGCTGCCACTCGAGTTCTCGGACAGTCTGCGGTTTCTTGGGCTCCTCTTGCTTAGCTGGAAAGTCGGATACCACGTTAGCCACAGCCGGCGCAGCGGAATCAAGGGAACAGCCATGAGCTTCCGTACGATGGCGTCAGTCATAACCTACGTTCGGCAGCTTTGCCCCGCGAGCCCCCTTTATTCTTAGGAGGCATAGCGAGAGGGACTGGTTGAGGCGGTTGAGGACGGACGGCGGGGTTTAAATACAGGGCACGTCGAGAGAGGAGCGTGTTGGTAGGTACCTACTGGTTCCATCGGGCTCTTTATCTATCGATAGGTACCCAAGAGAGCGAAAATGGGCGGAGGGGTACTTGCGTAGGTACCCCGGCGTCAGGAATGCCGCAAAATCTGACCCGCCCGCTCCCGCCTTGCATCCTAGGGCTTGGAGGGGCAGGTGCAACTGCGGAGGCACATGTCGTGGCATCAGAATGCGCCTGAATTGCGGGCACGGAAAAGGGCAGCCAGACGAGACAAGTAAATTACTGCCTCTCGGTATTCGCTTAACCAGAGAACTTATTAGCCCATTACTGAGGCTTTTCAATCTTTCCATATCTCGCCGCATCTGGATTACTTCCCGTATGAAGCATTCGGGGTCATGGCGCCCCAAGTTCCCGCTATCCCTTCACAGGGACTGCAGTCTGCCGACCGCAGCTTTTTCCCGGACCTCAATCCGCTGGATCGGTTCCGCGTTGCCATTGCTGAGGAACTTTCACGAATCTCCCATATAGATAAGAGCTTAGCACTCAGCGGCCTCGACCGGACCACGAATTTGGATAACGGTGATTTGGTATTGGTCGTTCCGCGCCTTCGCATGAAGGGTGTTGCTCCTGCTGAGTTGGCCAAGAAGATAGTCGCAGAGGTATGCTGCTGTAAACTCGACGCTGGATGGCGTGGCTGATATGGTCTAGTTCGAATCACACGAGGGCGCGAAAGTGAAAGCTCCCATTGCCGACGGCATCTCCATCAAGTTCTTCTTCACCCCCACCGAACTTACATCCACTCTTGTTCCGCTTATTCTTCAGCAACAAGAAGCCTACGGCTTTAATCCGAATCTTGGCCTCCGAGACCCTCTGAATCCAGATTCAGGGCAAAAAACCGTGATCGTTGAGTTCTCGAGCCCGAATATTGCCAAGAAATTCCACGCTGGCCATTTACGGAGCACGATCATCGGTGGCTTTTTGTCAAATCTATATGAGCGTTCGGGTTATAAAGTCGTTCGTATGAACTACCTTGGCGACTGGGGTCGGCAATATGGCCTCCTGGCTTGTGGCTGGAAGCGCTACGGCGATGAAGATGCTTTTGCGAAGGACCCCATTGGCCACCTATTCGACATCTATGTCAAGATCAGTGCCGATTTCCAACCTGAAGAGGATGAGTTCAAAGCTGCTGGCAAACGCGGGGAAGACACCTCTGAGCTGGAATCAAGAGGACTTCTTGGTGAGGCGAAGGCCTACTTCAAACGGATGGAAGATGGTGACGAAGAGGCTCTGCAGCTGTGGCGGCGATTTCGAGATCTGAGTATCGAGAGGTACAACGAGACGTACGCACGTCTGAACATCCGTTTCACGGATTACTCTGGAGAGTCCCAGGTAAAGCAGGAGACTATGAAGAAGGCTGAAGAGATCCTTAGGGAGCGTGGTGTTCTCGAGAGCGACGAGGGCGCATCGATTGTCGACTTCAAAAAGCACGGTGCAAAGAAGCTGGGCGTGGCTGTCGTCCGGAACCGAAACGGGACATCGAATTACCTTCTTCGGGATGTCGGTGCTGCTATTCAAAGAGAAGATACATATCATTTCGATGAACTGCTCTATGTTGTCATGAGTGAGCAAGAGACACATTTGAACCGCTTGTTCAAGATTCTGGATCTGATGGGCGAGGGATACGCCACACTGTCGAAAAGGATGAAGCATATTACCTTTGGGAAGGTGTGTTGAACCCCTTCCTACGTCTTGACCTGCCTGACATGAAAGCTACACAGGTTATGGGTATGTCTACTCGAAAAGGAAACGTCAAGTTTTTAGACGACATCCTTGCGGATGTTGGTGACTTCATGCACGATGTCATGCGTCGTAACGAGACGAAATACAGCCAGGTGGAAGATCCTACTCGAACAGCCGAACTTCTTGGTCTATCTGCTATCATGGTTCAGGATATGTCCGGGAAGAGGATTAACAACTACGAATTCAGCCTCGAACGAATGACTTCATTCGAGGGAGATACGGGACCGTATCTTCAGTATGCCCATGCAAGATTGAGCTCCATCTTCCGCAAAGTGGACATCACGCGCGACGAGATGCTCGGCGCTGATTTTTCCCTTCTCGCCCAATCCCCTCATGCCATCAGTATGCTCCGAGCCATGGCCCGATTTCCTGACATGGTGCATCAAGCACAAAAAACACTGGAGCCAACCACGATCCTGATGTACCTGTTCAAACTAACCCATGAGCTAAGTTCGAGCTACGACCATCTAAGGGTCGTGAATCCTCCAGAAGGTCGTGCTGTCTCGATTGCCCGAGCAGCATTGTACCAGGCTGCTCGCCAGGTCCTTCACAACGGAATGGTCCTTCTTGGACTAAGACCACTCGATCGGTGAGACCGAACCCCGAAGCTTAACAAGTCCACCAACTAACACCGTCCAGGATGTGATGGTTGCCAATGACAGCGACAAAGTGAGCGTTATACCTATCTCTGGGTTACGCGGAGGCGATGCCTGTCCGGTTGGCCGCTAGCGGAACGCTGGCCCATAACCAAGGCCCAGTGTCATAGACGAGAGAAAGGAGTGAGAAGAAATTAGAGAAAACAATCGGTACGCAGGAAATCGAAGTAGACAAAGCTATCATATAAGTCAATGGCATTCTGAGCAGTAGATAAGAATTCCATATTCTTTTCTAAAGAGTCGTACTATGTCAAGGTCCTGCAAAAATCGAACAATTCATAAAAATTTGAAATTTTTTATATGGGGGTTTTTTCAATGAGCCGATTTTATTGCCAACTTATCTCTCTAAGTGGTTTATTTACCTGCTCTCTTAACCTGTCTCTTAACATTAGATATTACCTTAGTACGGGTTGGCGTCCCCTCCCCGTCTGTTGAGTTCAGAACGCTTGTGGAGAAGTTGAGTATTATTTTAGCATTGAATCCCAAAAACCCTGCAGCAGTATAGGTCTTAGCCAAACATTACGAGCCCACCTTTCATAGCAGATTGAAGTTAGAGTCGCGCCTCAGGTAGAATCCCAGAAGGATCCGGGACCCAACGGCTCGGACTTGGAAGACCGATTGAGCGAGACCGTCCCCTTTCTAACATTCCCTACCCTTCTCAAGTTTGGCTTGATATTCACCTAGTCATAGAGCTCTGGTTGGGCTGCAGCGGAACTACCTAGGTAGGGAATATTTCTTTGTTCTTGGCTGCATCTGCTGACCTCCATGTGTCCTTCTCTCCGCAACGACAAGGTTATAAAACATACCATCCCTGCCATGGACGCTGCCGAAGACCTTGCCCGCCTCGATTCTGCACTTATGGAGGGTGCTGTATTGCGAGCTACCTAGGTGGTCCTGTTCGCCGATGCCCGTTGTGCTGCTGGTTGCGGAAGGATCCGGCTTGTATTGTCCGTCTGCACACCCGTCGCCTGGCTTGGAATCCAGTTTCCTCTCTTGAGCCCCTGATGTAGGGAGGCGTATCTGCCCAAACCGCCGCGACGAACAGCAGTAGCGGGTCGAGTTCAGAGGCCATGTATGTGCATCACTGCATATAATTAGATGTGACTAGGTGCTCCGACCCCACCTCCATCTTATTAGATCCGCTCAGCCTTTTCCTCTCGATATCGTCACACATACAAGACAGAACCTTGCAGATAGATTTTGACAACCAACAGCCTCAGTCTTCTGTTTGCCTTGTGTTCTGTGAGAAGCCTTTGTTTTGACTTGATAAGCGCCGAAAGAAGGGTGCGTCTTGGCATTTGAGCCGCACACAGCCCGAGGTGCCAGTGGGGGGCCGGATTACCTAGGTTGGCCACAACTAGATTTATATCGGTTACAAATGAATCTAACAACGCAACTAGAATTGGACCAATGGCAACCTTGAAATTCGCTGTGCCATATCTGGCCATGACCCGGCCAATATCTGGCCCCACATATCTATGTCTAAGCCCGGGACCCTGGCCATCTCAGAGCCGCCGCATGCAGGCGCCTAAAATCAAGTGTCTGGTTGAGGGGGCACGTTCTCTAAGTAGCAAGACACCAACAGACCCAAAGCTGAACCTCCATAGAGCGCTTACGAGTACACAATATGCTCCGAGTTTGGATCTATTCGGCTTAGTTGGCGCCCATCCTCACCCTCGTGGTCACTCTTTTCCGTGTTGATAATTGGAAACGAGACCTGTCATTTCAACCGTGATTGAAACTCTTTAACACTTGGCAGGTGCATCGCGGCGGCTAGGTGTCGAACTGGAACCATCAAGACGAATTCCTTCTTCCAGCCATGTCTAAGCGCCCCGAAAGGGGGTGTGGAAGATGGTGATGAATTATAAATACGGGTGCTACGTCTCCTTCAAATCATATGTTCCACTCCCAGAATTGTGTACACAACTCTTCTCCCAATCATTACCGAACAACCGGATTAGTTCTACATTCCAGCACCTGTCAGTCGTTGTGTTTGCCTTGCCAATTCGATATACTTCCGGCCTGCACTTTGCGACTCTTGAAACGCTGCGCCCCCGTAGCTCGGAAGAATGTGTAATATCGTTCGTTACATCTGTCCCACCTCCGGGAATCATTGGAAGACTACCGGAAGTCGCTGTTATCTTCGACGAGAATATGGCTGGTTAGGGCTTCTCTTGTTATCGCGGGCCATAGTCTCACATAACTAACGAAACTGCCAGCCGGGACGGGAGAGAGTATAGGGCATGTGGCCAGTGTTATACTGGCGTAAGTGAAGTTCGACACAGGGCGTCAGACGGGTCTGGTGTCTATCTTAAATTCTGCGACGGACGCTGGTACAGCAAGAGGTCAACTGAGCAGTGAAGAATTTGGCGGGATTCCTTCCGAGGTAAGTGCCGTCTTCTATAAACCAACTTCAACCCAACCCGCGTGTCCTCTAACTTGGTGATAGCAAATAGGAGTGCCCCGGGAGTAACACTGATTACCCATCCCGTCTAGGATTTACTTGGTATTTAGAATGTATGGTTATATGGTTTGAGGTGCTGCGATCGTGTTTATCTTGTCTGTATTGTCATTTTTGAATTGAAGGGGTTGGTATTTCCTAAGTAAGAGTTGCAATTAAGTTTATTATTATTAGCACCGCACTGGGTTTGTAAACTACCTTAAGAGTATGCTGTGTCTTTGGCTTATTTGGATTAAGGGATAATGAACAGGAGCAGCGTGGGCACGCTGTGATAGAGACGAGTGCAAGACTGCCCAACTGCCAACAACTGGCCCAGTGCCGATTGAACTAGATCACAGCTGTAAACAGCTGATCAGTTGATCGGCCAGGTGAAAACGGCAGTCAGGGAAAGACTAGGAAGGTGAGATAGAGATGGCGAGAAAAGGCAGTTCAAGAAACGAGTGAATAGCTGTAGGTTGTGATGAAGAAAATATGAGTGCGAGGCCCATATAAATACACATCTGAAAGGCTACGTGGCCTAGTCCCACCGCACCACTACAATATAAAATACCCGGCTCGCGAAGGGGTGGCTCGCAGAGTGGTACCCTAACTTAGTGCTGTTTTATTACTAATAATTAAGTTTCCTCTCCTGGAGAAAAACATCTCGACTATGACGGCGTAGATGGAAAGTCCCGCGAATACTACGATTGCCGACTTTGAATATCTGACCTTACGTAGTCTTAGGAAGGTCCCTTATTAAGCCACTATAGCTGATGGCTACGGCGAATGGATCGTTCCTCCCACCACAATCAATCGTGGCATTACGAAGGGGAAGCTCCTCGACAAAGTAATAAGCGTAAGGCAGATAACAGGACTGTTCCGTTATTTAATGACTAGAGACTCTGGGACGGGTTTGCGATAGGCCAGACGGAGCAAGCTGTGGGTATCAAAGTAAGTATGTACTCCGTAGTTGTATACGGTGTGAACACCGTCATGCCCGCGGCCGAGGAGCTGGCCATGTGCCGGGACACTGGCACCCAGAATTGCAGTCCAGGTCGGCAACTGTATGGTTAGCCTAAGCAGGAGCATGAAACGGTGCCAAGCCACCACTCAGGTCAGGCTCTGATCACCTTGCTCACCTCCCTAGATCACCTCTAGCTCAGGTTAAAGCAGCGACAGCTCAGGTTCCAAACACCAGAAACGGATTTGGATAGTAAGATTTGTCGGGGGTTGACTATTGAGGTAGGTGGGTACCTCACCTATATAAACAGCGACCGTTTGGTGCCCCAGGACTCTTCGTAATTAGGTACCTCCTCACTCGAATTAGGCCTCCACACCCATCCTCCTCGACCAGGAAACTCTGATCGCACCGTCGACTCGCACCTCGCATTCCTCACAGCATCCGACAGCACTATGCTTTAGACAGCGATCAATCAGATAAAACGGCATAGTGCCGAGCCGCCCCCTTCCCTCGACGCGCACCCTTCACTGACTCTCGACACGCCAGAACTTCCATCCCTCCCTCTCCCCGCTTCCGCCGGAGACGCCGACGAGCTTCTCTACGCCGTCGTTACCGGGCGCGTTCAGAAATTTCTCGAGGTCAATCTCCATGCCGCCCTCCTCGTCCTCGTCTAGGCCATTCTTCAGCACCGCTGGCCACAGCACGCCGACACCGTCCCCGCCGAGCGTGGTCATGAACTTCCAGTAGCCCTCCTTCTCCAACTGGCGCTCGAGTCGGTCCACCTTGTCCTGAGGCACGCCCGGCTTCATCAGCGTAATTGAACATCCGCCGCCTCCCGCGCCCGTGAGCTTCGACCACCCGACCCCCTCGTGATCTACCAACTCGCGTATCCGGTCGAGGCGAGGATGCGAGACACCCAAGGCGGTCAACAGGCCGTGGTTGATGGTCATTAGCTCTCCCAGCCGCCGTAGGCTCTCTGGGTCCTCGTTGTCGAAGTACTCCTCCTCGATTAGGCTCTCCGCACTTCTAGTTATTTGATCCATGGCGTCCATGATGGTTCCCACCAGCTTTGGATGCGTGTTTTTCAGCTTCGCCACCTTGGCCACCTGCACGTTCGTAGACTTGGGCGTTCTCGTGTCTACCAAGAGTAACGGTAACTCGGGGAAATCCCACAGCGGCGTTACGTTCGGCGGTTTCTGGTAGTCGGTTCGCTGAAATACGACGGCCTTCCCTTGGGTCGCTACAGTATTGTCCACCCCGGAAGGATTTCCGTGTATGCACATCTCGGCTACGAATGCCCATCTGTTAATCCTCTCCACTTGCAGGCGTGCCTCTTCCGAGGGCTGGTCCGGATGCGGACCCGACAGGGTACGGATCTGCAGCAGCATGGCAGTAGCCAAGCAGACGGCAATTGACGCGCTACTACCAAGCCCAGCCCCGATCGGTATAGTAGATCGGAGCGTGTACCTGAAGCCTGGCGATTTCTGCGACCCTAGCGACAAGAACAAGTAGAGAAACGACGCGGCCGAGTTCTGGTGTATCTTGCGCTCAGCGTCGGGTTTATTTGGCGAGATGTGCACCAGATGCGGTTGTATAGCCTTCAACAGATCGGTGTCGAGGGACGTGACTAGGTCGTAGTAGTATTTCTTATTAGACGGGTGCGAGAACTTGTCCCAGGGCAATTGGTCAATGTCCCAAGTATGGACGAGGTCGATATCGGGGAATTGAAGGGTCACGGTGCGTCTGGCCTTGGATAGGTGCGTGACGAGCAGGTAAGAACGGAGCGAGATGGAGGCGGCGATAGCTGCCTGCGAACTGGTGAGCCGATGCCCGTAGGAGAGGGGCCATGGTATCATTCATACCTTGCCGTGGACCACGGAATGCTCGCCGAAGACGATGACTTTGCCAGGCGCCGAAACCATGAAGGCGGGCATCATGGGGCTCGAGTTCTTACGGTTCGACGCGGTCCTCCTCACCGGCTTCTCTTCTGCCAAGGCGGGCGCGTCGACGTCGCCGTTCAGGGATACCTTGTCCATCTCTTTGTGAAAGCCATTGGACACCCCGTTGGATGGCACAGACATTTCGGAGGTGAAACTGTCAGGAGTAGTTGGATTTCAAGTCATCCGGTTGGGAATATCGTAGAGCGGATTCGGCGACGGGAGAGGAGGCTAGGTAGGTAGAAATATCGGGTAAGCCAAGGATCTCGCCGAGCTGCCGGGTTCGTGGGACCGTTCGTTGGGAAATAATGACGAGATGGAAAGACTCCAGCAGCAGGACCTCGCTAGTGGGACAGACGCTTCCGACGCACCTTTGTGCCGCCAGAGAATCGCGGTAGAAGGAGGGTGATGTATTGGTGCTGAGACAAGAGGAGGACGAGGTCAGCACGAAAGGCGGACAATGTCGAGCTTCAGGAGGTACTCCAAGCCTAGAAGGATGGAGGAGGCGGGGGGGAACCAACTATTAGGTGGGATAGGCGTGACAGCGGCGCGCAACAGGCAAAAAGAGCCAATATCGTCCTAGCGAAATTGACGATTCATTAAGACACAATCCTGAAATAATAATAATAATAGTAACGATAATAAAAATCAATGAGGAGGTAAATAAGCACCGGCATGGGGATGGTACATACCTATATACGTAATGGAAGGTAGGCTAGGTAGGCGGCTATTAGGTTAGACGTGTTAAGGTACGTGTAGATGCACGCAGGTATGTCTGGGCGGATATATAGTAGTGATAGGAAAATGGGACGAGGAATTGGTGGGTATTTGCGGCGAGTGAGCGCGATCACGACAGCTAAATAATCTTCAGTCAGCTATGCATAGGTAGGTCAGCCAGCCGCGGCCCCTGACACCGATTTAACAGTTGGGATTAGCTACACGCACCTTCAACAAGGACTGAGCGGCGTAGAGGGAGAAGAGGGAGAAGAGTTGCCGGCAAAGCAGGTTGCGGGTTTGGCTTCCAAGGTAGAGAGGCAGGGCAGGTAGATATCGTCGCCGCAAGGTATGGGATTAGGTATCTTCCTACGTACCTAGGTATGTTAGACATCAATGCGGGTCGGCCAAGGGATCTTTAAAGATTCGTCAGGGTGGAAATTTCGCGGTTCCCACCCAGCCAACACCTCACAACCCCCCCTCCTCCTCTCCGCCCCTTTTTGCGTGTGTGTCGTGTGAAATTAACCAACAAGCCACCTATCCGGGCCGTTCCACCTCGTCACGAACCGCCCAGATCTTGACCTGCCTCCCCAGGCGTACACGCAGGCGTTCATCGCATTGGACGTCTATGAGTAGGTAGGATAGCCCGCAATGTGACGGGACGAGACCAGCTCGAGCCCCTAGATTCATCTGTCCGAGACAGAGCAGCAACGAGTACGTGGAGGCAGGTTGGGTACCGAGAGAGGAGGAGGACGTGGGCGCCGGCGCGACGGGAATCAGTGGGAAATCTTAACGTAACCCTGTGAAGGCTGGACCAGTCACATCTGACCAATTAAAACTCCAGGAGGGAAATTGGCTGACCCGAACGACAGAATCCCTGCTCGGCCACGCATCCGATTACCATCCACCCCCAGGCCCATCGCCCGCCCACCCTGGGACCTGTTCCCCAACCGGGCGCCGTCGTTCCCCAACTGGGCGAATGACGAATTCCCTACACGGCTAGTACCCGTATCGGGGAGGGCATACGACAATACCTACATCCTGTGCGTTGAGCAGTATGAGTAGGCCTACCTACTTAAGCTCCCGCTACTATCGCACTTCCACGCCCGTAGCCCGTGCGCGCGCACTACGTACCCACCTATCATCGTCCTCGCGGTAGAGACGTCCTCGCCCACCGGAAGTCGGCCAGCGCGTCAGATTCGGTGAGACTCGGGCCCCGGAGGCAATTGGATGCCATCGGGACCGTTGAGGAGTAAGCAGCAAGAACCGAGCAGGTGGCGGGAGGAAAAGGGCAGCTCGCGTCCGCAGAGGATGCTACCCTGGGGTTGGATGAGACTCCGAACCGCTCCCTACGCTGTGAGTGAGACGGAGTGGCGAGGATCAGGCACCTGCTAGGTAACTACCTAACTCCGTTCTCAGAGAATCGGCACGGAGAATTCCTCGATAGGCTGCCGCGAGTACCCTGCCTGTGCTACACCTCAACCTACCTGAGGCGCCTCGAAGTTTCCATGAGATGCACCAACCAACGGAGAGGAGATCGAGGGTACCTACCTACATCAAGCGTTGAAGCTCCCTGGTCGGAGGGGCTGAGGTAGCTCCTATCGGATGTCTCTTGCTATCAAGGGATTGCCCCCTTTACTGTTGAGGGGGATGATGTTGAATCGCCGCAACTCAACGTAGCACTTCCTCAGTATCACTGCAAGCCTGTTGCATCACCGATCGGGCTCAGAAACGTACGCCTCCTCTCGCCGCTCCGCCTGACGAATGCGTCTCGGAGCTCGAGGCTGTGAGGTTGTATGCCACTGGCGTCACCAACCGCGATGGCATCAAGCCAGACTCAGGACATGCGCTTCAGGTTTAGTATTCCCGTTCGAATCGATCAGGCGCGATAGACGCCTCACTACTGCCCGCCCTCTCATCGAGCTCAGAAACAACTTGTCCCGATGTATACGCCCCCGAACTTCATGTGACGGAACGAGGTCTAGGAATGGGATGTGCCAGCCGCGAGGCGTTTACCTGAGATCAAATGCCCGAGCCTTTCTCCATCAAATCCCCAGTCAATTCCAGCATTACTCGCCCAACCCGCTCGTCTCCTTCCAAATCTGCTCTCCCTCCCCTTCTAGTTGCGCTGTACCTATCCCCTTGCCGTCGCACATATCTACCTCCAGGCGTTGCTCGGAACTTCACAAAAGGGGTAGCGGAACTAGGAGAACCGCCTAATTACCTACCCTTGTCTCAAGAGTCAGTCGACAATGATCATCGAGATGGCCCTTTCGTCGTCGTTCCCAAGAGGGGAGGAGTAAATCGAGCAGGCATCCACCCCCACCATTTGGGGCGGGTTAGGCCGAGATCAGACGGGTAGGCATGCCTACATCTGATTCCTGCGACGAAGACGCGGCACCAGTCCGGCAGTATCCCGTGAGCACAAGCGCCAGATACCATAGAGATATACACAGAAGGTAGGTATGCATAAAGAAGAAAATATGTCTATGCACCGAAATGCCTCTATACAAAGATCCGCGCTCATGTACCCCCTTCCCAGACAACCGATCTAGAGGTTCAAAACTATATACACAGAAGTTTTTTTTATATATCTCCGAACTGAAGCGAGCTCCCAGTTCACCAGCCAGCCGGAGAGGGTGCGGAGAAGTAGGGTAGGCAAAGCGATATTTTATCTTTTTTTCTTCTATATCTTCTCGCGCTCCTCCTTCCCGGCCGGCCGACATCATTAAAAACACCTGGGCGAGCGAGCGGACCGAGCCAGCTCGCTCACCCCGCCATCGTCGTCATCATCATCACCACCAAGCATGGCCCGAGCAGTACGTTTCGAACCGAACAAGGCGGGAGGAAAGAGTGAGAAAAAAAGAGAAGAGACATTCGTGATGGGATGGCCGGACGATATACGCGTCGGTATATATAGATATATGCATATATTCCGGCTCTCGACAGCCTGGGGCGAGAGAGAGACCTGCTGTCTACAAGCCGAGGAACACGAGCCCGCAGGCGAGCAGCAGGGCGCTCGCGCCGGCGGACGTGGAGATGCGGGCGGCGCCGGCCGGCAGCGGGGTCTCGGTCGGCGGGGGCTGCTCCTGGGGCGCGGTGGGCTGCTCCGGCGACTGGGGCTGCGACTGCGGGCCCGAGGGGCTGTGCGGCACGGTGCTGTTGCCGCCGGTCGGGGCGCTCACGCTGCCCGTAGTCGTCGGGTAGGTGGGCGCCGTCGTCGCTGGCGGCGGCGGCTGCTCGGCCTCGGTCGTCGACGAGGGCGCTCCCGGCACCGTCGTCTCCGACGTCGCGGACTCGCCCGTGCTGCTGCTGCTGCTGCTCTCGGGCGCGGACTGCTCCGGGTACGACGACGACGCCGGCGGAGGCGGGGGCGCCTCGCTCGTCGGCTCCGGCGCCGCGGTCGTCGCGGTCGTCGGCTCTGGCGGCGGCGGCGGCGCTTCCGTGGTGCCAGGGGCGGGCTCCGTGGTCGGCTCCGGAGTGGGCGTGGGCTCAGGCGTAGGCTCGGGAGTAGGCTGAGGGGTAGACTCCGCTGGCGGGTTAGCAGCGACGGCGGCGCAGAAGTTGTCGAAGCCGGTCATGACGGCGCCTAGTTACCATGTTAGCGCCTCCCCATCTCTCGTTATGGTAGAAGGGCACGGGACAAGGGAGCGAGGGAGGAAAAACGGACCATAGTCCTCGACGGAGCAGCCCCTGCGCAGGCAGGCCTCGCCGTTGCGCTTGAGCGAATAGATTTCGCTGCAGACGCACTTGTTGTCGGCGACGTTGCAGAGGGAGTTCCTCTCGATGGTGGCGGTGAGGCACGGCTGGCCGCAGGACGGCACGTACTCGGCGAGGTTGAGGGCGGCGGCGGCGGCGGCGAGGGCCGGCAGCGCGAGAAGGCGGATGGGCGCCATCGTGGTGGTAATTACGACTCCGGCTTTTTTCGGTTCCTTTTCGAGTTTCTTTCCTTTCTTGTTGGCCTATTCCTGTTCCTCTTCTTGTGTTTCCCCCGTCTAGTGGCGTGGGTGAGGATAATGTGTATAAGTGAGTAGGTAGGGTGTATAGACGGATGAGCGTTGACACGAAAGTAAGGCCGGGTGGGTATATGTAGATGTATAAAGGGAGCGAGCGGACGGAGACGGGATCCTGCGTCGTGCGGGCGAGCCAGGGATTGGATCGTGTCCTAAGGAGATATTATTACCTATTTCCGTAGTGGCTGTCTTAACTAACGGAAGCAGGTCGTCTCGGAAGATGCACGAGGGGTAGGAGGGCTCCTTTATAAGTTGAGATGAGGAGGGACGGGGGGGCGTTGGACGTAACAAGAACAACAACAAGTTGCCCAACGGAGAAGGTGGATTTGGTTTTGGTTTCCTGTGGGCGTCGGTAGTCGGAGACGTGGTAGATGTCGGCGGATCGACGCCTTGCCAGACGCATTTAGGTATAACGGATCGACACACACGATGGAGGGCGCGCTCGTGTAGCTCTGACAGGGCTAAGTGGGTTAATTGCCCGAAACCATCCCATGTCCCTCGTCTTCCGCTCGTTCTATTTCCTTTTTTTTTCGTTTCTTTTCTAATTTCTGCTTTCCACGAACCAACATTCCCCCTCCGCCTCCTTCGCCGCCCACCCCTGTCCCCTGGTCGTCCAGTGCCGTGCGGCGGAGCGACCTGCATGACGGACGGTCGGCTGGGTTGGTTCGTTGGTGCGAGGCGAGGGGCATCATGGACTCGGGACGATTCGAGCGCAATGGCGGGCATGCAGGCGGACGGGCATACTACCTGTCTACCTACCTGTCTACCTACCTACCTACCCAACCCGCCTCGAACCCACCTATCTCCATCTCTACGCAGACAGGTTAGACCCGCAACCAAACGGCGCACACGCACACGGCGATGTCGTGGATCGTTGGCTGCACAGGCGTTCTACGACGCGCGCAGCACCACACGCAACTGGGCACGTAAGTACGACACGAGGGGGCGTGGGGAGTGCAAGCAAGCGGCCGAAGTTACAGCGGACATGCCGCCGATCTCTCTCTCTCTCTCTCTCTCCTCCTGCCCGCCTGTCTCTGTGCGTGTGTCTGTAACCCGTGGCGTGCGCTCTCTGCCTGCGGGTGGTTATCGTGCCCACGTTTAGGGTTCCCCATCCCAGGCGCAACTTCGCGCGCAGACCCGCATACAGAAATGCCTACGTTCGGAAATCCCCTCGCTCACACATCCCACATAATACACCTCTCCCCGGCTAGCTGTAGGCATCTTCAGACGGGGCGGCAGACCAACGACCCGCAACTACGCTGCCCACCCGGGTCTCGAGGGGGGATAGGGCATGGCGAGGTAAAGTGGGTTGAGACTTGGGTGCCTGACGTAAATACCTCTGACGGGGAAGTGGGAAAGTCGAGCAGGAGGCGGTAAAACACACCAGGGGATATACTTAGGACGGGCCGGGGGGGCGTGGTGTTTGTTTCACGGTCCCGATGCGGCAGGTTGGCGTGGCTGAAACGACCGAAGGAAGAGAGGGCCTGCGCGCCCGCCGCGCCGTCGTAAGGTGCTAAGTAAAGTATCGGCCGGTTTGTCTGCGCTGGGTCTGGCATTGCCTTGCCAGGCTTCACCTACACGATGGAAAAAAAAACTAGGGCGACGGGGAGAGGGAGAGTGAAAATGAAGGGGGGGGGAGGGAGAGAAGAAGAGGTGGTGCTACGAATGCTTATTCGCGCCGTCTCGCTCTATAGTGTAACGCGCCATCGTCTACCCCAGACATCGGCCCAGGTACCTACTCTATCTGAGGGTAGGCCACAGGGTGCCTGCGTCAGATAGCCTAGGTACCTTGGGTACTGTTAGATACCTAGCACACACGTATCCTGTTGGCAGATACTTACCATTAGGTGCCTACCTACACTAACCCCCCACTGGTCTTAGGTACCTGTATATGAGTAAGTACCTCTTCAAATCGAGAGAGGGCCTTGTCAGCACCCTAGGAGGCGCCCAAGCCAACTGCCTACAGGTTTTATTTCTGAACGCCCCCCTCCGCCAAGCGATCCCCGAATCTCGCAGCTGAGCGCCGTCGACGGCCGGCCATTGGCTGCGCACCCCGTGCCTGGCTTCATATACCCCTTTCCGTCCTAATGGATGTTCGAGTAGGTCCGGAGGAGAGCAGGGCAGGGCAGGGCAGGGCGCGGCGCTGTTTATAGAAATCTCACCGGCGGCGTTTCGTTTCCCAACTTGCTGCGTCTCCCCAGCGCGTTCTTCTTCTTGTCTTCCTCTCATTTGCCCGTTTCTGCTCGGCGCATAGGCCGTCTCGGCGCGTTTTCTCGCCTTCCCACTTTCTCCCTGGTTCGACGGTGATGTTTGTCTCTCTCTCGCTTTACTTCTATAGCCAGCCAGCTAAGAGAAGGTAGGTAAGGTGAGGTAATGTGGGATCAGTTGCCTTCCCGAGGAACCTAGACCCTCATCCAACACACCCATGCCTCCCCAAAGCAATTTACCCGGCGCTGTCGTGTGCAGATGTGCGAGTTTTTCCTGATTTGAGGCACCCCAAGCCGCGTTCCCCTTCCCCTTCCGCGCCGGTTCAGAAAGGTAGGGAGCGGGGGGTAGATAGCCTATCCACGGGGCGCATCGTGAGTGTTGGTCAGGCGGGCCGCTCATGTTAGCGTTGGCAGGCCTTAGGCTTCACTGGCAGATGACGGCCGGACATGCACCGCCGAGGCAGCCTCGCACCTACCTACCTACCTACCCAACCTACCTACGTAGACAGGGTACGGGCCGGCGGGAGACCCGGGTTAAGGTTGCGTTCCGCCGCCCACGCTGTTGAGAACCTAGGTAGGTATGTCGCGGCGTGGCTAGCCCGTCTGCGCAAGCCAGCGTCGAGCCTCCTCGCGTGCCACGCCCTGGTCCGCGACGTCCTAACGGCATCGTGCCGCTTACGCAGCGCCGCCAGCCTGCAGCGCGCGCCGAGGCTGGGTAGCGAGGGTGGAGAGGCGTGTTGGCGTTGCTAAAAGTCTGTCGCTCGTGGCAGCGACGAACCAACACGTCCAAAAATACCCCGGGTCTTCGGCACCCGGCCTATCGGGGCGAGTTTCGCTCGCGGAAGTCGGCGGGGGAAGGGCTCGAGCGAGCGCGTGGCCCCCGGGGTCGTAAGCTCAGGGCACCTAACGAGCCTGGATGTGGTTATTATTATCACGAGCCGCTTGCCGAAGCGAGACTCTAACGATGGAGTTGGTTGCTCAGATCCCCGCGAAGGACGTTTCCCCTAGGGGGGAGCCTAAGCGAGGTAGACGGGACTTCGGCCCCTCGCGGTGCCACGGAGTCGTAGGCGAGCAGGTAGGTTGGTAGTGATTCACCCCAACCTACCCTCTTCACCGAAGGCCTTGACCCGGCCTATCCCCCGAAGTGACCGCACCGCCCGAGCTACGCCATCTCATCTCTCCCCGCTGTCGCTTCCCTCCGTCCCACCTCTAACCTTCTCCCCCTCCCCGGACGTCGAAGGCGGCTGTCCCGCGGACATGGCGTCCCTTCTAGCCAGCCAGCCGTCGCGCCCTCGGGGACTTTCGCTCACGACGGGGCGGCCGCCACGATGGGCGCGGCCGTCTATCCCTCTCCCTTTTGCACGAGGACAACATGCGAGACGCTGGGACGAGAGGCGCATACCAGGCAGGCTCTGTCCGACACGCGCGGGCGCGGTCGGCAAGGCGCCGGCAAACCACCCGGCAGCGAATGGCGAGACGGTCGGGACGCAATACGGGATAAGAAAGGCGACGGACGGGAGACTTGGGGCATCGAGGCCCGTTCGTGCAATCCAATTGTGAGAAGTAGAAGGAGGCTATGGCCTAGGTAGGTAGGCAAACGCGTCCCTTCTTGCTCCGCGAAGGGATTTAACGACACGGGCTACTACGGCTATGGGCTAGCCGTCCTTGTGCGAGTTGCATTCACGCTGCTGCGGAAGAGCCTGAGATAGGTAGGTAAGTAGGTAGGTAGGTAGGTATAATATGAGAGAGGCTCGGTGATCCGACGTTAGCGGGTACCTACATCGCGCAGTTCGTCGCGGGCCTGCGGTTTACCCGCCTACCGTACCCCCTGGTGATAGATCTAATCGAGCCGGCTCGCAATGCTACGCGTCGGGTGTAAGGGTTGGAGCCACGTTTTGAGCAGGTAGGCAGCGATGTGATGCGTGGCCCTGACTCCTACTATGGGTCCTGAAGGACACCCCCGGGCCGGACCACATAAGTACCTACTTAAAGAGGCCTACATGGTATTTCAGCGACCTTTGTTATTCCCCAACAAAGGCGCTTTACCTCCGGAACTCATTATTTTTGCAATTGGCCCCATCAATCAAGTCATCGTCATGGTAGTCACGGAATTGGCATGGCTAGTCACGGCTCTGGGCCCGGTCACCCCGGCCGGGAGGGAGGCCGTGAACCAGGCCCTGAACGTCCAGGATGAGTGGTTTGCTCGCAACGCGCCGAACATGCCGGAGGGGAGGGAGGAACGCGGCGTGGGCCTGTTCCAGCAGGTAGAGGAGCCGTCCATCCACCTCCTGACGGCCCACTGGGAATCCGTCGACCAGCACGGAGTCTGGCTGGAGAGCCCCGAGAACAAGGCGGTATTCCCTACGCTCGGCGCCTACTTCGAGCTTGAGAAGACGACGCTGTTCCACGTCGACGACGTCCAGCTGTTCGACGCGACCGGGGCGGTCGGGAATGTCTCTCTGCTGGAGAGCCCCGTCGTCAGTCTGGAGAGGCTGACTGTCGCGGCCGAGGGGCGGCAGGCCTTCGACGACGCCTGGCGCGAGGTCAAGGGTGTGCTAGAAGAATTTGCGAAACCGAACGTGGTCAAGGGCGGCTGGCGCATCGAGAAAGAGAGCCCGGCGCTCGAGGAATTTGTCGTCGGCTCCGGGTGGCCGAGCGTCGAGAGGCACGGGGAGTTCGCGGCGTCTCCGGGGTTCCCCACGTACGCCTCGGCGATAGAGCCCTTGATTGCGGCCCGCGACACCAAACATTACCAGAGGATCCTGTGATGGGGTTTGGGGAGCTAGGTATACCTACCTAGCATAGCGGTCACTTCGGAGAATACGAGGACGTGAATCGTCAAAAATCTTTTGTGCAATTGATGTGTGTGCGTGTGAATTGCCTACAAGCCTCTTTCGTGCTTGAGAATATCAATTCGGAAGATATCCGTAGACGCCGCCTCATGAACATACCAACCCAGCGCCGGAAAAATACGCGCCGGGTCATCGGCTTCCGATGACCACGTCCGCAGATGCTTTACCGCCTCCCATCGCCGCAGGCCTCCGGTAGTATCCTCTCAGCGGCGACCGGCCGCTGCTGTCTCCTCCCCCCGGACGATCGAACCCGGCTTACGCCGTGTGCTTGCCCTTCTTGTTTTTCTTAGGCACCTCCTTGATTTGCAAGTCTGCGAGTCTCGGCGTTAGTTCCTGTTCCCTTCCGAAGGAGCTGCGATGTGCCGAGAGAGTCGGGGCGTACTTGGGGGCAAGCTTTGCTTCAGCTTCTCGGCCTTGTCCGAGTCCTTGAGGATGAGGGTGTAGAGGTTGCGCTTGCACCGGACCTTGAACTTGGTCTGGGCCGGTTTCTTGTTCTTCTTGATCCGGGCGGCTGCAGGGAGAGGCTGTCAGACATGGCTCAGAGAGACTTCGTTTTTTCTTTCGGGGGGGTGTTGCTTTTTAATTTTTTTTTTTTTTGCCTGGTGGCCTTTGTCACGTACACTCAGCGTCCTTCCGCCGGCAGATCTCGATGAACTGTAGATAGAATTGTCAGACACAACCCATTCGTCTCGCGGGTGGACGATTTAGGGGGGTTATGGTCTTGCTGTACCTACCTTCTTGATATCAGCGATTTCCCGAGGCATCTTGACTTAGCGGTGAGTGCGACTGGGTAGCGGCCTTGGAACGGGCGGGAGGTCGAGGAATTGGCGAAAAGATGGAGGTGAAATTATTGCGACGAAATTGTGTGGGCGAAATTTCGTCGACGAGGGCTCGAAGCGATTTCTCACCTTTACCCCCGGGATGTGGGGTAGAGCGTTGTTGGGTCAGGTGCCTAGGTACCTAGTACATATGTACCTAGGTACCTACTGGTACCCATCTACGTGCTTACCTAACGGAGGCCTGCTCGTCTCGTCTTCCTCGGCCGCCGAACTACCAGGTCCAGAAAGCTACTCCTCTGCCCCTACGAGGAGTGGCTTACTGCTGGGTGCTGTAACGGCTCAGCATCGCCCCATCGCCGCATCGTATCCGGTGCACTCCAGCAATAACCACAGATCATAACACTGCTGGGAGCGCGGAGTAGCGGAGGTGACAAACGGGACAGCGTTGCCACATTCCGTGAATGCCTGCCTATCAAACGTATTGGCAGTATCCATCGCTCCCGCTAATCCGTCTTAGCATCTTAGCTATGGCTAGTGTAGCTGAAATGACGAGGATACGTAGACTCATAGCTCCCAGAAATTCGCGTAACGTTCTGGCCTCTGTGGATGATTCCACCCTCTCTGGCGGTTCCATACACAAACCCATATGCGCCCGCTTGCTGCAGAGTGGTAACTTGTAGTATTATCACCTCCCTGCCCCCTGATCGCCCACCATCCTATTTAACACGTGCAACATGCCCACCTTGCTCGACAGTGTCATGAAATCCAGGGTATATATATCCTAAGTTCTCCCCAGACGTCGTCGCTGCTGCCTACCCGCTTGCCGACGGTTCCTCCCCCGAAAAAGTACCTGCGGCTGACCGAGTTGTGAGCAGAACGCTGTACTAGGTATCTTCACAAACCTCGACACGGCCTCACTCCGCCTTCCCGCTTTCCGATACTGATGGAGTTCTACTTCAAAGCCTTCTCTGGACTCGTGACCGGCGCCCTCATCTGGTCTATGTGGGGTGGAAACATCTTTCCCCCGTCGGCAGATCCCAAGGGGGACCCTCAAGAGTGGACGCGGGAGGAGCTCAGAAGATGGCTGGCCGCTGTGAGAACGGACCCGTGCTTCCACTTACCCTTGACGCGACCCGTGGACTGACTAGTGTGTGCCTACCTAGCGTAACCTTCACCCTCAGGAGGAGGACTCGCGGGAGCAGCTTCTAGAGAGGGTCAGGGCGAATATGCGATAGGGACAAGTCTAGCTTCGCTTGCTCGCTGGGGTGACAGTATGCGCCTGTGTCATATGGTGCGGGGATGATTGGGGCGGGAGTGCAAGTCTGGTTTTACGTCCTACTCGTGTGCGGTTGCCTATAGAGTAAACCGCAGAGGGAACCCATGCTGATGAGCGGATGGAGAGGGAGGGATATCGCCCGGGGACAGATTTACAATTTATGTACAGGCCTGGAGAAGAAGTGCGATGGGAACGGAGGTGCCTCCTATCCTTGTCGCTTACAGACTCGGGAATATCGTGCCCAATCGGCCGCATAAGTCTTTACGCAGGGAATCCGAAGAAGAAGAATAACAAACTCCTTCTACGTAGCACATGGCTATACTATATATATGATTAGGTCTCCATACAAGAAATTGTAGGTAAGTGAGCGGGTTTGCGAGGAGGAGGACGTCGTCGCCATTTACACTGCTACAATAGGTACCTCCCGAGGTATGCAGGTAGGTACCTGTATTACGCGTCTACCATCTAAAAGTTGGGCTGTGCAGGTTGCTGTGCCACACGACAGAGATGAGACAGGTATACCTGGCCAGTACCTGACCAAGTACCTACATGAAATGGTAAAAAGCTGGTGGGTGCCCTTTGAGGGGAGTCTGCAAGTTTGGACGGTGTCTGAGATGTACTTTAGGTAACCCCCCCTGACACTAAGCCACGTTTGATCTTTAACGAATTGACCTTAGCCGACACGGTTTCTCGATGACGGCTTTGCCCAACGAATTTTCCAATCCCACCATCCATCATACACCTCTCTCTCTCTACTAGGTCATTCATCACGTATGCTCCCGTCACCGCCGAAATCCCCCATTTCGGAGAGATGGACATACTCCAGGTACGTGCCGTGGCATAACTTGGGGCTACCTAGCTAGCTGTCTACGTACTAACACCTACCAACTATAGCGCCTAGCTCGGTTCTTGGACCGGCCTCTCTTCCCGTGGAAGAAGCTGATCATTGGTTTCTCCGTCGCCCAGTTCTGCTTTGAGGAGTTCTTATCTTTCCGACAGTTCCGAGTGTTGAAGAATACAAAGCCGCCAAAGGTCCTCGAGCAGGAGGTGTCTCAGCAGGTGTACGACAAGAGCCAGGAATATGGCCGAGCTAAGGCCAAGTTTGGGTTTGTGAGGAGCCTCTGGGGCCAGATCCAGAATGTCGCCTTCATCCACTTCGATGTTCTCCCGAAGCTGTGGTCTTGGACCGGTGGCCTCCTTCGTTTCCTGCCTGCTCGGTTCTCCGGCGAGATCTCGCATTCTATCGTCTTCGTCCTCACCTTCATTCTGATTCAGCAAGCCTTGTCCCTCCCCGCGAACGTGTATCACACCTTTGTCCTCGAGGAGAAGTTCGGATTCAACAAGCAAACCCCCAAACTGTTCATCTCCGACATGGTCAAGTCGAATCTGCTTGCTTTTGTCCTCGCGCCGCCTATCCTCGCCGGGTTCCTCAGTATCGTGAAGAAGACTGGGAACCAGTTCGTCACCTATCTGTGGCTATTCGCAGCCTTTCTGCAGGTTTTCTCGATCACTGTCTATCCGATATTCATCTTGCCGCTGTTCAACAAGCTATCCCCTCTCGAAGAGGGTAAGCTGAAGACGGAGACAGAGGCGCTGGCGAAGAAGCTCAAGTTCCCACTGCACGAATTGTTCGTCATCGATGGCAGCAAGCGTAGCGCCCATAGTAACGCGTACTTCTTTGGGCTTCCGTGGAAGAAACACATCGTCATCTACGACACGTTGATCGAAAAGAGTGAGGAAGCCGAAGTCGTTGCTGTCCTAGCGCACGAGCTTGGCCATTGGCAGCTCGGCCACACTACGAGGCTCTTTTTCATCTCTCAGGTAGGCCGAGGCCCTCTCCTTACGTATGCGATACCTTCCTGACTATCTACAGATCAACGTGCTTTACATCTTCAGCCTGTTCTCTGTCTTCATTAACAACGCCTCCCTCTATGCGGATTTTGGTTTCCTCCAGGAGCATCCTATTATCATCGGCTTCATCCTCTTTTCGGACGCATTAGCACCTATGGATCTTGTGATCAAATTACTCATGAACATCATGAGCCGTCGCTTCGAGTTCCAGGCAGACGAATTCGCCCGCAACCTCGGCTACAAGGCTGAACTCGCTTCCTCCCTGGTCAAGCTCCAGATCCAGAATCTGAGTACCATGGATGCGGATTGGATGTATGCGAGCTATCACTTCTCTCACCCCATCCTTTCAGAAAGATTGAAAGCCCTCGATTGGACGCCTACTGGGAAGGTGGTAGAGGAGAAGTCGGAAGAAGGCGGTGTCGAGAAGGCCAGCGGAAGAGAACTATAGAATTTGTATTTATAAGTCTCTTGAAGATGGTTGTGTCTGCTAGGCGCAGGCCCTCAAGTAGAATCGAAGACGTTTCCTATCTGCTAAGGCCTTGGTTATGACGTGCCGGGGCTGCGAGGGGGGTATTTGGGTAGACACTAGGTAGGTCCTTAGGGTATGCGTTTTGGTGGCGGTTCCTTTCGTGGCCTCGCTACCTTAATCTTAAGGCACGTAAGACGAGTTAAAAGGTAAACCTAGTTAATTAATTAAAGGTATAAAAACTAAACTATTAAAAAGGCTTAAATATAGCGTTTTACGAATAGTTAGTTGTTACGTATTTTTCTTTAATTCTATTAATTATAGGGCTCCTTTTTTAATACTTAATTCCTTAGGTGTTATATTACTTCTTTTCTTACGAAAGGATCGTTCTTAATCCTTAACGGGCGCGTTTTACGATGATTTTTAGTATTAAGCCTTATTAATATTATTTTTACGTAATCTTAAGCTAATCTCTTAACCGCTAACGATCTTATTTTAGTAAGCGTTTACTAGCATATTATAAACTACGTACGGGATATCTATCGTTAACGTACGCCGGAAATAGGTTAGTCTTATTATATTTACTCGGTATTTCGATACTTCCGGGGCTCCTTATCTTATACGTATTACCGGCGTAATAACTTACGATCGCCTACGGGCCGTCGTAATAAAGCTCGTATTTACTTAACTTTTAGCGAATTCTTAATACCTAGTCTCCCGGAGCGTAAGTCTTAATAAGTCCTTTCTTTTTTTATAGGTAGGCTTATATTTAATCTCGCGATACCTTTAGGTTATTATAGTAACTTCGAGCTATCGGCGCTTCGTATTACTTCGTTAGTTATTATACGAACTATAGCTCCTCTTTCTTCGTCGCTTCGCGAACGTATTCGGCGAATTCTATTTATTATTACTCTTATAGAAGCTACGTACCGAATATAAGAAAGAAATTACTATAGCCGCTTAGCTTTAGCGTTTTATTATATATCGTAAGGGCTCGACGTAAGAAATTAAGAAGGCTTCGTATTATTAAGTTTACTTAATATTCTCGTAGTATTATACGTTTAACGTTATCGTTAGCCTTTTCGACCTTACCGTTACCTTTAGGACGTAATAATATAATAGGTTTTACGACGGAATTATATTAACGATATTATTAAATAGTTTCGTCGCTCGTAAACGCTACGCTATTATTACTTATTTATTTATAGGAATATCCGAAGGTTTCGCCGATACGAGTTAATAGCGGGATATAGTCTTTAAACGCGATTAACGGTACGACCTCGCTTTTAACTTATCCGGTAGCGTATTCGACGGTAATAAGTAACGTCGATTAATTAATAAACGTATAATTAATCGCTTATTTCGTAAGCGACGTAAGCGGTAGGATAATTTATAAGTCCGGTAGCGTTAAATCCGATTTCTTTATAAGCTAATAGGTCGAGTATTCCATAATGATTTATTATACCGCGAGCGTAATTTCGGAATACTAATATAACTTTAAAATCTCCTTAAGGATAACTCTTACTATAGCATGCCCTTAATCGTAATATATACTTCGTAGCTTTATTAATAATTTATCGTATTCGATAACGCTTTAAAAGCCTACCGCTTCGTTAGTTATTCCGGTAGCGTATAGCGGCTCTTCTTAAGCTCTAGTATATTAATTAACCTTATATAGTCTCCCTTAATATATTACGAAGTATTTTTTAATTTAATTCTCGTTAAGAGTATTCGGCGGCGGCTACCGAAGTTAAAGGTATTCGTAAATCGCTTAAATATCGAAACGCGTAAGCTCGTAGGAATATTTAATAACTTTTTCGGATATCGCTTCTTTTATAAACGGTAGTATTCCGTTTATTAATATTTCCGAGTTATTAGGTAGCCTTAATAAATAATCGGTTAAAACGTTAGCTTTTTTAACTTTATAAACGATCCTAACGCTATAATACTTAATGGTATCTAGAAAACGTATAATTCGGATAGGTTACTTAGCTTTAGTATTAATAATCTTTAATAACTTATAATCCGTAATTACCGTAACGTTTCTTCCTTTTACCTAATAGCGCTAGTACTAGAGCGCTAATAAAATATATAAGAACTTTCGTTCCTAAGCAGAGTAGCGAGATTACGTTTCCGTAAGCTTCCGCGAGAAATACGTTATTAGATAGAGTATTTATTAATCGCCGTAGAAATAAGGTTATTATAATACCGCGCCGATATCCTTTTAGCTAGAATTAATATCGATAATAAATAAGCGCCTTTAATCGTAATTTTTTACTACGGGCGCCGTTATAATCTTATTACGGATTAGCTTCTATGCTATTATAGCCTTATCGTTTAGCTTTACGGGAGCGTTTTTAAGTCCTTTTATTACGTCCGTAAGGGGTAAGGAATACCTAGCGAAGTTTTTAATAAGATACCGAAGGTAGCTTATTACGTAAATAAAAGCTTTAATTTCCGTAGTCGTTATTAGCTAAGGTCGATTTTTAATAGTAGCGACCTTCGCTAAGTTAGTTTAGATATTATCCTTAGAGATAAGGAAGCTTAGGAATACGCCTTTCCTAACGAATAATTATAATTTTCTAGAGTTAATTATTATGCCGTATTGTAGTGGTGCGGTGGATCTAGGCTACGTAGCCTTTTCGATATATATTTATATGGGTCGCGTACTTATATTTTCATTAGTTAGACTTAGACCTATAGACCTCAGGACCTATAGCTATTTATTCGTTTCTTGCCATGCCTTTTTAGCTATCCTCGTTTTTACCTTTTTAGTTTCCTTTCCTAGCTGCCGTTTTTAGCTAGCCGATTAACCGATTATAGCTATTTATAGCTGTAATCTTAGGTTAATCGGTACTAGGCTAGTTATTAGTAGTTAAATAGCCTTTTCGTGCCTCCGTCAGCGTACTTACGCTACTCCTATTTAATAGCGACCACCTAGTAGCTCGAACCTCACCTTATCTTAGGAGTAACCTTTTAATCGACCGTTTTTGTAGTTAATAGGTTTAGGATACGACGATTAGGAGATTCCCTATTTTTTAGTTGATTAGGAGCTGTTTTCGTGGCTCCAGAGCCGTTTTCGTAGCTTTTGGATTAAGCCTTTTTAGGTTAGGTAACAGGATTAATAATAGGGAGGGCAGATAACCATGGCGATCATTAATAACCACGCCCTCCCATTAGCTTTTGATTAGCTTACCTGAAAGCTCGTTCGCCGATCGGTAGGAATCCCTGTTCTCGTTTCTTAGTTGTTTCTTTTAAAGGAGCTATGCCCGTTTTCGTTTGGTTTTACCTTTGTCGTTTTTTACCGGTACCTAGATGGCCGTTTTTCTTAGTTAACCTAACTCCGTTACCGCTACTACCCCCTTTTTATAACCTCGTACGCGCTTGAAGGCATCCGTTCTTTACCGATCGATTTATTTTAATTATAAGAGGCTTACCGATAGCTCCGATTGCCTTTGTTTTATTCCTTCTAGCTAGTTACGGTACCTAGGGAGGTTTCTCCTCCTTAACCGATAGGTGCTACGATGCCTTTAATTGCTATACGAAGATACCGATATACCTTATACCTACGTCATAAGCCTAATCGGGGACGTACCGATTAGGATTAAAGACCTATATAGACGATACCGCGATACGAGATAGATAAGATATTAAATAAGACAGCCTAGAAAAAAAAAACAGTTATAGATTAAGAATAGCTATAGGAATAGTAACGCCTAGAGACCCCTCTTATCGCCTTTACCGATATATGGTTAGTAGGAAGAGCTAGAGCCCCTAGAACTACGTATAGGGGAGGGATCGAGGGTCAAGGGAAGCCCGGTAGATGCTACCGGACGAATAATAGTTAGAACGGTTACACGAGAAATAGTCGGGCATGAATAGGATATATTAGTTAGTTTATAGGATTAGGAATTAGTTAAAAAGGATCGGTAAAAAATAGCTATAAACGAGAAGGACGGGATTACGTTATATCGTATGGGATTATTTCTTTCGTTTCTTACGGGAGCTACGCTTATTTTACCTACCCGTTATAGTTCCTGTTTTCCTAACGGATCCCTATTGTTTCTTGATAGCCCTAATAGACCTGGCTCGCTCCTAGTTAATTAGGGTTAATTAGGAATAGGTTAATTAGGTTAGTTTATAGGTTATAGCTCCGCTAGCCTAGTTCTTATTATTAGATCTTTTCTATTTCCTATTAATCGTTAATTAAACTAGCTTAGCTCCTAATTAGTAGCGATTAAATAGGTTCGGGATTGATCAGGTTTAGGTTTAGGATCAGGCACGGTTACAGTTACCTACCCTACCACCTACTTATTACTGTTACAATCGTTCCTAGTTGACCTATTCCTTAACTTATTCTATTAGTCTTTAATTAAACTAGCTAGCTTTTAGTTAATTAGGGTTAATCGGGATTAAGTTAATTAGGTTTAATAAGAACGAGAGCTACCGTACCTATTATTATATAGGAAGTTTAATTACTCCTTACGGATTAATTAAACTAGGGAGGCTATAGTAGTGCGGTAGATCTAGGCTACGTAGCCTTTTCGATGTATATTTATATGGGTCGCGTACTTATATTTTCATTAGTTAGACTTAGACCTGTAGACATTAGGACCTACAGCCATTTACTCGTTTCTTGCCATGCCTTTCTAGCTATCCTCGTCTTTACCTTTCTAGTCTCCTTTTCCTAGCTGCCGTTTTTAGCTGGCCGATTAACCGATTATAGCTATTTATAGCTGTGATCTTAGGTTGATCGGCACTGGGCCAGTTGTTGGCAGTTGGGTAGCCGTTTCGTGCCTCCGTTAGCGTGCCCACGCTGCTCCTGTTCAGTATAAGGCGAATTAAGCGAATAATAATCTTATTCTTTCGTCGAGTTATTTTAAGGTATCGCCTTAAATAATTACGTCGTTTAAGAGGCTAACTACGAACTCTTAAAGTAGCTTGAGAATTTCTTTTATAAAGGCTTAAAAGATAGCTAAAGCGTTAATTAATCCTATAGGTATTACGGTTTATTTGTAAATACCGAAAGATATTACGAAAGCTATTTTCTCGTAATACTCGTCGGCGATACGGATATGTTAAAAGCCGTTAAGTAAGTCGATAAACGTATACTATCGATGGCTTATTACTTTATAGACTTAGTTTATAACGTTAGGTAAAAGGTAAGCGTATTTTTTAATACGCTTATTTAATTTACGATAGTTATAATAAAAGCGCTAGATAACGTTTTAATCGGTTTTCTTTAGTATTACCGTTTAGTTAGGAGCCTTCTTAAGCGTAAATAATAATAAAGATACCTACGGGCTCTTATTCTTACGTATAATCGTACCCTCGTACTTCTTAACGAAATCTCGTAAGGCCTACTCCTATAATAAGCTATATCTTCTTAGCGGTAGTTTTACGGGAGCGTAATTATTAATATTAATATAATATCGTATCTTCGCGCCGATATCCGTTCGTTTCTTATTAGGATTAAATAAGTCTAGGAAGTCTTTAGCGTAACGTTTTAAATGCTCGTTAACGATAGGATTAGAAACTAAGGTATCCTTATGCTATCTAATGCCGGATATAGGTTCGTTCGACGTAAAGGCTAGGTCTCCGACGATATAAGTAGTTAATAAGTTAATAGGTTAAAGTATCGGATAATTATCGTATCGATTTAGGGTAATTAGTTTATTCCTTATAATATTATATTTATAATTAATACCTTACTTATAAAATATATCCTTATTAATCGTAAGGTTTCCTAGGAAGGTATCGTTAGGTACGATTCCGGCGGATAACGTAAAAGGATCGGATTATCCGTCGGGTATCTTAAATCGAGCCGTTACGATAGCATTATATATTACCGTAGGTCCTATACCGCTAATACCTCGTATAGCGGATCGTCGTTTCGACGCGTATAACTTTAGGCTTACTATAACTATTTTTAAGATATAATAAGTAACGTAGCCGTAATCGAAGAATACTATAATCGTTTAGTCCGTTATCGTTTTAATATAGAATAGGTTATAAGGCTTTCTAGCGCCTTTTCGTAGCGGTTTATCTTTATATGGTAATAATTTATCGCCGGCGTTTACTTCGATTTAATAAACGCGGTTATCCTAAGCCTTAAGGTCTTCGAAGATACCCTCTAGCTATTCTTCGACTTTAAAATTATCGAGGATATCCTCCGGATTACGGTCGTTTTCGTTATCTTCGTCGGGCTCGTAATCGACGGCGACGTAGCTTCGCCTTTCTTTACCTTTACCTTTACCTTTATTCTTTTATTTATTATATATATTATTAATCTTTTTAGCGAAATTACTACGTCCGGCGGTTACTACGTTATATAAAATACCTTTAAACGTAACCTTTTTACCTTTAGTTAGTTACTAACGTAAGAGTTTTAATAATTACTTATAATCGTAAGTTTAATATCCCTTCTTTCCGTAGTTAAAATATTCGCTTTCGGATACCTTAGTTATAAAACCGTTTTCTTCGTTAGCTACGTAAACCTTACGATCGTCGGTTCTTAGGTTAGAGATCTAGGATATCTTAGTTACCTCTAAGAAGGTATCTCGGATATTTAGCTACCGAATCTAAGCTATGCCTAGTTTCGACGACGTAGTTACCGATATATTTAATTAATAAAACGAAACGAAGCCGCTATATAGTTATATTATAACTACTAGCGTATCGTAAACTTTAGCTTTAATCGCCTTACGCGTAAGAGATCCTACGTAACGGAACATACGCTCGATAATATCGTACGTATTTTATATAGGAAGGCCGTTTTCTATAACTATTTAAATATTAAGTAGGTAGTTACGGATTAGATCGAAAACTACCTCGCGGATTTATATTATTTACTATCCCTAATAAGGTAATTTATAAAATGCCTTACGTAAGCGGCGTACGAAGTTAATAATACTTTCGTTTTAAAAAGGTAATAACGTCGTAAGTAACGTTATTAAGCTATAAAGTACGTAGTTATTTACGAATACTTAAAAGATACCTTCTACGAAAGTTACCTACGAAGGTAAGTAGTTTCGAGCGAAGATAACGACTTACTAAAAGTCGCCTATTAATTCGATCCTTATTCGTTACGTCTAATAATTATATAGGACCTATACGCCTTAAAAACGATTCTAAATATCGTTTAATTTCTAAAGGATTATATTATCGGTTTATATTAATCGATAGCTTAAGGATATTACGACTTTATTCTTATTATCCGATAAGTAAAGGTATATTACTTCGCTAGAAAGGATTACTCCTAGCTATAAGGCCTTAACTCTTACCTCTTACCGCGTAAACGTTACGCTTAGCGCCGTATATCCGTAAAAATTAATTCTTCCCGACGTATATCGTAGGCTAGGTTCGGCCTCTTATACGGATAGAAACGGTACCGGATACGTAGCTACCGCTATTAACGGCGGCCTAACCGGCGGAACGGCATAGGGAGTCGCTAAAGATACGGCGGGATAAATAGCAGGAGGTACTACGGGAGGAGCAGTAGGAGGTACTATAAAGGGAGCGATACGAAGGGTTATAAAAGAAGCTATACCTATTATTAAAGATAAGGCTTAAGTAGGAGCTAAGCCTTAAGGACTATACTATAAAATAGCCTTAGACCTAGGTTATTTAGGCTATTATCGCTTCGTATTTCCTAAGACCTTACCTATCGGCGGTAAAGTAAACTAAGTAGCCTTAATTCGTATAAGAAAGCTTAAGGTAACCCGTTTAAGTAACTAGCTTATGGATTAATTAATCTTACGATTCTTACGCTTTAAAAGGAGTTTTATTATTTATTATAGTTAGTATTCGAAACGCTTATCTATACGCCGATCGAGGTTCTGTTATTATTATTCGAAACGCTCGTCGAAGCGCTATTCGAGGCTTTACTCGAAGCTAGCTCGAAGCTCTTCCATACGGGAAGTCGTTTTTATACGGAAATTACGAACTAAAAGCTTCATTCGCTTATAAGTACCGTTTATTATTCTACCGTAAGTAACTCGATTACCTATAAGGGCTTTTAGGTCGGTAGTAAGCTCGGCGCTCGTCTCTACGGGCGGTAAGGACTCGGGGATAGGCGGTAAGGACATCGTAGAATATTAGGAACGACTCGTAGAGCCGTTAAAAAATTAGGAATAGCTTTAATTATAATTAATCGATTAATAGCTATATTATTAGCGTTCTACCTATAATAAATAGCTATTTATACGTTTTAATAACGGTTTCTTTCGTAGCCTCGCTACCTTAATCTTAAGGTACGTAAAACGAATTAAAAGGTAAATCTAATTAATTAATTAAAGGTATAAAAACTAAACTACTAAAAGGGCTTAAATATAGCGTTTTACGAATAATTAACTGTTACGTGTTTTTCTTTAATTCTACTAATTATAGGGCTCCTTTCTTAATGCCTGATTCCTCAGGTACCACAAGGGGTAGGAACTAGGTGAGGTGGAACAGGGTCCGCATATCGGCGCAATTTACTGGTTAAATGAATACTATGCATCTAACATAGTGTGTGCCATTATACGATGTAATTAAATCGCGATGACGTTTGGGAAGTTCCGACGCGTTGCCCCGCTTAAAACGCCCCTGCCGCTTTTAGAACACGCGACGCGCTTCTTTGATACGCCCACATCATGGATCCTCGTGTGCTTTTCCTGGACTTTCCTCCGCCATTATCATCAACAACACCACCACATTGAATTTCTGAGATATCGGATGTGGAATCTGATGCTCTGAATTCCCCCATATTCCCCTATAGTCTTTGTTTACACAGGACGTAGCCATGGCGAGTGTGATTCTGCCCAAGAAGCGCATCCTGGGCGATGGGTCTAATCGCCGAAATATCCCCTCGGATTCATCCACGACAAAACGGCGCCGTCTGGAGCCCCTTTCTTCCTCCCCAGCATCGCGCTTGAATAGCTCTCAGAAGGGCCCCGGCTCGAAATTAGCCTCTACTCAGACCAAGAGCACCTTCGAGTCGGAGGTCCTCGAGAAGCTGAGCCAGGACATTTCAGAGCTCAAACAGGCGAACTCGGAGAAGGATCAAGCATGGGAGCGCCCTCCTGTTGTTGACTTCAACCCCCAACGGGACAACCTCATCTTCCAGCAGATAGAGGTGGAAGAAGGCACTCTGCATGGCGGCCAGGCTACAATAAAACTCTTCGGCGTGACCGAGAATGGCCACTCCGTCATGCTCCACGTTACCGACTTTAAGCATTACCTGTATATCGCCGCTCCTATCTCCTTCACCCCTGACCTCTGCGAACCGTTCCGGGCCTACCTGGAGAACCACCTGGGAAACCAGCCAATCGTACACTCATGTCAGCTTCTCGCCAGGGAGAACATTTATGGCTTCCAAGGCAATAATAAGAGCCCCTTCATCAAGATCACTGTCACAGACCCGAAATTTATCCCGAGAGTGCGCGCCGCATTCGAGAAGGACGAGGTGAATTGGAGAGGAATGTGGAAAGGAGTCGATGGCGGCATAATGACATTCGATAATTTGCAATACGTCTTGCGATTCATGGTCGACTGCAAAGTATGTCCGCCTCTTGCGATCTCAAGCAGGATTCGTTTACTGACTGTTGCTCTAGCTTCCTGGCATGTCATGGGTAGAGGCCCCCGCCAAATCATACCGCCTCATCTCGGAGAACGAGCGGCAGTCGAGTTGTCAAATCGAGGCCGAAATTAGCTACACGAAACTGATTTCCCACGAACCGAAGGGCGAATGGTCCAAGATGGCGCCGTTGCGGATCCTGTCGTTCGATATCGAATGTGCTGGGCGGAAAGGCATCTTTCCGGAGGCCAACCACGATCCCGTAATCCAGATTGCCAACATCGTGACGCGCTACGGAGAGAGCAAACCGTTCGTTCGAAACGTATTCTGTCTAGAGAAGACAAGTCCCATCGTAGCTACAGAAGTGCTCGCGTTTAACAGGGAGGAAGACATGCTCATATCTTGGAAGAGGTTTCTCGACAAGGTCGACCCCGACCTCATCACCGGCTACAACATTTGCAACTTCGACTTCCCGTACCTCCTTAATCGCGCGAAACATCTCAAAGTCGGTGGCTTCGAGTATTGGACCCGCTTGCCGAACGTCAGATCCTTCTCCAAAGACTCTAATTTCTCGAGCAAGCAAATGGGAAATCGGGACACAAAAGTCACCAACACGAACGGGCGACTGCAGCTCGACCTCCTGCAGCTCATCCAGCGGGACCACCACCTCCGAAGTTATACCCTTAACTCGGTGTGTTCGCATTTTCTGGGGGAGCAGAAGGAGGACGTCCACCACACGATGATCACTGAGTTATTCAACGGCACGCCCGAATCCAGGCGACGACTGGCAGTGTACTGTCTGAAGGATGCCTACCTGCCCCAGAGGCTGATGGACAAGCTCTCTTGCCTTGCGAACTATACAGAGATGGCTAGAGTCACGGGAGTCCCGTTTAACTATCTTCTCTCCCGAGGACAGCAGGTCAAGTTCATGAGCCAGCTATTTCGAAAAGCTCAAGAACAGGGTCTCGTGATTCCAAATATGAAGTCGGACGGCTCCGAGGAACAATACGAAGGCGCTACCGTTATCGAGCCCATTCGTGGTTACTACGACGTGCCAATTGCGACTCTCGATTTCGCGTCGCTGTATCCTAGCATCATGCAAGCGCATAACCTCTGCTACACGACGCTGGTGAACAAGAGGGCGATAGAAAGATTCGGCCTCAAGAAGGACGAGGATTATATCGTCACGCCTTGCGGCGACACGTTTGTCACGGTCAAGCAACGGAAAGGTTTGCTCGCCCAGATCCTCGAAGAGTTGCTCACGGCGAGAAAGCAGGCCAAGAGGGAACTGGCCGTGGAGACAGATCCTTTTAAGAAAGCCGTCCTCAACGGTCGCCAGCTTGCTCTGAAAGTCAGCGCCAACAGTGTGTACGGGTTAACGGGTGCGACGACGGGAAAGCTGCCCTGCCTAGAGATTGCCAGCAGCACCACCAGCTACGGCCGGCAGATGATTGAGAAGACGAAGGCCGAGGTCGAGAAGAGGTATAACATCGCCAACGGATACACACACAACGCCCAGGTCATCTACGGCGACACTGATTCCGTCATGGTAAAATTCGGGACGAAGGACCGAGCCGAGGCGATGAGGCTCGGGGAAGAGGCAGCAAATTACGTCTCGGAAAAATTTGCCAAGCCGATCAAGCTCGAGTTCGAGAAGGTCTATTTCCCGTATCTACTCATCAACAAGAAGCGATATGCTGGCCTATTCTGGACGAAGCCGGACAAATTCGACAAGATGGATACCAAGGGTATCGAGACGGTCAGGAGAGACAACTGCCTCCTGGTGCAGACGGTGATCGAGAAGGTGCTCCGGATGATATTAATCGAGGAGGATGTCCAAGGAGCCCAAGAGTATGTGTCCCTTTCCCCCGGCCCTTTCCCCCGCCTTTTACCCAGTCAGGATGGCGTGGTGTTGACCCGTTTTGCAGTTACGTCAAGGATACCATCGCAGACTTACTACAGAACAAAATAGACATGTCTAAGCTTGTGATCACGAAGGCGCTTACCAAAGAAAGTTACGACGCCAAGCAGGCCCATGTCGAGCTAGCGAACCGCATGAAGAAGCGAGACGCTGGTTCGGCGCCTGGGCTGGGTGATCGAGTGGCGTACGTCATGGTCAAGGGGGCAAGCGGGTCGAAGAATTTCGAGCGCTCGGAAGATCCCATCTTCGTGCTGGAGAACAACGTGCCGATCGACACTAGGTACTACCTGGACAACCAGCTGGCCAAGCCGCTCGGCCGTATTTTCGACAGCATCCTGGGCGAGACCAAGTCGAAGTCGCTCCTCACGGGCGACCACACGCGGTCCATCTCGGTGGCGGCGCCGACGGTGGGAGGCCTGATGAAGTTCACGAAGAAGACGATGACGTGCATGGGGTGCAAGAAGCCTCTGACGAGCAAGGAGGAGAGCAGCGGGGCGGTCTGCGCCGACTGCGGGCCGCGCGTGGGCGAGCTCTACAAGAAGACGCTGGACCACGTCTCGGACCTCGAGGTGCGGTTCGGGCGGCTGTGGACGCAATGCCAGCGCTGCCAGGGCAGCGTGCACTGCGAGGTGATCTGCAGCAGCAAGGACTGTCCCATCTTCTACATGCGCATGAAGGCCAAAAAGGACGTCGAGGACGCTAGCAAGGAGCTGAAGCGGTTCGACTTCGACCAGTCGGCCATATGGTAGGTAGGAGAGAGGGCTGGGTACGCATCCCACCCAGGTCCGAACCGGCCGGCGGTGCCCGGGTCGAGAGAGAGAGAGAGAGAGAGGTATTGCTACGTAATGGCAGGCCAGGTATGGAGAAGTGCATGGAGGCGGAGTTTCGGGTCGATTTGGGTGTGTTTCTCTCACGCACACGCGCCCGCCCGCCGGGTGGCTGTGGGGAACGGTTGTAGTAAATAATCTAGCACGATGGGACGAGGAGGCCGTACACGGCAGCACGCTACTACGTGCTCCGAGGGATCCCAGACAAAATATATGTACATGTAGTTGAATCTGCTGGCTGGGGGGGTGCGCGCTCGCTCGCTCGATGTCACGTTTTGGCGTTGTTCCACGTAGGAAAAAGGGGGCTAAGGGGGGGGAGAGAGAGAGAGAGGCCGAGGTGGTCCGATCCCGAGTGGTGCCGATTTCGCGAGGATGAAAATGAGCCGGAAGAGAGCTGGTCTCCATTACGCAACAGTTATGCTGGTCGGGCCTATGGATGGATCGACATTTGCGACGAGGCCTGTCCTGCAGGGTCTGCGGTGCTGGGCCCCAAGGCCTTGGCAGGGTCGTTCCGCGAACGGCGGCGCTTTGGAGGGGGGGGAGAATATCTGAGCCGGCCCTTATAAGCGCGAAGGACGGTCTGGCGACTAGGGGGGGACTCGAGCAATCCGTTGACGTGAATGCTGATGTCGTCGCAAACTGCGCGGGCGAATCAACGGCCGCTGATAAGATGCCGCAGCTCTCTGACGAACGACCTGCGAGCGAGCGGTTAAGCTTCACGTCTGTCCATGCCTCGTCCGGGCCACGATCGCTACCCTGCCGCAGCGCGGTTCCGCTGGCCCTCCTGGTTGGCTCTCGTGGCACGATTCAGCTCTAGATCCTCTCCCCCCCACGGGGACCACACATGGCTTGGCTTCGCCGTAGCAACAGCAGGAAACCCGCCTCCGCCACCGGTCTGTCTGTCGTCTCTCGCTTTCGCGTCGACCCTGTACGTAGTAGGCACATAGGCACGCGCACACGCACGCACATAACACGTACATCGCTCTCCCCGAGCTAGCTCTTACGACCTAGCGGGATCGAACCAAAGTAACGCGTCGACATCTCCGTACCCCCCGCTCCCCCCCTCCCTCTTCTGTCCCTGCCTCCCTCCCGGTAGCCTAGTACAAAATATGTCGACGCGGGTGGCATGTGACAGGTCCTCTATGCGGTTCATATATCTCACCTATGAGGTAGCCGCGTCTGCGCCAATCGCCCGCTCGAGTCCCCGAGGGGTCCAGGCCGACAACGCTCTCGAGTTCGGACCTGCGGCGGAACAGGATGACTGAGGCATAAACCATCGCGTCCCATCGAGCGCCGGAACAATGGCCTCAGCGTGGCGAGGGCCAAGAAAGCAAGCAGTACGGAGGGGGAAAACGCGAGCAAGCAATCAGTCGGGAAACGTTACCGTGACATAAGGCAACCCCCCCCCACATCTTTCGACCCAGACAGGCGAGGCTACGTGCAAGCTTGCCTCCTCCTGATTAGCGAATTATTGCTGTCATCGAAGATAGAACTAGCTCACCCTCCCCCTCCCCCCTAGGAAAGCACTGTACGGGATGACAAACACACGGGCAAGCGAGCCATGATCGGCAGATTCAACCACCTGGGCAAGTGGGAGCACCGATGACGGTCCTCGCTGGCCTCCTCCTGGCCCTCTCCCGGTCCGTCCTAGCCGTGGCCGCTCGAGCATATAATGCCTCAGCCTGGCCTCCATCTTCCTCCGTAGTTCTGTTTTTGACCTTTTCTAGGCCCCCCTAAAAATTCGCATGCAACCCGTCTCGCGAAGACGCTCTCACGGCTCATCGACGATACCCCCCCTTTCTTTACTCTCATCACCGCTTCACCCACTCACCTCTATTTGCCATTGGCAGGTTGCGAGGCACGCGCTCTCCGAGGTAACCAAGGAAGAGGAAAATCAGCTCTACTGATCGATACCCGTTGCCCCCTCCTTACGACCGAGCCTCCTACTACGTCGTGAACCCCGTTCGTGTAATCATGTCTCACCTTGCGGCGGAGCCCGAGTTCGAGCAGGCTTACAAAGGTAAGGTTGATTTTTGGCGAAGTCGGGGCGGGCTGGCGGCTTGGCCGGGCACGGCAGACGTGGGACTGACGAGAAGGGAAACAAAACAGAGCTCGTAGCCACGCTCGAGGACAGCACGCTGTTCGAGGAGTACCCCGAGTACCGAACCGCGCTCAGCGTCGTCTCCATCCCCGAGCGCGTCATCCAGTTCCGAGTCGTCTGGGAGGACGACAAGGGCAACCTCCAGGTGAACCGCGGATACCGCGTGCAGTTCAACTCAGCTCTTGGCCCGTACAAGGGTGGTTTGCGATTCCACCCCACCGTGAATCTGTCGATGTGAGGGGACCCCTTTTTTCCTTTTTTGCTGACTTGGCTCCAAGACCACATACGACCACTGGAAGAGAGAGGGGGGAATAAAATAGAAAACCACCTAATTTTTCAGTCGAGTGGAGAAGAAAAGAAAGAGAAAGATTTGCAATGAAAAATATTGAAAAAAAGGAAAAGTCGGACAAATCGGACTAGCCGTGCTAACATGTATTGATCAACAGCCTAAAATTCCTTGGCTTCGAGCAGATCTTTAAGAATGCCCTAACAGGACGTAAGTTCACACCCCCGCCACGAGAGGAGAAGAGAAAGCAGATGAAAAATAAGAAAATGATAAAAAAAATGAGACATGTTGCGTAGGAAGGAGGATATTGGACGCTATGCTGACTTTCCCCCCTTCTCTCGTGCGTAGTGAGCATGGGCGGCGGCAAGGGAGGCGCCGACTTTGACCCCAAGGGCAAGAGTGACAACGAGATCCGACGATTCTGCGAAGCCTTCATGCGGAGGCTGTGCCAGCACATCGGCGCCGAGACCGACGTGCCTGCCGGCGACATCGGCGTCGGCGGCCGCGAGGTCGGCTACATGTTCGGCACCTACCGCAAGGAGAGGAACAAGTGGGAGGGCGTGCTCACCGGCAAGGGCCTCAGCTGGGGTGGCAGCCTGATCCGACCTGGTATGTGCTATTGTGGTTCCCCCTTTTCTCCCACCCCCCACCTCCCCCACCGCAGTCCACTCAGCGAGGGAGCTCCCTCGGGCCAGCGAACGAGTCTGCGGGAACACGGTTGGGCTAATTAACGGTTCTCACCTGTAGAGGCCACCGGCTACGGCCTCGTCTACTACGTGGAGCACATGATCGCGTACGCGGGCAAGGGCAGCTTCCAGGGAAAGCGGGTGGCGATCTCGGGGTCGGGCAACGTGGCGCAGTACACGGCGCTCAAGTGCATCGAGCTCGGTGCGACCGTGGTGTCGCTGTCGGACTCGACGGGGTCGCTCATCGCCGGCGGCGACAAGGGCTTCGCGCCGGCGGACGTGAACGCGATCGCGGCGGTGAAGCTGGACCGGCAGCCCATCACCCAGTATAGCGGCGCGGCCGCGTTCCGGTTCGTTCCGGGGGCCCGGCCCTGGCGCCACGTCGGCCGCGTCGACATCGCCCTGCCGTGCGCGACGCAGAACGAGGTGGACGAGGAGGACGCGCACACACTCGTGCGCAACGGCACCCTGTTCGTCGCCGAGGGCTCCAACATGGGCTGCACCCAGGCCGCCATCGACGTGTTCGAGGACGCGCGCCGCGGGGCCAAGGCTGGCAAGGCTAACGGCGTGCCCAAGGCTAACGGTCACGCCAACGGTCACGCCACTAACGGAGACGCCGCCAACGGCAGCAGCATCGCGGCCGAGCCAGTGTGGTACGCGCCGGGCAAGGCGTCGAACGCGGGTGGTGTCGCAGTGTCGGGGCTGGAGATGGCGCAGAACAGCAGCCGGTTCAGCTGGACGGAGGAGCGGGTGGACGAGCGGCTGAAGCAGATCATGAAGAACATCTTCGACCAGAGCATCGGCAACGCGAAGCGGTACGTCAAGGCGGAGGTGGAGCAGGCGGCGCCGCTGCCGAGCCTGGTTGCCGGCGGCAACATCGCCGGCTTCCTCAAGGTCGTGCAGGCCATGCACGACCAGGGCGACTGGTGGTGAGCGAGGCCGTCGCGAGAGAGAGAGAGAGGCGGGAGTTTGGGATGGGGGGGGGGGGAGACGCACGCACGCGCGCGCGTGTATGTATATGTGTGTAACGGATTAAGGCGCTGGCAAGGCGTACGGACGGACAGATAGGGGAAGGCGGCGAAGGGAGGAGAGAAAGGAATGGCCTCGGGGCGAGTGCGTCCGATGCGCACGCTCGCCTCTAACCTGGCCACCGAGGGGAGGCCTCATACGACAACGGGCTCTGAGCGAGAAGGACACGAAGGTGGAAGGATTCCGTTGTGTTCGCGGCACTCAAACGAGGGTGTCGAAGGATATGTCCATCTCTGGACAGGCACGCGTTGCACTGCAGGCGAGATAGAACCGGCAAGGCAATGCATGGGGGCGCGTTGTGTCTTTTTTTTTCTCTTCTTCTTTTCCTAGTTGTGGCTGCGAGGGCCTACGCGGCTGGCGTTTCTTTTTTCGGGATTTGCAGGCCGCACTCTGGGGTCGTGGCGAGGACCCCCCGCTCCGTCTCCTGTCTCGACTGCAGATAGAGACCAGAAGGATCTGCCTCCGCCCCCGTCCTCCCCCCTTCAAGGGTGATTGGCTCCCCTTCGCGCAATTCGATGCTAAATAGGGACGGGAAAAGGGGGTAAAATGGGGGCGGGAAGACGGAGGAGGGGAGAGGAATCGGAACGCGCACGCGAGACGGGCGAGCGGGAAGAAGGTCTACCCGAGAGAGCTGGATACGCCGGCCCTATTTGGCCTATGAGAGGTCGAGAGGCGACGACACGCACGCATACACGCCCTCGCACGCAACCGCCGTGAGACGACAGGCACATACGATGGCGAGGGGAAGCGGAAGGGTGGCGTGTCGGTGTCGGCACGATATACTTAGGACTGTGCCTGGATCCCTCACGGACCCCACGTCCCGACATGGACTTTGTCCGGTCTCTCTGATTCCCTCTCCGCCTCTATCCCTCGCTCTCATCGTTTTACTCCTGTGGGGGAAAGATGTCCCTCGGTCAGTCGCTCGTGATGATGTTATGGCGTCCGGAAGGATCGCTGATAGGACGCACACGCCCGCGACCTGCACGGGATTCCTGCACAGCTATCTGCCGATCTCTATTACTAGCCCGTGTCCATCCACCGCTCACCCCCTCCCCGGTTCTACCTCCTTACATCCAGGAAGGGGGCACTACCGCCGGGCGGACGCGGATCGAGGCTGGCTGACTGTCTAACGGGAGCGCCGGGCGGGGCTGCGCGGGCTGACGGATAGGTACCTAGACGCGTGCATGCATGCATCTCGCGTGCACGTATACGACGTATATATGTATGCGGCCGGTAGTTTAGCTGGTAGCAGCAGCACACGGGAGCAGCAACGTAGCGAGTTAGCGCGCCGTCGCTGTTGTCCTGACGAAGGAATAATGAAGATTTTCTTTTCTCGGTTGCCTCCCCCCCTTCCTCTCCCCCACTCGCTTAGCTCCCTCCACCCCCATTTCTCCCTCCCGCAGTCTGTGTAACCACCTTCTCCCCCCCTTCTCCTCTCTTCTTTCTTGGCAAAATAGATGACCGTGTGGAAACGTTGTTCGTTCTCGGGTAGAGTGACCAAGACACCTCACGGTAGGGGCAGGGGCGATGGCGATGGCGAGAGGACGGCGAGATAGAGGAGAAAGGGCGGCGGACACAGGATCAGAAGAGAGAGGATCGGCGAGGAGGGGGGTGGTAGCGGGAGCGTAGACCAACTTAGCGGGTGTGTAAGTGTGGACGGACGGGGGGAGATAGGTATGTGGTACATGCCTCTCTCTCTCAGCCCTTCCCTTCTATCCTTTTATCGGCCTTTTACCACACACGGAGACACGCTTGCAGACCTTGAAGACAGCGGGGGGCTCGCCACGAGGTGTGGTAGGGAGCGGCGAACTGCCAGAGTTAGCTCGGTACCCATTCATAGATATCACGTTGGGAGGGGGGAATGGGTAGCATGCATGGACGCATACGCATATGTATGGATGCACATATATGTGCATGCGTACCACATTGGGAGAGTAGGGGACAGGAGGCGAGATGGATGGCGACGGCGGATGTGATACATGACGGCACGGCGCCGCCCTCGCTCGCGCGCTCTCCGCGCTAAGCGAACTCGCAATGCTACCCGGCACAGCACAGCACAACGGGACTGGCGGCCCCCCCCGCCCTGCCCTGCCTTGCCCTATTCTACCTTACCTAGGCATCGGAGGAGAAGGGGGAGCAGGAGTGTCGGGGTGTCGGGATCTCTAGACGAGTATATCTAAGGGAGCTACTTGGCTTCGCACACTGTCATGCCGCATTGGTAGATGCCGTTTGTTGATCTTAAGCACGCACGTGTGCTTGTGTGCATAGGCACATGTCTTGCTAGATTGAGACATTGGGCCTATACATATGGGTGTGTCGACGGTGCTCCTACGTGTGTGCAGCGTGAAGATCGACTAGGTGCTAGTCTTGGTATTGGCGTCGACGCGACCACCCCTACGTCTCGGGGGGGTTAGCTCATCGGCTGGGTGAGGACGACGCCGCCTTGATGAGACGACGGCGACGATTCTCTTGCCAGCGAAAATTGCTTGGTAGGCGGCACTTCGGGCGTGGAGAGCTAGCGAGGCTCGATCCGACCCGCGGCCACTGGACAGCCCAGTTCGATAACGTGTGCATGTACAACGCACGCAGGTGTGTAGTGCTTTGCTTTAGCGGGCAGCGAATGGGTTAAGAGAGGGGGAGGGTTGGGGGGAGTGGGTGTGCGCCGGTGTCGCGCGATAAACGCGCGCGTGGGCGAACATAAATGAATAGACGACCCGGAACAACCGAGGGGGTGGCTCGGAGAGGGTTGTTACCGGCTTGCCTGCATGCTTATACGCATATACCCCAGTATGTAAGAGCATGGGGGACTATGGCCGTCTACCGGGTCCGATATTTGGGGGAGGTGAGGCCGGCAATGTAGCAAGTAGTATGCGTGTGCCATGGGTATGCAGGTATATGCATGTTATGTAGGTGTGCATATGGATGTGTGCTGCATCGGGTCAGCGTGTAGAGAAGCGCAAGGCATCATCTGCCTAATAATACGCGACTGCGTAGGTGGTTATAATGCATGCAGTATACCTACTTAGGGCCGTAGGGGCATGCAATATTAGAACAGGCCTAGCTACTCGTCGTGCTGCCGGCGTGGGTATCGGGCGTAGGGCTGACTGTGTCTACACGGTCAACGAGGCGATGCTCGTCTTACCTAAAGCGACGCTGGTTTGGCCTGCCGACGACGAGGCGCTCTCCTGGCCAGGTATACGATCGATCTATCTAGGCTGCGGGTTGGCCCCGAAGTAGCTTAGGTGGCCGGGTCACGACCCCGATGTGGCCGAGGTTGCATGAAGTGTACACCATCGGTAGCTAAGAGAGAAGATATGGGCATCGATCAGCGTAAGAGCCGTGATATGGATTGTAAGCACAGGAGGCAAGCCGCCTCTATCACGACAATTGTTCCGACGGAAATTCTGGGTTAGGCTTTTGAAACTACCTACCTATAAGCCGTGGCAGTTCCAGCATATTGTAGGCGCCTTGGAATGACGGATAACCCGACCGACCAACATCGTCATTTGGACATACCTCGAGCTTACTGGTCGTCCTTCAACCGGGGGCGGACGGCGCCTCGTCTAGAAATATCTCCGGCCTGTATCGTGGAGTCTCAGATAAATCTGGGGAGAGGCTTGCCATGGTGGATCAAGCCGTTCTCGTGTGCCGTAAGCTGAATTTTGGTACTCGACCCTGCCTCGGGGGGTACCAAAGGACGGCGATAATGCGATCCTGCATACAGATAGGAGGGGCCAGGACGTAGGCCGGGTTACCCTCCGATCATATGGCTTTTACTAGTCGTGGATTCTGCTGTAGATTGGCTTGAGAGTGTTAAAGAGATATTACCTCTACCCCAAATAGAGTAGTAGTAGTACCACTTCTTCTTTTTGGTTATCCCGTCCACTGTCCGCCGTCGAATGTGCGAGCCTCGTAGCAACCAACGGGCGGGGGGGGGTCCACCCGGTCCGTCGATGAACGACATTTGCCTGCCGCGTTGCACGAATACCCACAGCCACTCACGCCCCGCCAGCACAACAAATATGGTGCCGACGGTGGTGTCCGGGGGGAGCAGGCGGGTGTGCTCGCCGTCTGGGACGTGGGTGTTATCCGAAGAAGTAACCCAACTCGGACGCCGCTAATCCGGATTCTGGCCGGCATGTCTATATTTGACCGAGTCCTGGGGACGGGCGGTTCGTCGGACCAGTCCTTGCTAAGAGATGGACGGGTTCAGAGGCCGTCGCACGGCTAGTCGTGTAGAAGTTACGCGGATGACCTCGCCGATAAGACGGCTGTGACGGTGATGCGGCGCCTCTACGGCCTAAACGAGGTGGGCGACCCGATCTGCTGTTCTGTCTCAGAAGAGGCGAGACACGCAGAGAGACGGGTGAGACAGACCGGGAGCACAACGGCAGGGGGGAGCAATGGCCATGTCGCTCTCGCGCCCTGTTGCCACTTACCACATCGTATCGCATTGTGTCGGGAGAATGTACGTGCGATGGAGAGGTAGATGGCTGAGCAGCATGCCGACGATGGCTAAGAGGAGAGAGGGTGGATGGGGGGACGATTTCGAATTTCCCCTCCGCCTACCTCTAGAGGTACCTACCTACCTGGTAATGTTAGGCACTTCATGGACGTACCTACCTCTTACCTTCATATATAGGTACCTCCTATGCATAGGTATCAGGTACCTACCTCCAATGTACCACACCGAACGTGCCTCGCTATAAGTCGATACATGCACACACCGACCTGATGGGGAGAGCTACCTCCGAGCCTATGAATGGGTTCAATTGAATACAAAACATAACGGTACCTACCTACCTAGGCATTACATAACGTTGCAGTGATGTCATCATAGCTGCGGGCTCCAACTGGACCGTTACACTATACGTATGGTCGGGCGGTACACCTAGGCAGGTACCTAACCCTAGGAACCTGACGCCCCAGGACAGCGACGCCATGCCGTTCACCGCGGCTCTTTTAATAAATTACTCTCGACTTGCTGATCCCACGTCTGAACCGTCACAGCTTCCGCCCGCCCGTACCTTATCTGGACGGGGTGGCACCGCAGGTAGGCTGGACACTCGAAGACGGGCAAGCCTGCTCCGCAAGATTCCGGCCTATGAGTGTATTGCCCCCAAGCTTCCGACGGAGGGTTGGCTCGATGCGTGGATGAACTCTTCGCCTCTCGACCGGTTAGGAAGACGGGCCAAGCGAAAGCAAGGGGTAGTAAGCCAGGGCAGTCAGACTCGCGGTGCGCCTGTCTGATGTTATCACGACACGGTGGATCGCTGCAGCGGCCCATTCCCTCCTCAACCAGCTGCGGGCAACCGAAGATTCCGACAAGGTGACGCCGAGCTGGCATTGGTCCCAACTCGCGATCTTATCGGGCACAGGCTCGTGATGCCAGCTCCTAATCCGGAATTTGCTATCCGGCTGAGCCGGCCGTCCCGTCTCGTTCTCTTCTGCGACCCTCGCCAAGGTACCATAGCCGCTGGACTCGGCGGCCTGACTTCGTAGCACCCCTTACCTAGGGGTGGTACGTGCCGCTTACCGTGGACTCGCCATTCTCCAATCCTAATTCTCGCCAGCGTAGGTCTCCCGTCCGAATGGCTTACCGAAGTGGTCGCCTTGATCCTCTCGAGGTTCGTTTGGCGAATACTAATCCCCGATTGGGCGGTGACCACTTCAGCCCTAAATCCTTCAACACTTAGAATAGCCAGCCGGCTTGGCAATCGTGTCTTGCCCGTGCTGGCGCTGGCGCTGGCGCTGGCGCTGCTGGAGGTTTTAGAGTACTGCCATCTCTAGCACGCTATTAAAAGATGCGAGGTGTGCCGTACCTTGCATTCGTAGGCACGAGGCATCCAGATTTATCGTCAACGGTCGACCTTCTCAATTGTTATTGGACAGGCGCTTTACATGGTACACACCATCTCCCTCCTTCTGTTTCTCCGTCTCTCCTCTCTTCTTCCCCCAATGTGTGTTTCATATGGTGGCTGGATCCTCGAAACGGCCTATCAACGCTAACCGGCAGGCTCTGGGGATTCGGCGACGTCAGCGCAACCGGAGATCGGGCGGAACAGGCAGAACAGGCGGGGACGGGTCGCGGGCTGTGAGGTCGAGTATGGATCCCCAGACGCATACCCGGGTTGACGAGCCACGAAATTGGGGCTATAGAGAAACTATAGACCCCTTGTATAGAACCATGGCGACATGGGTATGATGGAATCGCGTCTACCTAAACCGCCCAATTGGGGAGCCCAAGGTGACTCTGCAATACGACTATGAGTATTCATATGGGTGTGTGTCCATACATAGGTACCTCCGTGTGTCCACAGTCGAGACCGAGACCCAGAGCACGCGGGCTTCTTCCGAAGGTCGTTCATTGACCAATCAACGGCTGCGACCCCGATGCGTCGACGACGAAAGGAGAAATGAAGAGCTGGGCAGATCGTCGATTATTGGATCCCGAGCGGGACGGCAAAGCCACTTGCTTCAACCCTTCCCTGCGCTCCCCGCCTCGTCGATTTATTGAAAGAATTGATTCATCTGTCGCAATACCCTCGTCCGCCTCCCTGGACCTGGAGAGGGACCTGGAGGGAGAGAGGACCCAAACGGGAACGGCCGCCTGTGTGCGTCCGGCTCGTTGGCCGGCGAGCGCGTAGGTAGGTATGTTGCATCTACCTATACCTACGTACACACGTAGCCCATACTTACCTATATTACCTAGGTACGTACGCGCGTTGTATGAGGATGCGTGTGTGTATGGAAACGGATGGGCAGGCTGGTTGTGTACAATGCCGAGACCGGTGCAGATGACGCTATACATACGTGTATGTATGCTCACCCCGTTGCCAGTTATCGAGCCGTACGCACTAACGTACACCTACTACTTAACCAAGTCGATTCAATCAACACTGGGCCGTCTACACGTTCACACCTACGTAAAACACACCATCGGGGTTCCATGTCGATGAGCATAGTCCGTTCCCTTGGGTTCTTCCCTCTCCCCTGCTAGGGCTCACGCCCCCCCCACCAGGTACCTTGCTCAAAGTCATCTCCAATCCTTGTCTTTCATTGCCTCTTGTCGAGCGGATTTCGCTTTTGGTTAGCTTCATCCTCTTTTGTCGTTCAGCTGCCTAGTGTGTCCGTACCGCCAATTATTGGACATCGCCCGAGCTACCCTCTAGTACCCAATGGCGGCGGGAGACGGCAGAGCTATCATCATTACTATGTGGTATCCGAGGGTTACTAGTATATGAGCTGACGATCAGGTTCAGCCCTGCCTCAGCGGCGAGAGGCCTGCGCCTCCCCGGTCTCTTACACTTGCATTAGCTCCTCTGCAAGGTGAGCGCTGTGTTCTTTCGCGTGCAATCCCAGCCGTCGTGAAGCCCAGATCCCACACCCCTCGACCCTCCACCTTTCTATAACTCATATTCACATTCCTAATACAACAAAGCTCTACGGTTGAAAGGCGGCCTCGAGCTTGGCTAGAGGTCTTAGTGCTTCGAGGCATGTAGGTATATGAAGCCGCTGCCGTGTCGAGAGTAAGACTAGTTTCCCACTACCCGGTGTTTGACCCTCGTCGCCTAAACACTCTCCTTCCTCACCCCTCCTCTCCTCTATCCTACTTGCCCATCTTTTAAGGCTTCGGTCTATATTGGGTCCGACTCTCATTCTTGAACGTTTCTTAACCACCGACTCTTTCGCTCTTGGAACACGTTGGCCGACCCAGACCCGACTAACGTAGCCGGCCCGTGCCGAGGCTAGTCTTGATATCGGTATTAGCCAGTCGAATCCTCTCCGTATCCACAATGCCATCAGTAATTTCTGATGTCACGGTCACCGCTGCTGATGCTGCGAGCGTCGTCGGGCCTGAAGTGCCATCCAAGAACGGGCGTTTCAGGAAGCTCACTAATAGCGCGACCTGGCATCCTGGCACTCATGATCACCCTAGGAGCTCGAGTCCTTCGGGTAGCTCTACCGACTCTATGAACCAAAGCTTCAACGTAAACGTCGGGGACGGATGGGACCGACCTATTCCCAACGGCGTTTTCGGCGCTTATGAAACCGAGGCGGGGGGGCCGCGGTCTCGCGCCTACGCCAGGATACAGACTTGGGGAGACGACCCTAAGACAGCACAGTTCCCTCGCATATCAAAGAGCGTGGAGCTTATGCGCCACTCCTATGACTGCGTTGTCATCGGCTCTGGGTATGGCGGTGGCGTCGCCGCGTCTCGTATGGCCCGTGCTGGCGAATCCGTGTGTCTGCTCGAACGCGGCAAGGAGCGATGGCCTGGCGAGTATCCCGAGGACACAGGTGACGCCATGAAACAGGTCCACTACTCCGGCGAGTTCACGCCCAGATGGCTACCCGGGAAGGTCGTTGACGGTGGCGATCCTACCGGCATGTTCCACCTGATATTCGGTAACGGCCAAAGCGCTGTCGTCTGCAACGGTGAGATGCCGTCCTCCCCATTCACAGCTTATACTAGGGCTAACGGCGATGCAGGCCTCGGGGGTACTAGTTTAATAAATGCCAATGTGTATCTGGAGGCGGATGATGAGACTCTCCAACAGGAAGCATGGCCAAAGGAGATAAGGGATCGCAAAGGCTGTCTGAAGCGATGTAAGTTTCCCCGATTTCCCGAGATGTTTAGAGAGGTACGAAGGGGAGGGGAGAGAGCTGGTACCGCCTTATACTACAAGGAGAAATACTAACACCGCTAAATTAGACTATGAAAAGGCAGCCGAGGTCCTAGAACCAGAGACGTACCCTGAGGACTGGCCAAAATTACCGAAGCTTGAACTCCTCAAGAAACAGGCAGCTTGTTTGAGTATGGAAGACAAGTTTAGACGGGTGAGGCAGACTACACGATTCCGGAACGGGCCAAATAGTTGTGGCGTAGAGATGTCGCCTTCGGCTCTCACCGGCCAAGATTGCACCGGGTTAAACGACGGCTCGAAGAATACCACTCTCGTCACTTATCTAGCCGACGCGTGGAATTGGGGAACTGATATGTTCTGCGAAGTGGAGGTGCGATACATTGCCAAAGCCCCCAGTAACCAACCCGGGTACATCGTCTACTTCGCTTGGCATGGTCGCAATCGTGGTCATTTCAAGGCCAACCTGCACGGCGACCTTATGTGGGTTCACGCGAGGAAGGCCGTGTTTCTCGGCGCCGGCGCCATTGGTACTACCGAGATTCTCCTCAGAAGCAGAGACATGGGCCTCGAGTTGAGCGACAAAGTCGGCCAGAATATGAGCGGGAATGGCGATATATTTAGCTTTGGGTATGTCACCGCGATAATGCCGTGCCGAGTTCTTGATTTTAACCCATTTATAGGTATAACGTAGACGACGAAGTGAACTCGATGGGGAGACCGTTCCCGTCTCCTTACCACCCTATCGGGCCCTGCATTACCGGCATCATCGACAATAGAGAAGGCCATGATAACCCTCTAGACGGCTACGTGATCGAGGAAGGCACCGTCCCGGCAGCCCTCGCGCCGTTCTTGCAAGCCATGCTTGAGCTATTGCCTGGGAGTATCGAACCGACGGGAGAAGGCTTGGTTGACAAGCTGAAGGCGAATCTTGCTCGTGTTGGCAGCGCGGTCCTAGGTCCATACTTCCGGAAGGGGGCTATAGGGAAGACCCAAGTGTACCTGATCATGTCTCATGATAGTGAGTCCCCTTGACACCGAAATGTCTTAAATAGCCGGCTCATCTAACGAATTGCAGCCAACCAGGCATACCTGAGTTTGAAGAACGACAAGCCGGTCCTTGAGTTTATAGGCGTCGGTCGCAGCGATCACGTAGGATACCTAAAGCAAGTGCTAGAGAAAGCTACAAAAGCTGTTGGCGGGACATTTGTCCGGAATCCCTTCGACGCTTTGATGGGCGAGCAGCAAGTTACTGTCCACCCGATTGGGTAAGCGATCCGAGGCTGAATTCCCTACAAGGAACAAGATGCTGATACTCCCTAGCGGTGCCTGCATGGCTCGGGACGGAACTGGTTCCACTGGGGTCACAAACCACCAGGGCCAGGTATTCACCGGCTCGGGCACTGAGGTCCACTCGGGTCTCATCGTCACAGACGCAGCCGTCATACCAACTGCTCTTGGTGCGAACCCGCTTGCGACGATCACGGCTCTGGCCGAAAGATCCGTAGATCTCTACGCCAAGGAGAACGGGCTCGAGATCAAGACGACGAAGAATGAGACGCTCGATCTCTTCGGCTCGCCTCAACATTCGCACCATCGCAGCAACCGGGGGTGGAAAGACCGCGTCGAAGATACGCAGGAGAATGCCAAAATAATCAGCGCTCATACCACGATAGAGACTGCTCGTCGCATGAACGATGCCGGCTTCGGTTTTACGGAAGTCATGTCTGGCTATATCCATCGAGACAGAGGCCTCAAGCGTGACAACATCGACACCTACGAGTTGGCAGCCAGGACGGCGAAATCCCTCTCCGAAACGGCACGATTCTTCTTGAGCGTGCAGTCCTTCAACATCCGATCGATTGTACACGACCCCAATCACAAGGCGCTGCTGACCGGCACCTTCGTCTGTCCCACCATTGAGGGATCTCCTTTCATGGTCCAACGGGGCGATTTCAACTTGTTCTTACTCGATCGCAAGGCACCCGGGACGCGAAATCTAACGTACGACTTCGACATGCGCGGCATAAACGGAAGGAAACTCCATTTCCATGGATACAAGGTCGTCGACTCCTCGGTCGCATTGTCGCCGGCTCAGTTCTGGAGGTCGACTACCACCCTCTACGTCACCATCACCGAGCCTCTGCCAGAGTCCCTGCGCCGATGCGCCGACGCGGACGAGTGTGGCCTCCTGGGGGATATAGTTGCGAGAGGCATCATGCGTATCCGACCTGAGGACTTCGTGTCTGAGGCCATGACCCTCACCCCTACCGGCAGCAGCCTCCTCCAGAAGGCGATAAGCGCAGGCAATTTCCTCACCTTCTTCACGCGGAAGTCATTGTCACTTCTCCTTTCGCCGCTCACGCCGCTGCAATACCCTAGCCAGACCTACACCGGATTCGTAAACAACACACCGCCGACCACGACATACAAGATCAAAGCGCGAGACGGCGTCGTTACCAGCCTACATATGTGGGAGCCCGAAAACCCCATGATCGAACCTAAGAATTTGTTCATGGTCCCCGGCGCTTCGGTCGACCACCAGATCTTCGCGCTCCCCACCATCCGGTACAATGCCGTGAACTACTTCCGCCGCGCCGGCTATCGTATATTTGTGCCGGTACACCGTATCGGTATGTTGATGGTGGCGCAGGACGACTGGACGACCTTTGATGCGCGCCTCGACCTCAAGGCCTGCTTGGAGAAGATACGAGGGGACTTCCCCGGCTCTGATGGGGAGCCCGAACCGACTTACATCATTGCACACTGCATGGGGAGCGTGGCGCTCTCTACCGGCCTCCTCGACGGTACCATACCCGGAAGCTGGGTCAAGGGATTGACCTGCAGCCAAGTGTTCATGAACCCTATATGGAACACGATGAACATGATCAAGATCATGGCGCTACCGATTCCCGCTGACCGCCTCTATCGACTTGTGGCGGGCGACTGGTTCAGTTTCAGCACGGGAAAGAATGACAGCCTTCTTCAGAAGGCCTTCAACGAGCTGCTGCGGCTGATGCCGGACGAGCGCAAGGAGCTCTGTAACAACGCGAGCTGCCACCGGTGCACCTTGGCGTTGGGGCGATGCTGGAACCATCGGAACCTCAACGAGGCGACGCACCGGCAGATCGACCGCTTCTTCGGGGGGGCGAGCATGACGCTGATGCACCTGCTGATGAAGCAGGGGGTCGCGGGCGGCGTGATGGGCAACGGGCCACTGTTCGAGCGGCTCGACACACTGGACAACATCCGCCGGCTCAAAGGGATCCCGATCATGCTATTCGTCGGACGTGACAATGCCGTGCTAAGCCCCGAGAGCACGGAGCGGACGTACGAGATTCTTATGGACGCGTTCGGGATGGGCAAGGGCGGCGGCGACAACATGACTGTCGCTGGGGCGTCCGGGGACGCCGCGGGCACGGGCAATACCGCAGGCAAGAGCGCGGGAATACGGTACCACCGGCGGGTCGTGCCCGGGTACGGGCACCTCGACTGCTGGATGGGGCGCAATGCTTGGAAGGACGTGTACCCGTTCGTCCGCGAGGAAGTCGACCGCGTGGTGCGCGGCGAAAAGTACCACTTCCACGAGCCGAACGACCACTTTAAAAGGCTAGTCGACAGCGGAAAGCTGCTGTACTAGAATCGAGGGCAGCACACATCTAAACGGGGTAGTATGCATACTGGATGGCTGGAGTTGTATGCGATATGTTAGAAGATGGGATGGTTAGACTGGAGTTTGGGGGCTTGGCGGCTTAGGGGGGAAATGGGGTTCCGGTGATATATACCCATTTGATATATCTATTGTTTTCATACCTGGTTAGCTTGATGCCGCCTTGAGAAACCGCAGCTTTCCCTCTTCCACCCGTGGTTAAAAGGACCAGGGGGAGACAGTGAGCCGCCTGTGTTCGTTACTGCCCGCCTCTGGGAATGATAATAAGGAAAAGATTGCGCGGGGCGTATTTTTGCCGATACCGTGATGGCCCTAGTGATTTCAGGTATACAACAGAGGTTTCTGGAGGGTTGGAGAGTTAAGTTGCCTCTTATATAATATTACCTCGGACGGTCGTCTAGACACCTAGGTAGTCGTTCTACCAGACCCCAGGCCCCCAACATGCAAGTTCTGAAACCTATCCAGACCTGCTTCATCCAGGCACGCAGTTAATATACTAAGGGAGATGCGATAGGCTGCGTTACCTCGGCTTTCTGGCTTGAGACATAGTAAGCGACCTGGGTTCTGTCCGACACATACTATAGGTAATCGATTTGCGCCACCAATACTTGTTGGGTGATGCTCATTGAGAATAGAAAGCAACGAATGGCCGGGCATATTTGATCCATCGAGCTTGCGAGCCACAAGCGCTTAGGATATGTTTCTCAATATTAGACGAGTTTGTAGTATACCTATATTACAATAAGGCCAAGCTCCACCCCCTCTTTGCTGTTGATAAAACTTGACCAAGTTTTACCGGCGACCAATCGACGCTTCTAGGTAGGTACGCTTGGTAGATTCTACGACCAATGTTCTTAGTGAGACATCGGCACTTTTTTTTTCTTCCAGCACCCTCCCCCTGAGGTCTTACCGCTTTTCTATCCTCTCCTGTCTAGCTGCCACCTCAGGCACAAGCGCGCGCTCTTCCAAGTTTCTATTCTATTCAGCGACTTACGCAACTTATCACTCAGGCCGCTTGGGAAGACAGATAGCGCGTGGCATGTGGTGGCAACTCGACAAAGACTCCCTGGGCTTGCGGAGAGTTGCTCGCTCTACGCTAGCAACACGAGTTGTTATCCGGTTATCACGGGGACTCACCAGCACTATACGGGACAGAGCCTTTAGAGACAGGTTTAGAGCTGAATATAATAGCATATAAGGGAAATGGCTCGTGATCCATACTCGCCTTTCTCCTTTTGTGCCAACCTGGTTAACCCAGTGGCTCGCCCAGAGACACACCAACAACAATGATTACCCTATACGGCAACTACTGGATTGCCAAAATTTACCGTCGCCACCCCCATCGTCACCAATGGTCCATCCAGGGCATCTTTATGGCGATATTTCATAATCTGATACCGGCAGTCTTTATTTCCATATTTCCTTATTTCCTTGCTAGGGCTAAAGTAGGGGATAGGTTAGGCCACCTTGCCGCCCGTCCTCCTGTCTCTCCTGGTGTCTTCCCCTCCCACGGTTAGGTGTCTAAATTAATTAATATTACGACAGGCCTCCTCTCCCCATACCCATGATACATGGGTGCCACGTCACTGCTGCTAGACTCGAATGACTTGCAACCCAACCAAGACCGGGAACCCACTCATACCTAAGGCGCACAGGACTTAGGCATTGGAAGAGATCTGCACGCAGCACCTTCTCGTCACTACCGAGACGGCCGGGCGGGAAGATCCATCACCATCAGCCCAAGGCAGAATACTCCGGGCATCGATCTGGCCTCCTACTTGTTCGAGACTTCCCGCGCAATCAAACCCGGCCCTTTTCATCGGGACGGCTATTTCCCCTCTCGCCATCTACGACGTTTTGGTCCTCCGTCGTCCATCTCCATCCACCCACCTACTCGCCTGCTGATAGTTTTCGCCTTCCCCTGGTCGGACTGCCGCGGACCGTCCCTTGGAGCAGCTGGACTTCCTTTCCCCCCCCCTCCCCTCTCCCGTCCGCTTCGGTGTCACTGCAGACCTACCTACGTTGCGAAACAGGCGGCAGTAAGTAGTTGCCCGTGACTCTCGCATCTTAAAAAAGGAGCAAGGAGGTTGTGGTTTGGTTTGGTGAGATTGGTGAGAAGGAGGTAGCATTTTGACCCGCGGCCACACCCACGCGGACCCCCCCCCCTGATCCCCGTTCTCCGATCCCGCGATCCCGTCCCGGTCGCTGGGTGTTGAAACGTAGGTACTGACTGGCGGTTTAGGGGACGAGCCACAGGGCCCACAGCACGTCGTAAGCCTCTGCCACAGGGGCTTTTCCGTACCCACAACCACCCGAGGCCCAGCCATCCCGGGTGGCTCAGGTACCCAGGTACCCAAGTACACAGGTCACCCGCCACCCCTGTACCCGCGCCGGCCTCGCAAGGCAGGGTACCTCGATCAGTACTGCCGAAGTGCCTACCTATAGGTACCTAACGTAGCCCACCCAAGGTACCTGTAGCCTCGCCGCACGGCTACAATCCGTTGCTCCGGCCTCACCAGCAATCGCTGCCTCTTTTCAGAAACAACTCCCAATGGTGCATAACCGCCACCGGGGTGAGGGCCAGCCTTGTTGCGCATTCGTTGCAAATCCGTCCTATTTTTTCCCTTCGAGAGGCTGATTATGGAATTGTTTCTGCTGCAGACCGCCGTCGAGGGAAGCTACCGCCAATGAGCGCGGCGCCGTCCAACACCCGTACAGCCCATTCCTCCAACAACCACCGCCATCGCCAGCCGTCGAGGCGCATCTGCAAGCACGGGCCCGAGCCCAAGGGGCGAAAGCCGACCCGGAGAGCCAAAGAATCCGACGCGGACGAGTGGTTCAGCATCCGGGACATCGTTGACGAGAAGTCGGAGCGTGGGAGGACTTATTACCTGGTAGATTGGGAGGGCACCGATAGGAACGGCCAACCGTACCAGCCATCTTGGGTACTTCTGCCGCCCGCACACGCCGCCGTCCCGTCAGCAACACAGCTGACTTGATGCAGGAGCCGGAAGTGCACGTGACAGAGGCTGCCGTCCGAGCCTGGCGCGACAGGAGGACTGCGACCAAAGCGCGGCCTGGCACCGTCAACGAGGCGTATCCTCCTGCCCAGACATCCCCCCAGGAGAACGGCCCAGCCCAGGCGTCCAACCTGCGACGCCGAATCCGAGGTAGCAACACGTCCGAACACGGTGATAGTGCGCGGGGGCTGGGGTGTAGTGAGGAGGCTCCGCGTAAGCGTAGGCGAACCGACAGCCCAGCTCTCGACCCGGACTCCGCCGGCCCATCGCCGAGTGCGGGTAGGCTAGGCGACAGCGGCGTAGATAAGCGTGCCGCGCCAGAGACCAAAGGGCCTCAGGGGCCACAGCACACGTGCATAACGATCGAGCTACCCCACAATCCTGACCTGGACCGTTCGGCCTACGTATACGTGCCACCCTCGCAGACAGGAAGTCAGTTGTCTGGCTCTGTATACACTGATACAACGCAAAGAGCAGGCCTCCGTGACGAAGACCACCGAGTCATACCCGACTCTCAGGAACTCTCGGCATTCTCCTCTTTCGCCACCACTTCCGAAACGCAGGCTAGCAATCCTGATCATCGTTGGTTAGCCGTGGCAGGTCGAGCCCAGGGAGAGGCTATTGCTACGCGTCAGGACACGCAAGACCAACGCGCCGGGCCCTCTTTTCAATCCACGGCAGAAATTCCGTCGCGCCAACCGGATCACGGAGCCCCTAACCGCTCAGCGAGCTGGCCGAGCTCTAGATTCGTGCTGGGAACGGGCCCCTCGTCCACCCAACATAACTTGGTTGACAACTACCCTGGAAGCCGAGACACCAGCTTCGAAGTCAGGCCACGAGCGGGCACAAACATAGAGAGCTTTGATTTCGCGACCCAAGAGAGCTTTCCGGTCGATTGGAACCCTCCGACGTCCCAACCAAGCAGCACCCGGCCAATCTCGGATGAACACATCCCCGCGACGGATTTAAGCCAAGGCCAGCCATCTACGGTTCACAAAAGCACCGCATCGCAACAAACTAGCTCGCAGGCAGCCCAGATCGTACAACCTCTGAGCAGCCAACACAGCGTCCTAGTAGCACAGAGCCAGGCCGACTTCACAGTCTATGACGACGACCTGGCCGTATCTCATACGACTTCGAGGCAGCCTCAGGTCGAGCACGCCTCTCAGGGTTCGAGTCAAGCCTTAAGCGAGCTGGACGGCAACACCAGGATTACGCCATCTGCTCCGAGCGGCCGCGAACTCGTATCACAGCCCGAGCGACACAGGTCTGCTACCTCCGATCCCCTCGATAGCTCGCCACCTGTGCCTGAGCAACCAGCCGCGCCCACTAAGATGGAAAACACCCGGCCGGGGACGCCGATGTCGGCACGTGAGCGGGTGAAGCTCGTCAGAGAGAAGAACTTTGCTAGGTTGGACGGACAGTCGCCAGTAGATTCGCCAACTCCCAAGGACCCCGTCGGTACTGACCTGGCCGGCGCCCAAGACGACGCCCCGGCAGCATCCCGTACAGACGTGTCAGAAGAGGCACAGGTGCCCGTGCCATCTGTTTCAAACGTTGGGCCTATCGCATCGACCACCCCGGCTTTCGCTCGATCCCCCGAAGCGCCTCCGAACGAACGCCCCTCTGGCGAGCAGCAAGCAACAGAAGAGCCCCGTCATGCTGACGCGAGCCTTGACACTCCCATCCAGGAACAACCAGCAACCTTAAACCCATCCGAACTGACGCTGTCCATCGAACAAGATATGGATGTCAGCCCCTGCATACCTCCCGACGATGCGCTTGACCCCACTCCGCCAGTGTTGGATGAGTTCGCACCGCACGAGGAAGAGGATATCCCTCCCAATTACCCGAAGAGCCTCCATCCGTATGTCCCGACGGGGCCTAACGAATATGTCATCACGCTTCCGCTGCAGTCTAGCAGCCGGCCTGTGTACAACGACATCCTGCGAGAGAACGAGGCGCTGATACGCGAGTTTAACGCCTCTTTTCTCGTTTATCCCTACACCACGCCGCTACCCTCAACGGTATGGAAACTTGACGAGGTTTTCACCCGCCTTTTCGATATTTGTGACCAGCCCCACTTCATGGAGACCGTGAGAAACATGAAGCCCTCCGAAGTGGCTAAACATGTCACCGGTACCAATGCGAAGCTCTCTTTCGTTGCGGAGCTGCTTTTTTGCTTGGCGGAGGAGGAATCGGATAAGAAGATTCTCATCCTCGCCCGCCCCGGAGATACCATGGATTTTCTCGGTTCCATAGTCGAAACCGGAGGCTACCGCTACTTTCGATCTGGCCTAGAGGTGGTTAGCGCTTCCGCTGCCCGCAATCCCTTAACCGTGGTCCTTTCATCGACTGTAGACAAAGCGGCATCAATCCCGGAGGACATTGACGCTGTCGTGGCATTCGACCACACGTATCGACAAGACTTACTCCCGTTATCGGTCCGCGAGCGTTCCCCCATAGTGCTAGCCTTGGCCAATACATGCACTATCCAGCACCTCAACATGCGTGTGTCGGAGAACCTCGAAGCTCTGGAGCGGAAGAACGTGCTCGTGCTCGCGCTCGTTAAGGCGATGCGCTACGTAGAGGATCCGGATTGCACCAGGAGCTTGCCTCAGATTGCCGAACTCTTTTCCCGGCACATTCAGACGCCCGACGACGACGACTTCTACTGGGAGTCCCAATCGGTGCCGGAGGACGTCTTCGAGGACCTGCACGCCAGCAACCCTGAAACGCAGTTGTTACAGCCCAGGTTATCGGGCCTCGGGACTAGGCAGCTTCCCGGTAGTCGAAAGAGATCCCACGATGTAAGTCGGCCCTTCTTCGTGACGGTGGCCCGTATGCGTATACGTGTACTAAACCCAGGTGTTAGGATGAGGACGACGAGAGTGTATCGAAACGCGTGAGAATGTCACAACCGTTGGTGGTAACTAACGTGAGTCATATAAGCGACTCACTGAAGAGCCTCATCGCGGACGACCACCTGAGCGACTCTCCAAGACGAACACTCTCATTGTCAGTCAGCAAGCTAGAGGCCTTGTCTACTAAGGTTAGTTCCAGGTTGATTGTCGATTTCGAAGTCCCCCACGAATCCCTAGCTAAACTGTGGATGCAGATCACAAGTCTCGAGGCCCAGCTGAGAGAGAGTAAGCAGCGCGAAAAGGAATTCCGAGAGCTGAGTGATCGAGCGCAGAAAGAAGTGAACGGTTACTCCTCCTCGATCAACTCTATACAAGTCAAGTACATGGATGCGCTCAAGGACCGAGGCACGTACGAAGCGGAATGCACAAAGATCAAGGAAGAGGCCAGGATACTTGCGGCCCGTCTCGAGGCTAGCGCAAAGGAGAGTGAGGCACTCAACGAGAACAATGCCGAGCTTCAGCGAAAGCTGGCCGAGGCAAGCAAGGCCCTTCTCGGCTCCCCCAACCCCGAGCTTGCCAAGTTGGCAGTGCTGGAGAAGGATTTCGAAGAGGCGAAGAATAAGATTCTCCAGCTTGAGAAGAAGATAGCCGTCACTCGAAGTGACATGGAATATGCCCAAAATGCATACCAAGACGCATCCCAAAAGGCGGTGGGACTCCGAGCTGAGAATATCGAGCTCGAGCAAAAGATCGAACAGCTCGGACGCAAAGCGGACGAGAATATCGTCAAGGTCAACCGCATCCAGTCCGTCAACGAGGTCAAGGAACTGGTTCGGCAGCTGGACGAGCAGAAAAACTTGGTCCGCGACCGAGATATGGAGCTGAGCCGGCTCAAGGAGGAGCTCAGGGCGCTGAAGAACGGCCGACGGGAGACGAGGCAGAGCAGCGTTCCTCGGAGCCCCCGGCTCGGGGCCCTCGGCGTCATGAGCCCGCGAAACGGCGGCCGGGTCAAGGGCGGCTCCAGTAGTCGGGGCACTAGTCCTGCGCCGCCTACCGGGATTTACGACGGGCCCGCGGGCGCTCCGAATCCGAACAGCCGCTTCTCGCACCTACGCAACGCCCCATTTCAGTAGGGTGAAGCCTCTCGGATAGCTCACACGTGCTCTTTCTCTCTCTCTCTCTCTCTCTCTCTCTTGATCTCACATCGTCTGTCCGTGCGAACTTGGTGGCGGGAACGAATATAATGGGAGGTCATTTCTCGGGGGTCTGTTAACTAATCCTCGTAACTCCCACCGCCTCCTACCACGACCACCGCCGCCATCTCCCCCTCCACATTATCTAGGACTCGTTAGTACGCATTTGCGGCCATCCCTCCTATCTCGCGATATGCGGGGACGGCCTTACGGAGATGTTCGTTACGATACCCTCCCCCTTTCCCTCTCTCCGCACCTCTTTAACATTAGGTCTAGCGACTTTTTTTTCCTTTCAATTTCTGGCCGCAGGGTTTACTGGGGTAGCTAGTTCACCCGTCTACTCTTCATGTACGTATGGGCGGGACGGACGGACGTCACGGTGTGCGGAGAAGAGGATCTCATAGAATGATAGGACAGACACAATAGAGCTTTCTTGCACTCGTGCCTTTGGGTAAAAGAAAAAAAATATCAGAAATCCCCCCCAAAGCCCAACCCAAACCATGCCAAACGGATCCCAGCACCTCTGCTTGGTTCGCGGTCTCGTTTCGTAGTGCGCGCGGAGGCTGGGCTCGAGAGCGCTGGCGTCAATGGCTAGCTCTGGGTGCGTACGGTGAGATAGCCTGTCGTATTACGGCCGCGATCGCTTCTTCTCTTCTACTCTTCTCTTTCCCCCGCCGATTTCTCCTACAAAATCACAAACAAACGAGAAAGGAGGAGCTTACCCCCTGTTCGCGCGCGCGGCGGTTCTGGCTTATTTACGTCTGCCCCCCTCGTCTGCGCAGTGAAAGGGGGGAGGGCCAGGACCCGCCGTTTCCCACGAGGCAGCCGTCACATCTTACCCTCTCCTTTACTTATCCTCTTACTTACTTGCCCTCTCATTCACTCGCCTTCTCACTCACTCACCCTCTCAACCTCATTCTCTTGCGCGCCAGGGCCGAGCTGTGTGGGGCGACGCAGACGCGGGCAGACGGACGCGATACAGGCAGGTCGTTCACTCCCACCCCATTTCTCTGTTGCTGGGATTAGGGTTAGAGGGCGGGCAGCGAGACCGGAAGGAGGATGTTGGCGAGCAGTCGTCCGTGGACGAATAGATACCTACCTAGGGGGGGGGCACCGCGTCCCGGACGTTACCTGCCCGCGGACGGCCGTGGCACTGGCCGGCTGCGCGACCGCACGGCTCGCCTGTGCCCCCGTGCCCCGTGCCCCGTGCCCCGTGCCCCCCCAACGAACCGCACCCGGCGCGAGCCGAAAGCGCGGCAGGAGGGGCAGGCGGGCGGAAGCGCAGACGGTACCGTCGAGGGCCGGAGCAGGAGGGGGGGGTGCGCAGAGGTAGTTGGGCTGCCGCGTCCCGGACGCGGACGCGGCACACGCATGCGCCTACGGGGAAGGGCGCGCGCGCGCCGCTTGGTGCGGTCGACCGGGCGGGCGGACCGTTATACAGCGCGCGGCGAGGAAAGAGGGGGGTAGGAAGAAAGAGAGGATGATGAAGAATCAAATATGGTTGATTTTTTTGGCAAGATGCTTTACGTGACAAGGATTATAACAAGAACAAAAGCAGGAGCAATCGCGAAATCTCGCCTCTATCCCCAATGATGCAGACGTCTTGGATTTTTTGGTTGGTTTTGGTGTCTTTCCTTTCCGTTCCTCTCCTCCCCTCTCCTGTCCTCTCTCTCACTTCTCCCTGGTCGACTTATGCGCCTGGCCGGAACATCCAAGGCCTCTCCTATCCCCTCTCTCTCTTTCTCTCCTCCCTTTCATCTCTTCATCTCTCTCTCTCTCTGTGTGTCTCTCTCACTCTCTCTCGCTCTTCTTACGCGTCGTCTCTTCGTGTTGCCTAGTGTTTTCGTCCGCCCCTCACCCGACCTCCCGAAGAACGAGTTCCTCTTCCTCCTATCGGCCCCGGACCGGACGGGTGGCGTGACGGCGTTCTATTTCGATTCTTCGGGGTATAGGTCCTCCTTCAGGATGACGCCGAGCTCCTCGCGCAGGGGCTTCAGCTCGTCGAGGTACTGCCGGTACTGGTCCTTGTTCTCGACCTTGGCCTTGATGCCCTCGAAGATGCGCACGGCCGTAGGGAAGTCGTTGACTCTCCGGGCGGCGCGCAGGGCGGCCTCGACGACGGAGGGGGACGGTACCAGGTCGTAGGCGAAGGCGTTGTTTAGGTTGCGCTGCGGCGGACGGGTTAGGACCAGAATTAATCCAACTCTACGACATCTTCGCTTGTGTTTCTCTGACGTCGTGGTGGGAGCGGCTCGTGTCATAGGTGTGGAGAGGGGAGTGGGTCGACGGTGTCTGGCGGTGTTTGGAGAGGGGGCAGAGGGGGGGAGGGGGGATAGGCAGAACAGGCCGGGGAAATTGGGCACGGAGAACTTGGGGAGAGAGCCTTGCACGAACCTGAAGCTCGAAAACATCCTGCACCTTTTCGAATTCACTCTCGTATCTGTCGCGAGGCAAAGTTAGCCGTCTGTATATATGTACAAAATTGTTCCCATCGCGGCCCCGCGTCCAATTGAGCACTGAGCGATATTGGAGCTCCCGCAGTACTGAACCAATTGACAACCCAGCCCAAATCTTTTTTTTGGCCGTGACAATAATTTGCGTCTCCATTGGGTGACGGGGTTGGAGCTTGGACTGCCCCTCCCTGTGCCCTCCGCATATCGTCCGCCGGGGTCCGAGTAGAGGGGAAAGAGCAGCGCTCCCTTACCTGGCAGTGAACTCCTCGAAGGTCTCTTCGTGGTGCGCGGCAGCGGAGTTGCAGGCGACCGAGGTGCTGAAGTTAAGGCTGGAGCCGGCGACTAGGCCCGGGATGAAGGAGGCGCTAGATCGGGCGGGCGCGACGGGTCGGTTGGCGCGGAAGAAGTTCTTGGGGGGGCCTCGCGAGGCAATTCGAAGTAGCGACAGGGACGACATGGCGTTTGCGGTACGGGAGAAAGGAAAAAAAAAAAGAGAGCGGAGAGTTCCGAGGAGAATGGGTGAGAGAGAGGATGTGCGAAGAGAGATGCGGCAAGAGTAGGGTGCGATGCCCGCCCGGATGGTGATTTTTCTAAGCAGGAGGAGGAGAGGGAGGAGGACACTTGGGGGTGTTCGCGGGAGAGAGGGACAGGGAGATGTTGCAGTAAAGATAGCTAGTGAGTAGGAGTAGTGGTGATATATCAGGTGGTGGTTTGTCTTTTTTAGGATCTAGTCCTGCTTGGGGGGGTTCTTGGTTGGTTAGCTGGGCGGTGCTTCGGCCAGGCAGAAGAAGAAGCCTCTCGCAGCGGGAGACGGGCCCGTATGGGTAGCAGTGGTCAGCGGCAGCGGTACCGACAGGCGGTAGCGACGGTTACGGTTACGGTTACGGTTATGGTGGTTGGTGGTTGGTGGTTGGCGCTGGTGCCCGTCGAGCTCTCTCTTCTCGATGCAATTCAACAGCGGGAGAAATTCTCACATCGAATGATGCGCTTCGCCGGGTCTGGGAAAATGGAAGCCCGGCTCACAAAAGGAGTCGCGCTGATTGGCGGCTCGGCCCCCCTCTCTGGTGGGGCTTGGGACCGTCTCGTGGAGGGGCTCGACCTATCTGGAGGCTGCTAACCCGCGACCTGTCCCTCCTTTCGTACTGGTACTTTGGGGGTGTCTGCGCATTTCCCCTACGCTTCGCGCGCTCACCTGGTGGTATCTGTAACCTATCTCCTAACCTACCTCCTAACCTGAGGAGGTATAGGTACCTAGCGTCCGCACAAACGGGGCCAGCCGTCGACATCCAATGGTGGCCCAAGCGTTGCTGGAGCTGGGTGCGAAGCAGCAGAGAGGGAGCGCAGATGCGACTCGTCCTCGGCAAAGGTGGGATTTGAGAATCTGCATCTGGCGTCGGCTGTCGACGACGTCATTGGCACCTCGCATACATTGGCATTGGCATCTGTTGGGGGGGGACTGTCGAGGCACTCTGGGTGTGCAACCCGAGGTCTCTCGCGTCCTGTACTCATACAGGCTGCCGTACCCATCCCATCATTCCCTATAGGGAACACCAAAACCCACCCTATGCGTAGACGCGATAGCTGTAGCCGATATGAGCGCATCTTGCCTATACCGCTGGGTACGGGTATGATGGGATATACTACGTGCGCCGTAGTGCACTATGACATAGAATACACACAATCAAAAGGGACGATGCAAACCTTCCCGATCCCCAGAGCATGGGACGGCGGTTCCTTTGTCGCCCGGGCTCCGAGTCCGGTCTGAGGTTAATTCTAGCCCTCGTCGGGCCCCGACAGAAGCTTTTGGCGAGTTTTAGCCGGCACACATAGCTTGTCGCGCACGACTCAGAAAATCGCTCTAGTCCGTCCTTGCTTGCAGCCGAGTCGCGTGGATAGTACCTCCGTCAGTTGGGATTCCAAAGCGAGCGCCTCATGGGGTGCGGCGGAGCGGAAGTGTACGCGACACATGCCGTTAGATAAGGTAGGTAAGTGCACTTAGGTATTATTGTCTTTTCCTATCAAGACAGGGTTGAGGGAAGGGGAAACGGCAGAACGCGGAAACATCGGTTGGAGCATATAGGATATATAAATCCATACACACACAAACAACCCAAGCGGGACGTGGTGAGTTTGTTGACTAGAACAAGGCATCGTGCATAAAGGACTGGCCGGGCCCGGTATCGCGAGAGTGCCCGACGAAGAATCGTCCGGCGCGCTACTTATGAGTAGAAGGCGATAGGCTTGTCGACTTGCCCGAATCGTCATCGGACGTTATGCTTATTAATAGCCCGGGCATGAGAAAAAAAAACAACACGAAAGGGGCCCCCGTTTCTCATTTCAGTTTGGCCGAGGCTTACGCGCGAGCTCCAAAGCCGGACCTAGGCAAAGAGAGAAATGCCTCCAGCCCAGTTAAATTACCTTCGATAAGAGCCAGCGTAGCGCGCAGTGCGCGTGTGCTAGCGTGTGGCACGTTGTCGTAATACTGTGTTATACTCCCTACCCTACCTACTACTTAGGACGGGGGGGGGACGGGATAAGATAGGCCATTACCTATATAGCGTGCACCGCATCCGCCAATGCCGAAACTCGGGTTGGACGATCTCGCTTCAGGTCCCATGTGCAAACAGGAGATGCGATCGAAGGAATGCGGGAATAGACGATGCGTGTATGTGTGTCTGTATGAACATACACTGAAATTAATACCTCTTATTGTCCTCTCCTCCGAGGCATTATTAGAGGGGAGAGAAAGAGGATAAGCCGTCGACCGTCTTAGCAGCCCGTGATATTCCTGCAATATGAAATTAATGTTTGTTGTATCAATGCAAGCCAGGTAGCCTATACATGCAGCCGTTGTACTCCGAGATGCCCTCCCACCTGTCACAGGCGCCCAGCATCCACTCGGGGTCGTTGATTAGGAATAGCCCAATACCTGCCGGGGTACGCCATGCAGGTACGTGGTACAACGCCGCGTTGCTCGCTCCGGTTGCGCGGAGAGATTTTATAGTACTGGCAGTACCTATGTGTGTACCTCAGGCACCTTCACATAAGCCATTACCCGTCCACGCGGTGTATTACCCGCCTGCCTCCGGTACCTCCGGCAGGCAAGCAGCGGAAGTACCCTGGTGTACTCCCAGTTAATCTCCTCGATAGGTACCTACCCAGGTAGATAGGATCTCACGGATCAGCGTGTTGATAAGAGAGAGAGAGAGAGAGAGAGAGACACCAACCTCAGACAGAGGTGAGATGCGTCGGTACGTCGAGGTAGGTAGGCAGCCAGGGTACATGCATGCCTAGGTACCTACCCACCTACCAGGTAGGTACCTAAGGCATGTACGCAATGGGCCAATTGGGACCTTATTGCTGTGGTCAAATTCGTCCCGGATTGTACCTACCACATAGGTATATATACCTGGGCATAGAAGACCCGGGTGTGTACTTGCATTCAACGGGTGGACAGGTACCTCTCATATCTCCTCATCGACGCAAGCGAGGGTAGGTATAGTAGGTAAGTACCTAGGTAGGTAGGATGTGCGGCACGGACTGGTCGACGGCTGACTGACTTGCCCTTCGCAGCGCCGCCCGAGAGTCCCGTCAAATCCGATCGGTGAAGCTGTGCTGGCCATTGGCCGCGCAGGGGCAGGAGCGTGCTATGGGTAATGGGGGAAGCCCCAATCCTGGCGACACAGACGCGACCGTCCAATGGGAGACCGCGCAGCTCACGTCCCCCTTTGTTGGCGTGGAGTTTAATGAACCAGAGCCAAAAAGCGCGAACCTCCCGCTGCCTCTTGTCGCTCTCAACTTTTTTTTTTTTTTTCCATTCTCCATCCTCACGAGCCTCGTCAACACCGTGTTCTCTTTTAGTTCTCCGTCCCGGCTCCCGAGTGCCCCGATCTTCTTCTCTTATACTTCTTTTTCTCTTCCTTTCTTTCTCTCTTCTTCTCTTCCCTTTCCCACCTCTTCCGGCCCGCACCCATCGTCACCTGCTTAGCGAGCGAGTGCACCGCCAGCACGGCTTACCCGTTTAATTCCCAGACCCTTTCCTTCGCGTCACTCCTTCAGCAAGCAGGCCGACAGCTGCTCGCGTGGTCGGTTCAGGTCGCCCGGTGTCCCCATATTGACTGCCATTGAGCATCGTCGGCTGCGTTGGCATTCCGCGTCATGGCTTCTGCCGCTCCTACCCTCTGGGACACCCTCCCCATCCCAACCCTCGACCGACCGTTTGGTGTCCAGCTATGGCCCTACTTCAGCAAGGCCTTCGAGGTGGTGGCGGGCTATCCCGCCGACGACTTCCGATTCGTGACTGGCAAGACGCCCATGTCGACGCTGAAGGAGACCTTGATCTTCCTCACCATCTACTATAGCGTCATCTTCGGCGGTAGGGAGTTCATGCGGGACCGAGAACCGTTCAAGATGAGATCTCTCTTCCTGGTCCACAACTTCTACCTCACCGCCATCAGCGGCATACTGCTGGCGCTGTTCGTCGAGCAGCTGCTGCCCACCGTCGTCCGCCACGGCATCTTCTACGCGATCTGTGACGCTGACGGAGGCTGGACGCAACCGCTGGTAGTCCTTTACTACGTAAGTCGACGGCGCACGCGCACCACACACCGCTCCTCCGCACACGTTCGCGCCGAGCCGCGAAGCTAATTCGCCTTTCAGTTAAACTACCTCACCAAGTACCTGGAGCTGTTGGACACGGTGTTTTTGTTCTTGAAGAAGAAGCCATTGAGTAAGCGCGCCTCGCCGAAAGGGATCGAAACCGAGTAATCTAACCGTTGGCACTGCTAGCCTTCCTGCACTGCTACCATCACGGCGCGACAGCCTTCCTCTGCTACACCCAGCTCATCGGCTCTACCGCGGTCTCGTGGGTCGTCATCACGCTCAACCTGACCGTGCACGTCGTCATGTACTGGTACTACTTCCAGAGCGCCCGCGGAATCCGAATCTGGTGGAAGGAGTGGATCACCCGCCTGCAGATCATCCAGTTCATCATCGATCTTGGTATGTCGAGCCATTGGACCGACCCGCGTCGCGTACGAGGCCGGAACACGACTAACCAACCCACGCAGGTTTCGTCTACTTTGCCGCCTACACCTACTTCACGTCTACCTACTTCCGGTGGATGCCCAATGCGGGCCAATGCGCCGGCGAGGAGTTCGCCGCTTTCGCTGGTATCGGCACTCTCACTTCGTACCTGGTCCTCTTCATCTCCTTCTACTTCGCGACGTACAAGAAGGATCATAAAGCGCCTAGCACACGCAAGACCCTTCGCCGCATGTCGCAGGCCCCTCTGCCCGACCACCACCATACGGTCGCTTCCGCCTCCGCCACTGGTATGAAAGCCAACGGCGTCAGCACGCGCTCCCGGAAGGCGTGAGCGCCAGAATCGACGAGCACTTGCCAATCCGGGGACGCGTTGCCTACGCGGATTTGGGGCCAGTACGCCATTTTTGCATTACGGAATCTTGGGTTCCGACATCGAATCGTGAGCGAAAAAAACTCAGGTGCTAGAAGAGCCGTCCCTCTACGACCATTCAACCATTGTATTAGTGACATTGTAATCGATGACGAGGTATATATATATTTTTTAACAGTTGAGGGCTACAACGGGGTGACGAGGGAGTGGCGGCATTTGTCAGGATTTTCGGCTACTCATGTAGATATTGTATACGACCGGAGGACGAAGGAGAGGAACGAACACGCGCCTCTGGTTGTGAGGAGTTTCGGAACGGCCGGGGGTTGGTGACGAACAAGACAAACGAGGAGGAAACGCATCTCAGGAGACATGACTTGCGCGAGGAACGGAACCTTCGGCGAGGGATTGTGCATACACACACACACACACACACTTCTTCTAAACCCCTTCCCACCCCCACCCCCACGACATAATTTATGTCGGCGGCAGCGCCTGCGGCCCTTTTTCTGCGTTGGAAACAAATAGGCCTGCCCCCTTCCTGAACACACATTCCCTCCCCAGAACAACGTATAATGACCGCAATTCAAAAAAAAATGAAATGAACCGATACTAAATGAATGAAGAAGGGGATGATAATTGGCAGATGTCTCGACGTATTGTATGCCTGTAGATGTGGGTTGGGTGCGCGAGCGACGGTCGGTATGGGGAAGGTAGGTTGGGAGAGGGCGGGCAGCTTGTTGTCAGGCACGTGCTCGGTCGGTCGGTTGGTCGGTCGGTCTTGCTTGGTTCGAGGTTACCTAGCTAACTAACTAGAACAACTAAGACTATCGAAGTCGGTGGTGATGCTGTAGTGATGCTACGGTAGCGGTCCATGACCCTGGGACGACGGCAACGGCGGCGACGGTACCGGCGGAGGTGGTCAGCCGCGACAAGGCTAAACCGGACTCAACTAGCCCTCCCGTCACTGATTATGTAACGAAATCACGTGATGTAGATGTGCCCCACTTAGCTAGTCATTATACGCGCAAGTGGGAGCCCCCGCCCTCAAATACCAAAACCTCCCAAACCGACGACTTGCTCATCTTATAACCTCCTCAGACGCCTCCAATACGGGCGATCAGTTGGGCTGGTAGAAGTGTTTAAGCGGATTCTGCAATTAGTGTTAAAGAAGACTACTAACCCGGCACTGCTAACCGCTTTTGACTAACCATTGAGCTGGGCTTCAGACGTACTTACCTATCAGACGTGATGGCCCAAGCTAACGTCAACCTCGGTACTGGACATGCCGGCAACTGATTTGTACCAACACCGTGTCCGGTTGAGACCAGGAACCCTTCCATGGAACAAGTCCAAACGAAAAAGTTGGACGCCTCCGCGAAAATATTGGCTAGATCGTTTGATTCAAGAAGGAGTCGAAGCCAGTCAATTTGAATCCACCAAAGTAGCCAATGGGCACTTGTCAGACTGGGCTGCTCAGCTAGTCTTAGTACCGAAGGATAAAGATTCTTGAGATACGTTAACTCGCTGGGGTTTTCGCTATTCGAGACATTGTATGGACACTTACCTATGGGAACATACTAGCAATCTTCGATCTTCCCAGCCCTTTATCGTCAAGCGGAGTAGGGGATGGCCTAATGGTTACGCAATCCACCAGCCTAGCTTTCGTCTTCCGCACTACAGACAACCAAGATTGGTCCGCTGATTGCACGGTCTTTTATCGATGACTGTTTGATTTTGATATTGCGAAGCCTGTTCTTGGAATTGTTGTAGAGCGAGTTTCGCTGGTGTCGTTGGGGGGGGGGTCTGCTTCCTGGTTACCAACCCACCTACCTCTCTCACCTCTCAGGCCCAGGAACGACCATTCGGGCCTTTATCGGGATTTTTAGGCTCCGGGATGCGCGCTGGAGTTCACAACCATGTCGTCGGAGTTGCTGGACGAGCCCAAGATAGGGGGATCCCCTGAAGAACATGAAAAATGGGTAAATTCCGAGTAGTATTGGGAGATTTGTGAGCTTATAATCACAGGAGGATTAAAACGGACGGGCACAGTCGGACGAAGTGGAGATCTCTGCTGAACCAAGCAAGGGAGCACAAGATACGAGACTCCCACGTGCAGCATTACCACAGGGGCATCTGGAATCAATGCCTCTTTCCTAAGGAAGTCTCCAAGGCGCTGGTCAAGGCCCATGATGAGGCAGGGCACTTCCCGAAATCCCTCACCCTGAAACGGCTCTCTTCCTCGGTTTTCTGGCTAAGGATGGCCTCCGATGTGTCTGCATATATAGACGGCTGTCTACCTTGTGCCTATTACGGCCCAGCCCGGCCACCTCACCCCGCACTCCCTATAACCGTTTATATCCGTACTCATCCCCATACCTATAGTCACAACCGCCATCAGGATGGCCTCCTTATCAGCAAAAACCTCCTCCCTGTTAACAGATTCCTTCGGGCCAACAAAACTAAAAGCAAAATAATGGCTACTAAAACAACAACACTGGTAGCAGCAATAACAGCAAGCCAACTGCCGGGTGGCTCCCTAGAGGGAATGCCTATTAGAAGCTTCAAATCCAGATTGAGAAACGTCTGAGCACTCAACCGTAAGCGGCTCAAGGCCTTTGAAGCGAGGTGGACGGGTCCGTCTCAAATGTTGCTGTTTGGACCACATCCAACCACGCTGTGAGGTTCCACGCGAAAGCCAATTGGTCTCATGGCTTCCGGGCCCGTGCAAGTCCATAAACTGCGAACAAGGTCCGAGAATGTCAGTAAACTGCGATCAGCAAGACCTAGTCAAGTCTCTAAACTGGACCTAACCCTCATCTATTTCGAGGCGTACGTCTTCAACGTTCACTGGTTGAAACTGAACCTTCCTTACCGTTCCACCTTTGCAGGTGTCAACTAGCTTTCTTTCCAACTCCCACGACTCACCGCATCTTCAGAAGAACATATCTCTCGTCGACATATGGCTTGTTTCGCATCGACGTTAACAGCAGACAGTTTGCCAACTTCAGCAATGATCAAGTTTTACCCTGTTCGGGCGAGGTCGTCTGACCTTATTGACTCATCAACAGCTATTGATCTAGCAACACCATCCGAGGCTCCGACTACTAGATCAACTTGTCTGTTTCCGACCTCTCGACGTGTGGAACATCTACTAGTTACTAACAACGATCGAAGGAAGATGCCCTGCAGTGGCTCAACAAAGCAGGGGTTAAACTGGGGCCTTTAGTGTCTGACGGGCTCTGGCTCAAAACCGCATATGGACTGCACACCAATCGTGAACTGGCGGAAACATCTGTCATAGATATGTTTATTATCGACCTCTACCAGCATCGTGTGAGATTGCGACCAGGAACAGCCCCTCGGAACAAGTCCAGACGAAAGAGTTGGCCCCACCTCAAAAGTACCGGCTAGATCGTCTTATCGAAGAAGGCGTCAGAGCCGGCCAGTTTGAGTCAAACCAAGAAAGCCAACGGGCGCTTGTCCGGCTGGGCTGCCCAACCTGTATTAGTTCCGGGGGATAAAGCCTCCCCGGATCCTGATCCCTAGGCTGAGTCTCGGCTCACCTTTAATTACAGCCAGGTTGAAGAAGAGATTCCGGGAACCAACGTCACCTTGCTGGAGGACGTCCATAATCAGTTTGTCTCACCCTGGTAAAACAGTCCATTCTTCGGGCAATGGTTTTCCCACCCCGAAACAGAGAGGATACTTTTAAGAACGGGATACTTGTCAGTGAGCTGCTGCCGATGGCTCACAGTCAAACGACATCATCCCCCCGGCAGCCGCCCAACTGAACTCCCAACTTATTACGTGCCTAGCGCTGAGATAGGAAGTTTAATCAATAACTACGTTTTGGAGCCCATCCTATATGTATAGGTAGATAGGTGTAGGTTAGGAGGGAAGTAGGGGAGGCGGAGGTCGCCGAATTGCCCATGTAGGGTCCAGCATACGTACATACCTACTTGCACTCTTCCCTCTTTCCCCTTGGCTGGCTGTCCGTCCGGGCCGGGCATTTGTCGGCCTGCCTGTGGGCAGCGGAGAAATGGAGCGGGGGAGGGGGGGGTTAGGGTAGGATTGGGGGGGGGGGGGGTTAGAGAATAGATAGATGAGGGAGAGGACTGTCGCGCCTGGTCGAGGTAGCTAGCATGATGGTATCTATACCTATCCGCATCTATATCTATGTCTACCTATATATCACAGGTGTCTTGGTTCGAGTCAGGGCAGAGGAGGGCGGCAGATGTCTAGACATGCATATTCAGTGGCGGACGACTTGGTCTTCTCGTCTACCGAGCCTGAGTTAAGTCGAGTGCCACTATTGCAGAGCCACTATTGCAGAGTTTCCCGTCAGAGCCGAATTATCTATGTACTTCGATGTAGGTAGATGCATACTGGAGCGGCCGGGCTAGGCCTAAGCGAAGGACAAGCCCGACAGGAACCAATATTGCCACGCCACTGCGCCACCGCGCCGACTTGCTGCCGCTTTCGAGGCGGGAGCTGCCGCTGGAACCGGGACAAGCGCCCAAGGGGAGAGAGGCAGGTGGACGGATATCACGGTATTTTGCACGGCTTTACGTGGTTAACCAGGGACGCGGCTGTTACGCTACGCCTACCCCAGCCCGAGGGTGAGGATAGACACTAATACTTTATTATACAGGCGGAGTGTGGAGTCTCAGCGTGGGTTGTCTCCGACGGTGGCGCTGAGGTGCGAGCGAGGTCTGGGCAGGGAGCGAGGAGGACACGGGGAATACGAGGCGGACAAGGCAGGACAGTAAGACAGTAAAAGTGGTTAGCACTCTTATTCATGTTTACCTGCCTATACCTAGGTATATACCGATAGACAGCCGACTAGTATGGGGCTATTCGACGAAGAGAGGAATCGTTCGCGGATAGCAAAGTCACCTTCTCATCTTAACATCACCTACACACCTATTACATAGGTACGCAGAGATACGAGAGATCTGTTAGATAGACCCATGTACACAGCACACCCCTATGCACACACCACACACACACATACCGCGGTTAAGCATCCGTCTATCTGGCTGAGATGTGAGACATCAATAAACATCTCCGGTAATTTCCTTTGCATTACCTACTAGCCACCTTGTTTATTTATTTTATTTTATTTCCCACCACCTTTCTTTTTTCGGCCTACACGTACTGTCCTCCTCGTCAAGCCCCTGCCCCTATCTTCTCGACGCCTCTTACGCCCGTTTTGGTCTCGCCGCTGCCCACGATCGAACAGACCCGAGAGCGGGGGGAGACCCCGCCTAGAGTACGTCCTGGGTGATGGCACTGCCGACGCGTCAATGGCCGCGGACGAGATGAGTTGGCTGAGGTGCCGCCTCTTAGCGCGCATCGCTACGTCTGCAATGGAGAGCGTGTGGGCTTTTATTTCCTGGCTCGCACCCGCGCCTCACACACGTCTTTTGTCGCGTATCGACCGACTGCTGCCCAGGACGGACATCCACCCTCTCGGTCCGGCAGATCGTCGATCGTGCTTATGCCGCCACCAGCCTAGCCACCAGCAGCACTTGTCCCCGAGTATTGTCGCCGACCCACCCAGGTGGACGGTTCGCCCGGGGGGGCCGGGCCAAGGGCGCTTTTCAGCCCCGATGCTGCCTGTCATCGTGCTGCTCTGTGTCCACCATTAACCTGGAGAAAAGGGGGGGCCTGGGCGGTTCGATAAAGCCCCTGCGTCCGAACAGGAAGTGCCTGCTGGGCGTGAATCCGTCGTATTGATAGGCCTCTCTCGTCCGGGTGGTACCGCTGCGCCGGCAGCGATGGGCGACAGGACCTGTCGATCAGAATACGCGCGAGCCGCTAGTCTCAGGCACCTCTCTATCATTAATCGCTAGCTGCCTCTATCTATCTTAACCTAGCAGAGAGCGAGCGGGCGAGACCTGGTCGAGTTTACTCGGGTCTCTCCTCTCTCTCGTCCCACGCTTCGTGGCTGCGGCGATGTCTCGCTCCCATTTAAAGCACCAGCCGCCACCAGATCGTAAAGTGAGATTTTGATAGGCGACGCGCAATCCCACCGTGAATATCTCGCCGGGCTTTGCTTTCTTGTCTCGCCCACAACGCGCTATTGAGGGCCACTGGATTGCGAGGTGGTGCCATGATCCGTGATATAAACCTGACCCGTGTCCCTGGGCTGGTTAGGCCCTCCGTACAGCTCGTAGGGTCAACGCCGTCACCCGGGGGTTTTTGATTGATTTTTTTTTTAGCGCTCCAGGACGTTCGTTGCTACCAGGTCCACGGCTCACGATGGGTATCCGATATCTCGTCCAGGCGTGTCTGCTCGCCTCCGTCGCCACAGCGAAGCCTATTCTTGGAAAGCTGGGATCGTTCCTCGAGACGCAGAAGCTCGCGAACCCGAACTATGGCCCGGTCCCGGGACAAGACCCCCTCTTCAGCGACTACTACGGCGTCGACGCCCCCTTCCCGGGCAACCTGAGGCACGCCGTCTTGCCGACCGCGTACGGTCCCCCCGGCGCCGACGACAGGGTCTGGCAGAACCTGCTCGCGGCCGAGTGGATCATCTTCGACTTCTACCAGACGGCCGTGCAGATGTTCAACGAGTCCTCCTTCGTCGCGGCCGGCATGCCGAAAAACACGTACAAGCGCATCCAGGAGATCCGCAACAACGAGGCCGGCCACCTGCGCCTCTTCCAGAACCAGATCTCGCCGACGTCGGTCAAGCCGGGCGCGTGCGAGCACCAGTTCCCGTTCCGGGACCCGGTCGCGTTCCTCGCGCTCGTCACCGTGCTCGAGATCTCGAGCATGGCGTTCCTGACCGGGCTCGTGCAGCAGGCGACGCTGCCGGCGTCGCAGGCCGCCATGCTCGCCATCGCCGAGACCGAGACGCGGCACGAGGTGTGGAGCCTGATCGAGATCTGGGGCGCGAACCCGTTCGGCGGGCCGGCCGACACCGTGTTCCCGTATGCGAACCAGGTGCTCGACACGACGAACGCGTTCATCGTGCCGGGGAGCTGCCCGCCGCAGAACCCGGTGTACCCGGCGCCGCGGCAGGGGCTGCCAGCGCTCAGCGCGGCCAAGGGCACCGCGTCGCTGACGCCCGGGTCGACCATCGACCTCAGCTTTCCCGACCCGCGCAACCAGCCCGTCTTCGCGCCCGGCACGCAGTACTACGCCGTATTCTTCCACGCGCTCGCCCACGTCAGCGTCCCCGTCGACACCCGCCGATGGCCCGCCCGCCCCGTCCGCGTCACCATCCCCGCCCAGTTCGAGACCCGCGGCGTCATCGTCGCCGTCCTCGCCGACGCCCCCGGGGCCCCCACCCCCGACTCCGTCGTCGCCGGCCCCGGCATCATCCTCGAGCAGCCCGTCGAGCTCGCCACTAAGCTGCTCTGAAGCGCCCGCGCTAGCTAGGTACAGCAGGGGTTCGGGGCCACGCTCCCTCCCCCGTGCGACTTCGTCGTCGCGCTCATACTTCTGCCACATACACACAGAACATCCTAGAGCCATGGGGACGGGCCCAGCCGTTTCATCGCTGCGCCGCACCATGCTCCGCTGGACACTCTATTGGCTTCACTGTACATAGTTGCTTCACATGTAAACCTCGGTTGTGTATTAATCTACCTGTTCCTCAACCCTCTGGTGACCATCATCCATCCGTCGAATCTAACTACACATTCCCCGCATCGTCTGCCGCGGCCGGCTCTGTCGCCGTGACGTAAGGTATGCGTAGTCATTGCCCACCCCGCGCTGCACCTCTCCACCTGTTCATGCCCGAGACTCGGCAGCCCGCGTCGTCTCCTAGACCGATTGCCGCGGCGGCGCCGGCACACTGTTAGCAGCAGCCGTGTCGGGCGTGCGACGGGGAGATCCGGCGTGCTCGCTCTCGCCCTCGCCCTCGCCCTCTCGCCCGCGACTTGATGTGATGCAGTGACGTGATAGATCGCGTAACGTGTTCGCCGGCGAAGGACGGGAGGCGCGGACACATATAGGTAGACGAAGACGGAACGTGTCTGTGTGCAAGGGGGGGTGGAGGGGAGGGGGTGCGCAGCTCGGAAGGGGTAAGCGTGCGCGAGGCAGGAGGAGGAGGAGGGGGAAGAAGAAGAGGACGGGCGCTGCCGGAGTCGACCTTACCGCACATGATCTTCCACAGCTGGGAGCAGATGGAGGCCGAGGGCGCGTCGTCGGTGACGCAGTTCGTCGCCGCGGACGCGGTGAAGCACCTGGAGTAGGAGCTCTCGGGCGCGCCGGGGGGGCAGGAGACGGCGATGGTTCCCAGGGCCTCGAGGGCCGGCGGCGCCGTGGTGGGATAATACGGGGTCGGGGTCGAGGTGGGGCCGGCTGGGACGGCGACCGTGCTTGCGGCCGCGAGGCCGATGAGCAGGGGCAGGCCGGGCACGGCGCAATGCATGGTTTCGGCGGGGGCCAGCGTGTTGCGGCTGCGCGGAGCTCTGGCGGGGTTCGGGTCTGGCGCGTAGGATTCTCGTGCTCGTGCGGACGCGGGAGGAGACCTGGTGGTGGCTTGGTAGTGTCGGGCGCGCTCGTTGGGGTCGGGGGAGGAGACGCGGGCTAGATATATAGGTAGGTAGGTATGCGGTGCCGGCTGGAGGGAGAGTAGGTAGGTAGGAGGCCGTACGGTAGTGGCCTAGTGCTCTGTCGAGATCGACGCCGCGGAGGTTACTATTGAGTAGCGGTGACGAAGAGAGTTTGCGCCTCGCATCACCTCGGGCGCTCCCATTACCTGGACTTCGCGGCCAGATACTCTCAAGATGCCGTCACCGAGCTTGCTCGCTGCACACCGGACAGTCTGCAGCCGGGGGGGGGGGGGGGGTTCGCCGCATAGGGCCGCGTGCATGAAGCGCTCGTTTCGCCTGGTGTGGCAGACTCCGTATCCTGGAAGCCATTCCCAGGCCTCGTCGCGAGGCGAGGTGGTTGCGTCCCCATGTGCGACGTCTTACTGACAGGAAACGACGTCGTGAGAAGCCGCAGACGAACCCCATACCAGACGACGTGGCACATGATGCCCCCCTTGGCTACGTCGATCGCTGGACGCTGCCTCGATGTTCCCTGGATGGGAACTCGTGAAGACGCTTGATGGCTGCTGCATTAGCCTCTCACGGTTTCCCGTATTACCTCCCATCGAGACGAGAGACTGACGTCGCATCGACGGCCACACCACGCTTCCGAGTTTGTAAGTGTTGTTGCCTCTACGAGGTGTATATAATGGCTGTTAGCGGTGATCATCTATGTTACATGGCTGCGTCTACTCACATATACGGGCTGGGTGTTATACTCGTGCAACGGTAACCATGATAACTACTAATCGCTCGTTCTGAGAAGAAGGATATACATGTTGTATGACGACCCTTCGTGCTTTCTGGTTTCAGTTGGACATTTTTTATTTATTTATTTAACTACAAGTGGGAGGGGAAGGTATCGCTGAGATCGGAGAGCTTAGTCCAAGACGGGTAAGCAGTTGATCATATTAGATTCGGTGGTTGATAGTTTGATGACTTGACTGGACGAATGATGAGACTAAAACCAAATGTTGAAGAGCAGTTAAGAGACATGGTTAGGTATACCGTTACTAAGCGTTGGAAGTCTACCTGAGTTCTCTTTATAGGGAAAAGCTGAGGTTATTCTAGTTGGTCACTCTTGATAGGGTAGATATAGGTGTGTGGAGTGTAGTTTATTAGGTTTACTCCCAGGAAGTTAAGACTCTCACGATAGGAACTCAAGATAACCTAGGTAGTCTCTAATTCGCCTCTGGGTAGCTACGAGAAAGGGGTTCAGCTGAGCTGGTTGGTCCCTTGACTCCGTATCGTGTCTCATTTCTCGTAGGCGACAACCGGGATGCTTATAAAAAAACGATGTCAATCAACCAAGAGGTAATATTATACTACTGCCGGGCCCGCATCTACCTATGCCTCTGACACTACGTCTCGCAATACTTACGTGCGCGATAGCCTATGCAATGTTCTAGTGGGCGTTGTTTTACGAGACAGGGTTCACAGCCACTTCGATGGCAATCTATATTAGCAACTCGTTTGCCGTGCCAACTGAGCGAGGTCGTTGTGGAGAAGAGGGTTGATGAACCAATTTGGTATCTGATATTAGCCATCGACGCCTGTCCCCATACCTGGTGGGGGAATAGACAGCATTCGGCAGATCAAGACCGTTGTATCTCTGCCGTGGTCTCAAAGACTCCAAATCTGTGTGCTAGAAATGCAGCTGGGGACATTGAACCGAAGGCGGCCTCCTACAACGTCCATCGTGCTCTCTGCCCACGTTTGAGGAACGGGAAACGCTTCGGCCATGATACGATCGCGTATAGCCAACACGTACGAGACTAGGAAAGACCAGAGGCGAAGCAGCCTCACCTGAAGCGATTCACTTGTGCCTAGTAGCAACAGTAGGACGAGAAACCAATATAGCATCGACAGCAAGAGTAGGATCTATCGTGAGCATTACGATAGTGGAGGCAGTGGTGTTTCTCAAGTAGCAAGGCACACTTCACCTGAGGGAGGGAGTATCGACCAGGAGGCGTACTCGGGCCATCGCCAATATTAAAAGGGAGAAATGATAGGCCCGAACAATTTTATTCCGCTTATTCGTGGGCGGGCGGTGTGAATACGACGGCTTCCTCCCTCCTGATCTTCCGGTGAAAGCCCCAAGCTAGGCCGCGCACACGAAAGGGCAGAAGAGCGAGAGTTTCAATTGCCCGACCCCGGGCAGGCTAGTCGAACGGTTCTGGAAGGTATCCCTGGTGTCGGAAACGCCATTTAATTAATAAGGAAGGGGGGGCGTGGAATGGACCGCGGCGGAATACTACAGAGACCCTGCTGCGCGGCCGTGTAGAGTAGAGTAGGGCAGAGCAGAGCGACGGGGAGGAAGGGCAGGGCCCGACGCTGCTTGTTTCAAAGAAAGAGAGAGAAACGGGCACGCCGCACGTTTTTATCGCGTTCTCCCCTCTGGCCACCTGCTCTCCGCGCGTGGGAAGAAACAAGAAGAAACAAATCCTTCGTCCTGCGCGAAGGATCTCGAACAACCCCCTCGAACCCCCCCCCCTCGACTCCCAGTCAGCCTCTGCCTCTTTTCCTCACCCCCTCTCTCTCCGCATTGAAACAAAGCGACGGTACCGGGAGGACGGGCGCAGCCACAACATCGCATGAACAACCGGCACTTTGCTAGGCCCAAACCCATCCTTCTTCTCGCAGCTCTCCTTCTCGCGCCTGCTGTGCTCTGCGCGGGGACGAGCGTTATCAATTCGTTTTCCCGCACCCACGCCCCCCTCTCGTCCCGCCCCTCGCACGACTGACATGGGGGAGACGTCGGCGCGCGCAGGCGTTCTAAATCCAGGCCGCGGGGGCGCCGTCGCAGGACACCCACCTGAGGCGGCGATGCCTCTCTTCTGCCGACGAGCCTAGGCCGTCGGCAATGGGCATAGGTATGGCATTTCGGCTTGGGGGGCTCTTGTTCGCAGGAGAGCCAAGACGAATAGGTGCTGAGGGTTTGGCTAGGCAGCGAGCAAAGCACGAATGTAGGCAGATGTGCTCCAGGAGACAGTGCAGGATGCGTGCGCGGATAGGCCGCGAGAACTTCCCGCCGCCGGCTACGTGGCTGCTCGTCGTGGGCCTCGCTTCGGGAGTCCGGCAGGACGGACGCCTGCCTGCCTGCCTGCCTGTCAGCTTGCTAGTCTTCGACATAGACTCCGCCATCCCTAATTTATTCCTCGCGTGCACGCACACATGTCGGCTCTCCAAGCCGGCTCTGCTGGGGTAGCCACGATGTCTTTTTTACTAACATCATCACTTTTCTCAATACTTTTTGGATCCCGTGAGCGTGGGGTAGCTGGGCATACTCTACCTATACCTAGCTCTACACGTACGCGCGTGCGTGCATCTGTAAGCCAAGGTGCCTGGTAGACTGCTAGAGATAGAGTAAGCGCCGCCTCGGCCGTCTCCGTCATAGAAGACCCTTTCCCCTTTTCTTACCCCTTTGGGATTGAGCCTATCCGTTTCGAAGGGGAGGGAGGGCCGAACTTACTACCAATCAGCTCCCGCGTCCGTTGACCGTCTGTAGGGAGATCCGATTGTGCGGCTGAGAGTGCTGAGCCGTGCAGCAACGTGCCCTGCTGACGCCCCGTACGCGCATAGATACGCACTCGGGTGGGAGGTACCCTCATATGGGTAGAGGGATAGATAGATGAGCTCGTATGGGGTCGGCCTTGGGCGAGCACGGGTGTCCCGATTCCAGCACCCACCTTCCTGCCAGCACCTGTCGCGGAAGCCCGACGCGACAATACCGGGTGAGTTCGTAGTAAGCAGTGGCGGGAGGCTCCTCGCACGGATACTAGGTATATGAAAAATCAGTAGTGGCGATGGCACGTATGCCCCCCAGCAGCAGCAACACAAGCCGTGGCACAAGTAGCAGCAGCAGTGGCACCGGTAGCAGCGATAGTGTTACTGCTACCCAGGTGCGCGTTTTGTTTCCTCACCACACTCGATCTCATGGGGGAGGGGAGAACAGGGGAGGAGGGCGAGCGGTGTTGCGCTCTAAGGAGTCGAAACAACACGTGCTGCAGGGGGGGGACGAGGTAGAGAGAAGGAGAGCCAGAACTGGCTCGCTGATCGTCTATGCGTATACTAATACTGCCGACGCAGTAGGAAGCTCGATAGCTCGACTAGGTCTTGGCGGCGCCGAACGGACCTGCCTAGACCCTCGCGACCGTTCCCGTCTGTCATTTCTGCTCGCTGGAAGCCGGGAGCTCCCAGGTCTACCGTAGCAGTCGAGGATGGCTGGCATGCTACGACCATGTGCTAAAAGCCAGGGGAGAGATATTTTTAAGACAGCATGCGTGCACCCGTGGTAGACGATGGAGCGCCTGTTGTCCGGGTCGAGATCGTCGAGATCGAGGGGATACCGCGCTATCTGCGCACAACATGGGAAGGGGGGAAACGATGTTTCGCGTGCTCGGGTGGCTCGCAGGAGGAGAGAGAGTGAGAATGCCAATTTTGGAGACGGTCGGCAGCAGAGACGCGCGTATCGGGATACCGCCGAAGCGTATAAAGGTCTGCACCTAAGCCCGGCTCTTAAAAGGGGGCTGCGGCAGGCTATCGACGCCATCGTAACGGGTGGCGGACAGCATGTCTTAGTGACGGGTAAGATCTGTCGCGATCATACCACTGCTTAGAAATGTCTCAGGACCCAGAACGAAGGCTACTCGCTCTTGTGCGACAGGATCCGTAGCACCTTCACCGGATTGTGTGTGCGGGTACACCTAGGGTTCGGGTTGTTGAGAGGGTTGCCCGACTGACTCCGTCCACCACCGCGCGACCAAGAGAGTAGCTGGTAGCTACCTAACCTAGTTGAAGATACCTACTCGAGCAGCGGGCTGGGAGGCGGAGAGGAGGTAGGTAAGCTGCCAGCGCCAAGTCGGGTGAGCTTCTTATCGAAGCTTCAGGTGGTGGATGGCGTCGAGACGGATAGCTTATCGTAGGTGATACCTATAGGCTATAGTACTGCTAGTAGTAGGTAGCATCGTGCCGAGATGCATTTTTAGAAATTTGGCGATCGGGGATAAGGTTGTGGGGATGCAAGGCTAGGCCGAGGAGGGACTAGCGTGCCCTATTGGGAAAGCGATTCGAGCTGGGCGCGACGCGATTGGCTGCTAGGCGCGACGTAAACCCTGAGGGGGGTCCACAGAGTGACGCCATACCTACCTCTACCTGTCAAAAACGGACACGAACGCGAGGGTACGTACCGGGCAGTACCTGGCCGTCAGGCGTGTGAAGGCGTGCCTACGGGTTCCGCATTGATTAGGTACTTCGCACAATGGGACGACGCCTTTTTTATTCTTAGAAATTTAAGATTGTAAGGTAGAAGTTCTGACTGCTATCATCGCTATACGATGGCGATGGATGGGGAGTGGAAAAAAAATTGGTGTGTATGGTACGACGAGAACCCCGCCAGATGCAAGCCCCCGATCGTGTCAATTGTTCACAACAGACGAAGCTGCAGATCATAGGCTGCAACAAGGAGAAGGAAAAAACGTGACGTGCACGATTTCAGGCTATGTGTCGATAGGTCACGTCGAGTCCGGCATTGAACCGACCGAAAAGGAGAAACGCTTATCGTCGAGGATGCCGCAGCGGCCGAGAAACAAACGTGCTCGAACGCGGGGCGGATTGGCCGTGCGCTGGGACGATCGACGATCAGAAACGTGTCGCCCAACGGCGTAGCGTAGGGAGAGAAGAGCGTCAAGGTCAGATCAGGCCCAGGGCCAGGCGTGGTAGGCATGGGCAGACGAGGGCGCCGACGCTAACGGGCGTGACGTTGTTTCATCATGGCATCGAGGGTTGAGAGGCTGCGCGCTATTCGTCTTCAGTCGGGGCATCGCGTTTGAAACCTCCCGGCTGACTAGGGCCGGGATCGAGTACGTAGGTACTATTAAACGTATGGCACCCGTCAGCGTGTAAAGACACCAGATGCGATGGCTATCCCGTCCGAATCGAGCAGGTACCCAGGTCAAGGCCCGGCGCAGAGCATTTAGCTGCATTACGTCGATCGAGCACGTAGATAAGGTAGGTAGTAAATTTACTGACGACGACGGCCCCATACACCGGAAGTAGTCGCCCTGGCGGCGGCGGCGGAGTGCGCGCCGACCCAGCTCCGCGCCGGTGCAGGCGAGTCACGACGGCGGCGGGGAAAGAGGATGGTATAGGGTTCGGGTCGGTGATGTGGCAAGAGGTTATTCCTCAAACCCCCATCTTCTCGTGCGATGCTGAAGGCAACCCTAACGCAGGTAACGACATGAAGGGCATGTGGTGTATGGAGCGCAACTTGGGACGAATGGCCCCCTCCACCCCCCCCTAGTGCAGTCGCCAAGCTGGTGAAGTCGACGATGGCAGACCAATCGCTTCTGCGAGGGCCGCTATCACGACCCGGTGGCTTGCAGAGGCCAGAGTCCAACTCTCGTCGAGACGCCCCCGGCTATTCCATTCGGTACGTGGATACCTATTGCACCCCGAATACCTACGTAGGTACGCAGACACCGCTTCGTGCCTATAGAGGAATACAGGACTCTATAGTAGAGGTATAGGATAGAGGCAGAGGGATCGACGACCAGGTTTGGGGCGTAGTCGCTATATAATATAGGAGGCACCACTCTCTGCTGGCGCGAGACTGATGTTTCCCGGTAGGGCAGGCAGCTTTCGCGCTGGGGTGTTTTACATATACAGGTGCCTCGTATACCCAGCGACTCCGTTTGGCGGCCCCGTATTATAGCGCAGTACCGCCCAGCACAAGGGGGGGTACCTATCAGCAAACCCTCAGCAAACCGCAAGGCCGAGTTCGCCCGCTATACCGGTGGCGTCGGTAGCAGGCACAGGTACATTCCGACGCCTGTGCCTTGGCGCGCGTAGTGGGGTCCAGGGGGCTTTAGTGTCTGTGTTGGCGGCTTGTCCGGGCAGATGGTCGGTGACGTTTAGTAGGAAAAGACACCTGCCTTAGGTACCTACCTCACAGCACGGGTGCTAAGACTAAAATATCTAACCCAATTCAGGCTACTTCTTCCCCCTGCCTCTCCCTACCTGACGAAAACACCAACATCAGGTACAGCCCGCACTATGTATAATACACAATGTCGAAACAAACACCACCCCGAACCCAGCCTCACTCGTACCGTGCAATGCCGAAGTACCTAATCATCTAATACTACGTTGGGTGGTAGGCATCCATCTTACGTTCGGCTACTTGCGCCTACGCCTGCGCCGTGCAAGCAACAGATGACCTGCTTACCGCCGATCATCGTTGACGGCTGCCGTCCGCCGCCATCGCCACATGCACACTAACTGGCAGCACGCTCACTGAACGAACGAGCGAGCCTATCCTGGGGTAGGGGCTGTTCCTCTCACCTCTGTCCCTCAGCTGTGGCCTCGAGCTGGGCTCACCGCGGAGGCCGAGGGCCTTATTCTTCTTACCTCCGGCCGGCCCCATCGTCGTACGTGGTGAAAGGATTCTGGATGGACGAAGATTCCGTCGGTCCTGGGCCGATCATGCTCTCGAACGGGAAACGTGGATGCACGCGTTGGCCAAGCAAGCTCCACCGCCGTGCTTGGTCAGGCAGACGATCTTGTCTACGTCGAACGTCGACCCTCCGTATCCCCGTGGTGTGGCAGAATGGACCAAGAGGCGTCGAGGCGCTCCTGGCCTCGAACCCGGAACGAGCTCTCTTCCTGAACCCGAGGGGCGTTGGTGATGATTTCTAAGGTAGGTAACACGTTGGTGGGTGAAGAATCAAAAAATAGCGTCGCTTTCCCGCCCCCTTCTCTCTTGTATTCTTAGCCCTCGGCGAGGCAAGTGATGTGATGTGAGAATAGCGAGAAATTGTGGTGGCTATGGTCCTCCATGCGTACCAGTCATCTGGCATGCTGGCGCGGCCCAACCACCGTCCGAATACCTACATATAACCCAGCTCATGGCCCGTTCTCGGCCGGTTCGCTACTGGAGCTCGATTCCACCCCGTTCTTGGGGTATGCGATGGTTCGTTCACTGGCGGCATCGGTCCACGATAATTCGTAGCCGTCTTCTCCCCAACCCACCTCGCTCGTTCGGTAAAAGTGGTGCATCCCACATTTCCTACCAACCCAGCTTCTCTCGACTTCTGGTCTCGTCCAGATTGCAAGGCCTGGTCACGGCATCAGGCACTGCAATAGCTTGACGGTACTGTCGAAGCATCTAATAATAATCGTCGCCTAGCTCATCACCGACGCCTACCCTACCTACCCACCCACCTCGACCAGTGTCTTATTAGAGCAAAGCCGCTGCGCTGCTCGAAATTCCCATGTTCACTTTGAAACCGCGTATATTGGGCTACTGACCACCGCGCTGGCTACGAGAGAATCCTGTCCAGGGGCCATTTCGGTCGACGAGCTGTTCCCCCAGCTGCCGGATCTCGTAGATTATCTATCGATCGAATCGCTTCATTCCTGCAATTACACTCGCCCCTCCCCTACCCTCAATCCTCTTCGACTTGACCGATTTCATATTGCACCGACCCCTGCGCTCTCTTGGGCCCACCCCTCCCCCTGGCGCAACGAAGAAAGAGAGAGAAGAGAACGAACTGGGGGGGCCATCTAGTGCCTACACTTTACCCCATCTCGGCGGCCCCTACTAGGTATGTCTAGGTACACCCTCTTATCCCTGAGGGCCTAGGAGTCGTTGCAACACCTGCTAAGACTTGAGAAGGTCGTGTTGCAGTGTTCCAGATTTCCAGGTTCAGGGGACTCTTCCCCCTGGCCCCTGTCCTACGAGGTACGTAACTACTTACGTTCTGGTCTCCATTCGTTTATGCATCCCGGTCTCTCCCTTCATCCTCCTCCCCACCACTACCACTTACACGCAGAAACTCGCACAGTCGAGAACATTGCCCGTACCCATCCATCTCTATCTACCTCTCGCATATCTACATATGTCACCCGCTGCCCAACTTCTTTCTGCTTCTCCTCGCGAAGTTGCTCTTCACACCTCAAACCCACTCGACCCACGCGGTTCTTCTCTCCCCCCCCCCCCCCCCCCTCCCAGCTACGTTCTAAAACATCGAAGAGCTGGACTCAGCTTACAAGTATATATATCTTTTTTTGCGGATCCAGACAGGTTCAGTCCCAGCCTCTTTACTTTCCCATCCCACACTGAGAAACCACACCGCACGCACCCAAGGATCCGACACTAGCGGGTTGCTATCCGAGAGTTACCAAGGTCACCATGTCTGCAGAACCGTCTCGCCGCTTGATGGAGCGCGGTGAGGCTCGGGAGGCCGCGATTTCGAGGATAACTAGCCAGGACGCCCACGACGAGTCGACGCACAGCTTCGCATCCTACGAGGACGACCTGCCCGAGCTGCTCGTGAACGTCGACGATGACTGCCTGATCGAGGAAGCCACGGTGATGGACGCTAAGGAGATCACGATCGAGACGCCGATCGTCCCGGAGAAGAGCGCGCTGCGCAGGGCGAGGCTCCTGCGAAACCTCACGATCGACACCACGGCCAAGCCGCGCACCGACCCCCACGACGTCTACCTCTCCTCGGAAGAGGACGCCTCGTCGTCCGCCGACGACTTTTCCGACTACGACTCCGACAGCGACGAGTCCGACGACGCCCCGGCGCGACGCAAGAGCCAGGAGGACACCGCGAGGGCGGTCTCGGTCGTGTTCGTGGGACGGCCCTGCGTCGTCGACCTGACGAGCGGCCGGCGGTCCGCCTCGCCCGTGCGGACACCGCGCGCGCGATCGTCGTCGCCCGCGCTCCGCAGCGACTCGCTCAGCAGCCGGTCGAGCCGCCCACCCCGCGAGGGCAGCCCGTTCTCGACGCAGGAGATGCCGCGCGAGAGCCCGGCCTTCCTCACGCAGGACCCGTTCGCGGGCGAGAGCTACAGCAAGCCGGAGCCGCCGTTCAAGACGACGGCGCCCGGCGGCCGCGGCGGCGGCAGCGCGGCGCACGCGCGCGCCCCGATGCTGCCGTTCCGCCGCTTCCGCGGGTCGCTGAGCCTGGCGCGCAAGCGCAGCCGGCCGAACCTCAAGGCGGCGGCCTCGCGCGACAGCCTGCTGCTGGACCCGGCGGCGTCGGCGTCGACCTCGAGCCTGCACGCGCTGAGCTCGCCGAGCCCGCCCGGGGGGGAGGAGGAGGAGGAGCCGCCGCGGCGCAAGTCGATGCACCGCCGGCCCGAGTCCGCCGTCGCCTCCGCCTTCCCCGACCTCCCCGTCACCTACCACGACATCATGGCGTCCGCGAGGCGCAACGCCGGCGCCCACCTGCTCACGAAGCGGCCCACGAGCCCCACCACCCCCAAGAGGGGCATCCTCAGCGGCCTCCACATGAACCGCCGGCGGAGCCTGCTGCTCAAGCCGTGAATTCGGAGCACGCGCACGCTCTCCAACTAGCTACTGTTATGGATTTTATCCCTTTTCTTTGCTGCTCTCTCAGTCTCCTCTTTTTTTCCCTTTCCTAGTCTCTCGCTTTCCTATCTTTTTTTATACTCTCGTTACTACTACTATTACAACTACTACCTAATTGCATGGACGGCGTTACGAGAATATGTGGAGCTCGGGTTCCGGACAGGGGGGCAGGGGCAGGGGGTGAAGAAAGAGGGAGGGGAGGGTAAGGCCACTGTCACGATTCTGTTTTTTTTCTTAGCCTCTACTTCGTCCCCTACCGCACGACTACGGATGCGAGGGGAAGCGCTTTACAGTACCAGGTTTACTGCTGGGAACGCTATATACGATTTTCCTGTACTTTTTAATCTATATTCTGGATGGTGGCCCGGGCAACATGGAGGAGGAGGTGGAGGCGGGGTAGACCAGAGAAGGGTGAAGAAGAAACGGAAGTGTGTGGTTGAGACCTTAGGAGGACGTATCTCTCCATATCTCTCTGTCTCTGTGTCTCTGCATGGCTATCTCTTCCCGATGGGGGGCGCGGAAGAGGGATTTCGAAGCAGGTAGCAAAAATAGGCTGGCGAAGAGGATCTCTTTTTTTGCATGCATGCGGGTGGTTCGAATGATGATTGATTGATCGGCGCTGCTGGCTCTACTATAGCACAAGAGGCTAGACGACGAAATGATACCACGCTACTATACTCTTTTCGCCCAATGCCACCATCCGAACGAGTGAATCTTGTGTGTAGACTCTTGGGACGAACGACCGGGCTTCAAAAATGTTATCAAAGCTAGGCTGCGAAATGTGTGTGGTTGGGACGGTTCTCGTGTTGCGCCCACCCATTATCGTCTAACGCCTTTTTGTTTCCGTCTGAACTAGGAGCAGAAGAACGTGGCCTGGGGAGTTATAGAAGTTTCATTATAGCGGCATCTCCCAGCCTGCTGGTTGGCGAGAGGAGAGGAAGTCAGACGACAGCCAATTCGACCAGACCGTCCTGATGTCGATACAATGCATTCTCAACACCACCAGTTTCAGTCCGCTTACCGCACTGCAAGCGTCTGTGGTCTGGCCGACATCGTCCGTACCGCTTCGCTTTTCGTAACCCCCTTCGAGAAGCTCCCCCTTCCCCCGAACAGAAAAAAACCCGCGTTTCTGGTTCTTTTGTTCTGTTTCTTCTCTGTTTCCCGTTTCTCCTTCGCCTCCCCGCCCCTTGCTAGGAGCGGTGAAGGCTCAGGAGCAGGGCCTCCGCGATAAACCTGACCTAGCGATAAGTCGGCTACTGCACACCCAATGCCACGGTAGAAATCTGCGTACACGGATCTGTACTGCGACCCGGCGTCCTCGCACCGCAGCAGCAGGCACAGCTTACGGATTGGCACATGCAAGGAACCAGGACCTTGACACCATCGCGGAGCGGCCTATCAGGTCTCTGCGTCACCGGCCAACCCCCCAACCTGCTCCTTTTCGGTGCGTGTCAGCCAGCAGCGCTCGCCGATTCTGTTCTAGCTGCCGGGCACTAGACTCGACGAGCTCGAGGCATCGCACCGGTGGGCAGAGGAGGCGGGCGAGCAGGCGTGATTGGAGGAGCGGCCAGGGGAATGAAAGGCGACATCTATATTGGCGTACCATCGTTGATGCGTCGTGGTGTGCAGACGACCCAGCTGGGCCAATCTAAGACTAGATCTAGACAGTGTTTTCTGTCTTTCTGTCACTTGCCTCTCTATCGCTGTCTCACGCGCCCACTCCTACTTTCTCCGTGTAAAATACAGGCAAATGTGGAGAGAGAAGATGAGGCACGCCCCCGTACACAGGTAGGCGATGTGTTACCTACCTACGCCCACCTACCCGCCCGCCCTATGCGCATATCAGGCAAATGCGCCAACGCCCGGCCGGAATGTGGCCGCCGAGACTGTTTTCAGCAGAAGAGGGAGGACAGAGAGGCGGTCGTGTGCAGCAGTCGGGCCCCTCCCCGTCGCCCGCTCGAGTACATTAAAACGAGCGTTGGCGGACGAAACCTGCCAATACATTTTCTGCGGTTACCATCATCTTGAGATTGGGTGCGCGTGGGGGGGGCGGCCTGAGGGAGGTGGAGGACGAGGGGGGGCGAGGGAGCCACGGTGATTCGACAGCGACGCGCAGGACGGCGCCCAGGAGCAAGAAGGGGGAAGAGGGGGAGTGGTGGTTGTCGGATATGGGAAACGAAAGCCCCCAGTGTCGTCCGTCCTCTCGTCTCAAAATCTGATGTCGCGGCCGGGGAATTTCACGGCGTGTGTGGGTTTGGGCGCTGGCTTGAGGCGTCGAATTCTACGTACGACTCCACACGACCACTACGACGACGACGATTGCGGCGGGTTGCCAACGTCGGTGCACCAACATCGCCCCCACCAGGCCCCCCTCCTCCCCTCCGCTCTGCGCTTTCGGATCTACGTAGGTAGGCATATCTGTTCTGGTCTGGCAAACGGGCTGCATTAGCGACGCCTATCTTGCTGTCAAAAAAAAAAAAAAAGGAACTCGACGGTTCTAGAGTTGCACCCAACGCTGCATGCGTACAGAGATGTGTGGGTGCGCGTAGGTAGGTTCTGTGCCTAGGGTATGTGCGCGCGCGCGCGATACTACATAACATCCTACGTATACGAGATGCAAGTTGACATCTCGACAATGCTGTCCACTTCGTATGACGCGCATGAACGACGCTAGACGGCCGATACGTGTAGCGAAATGCGTGTAGTAGGTAGGTCACGTAAAGTTGGCCGAGTCCGCTTGAGCAGGGCAAGGAGATGAGAGAGAGCGAGGAAGAAAGGAAGAAGGGGGGCGGCATCTAGGTAAGTACGACACGAGCCAGGATGTGGAAATCCCAAGGACAGAGAATTAATTCTCCTAGATACAGATGACTTACATGCGTGAGGTGGCAGCAAATCAGCCCGGTGGGCGCACGAAGAACCAAGCCGATACGACGACCACGTACGGCGGCGGCGGCGAATCAGCGACGGAGTCGACGAAGAACGGGGGGCGCCATACACACACCCTCTCCGTCTCGTCGACACCCACCACCGCGGCCATACGTGCCGTGGGTATGCCTAGGCGCCGACCACACCCACTCATGGCGACATAGCCACTTGACCCGAACGCATGAAGATCCAGTCTGAGTCGATCCCAGGTCACACCCACACCTCTCCGCGCCACACAGACACACGCAGACACACACCCTCTTTTTTTCTCCCTCTCTCTCTTTCTCTGGGCCTCTCTCTCACTTCACGCACGCACTCTATGCCATCTATCTACCACACGTAGTGCTCGGCCCCCCCCCCCCCGCTACCCCCTCACCTCGCAGCGCAAACGCAAACGCAAGCGAGAGCAAGGCCCTCCCTCCCGTCGGGATCCCGGGCAGATCCATGCCACGCAATGCCGTCCGCCCCATCGCATCGACCTCCTCGCCCAGGCCTCTCGCGACGACGGCGGCGAACTCTAGCGAGCGAGCGAGCGAGCGAGCGGGAGGGAGCAGCCTGATTGGCCTGGGCGAATTCGGCGCTGCCGCTCGCTTGTCGCACATACATAGGGTGCGCCTGTCTGGCCCGCGCGGGGAGGGGATGCGCGCGGATTGCGTGTCCGATAGATAGGTGCAATATATCTGCGTGCCGAGGGAGACGGGTAGAGAGACCGTGTGTGCGTGCGTGTGCATACATACCTACGTGTACATATGCGCGTGTAAGCATAGGTAGGTAGGTTGTAGGCAGGCAGGTGGACAGCTGGGTGCTAGGGACCCGGGCCTCACCTCGCATTGCCGGGGCCGTCTGTCGCTCTCGCTGCCTCTTCCGCGCACGCACGCACGCGGTATGCCGCGCGCCGCGCCCTACCGCCGGCAACCCCTGCTCCGATCACACTCCCCCCCTCCCATGCCGTCGCCGTCGCCATCGCCGTCGTCGTCATCGTCGCCACATATTAAGCTTAACCCCGACGGCGTCAGACGTTGAAAGTTTCGTTCCTCCCTCTTGAAAAATGCGCCCCCCCCCCCCTTGGCCGACGACGGCACTGGAAGAACCCGCGACTATTACGTTTCCCTGCTCCCTTGCCCTTCGCACTCCCCCACCCCCTTCCCCCTCCCCCCGGCGATGAAACAGAGAGGGTCGGGACGATGATCAAACCGTGGCTCGGGCCAGCTCGCAACCAAGCAGTACCCAGCGTACTATTTGGAAACAAGTCTTGCTTTGCCTGCCTAGGTACCTACCTACTGATCCATGCTTGTGGGCAGGCAATATGTACCTCTAAGGTTTGGGTAGGTATATGCCTGCGGCAGCTAGGCACATCTCAACAGCGCACGCCCGCCCCGAGCCACCGCCGCCGCCAGCGCTCTCGGCCGGCCTTCTACCACCCGCGGCAAGATCCGTGTGCGTGCGTGCACCTGCTTGCCGGCGGTGCCAAACCGAGATTGCCGGCGGCAGTGTTCCTGCGCGGGGCGGCGACAGGCGAAAGCGGGCCCCGGTGGAACTAGAATTGGAATTTGGGGAGGGGGGGGGGGGGATAATAAGTCAGTACCCCCTCCTCCCCCCCCAGCGAAGAGAGATTGGAGCCCCGTCTCGTGTGCGCGCGCGCGCGCAGTCGTCAGCGGTGGGTGCGGGCGACGCGAAAGTGGCGGAGCCGGAGGGGGAAAAAAAGGGCGTCACGAGAGTGCGCGACGGATCCGGGCGGGCCGTGGTGGTGTGAGAGGGCGAGACAGCGGGCGCGCGCGTGAGAGCGTGTGTCCTTCTTGAAACAGGACGGCCGGGAGCGAGGGCGCGGACACGAGGGCACACGAAACTCGCCGTGTTCATGCTCTCTACTCGCTGAGATTGGAGGTTATTTACCTCTCGCCGCTTCTCTTCTTCTCCCGTCGTCCTCGGGATGGGGAGAGATGGATAGGTGGGTGGATAGGCAAGGTAGGGAATGTGTAATTAGGTCTCCATCTCATCCCATCCCACACACACCCGCCAAGTCGTGTGTTTCTGACTATTTTGTCCAAGTACCAGACGGGCCCCGCTGGCCTCAATGCGCGCAGTATCAACGCGTGCTTTCGACGTAGAGCATGGCATAATACCATGGCCTGCCTATGGTCGAGGCATCGAATCGCCCATAGACGGCAGTAGTATGGGAGGAGCCTGCAACTCCAAAGTCGGTGTGTGAATGGAGGCACATATTACATACCTACCTATCTCTAATTGCACTTACACTGCTATGCGCTGATGTGGGCCGTCCATCCCGCCCGTGCATGCATTCGATGCCTACAGGGGTCGTCGCAGGACGTGCTAGGCGAAATCGTCGCTCAGGCACCCAGTTCATTGCTGGCCCTAGACGACGACGTAGATGTAGATACCTATACCTTGCAGGCACTAAATCTACGCGATGTAGCGGTGGGTGAGGGCAGGCCTGCATCTCATCACACCGCTTCGTGGAGGCAGGTAAATGTACCTAGGTCTTGGTGCCTACTCTCGTAACTAAGTGTAAAGTGGTCAAATGCAAATACGCCGCACCCCATTCCCATCTTGTCCCACTGCCGCGGGTCAGCTACGTGATCCGGATGCGATGCTTCTTTCTTTGCCTGTTTTCTTTTTTTCTTTTTCTTTCACTGTTCTCCTTCTCCCCTGCCCAAGTGCATACCTAAGTAGGTATGAGTAGTATAACTAGCGAAGCCAAGGTTGACTTACACGACCGAGAAATACCTACCTACCTAGTGTGCCCTGTCCCTACCCCGCGCATCGAATCTCTCGCCGCGAAGGGCTCGAGGATAAGAAGACAGACCCGGCTCCCGTGGATGAAACTTGGGACGAACAGATGGGGGATGGGCGGCGCGCACAGACGATGGTCGGCCAGGGGAAGGGGCACGGCTACCGTGCACCGCACACGGCTTCCAAGGGTACGTGAGTTAGTATGCTCATACCATATGCGCAGGGAGGTTAGGGACGTGAACATCCCGGGCGATGCTCAAACTCGATGCTTCGGGGGTCCCCTGGCTGCCGTCCCGTGACCCCATACCTAAGTCGGTAATCGTATGTACACGTACATATATTGTAGGTACGTGTGTAAGTGCACATGTTCGTGGCGGCTCGCTAACGGTATGCCTCTGCTATTTACTCGTGTTTCGCAGCCCCTCGCCCCTTTTATCAGCGTAATGGCGTACATGCGCCGGCAACGAAGTGCATATGCCATATGGTAGGCAGGCGTGGGTTTGCGAAGGCGGGCAGGGCGAGAAATGAGCGAGGGGTCGGACGGACGAGCTAATATTGCTAGCCGACCAACTAATCTAACCATCGGGTCCCCGGAGACAGGGGGGGCATCGCGATGCGTGGAGGGCACGTGGTCTCGGACGCGAGATTGCGAGATCACGGGAAGGGTGGATTGCGTACGGGTATTGGTAATGCAGGCACGAGTATATGAGTAGATACAGGTACAAGTATAGGGATGAATGGATACGGGTACGAGTGCCGAGTGTACACGTTTCTATTTGTGGCGATGGATGTGTCGTCTTCAAGTCTACGGTCCCGCAATATCGGATCGAGTAGCACGGAGATCGTGTGCGGCGATCCTTGGCTTCGACAACAGAAATCGCTTAAAATTGCAAACAATCGGGGCGGCCTTGGCTTCACTTGGGTAGTCAGGCCTGGGTTGCGTCCAGAGTGATTGGGGCCTGGCACGGTCTACTCGGACTCGCATAGGAGTATTATTGGGGATAGACTTGTCTCCTTCTAATACACATCACTGTTATCTCACCCATCTACCACGACGCCTACCTAGCCATATGTATAGTTTTCCCGCATGCGGTTTGTATAGGTAACTAGCGATATCACTGCCAATATATGGAGCTTTCCCTCACTTTTCTTGTTATGTTGGAGGTTATATCAAAGGACAAGAGTCACTACTATATAATAGAGTCAGTATTCTCGTATTTGAATTTATAGGATCATGACCTAGTAGGATAAGTCTAGTTTCTCTTAGCTGCCCTTCCCGATTGGTCTAGACCTTACTACTAAAGGAATAGCAAGAAGGCACTTCGGACAGGACTGAAGGCGGGAGCTTCGTAGCGATGAGGGGATTTTGCGTGAGTATCGTCCCTTCGCATATATCCACGTCCTTCTTCTTATTACAGTGTAGAAGGTTGTTCAAGGTTCGGAGTGACTCGTGTGGGTTCACCACAGGTCGAAGAAATGAACGGTGGTTATACTAGCGGTTGGTTAGTCCAATTAATAGTAAATGCGAACGAAAAAAGCAGTATCTCGACTGTATATATAAGTGGCCTGCTTAAGGTAGTGACTCAGAGTGTCGCTCTATGAAGGGTAAAAGCTAGTTAGACTCGGGAGAGGAAGTTAGCTTAATTTTATCCTTGACGTAGTATCATTCCAAGACCTACTTCAGCGGTTTCGTTAATGAGAGCTAGGAAAGCTGGACCGTCAACTTTTAGTTTACCAATGCAATAAGAATCCAAAAGCTGATTGGGCTTAGCCCCAGCCGCTGAGACTTCGTACAGAGAATCAACAGACGGAGCTTCAATCTGGGCAACGGGCGAGAGTTGGTTCCAAGTTCCTCCTGTCGCACAGGTTACGCTTACAAGAACATTGCCGCCCGGTGTGACAGGAAAGGACGTCATCCTAGCCCTCTGTCCTCTCTTCCCTGCGGATGTGCTCTTTATTTTATTTTAACCATGGTGTTGAGTTTGTTGGCTCGGAGGAGGCCATGGCTCGCCTCTCTATCGACGATCAACTTACCATCAGTAACATGTCGACGGAGTGGTCGGCGACTTCTGCAATGGTATGTTCATATGTAATGATTATACTACTTCGTCCGTGTCTAACGTCTTGTGTGTTATAGTTCCCGATTGATAAGACTCTGGAGCGCTGGCTACGGAATAAGGCTACAGAGGCAGCAACCTACGAGGGCCGGACGACTCCGGAGAGGCTCACACACGACAAGATCGATCAGCTCTACGCCGACCCTACGCATATCCAAGCTGATCCTGGGGCTCATTACGCCAAGAAGCTACATCTCAACCTCTCTACTCTCTTGCCTCAAGTCACAGGACCCAACAGTGTGAAGATATCGACCCCGCTCAGCGAGCTTGTCCCGAAAAACATCAAAGTTGATGAGGCTTACATTGTGAGCGGTACCAACTCACGGAGCTCTGGACTGAAGGCTGCAACCAAAGTCTTCCAGAATGCTGCCAAGGCCAGCGGCAGCAGGGAGATACCCGAAATCGCAGACCATGTTCAGCTCTATATCGCGGCGGCTTCGATCAATGAGCAGAAGATCGCCGAGAAGGAAGGTAGCTGGCGGATCTCTGCCTCGAACCGCGACTTCAAGGGCTAGGTGGGCTCGAGACGTCAGTCCCCTCACTATGCTTGAGATTTTTGCAGGAGATTGACTGGCTGTGTTCCTAATCGCTCGAGCGTACCTTGCCAGTCCTGAAGTGGTAGCCGCCAGTGCTCTTAGCGGTGAGATTTCAGGTGCCGGCGTATATAAGACCTCCGAGAACCTCAACGGCATCGAGTTCGGTTATGGTACTGGCTCGCCGGCGTCCCCTCTGATCGAGCTCGAGAGCGCTGTCGAACAGCTAGATTCTCTCATCGACCGGGCCGAGTCTTCTGTCCTCCAGGACGACGACGCCGCAAAAGAAACGACTTGGATACTTCTGGGCTTTCCTAAGAAAATCAGGGGTGAGATTTTATTCTGCGACGTCGACAGCCTTGATGTGAGAGTTCTCCCGATTTATTTCTATAGAGCCGTTCATTCTGATGTTGATGTTCTCTAGACCGACAACATCTATGCGGCAAAATGGACGTACCAGGATGATATTACGAAAGAGGGGCATGGCAGAAGTCTGTATGGTGCACTACGACCCAGACTTCGGCTCAGTCGCTAAGCCGAATGATATCCTTGTCTCGGGATAGAACTTTGGCATGGGCTCATCTGGAGAGCAAGCAGCAACAGCCATCCTTGCCAGACAGATCCCACTCGTCGTAGCTGGGAGCTTCTCTAGTATCTTTGCCCGCAATAGCATCAACAATGCGCTCTTGGCCATAGAGGTGCCGTGACTTGTTAATCGTCTTCGCGCTGCTTTCCCCTCGTCAGAGAAGGTGCTGACACGGCGGACAGGCTGGACCGGAACATGGGACATCTCCCGGAGCACCATCAAAGTACAAGAGGGCGAGGATGGAGAATGCTGGGAGGAAAAGGTCGGCCATATTCCCAGGGAATCTACAAGAGATTATCGCGAAGGGGGGCTTGACAGAATGGGCCAAGCATGATGAGGTTGCGAAGGTCGCTGTATAGAGTGTATAAAAGTACATGGATTGATGATCCGATTCTGGTCAAACGTGTTCGGGGAGTGCCGAATATTTTTCGGCGAGAAAAAAAAATCGAGGATTGAATGAGGATCGAACTCATGACCCTGAGATCTGCAATCTCATGCTACGAGAGGGATTAGTTAAAGCAAGGAAAAGGCAAATTGATTAAGACTAACCTCTACCACTGAGCTACCAATCCAATTGATTTGTCCGTCCTTTGACCAGACTATATTGCTCAGTCTCCATCCATCTCTCATTTTCATGACTAGCCGGATCGGGCATGCGGTTTCTATTGCCCCCCACAATCACAACCCTGTGGTAAACTTATAGCAATGGCGGGACCGTACTTGACTGGCTGCGATAGGTGGATGTACCACTACAGGGCACAGCCTCTTAGGCCTGTAATATAGGAACCCTAGCATCTATAGTAGGCACTCATCTCCAATATACCATGCAGCCCAATGATCTAGGTATACAGCCTTGCTGATGTGCTATTGTGGATAGATACGACTCGTTTTAACCGCGGGGTTGGATAGGATGTTTTTCTTCATCTTTCTAAAGAGTAGTTATATAGCCCATTAATTCCGTAGTTATTTTAATAGACGACAAAGGTCAGAACCAACAAGGCCTCAGGCATAAGCCACCCAACTAATATACAGGACCACATAGAGTACATGGTCCGAAAAACTCCGGCCAGTGTCTACGTACGTACGTGACGGCACATAAAATAAAACTGAGGTGAAAGAAAACTACCCCATACTCCGAGAGACCCCCTTGTATCCTCGGGAGTGTCCGCGCTCCTTGGGATCCACGGAGTCCTAGATACTCCTGGGAAATGCCGGGGTTTGGGGCAGCATTTTTCCTATCAGGACGGGTACGTAGGAGTAAGGCTAGATGGGCGGTTAGGTCTTGATAGTGACTAGCCTGGTTGCAGAGATGTGATTCTCCACCGGTAATACTGAGGGGGGTTGGGTCAATGAGATTCCGTTCATTAATCAACAAGTTGTTTTTCAGCAGGTAGGATATCAGGCGCAAATAAGTATGGCCATGCTCGGCAACACCAAACAACATACTGCCATCGTCATAAGACCTAGCTTAAGCGCTTCATCCACCCGCTGTAGTATATCCAGTCTTGCTTGATGCCCCATGATTGCTTTTGGTCAGGCTAGGTGTAATACGGCTGATTGCTGTCGCTTAGCACAATCGGGCAGATGAATGGGAGGCTTGCTGTGGCTCAGACACGGACTGGAAACCCGCATGCTCTACAGTCAGAACTATATAAGTTTTTCCAGCTAGGTGATACTGTATACGTCGTTACCCTAAACCGCGGCGCTGTAAAGGAGGCTCCGTAGATGTAGTGAGCCTGTTACAAGTGCGCCTTAAAAAAGGCCTTCGCCGCTGTCATCGTTGAACTGCCATCTCGGATTCCACGTTGGAGCTTCAAGGTTGTATGCATGCAACATCCACACATCATGGCCACGACATCTAGTTCGACAAACGGGGCCTTGGCCAACGGGAGCAGGGCTAGCTGCGACTCTCTGCTGGCGAAGGCAGATTCCGGTAACGAACTTGATGTGCATGGCACTAACGAACAGAGCAAGCATGGCCCCTGAGTCCCATTTGCAACTCTTCTGGTCTGATCCAAGTCGATGTCTAGCTACTGTTACTTCACACCCTAGGCTGGCCTGGAAACCGCCGCCAGACCCATTGGTGGACGATGCTGCGGTTGTGCCGCCCCAAATCGGCATAGCAGCTGCTATCCGCGGAATTCTGCCTCAAATCGGCGAGGATCCCACCCGCGATGGTCTTGTCAAGACGCCTGAGCGATACGCTCAAGCACTGCTATTCTTCACCAAAGGGTACTCTGAGAGTGTAGAGGAGGCAGTGAACGACGCTGTATTCAGTGTCGACACCCACGAGCTCGTCCTTGTGCGGGATATCGACATTTTTAGCATGTGTGAACATCATATGGTGCCATTCACGGGAAAGGCAGGTCTTGTCCCCCCCCCCCCTCCCCCTCCCTCTCCCTAGGTTGATGGCGGGACAGGGCACACCCACAGGCTGACATGGTGGGACACGCAAGATGCACATCGGATACATCCCGAACGGCCAGGTGCTCGGGTTGTCGAAGCTGGTGCGAATTGCTGAGATTTACGCGCGCAGGTTGCAGGTACAGGAACGGTTAACAAGGCAGGTTGCTGCGGCCATAGAGGAGGTGCTGAGCCCGCTGGGCGTCGCGGTGGTCTTGGAGTGTACGCATATGTGCATGGTGATGCGAGGGGTGCAGAAGACAGGGACCGTGACGCGTACTCAGAGCATGACAGGCTTGCTGAAGAACAGCCTCGAGGAACGGCAGCAGTTTTATACCCTGCTCGGGCTAAGACAGGGAGGCTAGGTTTCATTTGGAAGAAAAACTCCGGGTAATAATAAGGACAGGGGCTGAGACAAGTTGCGCCCTGTTGGCATATTTCGGTACTTGCGATCGATAGAGTATGCCATCATGAATTGGCGTTTGGCTTCCCCCGTCGAGTCTGGCTACCTCTGGATTGGATACATGCTGCATGTAGGAGCGGCATATTTACCGCATCGTCGGCGGTTGTCCGCGGGTCAGAACAACGGAAAAGGTCGTGTTGCCATAGGAAATCCTACTCATATAACCATACATATCCAAACTGGAAATCATAAGCGTCAATACTTTCACCTGACATGGTGCATATTGAACTGCATTTAATTAATACATACATATGCCACGTATGTTGCTTTCTCCCAGTTTCCTTGAGTGGCTTCGGGTTCAACAATATCTGCTCTCCGCTGCCCGAGAGGCATGACTCATTCCGAGCCTCCCGCCTTGCAAAGTTGTTGGGTGGTTCTTAATATAACAGCTCTATGCATTATACACAGATTTCCCTCAGGAATTCTCGTTGTTAGACGCGGCCCTGAGCTGGTGCTGTTCGAAGGTAAGTGTGACAAGGGGATATGCTTGGAATAACTTCAATTCAGCTAATAATTCTATAGGGGGTCTCTTAGTCCTTAACCTTCTCCGGGTTTCCTTTAGTTACCCGTCCGACCTAATATATCTCTAAGGTATCTTTATATCTTATACCTAAGTATCTTAGTACCTAAGTATTTTCCGCGGATATCCGCGTCTTATTTAGGACTTCTCTTAGTAGGTCGCCGTACCGACGACCTAGCTACCTTATTCGCCTAATATCTGCCTAATATTGTCCTCCTGACCTATGTGTTGGTATTGGGGTGCATCCCCGTGTGACAGTGAGCTTATGGTGAGCTGTGGCCTGCGTCTGTGGCATAGCCACGGGACCCAATCTTCGGTCCGTTGACTATAGGTAAATTGACAAAAAAAAAAAGAAATATCTCTCTTAGGACACTGCCGTATAGCCCGATGAATCGCTCTTCTTCACCGGGTGCTGTAGTGGTGCGGTGGGACTAGGCCACGCAGGCCTTTTGATGAGTATTTACCTATATGGGTCTCATACTCATATTTTCATCGTGCACGCTTCAACCTGTGTTGATCACCATTGACCACCTACTAGATTGAGTTCACTCGTTTCCCATTATGGCTTCCAAGTCGCCATCCATTCATTCTTACTGCTCCCAGCTACCATCTATAGCTGGTCGATCAACAGCTTACGGCTGTTTATAGCTGTGATCCTGCTTGATCGGCACTGGGCTAGTTATTGGCAGTTGGACCGTTCCTGTTCCTGTCCGGGTTCCCCCTACAGCGTGCCCACGCTGTTCCTCTTCAGTACCCCCGTGCCAGCAACCGGCTTACGACCGGGCCCAGACCCGCTCGGCTAGCTTTGAAAGCCGGGCGACGTCCACCACAACATCCCGCTCCCCCCCGCGCCGGGTCTGCCGGCTGAAGAAACAGCAGGGAGAACTCCAAAATTAAAGGCCCGTCCATCACGTCGTGCATGACGGGATTGCTGCTGGGATGCGGCGCGATGGTAACGACCTGCCGTAGCGTTTGTGAAACACCCTTAATGTGCTTCTCTAGAAGAAGCGTCCGCGAGGCTCGCGACACTTTGACCAGCAAAACGATTTCGACGGTGTGGTTGGAGGCCGCAAACCACCAACGCATTTTCCTGTGCAGGCTCCGTAGCAACTGCGTGACGCCGGTCTCAATCACCAGTGTGGGCCACCCGTTCGGATCCGAACCGCGCACCGACGGCATGAAGCAGGCGTCGGGTTCGCCACTGCTATCGCTGCCACTGACAAATTCGGTCGCACTGAAAGGCTCTAGATCTTCTTCTGACAGGCCAATACTGTTTAGATCACGGTAAATGAGAGCTCTCAGCCTGCCATTCACCACCTCTGGAACACGTCCGTGTCCACGCCTACTACTTGTTAGAGTGACCTCCATCTGCTTCCTACGTCTCCTCGGATCGTACCTTGAAAAACGACAAAGTCGCCATCGTGCGCCCCAACGGTGCGGAAAAGTCCCGCGATGCTAGAAGAGACGGTCGTAACATCGTCTCCGCCTACATTAGCATCGGTTGGCGGCGTCGAGACGTCGCCTGGGGGGAAGCGGAACTCATCGTGCATCCCTAGTGAACTTGTCGTTCCGGAGAGGACCACCTAAAGCTCCCAATGAAAAGGAAGTAATATAGGCGGGAGTACACCATGCGGCCTGAAGGCTAGGGATGGGGAGTTTTTAGTATTTTTGAGACGATATTGTGCCTCACCGTGCGCTGCCTGCCACATTTTACCTGTTTTGGTTTAGTCTATAACATTATGTTATATATTAGTATATAGGTAGTATTTCAGGACCATCACATTACGTGTACGTACTGTCCTAACATACGTGCAGAAGCTAGGCTGTAATGCACTGTACTAAACCTTGGATTAGGATGCAGTTCTACGACTCTGGTGGCTTAAGACTGTCCCCTTACGATTATTTTTTTGTTTTTTTTTTGTTTTTATTTTCCGAATGTCCAGAACTTCGCAAAGCACTGCCTACTTGACGAAACTAATTTTGATGGTGAAACTATGGGCCACAGCCCGAGTAGTGCCTGAGCAAAGCGGTGAGGGGTGGCATAGTCGACCGGGGTTTGGTGAGGGCAATCTATGCGCAACGCAACAGTATAAGTAGGTATATGTCAAGATGTGGAAGTGGTCGGAGTATTGTATTGCTGTGCTTCCACCAAGGCGTGGGTAGAAGCATTGCACTGTGTTAGCCTCAGGTGGAAAGCTGTACCACTCTGTAGGACTTATCTACCTAACTGGCTGCCAAATCGCCGGGAGGCTGGTAGGTCTTCCTTGCCTGCTCATCGCCATGAGGCCCACATCAGCTACACCATTACCGAACTGACATGGCTACTCTCGACACCTTGAAATGGGCCCTTAGGCAGAAAGCCAGCACGACATCGTCCCCGAAGCGGTCCCTGTCTGACGCACAGTATAGCGCTGGCTTCAAAATCTTGGTGCAGGGCTCAGGATGGTTGACGTACCAAGACTTCATTATCCCTCAACTATCTCAGCTGCTGGCATCTCTCCTCCACTCGCGTACCCATATCTCGGTGCTAGAAATCGGACCTGGCCCAAAGACTGTGCTTGGGTATCTATCTGGTTGTCTGAGGCAGAAAATCACGAGATACGTTGCGTTTGAGCCCAATGCCTTATTTGCTACCGGGTTGGAAGAATGGCTGTGCTCTGCCTCCGAGACGGAGTCGCCGCTGCCCTGTTTGGAGAGCCTGCCTGACATTCGTCGAACCCCGTTTGTTCTGGGTAGCAACATAGGGAGCGGTACCGGCGCCGGCACGACTGGCGGGGACGAGAAGTTTGACGTCATCCTATTCTGCCACAGTATGTACGGCTTGAAGCCTAAACATAGGTTCATCGAACGCGCGCTGGGAATGCTTGCCGAACGGCCAGGAGGCGGAATGGCGGCAGTTTTCCATCGCGACGGGACCCTGCGTCTGGATGGATTAATGTGTCATCGAACGGCTTCCTTCCCTACTGGAATAGTTAGTGTGGCAGATGATGACGGGTTACTGGGCCATTTTTCTCCTTTCATCGCGGGGTTTGTCATGCAAGATGTAGACGTGGACGAGGATGTCCGGTCTGAGTGGCATAAAACGTGCCGGGCCTTGGGCCGTCGTGAGGAAGACCACCTAGATCGTCTCTTGTTCAGCGTGCCTACAGTCATGGCGACCTTTACGCAACATGCGACTATGTTGCCGAAGCTGACGGCGCAGGTGCCATTGCAGAAGGGGGACAGGATGGTCAAAAACCGACAGGCTCGCCTCCACCGTCCCGCCTTGGTTGTTAAGCCGACAGAGGTCCGACACGTCCAGCAGTGCGTTCGATGGGCTCTGGAGCACGGGGCCGGCCTTACCGTCGTCGGTGGGGGTCACAGCGGCCACTGTCTCCAGCCCCACGTCGTTTCAGTCGACATGGAGGCCTTTGACCGAGTACACATTCTCACGGCTGGGGATGATAGAGGAAAATCCGGCTCTGATTCCGGTTCTTGGGTCGTCGCTGAGACCGGCTGCAAGACAGGGGATATCGTTCGCAAGGCCATGGCGGCGGGCTTGACAGTCCCCCTGGGCTCCCGCCCAAGCGTGGGCGCGGGCATGTGGTTGCAAGGTGGCATCGGACATCTAGCTAGGCTGTACGGACTTGCCTGCGACGCTATTGTCGGTGCGGTGGTAGTCAGCGTCAACTCTGGTCAGGTCTTCTGTGTCGGCCATGTGCCAAGCCAACACCAACCGGCCGGTGCCGTTCGCCCGGAGCATGAAGCCGACCTGCTATGGGCGATCAAAGGCGCCGGGACCAATTTTTGCATCGTGATCAACGTTACTTTCAAGGCTTTCGCGGCTCCCAATTATTTGGTGCGAAACTGGGTCATCCCGCTGAGGGATAATACCGAGGCACAGCTTAGGCTGAGTGATTTCGACCACTTCGTCGCCAGGAAGCTCCCCCCAAACTGTTCTGCCGACGCGTATCTATATTGGGACAACGACCAGCTGCATCTTGGCGTGACCACATTTGAATCTTCCACGGATAGACTCGCATTTGAAACGCCAGCGCCTGTGGGTAAAATTTTGGGGCTGGAGGATAATGGTAATGATTACAATATCGTGGACGGCGTGGGTTTGTTCGACACCGAGATGTACATGTCCGGGATGCATGGTGGGCACGGCGGCGGCAAGACCTCATCGTTCAAGCGATGTTTATTCCTGAAACACATCGGAGCAGTACACATCGCCGATATATTAGTGGCGGCTATTCAGGCTCGCCCCTCGCCATTCTGTTATCTCCATCTGCTGCAAGGTGGGGGAGTAGTCAGCGACGTGGCTGCCGATGCCACTGCCTTCGGCTGTCGAGACTGGGAATTTGCCTGTGTGGTCACTGGCGTCTGGCCCCGCGACCAAGACGGAACCGAAGCTGCTCAAGATGCCATGAGGTGGGTTTACAACGTCGCCAGGGACTTGTTGCCGTTGAGTAGCGGAGCATACGGTGCCGACCTCGGGCCGGACCCCAGAGACGCGCCGCTGGCGGCCAAGGCTTTTGGACCAAACCGACCGCGTCTGGCTCGTCTCAAACGCAGCTTAGACCCGCGCAACGTGCTGGCTTACGCCTGTCCGCTCCCGAAAGCGCCGATAGGACAGAAGCTCATCGTTCTCGTCACAGGTGACAGCTGCGCCGGCAAGGACTATTGCGCTGGCATTTGGGCCTCCATATTCACCACATGCACCTCGAAAAGACTCACGGCACGTGTTGTCAGCATCAGCGATGCGACGAAGCGAGAATATGCGTCGGCTACCGGTGCCGATATAGACCGCCTGCTTGGGGACCGTGCCTACAAGGAGCAACACCGGCCTGCGCTGACGGCATTTTTCCAAGACCAGGTGCGGCAACGACCTCGGCTGCCAGAAGAACACCTGTTGAATGTGGTGTACAGCGCCGTAGATGTGGACGTGCTGCTAGTAACTGGGATGAGAGACGAGGCGCCGGTCGTAGCCTTTTCGCATTTGGTGCCAGACACTAGACTGCTTGACGTTCACATCAAAGCGAGCAAGGAGACGCGGCGGGCTCGCCGGGGGTGCCACGGCTGTGGTGACGATAGCGACGAGGATAGGGACAGAAAGACCAACAACGGTGGATCGAGTTCGGCGGCCTTGGACTACCGTCCCAGTGTCACCTTCGAGAACGACACGGCCGGAGACGAGGCGGCGAAAAAGCTTGCCGAGCAGTACCTGCTTCCCTTCCTCCACGAGGACTTGCAGCGACTGGCCGACATGGTACGTCCGGTACCCGACTTCCCACGTGCAGGCATCGAGTTCCGCCACGTGCTGGACATCTCACAACAGCCAGGCGGGCTGAGCCTGTGCGCGTCTCTGCTGCAAACCCGCTTCGCCGGCGACTGGGCCGAAGTCGAGGCGGTGGCTTGTTGCGAGGCCGGCGGCTTCGTCTACGCGTCGGCGCTAGCAGCGCGGGTCGGCCTACGCTTAGTGCTGATTCGCGAGGCTGGGAAGCTCCCGCCACCGACCGTCTCCGTCACGAAGTCGTCGTCACATATCTCGTCTTCGGCATCGGACGATTCGAGGGAGCAGAGAATCGAGATGAACCGGGGCGTGGTTCCTCGAGGCGCATCCGTGGTGGTGGTAGACGACGTGCTTGCCACGGGGAAGACGCTCTGTGCGGTGCTACAGCTGTTAGTTGAAGACGGTATCGATGCTGAGCGTGTTAGGGTCATGGTTGTGGCCGAGTTCCCGGCTCACCGTGGCCGAGAGCTGTTGCGCCAGTATGGCTTTGGCGGAGTCCATATTCAAAGCCTTCTGGTCTTTGGTGGCGCCTAGGAGAGGAAGGAGAGGATCTGGGAGTCTTGGGTTTGCGAGAGGAATGTCTGGTGATATGCGTAATCCTCGACACATTCCCCTTGTCGTTTGCTTTGGCGGACATGAACATCTTTCCCTTAGACATAGGTAGGTACCTAGAAGTTAGGGAGAAGGGCGATTTTGTTGTCGGTGGATGGCGGGCGGTTGGGCGAAGCCGCGAAAGCAGGTCAGCAATCCGTGGAATTGGCACATCCCTTGCAAGTGAATGTACCCTCCGACCTGTTCCCCTAGGTACCTAGGTACATAGGTAGATGCCTGTATTCCTGCCTCCCGCTGCAAAGCTTTGTATTACCTAATACCCACCCACCTAGATTCGCGGAAGCCTGCTAAACAGGACCTACCTACCTCCTAATGTACATCCGACTGGATACCCTGGAATACCTACTGATAGATGCCCCCGCTCCAGGACAACATCAGCGTCTGTTAGCATCCCATTTGTGCTCTGTGCGCGCAACCAACAATAGCAGCAGACACTGTCGATTCCCTAGCCTCCAGACTCGTCGTCGTTTCGGAGTGAGGCTCCCCCAGCGTTGTCCTCTACGTACGACGGAGTCGCACAGCTACGGTGAACCCGGGCGTAGTTGGCGTGTGTGACAAATCCAATTGAGCAGTCATAGGTTCCTACCTTGAACCATCGGAAGGTACCTACGTACTTATCCGTTGCGGCCCCTCCTGCCTTTAATTTACCTATTACCCACAACTGCCTTCAATTGCAACCATTTGCCTTATAAACAAATACGAAAGGACGAGAATAACCCTTATAATTAGACAGAGTATGTAAATTACCGTATATATAATAGTAAATGACCAGTAATATGCATTAAAAAGCGACACATCTTCTCATTAAAGCGTCGTTTCCCTCATGTAACTATGCGACTCCACGCCTGCCGCCTCCCATATTTATGACCCAATTGGTGCTGGGAGGCAAGGAGCATACGCAGAGCCTCGTGAGGGTCAGAATACGCATAGCCCCTGGTAAGGCACGCTCGGGTGATTCTCTTATTTATTATGGCTTCTGCGGCAGGGAATATGACACGCGCTGCTCTACTTTCCTACCCCATTGTCACTATGCACGAGATGCTAGCCACCGGTACTAGCAATGGCGGCCGTTTTTGATCCTATCCAAGCGGTCTTCCAGGATGTGATGCGTGATTTCCGGGCTGAACTGGACGATGAACAGGTGTACCGTGACATATTGCAGACAACCACAATCGACCAAGTCCACGATGCTGCGGAAAATATCCAAAAGGAACAAGCCAAAAGCGGTCATCTTCGACATTTGTCCAAGATTTCGCCATACTTGGACCGCCTTGCCGAGTACGCGACTGTGGTGGAGATCTTCGTTCAAGCGAAACCGGACGTCTTGGCCCTCATTTGGGGGCCCATCAAATTACTTCTGCAATGGACGAGCGCCCTTAGGACTTCATATGATGCCATCGTCAACACGATGGCTGAGATTGGTGAACTGCTACCGGAATTTAAACGAGCGCTCACCATCTTTAACCAGAATTCCGTACTAAAGGATGTCATGGCCTTATTCTTCAGGGACTTACTGGACTTCTACTTAGTAGCGTTGAGATTTTTCAAGCTGCCGCGTAAGCTACATATGCCATCAACGCAGCACTTACAATAACTAATAGAGTGAATCATCCAGGTTGGAAATATCTTTTTGAATCACTCTGGCCCCGGCACAGGGATCGAATCAAAGTCGTCATGGGCCATGTTCAGAATCATGCGCGTCTGATGAGGATCGAAGTCGGTTTGGAACACATTCAGCAGGAACACGAAGCTCGGCGGCGAGCACTAGAGCACTTTGAGAAGGACGAGAAGTTCCGAAGAACCCAGGAGTTTCACTGCATCAAAACAGATATAGCACCACAATCCTATGATGATAAACTCGACGGGTTACGAGCCCGTATCTGTCAAGGCACGGGCCACTGGCTGCTACAGGAGGAGGCATACAAAAAGTGGCTAGAAACTGCCGCAGAGCCACCAAGAACGTTGTGGTTGCAAGGCATCCCGGGTGCCGGTAAATATATTCCCTTCGAAATCTTCGACCGACCTGGTCCTTTTTATCCTGACTTACGTGCATCATCTAGGCAAGACATATTTAACCAGCACTGTAATTGACAAAGTGCGATCCCTCGGCCACACAGCTTTCGTCTTCCTCAGCTACAAACAGGACCAACGTGCAACTGCAATATCTGTGCTTCACTCTTTCATATTCCGCTTAGCTTCTGGGGAAGAAGACCTCCAGACAGTGGTTTGTCAATCCTGTAGCGAGGAATCCAAACGAAGTCTCCAAGGAGCCGCGGCACTTCTCACCACGGTTCTTTCCTGTACCGGGCCAGCCTACCTCATAGTGGATGGCCTGGACGAGATGGACGAGGAAGAGCGAGGAATCCTCCTCCCTCAGCTTCTATCGATCATTAAGTCCTCCCACGAAGCTAAGCTTTTCGTTAGCAGTCGGGCCGAGGCCGATTTGACTTCAATTCTTCGGAACGAGGCAACAGCCATACGCATTGACAAAAGAAATTCTGACTGTATTCAGACATTCATTCAACAATGGGCGCAACACTGGTTCATCGAACGCGAGTTCTGGCCGGAGGAGCAGACTCAGATCAAAGCTGGCTTAGCACCACTAGCGACGAAATCGAAAGGTAGTCCTTATCTGCGCCCCAATCATTCCCGCTACCTCAGCTAACTCCCCACTCGAGGGATGTTCCTCTACGCGAGGGTTGTGCTAAATGGCATCCAGTTCCTAGACAACTTTGTGGATATTCGCGAGGAACTCAACGCTCTCCCTGAGACACTTGACGATGCGTACGTATTGCATACCCGCCATAACTCTTGAAATTCCGGTTCTCACCAAGCCTCAGGTATAGCAGAATCCTCAAAAGGATCAATAGTCTGGATCGTGACACCATGAGAGAGAGGGCGCGCATGATCCTGGGATGGATTGCCTGTTCCCCAACACCACTGACAGTACAGGAAATTCAACAAGCGTGGAGTATTGATCCGGAAAACCCAGAATACACAAGCGGAATACATGGAAACCTCAACCTTGTCCGAATATGTGGTCCGATAGTGGAAGTTATCGACGACTACGTCCAGTTTGTCCACTTTACGGTTAAAGAGTCTGTATTTCCACTGGCTCCACCGGTGATTTCGTCCATTAACTATAGACCAGGTACCTTTTCAGCTCGAAAATCTCGGGCTTCATCGATATAAACCGGGCCACCCTTGATCTTGCCCTGCGCTGCATTACTTATCTTTGCCAAGCACACCACGACCCAGCCTTGACGGATGACCAAGTCTACCAGAATATCCGCACGGGGGCATATGTACTGGATTGGTTCGCCACCCGTATGTGGCCGCAACTCACCCGGAAGTATCTTAGGGATACTCTGACTCAACAAGAGGCGCCTCGTTCAGAACTAATTTCGCATCTCGAAAGGCTCCACTATAAGAGGCTCCAGAACGAAACACTGGAAGACAAGGACGACGACGATGATATTGACAGTCTTCTCCCAGGCCTGGGCGATATCAAACAGACCCATCCAGAAATATACGGGTTGGTAGGCCAGACAATACGATTTCACCGGCTTTGCAAGGCCTCAGAGGCTCGCATGTCCCGCGGAGCGCCTTGGATAGACCTTGACCCGCTGGGGAACTCGGAGCTATCCGTCCGTATACATGAAGCAATTGAATGCCCACCCCATCAGATCAGAGACAATGAAGGCGTTCATTGGGCGACGATGCAACGATGGTATGGTAACCGGCCTCATAAATGCAAATACCTGTATTGCCAATTCAACCGTGTCGGCTTTCAGCACGCTTCAGAAGGGAAATCTCACGAGAAATTCCATGATCGCCCGTGGAAATGCAGTATTCCTGGCTGCGAGTACGCGGAAGGCGGCTTTCTATCTAGAAAGATGCGCGACGACCATCTCGACCGAGCTCATTCGAACCAGAACGAACGTACCTTCGATCTCGGCAGTACAGGCGACGAGAACGAGACTAAGCTTATGCTTCTGGACTTGATAAAAGCAGGCTTGGTAGATGCAGTGGAAAATATGCTGTCATCTCATGCCGAGTTCACAGTCAAACACGCAGATGATATGTTCCGGGCCGCCATTGAGTCTGGGTCCTTATCAATGGTTGAATTCTTGGCACCGAAGCTGGGCGACAGTACGCTGCAAACCGAGGCGACGCAGCTGGCTACTCGACTCAACCAGGCCGAGATATTCCAATTTCTCGTTTGCCAATATCCCCACTGTCGTTATTTGTATCCAGCCTCATGGAAGAATATTATATCACTAGGCAGCTGCCAGATGGCTGACAGCTGGATACAGGCTGTGGCTCCCATGGCATATGATGAAGAAACTAGGACACGATTACACTATTATGCGACAGCCTCCGGCCGCTCAGTCTTAATTCGGACTGCGGCTAACGACAGGGCTAAAGAAAAGCCCCTCATCCAGCTGTGGGAATTCGGGAAATCGTTGGGGGCTATTAAGGCCTCAGATCTCGGGGGCTTCTTAATTGATGTTGCTAAAACGACTTGCTCTACTAATCTTGCCCAGTTTCTTCTCGATTCTGGTGTCGACGTGGACTCTCGCCGGAGCCCTAAATACTTTACCGCACTTCGTTATGCTACTAAACAAGACACCGCTGAGGCATCGGCTTTAATAAAGTTCCTGCTTCTGGCCGGCGCCGATCCCGACATCGAGCAGGAGTTTATAGCCTCTACTACTCGTAGGGCCGATTTTGTGACCAAAATGGAGGATGAGAAGGGGGCACGAGGTATTTCGAAGTGGTTGGGTATCACCTGGAACGAATTGCTGAAAGAGACGGAGGAATGCAGAAGTAAGGGCAAAGCTGAGAAGAAAGAGACACGGGGGCTCAAAAGGAAACGAAGCGCGAAAGATCAGGAAGAGTCCTGAGATCCCGAATGCATAATACCCGTCGCAGCTTGTTTAAAAGTTGAAACTTAATGCAACTGACATTAGCCAGGCATGATATTATAGTTAGCATTTCCAGTTCGGATGGTGTGAATAGTTTAACCCCGTGCCCGAAGTTGACCTCCAGCCGCCGACATCTATGCGATGCTACTAAAGTGTCTTTGTCAACGAAACAGAAAAAGGGTCGGCCTTAGCAGAGACCAGATAGCCTTACCTGGCATTTTGACATTTATAAGGCTACAGCAGCTAGCCTGCTGTCATAATGTAAGACTTACATATCCTTCTAAGGTAAAACGAGGATGTTATATTAAGGATTACGTTAAGCGTTATAGCGTTTAGATGGTGTGTGACGATAATTAATAAGGTTGTAAGGCTGGGTTCCCTGGAGCTCTATTTAAACTCCGCTATATTCAAGATAAGGCCCGGCTCACCGCTACAGAAGAGAGAAGGGCAAGCAGCCATAATTTGATGAGCTCAATATATTACCTATGAATGAATCCCCATTATAACACCTGCGGAGGCTCTTCTCAACTCCCCACAGCGCCTCGACGTTTAGATGACGTCTATCTAGGTATATATGCCTAAGCAGTGAGCCTCGTGTAGGGAGCGAGTCTTCTGCAGGGAGCTCACCTGGCCAGCAACGATATGTTTGTAACCACTAATAATAGTATGTTCACATTCAATATTATCGTCAATCATACCTATTAAGCTGTCTCCGTCATCCGTACAGTGCTAACGCAGTTAGCCAGCTTCTCGACATGAGGCATCTCCAGTATACCGATAGAATAGTATACTGGACTTGGGGGTCACAATCAGAGTTGTCATCGGCTCCTGGCTTCTAGCGCTTGCCGCCTAAACAGAACCAAGACGAGAACAGATGAAAGCTAACAAGCTAAGCGTCTTGCCCAGTCCTATTTTCTGGATGGCTGTTAAAATGGACTTTCCCTTCTCCATATGCTTTGATGGGACCTACATCTGCGATTATCCCTCCACGAATGGAAATTGGGTCGTTGGCAGAGATACCTGTAATCGCATTGCGATAGCTTGATCCCATGGGATTATTACCTGTCGTTGGTACATATTTCATGAGATGTCTCTTACTTCCTCTTTCTAGCTCCGTCCGGTGCTTCAAGCCAAAGTGACGAGGACTTGAGATTGCCCAAACGACCGGACTCTTTCTCGATCATGAAGCAAGGAGCTTTGATTTGATGCCTACATGGAGTTGAGCAATTGTTGGGCAGATGGGTTGAGCAGGGTAAGAACCTACTTCATCAAGGGCGTGTGAAGGGGAAGACTAGGGGTCACATTCACTTCAGCTTCTCCTCCGTCTATGTAATCAAATATTCTCAGTAGTCGGTTTCTCACCATGTCGTCTAATATAGTTGTCGGTGCGTTCTTTTCCTCGTAGAGTGTTTTGGGGCATGCTTCGAGTTCGTCTTTTCTCTCCCTGGCCGCGCTAAAGCGGTTTCAGGCTTGACTTTTGAAAGATATCCTCTCAACTTAACCATGTATGACCCTAAAAGATAGCATAAGGCTGGAGCGGCTAGAATGCCTGCGGAGTTCCGAGTCACTTGATACTCTGAGACGTTTAGTAGCCGCTACACCTCCCCGGCGAACAAAAGCAGCATGCAATTTGTCTGTGCCCTACCTCGATGGCAAGAGAAAATCCGACATGTTAGTCTCTTACCAGAAGATCAAGAGTTTCGGGACTTCTTCAAAGAGGCTGCAAAAAATCGTCATTCGGAGGTCTAGAGATAAACATGTACGGAAGAACAAACGGTCAAAGCCGCCTAACATTCTGCTGCTCATTACTCTTCTACGACTCGCGTGTGGTCATGTTAAACTGTTCCCCTAGTCTGAGATTGACTGTTGGAAGAGAGAAGAAAGCGATCCCTCCACCGAGGAGGAAGAGATGTTTCTTAACTCAGTCTATGGTATGGAGGGGGAGGATATGGGAACTCCAGAAACAATCTTCAACGATACCTCCTCTATGCAGATTGGGGAAGCAAGCACACCAGAAGAAGGCCGTCCTGCACACTCGGCAAAGGTCGAGGCATTATTGACGAACCTTGATTTAGAGAGAGCTAACTTCGACAGGCCGAAGCCTCTGAAAAGGTCGGTACATGAACATTCCAGCGATTGTTTTGTGGCTCCTTACTTACCCGCTTGCCTGCAGTGTCGTCTTCAGCTGCTGGACCAAGATGCTAGACCTAGTCCAGGACGCCCTCCGGGCAAAGGGGTTCAACTACCAACGAATAGACGGGCAGTCGAGCCTGAAGGCCCGATCAGAGGCCATGGAGATATTCACCGAGGATAGCAACTGCACAGTCATGCTGGCGAGCATAGGAAGCGCCGGCGAAGGGTAAGGGGGCCGATTCACGACGCCTTGACGAGGCACTAGCAGACGGCAGAGCAGAGCTGACATAGCTCAGTGTGGATTTCACAGTCGCACAATACGTCCACCTCCTCGAGCCGCACTGGAACCCCATGGCCGAGGCCCAGGCTGTGGACAGGGTGCATCGCATCGGCCAGACATCGCCCGTCACTATCACGCGATACATCGTGCCCGAATCTGTCGAGACTGTGAGTAACTCCCTAACTAGACTTTTCCGGCCTGATCCCCCACTACTCATGCTTACTTAGAGTCAGTACATCCAATGGGTTCAGAGCGACAAGCTCAGAATTATCAACCTGTCTTTTGACGCAATGAGCGAGGATGCGGTGAAGATCGAGGAAAGGCGGTGGCAGGTAAGTGACGTTCCGAAAACCTCTCTCATCAGCTCGACCAGAACGAAGGCTAACTCGAGTCCAAGAAACTTCAGAGTTACTTGCAGTAGCGAAAGGCGGGAGCTGGAGCGCCTGGGTTGAGGGACTCGTGCTTCAAGACTCACACCCAGGAACAAAAAGCCTACTACAGGCCTTATGCTCCTAGAGTTTCCGCGATGTTGACTGAAATGATGGGGATTTCTATATTTACATGTCACGTAGGCATACGCCTCTAGCGGAGATAAACCTAACTTACCTCAGCTCGTTGAGCATATATACATATGTCTAGCTAGCTTCGCACTCTTTTGCATATCTCATTCCTAGCAAGTTGGTCAATATACCCATTCTCACCCGCGTTCTCATGCTCCCTCTGCGCGTAAACTATCCTCTCAAACGTTGCTTGAGTTAGTTACGTGACAACCAGCAAATCGCATTATAACTGTAGACGGACTTCGTATTAGTTGTCGACGTGCTCCACGACAGACCTAAACAGCAACAAGCCAGGTTCCTCACGTTCACACTCGGAGCAATCTACGCAACTAAGACTTATAACAGCTGGGTATACTCCCCGCAACAGACAACTTTGGTACAAAAGATGTCGAGGGCACAGTCAGAGCACGTGCCTCCGGGTACAGACACCGGAACGACAGTCCGCAGTATTACACGGCGCAAATATAGCGATGACCTCGTCGCGCCACCCATCTAGTTGCCACTGGCTACGCACTACACGGCGTCAACACGCTTAAACCGCGCCCACAGGCAGGCTGAAAAAGTAGGCATTACGACACGAAACGGAGAAATTTCGATTGATCTACCATCTACCTACCATCTTTCCATCTCCGCTCCTCCTCCCGCCCCTCCCCTCGGTCTCCCGGGCCTCGTGCCCTCACAGCGGCGGCAGCTCCTCCCTGCATATCGGGCACTGCAGCCGGAAGCGCATCCAGCCCTCGAGGCAGGCGCTGTGGAAGATGTGCCGGCACGGCGTGACCATGTAGGCGCGGCGGGCGAGCACGCCGGTGACGCCGCCGGCCGCCGGGTCCTCCGCCCCCGCGCGGATCACCGGCACCTCGAGCACCTCGCGGCAGATGGCGCAGTCGATGACGTGGGTGCTCGTCCGCTGCTGCGGCGCCAGCAGCGGCTTCTTGCTGCCGCTGCCGCCGCCGCCGTCGTCGCGTTCGAGCTCCGGAGGAGCGCTCGCCGCCGTCGGGCTTCCCGGCGCTGCCGCCGCCACCAGCCCGATGGGCAACCCTCCCGCCTCGACGTTGTCCTCGCGCAGCACCGGGTGGTACTCCCAGGCGTCGGGCATCCAGCCGCGGGGCACGCCGAAGCGGGGCCCGAGCACGGCCTGGGCTGCGAGCGTGCAGGTTTGCAGCCAGAGCCAGGCGGCGAGCGCGGCGAGCGCCGCCCGGTCCGGCTCCGCGAAGGCGAAGTTGCCCGGCACCGCGTAGAAGTAGGCCACCGGCAGCAGCCGCAGCGCCGACTGCCCCGCCACGAACCGCCACGCCAGCGCCCGCCGGCAGTTCCGGTACGCGTTCCGGTAGATCTGCGGCACCCAAAGCGACAGGTACACGAATAACACCGTATTGAAATAGGCCGCCCGGATCCGCGGCCGCCAGCTTGCGGCCGCCAGGCTCAGAAATAGCACCCCAATCCCTATCAGCAGCAGCCGCCCGAATACGTTGCTCAGTTGCGTCCGTAGGTTCTGCGCGTTGGCTGTGGGGTTGCCTGCCGTCACTGGGGCGGGGAGACCGGTGGTCTCGTTGTTCGTGTTCTCGGCGATTTCGGCATCGACATCCTGGTCTGAGGGGATGATGATGGGGGGAGACGCTGATCGGCGGGTGGCGGTATCGGGAGGGTTTGGACTTGTTGCATGTCTCGGCGTCGTAGATGTGGGTGCATTCTGGCGTTCCCTTTCCCGCTCTTGCCGTCGCCATTCGGGTTCTTGGGCCCTATGGATCTCAGCTAGGAAGAATGTGGTAACGGTCATGGATAACAACGAGACACATGTGATGGCGAGTGACGGCAGCAGTGTGGTGGACGCCGAGAAACTCCAAGCGGCGGAGCCGGTGAAGATGATACCGTCGGCGAGCAGCATTATGCAGCCAGTGTAGAAACTGACCCGGCACAGGGTCGAGGGCGTAGAGGTCTCTCTCATCTGCATCTTGAGTAGCTGCAATTGTCCAAATATGGTGAATGCGAGGCCCAGAAGAAAGGTGCTAACGCTATAGAGAAACACTTCTTGCTTTACGCCGATCAAATGCTTGCCGTCTTCAGGCGCATATGCTGGGGGGCCTTTGGTTTCGAGGAAGAATGCGCAGTCAGGCGAGTACACGACAGCTGACATTTGAAGTTGAGGTATGCGCCGGTGGCCGGTGCCTTGAGGGAAGCGAAGCTCGTCCTCGATATCCTGGATAGCCTTGGCGACGTTCTCCGGACCTGTTAGGGTAGGCTGCACCCCTAGGATATCCTGATCTAGGGGATAGATCTGGACGTAAAGCAAGTACTCGCAATGTGGAGATGGGCTCCAGGCTTCTCCCGGCGCATCTAACGTGGAGGTCCAAGGATCAAACTGGTCGTCGAAAGTGCGCTTTTCTTTCCTCTCTAGCGCCTTGTCTAGAGTCCGGTTTAACAGGGCCTTGCTGGATTCGAAGAAGTCTTCACGGGTGGTGAGATGAGGTAGGCCGAATATGCCGGCGAACTTCTCGCTCGTGGTCGTGAAGAGCATGACTCCCTGGCGGGGCCAATGAACGCCGTGGAGCCGCATTTCCCAGCTGCTCCCGGTTCCGTCGGCATCATCGACGTTGATCGTAGCGGCTACCTCTCGGGCCTTGATCTCCGCCTTCTCTAGTACTAACTTGTCCACCTCCTCCGGCTCTGTCGCGCCATCCTCGTAGTCCTCTATGCGCACTAGCATCCTCCCGTCCGTGCCGGTAGCGTTTCGGGTCCATTCCGAGTGGTAGCCCGACCACGTAACACCTGGACTGATCTGGCTCAGGTTGTAGCTCGAGTGGTACCGCGGCGATGATGTGTTCGCCCTGTGCCATAGGCCGCGTATGATGCCGGTCGCGTTCTGCCAGACCGGCACGGAGGCCTCGGGGATGCCGACGGCGTTTGCGCTCCACTCCTCGCATCGGTTCTGGAAGCGCTGGAAGTCTTCCCACGCATAGCCGTCTTCCTCTCGGAAACCGGTTAGGTTTAAGTACTTGGACTCGGCCTCGGGCGGGTTGCCCGCTCGGCGTGGCGCGAAGTCGCCCCACTGGGTGCTGTTTAGGATGCCGAGGGCCTCCCGTTGGCGCGCAAGACGGCTCTTGACCAGGGCGGGGCCTGCGATGAACCCCGGGTTTGAGTCCGGACTGGTGGCGAGCCAGAATAGCAACAGGAGGAGGAAGAGGGTGCCTCTGTTATCTTGTAGCTGAGACATAGCAACGAGTTGTTATCATGGTGGCTATATTGTGGCTAGATGCAGTAGCCGGAATGCGTCGCAAGGGGAGTGAAGATGGCGACCATGTACCTATAGAGAGCCGCCTTTGGCCTGTACAGGGATACTGTCTTGCTTAGGTATAGTTTAAAATAAGACCCGAATTATTCTGCGAAGCAGAATAATTCGGGCTTATTTTTAGCAATTACGCTAAAAATAATAACCTATCCGGAGGATAGAGAGATATAGGAAGTATACTTAGTTTATTTAATAACGACTTTTAGAGCTACGAACTTTATTTATAATAAAAATATAGAAAGCGCAAAAAATTATATATAGAAAACTTACATAAATATACTTAGTTTATTTAATAACCATTTTTACGTTTACAAACTTTATTTATAATAAAAAACATAGAAAACGTAAGAAATTATATATAATTTTTAACGGGATTAAAATCTAAGACTAGGAAAGATTAAGAAAGATTAAGAAAGATTAGGAAAGATCAGGAAAGGTTACTGCAAAACAGGTCAGGAAAGATTAGGAAAGGTTACTGTAAAACAGGTCAGGAAAGGTCAGGAAAAGTCACTGCAAAACAGGTCAGGAAAGATCAGGAAAGATCAGGAAAGGTTACTGCAAAACAGGTCAAGAAAGGTCAGGAAAGGTCACTGTAAAATAGGTCAGGAAAGGTCAGGAAAGGTCACTGCAAAACAGGTCAAGAAAGGTCAGGAAAAGTCAGGAAAGGTCACGGCAAAATAGGTCAGGAAAGGTCAGGAAATAAGGGTAGAAAACGCGTTAGAAAAGGTCAGGAAATAGGGGTAGAAAACGCGTCAGTAAATATACGTAAGGATTTCAAATTATAAGACTCCATTTATCCCGCCGTTTTTATTAGGTGCACGCATTTTTAGGGACCCATAGCGCGTTTTTTAGCCAGTAAAAACAGAGTTTCCCCCAAATGACCCCTTTACAGGGTTATTTACAGGGTTATTTACAGGGTTATTTACAGGGTTATTTACAGGGCTATTTACAGGGGTATTTAATCCCGCAATTAATCAGCATGACAGGGGGTTATGCGTATTATAACTATCCTCCGGATAGGATGAATAGTAGGCTGGGGGAGTTGTGATCACAGGAGAGCGCCTTGGGTGGTTAATTGTTAATTACCCTTGTTGTCCTGTCGACGCCTGACATCCCACTGCCCCTGTATGGACGATAGGGGTAGTCGTAGCAGCGGTAAACTTCATTCGTAAACAGCACGAAGGGGCCCTGAGAAATATATCTCATGTGAGTTCTCTCGGCTCAAAAAATCGCACATACTTCTGTTTTGTAGAAGAATGAAGGCTAGGAAGATGATGAATAGGCAGGTATATTTGGTGTTGTAGGATTGAGCCCACTCCTGAGAAAATAGTCCCTGATGGCTTTGACAGGCCACCTGGTGGGGCGCTGTGCCGTGAGTCTGCCAGTGGCAGATGACCTGTCAGATATGTATTGCACAGACGTATCGCGCAGACGACAGTCTGACTTACCTAGGATCAGCTGATAGCGGGCCGACATCCGGCCGCGCACCGCTCATCAACTACGCATGGTTATGCAACTAAGGGATCTAAGCCTTGGGTATTAATCAGCACAGGCCAATGAGAAAAAGCTCTCGTAGCCTCCATAGCCCGCATTGGTAGATATGCATATATCCAGCACCTACACCATAATGCCATAATATCAGCGACCGGACGCGTGCCGGGTTAATCAATTGCCCTCAGTATTTTATCTCCTTTTCAGGCTGACCTGCCTACCCTCCTAACCACCCCTCCCCCAATTCTACCCAAATCTACGGATTCCTGGATTCCTGCCTACCCACCACCTCCGCTTCGACGGCTCCCATCCCACACGGCACGGCACCGCACCGCCCTACACACGCCCATCCCATACCGAGGCAATGTCATCCAATAAGACGGAGGAGACCCCGAAAAAGGAGGCGACCACCAACGTGAGGAACACCTCCACCCCTCGCCCGCTCCCACCCTGCGCAATGCCATGCCACACGCTCTGGTCGCGAGGCTAGCAGCTAACTAACAACCGCCCCCCTCCTCCCCTGTGGGTAACAGAGCACCGACGAGCTGACCGTCGTCGTCGAGGAGCTGCTCAACACGCTATCCAACAAGTTCGCCGGCGTGTCGAGCGAGATATTCGCTAAGAGTAAGCCCCGGTCCGAGAGAGGAGCTCACAACTACGCTTTTCTTTTTTTCACTTTCTTTTTCCTTTTTTAGTGGTATGGCCTCGGTGCTGACCGCGCTGCTGCAGTGGACGAGATGTCGCGACGCCTAGATAACCTCGAGGCCGCGCTCCAGGCCAACGACGAGAATAGTGCGAGCCCCAAGTCGAAATCATGATTGTGACACACCCAATGCTTTGGAGTCGACGCGTCGAGAGGGTGTGAGGGGGGTGGGGGATTGGAGGAGGGGCATCGGGGTACACTACTGGGGAGCATGGCATGGCGTTACGGGAGCCTGAGACATGACTTTTTTTTTTCGGAAGGGGGCGGTTTCACGCGGCACTCGGGTTTAATACGGCAACACGGTGAGCAATACGAGATGAACGTTTGTTTTTTGTGTTCATTATCTTGTTCTTCATACACGCCAACACGTCTTGCAACCAGGGATTTACAGCTCCTCCTTTTCATCAGCCTCCTCCTCGGACTTGGGAACGAATTGCTTCAAGATGTTGGTCTTGCTCTGTAGCTCGTCGAGCTTAGAAGGCGCGAGACCGCCCTTCCTAATGATACCGTCTAAGCGCGCCGCCTCCTTCGCAACGTAGCCCTCGTTCTGCGACAGCTTGTCGAACACCCTGAGGTAGTATTGAGCGTACTTGTACCTCGCGTCTTCCGTGAGGCCGGCAACGACCTTCTTGGTTTCAGCCACGAGATCGGCCAGCTTCCCGCTGCCAGCAGCGTACTTGGCGGCGATGCGGTTGAGAACGTCGATGGTGCCGCCGACGGCATCGAGACCACCGCCGGGAACACGGTGAGTGCCGGCCTTCTCGTTGAGGAAGGCGATGAGATCCTTCTCGGTTCGGCCGCCAGAGTAGAGCTCGCCCTCAGTCGAGCCCTTGGGGAAGAACTTGATGGTCGGATAGGAGGCGACGCCCTGGTCGTTGGCGGTGGCCTTGCTGTTTTCGGCTTCGGCGTCGACCTTGGCGATCACAACGCTCGGCTCGTTGATGAAGTCCTCGGCCAGGGTTTCCCAGGTAGGAGCCAAAGCCTTGCAGTCTGTTCAGAGGCCAATTAGCACGTGCGAACGTTATGGGAATAGTAGACGGGATAGTACGTACGACCGCACCAGGGAGCCGTAAAGGCCACGAAGACGTTCCTGTCACCGCCGATGGTCTCTTTAAAGGTAGAGTCGGTCAAGATGTTCACCTGGCTGGGCAACTCCAGCTTCCTCTTGGCCTTGGCGCCGCTCTTTTCCGTTACGAACTTGGTCAAGCTCTCGAGATCTCGGCCGCCTTCGTAATCGATCGGCTTGTCGCTCTTGCCGTCGAACCACTTGAGGGTGGGGAAGCCTTGGACGCCGTACTTCTTGCCCAAGTCCCTCTCGGCGTCGGCGTCGACCTTGGCAATCTGCACATCCTTGGACGTGGCGAAAACCTGAGCCAAGTCTTCGTAGATGGGGGCGAGGTTTTTGCAGTGACCGCACCAGGGCGCGAAGAACTCGACGAGAGTGGGCTTGCCCGACTTGAGGACGACCTTGTCGAAGTTGGACGGGACGAGGTCGAGGACGGCAGACTTGGCGGCCACGAGGGCGGCCAGGCCGGCGAGCACAAAGCTCTTGACCAGAACCATACTGGCTCGGCTCGGATATTCAGAATCACGATAAGCGATCAAACTCGCCGGGTCGTTGTTAGGATACGGCGAGAAGCAAGAAATAAACGAGGGGAAAAAAACAAAGAACTGGAATTCGAGGATAGATTGGGTAAAAAAATCAACTTAAGTCTCCCAGCACGGCTAAGAAGGTAGATGATCAGTAGGCTTTCGTCCCCCGGCAGATGGAGGATGCGCTGGATTAATCAGTCGAGACAATGGTTTGATATGACAAAGCAACAAAGAAGCCACTTTGCATTGAGCGATGGGCGAATGGAGGAGTGAGCGGACATGGGAGCAGCAGAAGCTTATCTGCTCTCACTCTACCTCTTATCTCAGGTACCTCAGGTAGCTCTCGTATCATTGATTCCGCCTATCGATAGAAGGAAGAGCTTGCGCCACCGGCACGAGACAAGCTGTGGCTGTGGCTGTGGCCGTGCGGCATTAACTCCCCGGATTTGCGCATTTACGCGGGAAGGTGAGGGAAAATATGGTTACGTAACATTTGACATATGGGGGTACCAGGGTACAAAGGTACCCGCTTGCTCGGCAGCCCTGAGCGATGCGACGGGGCGCACACAATTTACTCTCTCGTCCATTTTCTCGCCAAAATCTCGCCGAAAGATTTCTACGCTACGCCAGACCTCTCCCGCGACAACAATCACGATCCGACCCAACACCGCACCGCACCGCTCCCCTGACGCCGAGTCCTTTTTGTGATCGCCCTCGCATCATCCGTCGCCTCTTCGACAATATGTCTCACGAATCTGTCTGGAACTCGCGCCCGCGAAGCTACGGCAAGGGCTCTCGCTCCTGGTATGTCGTATATGCCCCCGTCGCAGGGTCCCCTCTTTGAGCCGAGGGCGGAGGATGCCATGTCATAGGCAGATACATAATGGATAGCTAACACATGTGGAATTTCGTCTCGTATAGCCGAGTCTGCACCCACAAGGCTGGTCTGATCCGCAAGTACGGCCTCAACATCTGCCGTCAATGCTTCCGTGAGAAGGCCGCCGACATTGGCTTCGTCAAGGTACGACCCTCCTCCTCCCGCGACGGTGGCACCGGTCAACCTGCATATACGAGAACGAGATCGACGAGACTAACACGCTGCGTGTCTATAGCACCGATAAACGGAACGCCCTCACTCTGTCACACACGCACACACGGCTTCCCCCCTTACCGTGATATCTATCTCTCTGCTAGGCATCATTCACGCGGTCGCGCGTAAAAATGGAGTTGTCGGTTTTTCACATCTGGAACATGGTTTTACGCATCCGCCTAGGGTGCAGGCGGCTGGTTATGGACTTGCGTGGAGGAAGAGGAAGAGGAAGAGAAGGAGCGGACCCGATGGCCGCTCGTTTCGACTAGACCTGCTAGACCACCACTGCAATGCCTACGAGAATTCGGTGACGATGATGACGATGGTGGTTTCGCCTCTATACCCGTGCGCATGTGATGATTTTCCCCGCAGAATCCCGGTTCGACGTTTGCAGGTTAGCGTTATCGAAGACACAACGGTGTCCCAAGGCTCTGGAGGTACTCCCGGGTATCAAACTCCCGCAGGGCGTTATTCCTCTCCTCGCTCGGCACTTAGGAGAGTCTGCCTCTTTGTGTGGGATTGACTATGGCAGGGCACGTATTCCGAAAAGTGCCCAAATAAATGATACCTACATTCGCACGTAATCCACGATTTGAAAGGCCGCCCGGAAGTATCCATCGATTTCTCTACCATGCCACGGGAGCGAATGGGTGGTCCGAGGTTCTCAGACCCGTGCCGTTGATATGCGCATATTTTCCCGGACACGACGGCTCATCGCCGGTCCAATGGCCTGCGACCCAAGGCTCAACCACACAACACCGGCAGGCAACCGTGGAGCAAGTCGGACAACGTGACCCCCCTCTCCCCCCATTCAACTGCGTGTCTTTCCCGGCAATATCAGGCAACTATTTTCATGTTTGTGATATCCTCGTCGTAAGAAAATAGTGCTTCTAGGAAGGCGTACGTAGGCTGTGCTGGGTCCGTAGCATCTAAGCACTCTCTAATCGGCCAAAGGAGGCATTAAACCCTTCTTCGGTAGCATTGTGGCTGATAGATGAGCACAGCTTTCCGTTGGAATGGGGGGTTAGGATGGAGGGTCACGAGCTTGACGTAGCCTCTATCCGGCTTGTATTCGGCGTTGGACCTTTAGTGATGTGTATAGGTTTCCTCGAAGATAATTCGAAGTTGACGGTAACATTGTACGACGCGTTCTGAAGCCTCCAACTACATATTTGTGATTTTCATCGAGATAGTCGTAGCAAATACGAACTGCTTTACAATTGTAGAAAACGCCCTCGTCCTTCCTAGGCAGGCAGGTTTTCTCTAGGTGGTTGATGCCTTGGTGATGCCGCCGGGAAAGGATCCGCAATTCTGCAAGTGATTCAAAATAGGTAGGTAATAGCCGGCATTTGAGACATCCTTAGTGGAGCAGGTGTAAGTGCCATCCTGGACAGCTCCGGTAGTTCTCGTGGGTCGAGTTATAAATGGCGACTCGCTGCTACGTTCACGCGCAAAGATTCACGGCCTCCCTTCCTCCTGATGTACGCTTGCTCGGCAGAGCTGAGCCTCTACGAAGCCAGGGAGAATGCTACCCAGATCAGCCAAACAGTCGTCGTCTGCCCGCCTTGCTGGTAACCAGAGTTCATGGCAATAAGCCTGGGGGTAATTCGGTATCTTCAATACCCGGATCCCACACACACCACATAACATGATACATGGCACCCACCACTACGACCGTCGACGGTCTGCCGTTTCCCTTTATACATATACGTAGGCCACTGATCGATAGGTGTGACGAGGGCTCGCATGCATGATACCCCTGGCAAAGAGGAAGCGATGCCCTGGCTTTGAACCGACGTGTACTTCGCAGCGACGAGATCCGCTAGAGCGAGGTGTCGACATCTTCCAAGGTCGGCTCGCCACTAACTTCGCGACCGGAATACTAGTAGTGCTCGGCACTGCGAGATATGATGAACACTCGTCAGTGCTACCACCCCCGATGGGGTGGAGAGGTGCAAGGGGGATGGGTGACAAGGACTGCCTCTCGCTGTCCTTCCTTACCTATCTGTGTCTTCGACTCCTTGCGTCCATCTCGCCGAGCCAGGTCTTCTATTTTTCCACCTGACAACCTATCCTCCGGCCTCTGCCAAATCCGTAAGCCATGGCTGGTTTCTGCGAGCTGGTGCCGGACATCGTGAGGAGGCGAATATCCCAGACGCGTCCCTTGATCATCATCAGCCATCCCAACCGTGAGCCCATCCGTGTGACATACGCCGTCCTAGACAATGCCGTTAACAGGGCCGCCTGGTTCCTCGAGCAGAACCTCTCCGCCGACGAGGAGACGTTTATATGGATGTCCCAGAGCGACGTGCGGTACCTGATATGGGCCCTGGCCGCTATGAAGACCGGCAAGGCGGTCGTGTTCCCGTCCCTGAGCAACCGCGTGCCCGCCAACCTCAAGCTGTTCGATACCGTCGGGGCCAAGCACATGTTCTTCGGCCCCGAGTCCGCCGAAGCGCTCGGCGAGCTGATCACCCAAGCCAGCCCAGCCGTCATGGCCAGGCCGGGGCTCTCGCTGCTGGATATCGTGTCGAGCGAGCCGGTTGAAGAATACGCCTTCGTCGAGGAGTACGAGAAGATCAAGAACAAGAGGTTCATGGGCTTGCATACGTCGGGAACATCAGGTCAGAGATACTTCACCTAGCCTCTCCCTAATTATCGCATCTACATCCACTCTCCCTGGTCATCCCAGTGTTTAGGCCAGAACCTAGGATTTAAATGCTCACACTCTTCACCCGTGTTACCAGGGCACCCGAAACCGATATGGTGGACGCATGGGCACTTCGAATGCCTGTATTCCATAATGCACGACGACGGTCAACCCGGACGGACGAGGGTGGAGGGACACACGTTCAGCACGATAGACGGGCACGACGTGCTGCTCATCGGATCGCAATCCCACGTAAGTTGCCAAGACGTCTCGTACAACGCCGCAAGCAAGAACGGCACAGAACTTTTCTAACCAAAGCCCCTCTCCGGACGGTACCCGTGTAGGCCGGCGCCCTGCTGCTCACCTTCGGCTCGCTGCGGTGCGACTCGACGATCATCATGATGCACCCGGAGCTGCCCGCCGTGCCGGCGCACATCACCGCCGTGCTGGGCCGCACCGGCGCGGACAGCCTCATCTGCCCGCCGGCACCGATCGAGAGCATGCTCAGCGACGCGGCCGGCGCGGCCGCGCTCGCCCGCCTGCGGCACGTCGGCTACGTCGGCGGGCCGATGAACCCGGCGCTCGGCGCGCGCCTCGCCCGCCTCACCCCGCACCTGTACAGCTGCATCGGCACGACCGAGGGCGGCGTCGCGCACCTCGACTACGGCGCGCCGCCGACCAGCGACCGCTGGGACGCGCTGCGCTTCGTCGACGTCGGCCAGCGCATGGACGAGGTCCTGCCGGGGCTCTTCGAGCTCGTCTTCCCGCGCACGCCGCGCGTCGAGCGCGCCTACGCCTTCTTCCGCTCCTGCCCCGAGCTCGCCGCCGCCGCCGAGTACCGCACCAAGGACCTCTTCGCACCCGTGCCCGGCGCGCCCGGGTGGTGGCGCTTCCGCGGCCGCGCCGACAACTGGGTCGCGCTCGCGAGCGGGCTCAAGCTCGACCCGACCGACTTCGAGGCGGCCGTCGCCGCCGCCCCTGGCGTCCGCGGCGCCCTGGTCGGCGGCGCCGGCCGCGCGCGCCCCTGCCTGCTCGTCGAGATGCGCGACGACCGCGCGCCGGCGACGGCCGCCGAGCGCCGCGCCGCCCTCGACGCGCTCTGGCCCGCGATCCGCGCTGCGAACCGCGCCGCCCCGGCCTTCGGCCAGATCGCCCGCGAGCTCGTCCTGTTCGCGCCGCGCGACAAGCCGTTCCTGCGCGCCGCCAAGGGCACCGTCCAGCGCCAGCTGACGCTGGACGCGTACGCGGCGGAGCTGGACGCGCTGTACGCGGCGGTGGAGCGGGGCGCGCTCGCGGGCGCCGACAGCGACGGCATCGCCCCCGTAGCCGACCTGTCGGCCGCGGGCCTGGCCCCCCTGCTCACGCAGCTCTACCGCCTCGCGCTCGACGCGCCCGACGTCGACGCCGACACGGATGTATTCGCGCGCGGGCTCGACTCCAACGGCGTTACCATCACCATCGCGCGCCTAAAGGCAGCGCTGCGGCGGTACATAGATGGAGGCAGTAGTGCCGCGGACGCCGGCGCTGATACGCTTGAGGATACTTTGCGGCATATCAATATCGGCTTCATGTACAGCGCGCCGACCGCGCGGGCGCTCGCTGCTAAGCTATCGGCCTTACTACTGGGGGACCGTGGGAGCCAGAACGGCCGGACGCAGAACGGAAACGGCGAAGCTAGCAAGGCAGACGAGGAGGAGGACGGTGGCGTCGCCGAGATGCTCCGGAAGTACCTCCCGCTCGCGACGCGCGACGGCGCGCCGCACTCCATCGTATTGACCGGGTCCACCGGCTCGCTGGGCACTTACCTGCTAGCGGCGCTGCAGGCGCAGCCGGCGTCGCGCGTGCGCCGCATCTTTTGCATTAACCGGGCGCCGGACGCGCGGGCGAAGCAAGCCGCGGCGCTGAAGGCGAGGGGCCTACCCCCGGCCGAAGACGGCTTCGCCTCGAGCGAGCTTTACAAAAGCAACGGTAACGGCGTAAGCGAGGGAGACGAAGACGAGGACCCGGGCGCGGGCCGGCCGCGCGTCGTGTTCCTGACGGCGCCCGACTTCGGCGCGGCGCGCCTCGGGCTCGCCGCGGCCGAGTACGCGGCGCTGCGGGCGGAGGCGACGGCCGTGATCCACAACGCGTGGCCGGTGAACTTCCTGCTGCCGCTGGGCGCGTTCGAGGGCAGCGTGCGGGGGGTGACGCGGGTGCTGGAGCTGGCGCGGGGCGGCGCGCGCGCGCCCGCCGTCTTCTTCGTGTCGAGCGTCGCCGCCGCCATGGCCGCGGCCGGCCCCGTCCCCGAGGCCGTCCTCGCCGACCCCCGCGGGCTGCGCCTGCGCCAGGGCTACGCCCGCTCCAAGCACGTCGGCGAGGCGCTCGTCGACGCGTACGCCCGCGCCACCGGCCGCCCCGCCGCCGTCCTGCGCGTCGGCCAGGTCGCCGGCCCCGCGGCCCCCGGCGCCCCCGGCGTCTGGAACCCGTCCGAGTGGTTCCCGTCGCTCGTGCGCAGCTCCGCGCGCGCGCTCGGCGGCGTCGCGCCGTCGTCCCTCGGCACCTGCAGCCGCGTCGAGTGGATCCCCGTCGATGCGTTGAGCCGCATCGCCGTCGAGATCGTGCTCGGCGACAGCTACGAGAGCGGGGAACGGGGGGAGGATGATGGCCACAACGCCAGGGGGGACGCCGACGGCGACGAAGAGGAGGAAGAGGCCGAATATACCGGCCTGGGCGTCAAACGGCCTCGCCACTCCTCCCAGCCGAGCAGCAAGCGCCGCCGACACTGCGATGGCCTCCGTCACGCCGGGGCGCGCGTGTACAACCTAGTGAACCCGACGCCAGCGCCGTGGTCGGACCTGCTGCCGGCGCTGCTCGAAACGGGCGTGGTGTCGGCAGCGGTGCCTTTCGAAGCGTGGATCGCGGCTCTCGAGCGTAGCAGCTCCGCCGCCGCCGCCGGCGACGCGTCGCCCGAGGACAACCCGGCCGCCAAGCTGCTCGACTTCTACCGCTCCCTGCTGCCCCGCGCCGGGGCCGGCGAGGACGACTATGTCTGGCGCGTCGACAACGTGCTCCGCGCGAGCCCGACCGCACGCGCCCTGCCACCCGTCAACCGCGAGTGGATGAAGCTGTGGTTGGAGCGGTGGGGTCTGTAAGGTCTGTGGCTGGGCACATACCTACCTACCTAGTACAAAGAGTGGTTTGCGAATAAAGGTGTTCGGGCCGGGTAGGGATGGAGGCTAATTTGTCTATTTGTCACGTCGAAGAAAGAGGGTGGGCGCTACGAAGCTCACCCGGCTGTCATAGTGTTGATGCGATCACGGATAAACAATACGCAATCGGAACGGAAGTTGGTATTATGGCCTCCACAGGTCGATTTATTCCCCCTTCTAATACTTGTTGGTAGGAACACAACATTCAAATCTCACATCCACGCTCAAGCCATATGGTCCTACATGTAGGCCCATCTTCATTAGACAATCTCCCTAAAGGTAATAATTTGAAAACTCATACATGAATTCATTGCGTCCAAGACACACACAAGAAATAGAAACAGAAAAGTGATATCTTTATCAAGATCAAGGGAACGCTTCATCCCTCCAGGGAACGCCTCGAATCTCCCACGTGAATAATTATTCACTGAACCTCTCCCTAACGCCATGACATCCTCATTATCTATCTCCTTTTCCTTGGTTCCGATGGTTCCCATGATATAAGGTAGACCAAAATAGAAAAGCGCTGGGTACTGCGGGACGCCCTGATGGAAGCGGCCGCCAGGATACTTCTATACAACGCGTCGAATAACACCGTCGACGCCCCCCAAAAAGGGTATCCATGACTGCCTATAAAATCTAGTCCAGTCTATACACGTCTATACGTCTAGACGACCTCGTGAATTTGTCAGCCCCCACATAGATGAGGGTAAGTGTATTCAATACGGTCCAAGCGAACGTGGTGGTGTTTAGGGATTGCTGACGTAGCTCCTCGCGCGCCGAAGGTCCTGGTCCTCCGAGTCGTCTTCCCTGACGACGGGACCCGTATCATCGCTCGCGTCCTTGACCTTGTCGTCATCTTCGCCCGCGTACGCGAACCGGCTGCGCTGGCGGATGCGCTCGCCGTACTTCCAGAATAGGAACGGGATGCCGCAACACAGCAGGCTGATGCCTGCGAGCAGTGTGCTCGCCCACTGGTATCCGAGCCGGCCGTACATCTGGATTGTAAAGAGTACCACGGCCGCGCCCCAGAACGACCGGATGCACGTCTTGGCAGCGAGTGCCGACGCCGCCTGGTGCTGGTACGCGTCCACGAGGTAGTTATTCGCGCTGTTGTATAGGAAGATGAAGCCGAAGCCGATGGGGAAGCCGCCGAGGGCCGGGCCCACCCATATAAGGCGCGGGTACGACGTCCAGGCGAAGATGATCAGGCCGATCGGGATGAGCCAGCAGGAAGCCATCATTGGGATGAGTCGTAATTCCGGCGGCGGAAGACCGTGGTGCTTCGAGATAAGCTTTCGGTAATGGGTGTTGGCGATGGGGGAGCACATGGCCGATAATACTACGCCTACGGCCAATGGGATGCTTCATCGGATATGTCAGCAACAGAAATCTGAAGAAACGTTATCTAGACGGGTTCAACTTACAACATGAGGCCAGTTGTACCGGCAGAATACCCCTTGCCTTCCTGGAATATGATAGGGAAAGCCACAAAAAACATATAGAGCAAGCCGTACAGCACGGACATGTAAAGGCTGATGAGGAAGACGATGAGCTCGCCGAAGAGGAGTTGGAAAGGCCGGATGAGGAAGATGCCTACCCTTTCACCGAATGGCCTCTTGTCGATATCCTCTTCCGTGACGTATTCCTTCTCGCCGGTCTGCTCCCGGAGTTTCTTCGCTCTTCTGGAGAGAATGGTGGGGGCGTATGTCTCGGGGACAGTGAAGGTGATCAGGACCCAGACGATGAAGGCCAGAATGAGCTGAATCCAGTAAAGCCAACGCCAACCGGCGGCGTCGGACAAGTAGCCGCCAACCAGCGGTCCGACTATAAGACGCGTGTTAGTATGAATTGAAAGCAATGAGGTAGGATACGGTCTCGGGAGATCCTTACTAGCGGGGCCGATAAAAGGAGCGGCCGAGAAAGCAGCCATGGGAATACCTCTCTCCTCGGACTTCCACAGGTCGGCCATCGTGCCGCCGACTAGGGTCATGGGGGCAGAGAATGCGATGCCGTCGATGGCGCGGACGACGAGGAGGGTAGCGATGTTCTTGGCCACGGCGCCGGGAATGATGAAGACAACGGCGACTAAGAGGGTTGTGCCGTAGATGATCCGTCTACCGTAAACTTCAGACAAAGGGGCGAAAACCATGGGTCCTTGGTGCGCAGTTTAGTCCCATCTCCTCTAAAACTAGGCGTTTTCGAGTGGGTGCACTTACCGATTCCGAATCCCACAACGAACAAGGTGATGCTAAGGAGTGCAACCTCCTCGCTGACCCCGAATTCCTCGGCTACGCCCACGATGTCGGGAGTGACAACACTGGATGCAAAGGCCACGACGAAGCAGGTGATAGCCACAACCATAGTACAGTACCATTTGTAAGCTTTGGACCAGTTCTTGGGGTTCTCCGGGTCGTTAGGAAGAAAAGTGACAAGCTTGTAGCGATGTTGGCCATCTGGCTCGAGAGGTCCGGGTATCTGCCCCGACCTCGTTTCTGTAATGTACTCGGAAAGGTTGGCGTCGTTGGATAGCGTTCGGTAAGGGAGGTTGACGTCCAAATTCGGGTCCCGAATAGTTTCCTTCGTGGAATGGCGAGCCAACGGAGGGACAACAGAGGTGTACCGAGCCAGGTGATCGGAGTGGGCGGCTGTCTGACCAGACGGCCCCTCTGTTATGGGTAATTTTTGCTCGTCCATGTCGCCCAAACGGACAATCACGAAGGAATCTAGAAGTGAATCGGGTCCCAGGGGGGCGGAAGATGAGGAAAGGGGTTCAGTAGCGCCGAGAATACACTCGCTTCCAGGGGGAAACATACGGGTGGAGGGTAAGGGGCGGGCTTCATCCTTCTTATAGGAAGCGATAATCCCCATCGACAGCCTAGCCCTGTCCACAATAGTAAACACAGCTCCGTAGCGAGGGCTGGTGGCAGGCTTTATTGGATACCGCCCGGGAACAGATGTTCGAGGGGGTAGTAGAGAATGTATTGGACGGATGCCGATGACGGAACCACTTCGTTTCTCAATCCGGCAAGATCCCCATTGTTGCGTGAGACAGCACAGGCTCCCTAGCCACTAGGAGAGGCAGAGGCGGGAGGCTAGGTAGGGCTTAATCGCAGGTTTCTACACGGGCACGACTCGAGTGCTGGTGCTGGATGGAGGAGATGGCTCGGCGAATCTCGGAGTTCACCCAGATCCACAGGGCCGGGGCTGCTGAGAACCGGGGCCATACGGCTCGAATTTCAGGGCCGGGCCACCAGCGCGGATGGCGAACATCGCGGCGCAGTCGAGGCCAATCTCGAAGGCTCGACGCTGCAGGTCCACGGCAGCCGTATTTTTGACGCGCAACGCTTTATTTCGCTGTCGAACGGGCCGCCGATGGCCTGGACACGACGACCAGACGAGCAGAGGGCGTTGGAGCAGATGGGAAGCGAAACAGAGAAGTGGTGTTGTGGTGAGAAGCCATCGAAATTGCTTTGTGTCGGTGGGCCGGTACGCAGGTACCTAGTAGATACTTACTACGAAGTACATGCCGCCGTGGGTCCTGCGAGCCGCAACTTCCCTGACAACTCGGGAGGGCCCACTTTCCAGGTATAGCAGTGCGGGTCGCACGAACGCGCCTGCGATAGGCCAGTCCAGTCGAAGCAGGTACCTTCCAGCCAGGAACGTCTCCACTGAGGCAAATACCAGGGGGGGGAAAAAAGGAGAGAAAAAAAAACGGAATAAAGGGCGAAAATTAGTATGCAGCTTACCCGATGGGGTAAGACTCTAGCGGCGGAAGCGCGAGCAGGCGCAAATCAAGGCCAATGGCGGCGAAGTAACCGAGTTACAGAAGCCCGCCTGGTTTTATCGAACCCGCCCGAAGCCTCTCACTCCCTCCTCTGCCAGTGTCCTACACAGCGGATCCAAGAGAGACAGACGGAGAGAGGGAATATCCCCGTTAATCATCGTCGATTTTCGATCCTCGATCGTGGCGCCCTCCCCTAACACCGCGATTTATCCGAATTAAATCCCGTCCTCGCACAGATATACTACGCCTCGCGGCCTTGTCGCTATTAGTACGAAGCCCTGGGACCAGTAGGTATAAACGCCGCCGCCATGTTACTGTGGCTTATTCGCGAGGGATCTCAATAAAACAAACGCCAAGCCGGTCTATCTCTCTATCGCTACACCATCCATGTCTATCTGCATATCTATACGTTCACGCTTCATGTAGCATTAGGTTACCTACATAGGTTACCTACAGGCTACATACGTCTGTCATCCCTGCACTGCATGGCCTCTGCCCCCCCTAGCAGCCGATCGCTACACGCAACTCGCGACACCCACCAATGGTACAAAGAGTTATTATCCTTTTCCCGTTTGCCTAGACGTCTCTCCCTCGCCGCCTCGTCGACCCGCGGACCGGATAAAAAAAGAAAGAAAAAAAGAAAAAGGTATAATCGGGGTATGGCCAGGGCTGTTATCCGTTGAGACCTCATAAGGCGAACCCCACCGGATTCCTTGGCACCGCTGTTCGTTGAGTTGCAAGTCACCGTGTGTATTTATTGTGCTACGTGGGTATAACACACCTCCTCTTCAGTGGATGGGTGGGTGGGCAATGGCTCGCTTAACACTGGTGTTCTACAAATAGGGTTTTTTGGGTTGTATTTCCCTCCCGATATCAGGATTGGGCACAGCTATCAGATCCGGGTCCCTGTGATGCAGAGGCAACGACCCCTTTCCTCTTGCCGGGCCTTTACTAAGACGTACCTACATACATACACACCTGGTAACGGAGCAAGAGTCTCGCAAGGCGTCCAGTATGTCGGAAAATCAGGTCCAGGCGCGGGCGCGGGATTCGCGATGACAATGCTTCGCGAGCGGGAATAAGACGCCGGAGGATGGGCGCAAGCCAAGAAAGTGAGTAAGTGTAAGTATACGTGTGCGTCCAAGGGTAGTGCCCGTTCGCTGCTGCCGCCGAAGCTTGTCATCCTGGATACCCGAAGCTGAGAAGGGGTCGAGTTGGGCATCGCTTGGCCCATTCCTTGGTCTAAGCGGCGCCGGAGGTGACGCGGAAATAACAGCCTTAAGTCGAGCCAGCAGGCCTGGGAATAACGTCTACGTGCTAGGGAGTATATGTATTATGGAGCCGGGCACATGGATCTGATTACCTCGGTAAAATCCACCGACGGGTCGGGTTCGATGACGCAGCGATTGTCGAAGGGGTGTGTATATATAATATCTCTATCTATCAGTCGGCATCCATGCATGATCTTTCGGCGAACAGAGCGACGATCCTTACTCATACTCTTAGCTCGATGTGGTGAATGCTCGACTCCCATTCGAGCGCCAGTCTAGAATTCTGAAACCCGCTCACCGCGCCCAACCCAATCAACGGCCACCGGCCGGTCGCCTTGCTGTCGCTCATAACGAGTTCCCGGAAAGGCTCGCCTTGTACAGGACTTGTGTCTAGGACTGTGTCGAGAAGGAATCTCCTCACAAGACCGGTAGTCGTCGCTGCCTACGCAAGCATTGTTACATACAGTGCCCTAGGTCGAAATAAGTGGCTGTGATTATCGTATCGTTCGTGGACAGGCTTCAAATGACGTGATAGATCTGGGCACTCACTCACGTAGGTATCCCTAGCCTACCACGGTCCGCACGACGAGAACATCGTTTATCTGTCTCCCTCCGTTATCAGTCTACTGCTTCCAGTGGCATAAGCGCAACGATGGAACTAGGTGTTGTGCGCCGAAAGGGGCCACACCTCAGCTTCTGTTGGCGGTAGGTAGCGAATTCCATATCTTTTGCGTATACTTTTTGGCAGCCAATGTCTACGAATGCTTAAACACAGAGCTACAGGCGGCTAACACGATTTTAGTAGTACCGAAGAGCCACTCCCCTTCTCAAAATTCCGTTGCTAATCGACAGTAATCGAACTAAACGGAATCTCGTCATCAAGACCAGCTTCAAGGGAATTCCAGATAACCCTCGATATCACATGAAAACGCAAACGCCTACATCTCCCTCGTAGACAATGCAGGTTTGTAATATAAGTAGGATTTCCTAGCTGACACTCCTAATTTAGCGTATGTCAAGCAGCCTACTTCGGTAGACCCGTCTAGCCGTATTTCCTCCTCTTCAATGTCCCAGAATAGCTAGCCGGTATAACCTCCCGCAGTCGAGAGGTGGAGAATGCAAGCGCCCGATGCACTGACTACCAATAATCGAGACGATGGAGGGGGGGGGTCGGTTGTCAGGGTATCAGTGACATAATAGAGTGTGCCACTACGAGGAAGGCCGTGGATCCGACACAAAACTGGATAAATAAACGAATCGACCCGGCAGGTGTAGAATCGTTCATTATCTGGGACGGGTTCAAAGAAAATCCCGAAGTCTGGGAAAAATGACGAAGACTATGAGTAATGGTAATATTAGCGTTGCGAGCCCGATCATTGATATCGATGCCTTTAATTCGACGCTTAATATTGTTATGTGAGGGACTGCGAGCGCTGCATGCCCAGGCAGTTCATATACCGGGTTAAGTTGAGAAAAATAGGAATGTTATAAAAGAAATAAACCTGTACCATTCGTCCTGTAGGAAATCCTGCCTATGGCGTTTACGTTTTCACGTAACACCATTCTCGAGCGAAACCCCATCGTCATCTTGAGCGTTCCTGCCGTGACGGGTAAAGCGGTTTATCGCTTCACGCTCATCAAACGCTCGTGACATCACACAGCGATGGCGATTACGCTCTAGGCAGAGAAGTCCAAGAGTTGATAGTCAGCTCAGCGTTCCAACGGAACCTTGCATTTTTCCGTCTCCGTCTGCTCTCGGGACTGCGGGATGGATGACGGGGGAGGGCCGCGGTGTCATGTTACCGACAGCTTCTATTAGAAATATGTATATTAATGACAGCGACTAAGAGATGGAGAGGCGATTGATTCGTGGGTCTTCGTCAGGGAGGAGATAGTCATCCAGAAGATAGTGAGCGGACCTAAAGAATTCCGAGCGGATTTACTCAAAGTCGTCATTCCTATCCTCATCTATTAAAAGCACCACGACGGCAAAATAGTCGCGCAAGATATTATCTTTAGCCGCCTCAGGGAGTACATATTCGTAGTTGTAGCGAACAAGTTGAGGGCGGGAGTAAGGGCGTTTGCCCTGGCTCTTCTCGGTATCGAAATGCGCGACAACGTTATGGAACCGACGCTTGGCGATGATGTGTTTTTTGGGTTTGGCTCAAAGGGGGCCTTCGTGAAGAAATAGATGAAGTCATGGCTAGAGAGCCGCGGAAATTGCGATGGGGACGGCAGAGAACTCTCAAGAGTATGTATATCGAACGAGTTGCCCCTGTGCGCCGAATCAATCGCGGGCAGCCGAAGCGTCAAAGCGGTCAGCGAGGATGAATAGCATGGCAAAGGTTGGTGTTTGGTAGCTTGGGGTCACTATGGGATGGCATAGAGCCCCGGGAGAGCAACGTACTCCCAGCGGTCCGTGTGACGACTGTTAGGTCGTGGGCTGCCTGAAGTAAGGGGAGTCTGTAAGGCGATTCGAGCTACAGGGAGCCCGGAGCCTCCAGATAAGGCGTTAAGGATGGGTAGAAGCCGAATACTAGGTAAAGTAAAGGACGGCTGGGTTGGATGGCCTTATTGGACTTGGATCATACATATCTGGACAGAAGTCTGTAAGGTGTAGAAGCACGGTAGCAGCAGCAACAGTGGGCTTCCATCAGTCTCCAGTAGTACCTACATAACTCCTCCTCTGGTATGGGACAAAGCACGCACCGCGCCACGGGATCGAATTATGAGGCCCTTCTTGTGTTTGTTTATGGTCACACAACTGAGATCCCACCTAAGCAGCCACCTTGTTGCGATAGCCAACCTATTCCCGAACCGTCGAGAAATATACCCTGGACCAGCAGTCCAGTAGGATTCCAAGGCAGTTAACAGACTTTAGACACCTCATACGTCCGGCTGTTCCTCACGCCCGGCGAGAGAGAGAGAGAGAGTGTGAATTTAACGTCTCTTGTTCTACCTATTTACAGATAATAAGACGGGGCCTACGACGACGGCGGTATAAAGGATATAGATAGCCGTATAATCGCCCGTTCAGTCGGGAAAACCCCCTACGGCTAGATATCCACGATATCGTACCCGTATCCTTCGTTCCCTAACGCATACCATGGCGATAGAAACCATTCGGGACGGTTAAAGGTACCCGAAGGAAAGTTATACTTCCAAAGGCAACAATAAAACCTCCGTTCCTTTCCTTTTCTCCTTTCCTAACACCCTATACCTAGTCAAGCCTTACTTACTACCCCGTCGAAAGCGGGGTAGGGGGACGAGGAGGCCGCCTCGAAGTAATCCCTCGTAGTTTTTACTATCGCCGTTAAGATAGACTTTTCATCGATACGCGCCGTGGACTTTTCACTACGCCGAGGCGTAGAACCGAGCGGCGGCCGAAACCGAGTCGAGGCGTCCGTTACGCATCCTAAGATCCTTCCCGCGCGCGTCGATAAACGATAAACGAAAGGCGAACAGGACCAGGCCGTTAGCGGGAGATAGGAACGGCGAGACGTAATTAGCTGGATCAGTCCTGGGAAAAAGATGTTCGGGGGAAGGTGCCCGGCGAGAGGGTTGAAAAGGAGAGGCACACGCCGTCCATCCTTTGGTCAGATTTGGTAGCGATACCTAGATGCTTGCCGGGGGCTTCTCTACCCAGTGTCGGCGAGATTACTTCAGTGGTTAGAAATCCTGATATGCGCAGCGTTACTCTACCTACGTGTCTGATCTGGTGTATGGCAATTTTACTATTAGGATGCAGCTGTTCAAACGGAAGAGTGAAAGGGAAGGGAGAAAAGCACGAGAAGAATGAGAGAAGAATGCAGGGAACTGGACGTGAAGTATTTACCTAGACTTGGCTGCTGAGTAAGCTGGGGCCTGAAAGCTTTGGGTAGGGGACAAAGCGGGTGGAAGGGCCAAGCTTCTGATTGGATGAACTAGAAGGTCACGTGTGTGGGGCAAATCGAGGAATGAGAAATTCGGCATCCTCAACCCCGATACAGGAATATCAAGCTATTCAGAGCTTTTTTTTGCTTTAGAGGGGGACGACGAGAGAAAAAAAAACCACCCAGGTTGAGTATACCGGATCACTGTGACCCTCACTACCCCCCCCACCACATAGTCCGCTTCTGCCTTCCTCTGTTGATCCTCATCCTTGGTCGCGGGCCACCCTTCGCCAAGATGTCCGCGTCTTTGCGAACGATTCGGCCCTTCCTGCGGGCCTCTCGGCACTCTCTCCGATCCGGCAGCGCTGCCAACCCGCTGCGGTTCGCAGTGCGGCAGCAGAATGTGGCTGCCGCCCTCAATATCACCCGCTCGTACGCCGCTGTATTCGAGAGAACGAAACCGCATGTGAACATTGGCACTATCGGCCACGTCGATCACGGCAAGGTATGTTCCCCCGCATCGATGCGATGGGAATCACGCGAGCCGAGGCCGGCACAGATCGAGTCTAACCAATTGGCCTGGGACAGACGACACTATCCGCCGCTATAACGAAACGTCAAGCAGAAAAGGGATTGGCGAGTTACCTTGAGTATGGTGCTATCGACAAGGCCCCCGAAGAGAGGAAGCGTGGTATCACGATCTCCACAGCGCATATCGAATACTCGACCGACGCGCGCCACTACTCCCACGTCGACTGCCCCGGTCACGCCGATTACATCAAGAACATGATTACTGGCGCCGCCAGCATGGACGGCGCTATCATCGTCGTAGCGGCTTCCGACGGCCAGATGCCTCAGACGCGAGAGCATCTCCTCCTCGCCCGACAGGTTGGTGTCCGCAAGATCGTCGTCTTCGTCAACAAAATCGATGCCATCGATGACCCGGAAATGTTGGAGCTGGTCGAGATGGAGATGCGCGAACTTCTGACCCAGTACGGCTTCGAAGGGGACGAGACGCCCGTGGTCTTGGGCTCGGCGCTGATGGCGCTGGAGGGCAAGCGGGACGACATCGGCGTTCAGAAGATCGACGAGCTGTTGAAGGCCGTCGATGAGTGGATCCCTACGCCCCAGCGTGATCTGGACAAGCCTTTCCTGATGTCGGTCGAGGATGTCTTCTCGATCGCCGGTCGTGGAACTGTCGCCTCGGGCCGTGTCGAGCGCGGGACCTTGAAGAGGGACGCGGACGTAGAGCTGGTCGGAAAAGGTACCGAGGTCATCAAGACCAAGGTCACCGATATCGAGACCTTCAAGAAGTCGTGTGAGGAATCGGTGGCCGGCGACAACTCGGGCCTGCTTCTGCGAGGCGTCCGGCGAGAGGACGTTAGGCGAGGTATGGTGATTGTCAAGCCAGGCACGGTCAAGGCCTACACCAAGTTCCTGGTGTCGCTATACGTCCTGTCGAAGGAAGAAGGCGGCCGACACACCCCCTTCTTCGAGAACTACCGACCGCAAATCTACCTGCGCACCGCGGACGAGGCCTGCGCGCTCTATTTCCCGGACGACGTCAAGGACAAGTCGAAGGCGGTCATGCCCGGTGACAACGTCGAGATGATGGCCGTCCTACACAACCCCATCGCCCTCGAGTCCGGCCAGCAGGTAAACGTCCGCGAAGGTGGCCGAACGGTCGCGACCGGCATCATCACCCAAGTCATTTCGTAGAGCTGGCCGCGGAGCCGCGGAGGGTGGGGCGGATCGTTGGTAGGACCGGCTTTTCGACGGCTGACTTTCTTTGCTCATAGCCGGACACGGAGGGTAAAGCGGCGTTCTCCTCTGGTGCATCAGGGAAATCAAATCATGTACAGTACTATATATCCTGGTGCCCATGTACAGTTGACCTTCCCCCGGGGCTCGTTTACTCTCCCCTCTACTCTGCGCTCGCCCTTCCCCTTGTCACCTAGGTAGAGCAAGTGATGAAGGAAACAGGCCTTGTACAACAGAAATCTCGGCGTCGAGCATGCGGCTTGCCCCCCGTACGCGGTAGAGAGATCGTGCTGGAAACAATTCTGGTTGAGCCCGTCTACGGTAGTATTCGACGCAGAGAGTGGGGAGTTAGATCACTAGATCGGGTACGTCTGCAGGGCGCTCATGTGCGAGCTAGATTTGCCTATGCTTAGTTGCCCTTCTGCTAGATCAAGAGTAGGAACCAACACGAAGATGAGGCCGAGTTCTACTAGCACACGAATAGAATCTAGGTCCTTCATGTCTGTATATGCTTGCTCTATCGAGGGAAATGCGTAAAGGATAGAGGGGTGTTTAGCGGGATAGTTGAATTAGATAATCATAGAATCATGGCCTCCTCCTCCACTCTTAGGTATTCATAGGTTTTAATTGTATACTTGGATCGTATCAATTCGGGAATAGTACTAGCGCTGGTAGTGTCATAGAGAGATACGATACCAGTCGTCTCCAACCTTGGCCTCCTCCTCTTAGTCCTGGGTTTAGTTCCAGTTCCATCAGTTCAGCGTCTCCGAATTGGCGCCTGTATACGGTACCTAAACATCATATTCTTTAGAGTCCTCCAATATAAATAGTATATCTTACCGGCTCTCGTATATCATCCTGTGGCAGCAGGAGTATACTCTCGGCGAGTTATTGCTTGCCGCATCATGACGGGTGCAAGCGTAGGCAATATATTGTCGAACATGCGGCGCAATCAGGCCCGCTTGTCCAAATACTGCCGCTACCGGTCCGTTCCGTGCTTCGCCGGGCTGTGGGTTTCGGGGGTCGGCCGTGGGGCGATTCTATTAGTTTCGAAACTCTCCACTTACGGTTAACGGATCGTTCGTTTTGATATCGTTTCGACTGAGGAAAAACTACATGGCGAGATTTTGAGGAAGTGAAGCTTTTTGGCCTTCGATAATCATGCAAGCCTCGTCTTTGCACACAGGCAGGGCTTGTTGGGGTCGACGATATTATGTGTCGGGGTCCATACCATGGAGCCACGCGTGTGTAGGATTGATTCTGCCACGGTCCTTTCTGTGGCAAACCAAAATATCGCGCTGGTAACTGGTGGTCAGGCACACCGAGTTGCCTTTGCCCCTAGGCCAATGTGCACCCATCACTACCCTTTGGTCATTCCCCCTTAGCCCATGGTCTCGATTATATGTATGATAGGTGCGGCATGTAGTTGTGGCATCGCGGAAGAAGCTCGGGCGATTTGGCGGAACCGCACCACTGAGGCTCTTGTCTCTCCTTGCGTAGCAAAGGCAGGAACACGCGCTAGGGTCAAAACACGCCATCTCAGGCAGAGAACTGGAAGGATATGAAGGTAACTGAATTCCCGCTGGCCCTTGTTGGACAATACGCATTTCCTACCACACCGAATGTCTACAAGGGGGATACCTCGGAGGTACTTTACCTAATGATAGCACCGAGACGAAAGGAAAGTTTACTCGTCGCTAAGTTTCTACTCATCATTTGAATTTCTACCAGGCCGGAACACCAACCCGACTAGACGCCGACAAGCAAGCATACACAGAGTAGAACGGACCCCTAATAACGCATACGACGACGGACACCATAACTGTCACACGGGGATGGAACCCTGCGCTAACGGATCAGGCCATAAAGGTTAGGAGGGTAATATCGGGCATTAAGGCCGTTACTTCGGCGACCTACCAAGGAAAGTCCTAGATAAGCTTCGGATAGCTTCGGTATTAAAGTATAAAGGTATAAAGGTATAAGGGTACTTCCGGGTTATATTAGAACGAGAAGGGAACGTAGAACTTGGAAGAAGATAAGGACCTAAGAGATCCCCTATAGAATTATTAATTAAATTAAACCTATTCCAAGTATATCCCCTTATTATAGATAATTTTATATTACTCTTACCTTTATAACTTTACTATAAGTTAGTAATAAAAAAAGCCTACGCCTAAGCCGGCGTTATACGTTAAAGCCGCTACCCCGGTACCATTACTACCGGATTAACCTCGACCTTTTACTAAAGAACTAAAACCGTAGGCTTTCCTACTCCCGCGATTAGCCGCTTCGGGGGTAGCGCCGATCTCTATAGCGGAAGTAGCCTAGATAGTAGCTACGATTAATAAACTAAAGGCCGTAATAACGGAGTTAAAGGTAAAGGACGCCGAACGAACCACCTTAATGCCCTAGCCGGAATTAACTAATAAGTCCCTCGTCGTATACTAACCCTAGGAATATAAGGTAGTTATAACGGATGCTCCGGAAATCGCGAACTTAGGAGTAGTTATACGTAATTCCCCGTAGTAGATCGTAGATTTATATAAGTAAATAGGATAGGTATATTAAAGCCTAGTAATATTAGTTAACTAGGTCGACGTAGGATACCGATAAAATACGATCCTAAAGGAATAATACGAATAACTACGATAGCTTTACTAAACCGCTACGGTAATATAAACTATCGGTATTCGAATTACGAAGATATAGATCTACGAGTTCTAGAAATAAGTCGTGGAATAAAGTACCTACTTCGCTTAGAACGTATAGGAAACCGTAGCTAAATTTACCCGGTAGGATAAAGTACGAACGGCCGTAATAAATTAACTTCGAAACGCCGTATTATAAAACTAACGAGCCTTAACCTAACTACGCGAGGAATATAATAAGTTAATAACGGACGTTAGCTCCTAGGTTACGTAAAAGGATAAATAAATCGGCGAAATTCTTAGTAAAGAATACCTTACCTCCGGGGCTATAGAAGAAAAAACCTAGCTAATTAAGGACGACCTTAAGGCTTATATAATTAATTTAATTAAGGAATACTAATAATAACGATTAAGTAATTAGTTAACGGATATTAAGTTTATTATCGTAGGAGTTAGTTAGAGGATAAGAACGCCTACTCCCGCGCCGGGTACCCGTATTACGATAGCGTTTACCGGGAAATATATTAGTAGCGAGGTTAAAATAAGGGAGATTATTTCCGACGGCGTATTTTAAGACGCCGCGGCTAAACGTACCGCCGCGCGCGTAAGAGCCCGTTTCTAAGACGCCGCGGTAGGCGCCTTTATATTAGGAGGAGCCGGGTAAGGACTACCGTAACCCTTAAGAACCCCGCGGAATACCTTAGGGGACCTAAGGAATTCCGACGACTCGGATAACTTAGAATCCGGGAATCCGTAGAGGCTACGACGCCCGCCCGGCGCCCCTAAAGAACCGTAGGAGCCTCTCGACCCGGCCGAGGAACGTATAATTAAGGCTTAAATTAAAGCTATAAATAGTCGACGAAGTATTACGGTAACGATTAATCTAGTATACCTTATTAAGCCTACGGCTTATAACGGTAAAGACTTAATTAAGTTCCGACTATAGTAAATTAAGGTTAAATCCTACCTCGAAACTTATAAAGAAAGCTTTACCCGGGACGTTTAAAAAATTAACTAGGTAGGATCGATACTTACCGAAAAGGCCTAGCTTTAGTATTAATAACGGCTAACCTAGGTAAAAAGATTAATAGTCGTCGATATTTAGGCGGGATATTCTTAAGTACTTTAAGAACGGTTTAAAGACCTTGCTAAACGATATCGTAACTTTAAGAAAATATAGGAACTAAAATATTAAGGAGATATCTTTTAATACCTTACCGAGCTTATAAACCTTAACGATATCGTTTAATGGTCCGGGACTACCTTCTAGAATTATATCGCCCGTACCTTACCCGACGAAATAACTAAGTTAGTTTATTCGCGATTAAGTAGCATTTCCGAAAGCGATAAAGCCTTCCTTAAAGTAATTAAGGAAGCCGGCTAAATCTACGAAAATATAATAACTAACCTAGGAATTTCGGGAAAAGGAGGGTCCGCTTCGTAGAAGGAGTATACGAAAGCGGACTAATAATAACGGTAACCCGTAAAAGAAACTCGTTCCCGCTTAAGCTAACTAATAAACGAACGTAAGGAAAAGGATAATAAGAAACCCGTACCGGCTAAGGACTTACGATAAGTAAGTAATAAGGAGGCTTTAGCTAGGATTAATTAGGCCGCTATCGATTAACGAAAGAAGGATAAGAAAGCCTATTAGAAATACGGAAGGGATAATTACTAAACCTTAGCTTACTTCGTAAAAAAGGACTTAAAAGGACGGGACTTACCGGCGCTACCTAAGAAAGTCTTATCGGAAAAAAGAGGAAGGAAGGAATCCGAGCTATTACCTAATAAAAGGACTAGGATCGATATTATTATACGATACGAGGAAATTCTTTCCCGTATTATAAAGCTATCCGATTCCGATAAAGAACGGGATTTTTAAATGCCTTCCCGTAAGCGTTAACGGAAGATAGGGGCGATAAAGATAACGTAAAGATTACGGTTATTAAACGGCCCGGAACGTTAGAAGTAGCGGAAGCGGTACTAATAGTAAAGAAACTACGAGTTCCTTAGCGTAACCCCGACGAGCTAAGGTTAGATAAACGGCCTATTTATACGATATAGATAAAATATTAGGGAAAGGAATACCTCTTGCGAGTCCTTCTAAATACCGGTAGTAAGGTACCTTTAATTAACGCCGCTAAAGTCGAATAATTACGCCTTCCTATTAACTAACGCTCCAGGGCTAGAACCTTAGTAGGATTCGACGGCTCGGAAATCTCGTTAAAAAGACTTTAATATATAAATAAAATAAAGCTCCGTAGCTACGACTATATTTACCGTATCGCTTAAGAAGTTAGTAAATTAAACGAAAAGGTCGATGTTATTCTACCTTAGTAATAAATAAAGGAATACCTCCCTTAAGGATTATTTATAAACGGACGGCTATACTTTAACTCGTTACGGTATTAGAATTATTACCTACGGTTAGCTCGTATAGGGATAGTACGAGAAGTAGAGGCTTTAGTATAAGTACCGGAATAATTTCGCGACTTCGTTTCTATTATAACTAAGGAAGTCGGATAACGATTCCTTAATCGGTAACCGTAGGACTACGCTATTAAGCTCCGACCGGGAATTATTCCTTTGTAGGGACCTTTATATGCTATAAGCGGACGATAGCTAGACGCCTTAAAACCTTAGCTCGACGAAATAATAGCTATAGGGAGAATCCGAAAATCCAAGGCCCTTTACGGCGTATCCATAATATTTATAAATAAAAAGAACTTAGGTACCCTAAGACCGGTAGCGGACTACCGGAGGCTAAATAAAATTATAATACCCGTCCGATATCCGATTCCGCTAATTAACGAATTATAAAACCTATTCTAAACGGCGCGGTAGTTTATTAAAATTAATTTAAAATCTAGGTTCTATATGGTACGGATTAAGGAGGGTAATAAATGAAAAACCGCCTTTAGAACGCGATACGGGCTATACGAATATATAGTTATACCTATGGAATTAATTAACGCCCCCGCTACCTTCTAAGCCATAATAAACTATATCTTCCGCGACCTCCTAAACGCCGGGATTATCGCTTATTTAAATAATGTCCTAATTTATATTAATACGCTAAAGGAATATAATAAACTAATTAAAGAAGTCTTAAAACGGCTTATAGAGAACCATTTAGCGGTAGCCCTAAAGAAATATACCTAGCGAACGTAGGAAGTTAAATTCTTAGGATATAATATAAGCCCCCGAGGTATTATTATATCTAAAAATAAAATAAAAGCTATCCTTAATTAGCGTATCCTAGCTATACTTAAAGACTTATAAAGCTTTATTAGGTTTGCTAACTTTTATCGTAAATTCATACGTAATTTCTCGGGCATAGCTAGGCTAATTATTAGTATAAATAAGGGAAACCGTAAGCTATAGAAATAAGAAATCGAGATAAAGAAGGCCTTTTAGGAATTAAAAGAAACCTTTACGAAGGCCTCGGTATTTATATATTTCGACCCTAACCGAGTTTTAATTATCGAAACCGACGCCTTAGATTTCGCTATTTCCGCGGTTCTCTTTTAAAAGGATAATAAAGGGAGACTAAAACTAATAGCCTTTTTCTTACGACGACTTACCCTAGCGGAGATAAATTATAAAATATATAATAAGGAATTATTAATAATCGTCGACGTATTCGAGAAGTAACGATATTATCTCGAAGGTACTTAGTATTAAATAGAAGTATATTCCGATTACTAGAACCTAACGTACTTTACTACGGTAAAGGTATTAAATCGACGCTAAACCCGCTAGGCTTAATAGCTTTCTTCGTATTACTTTATAATATATTATCGCCTAGGAAAGTAAAATAAAAAGGCCGATATTTTATTTAGATTACTATAATATCGCCTTAAAAAAGGGGGAGCTAAGGACTAGCCGATAGCGACGGTTCTATAGGAAAAGCATTTTTTAAAAAATTTAGGCTTACCCGCGGTAATATTCTTTAGCGTACGATTAAGTAATATCCTAATACCCGCTTAAACTATAGAGTTCGTTAAATAGGTTAAAACGGTAGCTATATAGGACCTAGAGTACCAGGCCTAGCTAATTAAACTACTCGGTAAGGAGATAAAGCTCTAGGAAGGCCTCCTTTATTAGCGAAACCGTTTCTAAATACCTAAGGACCTATAATAAGAAGTAGTTAAATCGGAATACGATATTAAAGTAGCGGGGTATATAGGTATAAATAAAACCATAAAACTTATTACTCGTAACTTTTAATAGCTTAACCTAGAAGTAATAATTAAGGAATTCGTTAGAGGATACCGCGAGTACTAATAAAACAAGGTACCCCGATATATCCCGTTCGGATTACTATAGCTTATGGAACTATATTATCGACTATAGTAAACGATCGCGATAGACTTTATTACGGACTTATTAATATTTAACGGTTACGATTTTATCTAGGTTATTATAAATCCCTTTATTAAGATAACGTACTTTATCCCGTTAAAAAAGGACGGTAAAAAGGCCGAAGACTTAATACCTATCTTTATACGTAGTTATTAACGGCTATATAGGATCTCCTTAGATATTATCTCCGACCGAAACTCGCGATTTACCTCCTATATATGAAAGGGCGTTTTAAAGCTCCTTAGCGTTAAGCCTAGAATAAGTACCGCTTTCTACCCTTAAACGGATAAATAAATAAAGAGACTTAATTAAATCTTAAAAGCATACCTACGCGCCTTCGTAAACTACGAGATAAGTAACTAGGAAAGCTTATTACCTACTACCGAATTTACCTATAATAATACCGCTTTAATAACTACCGGTATATTACCTTTCTACGCTAACTATAAGTAGTACCTAGCCGTATATAACCTCCCTTTAGGTACCCCTAAGAATCTAGAAAGTAACCTCTATACTTATTAAATAACTCGGGTATATAACGAGGCTAAGTAGCATTTAGAAAAAGCACGGTAACGGATAAAAGGATAAGTAAATAGATACCGAAAGAAGGAACCCCTTCTAGAAGTCGGATAGTTCGTTATATTAAACGCCCGTAATATTAAAACTAAACGTCCTATAAAAAAAATAGATAAAAAGATACTTAATTCCTTTAAGATCTAGAAGGTCGTTTCCCCTACCGCCGTAACTCTAATACTCCCGAAAGGCTAGCATATTTATAGTACCTTTTACGTATTCCTTATCGAATCTTACCGCGTTAGTAATTAGGAATTACCTAACCCTAACTAGGTCCTACGGAAGGTAGCTCCGATCGAAGTAGAAAACTACGAGGTAAATAAAGTACTAGATTCCGTAAGGACCGGAAAAGTTATTAGATACCTAATAAAGTAATAAGGATAACCGGCTAAGCGCTACTAGACTTAGGAACCGTAGGAGTACTTTACTACCGAAGAAGCGAAGGGAGCCGTTAAGTTATTTTACCTATAGAACCCTAATAAACCTACTAACCATCGGGCCTAGGTATTACGCTTAGGGACGAGCTCCTCCGAAGAAGGGAGATAATATTATACGGGAATAAAACCCTACGCTAACGGATTAGGCTATAAAGGTTAGGAGGATAATATCGGGTATTAAGGCCGTTACCTCGGCGACCTACTAAGGAAAGTCCTAGATAAGCTTCGGATAGCTTCGGTATTAAGGTATAAAGGTATAAAGGTACAAGGATACTTCCGGGTTATATTAGGACGAGAAGGGAACGTAGAACTTGGAAGAAGATAAGGACCTAAGAGACCCCCTATAGAATTATTAGTTAAATTAAACCTATTCTAAGCATATCCCCTTGTCATAATAACGGTGGTGATGGTAGCGGCAGTAGGAATCATCCTACTACCTACTACCCCCACGTCGACGCTACAAGCCTAGTAAGAGCGTGATACTAGGTTTCTAGCTTGGCCATAATTCGCTTTAGGTAAATATGCCTACCATCGAAGCTTGCGGGGTCATGTTCAAGTCCGTGTCGGTCTTAATCATTGCCGGAAATAGAGATTCCGAGCAACATGTAACCGTGATCTGAGGGGGTTCATTGGCAGGACGACGCATAGAGGCACCTGTGTTAGGTAGTTTACTGGAGGATGATGAGGGTTACCACCCTGTATAATGTAGGTTCAAGTGTGGATGGTGAGAATACCTAAAGGCAGGTAAATGCGAGACCTAGGCATATAAATTAGGTACCTACTTATCCGAAACCCTACAAGGGCTAGCCGCACCGCACAACTACAATAGTTAGCTTCGCCCTCTAGGATATAATTACCTACCTCCTAAGGTATTTATGTAGGTAGGTACCTTTAAGGCAATTATCTCGCCATTTCCCTCGATATCGGATTTTCGGCAGACCTTTAGGTTGCTCAGTCCCTATGAGACAATCGGTCGCTGATAAGAATAAGAATATCTGGGTGTACGTGTGAGACACCCGGGACGAGGCCCCGGGGAATGTCAGTTGCAGGCACGGAGGGCGAACTCGGGACAGTGGCTATGGACCTCGGTATACTCTTCGCCCCGGACCGAGATCTCTTCCGGTGAGCATTACGACGTAGGGGCTGGTGATTACCGGTAGGCTCTGCCAGCTAAATAGGCGTCTTGAGGATAGGGGTAAGGTGACAGCATGCCGGTAACCTACTTATACCTAAGAGTTCGTCGGCGGAAGGAATATCGCAAAATTATATTACCACAGCTGCACCACGCCGCTGCACAGCCAGAACCATCACCGGTGAGATGTCATAGGTAGGGCTGTGATTGGACGACGCAGCTCGACTCCTACGGGCTCCGAGCTTCACAGCGATTGGCCAATCTGGTCATCGCGCACTACCTAACTACCTAGTAGGTAATGCCCGGTGCTCAGATAGCAAGTGTCCACTTGATCGCTTACAGAAGCTTGGCTTCGCAACCGGCGCGTTCACGCCTCTCTATTCCGCAGCGGCAGAGAAAGGTCCCATAGCTCAGTTGGTTAGAGCGTCGTACTAATAATGCGAAGGCCGAGAGTTCGACCCTCTCTGGGACCAGCTCTTTTTCAACCCTCCGGGGTTGCTTTTTTGGGCCGGAATCGACAGAACCGTCTATGTGATCTGGCGGTGGTTTGGTACTTGGAGGATAATACCATCAGAAGTTGACAATGCGTTGACTCGACGAGCCTACATGGCCCTGTATGTAGGTATGTAGGTACTCGCACACCATCCTTGCCCCACGTGTTATGGGGATAACAGTCCGTAAAGGTCTCAATTATCTCGTCAATTTACGTGATTTTTTTTCCTTTTTAAGGCGAGTTCCAAAGTTCTCCTCGACCCTCATTGATACTCTAACTACCTATACGTAGGTACATAGGTATATAATCGGTCGGATTAGCCTCATACCCGATCCATATGCGCCGCTAAGATTATTAAAAGAGATGGGGAAATCTTGATATTCATAACACGATCCCTACCTAGGTATAAGGAAATGACCTTTCAGCCTGGAACTTAATTCTACTTTTTTTCATCGTCGTCCCATAACTGCTTTATCAGTAGAGGGGGAAAGGGAGAGGGGCGCATGTGTCTTGGAACGATTGTGTAGTTAAAGCAGACTAACCCGATGAGAATTCTTCTTCCTCGGAAGGTGTATGGTGCGAGGATTACGTGATCGACCAACGATGAGGTAAGCTAGGCAGTACTAGGGGGTGTCTTTAGCAAGTGTCTGGCGCTGCTTATTCAATTCGCTGGTGCCGGTCCCGGTGAGCCCCACACCGCCCAATCCGAGGCTGAACCTGCATCTGATGTCTCAACTCCCTCCAAAGCATCAGCAGCCTCGCCAGTCTCGTCGCGTTCGACAGCTTCGCGTCAGCCACGAATACTTACATTCCTACGTCAACGCGGCCGACAACTTCCTGCAATTCTTCTTCTACGTCACAACGCATCACGGGCATTCGTAGGCAATTGAGAGCAACCACTTTCTCATAGTCCTATCCCCGTTCCCCTCGAAACTACCGATAGGCGGCCGACCTCGAATACGCCGCGACGCAGTCATCGACGCACCTCATTCACCCGTGGGCTGCGCACTGGCTAGCCGACGAGAAGGCCCCCTCGAGTCTTTTGGGCAACCGAAAACCCTTCCTCGATTCCGCTCCACCGATTGTCTACTATCGCCCCAAGATTCGGACTGTGTCAACACGGGGTAACGGACGACGTGCCCGCCGGGGAAGAATAAGCAATACAGCAAACTGATGCCCAAAGCGAACGGGACCGTGGCTGCGTCATCGCCGAAGGAAACGAGAGTCCCATCCCGACCAGTGTGCGGATGCTCGGGAGGCCTGCGTAATTTCCACCTAGATCGGCCGGTTCCCCTCACGACGTCTTTTGCAATCTCCGGGCACGACGCTTTCCCCTGAAGTTTCTGGTATCTACCTAGGAGACATATAAGGAAGCCTACTCCCTACGCCTCGCCTCTTTTATTCCGTCGAGCAGTTGGGCAACGCCTATTGCCACACCCACCATTATTCACCTGTGAGCTGCCCACCATGTCGATAGCTAACCTCCCACAGGGTAGTTGGTTATCCCCATCCTTGATATACCAACCTTTCGTCTCCTAATTTGCAACAGATTTTTGTTACGCGTCCGATCCTCTCTCTTCGGCCTCGCTCCGCAGCTCTTTTCAACCCCATCGGCGAGACCTCGATTTTAACCATCAGGCCCCGAGGCTTACCTCTCCCGACTGTCTCTGCTAGTGTGCTTGGTTTGTGTACATCAAATTCTAGCTCCTTGCTGGACTGCTGTTTCTGCGAGCAAGTAGTCAGTCACGATGGCAGCAAATAAGGACGCTCGCGGCCCCGCCCACGATCCCGCTACCAAGGCACAGATCCACGAACAACGCCTCCTCTGGAATCCTGAAAACGTCAAAGATGTCGCAGAGTCTGTCGGCATCTCCAATATCGGCGACGAGCCGTTACGTACGCTCTCCCAGGATGTCGAATATCGCATTGGCCAGATACTCGTCGAAGCTCTTCGGTTTATGCGGCTTGCCAAACGCACCACGATGACGGTCCAAGATGTGTCCCAAGCGGCCCGGGTTCTTGATGTAGAGCCGTTGTATGGGTACGACTCTACCCGACCGCTTAGATATGGGGAAGCTAGTTTGGGTCCACAGCCGCTGTTCTACATCGAAGACGAAGAAGTCGACTTCGAGAAATTGATCAATGCGCCGCTACCAAAGATACCGCGAGATATGCACTTTAGCAGTAAGTATCATGAGGCTCCACTATGACGGAGAGCTCTGGACAAGTCCTGACCGCATCTATAGAACACTGGCTGGCCGTTGAAGGTGTCCAGCCTGTCGTCGTCCAGAACCCCACCACGGCGGAGTCGCGGTCACAAGACCTGCTACCCAAGGGTCCCGGCGCTAACCCTGCACTTGCTGCTCTGTCCGGGCAGGACAATCCCAACTTTCGGCCCGCCGTCAGACACGTCATCACGCGGGAACAGACTCTCTATTTCGAGAAGATTCAAGCGGGCTTAATGGACGACAGTTCCGATATCGAGGTTCAACGACTGCGGGAGGCCGTCTTGGAATCTGTCAGCTCTGAGCCCGGCATCCATCAACTCGTCCCATACTTCGTCAACTTCATCTCAAACCAAGTCACCCACCGACTCGACAGCCTCTTTGTTCTGCGTCAGATGATGGAGCTTACGAACGCATTAATTAACAACGAGTCTCTCTTTCTGGCGCCGTACGCCAGTTCGCTATGCGCCCCCGTGCTCACGTGTATGCTCGGCCGCAAGGTCGGGCCGGAGAACGGAGTCGAGGCTCTGAAGGAGCAGTACCTACTACGAGAGTTCTCGGCGACGCTGGTAGGGCAGATCGCGCGTAAGTACTCTCCGCATAATAAGATTCTGCGGCCGAAGCTGGTGCGGACCTGCCTCAAGAACCTGCTTAACCCGACATTCCCGCCGGCGGTGTGGTTCGGGGCGGTCCAGGGGCTGGTGGCGGCTGGCGGGGCGGACGTGGTCAAGATGCTGCTACTGCAACACCTCAAGGACTTCGAGGCAGCGATGCTGGCGCCGCTACGGGAGCGGGGCGACGCGACAAGCCGCACCGAGTACGAAGCGCTGGTGGGCGCGATCCTCAAGGCGATCCGGCTATTGGCCGACGACGACGGGGGCGCGGCCGCCCCTGTGGTCAACGGCATGAACGGCTACACCAACGAGAGCGAGGCCGCCCAGGTGAAGGCCTTCTTAGGCGACGTCATCGGCGAGCGAGTCGTCCAGCTCGGCGACCACAAGCTAAACCAGGTCGTGCTGGACGCCAGGAACTTTAGCTAAAACCCTGGATTGGGGGGGTTGGGGGGATAGTGGACGGACCTAGCCAGCGGTGCTGGGGGGAGGAGGGGAGAGCGATTTGACGTTTTCCGAACCGCACACGGATTTTGGGAGGTAGGTGTCTCGAGGCGGATGATACCCCATTGATAAAGACAAAAATGGATTATTTTATCTTAAGGCGTTTCTGGACCTGCAACTACGGGCGGTGCTTGCAGAGGAGAGAAGGACAGGTATCGCGGCGGGTAATTGATCGAAGGACCTTTGTCCACTGGCCACCGGCCTCTGGGCTGACCGGTCCGTGCTGGGTGGCCGGCATCACTTATAGAAACGAAAGAAAGAAAGAAAAAAATCATAGATAGGTGTGCTGCATTCCGAGTGACGTTTAAGTATGTGTGAATCTTGGATAATTTCTTCCGACACTCCTCGTTACGGGGACCCATGCATCTAGGGCAGGGCGAGTGGCCCGCAGAATAGCCAGCGTCTTCATCCCGAAAAGTTTTTTTTTGTCCTCTTCCGCGCCTAGTCTACATGTTTCAGCAATCTTAGCCAAGATAGCTGCGAGGTGGGTATCTTCCCGATACACCCCTCTATCCAGGCTCATCCCATATGCCCACTTCTTTCCCATCCGTCCACCCTGAGCCCGGCAGAAGACCGTTCGACTTGATCGGATGGCGACGGACTTGGGGGAGGGCAGGGAGGGGGGGGGTTCATCGAATCGAGCCGTATCAGATAAAGATGACGGCGGCGAGAGAGGCGACCAGGCTGACGCCGAGGACAAGGTTACTAGTCTTGTTGATGGTGGGGCGCTGGAAGCCGATGGCGAAGTCCCAGACGAGGTGGCGGATGCCGTTGGCGAGGTGGAAGAAGAAGGGCCAGGCGGCGAGGAGCTTGAGGGTGCCGAAGAGGGCGGGGGGCAGGGCGGCGGCGGCGGCGGCGAGCGTGGCGGACTCGAGGTGCCAGCCGGTCAGCGGCGCGGCCAGGTACGCGAGCGAGAAGGCGTACAACCCCGCGCTCATCACCTGGCCCGTCACGCGCGTCCAGATCGACGCGCCGAACCACGTCTGCGCGTAGTCGTACACGCCCAGGTGCGGCGACACCGGCCGCCGGAGCCGCTGCGCGGCCAGGAGCGACTGCGCGTCCGTCGGGGTGAGCTTCTGCGTCGAGGCGACTCTGCGGGCGCGGACGGGTGGGTTAGCTCTGGGGGGGGGGGGGGGGGGTCGGGTTCGGGCTCGTTACCTGATCTGCGAGGTCATGACGCTTGCCGCCAGGGCGAGGCGGGGGACGTTCTGGGGGAGGAGGAGGGCGTTGGGCTGCCTGGCGGCGACTGTTTGTCTCATCGAGAGAGTTAGCGACCTCAATCTTTCACATGTGGGGGTTTTCCCACGGTCCCCGGCTCGGAGGAGGCCCGTTCGCGGGGTGCTCATAGGCATCACGGAGCTACAACAGCCGCCGAGCTGATCGGCGGCGAGTAGTAGGGTAGGGTGGCAGCTGCCTACCTTGCCGCAGGGCCCGCAGGCCAACTCTCTGTGTGCTCATCGTGCTCTTTCGGGACCGAGGGAAAAGTATGCGTGGCGTGAGTGCGCAGCTCTGTTCGGTCCACCACGCCGTGGCTGCGATGGATCGGCTCGCAAATGATACCCAGCTAGATGAGGGAAGAGACGAGACGTGGGGCTCGAGCGCAGGAGCGGCTGGTCGATTGGCGAGCGCGGGCAGGTGAAGTCGAGGGCGACGACGACGGGGATGCGGGATGAGGAATGGGGATAATAGGCGGAATGATGGAGGGCGTCGATTCTGTCCAATCCCGGCCGCTATCCTCGGCTCTCGGCTGGGCCAATCGGACGGGCGATGATGGATGGATGCTGACCATTACCTACATCAGGTACTTGGGTACCTACCTATATCAGGTACCTCTTGTGCTTCCAGGTACCTACGTATTTTATCTCGTGCCCCTCTCTGGAGCCATTACATCACCTGCACAATCTACACGTGATCTCATCCACGTGATGACATGGTTCGTGCCACGACATCTCATCGGGCGAGATAAAAATAATGCACGAACTCTGCGGCCTTCTTTCTTTCCTCTCTTCTCCCCCAGATAGCACAGAGCGCCCAGACTGGCGATGCCCTTTTCCCCCATAGGACATCGCATAACGTCGGAGGCGGCATTCCGCTGCCGTGGGTGCCTCTCAGAGCAACTATTCTTGGGAAAGAAGGATCCGTCGTTAATCTCGACGTCGAGCTGTTCGCCGTCTCGACGCCGTTTCATTTTGAGATCCACATACGCAGGCCCGCCGCGGTACTGTCGATCCGGAGGTAGCTGACGGGCTAGGGGGGCACCTACCGAGGCATCTGCCTGAGTAGCACGATGCCCACGGCATGTATACACATCAGGAGCAGCAGTGGAAGTGGCCTCGCTGCACGGGCACAATACCCCGGCGCATCAAAGCCTTACTCATCGCAATGCTGGAGCTGCAAGGTGGCATGCGATTGAATTGCAATTGTATCAGCACGCATCTGCCACAGCTACCATGTTTGCGATCCCACATACCTAGGTAGTTTAGATATACTCGCACTGGTCCCAGGTATCGCAGGCTCCACCGGCAATGGTAGTAGGTCAAGGGGGAGGGGACGCAACCAGGAAAAGGAAGCACACGGCAGAGGGCCTTGAGGGTGGACTTTCGGGGAGTCGCCGGAGGGGAGCAAACACAACTATATAGGAAATTCAATACCGGGCAGGCTCATTTCCAAGGTAGGCGATCGATGCCGCGATGCCGCGATACGTAAAGGGGTGACAACATAACCTCCTACCTAGCCGTAAACAGGCAACCTACCTGGGTACGCGTCCAAGGTGTCTGCTATGCTGCCTCGAGCGCCTCGGTATGCAGATACGGAGATCGACCAGGCACTCAGCCCGGGGTTATGCAAGCAGCGGGTGAGCTTGTCTCCCTTCCTCCCTCCCTCTCTCCCTCTCTCCCTCTCTCCCTCTCTCCCTCTCTCCCTCTCTCCCTCTCTCCCTCTCTCCCTCTCTCCCTCTCTCCCTCTCTCCCTCTCTCCCTCTCTCCCTCTCTCCCTCTCTCCCTCTCTCCCTCTCTCCCTCTCTCCCTCTCTCCCTCTCTCCCTCTCTCCCTCTCTCCCTCTCTCCCTCTCTCCCTCTCTCCCTCTCTCCCTCTCTCCCTCTCTCCCTCTCTCCCTCCATCCATCGGGTGTCTATCTCTCCGTCTTGATCCCACCTGCCTCCGGCCTGGCTTGGTTTCTTGGTCTCGCCTCAGGTGCTTCGGTTCCGCACTCATATCTACCGAGCCTAGACCTCGCCCCCTCCGTCTCTCGATTCTGGACCGAGATCATATCGTATTCTCGTATTCTCTACGTTGTTATTCTTCTAGGGCTACACTTCTACTACTTCACGTTAAGTCAACAGGGCGAAGTCCCGCCACTCGTTGTTACGACAGAGCTCATTCTAGTCTCCCACCATCCCCCGGCACTAGGTTGTCTCTGTCACACCATTTACATTTCTTGCGATTCTTCTCGAATCCTCTTCCCGGTTGCTTGGGGACCGAGGCCATTCTCCTTGGGTTACATTCGACTTTTTGGGAGCCTGCCATCAAGTGCCCGTCCCCATCACCAGCCTTCTGCCCACCTGGGAACCTCCCACTCCATACCTCGGGTATACGGCCGCAAGCGTTGCGACAATTTCACGCGCATACCGCTCCAATACTGAGTTGTCTTCTTCCCTGCAGGCTCTATTCAACCGCTAGTGCCAAGGTAAGATATCCGCACATCGGACTCCTGTTGTGGCGTTTGTTCATATGTTGACACCTTAATCCTTCGTAGACATAGTACGGTGACTCCACGTGTCAGAATACGGAACACTCCGCCCACCACGATCACCCATTATTAGCTCCAGATCCTTTATCGACAGAGGCTGTCGGGAGACAGATTCCTGATCTCAGCAGCACCGTCGGAAGGCCTTCCTCGACGAGCATGGATGAAGCATCCGGGACAACGGCCGAGAAGGCCACCAGTACGGACGTGTTTTCAGGAAATCACTCAAACCTAGAAACAAACCAACCTATGCCTAAAAACAGCATGGGTTCATTCTCTCGTCCGGACAACAAATACACTCGGGGGAAATCCGAGAAAAACCCTAAACCACCCCCCACACCACAGTTTTCCTTTATCCTCCCCTATAAGGCCACGTCGGCACAGCTACCACAGCGCCCTATAAAAACCCATATAGGCCTTGAGCTCCCTCTAGATAAGATCCCGGTTAGACCCAAGCCAGCCAAACTCGAAAGTCCCTCCCAATCCTCAGAACACGACGACCTGCCCGGTGAGAACAAAAAGCTCCAAGCCAAGATCACACACCTCACAACCATGATGTCGACCACAGAGGATGACCTCGCCCTCCGCAATGAGGAGCTCGTTGGAGCCAAGTCTGAGCTAGCCGCCAAAGATAGAGAAATAAGAAGCCTCAAGTTTGAAGTCCTAATTTTAAAGAGGCGGCTAAACGATACCCTCCCCATCTTGAAGGATCTGTCCCGCCAGTGTCAGGACCTTGTCCAAGACAAGTCAATGGAAATTAAAGAGCACAAGCTTCGAATCGCAACTTTGGAGAAGCAGCTGGACGATACCACCCTAATGCGCGACGAGGTAGACCTCAGGGGTAGGGTGATTGATCACTTTGATCACTTGCAAAGTGAAATCACAGATATGAAACGTTCCATCGATGGCGGCCTGATCAAGGTCTCTCAGATTTACGGTCCCGATGGCACCGCCGAGGCTTTTAAAATCGAGACTAAGGAGAGCATGGACTCCAGACCGGCTCTCAAGTCAGAGCTTGGGAAGACTCTCGACGTGAACGCAAGGGAGCAGAAGCCGATTACCCCGAGCCCCCAACACAACCACCGCCCGCCCTGCATACGCGATCAAAGAATCCCAGACCATAGGCCAAGCGTTCGTGAGAGGAGACAAACCACAACCACGGGAAAAGATCCCGAATCTGCACCAAGAGCACCGGAGCTAGATGGGGGTGGGGGTGGCGAAGATTGTATCAGTGTCAAGGGTGAGGGGGGCCGGGGGGCGCTGGTGGATGCGTTGCCCGGGTTCGACCGCAAGCTTTGGGAGGTGTATAAATGCCAGAATCCGAACCGGGAGGGAGAATTCCTGCACAGAGTATTCCTGAACAGATTCTCCAGATTGAACCCGGCCCCCCCACCGCCCCTCAGAAGGAGAGGTATCAATGGTTTTAGAGACGCTGATGGAAAGAATGGAGAGTCAATCGGCGCCGCGGCTGAGCCCAAGCCATCCGAGGTCTCGGGTAGGGGCTTACACCCCCCGTCAGTTGCCGGCGGAGTCGACATTTAAAAGGAGCTGTCGGGAGACAACTAGATCTAGCGGCGCTTGTCCGTCCGACCCGGCGATCCGAACACAGCTCCTCTATAGCCGCGCATAGCTGGGTGTTGCTACCGGAACCCCATCCCAGAAGTTTCCAGCGGCATGCGAGTACGGCAGATCCTCGCGCTGTGACGGTGGTGGGCTCCTACATTCTTGTTGCTTTCTTTTCTTCCTCGTCTCTCATTCTACGGCTTAGGAATTTTAATAGAGATATTGAGACGAGAGCGAACATGGCGATGAATGGGACGAAAAGTAGGCGGGATAAGGCTGTATACCTAAGTTATCCCTTGAACCACTTTCTTTAAGAGAGCGTCGATGAGCGAGGAGGTGGCAGAAGGGGCTAGGGCGGGAGGAGTAGCTGTAGACAAGTATAGCGGGGGCAAGTAATACGATTTCATCTCGGGACATTCTCTGTTATAAAGCGGCGTGGCTTCTAGGTATAGGGAACTCCGGAAGCGAAGAAAAGTTTTAATAAACCCCTCATACACTCCGAGAATATCTTTCCTTGAACCCTCCGCCCGCGCCCCAGTGTCCTCTTTCTCCAACCTTCTAATCCTCCTCACTAACAGTCCCACGGTAAGCGGACCAATGATGGTACAGAGCACTATGGCCCAAGTGATGATGAGGAACATCGCAGACACTTCCTCGTCTTCGCCCCCTGATTCATATTCGTTCCGGAAGATACCCTTACTCTCGGCGAGCGACGAGATAAGAAAACCAAGCTCCCCACGTGCAATCATAGCGAAGGACAAGATCCCCGCCGGATACAGAGACAGAGGCTTCGTGGGCGATTTAAGAACCGTTGCCTTGTACCTCTCCCCTCTGCCACTAGGCTCTACCGCAGTATCTGGGCCGCGTACCCGTGAACCGGATGTCTCCTCTGCGGCCACAGTTGTTTCGCGGGATTCCCTTGGTTCGTGATTAGTCTGGCTGCAGTGGCTCTCGCGCATGATAATGCCGCATGCGGACGACGTAAAGCCCGTAATCCTTCGGCCTATACTCCGTCCGGATACAGGGAAACGAACCAGCCAGAGGCCGCAGAGAAACTTTGCCGAGTGCCATGAGCAGGCTTATAGATCATGCCGCGCCAGACGACTTCCCCTGAAAACATCTCGGAGACGGGGATCGAGAATCCGATCGACGCCTACTAGAGAATTAGTCACCTTTCCTTCGTTTCTAGGAAGGGCCAAACGTACAAAGAAGAACGGCTTGAACGCCCGCTCGGTAGCCTGATAATAATAATGATCATAAACATTGAAAGAGGGCATATGTAAAGGCTGGGTTTCCCCCGTGGGGGCAATTGGAGTTTTGACTCGGACCGTGGGTATTTGTCGGTTGTTGGGTTGTAATAGTTGGCTCATTCGCAATAGTTTCGGCGGTAGCGGGTGCGGACGGCATGGCTGGAGAGGAAGACTGAGCTTCTCTTCGTTCCACCAACTGACCACGACTCCCGCGATATAAGCAGCAAGCAGCACGGAGGCTCCAGCATAGGCAGCTGCAACAACGAGGGCAAGTAGAACGGCGGTCTGAATCAAGAATGACCCCTGCCTTGTGTGCAATGCCGCGATACATCGCATCTCGCTACCCGAAACTCGGCGTGCTCCCAATCGCTTCAGAAGCGGGCGCAGACCGTAGCGACAGGCTGCGGGAGCCTCCCAGCCACCCACCTACCTGGTACCTTCGTGTCGACTTTGCCCACCGGAAGCTGAGAACTAATGCCACCGTAGACGGGTCCAGCCAACAGGCCAATATCTTCCGACGAGCTACATAGGTAGAGCCTAGTACGCGAGCGAGGCCTGACGATTTCTCGGCTTCAATGCCGGATCACCCCCTCCCTCAACTATTACCGTCGCGCACCCGCCTAGGGGTTTTCGGGAACGGCAAGGCGTCGTTGGATACGCGAAGGTGGTAGTGGGTAAGAAGTACCGCATGTCACAAGTGCAGCAGACAGTTCACTCGAGATCAGCGAGAACGACATTCGGCCATGCTCCATCCACAAAACCCACATTGTCGGGTCTCTATTCTCTCCCCATCATCTCTCTATCCGAATCCGGTTGACGGATGCATGCACCACCAGCTTATGGCTCTAAAGTGTAGCTGCTGTGTAGGTATATACCAAGGCTGACCGTAGCCGACGGCCTGTAAAAAAAAAAACGATCTCAGAACGCCATGAGGGGAATCATGCACACAAAAATGCCAACGCCGTTTTTTGTTGAAAAAATGTCTGACCCGCCGCCGGCACCCCTGGTTCCTGTTTTTTTGGTTCGCCTCATTCCCCGTTTCATTTCCCCGTTTGCCAGTTTGATGCGTAGACCCATGCTTGTTGAAGAAACACAGACTAGCCCCGTCCACTTGCGGGAGCTTAGTGAGTTCTGATTAAAAAACTCGTATGTGTGCACCATGTTGATGGCCGTGCACGTCGAAGTAGGTCATGTACAGGAAAGAAATTAGTATCGGTAGCTGCGTGACAGAGTTAGCAAGACGATACGCATACTCTGCATGATTGGCAGAGGAGAGGAAGGGAGGGAGGCGGGAACGTACTGGTCGCTCTTGAAGGGACCCTCGAGTTCCAGTCCGAGGTACTCGCCCTGGACCTTGGTGAGCGTGGTGAGCTCGGCATTGACGTGCGAAAGGTGCAGCCTGGCAACCTCCTCATCGAGGATCTTGGGAAGCACGAAGACACCGACGGGCAGCTCTTCCGCCTTGGCGAAGGCAGCGTACTTCTGGCCGAAGGCCTTGTCCCGGGCCTTGTACAACATGATCTGAGCCAGAACTTGGTTGCTGAAAGAGCAAGACATGACGAAGGAAGAGTGGCCGGTGGCACAGCCGAGATTGACCAGTCTGCCCTCGGCCAGAAGGATGATGTGTCGGCCGCTGGCCATGAGGTAACGGTCGACCTGAGGCTTGATGTTCTGAACGCTCTTGGCGTTCTTCTTGAGCCAGGCAACGTCAATTTCGATATCGAAGTGGCCGATGTCTAGTCTATCTGTTAGTCACGAGCGACACTACCGAGACAACACCGAGGGCGGGGACGGGGGGCACGTACTGCAGACGATGGCGTCGTTGGGCATGGCCTCGAAGTGATGGCCAACCAGGATATCTCGGCAGCCAGTGGTGGTGACGAAGATCTGGCCGACAGAGGCGGCCTTATCCATGGTGGTAACCTGGAAACCAGCCACGGCAGCCTGGAGGGCGTTGATGGGGTCCACCTCCGTAACGAGGACGCGAGCGCCCATTCCGTGCAGGGCCATAGCACAGCCCTTGCCGACATCACCGAAACCGGCGACGACAGCGATCTTACCCGCGATCATGACATCGGTAGCACGCTTGATACCGTCGATCAAGGACTCACGGCAGCCGTAGAGGTTGTCGAATTTGCTCTTGGTGACGCTGTCATTGACGTTGATGGCAGGGACGAGGAGGGTGTTGTTCTTCAACATGCGGTACAGGTGGTGGACACCGGTGGTGGTTTCTTCCGACACGCCGAAGCACTCCTTGAGCTGCTCGGGGTAGTTGTTGTGGACGAGGTGGGTCAGGTCACCACCGTCGTCGAGAATCAGGTTCAGCTTCTTGCCGTCCTTGAAAGCGGACAGCTGCTGCTCCAAGCACCAGTTGTACTCCTCCTCGGTCTCGCCCTTCCAGGCAAAGACGGGGACACCGGCGGCGGCAATGGCGGCGGCGGCGTGGTCTTGGGTGGAGAAGATGTTGCAGGAAGTCCAGGTGACCTCAGCACCGAGAGCTACTAACGTCTCGATCAAGACGGCGGTCTGGATGGTCATGTGCAGGCAACCGGCGATACGGGCACCGGCGAGGGGTTGGTCTGCGGCATATTTCTTTCGGATAGCCATCAAACCAGGCATCTCGTTCTCGGCTAGCTCGATCTCCTTGCGGCCGAAGGCGGCGAGCGAGAGGTCGGCGACCTTGAACTTGGAGGCGGGAGCAGCCATTGCTAGAACGTCTGTCAGCGGATCCGTAGTAGACACCTCTCGAGGCCGGGCTCCGTACGGGACAGCAAACACTTACTGATTGGAGGGAAGGGCGGTGTGAGGAGGGAACGTAGGACGAGGGCGTCGAGGACGTAAGCAGCAGACTGCACCAGGCGGGGTTAGTAGTTGCAAGTATACGCAGATAGGGCGACGTAGCCCAGAACAGGTTGAAGCAGGAGGCGAGGACAGTAGAGGTTGAGCTTTATCACTTACGACGAAGATGCCTGGCGAGGGAGGATGAAGATGATGAATTGCGGGAAGGGTGAAGGAGGAGAGGGAGCGGAAGAAGAGAAGGGGCCGGAGAGGGGAGAGGTATAAAAAAAAAAAAACAGAGACGGCCTGACAAACTCGGACTCCTGGTAGGTACCTAAGGTAGGTAAGTATGAGGTAGTGGGTACCTGCGACGTAGGAGGGGCTCGAGGTCCGATCCAGGGACTAGTGGCGTATCGGGGTACACGTAGGGACGGGCGTGGGTTGCCCGAAGCGGAGGTAGCGGGTACACGGAGCCGGCCATGTAGGCGGTACCTCGTAGAGAAGCTGGAGGTTTATCTCCTCTTCCTTCGAGGACCGCCTGAGGATGCAGGTAAGCAAGGTACGGAGTTAGCGAGGTCCAACAATGTGTCGGGCATATAAGGTCCACGGTGGGATCCCAGTGGAACCTACGGGGCAAACCCTTGAGCCTGTGGACAGGTGCGGACGTGTACCGGTTGGCGCAACAGGTACCAGCACATCGGCGCCGAACAGGTAACGTGGCGGCCGGAAAGTGGCTGCGACAGTACCTGCGAAGCTGGCCGACGTCGGGTACACTCGGCGGCCGATGTACATGCTCTCTTCCATCATTCACTCCTCCGGCCCAGGGAGTCGACCCCTCCAACCCCTCCCTCTTCTCTCGTCTCAACCTCCCAACTGCGCCCGCCCGCCAAATTTCGCTGGCGCGGCACCGGCTCATTGGCTGCTGGCTCCGGTGCTGACGGCTGCGGCTAATCCGCTTCCGGCCTAGAGGATCCGGTCCCTGAAAATTGCCCCTCACTTGCCCACTCGGCAAATCTATTCGCGCTTCCTTGCGAATTCAGTTACTCCGTATCTTCGCGAGCCCGTGCATGTGGCTTCGGACCTCTCTCTTCCCTTTGCCTATCCTCTCCTCCCTCGTTTCTACTCATATGTACAGATTCTCCTCTGCTCTCCTTTTCCCTCTGCGCCTTTTCGGAGACGGTTTCTCTGCAGGTAAGCTCTAGCGGGGTGTTTATGCGCGGCGGCTTACGTAACCTTGTGTGCAACACACCCGATAACATTCCGTCGAGGTACCTGCCTGAGAGGTCACCTAAGATATACCTAGGTACGCTACCTGCCTGGCTGTACCCGATACCTACACCCAACAGTGTGCGTGTGCATCGGAGCCGTCAAGGTCCTAACGGATCCTTCCAATGCAAGGTGATACCTAGGTTCCGCACCTTGCTAGCTTACTGAGGCATTATCTAAGCTCCTCCCCATGGAAAACATCGCTCCTGAGGCATAGAACGGCCTTGAACACGTACTACATGGTTACTACATAGTTTACCCTACGGTTTCTATTTCCTAACTTAAGCATAGTTGAGGGAGTCTGAACAGCACCTAAAGGCTCAAGCAGCTGTACACGATAAGGAAGTAAGACTCTTTGCGCTTGGCCTCTCTGCGTGACCAACAAACTGCCCGTATCGATTTAGTCTATACCAGTATCCAATCTTTCGTCGGCGTCACCACCATCGCCTTAGGAATGGAACTGATGAGAATTTTCTATTCTCCCCGAGCCCCGCCATATAGATTTTGTTTTGCTTTTCTCTAGCATGTCTTTCGGCCAGCGATAGAGTGGGGCGCCATGGCATTGTAAGCAGTTGATAGAATTTAACTCTATAGATGCCCGAAACCCCTAACAACGCCCCCAGACGCCAAACCCCATGCATGCCCATCAAGATCCCGATCACGTAGAGCCGCCGCTCCCCCCCCCCCCCCCCCTTCGCTAGCGATCGCTTATTCCGGCAAGAGATTCCCTCTGACGGCAAACATCTTGGCGCTGACATTGGCCGTGAAACCGTCGATCTGCTTGCTGTACTGTTCGACTTGCTTCGCATTGAGCATACCTTCCAGTCGGCTGGGCTCTTGGGGAAGCTTGAAGATTCGCTGCCAGTCGTCTTCCGGCAGCGGCTGCTGCTTGGCCGCAGCGCGTGCCGCGTTCTCGGCCTTGCGCTTGGTCTGCCACGCTGTAATCTTAGCCTGCTCCCGGGTAAGCTGCCGCTGGTAGTATTGGTGGTTGTTGAGCTCGGTGTAGTGCGACTCTATACTTTCGAGCAGGAGGTCGCATGTCTTCTCGAGGAAGGGATCTATGGAGAGGTCTAGGATGTCTGTGGACGGGTGGAGAGGCATCTTGATAGGGTCGCGCTCCAGATCGGAGAGGGAGGTGGGCAATGGGAGGTCGCCGGCCGTAGGAGCGGCGGGGAGCTGGTGGAGGAAGGAAGTCAGGAGGTGCGAGTTGTGGACCTCGATCGGAAATTCGACGAGGGTGTCCTTGAAGGAGAGCTTTGACTTTTGCAAGCTACATTGGCATGTTAATGCTCTATTCCGCCTCTAGCAAGCTCTGCATTGGGTTATATCTGACCTTTCAGTTGTGAATTTCCCCTCCTTGAACGCCGCCATGAACTTCGGCGTCAGCTTGAACGCGCGTAGGCTTAGCGCGCCTTGTGAGCTTCGACTAACGTCGTGCACCAGGGCCACCGTGTGCTCGTTCTCGCGCTGGTAGTGGTATTGGTTCTCGATGAAGCTAGAATTGACGAAGTTGCCCATGGTGGCGCTGACGTACCAGCCCACGTTATTGGCGTCGACATTGACCTCCTTGAGATGGCGGATCATTTCGTTCTGGTAGACGATGTTCGCCTTCGCGCGGGGCGCGGCCGCGGCGATGGCCGAGGCGTCATTCTGGTGACTGCCTTCGACGTTGGCCACGTCGACGGTAGGGAATGGGAAGGTGTTCGTGACCTCGAGGACTCCCTCCTTATCCATACCCACAATGGACCCCGTCGCGGTCGTGGGGAAGCTGGTCGAACAGTGCTTAACAATCTTCATAACCACCTACACAACAAGCGCAACCGTAGGTCAGTTTTGGCAGTGGCTTCGAGAGTTGGCGGAGGCATGGAGGGGTAAATTTGGTGACGGGTTACTCACCAGGGCCTCGACCCGAACCGCCTTAAACGGCACATCTTTGAGGGATTCGACCATGGTCGTAGCTAGGTTATCGCCTAGATATTTATTCCTCTCTTGGGCTTCGTGGGTGGTTTGCGGGTAGCGAGGTCGGGCGTGGTTGTGCGCGGATGACGATGATGATACGCGGCGATCCAGCGAGGCGAGTCGAGGCGAGTCTTTCCGATTTTGTGCGCTTTTGGTGGGATGGATGGCGATGCGATTTTCTGTGGGTTGCAAATTCGGGCGGGGGGATGCGGCAGAATTTCCCTACCTATAGGCAGCAGTACTTGGGTACATAATCACGTTTCATCCATGCTTACTACGCACCTAAGTTACCTAAGGTATAACGCTGAGCCTCGGGTTGATGCACAACTGTTGTGGGTCCCCGCCACCCTATTCACTGCCAACGGCACCTTAGGAGATAAGCCAATATTCGCTGTAAGAGGGACCCATAAAAGGAGCTGTATATGAACTTGTCAATTAGCAGTTGGCTCCTAGCTATCTCCCCAATAGATCAGGCCCAGGTTCAGCATCCCAAGATTCGCATACTAGTTGATTACTAACTGGTGTCGTGGGATCACAGGAAGCGGACCAGCCAAAACGCACACTGTCGTGTCGCTACATCGGTTATACGCGTAAACGTGTAAACGCATCGTGCCCTCGGCTAACCACATAGAGAGCCCTATCCTGGCTGGCGTCGGCATCGAGTGCCTGGGTTGGTGAAGCAGCCAGCCTACATCCCACTCGGAACCCCCACGCCCTGTTGTCATTTGCCATGGCGACATTCCGCAAATAAAACATATATAAAGAGCCTCAAGGCAACGTCGTCCGTTCCCAGTTTTCGAGTCCTCTGCCATGCGCAGTATTCCCTGGTCTCCTCTGCTCGAGACTGGCCCTGTCTCCCGACAACGGCTGGCCGCCCGGAGTCGGATTGACTTATCGATCTTGAGACCTACAGGGTCGCCAAGCTTTACGGGCTACGACAGCAGTGCTGTCTATGTACCTCCCTCCCTCCCTTCCCTGCCTCTCCCTCTCTTACTCTCTGCTCTGCCGTGGGAACAACACATATACGATAGTCTCGTCACCGGTCCATCCTCGATTGGGAGAGGGAGGCCGATCCTCCGATACGCAGATCCATCATCGCTCTCTCTATCCCCCCCCCCTTTTTTTTAAAATAAAAAAAATACTTTTTTTCTTTTCTCACTAGCTCTATCTGTCTCCCTCTATCTCGACGACCCGCGTCCCGGTTCTATAGTCTATCACCCTCTTCATCAATCGTGGAAAAAACAGCCGATAACCGACACCCTGCTGGCAATGAAAAGCACAAGATAAAAAGCAGTCAGATATGGATGGCCCCGTCTACCCCCAGGGACTGATCCCATTCGCCGAAGCCGTCGCCTCTATCTCGGACACGGGAGAGCGAAGCGGACTGGGAGGCCAGCAGCTTGCAGCCAAGTGCAACCCTACTGCCTCATTCCCAGTCTATAATATCCCAGCTCCGCACGTCGTCTCGAATGATAAGCCTATGCCGGTCTATCTTCCAATGCGAGTATAACGACCGGGCTGCCCCGGCCGCCTTCCGATGTGCCGGGCCGACTCCCCCCTTTATCGCGTGTTCCTGCGACTTCCACAGGCAGGTCGCCAAGTTTCTGCCGTCCTTATCGGGGCTTCCAAACCAGTATCTGGAAGGCCGTTAGTGCGCTGTGCCTCTGATCAGAGGCGGAGCGGACGCTGCACCTACTTGAGGAACCCCCCGCTAGCTGTCGCTTCTGCATGGGCGGCCTTGTCTAGCACGCCCAAGTCCTCGTATACCGTGGTCGGCGGGATCTGCGATCGAAAGGCCACGACGAAGAAGGAAGTCTCCTTCCATTGGTGACCATGCTGTTGCGCGAGCCGTGCCAGCTCCTCGATGATCTCCTGCCAATTGAAGATGTCGATGTAAGGGGCGGTGGCATAGTCCGGCCGGAGACATGTCATGCCAGCGAGCGCCCGAGCGAGCAGTGCGTTCTCGGCATCCAGACTTCTCAAGTCGAGAAGGTGCTCCCGTTCGCCATATGGCGAGACAACCAGGAAGTGGTTCTCGTCATGTGTGAAGATGTCGAGCGTATCTCTCCCAGGCGTGTTTACCTCTCGGGTCGAGATCTCTATGGGCGCCTTTTCTTGCGGGACCACAGACAAGGGCCCTGGGCGGTGTGGCGACACTTGCTCGACGGCCATTTTGGGACGATTTAGACACAGGGTGAGCTCTACGCGGTTGGGAGTCGACCAGAGGACCGAGGTGTCGGCCTGCGTATACAAGTTGGAGATCGGGGCGCGGCTTGCTGTCTGGAGAAAGCTGGGAGGAAGGGCAACTGATCCAGAGCAGGCAGCGAGCCAGGCTTTATGAGCGGACGGATTCTAGGGTCCCAGTGATACCTATCGGCTTGGCCGTGGGCAGCGGGAGGGAGTGCCGGCTCAAATGGACGATGAGGGAGACAATCACTACCACGTTGGCTGCACAGGTGGGAGAGGTGCTAAGTTACCATCTGGCAGCGGTATGGCGAGCGGGCCCAGCCGCATTGCATGATAAAGGTAGTGTGTTCCACGTGCGTGTAGGAGCAGAGGGAGGAAGATACGAGTGTGTGTGCGTGTGCGAGTGTCGGTGTTGGCCAGCAGCTTCCATCACTGTGGGCTGGTGAAAGACCACTGGGTCATTGTTCCCTCTCGGATAAGATCGCGCCATCCCGCGAAGCGCTGACACCACCACCCGCAAGCATTTAGCCAGGTAGCACGAATCCGATGCCAAAACGTGCCAAAGATTGCGAATCCTGTGGCTAATAAGACTATGGCGATGTAATTCCCGGGTACTTGGATATAGACTTGTTGTTGTTGTGCTATTGGCTTGGTTGGCGTGGTTTTGCTGTGTGACTCGTCTCTCTCATCTTCTCTCGGCCCATCTTTTGCTACTCTCCCTTGTGTTGATTATGTGTATTCCTCCCCTCCCATCCTCCTCTCCCTTTTCTCTAGTTGTCTACTACTTTTTTTTTTTTTCCTTTTCTTATAAAGACAATGGAGACACCGGCGGAGAAAAGGAAAAGAGGACAGGAGCAGATGGAGGAGAGAGGAGAAGAGGGAAAATGACCGATATCTCTCACCCCGGTCTCATGGCAAAGGGACACGAGGGGGCCAGAGAAGTCTAATCAATCGGCATACGCGTACAACTACACATACAACACACATATCACACATCCCACGCATATGTACACCTTCGCACACACATGTCCGTCCCGCTTGTCTATCAATCTGTCACAAGCCAACCGAAGCGGCGTGCGTGCGTGCGTCGCAGCGCAGCGCAACGCATAACTTATTCATGCGGCCTCGATCTCGATAGATAACGTGCTCAATCTGCCCAGAAGGGTATGTGTATACCACCTAGGTATATATCATAATCATATACAAATATATCCTGAGCTGCCGTCGTGGTGGCATTGACAAATCGGTGTCCGTCGGGCCAGCCCTTTAGCCCGGCCTAACACGGTGAGTGCGAGTCTGCAATGCGCCGCCGTAGCCGTCCAAGAAGTGGTGTGGCTTGCTGCTGGACGACCAGCACGGCGCAGAGCACAACATGGATCGGTGATGAATCACCTGCATCTATCACGAACCTGCGGCTTCGGCATGTCGTATGTGGCCTCGGGGAGTGGAGGGGTGTGGCTTATCCGTCCCGACTGCCGAGCCAATGCGACGTCCTATCACCCCTCGCCGCCTCAACCCAGAGGGCATTGCGGATATGCCTACGACGACCTGCTCGCCCGTTCCTTCGATAGGCTCGAGATAATGCGATACGCTGGTGGAAGCACGAGCATTGCCACCGCTGAGATTATCCATCAGACGAGTCCGGCCCCGACTGTCGTATGTGCATCCATACTTGAGGGGCGGCTTCGCGAGAGGAACCGAAGAGGCATGATTTTTTTTGGTTTCCTTTTCTTTTTGGGGGAGGGAAGGGGGGCCGATGCCGGGAGGATGGATGACTCGGGGAGGCTTCGCAACGGTTCACCCATGTCGTGTTAATCTGGACCAATCCGCTTGATTTGTCCTGGTTGAGCAAGGAAATCCCATCTTCGCGGGACCAGGCTGTTGGAGCCGCGAAGGCGCCGAAACCGCCAGCGCATGGCCCAATGCGATATCGACGACGACTCCTTTCGGCCAACAACCGAACAGAGGATCGTCTTGGACGAGCGGTGGTGTCACACCGATCTGCGTGTCGTCTCGAAGCTCTCGAGGATTGGATCGAAGCCGTCGTATCACGGGGATCTGGAGCCTGGAAGGAGAGACTCCATTCAGCCCAACCCCTCACTAGCACCGCGTTCCAGGGGGCATTTTCCACAGCGCGGTTCGACCCCTGAGGGACATTCGCACACAAGCTATGACAGGCCGGCTCGTCGGTGGAGATCTTACCCATTTAGCCCGCGCCACGACCGATCCTTTCGTAGCCCTCGGCGAGGCTGCAGATGATCACTGACTAGACAGGTAAACAAGCCAAGATCAGCGTTCCTCCATCTTGTCTAATAGGATGTTTGCGCCGATAACCTCGCATGCCATCGTGGTCCGAGTGGCCGGTTCTACGGCGCGGGAGTTGAGTGCCTCAAGCCACCTCCGCCCCCTATACTCTCCGTTCCTAATACTCACCGAATGCCAATATTTCCCCCCATTTTCTCTTTACTGCGCTACCTGCATGGAATACTTGCATAATAGCCCGAAAACGACGTCGCAGTCCTGGAAACATCGGAATCTAAGCCTGCTGCTCACCGCGGCTCGGCAGAAGCGTGCACCGTATTATAGAGAGAAACATCCCAATTTTTAAAAGTCTCGGGAAATTCCAAGCCAAGCCTTGTCCACATCTATTACGGTTTCTTGTTGAAGAACTGACGTTGTACCTACCAGCTCTAATTTATGGCTATCTTGTCTCGAACCCTTAGGAAGACTTTTTCAACAAAGAAACAGAACAAAATAAAAATAAAAATGAGGAAAATCCCTACGGTAGAGATCCCCCCTGCTGGCTTAGTTTAAGTTGTCAAGACTGCAGAGCCTAGAGCGCAGCGCGTGGTCGGGTAAATAGAAGTCTTGGCTCTGATAGTTACAGTGGCTAAAAGCCCACTCGAGAATACATGAGCCAATCCCGGTCGAGTATCGAAAGATCGTAGGGGTAAGTGAGAAGGGCTAAGTCGACAAGGACTGTTGAATTGAGCCTACACATAGGTAGGGCTTGACGTGCACGTAGACTTCCAATCGAAACCAGTCTAGCAACTACTCATATATCACAACTGCCCGCGTGGTATGCATCATCCTATTGCTACGCCAAGTCGGTCTCAGTTCTGTCTCGGCTAAGAGGGTGGGGGGTAGACATGAATCATGTCCCTTGGGAACAGTGAGGTGTATATGCGTCCTCGTCGGAGTGCTGCTGTCTTAGACGAACACTACCCCGAGAGATGCCCGAGGGACGCCCTTCGGGGGTTCAAGAAGCAAAATATTATCGCTGCGAAACTGTGGCCTACGTTCAAGAGAGTATCGGTGACATACCAGCTAATAGTAACCGGAAATTTCCAGGCGATTACCTGCCCAACTGATGATCCACGCCTGGACATATATACACAAACATGCATCCTGACGTAGATCTGTTGAGTGTCTCGTAGATCGGAGAACACAAGCTTGACCCGTCTGACAGTAGGATCGGGCGAGTCGCAGCACAGCATACGGGAAAGTGCCGCAATATTACAATATCTATACCGAACGGGTGCCACGATGACGATTACCAAACCTCCGGAACGGCCGCCGCTCTTCTAGGCCGGCAATACGTGATTCTTGGCATTCTTCACGCACTACTTCCCTCCAGCGTCGTCGTTCACCTTCCACTTCGAAATCTGGTGCTCGCCAACTCGTCGAAAGGACGCCGGCCACACCTCCCGCTCTGGTAGGATGTGTAAAGAGGCCCGCCTTCGCGGTGCAAAAGAGAATACAAGCCCCTATACTAAGTTCTGTGGGCACCTACAGAGGATTAAGCACCCCTCGTTTCGCCTTCGAGAATGGGCGTTCCTTGGCTGTGCAGGGTAAATAAGTCGGGGGATGCAACGGTAACGGGAATGCTATATACCCACAATACCCGGGCTGCTCCTCCGACCCGTACCTCACGTCTTATGGGCGAAAGCGCGATAATATTCAGCTTAGCAAAGCTAAGTGCCTTACCACATCACATAGACATAGAGCCCTCGTGGGACGATCGGAAAAGCTTGTTGCGTCCGTGAAGCTCTCTCTAAGCTATGCTAGGGTTTATAAGCCCTCCCTGGGTTAGCTAATCCCTATCCTTCTCCATCTTAACCTTCCTTCTACTCTCACATGTCTTCAGGAGTATTATTCGCACAAACGATATTATTCGAAGAGTGTAACTCTATATACCTTGCTTTCTTCGCTCATCATCCTTGGGGATGTTTTATCCGCATCTATACACATTCCGGGACAGAGGGGCGTAGAGACGGGAGACTGACAAACGGCCACAGGTAACCACCGATATAATAGGGGTAAAACGCGATGCTACCTATTTACGCCTACCCCTTCGTCCGAGATCCACTCGCTCTGGTTTGGACTCCCCTACGCTAGACAAGAGGCCGTTTCCTCTCCGTCTAGCTTGCCAGGTGCGAGATTCCCACAGCCCAACCATGGGAGCACGTCTCCTCTCAACTCGGCGCAGGTCCCGTTGATTTCGCAAGTATAATAAGGATAGCCCCATATACTACTCGAAACTCCAGCCTTCCTCACGATAGCACACCGATCACGCAATAGCTATCCGAAATCGTACATATTAATAGTCTGCCGGTGCCTACCACCGCTGCGAAGGAAACGAAACTAGGCAGGGATAGAGACGCTGGGGTAAAAATGCTTGTTTCGACCGCGACCGTTTGCCTCTCTTCGGTCCAAAGGTGGTGAAGCTAGTAGCATTGCTGCTCCGTCCCGGGAATCTCAGCGTTCGCATCCTCCCCGATGACGAATATCAGTTCTAGGCCAAACCCGCGCTGCCGTGTAACTAGACTCCCTGACGGGACCGTCCTCGGTGATGGGTTCAGTGCGCTGTGGCCGGTATTAAATCCGTAGATTGGGCGTGCCGGGGCAAACAACGAGCTCGGGTCGGCAAGTCTAAGTTGGTTCAGTTGGGAGAGCTTCGACACGTGCCCGTCTGCTGGGCGTCGACGGCGAGCGGGATGGGACGAAGAGGAACGTAGAGAGCCTCTCCTTTCTGTTACCAGCGAACGGCGGGTTGCAGTGTAACCTCGGAACAAACCGCATGGCTCGACGTCTCTCGAGAGAGGTTCGTTTGTCGTAGCCTATACTCGATTACTATTCTAAGAAGGAGGAAGGAAAATAACTATCTAGCGGGCTCGCAACGTGCAAGGTACCACGTTCGTGGACAGCCGCTCGGGAATCACGCAAAGTCCAGTGCCCGGGACCCGGAGACAGGCTAAGCCGAGATGACAAACACGGCCTCGTCTAAGCCGGCTCTCTTATCGGCTCACGGGATGCGGACGGGAGAGATATAGTAGTGGCTATGAGAATACAGGGGTATTAGCTTCTCTCTCTCTCTCTCTCTCTCTCTCTCTGTGTCTCTCCCCCTGCCTCCCTCCCCCCCTCCCTCTCTCGCTTGAGATAACGGCGTGTCTGCAAGCCACTGAATATCCGACAACACGGCGGGCGTGCTACTCAACCCCACGGGGGAAAATGGTTGATGCCATTGGCCCTCTCATCCTTGTATCACCCACGTGAAGAGACGTTTGCTTGGAGAGGTCGAGTTGCGAGAGGCTCGGTGAGCAGGGGAAAGCACTTATTTCTCAGAGGGGGGGGGGGGGGGCGCCCAGAGAAAAGCCCGAGGTCGGACTGGAAAAGACTCTGGTGGGGGGCCGATGGCGACATCGAGGTATGCGAAAATTAATATACAGGTCGCGAGTGAGGTGCCAGGAAGGAGGCTCGACCCGTAGATGACGGCGTCGATCACAGCACGCAAGGACAGGGATTCCCGGCCAGCGATGCTGAGCATACTAGCAGATGGCTTGGTGTTGTCGTCCCAGGGGCTTGGAGCACAGCGCAAAATCGTGTTCTCGGCACACCGAATCCCAGTCAGGTAGTACCCGGCGCTGGTCGCACAGTTCTATCAAGTACCCCTTTGAAGCCCTCGAGCTCGAGGTCCGGTCAGCGGTATTCCTGGTTCGCTAGTTGGTTGCCAGAGGGGCGGCAATGGGCGGGAGGGGTCTCTCTCGCTCAACAACCGTTTAGTGGCTTCTCAGTTCAGGGGTCGGCCCTCTACAGGTCCCCGCCGCTTTCGCCATCCGAGACGATCTGGATGGGCGGATGTGCGTAGTAAGCGATGCTATCATACCCAAGAGACGTGCATCTACATAGCCAGATCTCTGGTACTAACGTCAATCCTGGGCTCGTAATGTCCGCTGATACCCGACTGGGGAGTACACAGGCAATCTCAGGATCTAGAAACAAGAGGGTAGGCAATATATACGTGAAGCGAGCGTGCGATAGCCACGTATATGCCTACCGTGGGCAGGCAATTTGGGAGCAATCAAGTCCGTTGCTGGAACCTGGCATCGAATGACGCGCGTAGCTTAAGCAAGCTATTCTGAGCTCGCATGCGAGGGAGACGCAATGGGAAGGTTATATCTACTCTTCAACCTTCACATACAGGCGTCAAGAGGCCACACTAGAGATACGCTCGAGACCCGTGATATCAGGAACTTCAGGAATCCGTCGGTTGGTAGCGGCCAGGCTCGCAAACAGGTGACATCTGACTTGACGCATGCGATGGCGATCCCACGCCAGCGACGATACACAGCGTCGCGAACCCTCTTTCCTAGATGGTGAAAAACGTGAGGGCATTCGTAGGCTTGCTGCGAAGATCAGCACCGCCGCCGAAGAGCAGAGCGGGGCCCGACGAGAGGCCCTAGGCCCTCGTCTGAGAACACGTTCCATCGCTGCCCGAGGCACCGCGCTGTTGGGCGGGGATAGATAGCAAACTGCAAGGGAACACAGAGATTAGGCAGTACGGTACCTATCCCAAGGGGACGGCGACGCGGGTAGTACACCCTTGCCTAGATTCACGACCGGTTCCTTCAGACCTTTGTCTCGCCATCCTGGAGATATCCACCCTCATCTTCCTCCGAGGTCAATTGCTTTCGGATCATATCGTTCAAGGATAAGGCGGCGCGCTACGCTATCGTTATCCCAGTAGGAAAAAACAGGGACCCCTATGAACCCTCTAAATGGGGTTAGGAGAAGAGAGAGAAGAGGGCGCGGGGGATGAGTCGCCAGAGCGGATAGCAATCAGGGCACGGTAGATCTCGGAATAGCAGGTGGTCAGTAGAGAGAAGGGCCGTAGGTTACAAGGATCTCTTGTCTCCCGTGATCTCGATAGCTCGACATGCCGCGCCGGTCTTCAAGATAACTGCTTTCTTCTCCAGGATGTAACAAACCTCTCTCTGTCACCTGTCGCCGGGGGCTGTTAGTATATAAGAGAAGCTATGCTCCCCTGATCGCACAACGGGAACTCCAGGGACACCGATAACCAACTTCAGTCACATCCTCCGCGCCCGTTCTCAGGAACATCTTCTATCATTGGAGCCAACCAGCCGTTCCCCCCGTCCCCTTTCTTCACCCGTATAACTTTGGGACCATGGCACCGCTGGCCCGCTCCCTCTCCTTCCTCCTGTTGTGCCTGGCTTTTGCAACCGCCAGAGCCTCCTTCACGCCGTTCCGAGATAACAAATGCACGAGCGAGATCACGGTGCTCAGCGACGGCGAGCAGGTGGGGGGCAACACTCTGATCATCGATCGGTCCATCACGGACTGGACCCACGCCGCGGGCCGCTACTACGACAACCTGACGTTCCCGGACGCGCCGTCGACCGACGAAAACGGCTGCGGGACGGGCGCCCAGGTCATCTACTGGAAGGTGGACCAGCCCGACCCGACCTGCCGCGTCATCCTGATGAAGGACAGCTCTATGCAGTGGGAGGTCATGACGGACCTGCCGGGCATCATGATGATACGCGCGGAGAACGAAGGCTGCTATTATGGGCCGGTCGAAGTGAGTACCTCTCCTCCGCCGCCCTTGGTCGAGGCGAGGGGCTGAACTGACGAGACGGCGTCCGCGCGACGGCGCGCGACGAACCAAACAAAAGCCCAACGGAAACTTGATCACGAGCTTCTGCTGCGGCGTCGACGACTGTAAGCGCTTCGAGATCGAGACGCAGGCGCCGTCCCAGGAGCCTGATGATGTCCCCGAGCCGCCCCAGTGCACTATCATCAGTCGGAGCTCATCCCCTAGCAGGGAAGCCGGCCGCCAGCAGGCCGTGACGAAGCCGCAGTTCTGCGGCACCGGCACCTGCACCCACACGGTGCTGGAAAGCGTCGCGGCCGGCACTGCGCTCGCCTTCACTCAAAGCCACGAGTGGTCCCGCGAAACTGGCGGATCGGTAAGCCCCCCTACACCTCCCCTTCTTTCTCGCTCGGCACTCGCGCCGGGGGCCTGGTAGTAGGAGGGGGAGCTTCGCCTCGAGGTAGGACGAGGGCTGACTGTAACGCATAGCTCTCGGTCAAGTCGGGCATCAACTTCATCACCGAGGCGGACGTATCGGCGTCCTTCACCTTCAACATAGGGAACTCGTGGATGGAAGCGACCGAGACGAGCCAGTCGATGGGCAACACTTCGGGTACCTGGGAGGCCGGGACGCAGGTCGCCGGGTCGACCGCCTTCTACGCCTTCACGCCCTCGTACCAGTGCTGGAGTGGCGACGTCGTTTGCGGCAAGGACAGCGACGGTAACGACATCATCATCAACGACTCCTACTTCTGCCAACCCGAGCTCCTTCCCTCCAACTTCAGCTCCGGCATCCTGTCCATGGTCTACATTAGTATTTGAGGCCGTCCCGGGCGGGCGGGGGAAGGGGGGCTGTGCGCTCCGCGCTTAGCCTCTGGTGGCCTGGCTGGCGCTTCTCGTATCTGGACGCCATAGACATGCCGTGATAACTCACGCGGCTGTGTGAGGGTCGCTATAATGGCTGCGATGTTTTTCACTTATCCTCTTCTTTTTCACGTCAGGAAAAGTCATATATACCCGAATCACCCCTGCAGGGAGTGTAGGGGCCTGAGCTTCTTGTCATGATAATAATCTTTCTTCCTCCATTTCCTCTCTCGGTTCCCATTGCCGATGGTAATCGCTGGGGGGGGATAATGGCGGATGCGGACGAAGGGGAGGCGGAAGAGAGCGATGTTGTCGCGAGAGCATGAGATATGTATATATATATATACGCGCCGATTTATCCCGATCATGATCCCATCGACCTCGTTATTACTAAAGGGGCCCGACATCGTCGTCGGCACGTCCCTTCCTCTTCGCGGGCCGGGCCCTGGCGACTTCACAGGCTCCGAGGTGCAGACCTCTGCCGACAGCGCTCCAGACATGACGGATAGCGCGTTCTGCCGCGCGGCCTGGAAGTTGCCGGTGCGATAGGCTGGGATGAACAAACTGAAGACCGGGGTGGAGGAGACCGGACGGAATGGGTGGTGGTCGATGATGGTGTCGGATAGACAGGTAGGTATCTAGACAGCCTCCGCCTTGTCGCCCATCAGATAAGGTGAGTCGGCGTACCTCGGTACCTAACGCAGGTGCCTCGCACACCTACTGTGCCTACCTAGGCAGTTTCGTTGGGCTATACTGTTCGCCTTTGTAGGTGCCTCCGGTCTCCCTATTCTCTTATGCGGCATACCTACAGTTGTGAGCTGGGCCATCTCTTGGAGAGGATAATGGTTCCCTGTCATATTCTCGGTATAGGTATTTGTCTCGTCCCACCACCAGAAGCTAACATGCCTTAATTTCCCAGTGGTGCTTCCCTGCTAGGTATATGCTAGGAACCATGCCGTCCGACCGAACTCACTCGCTAGGGTAATCTTGTATACGTCGGCATACGCTACCCTAGATCGTGTGCAAGATTCGCATCTCGCATGCAATTGCGGCAGGAGAGCGGCGGGGAGGAGAAGCGAAACGGCGGGCCGGCGAGGGGCGCATCGCAGTCAAGCCGATGCATGGCTCGTTTGGGTGCGGATATCCGGAGACCTGGAAGCGTCCCTTCGTGGGGGCAGGCTTCACCAGAGAGCGCGAGCATGGATAGATGCCGATATACGTGTTTTCATCAGATGCTGTCCATCGTGCCGGTAAGCTACGGCTCGCTTCACCGTCGGCTTCAACATAGGTACTCGTAACGTCGAGCGCATCGACCTTGGAGGTGGCGTCGGACAAGTCCAAGTTGCGGGTATTATCCGTAGAGCTACACTCGATGGTGGGCAGAGACAAAGCTTCAAGTTATCGGTTTGGGATATACTTCGTCAATTGGGCATGGTCAAAAACTTCAGTGTTTTTCTTTTGGCACATTGCGTAGCACAGCTAGACGTCTAATTAAGTCGAGCCTCTAGAACCCGCCCCGGTCGTATCGAGCATCCCCGACTTGCTTCAAGTTCCTCGTCAGCACCAACCATAAACAAACATGGATATCATCCGAGGGGCATCGCATCCTCCCCCTACATCACGTCCCTACGGGACTGTTTAGTTGTCAGCCGTCCGTCCCGTTGCTTCGGAATGTCGCACATAAGGCCGCGTAGTGGTGGGTTAAATCTAGCACGCTTTGCGGCAGGCTTGTCGCTTGGATGATGGATCGAACCTTGACCGCGCCCTCTTCTTCGATCAATGCGCGGATGGTGTGCAGTAGTTCAGGCGAGAACTCGGAATACCAACGGTACTGCCACGTCACGAGGCGGATCACCGCACCCACGGTATCCCTCGTGCTTTTCTGCTTCTCCAAAGCTCTCAAGATACCCGCGAGCGCTTTCGGGCTGAACCGCGCAGCCAGGCACGCGCTGTACGCCTCGACCGCTTCGTCGCGATGTTGCAGCCGCTCGGCTAGCGCGCCAAGAATCTCCCACTCCTCCGCAGACTTCTTGTACTGCATCGACTGAGCCCTATGTTGGGCCACCTGCGTCCTCCATATCGTATACACGCGCAAGTCCTCATACAGGACCATGAAGAGGCTGTCGAGCCATCGTTCGCAGAGGCGCTTATTATTCAGGCGGGAAAGATGCTCGTCAGTACTTGCGGTCTGAGCAGCTTATTAGCAACATGGTCGTCTACGTAGATCGAGGGACTTACGGTGTCTCCGTCGGCTTTTACCTCGCCGGGATCGATGGTGTGCGTTGGCTTTTCTACCGGATTTCCTTCACCGTGACCGTTCGTCAACGTGGGCACGGTAGAGTCGGCGGAGGATTCGCTCTCCTCCTCCTTCTCCTCTTCCTCCGTCTTATCACCGTTGGTTGGGGGTTCCGGAGTCCCCCGTAGTGCGTCAGTGCTTGGGTTGCGTTTCGTCGGCTGCGAGACACTATCTTGCTTTTCGCTCCGGTACTCGTCCTCCATCACGAAGACATTGCTCCGGATCTTGAGCAATTGGTCCCAGCCAATCTTAGCGGTCATCTCCGTGAGAATTCCGTAGGCCAATTTAAACGTGCCCCGGTACGTAGCCGCGCGAAGGTTGAGGAGACTTGGGTCTACTTGTTCGGAGAATCGCGACTCTGGCTCGCTATCGATCTCGTCGAGGCGAGTCTCGGGCAACGTAGGCAAGTAGACATCCTTTGGCTCCGGCATGGCCGGCGCGTCCTTGTCCTGGTAGGTAAACATCGGACACGAGTTCAGGATGGTAAGGGCGTTCTCCCAATCCTCCATGGCGACATAAACTTGTGCCAGCCGTGCCCAGGTGCCGAATTCGCTCGGTGCGGCAATGGTACTGCGATCGGCGCAACCTAGAGCCATCTTAAGCCTCTCCTCTTTCTGGGCCGGAGTCGCGGCGGTTAGTGCCTTCTTGAGCAGGAACTCGGCCTGGGTGTCGAGCATGACGTAGTCCATCGGCGAGTTCTTGAGCGCCTGGTATAAGACACGCACGCCTTGGACTTCTTCGTTGCCCATGAACAAGACCTTGGCAAGAAGGGAAGACACTTCAACGTTCTGCGTCCTCAGCTTCTCGAAAAGGTTAATGGCGGACGCGAAGCGACCGGTGGTGTGAAAATATCTGAGCAGGCCAGCGGTCAGGTGGTTGGAGACGTTGTTGGGAGCTTGGACTACCGAATCGGAGCCCAATTGCCAGCCTACGGAGAGTGGGTGAGCTCGGGTGTGCTGAGTTGATACCGAGTCCGTCTCGGGCGTACGTACCTCGGAAGAAGAGACTCTCGGCGGCGCTGAGAAAGCGATGCTCGGTCTCGGTGTTGGTCACGGGGTTGAATCGCCTCACGCCCATGATCTTTCTTATGGTGTCGCCGCTTCCGTCATCGGCATAGGAATAGGCACGCAGGACACTGCAGAGGTAGGTCTCGAGCCACAGCTCGTCGGTAGCTTTCCGCTTCTCGCCCTTTTCGTCGACGCAGTAGGCCTCGACGGTGCCGGGGATGGTAACGTGGACGCGCATGTCGTGTCGGGAGAAGGCATTGTAGCAGCAGTATAGGCCCTCTACGATCTTGTGGGTGGCGGCCTGGCTGGAGTCACTGTACGTGAGGGTGTTGATGTAGGCAGCGAGACTCGCGGACGATGATGCATCGACGCCGGTGACATGGTGGTAGACGCCCGTCTGGACACACAACCGCGCTTAGCATGGATCGGCGAGACGTTGGCCCTACTGTTGGCATACCTGTTTCCCGGTGCTTCTGGGATTCTGCTTGAGAAGGTGAACGAGATCGGGCGGGCCGAGTTCGCGTAAGGATATCAAGGTCTCGGTGCGGGCATCGATGGACTCGTGGAGTGTCTCCTCTGAGATCCTGCCGAGATGGTTAGCCTAGAGCTGGGGCCGGCACATAGCTATTATTGTACCGATTGTAAAGTGGAGGGGGGAGCTCACTCTGGGACGGCTGGGGCCGGCATGGCGAGTGGACGGGGTCGAATTCAGTCCGGTCCAGTCCGGTCTGGTCTCGTCTGGTCTCGCGAAGCTGATCCGAATTGAGAACGGCTGCAGCTGGTCGTATCCCGGGATTGCTTCTGCTTTTCTATCTCTCTAGGGATGGATCGACGCCGTCCATAGGGACATCACTGCGGACAATACTAGGGGTTGCCTGCAGCAGTCGGCACCAAAAAGATGTGATGGACTGTGCTGTGCGGAATAGCTTCGTGGTGTTGGATGAAGGGGATCGATTTGCTGGTGAATTTCCCAGAGCCTGCCAAGCTCCAGTCCCCCTGCGCCCGTCTGGCGAGGTGTACCGTTTCAGGTACGTAGATATGTACCTACCCATTTTTCACTCGGTGCCGTGTAACTGCCCAGCCTCTTAGCTGTGCGACCGCGAGGGGGGTTTCGTCCGCAGATTAGGTAATCTCGACTATCCGTTAGGTACCTACTCAGGTATCAGCTATATCCTCATACGGGTGCGGAAACACTTGACTGGCCGTCAAACGTGCTTCTATCCCGCCTGCCCTAATCATGCGATGGAATAGCGCAACATCATGAGCGGCACCGTCGTAGGTCGTGGGGTCACCTAGGCCAGTATCCGAGATTATTTCCTGGCCGTGCAAGGGAATCCCTACTCTCCTCGGCCCCTGTCCTCCAAAGATAGGAGCGAATGCGATGAACCGTCTCATCTTCGGATAGAAGTGTAGCCGTAGAGACGACGCGATAAAACCCACAACCGTACGCGATCATCACCTTGTGTATTGGGGGGCTACGCTCCTTTATCCTCGCCGGCTAATCATAGAGAGTATACGTAGTGGTATCTGCCTGGTGGAGTTGTGTAATACGTGGTTAGATTCGCTTAAAGATCTATATATGTCGCGCGAAGACTCCTCGCCTACATAAAACCTCTATACCTCAACAAATGTAGGCGTCAATATGGTTCCTGTAAGACATCGCTGTAATCTGACCGCACCTACGCCTCGTTAAGTCTTCTAGGCACCTAACTCCCGTACTAATTTGGCTCGCTTCTCGTTACCAGGTACCAGGGCGTCGAGCCAAGTTGACTGGCACTTTCGTTGAGTTAATCATCTGCACATTGTCTAAATCACACCAGGGGACCACATCAGTAGCACCATGTTCTCCGTCTGTCCGTCCGTCTCTCTCTTTCCTTTTTATGTATGTTCCGCACTCGTAGCTCGAGAATTACTCGTAGGACATCGACATCGTAGATATCACAGCATCCCAGGCTTGTTACATCTCCCCCTCTCCCCTCGCCTTCCCGTATCCCCTTCCCGGACATCCCGTCGTAACTACATAGTACCGCCTCGCATCGTCACCCCTCCCAGAAAGACGATCGGAACTCGCTCGGATGACCTCAAGCAGCCGCTGTCCCAATCTTATTAAGCCCCTTGAGCGAACCTAGACTTAGGGCCAATCCCTGCGACCTGCTTCTTATACGGACGAAGCCAGTAATCGGCCCATCCTCGCCCTCCTTCTCGATGCTCAGGTTGGCCAGCGCATCCTCACCTAGAAAAAAAAAAAAGGCGGGTGTTAGTCTCCGCTCGAGTTTCGTTAGGGAATCGCAAGAACTCAAAAACTTACCAAAGACGCTCTTGGCGTACAGGTTAGCGCTTAGGAACTGACAGTCGCCCTTCATGCTCGCTTCCGGTGTCAAGCAGTTCATGTTTGTGCAGGCCATCAGCTGCTCCAGGAATTCGCGTAGGGTCTTGGCTTTACTGTTAATATTGACCTTGTTCTCCCACTCGAATTCGGTCCACATCGTGCGGAACTGCGTTTCCGTGCACGTGGCCGGTTGGATGTAGTCCATGATGTCAACGTGTAGATCGTTGAGGATGACGACGTTGGTGTCCGTGCTGTGAGCGCCGTCGTATACGACGTTTCCGAAGATGACGCCCGTATCAGTGGACGAAACCTTGATCGTGCATTGCACGTTGTGGAAATCGTGAGGGCCGAGATTCTGCGTCGTGGGCCGCTCCACAACCTTGAGGTCGCCGAGCGTAGCGAACTCGACGGAGAGGTTCTGTAGCGTTTCCGTCGTCTGATTGACGAGGAGAACGTCCAGGACGATGTCGAACTGGTGCACCTTGACGTATGCCTCGGCGTACACGGGGTCGGAGAAGCCGGTGAGCTGGACGACACGGCTCAGCTTCGACGACAGATCCTCGGCTACGGCCTCACCGCCCGTCGCCTTCTCTAGGTCGAGCTCGATCTCGTCGGTGCCATCTCCCGCATTCTTCTTTGAGAGCTGCCGGATTTGCACGACATCGTCCACTTGAATGGCAGCTTTCGCCTTTTCGAAGGCTACCTTCGCCGCCCGCTTCTTCTCCTCTACCTGGACCATAGCTCGGAACGCTTGCCGCGTATCGTCCAGGAAGACAGTCTCGAGCTCTTTTCTATCAGAAAACTCAGCCAGCGACCGCACACAAGACATTATTCTATCAACCGAGTCCTCGTCGATGGGAGCCTTGACGAACTGGGACTGGCCAACGCGGATGATGGAAATCATGATCAGCATGGCCTCGGCCTTGAGGGCATTTGTCCGGGCCTTGTCCGGAGAGATCTCGGAATGGCGCATAACGAGCTTTGTAAGGGTGGCTGAGAGGACGGCGGCTAAGTAGTAGTCGCCTTCGAGGATCAATTGTCGCAACGGGGGCTTCTGGGCAGCTTTGACAGCCTCGAGCTTAGCGGCGGCGGCGGAGCTGCTGGTCAGAGCCGTCTCTGTTGCGTAGGTGCCGTCGGCGAGAACCCTTCTCGAACCGGAGGGTGCCGCGGGCTTGGAATGGCCATTGATGTGCTCCTTTTCTTTATCCTCTTCGCCGTCGACGTTGTCTAGCAATCGCTGTTCAGAGGCGAGGATGGGAATCTCGCCTAGACTTGCGCGTATCCTCTTCCACGCGTCTCGGATGTCCTTCTCTTCGAGAGAGTACTCGCCGATGGTCCAGATGATGCCACGGTAGACTTTTCCGGCCCTTACCTCGCTAAGGGTATCAACTAGTCGCGAAACGATGGACGGCCGCAGCTTGGGGAACTTCTCGACCACCTCTTTTACGAACGCAATGACGTCAACGGCAGAAGAATTGCTGAAGTCGGCAATGAAGTCCATCAGGAGATCCACAACGCTCGCCGCTACTTCTGAGAACTTGATGGCGCACTGGTGGATGGAGTGGATAAGCAATTGGCGGTACTCGGCGTTCTTCTCATACTCCTGATCGACGGTCTTGGAAAGCTCCTTTTTAAGTAATAAGATAACCTCTTCCACATTTTTGCTCGACACCATCTCGAGCGCAATGGTAAGAGCTTTTCGTCGAACGTCAATATCTGGACTAGAAAGCACACGTAAGATCTCCATCACAAGGTCGTCTAGGACGCCCTCGTTCTTCTGTCGTAGCTGGTCGACACGGTCAAGAACGATGAGCTTGACGTTGTTATCAGCCTCCTTAATGCTGAGCTCAATAAACTTGCCGGCGGCCGCCTTTACCGCAACGGGATTGGTCGTTAATGCGGTTAGGGAAGAGGCAGCTTCGTACACAACCGTGGAAGCGCCAGCCTCAAGGAGGTCGAAAATGAGTCGCAAATATCGCGCCTGTAAATTGGTATATGTCAATTGCTGGTACGGCAGCAACCAGAACTAGAGAGCTATCCCACCTTGTGCTGTGAGTTCTGAACGGCATCTTTTCGGATGAATTCCAGCTCCACCAGTTGCAACAATTCCTCCGCATTGGGGATGCCGTCGAAAACGGAGCTCAGGTAAGCTAGAGCCTTCTCGTGGTCGATGCTAGCCAGAGCAGCGAATGCGTTGCGCTTGCAGGTTGCGTCACTTTCTCCCTCTAGGAAGGTGGCGATCAGGTCGGAAGCGTCCGGAATGAGGGACGGCGAATGTAAATGTATGGAAGAGATGGCGAAGACGGCATTCTTCCTAACGTAGGCGTGGCGGTGCTCGAGACACGAGCGCGCAGAAGACAGAAGGGGCTCGATCAACTCGGCTTCTCGTAGCTTGCACAGGAAGCGCAGCGTATTGCCTCGTATGTATTCGTTGGGATGTTGGAGATCGTTTCTGATGCCATTGCTAAACCAGAGGCGTTAGCAGACTAATTCGATTCGTCCCCACGAAGGGAGAGAGGGAGGCAAGTCAGTCAGACTAGCTAGTGGCTAAGTACACTTACCAGACCAGGATCATCTCTTGCTTTAGCTTGCCATTCGTGTCGTGCTTGGGGCAGATCTCGTAGTAGAAGTACAGGAGCTTCTTGAGTGGCTTATATTTCGAGGGCATGACGAATCGGATGATGTGCATGAGCAGCTGGGGCATGGGATCGCCGTTGAGCATGATGGTCAAGATGCGCTTCATAGTGTCCACCTTGGTTTCGTCTGTGCCCTTCTCCAGCTGGATGCGCAGGTCGGACATGCTAGGGACGTCCGCAGCATTGTCCTGGTGGACCAAGCTGTAGGCATTCTCTAGGAAGGTCGTCATGCTGGGCGGTCGTCGCGGCTCCCGACCGCCTTGTCGCAACGAGTCTTACTTAGCTAAGAACGAGGGGGGAGGGAGGGGAGGAAGGTGGGCGGAAGCTCGGTTGCTATTATGATATTACAGATATCCCACTGGACACTCGATTTCTCGCAAACGCAAACCAGGGCCGAGTCGGGGAGGTATGGAGCGAAGCGGTCTCAACAGACAAGAGGTGGTCTGCAGAGGTCAATGCGATTATGCATCCCAAGGCGACCAAGTGTTGCTTGTGTCCTCGAGGGCGATGCTGTGCTGGATGAAACAAAAACCGGGTATCGCCGCAGCCAGAAGAGACGCCCGTCGAGGGTGGAGGGTCGGGAGTCGAGTACGGGGAGGCGTATCGAGGTTAGAGGGCGTGGTGGTGGCAGAGGTAGGCGGACAGTGGCAGCGAGTAGGGTGGGCTGAATTATCTCGAGGTGGCCGACGTTAAAGCGTTGTCTGTCCAGGCTGGCCCAATATCGAAACTACCGATCCCACACATATTACAGAGGCACGGCACGGAGGGAGAAAGGGATAAGCTACACTGCTACCACGCACAGAAATCTGTCCCTCCTGAAAGGGATAGGGTCAGCCGGCTGGGGGCGCGGCGATTGGCTGATAGCTCTCTCGACCGCTAAATAATCCGTCTCCGACAATTTAGCGAGAAATATATTATGTATCTGTGTGCCTGAGGTATCTGCCAAGATCCCTCCGGAATCCACTGCCAGGCCCTACCGGACCGGCAGCCTCTACTGAATCAGGTGGCGTTTTTGACTTCCGCCTGGGCAGAACGAGCCAAGTTGTAGGCACCTAACCCAGGTTGGTACCTAAAGTAGGTACCTCCCAGTACCTACTCCGAATGCCGGTCAGGAATTTCTGTGCGTGAATTCACCGGCTTTCGTGCCTCTTCTCTGACGATGAAAAGTATCTGTCGGTAGATTCTGCACTTCTTCCTGTCTGACCGCCTTCCATCCCTGCTCTCCACGTTGCGGTATGAAACGAACATGTACTATACATCTACGTAAGTACCTAGGAATTTGTTTCCTGCCCCGCCAAAAAACCCCCCGGCCCACATACAGGGTTATTAGTGCACAACTGGGAGGTACGTAGAGGCTGCCCGCCCTACCATGTACCGCGCAGAGTGGTGACGGTTGTCCCGTCGCAGCTCTTCTCAACTACCTACCTTCGTGATCCCCGCGAACAACCCGGCACCAGCAAGCGACTCGACACAGCCGAACACTGCCCGCACCTACCGACTATCCTGTCGCCCGGGAGTGAGACGAACGGCTGAGATCCACGGCTCGTGCCGTACGCGAAGCCAAACGCGGCATCTCGTGAACCGCCTCGCCAGCCTTGCCCAGACCGCGGCCCGCAACCCTTCGGCACTGCGTCCGGCGCCACCATGGCGGCCTCATCTGGCGAGCCCTTCTACCTACGGTACTAGTACGTGCGAGTGCCCCCTCCCCGAGCGCGCGGGACGTACTCCCCCACCCACCTTGCCGCAGTCGCCCGCCGAGACCCGTCTAGCTAACCCGTGTCGCTCGACCGACGTATATAGCTCCGGACACTCCGGCCGCTTCGGCCATGAATTCCTCGGTGAGCTTCCCGGGAACCCGACGGCGTGGTCCGCCCGTCCCATCTCGCACCCCCCAGCCTCCGCGCCTCAGCGGGTGCGATATACAGACCTCCCCAGGCTAGGCCCCTCCACCCCGAGCAGACGCAGACGCTAACCGCGCGTGGCTCGCGCACAGAATTCGATTTCCGGTCCGTGGGCGACGGCCGGAGCGCCCTGGCGCGGTACGCGAACAATTCCAACTACCGCAACGACAGCCTGATCCGTAAAGAGAGTACGTGTTGACCCCTCTTCCCGCGCCGGCCCGATCCCCACTCCACCGCATCTGTCCGAGAAGCCCTTCTATTCCAATGCTAGGGCAAGGGAAAGGGAACGAGAGAGTGGCAGACAACAGGATCAGAATGGGAGAACCGGGCAGGGCCGCCCAGACAGGCAGACAGGGCTAACCCTACCCTACCCCTAAAAAGTGTGTGTTAGTTCCCTAGTCGTCGATGAGATCAAGCGCATTATCAAGTCGAGCGAGATCATGAAGGAAGATGACGCGAAGTGGCCGCAAAAGAACAAGGACGGCCGACAGGAGCTCGAGATACGGCTGGGCAACGACCATATATCATTCGAAGCAAGTCTTCTTTTTCTCATTTGTGGCACCCCCTTTTCAGTTCTCGAGCGACTCCTACACTACCCTCCCCTACTTCCACCCCCCTCAGGCCCCTTACCGATTCGCATATCCATACTCCGATCTCGTCTGCCCTGGCCGGCCTCCCACTTCCTCCTCTCCCCACGCCACAACCGTAAACATACATATCTGTATGCACGGCGTGACCTGCCGTGGAACGGGGTGGCGATACCCGGACGTACGGTAGGTGGGAGGTGGCAGATAGATAGCCAGTAGGCAAGCAAGCCTAGAAGCCTATGCGCTCAGTCCACAACCACGCTACCACCCATCCAACGGATGGGACGGGAACGCGTGTATATAGCCCACTTTGGCCTCCCTTACTGACATGGCAGAAACGTGACAGACAGCTAAGATTGGCTCCCTCATCGACGTCACCGAGTCGGCGGACCCCGAGGGGCTCAGGGTCTTCTACTACTTGGTTCAGGACCTCAAGGCGCTCGTGTTCAGCCTGACGTCGCTTCACTTCAAGATCAAGCCCATCTCATGATGACGGCGTCGGCAAACAGGGGCGGGTATAGTAGGGTGGATTCTTGAATGTGGGAAGAGTCGGGCTGTGTGGGAGGCAGGTGTGAAGGAGGGGAGAATGCAGACAAAGACGAGAAAGAAGAACAACACCACACACATCATCGTAATTATGTACAAACACACATACACGCAGCAAAGTGCAACGCCGGCCACGTCGCTTCGGGGCCGGCTGACCCAGCCATCATCATATAACTCACTCCCCAACCTTGCTGCTGGTTGTCGTGAGAAAAATGCCATACACTATGATACTCTTCTTGTCATGAATATTGGTGTCTCCAGTAATAAATATGAATGCCGTGGGAGACCAATCTTACAAGTCTCTCCTCTCTTTCCCCTCCGTGGAGTCTTCCTCGGCACGATCCCAAGATCTGTATCATGTTTCCTTGCGCGCGAGACTAAAGTACCCCTTAGCTTAAGCAGCACGCATGTCCGCCTGCTTATCGGTGATTGGTAGTGGTCCAGAATGAGGATCAGCCGTGTTGGGTGCTACCGAAATGAGGAAAAAAAAAGAAAAAGGGGACCACCTGCGAGCTCTCTAACCTTCTAGGGCCGCCCGTCCTATCCTTATGTCAGAGCCGCAAGTCTTAATATCATCGGAACTCCATGGCACTGTAACAACCCTTATCTTCAACATGTTTGAGTTCTAGTTGTTGGAATCTAGAAGAATGCCAGGGTTAGCAAGGTCAAGCTTTCCCGGCAATTGAGGCTCGGAAGAGCGGCGCCACGGACAACAGGCTGCCGGAAGAGGGAGTTGGTGGGGGATTAGACGTACTTCTCACTCTTAGAGTGGAAATATATGCCCTTGACACTTCCTTCCTTCTGGTTAAAACAGATGTAATAAAAGCCCTCGAAGCTGGCCCCGTTGATGGTCTTGACGCGATGATCGGGGACGAGGAAATGCTCCTTCCATCGCATGAAGATGTTCTCGCGCTGAGCGAGGTTCGGTATTAAGACAGGCCCCTTGCGCAATTGCTTGCTGTATTGTCGGAACGCGGAGAACTTGCTCCAGTGGTTCAGATCAATCTTCTCCGTCGCACCCCAGTTCTCGTGTTTCGTCATGAAGCCATACTTGCCGCCGATGATCTCGCCCTCGAAGTAGGTCGTCAGCGTTGGGTTGTCTTCCGTCAAGCCTGCGTGGGTTTGTTAGTGTCACGAGTCTTGCGAGTAGAGGCGACAGGACAAGCCACGAGTAGAGCGCGAGGCAGGAAGAGACGGAGAGGGATGCAGGTGGCAAGCTAACCTTGGATCTTGAGAAAGCCGCATAGGAAGGACTCCCTCAGATCAACATACTTGATTTCCACTTGGACATCGTAGACTTGGCGTTCGGATTGCTGCGTGCCGTGAAATCTGCTCCCCGGACGCAGGAAAGAGGACGACGAGGTCGGTATTATCTCGAATGAGGTCAGCAGACGTCGAATAGACGACGTTCCGAGTTATATTCTAGCGCACGACGTACTCTGATATTAGTGGAATCGAACCCCATCGGTGGCGCATAGGCGTCATCCGGCAGTCTCCCCGGCATCGTGCCGTCTTCCAGCTTGTCGTTGTCCGCGCCGACAGGGGTCACAATATCGTAGTTGCCACTGCGGCGGCGGCTTGATGATGATGCATCGGTATCGGCCTTAGCCAACGCATCGTCCTCGGTGTCGGTTGCCTTATGTGACTGGGATGGGGTTTCGGCAGGGTCAGGGGCAGACGAGGGTTCGGTGCTGCTCCGCGAATCGGGCCTAGGCGACTGGCTGGTGGACCGAGAGTCCGTCGCGTCTGGGGTCCCGTTGAGCAACAGCGCACTCACAGGTTCGGGCGACGCGGACGATTCCTGGTCGTCGATATTCATCTCATGCTCCTCCCCATCGGGCGGCCAGCTACCGGTAGATCGAGTGTCGTCGGGACATAAAGTGGCATGGGATCGAGGTGAAAAGTCTGGTGGAGGATTGCTGGACGGGGTAGGCATGCTCGAAGTGGTGACCGACTATTCTTATACGCAGGCCCTTGATGCTATCGAGATGCCTCGTCAGGGGGGAGGCAACGCGATAGGTGGTGCGCGTGAGACGGGACGGATGACGGAACGGTCGTTTCTCGTAGGTACCCGTAGCGCAACGAGCAACGTACGTGCAAAGCAAATTAATGTCGGGATACCTGGGGGAGTAAATGAGAAAAATTAAGAAATACAATAGTTGAGAAATCACACCAGAAAGAGAAGGGAAAAAGGAGGCCGTGTGATGTTGAGCAATGGTTGGGCAGGAGAGTTGGCAAGAGAGAGAAGTGCTGGATTGGGGGGGGGGGGGGATGGTAATGAGGAGCGGGTAGAGAGGGTAGAGAGAGAGGGTCGAGTTGATGGGTCAACTCGCAAAAGGCTCGGGTCAGGCAGTTTGGTCTTTAGGATGGACTTGTACCTGGCGTTGCTAGTATAGTTAGGGCCCGTCCGCTGAAACTACTCTACCACCAGTCTGGGGGTGGAGGTGCCAGGCATGATTTTTTTTTTTTTTTTTTAAAAAAGGTCGCAACATCACTTACCTAACCTCCGCATAGAGACGACAAGGCGACAACGAGACAACCAGAGCAGACAACGAGCGGTGCAACCAGCCTACCCTGCCCTGCGGTGGCGCTACTTAGCATGCAGGTGTCGTTGCAATGGAAGCCATGGAAGAAGCAGTCGGTGTACGGTGTGCCGACATACTCATATGCATATCACGTTGGCCAGCGCGAGGGTTTCCTACGTAGCAGGCAAGGTACCTCATACCTATATCGGTATGATATGTATCATCGTTGGCATTGACACACGGATTCAGGGTTCGGTGCGTGCATTCGCAGGCGATTCCATACCTACGCATACAAGCGGTATCGCACACCTCGTCGCTCGGGCCAATCAGTCCACCGAGCTGGTTGAATCAGACCGGGGCCCGGGCCTGGCCAACGCTGCGTGCAGAGGCAAACCATGTATATCATATGTCTACATCCATCCATCCATCTTGTCTTGACCGCTTGAGTCGAAGAGACCCCCGACCAAGGAGATCCCTACACACCTACCTTAGGTATTATCTGCCTACGTAGCCACCGATCAAGTCTCCCTCACCCCCCGTCACGGCCTCTCTCGAAAACAAGAAAAGTCAGACATTAGGCATCTGGGGGGGAAGGGGGGGCCAGAGGCAAGAAGATAGAGTGAGAGATGGGTACACATGGAATATTGGATAGGCCCCCAAGTACTGCCCTAACGCTGATGGATAGTTGATTCCCTAGATTGACCCAAGTCTGTGCCGCTTGGCGGCCAACACCAGCGAACCCCGCGGCTTCGATATGGACGGATCCTTCACCTGGAATAAGTAGAGCACCATGCTGGCGAGTAAAATTCAGAGGGCTTCGTAAGGAGAAAGAAAGCCTTGCGCAGTTACACCAGACTTACCTATCGACGAGCGTGCGTAAGCTTGCTTACACACACGCACGCACCTAGGCATACCTACATACGTAGTACGCACACACGCCCACACGCCCACGCGCTGGCCTGTAGTTCCGCGGCGACGCCAGCGTCGACGTACGCGTAGGCTGGGAGGGCCACGCAGAGAGCCAGCAGGTAAGTAGCAATTCTTACCACCCGTCAGACGCTACAGGCGCCGCTCGCAGGATTGGGACGACGAGCATACTTGTCATCTCTATTAGGTCATCGGCATCCCCCCGATACGCAAGTAGGGTCTGCCAGAATGACGGGAAGGTGGGTGCGACAGAGAAGGATGCATCGGGCCCCTTTAAACTGACAGATCTGTAGGGAGGTAAAGGCAAGGGAGCGCAAGGAAACCCTCCGGGCCCGTGATGGTTGAGGGAGGGGGTGGTGACAAAGGAACAAGCCAGCATCTCCCCGTCGCATTGGCGCAGAGTGAACCTGGCCTAACCGCTAACCCAACCCAGCTCAGTCCGCACCCCGGAATCTCGAAAGCATGGACGAATTCAAAGTCAGTCAGCACGCATTTTTAATGGATACCGAGTAGGGCGATAGAGGAAGCCGGGTAGAAGGTAGAATGTCACTTAATCTAACTTCCAGCCCGCCCGTACAGATCTTCGCAGAAGGGGTGGGCGCTCCTCTGTGAAGAATGGCAAGACAACCACGCCATACTCCCAGGCCAGGATTTCCCACGCGCTGAGTCGCAACTCGGGCAGAGTGGAATCGGCTCCCCCGCCTCAGGCCAAGACCCCTAAGCTACCCACGTAGAACCACCGGGGTACACGCACGGGAACCCTTCTAGTATCTATCGTGATTCATCGCCAGCCCTAAAAACGACATCGTGACGTAGCTCTCTCTCCCGCACCGAGGCCTCGCAGATGGCCTTCTTCGTCGCGTTTCAAAGAGAGAATCCCGAACCCCGACCTACCGCTTGCTAGCCTAGTTGACGGATCCCCCTGGAGCTTGTGGCTAGAGCGAGCATGTCCCCTCCTCTAGTTAGCTCGCGACATTATCGCCACTACCTTGCTCGGGCTTGAAGCCCCTGAAGTAGACCCGGCGGAAAGGGTTGAGGTCGTCTGCGGTACGGCCCTGAACCTGCTCCGCTTGCTTCCTCTGTTCGAGCGCGGACACGTCGACCTCCGCGTCCGGCAGACGGCGATACGTAATTAGTCTTCGCGACCCTAGCACACCCAATAAGCTAGAGCGTCCGCGGAGCTAGGTTAGAATGGAGATCTTACATTTATTAAACGCCTGGGTGCACACGACGACCATGCTGAGGCACGGGTGCGTCGGCACGGGGATTTCTTGTTCTTCGTCGTTGGCCGTCGGCATCCAGAACGAGAGGCGTCCGTGATCCACGAGCATGTCCGAGGCGAAGTTTAATATGTCATCTAGCATCGCCGTGAAACTGTACGGTTTCTTGGGGGGTACGAAGGATGGGTTTCTAGTCGGTTAGTAGACGCGACCTATCTTAAAGCTGGGCCGGAGAAACGCACCGGTAGGTTCGTTTCCCCTTCTCTACGATCTGGGCGTCCTTCTCCGGATCTCTGCATCCCAGAACTTTCAGTCCCTCCCTCACGCCATACGGCGGGTCGCAAACGATCCCGTCCAATATCCTCGCTTTGCGCATGGGACTATTCGTCAGGTCGCTAACAAACACGTCGCCCAGTAGCCTCTCTAGCCCGTATTGCTTGAAGTTGCCCTCCAAGCTCTTCGCTCCGCCTTGGCCACGGACACTACGGCCGTCGATATCGCTTCCCCAGCCCATGGCACCGAAATGCGCGCACGCTATCGGGAAACTACCAGTCCCGACGAAAGGGTCGTAGAAGATCTTGCCCGGCGCGGCGAGCGCGATGTTCGCCGTAAGTAAGGCCAACTCTGAGTCCATGGAGGTTGTGCTGATGTATCCCCGCTTCTTGAGATCGTAGGTTTTCACCAGTTCTCGTACCCCGTGTCCGACTAAACGGCCGAAATAGATTCTCAAGGGGTCAGGCAAGTTTCGCGGCACTGCGTCGAACTCCCATTGCTCGAAGATGGTGAACTCCTGGTCTGGAGACGAGAGAATAACCAACCCATCAAATGGCAGGTAGGCAAAGTCATTTATGAGCGCCAGTTTCCGCTCCGAGGAGCGAGAGCCCTGGTAGGCATCTATGTTGATCTTGAACGAAGCCTGCTTGTACTGCGCCCATAGGTGGGATGTCTCCCGCTTGACAATGCGATGCAGCTCGTCATACGTCTCTGCTGTGCCCCAGTGCTCATGGATAGTCTGCGCTAAGATGGAGCGTCTAAGTAATGCCTTTGCAGCCTCTTCGGAAGGGAGCCGGACTAGGCAAAAGGGTGACTAGATGGGAAGTTGTGTAAGCACGTAAGATTCCGCGATTGGGCGATGGATAACAATCACCTCGTCGCTGTACGAGATGACCTCGAGGTCGATGCCTTCCACAACGGCAAGGGCCTGGATTTCTGCCAAACGGAAAGTCTCCAGAGACTGCGAGAAGCGAATGAGATATTCCATCATGGGCTGTCCTGCAGTAATCGTCCGTTTTGCTGTAGCCAGAACAGTTCAGACGTTCCTACCGCAACGCTACCCGCACGTCGCTCCATCTGGGACCTTGGAATGCAGTCGGGGGTTGGAGGTGAAAGCACCAAGTCGCAGCCTGTAATCCTGTTGCGGTCGTTGTGAGAAGTGAAGAGTTTATAGGGGCCGCGTAAATAATGCTGATAATGAAGCGAGTAGGTATATCACTGATTATTGGATATTCTGTATAAATCCATAATCTGATAATATGCGATATGAACAGTTTCTTGAAGCACAAATTGTCATCGTAAAAAGGATATACGGCCAAGTCCACAACCCCCCAAATTCCCTTTTGCATTTATCCCAGTTGGACCTCTATTTTGGCAATCATCGTAGGAGCATCACCTTTGCACGTGCCTGCATAGTCTACTCCTGTAGTCAAATGCGCTGTGCGCACCGCAGCGGTCTGAAACGATGTTCTCATTCTCGACGCCAAGTGTCTACCAGTCCTCCAAATGCTTTGTGACATATGGAGTAATGGGTCATCTCGACCCTAAACAACTGCCGAGCAAGGGGAAGCCATGGAGCGCCTTGTCAGCGCAAGACTTCGTCCACAGGGTTCGAAACATCCCCCCTCCTCCCTAGATCTGACGGGATTAATCGTGTATACTTGATGCTAACTTGAGCCTCCAGGTGGATCTGATCTTCCCGGAAGAGCTGCTGCATGTTATCCAGGATAAGATCACCAGCGATCCGGGACGGGCGCCTACATTCTACAGGGTCATCATGACTCTAGGGCAAGTCCTGGAGGGTGACTTCTTCACAGAGTACATCAAGATCGGTAACTTATTCGAAACCTCCACCCAACCCAAGAGGCGTGAGACGCTGATATCTGCCTCGCCGTCGAAGGGAATATCGCGATGCTGTCAGAGGGAAAGATAGACTCTGATAACGTATTCTCGCTCAAGGATGGTAAGTAAGAGTGCAGCATCTAAGGGACATGGACATTCTCGGGTGGCTAATGACAAGTCGGAACGCTAGGCGTGCTCACGATGTACCTTGACAGAGAGACTTACGAACGAGCTGGACTTGTCGGGAAGCCTTACGGGGTTAAGGGTAAACGAGGTCTCAAACCAAGATGGAGTAGGTCGCAAAACAAATAGACCCAGATTTCCATTATGACCGCTAACCATTTTGCTAGTCGTGGAATTTAACCTTCGAAGTCCGTCGATGCTTCATGGGAAGAAAGGCTTCGACAGATTGGCATTCGCATGCAAGAATGTGCTGAATACACCCACCACCTGGCTCTTCTCTAATCTATCCAGGAGTAGGTCTCTGTCCTGCCACGCTTGTGGTTGATACGCCTGTTAATCTATTATACCCTATGTAGCGCCGGATCCAGACCCTCTTTTACGGCACTATCCCACCAAGTATACGTCACACCCTGAGGTCCTGGGAGGGCTGGATATGACGCTTCCGCCGCTGAAGCCCTTGCCCGCTGTTCTCGAGAGCCAAAACCGTCTAGAGCTGGAGGAATTCGCAACGGATACATACGAATGGTTATCCCTGATCCGACTCGACAGCCCAAGGCTGCATGCGGATGACACAATTGACCCCTATCTGTGCGGGTACTCCGTTCCCGGAGATCCGGAAGATGCCCAGCGAGGAAAAGTATGCCGCGTCCGCTGGCAAGGCTTCATCCCGCCAAAGTGGACGCAACGGATCTTGGTGGACGTGATTCTTGCTGTGCCGGCCCGGGCATGGTTTTCGCTGAGCGCCACATCCTTCGCAAAAGGTATGATGGGTGACGCTGCCGACTGCACTATCCTAAGACCGCCAGACTCGTCGGGGGAATACTTCCTCTGGGACATAAAAAAACACGATTGAGGGCCGAATTCTTGGTCGAGATTGGCGGTCATCCAATTAAACTACTCTTGCCTCGGCCGGACATTGCGATCTGTGATATTCTGGCTTGCTAGAGCATCTTGGACTAGTTGTCTAAGCTCGGCCTGCCCGGCTTCGGTGTTTATGTCGTCGCGTCGAGCCAATTCTTCTATCCTCCTCCGGAATTCGGGATCCGGCTCCAGCTCGTCCGCCTCGCCGGGCTGCATAGTGCCGACAGATATATTTAGGCCTTCAGGCAGGCTGGGCACAGGATCTTGTTCCCCAGCTACGCGTCTCCCGTCTCCTCCGTTGACGCCGTTGAGGAGGTGGTTCTGGGCGTCGCGAACTGCCTCCTTGGCTTTTAGATACTCGGCAACCTGGGGGAAGTCGCCCTCCTCGGCTATCTTCTGGTATGCGGTGTATCCCTCGGAGCCGCGAATCGTAACATCGGCACCCAGCTCCTCGACTAACAGCCGGGCAGCCTCGACGGTCTCGACAACGAAAAGGGCGGTCTCTTCGTCTTCGTCTCGCAGGTTGACGTCGACGTTGAACTCGCGGACCAGGGCCCGGAGGAGATCGAGGTGGTTATAACTCGCTGCCGCGTGGAGTAGGGAGTAACCGTGAGGGTCCTGCTGGGGGGCCAGGGCGGGGTTCGCACGGAGCAGAGGTAGCAGGGCCGGGCTGTTGTCGGCGGCGAGAAGGAAAGGATTGGCAGACATGGCGTAAAAGGCCGGAGCGAGTCAATAGTCTGGACGTTGCTGCGGCTTGACTCCAGCAACCAACCGTAGATAGTATCGGACGGTCCCGTGGGTTTGGACCCGGCGCGCTTCGTAACGAGTGGAAAATAATGCTCTCTTTTTTTTAGGGAAGGTTTTGGTATGACGCATTCTGAAAATTAATTTCCCCTCCACTGCCACCGGATAAGTGCATAACCCACTGTACATGCCTACCGGCAAATTTCCGGGGTAGGTGTAGATCTCAGCCACTACAGAATGAAGCCGTATTTCACTGTAATCGACAATATTCACCTGAATCCGATTGATACTTATCAATAAGCTGTTCAATTGGCAGTTCTAGTTCATAGTTATCCCCCTATAGATCACCGAGCCGCAATAATCCTCAACCACCTGGATAACGGCTTCCACCAATGTCACCCAAGACGGCCGGTGATTACGCGCAAAGATAGCGACTTGCTGGAAGTCTCCGGCTAGCTCACAGATGATTCGGATTACCCAAAGCTCGTAAGGGAACATGGCGGCCTGCAGTCGGTCCTGAATCTCTCCCAGCTTCTCCAGAGTCTTGTGGTCGGCCCATACCAGTCGTAAGCGTGATGGGATCTCGACCCAGTCCCCACCGGCACGCGTCGGGAACTTGGCGGCTTCGCTAGGTAGTATCACCGGCGGCCACTTGGCTCTGACGAACCTTTCTTGGTGTGTCTCTGCCGTTCCGAGATACAGAGGTCGGTGAGGTCCTATTTGTGGCTCGGGTCCCACTGGTGGATAAGCGCTCTCCGCCTTGGGATGCTCGGTTGGATAAGCCGGCTGGACTGGCTCAGTTACCGGATGGGCTCGGTCTCGAGCGTCGTCAGTGGTTTTGGCCTCGTTTTCGCCGTTGCTGTTGCGCTCGTCGACTACGGGCGCTGCTGGCGGCGAGGGACTCGGTGGGCTCGGTGGGCTCGGTGGATCAGCTAACCGACCTTCGAGAAGGGAGGTTAGCTTATCGAGACGTTCGTTGATCCCTTTTATCTCTTGGCGTAAGGCTTCAGTTTCGTCATGTTGAAGGTTTTTAGCTATGAACTTAATTCGCTTGTGGATGCTGTTAACCGTTTTGCTATACGGCTTTCGGGGGCCGGCAATGGCGGTGACGTTGATGGATCGCCTGATGAGCCGGCTAAGCTTGTTGGCGTTTTGCTGGGGCTGCTGCTCTCCGTCGCGAGCTTCGTGTGTTGGGGGCGTGGACGACATCGTGATGGCTTCGTTTCGTCACCAAACAGGGTACGTCGGAATAGCTTCGCTTCGGTGTTCTGGCTGTAAGCAAATACCTAGCTATTTGTGCGTCCCGGCTAGTCGGCTTCCTGCGATCCCATAACACTAGTAAACACTAGTAACTAGTAACCAGTGTTAGAACCCCCGGACGCTGAACCTGATGCCGTTGATCTATTAGGAGGATGATTAGGAATTGGAACTGCTAATTGAACAGCTCATTTATAGGTATCAACCGGTTATAGTAAATACTAGGTACATCCAAGCTTTTGTTTGCATAAAGTATTAGACGCGGAATATGACACCACTCTGTGACTCCTGAGGCATCAGCTAAAGGCATTGGCGCTTCAAACAGCAACCTGTATCGACGCCTTACCTAATCAAACAGAGGCCTATTCACCATCCGCGCGTACAGAGGTTGGAAGATGGCGAGCGACCATGCGCCCACCGACTTGCCTAGGCGTATTATAGTATGTATGAGCTGCCCCACGGGGCATCCAGGAGAATGCTCATTTTTTGTAAGGATGCGTGGAGTGAGCAAGTACCGGGTTGGGTTCGCAGGGCCTCGGCTGGGTTGCCTTTCTCGCATTCGGCACCTCAGGCACTTACGAAGTGCCCCTTTTCCCCGCGAAATACTGAGAGCCACGGGGCAACCCAACCTTACCTGCCTAGGTGATTCATCAGCTCCTCGTCTCCTACTGCAGGTACCTAAGGCCAAACCACGACAAGGTACCGAACGTGGGTGATGGACGAGACGTGCTACTGAGACCGGGGGAGCGTGGTCAAATACCTTAGGTTACCTGAGTAATTTGGTTATACCTAGTATGCCGATAAGAAATAGTAGCGGCTCGAAAGCCTCCCATTGTTTCGACGGATTCCAAGGCCATGAACAGCCACGGTATATATATGGGATAGAAGATGTCCAGTTCAAAGTCGAACGGGGGTGCGGAAATCAACTTTGCAGCAGAAGATACAGCAGAAGAAAAAGGTTACCTCCATACCTACCGCCGGAACTGCCGTCCATATTACCTACGACAGCAAGCCACGTTGATAAGGACCGGTCAAGCGCCTATCGAGCCTGGGTGCGCCACATGAACCGCGACGTGTACCTACATGTACGAGTAACCACTCCTGCCAAGCCGACCCCTCCCTCGCGAGACCACCAAGCTGCCCGGCACGAGCACACCGAGCTCGTGGTGAACCCCCTGGAAGAATCGACGACAACGACGGGGATCGAGCAGTAGAAGGGATAGAAAGTATAGGTAGCGTTTGACAGCGCGCGTCCGACTGGGTTGACGCCTGCGCTCGCTAGCCTACGCGACGCCGCCGTCGATGCGCCGGAGCGCGATCGCACCGAGTTCCCCGATCCGAACAACAAGGCCTAACAAGTTAGGGAGGTGTTGTCCTACCGCCCGGGACCTGAATCTCCCTCTCTCTCTATCTCTCTCGGCCGTCGGGTTTGCGAGAGAGTTGTGCCCCAACCTATATACGCCAGCCTACGCCCGTCGCACACATGCTCAACATGAGATACGGCAGCGCGGGGGCGTCTGAGATTGGCCCCGTCGGGCCTGGGTGCCAGCGGGAGATGCAGCGCGAGATACGTTGGGCTGAAGATCTACGGCGACGGCGCCAATGAGGAGACCGTCCTCTTCCCGTCCCCCGCCCGTCTCCTCTCTGCTGTTCCTCACAGGAGAGGTGCGGGTATGTAGGTAGATGAGATGTGAGATCGAGGTAGGTAGGTATAGATACCTACCTAGCCACCAGATGCATGAGGGTAAGTAAAGCTGGCCTCCTATTGCGCCTAACAACTCTAGACTGTGAAATCGAATGTGTGCATTATCCGGGTACGCGTACATCACCCAGTTGCCGAGTGGGTTGTCGCGGTTCGGCATCAACATCAGGTTTAGACACCCTAGGCTCGTCGGGCTGTCCCGGTAGTACGGATTTCCGCTGGTTTGTGCTCGCCCACCGGCTCAGCACACAGGTAACTATCGAATGTACCTAACCGAGGTAGAGAGAGGAGGGCATCTCGATTGCCATCCTCAGATCATGAATACCTCTACCTACCTAAATAGGTACCTGCCCATAGGTGCGGTAGGTATATGATAGTACGTACCTACGTGGGCAGGGCATCGCTGACGATACCCGCCTATCGACGCCCCGATGACCCCACGATCACACGACACTGCGGAGGTTGCATATGTGTTACCTATGCAAATCCCCAGGGGGTTGACGGTAACTTGTTCCCCTCCCCACCTGGGCTGGTCTGGGCTTAGCCTGCTCCCGCGCCCTCTCGCGCACTCCTGCCCTCCACGCCGGGTAGCACGCAGGCATATCCCAGTGTGCTTTCTGGCATCTGTTAAGCCCAGAGGCAGATGGGTTCCCTTCCCGCGTTCGACCCGGAACCGGGTACACCTACATACCTGCCTACCTCTTGGGTGCGTAAGAGAGGAGCTGGCACCATTAGACGAGGGCAGGGATGGCCGGCAGGTAGACGGACAGACGGACAGGCGGGCGAGTAGGAGAGTCGGGTCCTGAGGCACCGCAGACGGGAATGGAGGATTATGTAGGAGGTATGTACGATAGGTAGCATTACATTTAATACATCTAGAACCTACCTGGGTATTTAATATCCGCCTTCCCAGGGGTTCGACGGGGCGGACGAGGCAGGTAGTAGATATACAATATGTCCCCACCCGGTCCCTACCTACGTGTAAGTGCATGCACACCTACCTACATCGCATCGTGCCATCATCCCATCTCGGCTCATGGCCGTCCCATTCCACCCGTCGTAGTCGTGCGAAGCAGAGGAAAACAGCCGTCGATGGACATCGCGCGAGCATCCTATTAATAGTCTGCGCCTCCTTCCTCTTGCCCGGCATCCTGTCGGGACCCAGAGCTCAACTTACGTGCCTCGTAACCTGTCTAGATACCTACATGCGCATAGCCTTCTTGCCCTCCATCTTCTCTATAGCCTAGGATTATACCCCCCCCCAAAACCGATCTCCCCTAAGAAACCTTCTTTTCTTCATCTAAACTCGCACTCCTCCAGTTCCCAGTAGCGTCGTTCGAGATCCCTGCCGAAGCTACCTAGCCTTATACCTAGGTATTATATCCCAAAGCGTACAAATTACAGACCCGTTCCCTACTGGCCTACTGCTGCTGCGGTAGAAAGCAGACACGACCATCTCCAACCTTTGTTAACAAAACTGCCTGCCGACATCCTCTCGACATCTCAACTGCCGTTGCGCACCTATCTCTTCGCGCCGACTCTTATACCGATTTTCCACACACACACACAAGATGCCTATCAGCTTCAACTCGCCGCGGCCCTTCTCGGCCACCTCCCAAGTCCACCCGAGCTACCTCCCCGCCCTACACAAGTCTGTGCGGCTCGAGAGGAGAATGTGAGTCCAGCAGCAGCAATCCCCCCCGGCCCTGCCGCCGCCGCCTCTCGGCTGGCCGCTTGACTGCATACTGACGGGTAACAGCGCCACAGCCACCGTCGTGGCCATAGGGATCGGTAAGTCCAGCCTAGCACGCCCCAGCCCAACTCGACACCCCCCCGGTAGTCGGGTCCTTGCCGCCGATGCCTCGGTCGCGGGTGCGCGCAGGGGAAAGAGCAAGATGCTCCCTGCCCACTCACTGCCTCTGCATACCGCACGCTCTCTCTCCATCTTCGCCTACCCGGCCCCCCCCCCCCTTCTCGTCCCCTCCCTCGCTTGCCCTCCTCGCTCTCGCACGACCGTCTAACTCGCAGGCGCACAAGTAGGGTACGGCCTGGCCAGATACAACGCCGGGCAGTGGCGGGAGCACCAGGCCCAGCCGGGCCAGCTCCCGGTCGCGCAGGTGTCCCCCGTCGCGGTCGAGGCCCGCCGCCAGAACGAGGCCCTCGAAGCCGCCTACGGCGACCGCTCGAGCCTGGCCGAGCTCGAGGCCGCCGTCGCCGCCTACGAGACGCGCCGGAGGCAGGCGTAGCGCGGCGTAGCTCGCCCCCGCCCCCACTGCGCCGCGCTCTGCGAGGCGGCGTGGCCGGTTCGGCTTTCTCGTGTGTCTTTGCTGTCTGGGGGGAATTCATGGCTACGGGCGTTTGTGATCAAGCATTTTATTTTGGGGAGGGAAGACGTCTTTCCCTCCAATAGGGGGAAGCGGTGGGATGGGTCGGTTCTCGTTTCGTGTTTCTCGGCTGGAGTTTGGGTTGGTTCCGGGTGGGCAAAAGGGTGTCGACGGACGGACGGACGGGTGGTCGGCGGGACGGCGTGCCATGCCATGTCACGGGTGTGTCTGAAGAAGGCGGGCAGACGCGGGGTAGAGGAAGAAGGAGGAAGCTGCGCGGAAACGTCTCCCCTTCTTCTGTAGAGGTTAAAGCTAGAGAGAGTTGCGTCGAGAGCAATATCACTCGATGATCCCCTCGCTCCCTCCCCCAACCCCTCTTGGCGGCTAGATAGGTACCTATATCGGCCTCGAATATCAGAATATTATCTCTGCTCGCGCTGCTTCCTCTTTTGCTTTTGGCCTTGCTACGGTTGCGTTGGCAGTCGTCTAGCCTACGTGTCGGGAAAAGGGGGATTAGTGGGGAAATCAGAGAGGTGTGTGCTTGATCCATGCTATTCCACGGATATCGCTCCCGCCTCCTCCCTTTCCCCTCCTCTCCCGAGACAGATGAGGTACGCACCTAGAGAGCTAGATCCTCGGTTCGAGGAGACGTGGAAACGCCCTCAAGCATGCCTTGGTTAGCAGATCAGAGCATCCTCTCCCTTCCCTTCCCGCCCCTCTTCTCGCAACGGACGACAGTTCAGCCTGGCTCGTCATCTCGGCTCCATCCAGGGTCGTCATTTCGTTGGTTTGTGTGCGGCGCGCAGCGGCGTCGTTACCGCAGCACCGTATGCTCTGCGAGACCGAACAGCCCCAGCGGTGGGCTTGCGTTCCTGCAAGGACGGGTCTTGTCTGCTAGCTCAGGTCCGCGACTCCGCGCTGGGGACCACAGCGGGAGGCACGGCATTTGAGCGGGTATTCAGGTCGCACGCGCGGCGGCTAACGGGGAGTCGTCACGTTCGAAGAAGGCGAGATGGGAGGTGGGAAGATGGGATGGTGGCCCGCTGCGGAAGGCTCTCCGATGCAAGGTTATGCCGTGTGTTTGGTGTTGTTGGGGGCACATAGGGGATAGGTTGGTGCTGTGGGATGTGGCAGGCGTAGGCGTAGTGCAGGTGAGGCGAGGCAAATACGCCGTGTTCCCCATTGTGGACGGGGGCGAGGAAGCCTTGGTGAGTTGCTTGTTTCTTTGCACGGTCACTCTCCAGTTTCTCTCCCTCTCCCTCGCTGTTTCTAAGAGAGCGGTAGATACGAAAGCCTTTCGAATAATCCCGTAACAACAGGGCATACCCACTGATGCATATACCTAATAGATTACGTGCCTATGGTCTCCGTTGCGACCTTATCTACATCGATATCAAGCCTCAAAGAGAGGAGTTTCGCTAACCTTGTGGGGGGTGGGTTGTAACTGCAGGCGGGGGCTATTACCAGCGAGGTCGAAACGGAGGTTGTGCCCACCGGAACCAAGCTGGTCAGCTGGACAAGCCGGATCGGCTCGGGAGGAGCCCCGAGATATGCAGACCTGCTATGTTTGGTAAGGGTAAGCATCAAGCAACCCAGCCCATGCGTGCTCCCCCTACCTGTACCACCTCCGAAAAGGCGGATAGATGCGCACCGCTACGACGGCGAGCGCCGTGCCTAACGCGCCCTAACGCTGCGACGTACGCATGTGAGCGTATGCATAGCCTGATCGCGGCGGCTGCGTGACGTCGTGCTTAGATACTAGCATCGCAAGCAGAAGCGCGTGAGCCAACGACGTCTTGAGGTTGAACGGGAGTTTTCCATGCCTACCTGCGTAGAGCCGCGGGTTAGGAGGCAGCGATATTCGTCGGCGCTTTGCATACGCTCGCACACCACCTACATCGTCAATGCCAGCCAGGGTCGTGTTGTGCCAGGGCCGGCCGCTTCTTCCGTGTAGAGAGGCAGGCGACTGGTCCGTAGCCCAACGGTATACCCACCTGCTTATAATACCTATATGGGAGACAGGTATACACATATGGGGGGGGGGGGAGCAGTAGCATGTACAGGACTCCGTGCTTAGCTCCCCGCTGCCAGCCCTGGTCGCAACCCATGATCGGCAGCGGCGGTGATCGCGGAGACTTGCTTCGTCGACGCCTCCTTCGGACCTGTGCGTTCCCGCGCAGCCTGCAGGCAGGAGGGCCACGAACCTCCGGGGGGGGAGGCTATTCCTGTTGGGTAGGAGGTAGGTAGAGAGGCAGTGACGTGCATGCGTCGGGCGTGGCCACGGTCTGTATGCAGCGCTCTTGCGTGAATATGACAGAACGTGTCAGGAGAGAACCCGGCACTGGGACGCCGGACGGCGATGCTGTAGGCAGGTATTGGGAGGAAACGATACGATGATGCTGGATACCTACCTGCCAGTGTGCCACTTCTTCCCAATGGGGCATGTCCTAGAGCTGCTCGACGGCAGACTTTGGGCGGCTCCACGGCGGAGGGTGACGCTTGGCCGGGGACCGTCGTATACCGGCCCCTCCCTCTAGTACCTTAGGTGCCTATTATGAGTATGCCGCGCCTCAGGTACGTCTCCATAGCTGTGGTCTTCGCGATGAGGACGATGAGGCAAGAGGGGGGAGGAGTCCACTCGGACGGGTCCCTCCGGTAAGGTCCCTTTTTCCGCGCAGGCCGGCCCCTGATTGGCCCGTTGGCAGGCCTTTAGTTCCAGTTAGGCAATTGTTACAGTTTAGGGGACGGAGCCACGGGCAATTAGGTAAGTGAAGCGAAGTTGCCCCGCCACGATCAACTTCCTCTACGCTGCTTCAAGGTAAGCCTGGTGGCTACAGAAACACCCATGAGTAAATACCTGATATCTTGAACCGATAAATGACGAGTTATAGGCGATAGACAGCTGGGGCAGAAGCGACAGGTGTGCGATACCTCATCGTTGCAACGTTCCCGGTCGGTAGGGTCGCGCCTAGAGTTGCGTTAGGCAGGTACCGGCCCTAGTCACTACCTGATCTAATAGTCTGTGCCACGCGCATGTCGGGAGGCGTCATCCCGCACCACCTGCATAGGCAGGTTGCGAGAAGCCGTTGAATAATGGTAACGGTAGGTGTTGAGCAATCAGAGGTACAGGTGCCTACGCCGGTAGCAGAGCTACGCGTGCAAGCCGGTAAACCTCGGGCAGGACGTGCCAGCGCGAGAGGGCGTGTTTAGCCAAGGGAGGTCACGAGAAAGGAACCGGGAAAATGTGAGAGTATGAAAACGGCGGCCCTCCTCCTCCTCCTCTTCCGCTTCCCATCTCTCCTACTCTTCCATCCACCCCAATCCTGTACACCAAAGCGCGTAGAACGACGTCCTTCCTCTTGCACACCTACGCCCTCACGTCCTCCGACCGTAGACGCCCCGACCGCCCGATAGCATGGCAGCTCTCAAGAATTCCAGGTAAGCCGTTCCCTCTCCAGAGCTCCGTCAAACCGCGCGGTATGACCCGTTCTGACCCCTCCGCTAGCAAGGTCTTCACGCTGGCCTCGGGCGACAAGATCCCCGCTATCGGCCTCGGCACCTGGCAGTCGTCCAAGAGCCAGACCGCGAAGGCTGTCCAGCACGCCATCTCGGTAGGCTACCGCTACATCGACACCGCCTACGGCTACGGCAACGAGACCGAGGTCGGCGAGGGCGTCCGCGCCTCCGGCGTGCCCCGCGAGCAGCTGTGGATCACCACCAAGCTCGACAACCCCTGGCACAAGCGCGTCGCCGAGGGCCTCGACGCCTCCCTCGAGAACCTCGGCACCAGCTACGTCGACCTGTACCTCATGCACTGGCCCAGCTCCGTCCTCCCCGACGACCCCAAGAAGGTCTACGACGACTGGAACTTCGTCGACACCTGGCGCGAGATGCAGAAGCTCCTCGGCACCGGCAAGGTCCGCAACATCGGCGTGTCCAACTTCGGCATCACCAACCTCGAGAAGTTGCTGAACGACCCCTCTTGCCAGGTGAGCCGAGATGCGCTCTTAGTAGAAAAGTAGCGCGCGGTAGCTGACAGGGCATTTAGATAAGACCAGCCGTCAACCAGATCGAACTCCACCCCAACAACCCTTCGCCGAAGCTGGTGGCCTACTGCCGGGACAAGAACATCCACTGCACCGGCTACTCGTGCCTCGGCAGCACCGATTCGCCCCTGTACGAGGACCCGACCCTGCAGGCCATCGCCCAGAGTAGGGGCAAGACGCCGCAGCAGGTGCTGCTCCTGTGGGGCATCCAGAACGGCTGGGACGTGATCCCCAAGTCGGTCACGCCGGAGCGCATCGCGAGCAATTTGGACATTGACGGCTGGGAGCTGACGGAGGACGAGATAAAGAAGCTCAACAGCCTGCCGGGCCGCACCAAGGTCTGCAAGGACGACTGGCTGCCCGAGAAGGTCTTCTTTGGCGACGACGAATAGTCAGGGAGAGCGCAGGGAGCGCCCCGGGATAGACTAGAACACATGTTTTTTTCTAAGCATCTCGCGCATGTAGACATATAGACCTTGAGTGGTTGAATAAATGCCCAATTGACGAGATGGAGAGGCCTGGCTTCGACGTTATGCAAGCCCACGCGTGCCGGTCTCGCGGAGACAAAATTCGGAAGGTGTCGACTGCGTGTGTAAGTGACTTTTCTTTCTTTCGTCTTTTTTTGCGCCGAATGCCAGTCGTAGACTATATGATATGTCACAATTTTCCTCTCTCAGGTTTCTTATCTTGCCCCTCCTCCGTCTCCCACTCTTCCCCCCCCTCCTCCTCCCCGGCCTCCTTGAGGACCTCGGCGAGGGAGCGGCGGAGGAGGTCGGCGAGGGCGGCGGCGTCGTCGTCGTCGAGGTCGCGGCGGACGCCGCGGCCGAACATGGTGAAGCTGCGGGGGGGAGGGGGGTGGGCGCGGAGGTCGGGGCGGGGGATGAGGTGGTAGTGGACGTGGTCGACGACCTGGGCGGCGGCGGCGCCGTTGTTCTGGACGACGTTCCAGTCGGGGACGCCGGTGGCGCGGACGAGGGCGGCGGAGAGGAGGCGGAGGCGGGCGCCGAGCGCGGCGGCCTCGCGCGGCGTCGCGTCCGTGAGCCGCGGCCGGTGCGCCCGCGGGCACAGCAGCAAGTGACCCCGCGCCAGCGGCTGGATGTCCAGGAACGCCACCAGCGACGCCGTCGAGAGCACCACGTACGCGGCCGGCGCCACGCGCGACGGCGCCACGAGCGGGGAGGTGGGCGGCGGAGGGGAGGAAGGCGGGAACGGCGCGTAGGACTGGGATATCTTGCAGAAAGGGCAGGAGGGCGATGATGACGAGGAGGAGGGGGAAGGGGTGTCGAAGAGGGATGGGTGAGGGAGAGGGATGGGAGAGGAAGAGGAAGGGAGGGAGGAGGAGGGCCCCATTGTGGACGGATGGGAGATGGGAGATGGGAGACGGGAGAAGAAGCTGGGTAAAGGCCGAGCGAGTCGCGTGTGGGTTTGCTCGATTTGTCGGCGGCGTTTGTTGGGGATTGGGTTGGGGGAGTAAGGTCGGTTGGCGATCGATCGACGGACGGTAGGTAGGTAGATGGATGGGCACGCAACGCAGCGCAACGCAATTGGCAGCGCGCTGCGTCCGGGCGCTTGGAAGCAAGATCGACAAGTCAATCGCAAGAAGGCTTGACCTCTTAAGGAAGGAAACGCGCGGAGAGGACACCTGCAAATGCGGATGGAAGCTCTGGGGGGGTTGGGTCGCGACGCTGGCGGGACGGCGAGGTGAGGAGTATGCTGGGTATTGAGGGAGGTTTCTCTGATGTAATGGCTTGCCGAGGTACGGCGGGCTGGGCAGGCGACGCCGGCGCCGCAACGCTGTAGCGAGGTCATGCGAATAAGGGAGGACGTTCCGGTACGGGGTACCTCGGTACCTGCGCTCCACCTGTCGTTCCTAGACTTCGCCTTATCTTAGCGCGCCGCAGGAATTCTGCCGGTCCTTTGCTCATCGACCGCTTTTTTTCTTCTTCTTGCGTCTTCTGTTTTCGCCTCAGACACAGTAGCTTCTAGCCATTCCTGCGACACACTCACCACCCGCGCCATCCGAGCTCTGCTACTACCTAGTCAGTTTCCCACCGAATCCCCGCAGCAAACCCTCCCTCCGTCTTCTCTCGCGTACCCGCTCCGGCGGCATCGTACATCCACGCGACCAGCTCCCCGACCGTCGAACCTCGCGCGCAGCCGCCGGACAAAGAGCAGCCAGACGACGAGCTCTCGAGCGCCGGCATCTCTCCTTCCCTCCACCCCACCCACTAGCCAACCGACCCGCCCCGGCCCAGCATGAGCGGCAGCACGCGCGAGTCGTACCAGATCCCGTCGTCGTCGTCGCAGACGCCCGGCGGCGGCGGCCACGGCACACCCTCCGCCTCCAGCCGCCCCGCCGCGTCCGCCAGCGCCTTCGACCTCGACGCCGGGGGCGCCGGCACCATGCATTACCTCTGCGGCGACTGCGGCACCCGCTTCCCCATCAAGCGCAACGACCCCATCCGCTGCAAGGAGTGCGGCTGTCGCGTCCTCTACAAGGAGCGCACGAAGCGGTACGATCCCCCTCCTCTCTCCTCTTTTTTTTCATATTTCTCTCTCTCTCTTTTCCTTGAAAGTTCCTGCTCCGCTTCTCCCGCCCGTGTCCTCTGTACTAGAGGTAGGGCCACGGGAGGAGGAGGGGGGGGGAATGGGGGGAAGGGAGGAAGAGAGAGGGAGAGAGACATGCACACAGAAAGTGAAAGAGACAGAGAGAAAGCTGACGACGATATTAGAATGGTCCAATTCGAGGCCCGCTAGGCCAAGCCACGCGTACCCCACATAGGTGAAGAAAAGAATAGGCAGCCGAGGACGAAGAACGTAGGACAGATGGACCGATGGATGGATGGATGGATGGATGATGATGGGACAGCCTAGTCCCTAACGAATCAGCGGTAACGAACGGCACAGTTGTACAATACCGGTGACGAAGTATCGCGGACTCAACATAAGTTGCATAGGATGTCGCTGTTAGTGGTGGCGGCGGCGGCGGGGTTTCGAAGCACGCCCCCGGGCATGCCTGTCTGATCCTGCCTCCATACATACGCCTACAACTTGGCAGGGCACCGATCCGGAGTTCAGGTCAGGGAGTTTACTGAGGGGCGAATAATCAATGAATCAAGACACTCTGTTTCAGCCTCGGCCTCGCGTCCTGCCGTATGAAATTTCGTGGTATCGTGACATCTTCCAGCGCCCGCCTGTATACCTGCCCATACTATCATAATGGTAACTCCGTACTCCACCCGTGAACCTTCCTAACACACCGACCGTCCCGCGGCACACGGTCTTACCCCTTTCTCTGCATATGTATATACTTGGCGAAGCTGGCCTCGTCCATCGTCGAGTCGGCGCTGGCCTCCATGGCGGCCGCGTACCTCGCCTGCAGGCCCTCGCGGTCGTACTCGTCGTCCACGTCGGCGTAGTCTTCCGCGCCCTCGTCCTCCATGTCCTCGTCCTCTTCGTCCTCTTCGTCGTCGTCGTCGTCCCGGGGCGGCTGCGGCAGCTTGTCGGTGCGCCGCCCGCCGCCCGAACCCATCGACATGCCCTTCATCATCTTGTCGAGTTCCTTCTCGCGGAGCTTGTGCTTCTGGCTCTCGCGCTCCTTCCGCTTGCGCTCGAGCTCGGGCCGGTAGTCGCGCCGGAACTCGTCCGCCTTCTCCCGGACGGCGGCGAAGAAGTCGTCGACGCCCTGGCCCGTCATCGACGAGACGCCGACGACGCTGAGGTGTGCGTAGAACTCCTCGAGCATGAGGCTCATCGAGTTGAGCAGGCTACTCATGTAACCGCTGCCGGAACCCTCGCCCTCGACGCCACCGAATGCGTTAGCGGCCTCGTCGCCCGCCAGCGCCGCCTGGAAAGCCTCGAAGTCCGTCATCCACTCTTTAGCGAAGCTAGCGTCTTTGATATCGGTCTTGTTAAAAACTAGAATCATGGGGAGCTTCGTCTTGTACAAGATGGAGCATGCGTACAGCATGTTGCTCATAAAGGTGCTCGTCGAGGCGGTGCGTGGCGTGTCGATGATGTAGGCGATGACGGTCGGGAAGGTCGAGGCGAGGGACTCGAGGAGGATCTGGCCTGAGGCAGACCACACAAAGACCTCGATCTGTCCGGCTGCAGGAGAAGAGAGTAGTTAGCCAGCCCGTCGGAGAAAAAGAGCATGGATAAAAAGAGAAACGAGGGGAAGAAAACGAGAGGGAGGACGTACGTGTATCGACGAGCACGTTTTTAATGATCTTCTTGCCGGGATTCTCAGGATCCGGGCCCGTTCGCTTCTCGAGCAGCTTGAGGATCTGGTCGACCTTGGTAGAGAAGAGATTCAAGGACGTCAAGATGCCGCCGTTGGGGCCGAGGTTGTACTGCTTCATGACCTCCTTGTAGTTGACCGAGTCTCGGATGTCGATGTTGCTCTCGAAGGGCACGGTGAGCACGGCGGGATCGAGGTTGATGACGTAGGGAGGCTCGCGCTGCGCATGCAGGTGCGCGTTAATACGCTGCATGAATGTCGTCTTACCCGACCCGGCCATGCCGATGCATACAACGGCCACCGGTTCCGAGTCTGCCATTGTTGTCGTCGCGGCTGCGGCTGTTCCCGTCGTCTCTGTGCTAGCGGTAGGCGCTGGTGACTCCATAGGGGCTATCGGAGCTACCGAAGCTGTAGGGGCCGGAACCGATCCGGAGGCCATCTTCAATCTGTTCCACCCTTCGGTCGATGGAAGACGATTGGCCGGGATATAAGGGGACGATTAGGTCGAAGGGATCAAGAGCTGGAGGTGTTGAGGGTGTAAACGGCCGAGAATTTTGAGGTTGTAGACAAGCAATGTCATCGAAGAAAAAAAGAGAAAAAAGAAAGTGAGGTTGAGAAGTTGGATATTTACATCTCGAGATTAACAAGCAGGTATCGAAGACGATGCCATGATTACTTAATCGAGGGAGGGGTGGCGGGGCAGAAGCTATAAGTCCGTCTCTAGCATCGAATAGTGCCCGAATGGTGAATATTCCATTAGTAGCATACCGTCCAATCTTCTATACATACCCACGTACACCATTCATACACAGATAGATCGATCGACTTACATAGTGGTGGTGGTGAGGTGCAGGTGCTGAGAGTACACATCACGTCCCATACCTACATCAGCAGCATCGTCACCTTCGCTGGGATACGAGTCAGGCAGTCTTTTGAGGTGGCCGAATTTCTCATTATCTCGCCCCGAAGGGCTTAGGCTATATGTCGGTCGACAGCTACCATCCGCTTGGGACGAGCCATGTCTCCCTCAAAATACTCGTGTTCGTTTTTTTTTTCCCCTTCTCTTTCTGTAGCCTCTGGCTGGTCGTCAAGACCAGTATGCTATTGTCATTTCGATGCCAGCTACTTGCGTGCTAGCAGAACCAATTCAGCTGTGGCAGCATCCAATCTTTTTCCTCTCACGTTGCCTCCGACACACACACGCTCCGCAGTCCCCCTATATGGGGGTCCGCAGTGCACGTATGCGCCTTGTCGATGTGGGCTTCGTCGCGAGCGTGCGTACTTTTGCCGTTGCTGTTGCCTGTTCTTCCATTCTTGACAAATGAGATGGTTCGGCGGCGATGAGGCGCCCCAGCCTGTGGTGCATTTCCAGTCTGCCTTCTCCCGGTTGCCATTGCGAGTTACCCCAAAAAGCATGGTGACAATCTGGTGGTGGTGGTATCATTGTTCTTAGTGTCGCTCGCCGATAAAACAAAATGCAGTGCCGTTCCGAAAAGACAAATCCGCGAGTAAAGCCGCAACCCGTTTCCCCTATATCGACCTCTAAACAGTCGGTTCGTTTCTCTTCTTTCGTATTTTCGCCCAGCGAATAAGCTAAGAAGAGCAAAGCAAATTCCCCGTCGGAAAACTAGTCGAAAATAATCCAATACGTTCTAGTTCAAAGGCAGATAAAACCGTGGAGTTGGGTTGCTATTGTTCCCCCGCCCCCTTTTTCTTCCTTTTTTTGCTGGTTCTTTTCTGTTGGGTCATGAGAAGGACAAGAGTCCGATGGGATCGTGATATAAGCCAAAAAAAGAACCGTGCCCGCGTTCCGAACTCCCTCCCGGTGCTCCTGGATAAGGTAATGTTTCATCAAAATGGTCGGCCAACCTCGATGAGAAGCGGAGTGTTTGCTGGTGATGTAGTAAACCCTCCCAATGGGTGTTCCAATCTGATGAGTCCTATCTGGGAAAAGGTCGAATTGAGGGAAGAGTGCCAGAAGCGAGAGTGAAAGCTGAATCGTCATCCCCTTGTACCTATGTCCGTTCCTCGCCGAAAAGAGAAAAGAGAAGAGAGAAAGCAGGGGGGAACCTTTCCGAATGCACGCGTGAACGCCGTAATTCTGCTCCGAGGAGCTTGGTGTTGTTTGGCAAGCCCATGTTGTTACAGCAAACCATCAAAACGTCTTCAGATCGTCTTGGGCGTCCGGGAGTTGGTCATCTCCACGACGTCGTCGAGATGGTTGCACATGGCCACGAACAGGTCGAAGAAGAGCTTGCCGCCCCGTTCCATCTCTGCCTGCATGGTTCCGCTCCTCTTAAACGTCTTGCGACATCGAATGATCAGAGCGAGATAGTGAGCGCGTAAGCGCGAGTCCGAGTCCGGCGTGTTGTCGTAGGCGTACTGGGCCGACCGAAGAATCGTTCCGACGTCGATCCCACTCTGCAGACCCTGCTTCCGAAGAGACAGGCGCTTGAGCTCCTCGAGTCCGTATCGATCGGCGGCGCAGTACACGACGGTGTCCCGAAGGAGGTATTGTCCCACGCTAGAGACGTACATAGTAGCCTCGACCGCTCCGCGGCCAGCTCGGTTGTTTTCTGAGGGATCTGGTGACCTCACGGCGTCCTCGAGCTCCCAAGAGTTCCGGTGCTTGTTGTGCAACAAGCGCGGGTAGTAGTCACCCTTGTACAGGTATTCGAGCACGGCCGAGAAGATCTCGGGCTCCTCGTCCGGAAGCGAAATCCTCTTGCTCTGCGCCTCGAGGTACTGGTCCCGGCACGCCTTCTCAAAAAAGGGCGATTGGCACAGGACCTCCTCGTGGGCTGCGAAAAGTCGGGCCTCCTTGCCGACCGTCAGGGTGACGATGGGGGAGTTGAGGTTCTTCTTGGCAGGGCCAAGTTCCTCAATCGACTGTTGTATTTTCGCCAGCTTCTGGACATCCCGAGCCGTGTTGGCCTTCTTCAGCCTCGCCGACTTGTCCACGCGGTCCCCGGACCGGAACGAGCGTTTGAACATCTTGGCGGTAGTTTTGTGGACGAGGGATAGAAACCGAGACACGGTGTCGTGAGATTCAGGGATGCCGAGGGGAAATCTTTTTCGCGTTTTTCCCGCCTAGGTGTTTTTTATAATTGAAGGGAGTGACAGATTATAAAAGAGCGTAAAGGCGGTTTTCGTGTTTCTGGGTAGAGGAGGAGGAGGGGGTGTGAGGGAGGTGAGGGTGGAGGAATTGGTGGTGAAAGTCGACGCACAAGAAAAAGATTGGCAGGGGTCCGGGAAGGCTATCCCAGAATCTATTCGAAAAAAAAAAATAACGAATGAGTCTGGTGATATCCAAAAATGGCTTTGCGACCCTGATGGTTGTGGTGGGGGGGGAAGAACCAGAGGAAAAGGAGGGGAGAATTGGAGGGGTGATTGGCGATATTTATATTTCTTAGCGGTGGTGAGTGCACAACACGCAGGCGGGCACACACGCACTCTCTCTATCTCCTCCCCAGGCCTCGTCCAGCACTGCCGCCTTGGGTGCCTTTTTATTTCTGTGCTTCCCCAGCCTGCTGTCTTAGTGGTGTCCCATCCCACCCTCTCCCGGACAGGCGCTGCGGTCCTGACCCCGGACTTGCATCGTGATTCGCTGCACACACACGTATGTCTGTCTGCATTGTCCTGTACGCCAGGCCATGCTGGATATGCGGTTAGATATGACGCCTACAGGGGGGAATCCTGCGCAATCCGCATACCTTCCAAGTAACTGAGCCGATCAGGGAACCAACGTGGAAGCAGATACAGAAACGGCAGAGGGAAGAAGACAACCCCTGCCTGGCCTCTGGCCGTTCGCCTCATCGCAGATGCGACCTAGGCGGGCTAGGGCAGGACCCATGCCCAGGTCCGTCGACTCCAGAGCTCTAGAAGGGCGAACAGCAAGGCGGTGCGGTTAGGATTGGGCAGGTCACCACGTGGTGGGGGGGAGGGGCGTCGAAGAGGGGAATTCTCCCCCCTCCCCTGCCCTCTTCCCCCCCCTGTGAGGCATCATGACTGACAGCTCACCACCGCGATAAGGAGCTGACCAAGCTACGGCTCGAGCCAAGCGGAGCTTTGCTTAGCTGCGCCAGGAACGCCGAGATCCCTAACGGTAGCACGACGGCGCTAGAAGTCGATCGGAACTTCGGGAAGGCTGAAAATGGAATTGCCCCCTTGCCTCCTTGTCGCTCTTCGCAGGCGCTGCCGTTCCCGGGAGGGGTGTCTCACGTCGTAAAGCGCAAAAAGTAGACGGCGCGGGCGAGTTGGTCAATTGGCGAGAGGGTGTCTCTGTGGCACCGTCCCGCGGCCTATAATCCGCTCGCATTCGAGCCGCCGAGGATGCGACGGGTTCGCGAATCAAGGTCGCGCGGTCGCGCAGGCACTTGGATAGCAGTAGGTACTAACTACGCAGCACCGCCCCTAAGCCTACGGCACCGGCGAGTTGATGGCGCCTACGTGTTATCGTTCGTCGCATCGGGTCGGGCTGGTGGATCCGCCAGTGCTAACCTAGGTACATGGTGTCCGGCCGTTGGCTCGTCGCTTAGCTCTCTGGCGTCGTCGACAGCGACGCCAATATGTCTAGGGCGCGCCGCCCGCCCGCCGTGCCGCGAGAGGTTCGTGGGATCGATGGGGTGGACGGGTGGGCGGATGGGATGGCGACGGGTGTCCACCGCGCGGAGAGGTACTAGCCAGAGATACCGGCTCCATGCGCAATGATACGCAGGCAGGTTATGTGCCTTAGGTAACGGCGGTCTGCTACGTAGCACGTACGTATGTGGGCAGGACGCACTGCCCACACAACGACGTCGGCGTCGATTCACCAGTACACGTGGGGTAGAGCTGGCCCCAAGTTGCGTCGGGAGAGACCCGGGCGGGGGACTGTCGGACGCGGGATCGGGGGATCGGCGACGGGGAGGGGCGCGATGGCTTCCCCCCTCTTCTTTCTCCTTGCCTTGAAATGAGGTGGTCCGCCCCGTTCTAGGGCGTGTAGGGACTAGTCTAGGGAGGGGGTGGAACACCTATTTCCGGTAACAGCTCCCTGTCTACTAGGTACCGCCTGTGCCTGGAATAGCCCCGACAGATGAACAAGGACAGGTGTCTAGGTACCTACGAGAGGTACCAAGCTCAGGTACAGTAGGTACTTGACGTAACGGGGCGGTGCAGGGCTGTTGGGTATTTTCCCATACTATTTGGTAAATATAGGTACATACGATATATGCTAACCTCTCCTGTACTAGGGGGCAAGCAGGTACCTAAGGGTAGGCGGGCACGTAACCAAACCAAACCAGCCCACAACGTCGGCCCACAGGCATCACCTACCTCTAGATACAGGTAGGTACCTAAGGTAATAGTGGTTAATAGCGGGCCTTCTGACCCATTCCTCTCCACCCTTCCCTTCGCCCTGCCCTGCCTCCCCCTCCCTCCACCCCGAGAACAGCCAATCGACCCTACGCCCATCCGCTTCCCCGCCTCCTCCGGCCCCTATTCGCCTCTGCGCAAGGAACCCAGAGCTCCTCGCACGCTGGTTAGGTACCGTACCTGTTTCCCATCTGTTGTCGAGCATACCGCCGGGCGCATAAGTCCCCTAGCCACCAATTACCCCTCCCCCTCTGCCGCACCCATGTCTATCACAAGCTATCGCGCTTCGTTGAGAGCGACGCCATCTTCGTGCCAGCCCATTGAGCCGACCACGTCACCGCTGCTCCTGAGGGGGAATTGGCAGCCTCTCAGCAGCGAGGCGGGTGGTCACGATGGGTCACGGCGCGCCGCTGTCACTGTCTCGCGCATCGCAATCAGACCGTACACGTATGAGAAGATTGTGCCAACCAAGAGGTAGTCTTAGCATCTCCCTCCCTTTTCCCTTTCCTCCAGCTCACGTTTCCCCGTATTGTGGACCTTCGCTCGATGAGCTACCTCCCGTCTCTCGAAGACGAGTTGCCCCGCAGCCATAACCCCTCCGTAGCTATCGCCCGCCTTCGTCAAGCCGAGCCAGGAAAAGCTCTTGGTCACCCGTTGCGCGCTTACTTGCCCCCCCTCTCCCTCTCCCCGCCTGGGCGAGAATACATACAGACCGCTCCGGATTATGACACCAACCGTATGGGTCTGGACGCCAAAGCGCGCACTCGCGGTTGGTCACCGGATTCCCTCGAGCAGCAGAGAGTCCCGACGCTTGCCATGACGCGACTGGGCGCTTTGAGGACCGACCGTGCTAGACACCTGGGTTAGGCGCTGTCCCAACAGCTCACCATCTTTGGTTGCCCTCAGCATTTCCCCGAGCCGGCATTCGATAAAGATAGATTCCTGTGCCGCCTTCCTGCGTGTGATATCGGGCATTAGGCATAGCTAGACACCCGGTTTGAACCTGATCATCTTTCGTCCCGTGCGGCACGAGCCGTGGACCTAATTCTCCGTGACCACTCGGCACGAACACACGTCCCAGTAGAGGAAGACATGGGCTCCAGCGCACCCGAGTAGGGTATTCTGGAAAGGGGATGACGAAAGGCCGCGATAGCGCCTGTTCCGACAGAGATAAGGAGCGAAGCCCAGAGGTCGTCTGTGGAGTCCCCTCTCTATCGTAGGCGCAGGGCGTGGTAAGTCGCGGTCCAGAGCTGGGCACGTGTACTCGTGCTAGCATGGCCAGGGCTACCGAGGCATCATGAACGCGAACGAAACCGGCCGTTACCTGCATGGTATGTGTGTCTGCTGTAGGTAGGAAGTGACTATTGATGTCTGAAACAGGACACGTCATCGCCTCATCGTGTCAATTCTCGAGAGAGAAGCCGGGAGCTCTTGATAGACAGCCGGTGAGCACCGGAGGAGAGGGGTAATAGAACCTTCTAGTCGAAGATGCGTCAGAGAGGGGGGGAGCGATATGCGCGTGGGAAAACCGGCTGCGGAAAAGGCGGTCGCGTGACTAATTCGAGGATCTGGGGGGCGGTGAGGTCTACGGCGCCATCTCTCCGGCTTTGGACGGAATTTGGACGGAACCCCGCGACGGAATTGGGAGTAGGAGCTCTACGCTGGACGAGGCGATGACGGGGCCGTGATGTGAGACGCGATCAGAAGGGTCGGGGTCGCCCAATTGATCATAAACCAACGGCTCTATATCAATTCATCCGCAGTAGGTTATAAGAGGTATATCGAACGAATACCGGAGATTGCTGGCTGAGAGAAGGGCGCGGACGGACGGCGCCAGGGCAAACAGACCGCCCCCGACGCGATTAGGTACCTATACCTGGATTACACCCGAGCGGGATGGACGGCGAAGGTCTAGCCAGGTACGACGAAGCCCTTCATGATTACGAGAGGGAGATAAGTCGGGACAATACCCAGGTTTACCCACCTATGTTGATGATCAGACACACGCACGTCGTGTACCGGGTAAGACAGACGCTTGGGGCGGTAACAGGAGACAGTTATACGAGAGGAGGAATTGGGATGGTACTGCGGGCCATGGGAGGAATTGTTACTCTTCTCATAGTCCTTCAACGGCTCGTCATCATGAAGGGTTAGAAATGGGGAGGAATTGCGGACGAGCAAAGCAGGAGAGCGAAGAACGGAGACAGACGGCTTATATAGGAATTCCTGGTCACAAAATGAATGAAACAGCAAGACCTAGGCCGGATCTGAATCTGGGCAGAAATGGCCTGCCTAATCAGGTAGGTTGGGCTACGGTATACGAAGACGTCCATTGGCTGGCTTCATCTCCAGCTGGCGGCGGTCTGACAGGTAATTTGACAGCCGGCATATTATCGATAAGCCAATATTGAGGCCACCTTCGACTCGGGGCGTTGTCGTCACGTACCACCAGCCCTGTCAAAGGTTATACTCGCTCCCGCCCATTCATCCTCAAGCTGGCCTCAGAATTCCCATCGTGAGGCCAGCGAGCCAAGACATTTACGACCTAACCTACCTCCGAACGAACGAGCGAACGAACGAACCTCGGCACCGCGAAGAGAAACAGAGAGAGAGAGAGAGAGAGAGAGAGAGAGACGCCCATCCGAAGATGCTGTCGAGCCTGCAGAACCCGCGGCAAGCCGCCTCCCAGGTGCTCAACTTCGCCCTCATCCTGTCCACCGCATTCATGGTACGCATCTCAACCCCACGCACGAAAGCGAGCTAGCGCAGACGAGCTGACCCCCGGCGGGCGGCGACAGATGTGGAAGGGGCTATCAGTCGCGGCGGACTCGCCGTCGCCAATCGTGGTGGTGCTGTCGGGGTCGATGGAGCCGGCGTTCCAGCGGGGGGACCTGCTGTTCCTGTGGAACCGGAACGTGGCGGCGGCGACGGACGTGGGGGAGGTGGTGGTGTACAACGTGCGGGACAAGGAGATCCCGATCGTGCACCGGGTGGTGCGGCGGTTCAGCGGCGACGGCGACGGCGACGGCAGCCTGCTCCTCACCAAGGGCGACAACAACGCCGCCGACGACACCGAGCTCTACGCCCGCGGCCAGGACTACCTCGCCCGCCGCGACATCATCGGCTCCGTCGTCGCCTACGTCCCCTTCGTCGGCTACGTCACCATCATGCTCAGCGAGCACCCCTGGCTCAAGACCCTCATGCTCGGCCTCATGGGCCTCATGGTCGTCCTCCAGCGCGAGTGACCGGGCCGTGTTATCTATACGGAGAGAATGGAGGGAATGGAATAGTAATAGCTAGATATCACACGCCCGCATCTGGGTGCGTGGCCACCTCTGGAATGTAAAAAATACGCCTACCTACCTACCTACCTACCTACTACCACAATTGCGTTTTGTTGTGATAACCCTGTTCGTTCTCCCCGAGTATGCGCACAGATGAGCCGTGGCCTTACGCCCGACATGACGCGACCAAAGCCCAGATTAAAACATGAGATGCCTATTGTTACCTGCCTATCTCCTGACAACAGCCTGAGAGCTATACCCTGCCTAACAAGGAAGGGAACACAATCACCACGACAGGAATTCCGGGGCCTAAGGACATCTGTTTACGGGGCTACACATAGTTTATAACCTGTTATCTACCCGTACTAGCTTTCCGCATAAGGCGATGACATGAATGTGCTAATAGTATTCCTCCTCGTCGTAGCCGTCCTCGTCGTAGACGGGCTGGTCCTGGTCGTCGTCGTAGTCGTACGCCTCCTCCGCCACCTCCCCGTGGTCCTCCTCGTGGTAATCCTCCTCGGCCTCCTCGTCCTCTGCCGGCTTATCCGCCGCTGCCGCGGTGGCGTCGGATGGTGCTGCTGCCTGGTTGCTGCGGGCGCCGGCCGGCTGGGGCGTGCCCGCGTCCGACACGCTGCCGGCCCGGCTGGCGAGGCGGCTGGCCGTCTCGCTGTCGTTGCGAGACATCACCGACCCAGGCCCGCGGTTCTTGTTGCTGCCGGAGAAGAGGCTCGTGATGGCGTCGTAGTTGATCCGCTTCGAGTACGTGTTGCGCTTCTTCAGCGCTTCGACCGCGGCCTCGCCCGGCGTCGAGGCCGGCGTGAGCTGACCTTCTCCGATCCGGGGCTTCTTGACCCGGTTACGTCTGCGCTTCGGCGGTCCCAGCTCTTCCATCTGCTTCCGGTAGGCTTTCTCCTGCTGCTTGCGCAACCAGTCCTTATTCGCGTTGATCCAGATGCTCTCTTTTATCTTCACCTCCTCTTCCGAAAGCTTGCAGTGCTGCACCTCCGGGTCATCGGCAAACTCGTCCTCGCTGATAATCTCGCCCATCTTCAACTCTCGTGGTGGGAGTAGAGAGCGCGCCCATTCGCCTTTGATGTATGCTATATGCGCAGCAGTGGCTAGGGCTTTCCTATGTGAGTCGCTGTGGGGGTCGTTGATCACCTCCTCGATCTGTTTCTCGAGTACCGCCTCGTCCTGCTCCCACTCGTCGCTATAGGTCAGGACCGGCTCGGCAGACACCTTCTTGCCGCGGCGTCGAGAACCTGCCTCTGGTGGGTCCGCCTCTTCTTCATCTTGATTATAATCCACCTGTTCCTCTACACTACCGTAAGCTGCCGCCAACCCGTCTATCGCATCATCGCCCGTAGGATCCTTAGCATTCAGACCCTCCGCGATATCCTTGTCTCCCAAATTTTTCGGGGCGGGCTTCGGTACGTTTTCAGGGTCAAAGGGCGTAATGTACTCTCTACCTTCGGCATTATCGAAAGTTCTAGGCAAATATTCCGTGACTTGGCGTAGGGTGGATGTGTCGGGTGGCGGACGGGGCACAGGCGGCGGCGGCATACTTTGTGAGCAAGGCGAAGGGCTCGGCCTCGTGGTAGAGTTCTCGGGTCCTGATGCTCCGGCAGCCAAGTCCGGTTCTTCGGTACCGTCGATATCCTCGATGACGCGCTTCCGTTTCTGGCCGCCTTTCTCCTTTTCTATCTTCTCTTTCCATTCGGCGGTATTCTTGTAAAAAGACGGTGGATCATGACGGGATTCGAGGAACTCTTGGTTTAGGAAATCTTCAATGGATAGATCACTACTCTCGGTGACGGTGAATTCGCCGAGGCGTTGCTCAATTGTGTGAGTCGTGACTTTAACGACATAGACGACCTCCCGAACGGTCCGTCGGAAGTTCCACATGCGGGCAGCCATGAGGATGCAGGCGCCGCAAATGCCCGAAGGCCGACGTCCCATAATCATCCAGTCGCGCCCCATCCTCTGGCATAGCCTGGTCGCGTCTGCCGCGACCTTGTTGGTAAAATCCCCAAAGTCGAGCTTCGATGCAAAGCGGTACATGAGGTCCTCGGGAATGATGGACTTGACGTGGTTATTCTCAAAGGAATAAATATTGTTGAGATCCTTGAATACGTGTCCAAGCTCGTAGACATTGACCTAAATACCCTTGTAAGCCGGAGAACACGGGGCCCCGTTCGAGGGACGCGGCAGAAGGAAATCGAGGATAGACCCGATAACGCTTACCTTGACAAGCTCGGCAAAGTCGATGAGCATGACTTTGCACTTGTCCTCTCTCCGGCACGCCGTATAGAGGCATACGGGCACTACTTTGTCCATCCCGCGCCCCTGGAGCCAATTCTCTTCCATGACCAGCTTAAATATTTGGATGCCGGTGTCCACAGCACCTGGAGGGATTTCCCTAAGCTGATGTGCGAACCCAGCCATCATATTCTTAGCTGTAAAAACCAGTTAGCCACATGTCGATTCCTATAAATGTCACCTAGGAGGTCAGGGGTAAACACTCACCTTCGCGGATCGTCTTCTCTCTCGCGTCGCTAAGCCCCCCGCCGAGTCGTCGGTACTGCGGCGCTAGATTTCTAGCAGCAGAGCCCTGGTCGGCCCCGACGAAGCTACCATGGACAATAGCGGCTCCGGATGAGGTTTCGCCAAACTGGATTTCGGCGACAATGTTGGAGGAATCGATCTCACGGCCACAGGCGGAGCAGAAGCCGTCTGTGACGGGGGCGGAAGGATTGGGACAGCCGGGATTGGGACAAGACGGCTTGTCGCTAGTGACGATATTTGGCGTCGAAGATGGGTTGAGGCTGGGCGCTGGTATAGGGCTCATGCCCATCGCCCTCTGGCTCTCGATCCGGTTGCGATTCAGAACCTCTTTGAGTCGGTCGCTGGAGGCGGCTCCTCTGGGCTTGAAGTTAATGCCCTTGGATTTCGTGCCCTTGAGGGGCTTCAGAAACGACGCCATATTTAGTAATTAACCGAAGAGATATAGGTGTAAGTTGGTGGAGGTATGTCGCTTAGAGAGCATCGTCTTTATCAAGCCGGCACAATGAAGGGCATCCGATGACGCCCATCCCGGCAGGGAGGTGATTGGACCCGTTCAAGGCCAGCACAGAATAATCAGGTCGGCGTAGGAGCGCCGGCAGCCTGCAAAAGTGAATATAGGGCTGAGGACCCCGGTCCAGTATAGTTGCTGGGTGAAGCTGTATGAGTGGATGGACCTGGAATGGGAAGGGGGATGTAAGTGCTGGAGAAAGAGGTGAGAATGGACGTTGCGTGTGGGGCAGAGTGGGCGGAGAAAGACTCTGTGGCCGAGGGGTACGATTGCGAACTGCCTTCATGAGACCCCGCGAAAAAAAAAGCTTGCTTCGGACTAACCGCGCTAAGACCGATCGGAGTCGGCTGACTCATAGGCAGCGGGTCGGAAATTCAGTCTGAGCAGGGCCACGGTTCAAGTTCCTACCAGGCCGCTTTTACCATGCATCGTTTTTTTTCCCTTCAAGTGTAATTAATTAAAGATCTTCAAGAGAGGACGAAATTGAGAGAAAGAGACTCGAGGTAAATCGGACCTACCAAAAGAAGGGAGTCTAAATCTGCAATAAGATAAAACGCAGTAGAACATTAGGGTTAGATGGGTTTGTATGCTCCGTGACGGAAATATGCTTCTAGCAGGTCCCAAATCATAGGTACATCAGGTACCTCTTGAACCCAAATTTCCAGTAAGGTTGTCGTCACACCACCGGCTCCCATTCCTACCTGGTACATGTATTTTCTGCCGTTCACTCTCCTCCCTACCTCTTTCATAAGAAGCTCGTACCTTGAGCACACTGCCCGACGTCAACTTGATGCAGCCATCTCCACCGATGGACGGCCTCGAAGAATTTGAGAAGGCCCTTGCCGCAGAGAAATCCGAGAAGGAGCGCGCGGACCGCACCTCAGAAGACAAGAGACATCGAAAACACAGACATCACCATCGACGAGATCCATCTACGGAGCGAGACCGCGACCGCGACGGTCACCATCAGAGTCGCCGCAGATCACGAAATCGGCGCGAAGACGGCGACAACGACGGCCACCGGCAAAAGAGATCGCGCCATTCCCGAGACGATGAGCACGGAGAACGCCACCACGGCCGCGAGGACCGCAGAGACGAGCGCGATTCGGACAGACGCGCTCGACACGCGAAGGCCTCAGACGCTAAGGAAGATCTACCATTGCCCAACGAGGAGCAGACGCCCACGGGAGAGTCGAGCAGGTCGTCCGGCGTTGATAAAAAGCTGGTCCGAGATTCCTGGATGACAGATCCATCTGCGTTAGATATCGACTACACTCAGAAAGGTTCCAGGCCGTCTAAACCCCCGCCGCCGTCGGATCCGGCACCACAGAGGGAGATTCACAAGCGGGAGATCAACGCCGTTCAGCTGCAAGAATTGAACAGCGGGAAATCACTCGACGAACTCGAGCTACCAGCCCAGCATAACGTCGACTACACATTCGGCGACAGCGGATCGCAATGGCGCATGACAAAACTCAATGGGGTGTACAACACAGCCGAACAGGCTGGGCGACCCGTCGATGAAGTAGCCTTGGAACGGTACGGAAACCTGCGAGACTTTGACGACGCTCGCGAGGAGAAGATTGAGATGGATCGACGTAAGCTCTACGGGCGGGACTATGTTGGCAAGGAGAAGCCCAGCGGAGAACTGTTTCAGGAGAGGAAATTGAGCGAAGGCGTTCATGAGAAGCGTCAGGCCCCACCAGAGCCAATTACCTTGGAGCAGGGCACCGTAATTCCCAACGACGCATCCGCCCGTGCAGCTGCTCAGCTCGACCAGACGGCACTAAACCGATTAAAGGCCCAGATGATGAAAGCGAAGCTCAAGAAAGCACCGGATGCAGCCAAGTTAGAGGCGGAGTATAACCAGGCGGTCGCAACTGTTGCATCCCGGGGCCCCGAGGCGGTAGTGCTCAACGTCATGGAGAATCGCATGCTAGCGGGGACGCGCGGGGAGGCCAAGTCCGTCGATACGAAGCGCGGCCGCGAGAGGGGACACGTGGAACAGAACGACGACATGACGATTGAGGACATGGTCCGAGAAGAGCGGCGGACACGCGGTCAGATGGGCGGGGACGGATTACGGCTGGCCGAACGGATTGCGAAGGACGCCAAATTCGACAACGACTTGGAATACATGGACGAGAACGCGGAGAAGCTGGCCAAGCGGGTGCAGAAATCCGAGATAAATCTCAAGAACACGGCGGTAAACGAGTTTCAGAAGATCAACAAGATCCTCGACAACTGCCAACTATGCCATCACGAGGACCGCAACCAACCGCCGATCGCGCCCGTCGTCTCGCTAGCAACGCGGGTCTACCTGACGCTACCTACGCAACCGGAGCTAAGCGAGGGCGGGGCCGTGATCGTGCCGGTGCAGCACCGGACCAACCTACTGGAGTGCGACGACGACGAATGGGAGGAGATCCGCAACTTCATGAAGTGCCTGACGCGGATGTACCACGACCAGGGCCGGGAGGTGATATTCTACGAGAACGCGGCGACCCCGCACCGGCACCTGCACGCGGCGATGCAGGCGGTGCCGATCCCGTACTCGCTCGGGGACACGGCGCCGGCGTTCTTCAAGGAGGCGATGCTAACGACGGACGAGGAGTGGACGCAGCACAAGAAGGTGATCGACACGGGGGCGCGAGCGCGCGAGGGGCTGGGCAAGCTGGCGTTCCGGCGCTCGATAGCCAAGGAGGCGCCGTACTTCCACGCGTGGTTCAGCCTCGACGGGGGACTGGGCCACGTGGTCGAGGACACCAACCGATGGCCACGAGGAGACCTGTTCGCGCGAGAGATCCTGGGCGGGATGATGGACGTCGGGCCGGATGTGATCAAGAAGCAGGGACGGTGGCACAAGTCGGACACGCGAGTCGAGGGGTTCCGGAAGCGCTGGAGGAAGTTCGACTGGACGAGAGTGCTCACTGACGCGTAATGGCGCGCGGCGGGATGTTAATATCAGCCATTATTACCCTACCATGCAGGGGGACCTAGCCTTGGATAGATAGATGGGGTAGGTCTGCCGAGCGCGTAGAGTATATAGCTCGAGAAGAATAAATGTGGCTAGCTACGGAAGACGGGCCAAACAGCATCCGAGAGGAAGAAAGGAGCGGTGATTGATTCGATTCTCTCGGTTACCTAGGTAGTCGACCTCCCATCTTAACCAAGAAAGGACCTGCGCACGCGGGGTGGAAATTTGCCTTGCACAGGGACAACCCGCTGCAGGCAATCCGAATCAGGCTACTTACAGCTATCTGTGAGAATTCTGGATGGCAACACCTCTCCGAGAGGTGTCCGGAAGACTTGCGTCTACTCACCAACTATCCACCAATGAGATGGGGTGGTGTCGACTTAGCCGTAATGAAGCAGGAGACCTGCCGGCGCAGGATGCAGAATCGCGGCCAGGCCCCGACGCGGTTCTCGTTGCCGAAGGGGGAGGTGATAGGTTGTACGTAGGTAGCATGTGCGCAGGGGATACGTGAAGAGAGGTCGTATTTGCGGCGGCTCCGGCGGCACGCCAACTAGCCCTCGTACTACGGGTATGGGTGAATAATGAGGATCGTTTTGCGAGTGTAGGTACTCATAGGTGGCCGTGACACCTGCAACGGCTCTGATACCTGGAACACGAACAGCTGTAACATGTAACAGCTCGACGTGGAGGCGATCGCGGTAGCGGGAGAGAGAGAGGCGAGCTCAGGAGGGGCAGGCAGGGGGGGCGCGGAGGTCACTCAGACGTCACCTGGACCTCCCCCACCTGCCATTCGGCCAACGGCAGACCCGGCAGGAGCTTGGGAGCATGGTTAGGCCGGCAGACCTGCCTGGGGGTGCCTGCCGCCTGGCCTTGGCTGCCTCATTCAGATATACTACCTCCTATAGGTAGTAGGTAGGTACGTAGCGGCACGCAAGCAGGTAGCCATGATATCATCGCGCGACCGTTGGACGGAAGGCGTATCTGCGAGCGATTGCCTCCAGCGGCGAACGATGCAACCTTGACGGTCGGGGTCCGTCCCGATTACCTAAGGCTGTGTGTGCAGATGCATGCCTCTCCTCGTATGCTGCCTCTACAATACCTACCTACGTGCTGCTGGACGTTCCGCATCCTAGACACCACCAACGCACCACCACCACCACCAAAGCACCCTGGGCCCCGAGCCTGAACCCGTCATCCCGTTCCCCGACAACCTAAAGAGCCCTGCCTAGTCCATTCCGGCCTCATCACCGTTTCACCCAGTCTCGTCTCGCCACCGCCTCTGACTGACTCCGCCGCTGCTTCATCTACCTACACGTACCTACTTGTTCTCGACCGCGCTCTCCATCGCCGTCCCGCCCCAACTCCCCGGACGAATTCGCTCCGCGGAACTGCAGCTGCCCACCATGTCTTCATCGCAGAAGCGCATCAGCAAGGTAAGAGACCCCGGCCTCGGCCCCCCCTCCCTCCCTCTTCTCCGTCCACACAACCCAATAACCTTAAACCCCCCTCCCTCCTCCTCCCTACGCTAACCCCGCGCTGCCAGGAGCTCCAGGAGTGCACGGCCTCGCCGCCGGCGGGCATGACGGTGAGCCTGGTGTCGGAGGCGGACCTGCACACGTGGGCGGTGACGCTGGCGGGGCCGGCGGGGACGGTGTACGCGGGGGGCGTGTTCGCGCTGACGGTGGTGCTGCCGCCGGACTACCCGTTCAAGGCGCCGCAGGTGACCTTCGCGACGCGCATCTACCACCCCAACGTGACCAACGACAGCGTCGGCAGCATCTGCCTCGCCCTGCTCAAGCCCGAGAACTGGAAGCCCTCCGGCCGCGTCCGCGCCGTCCTCGAGGCCGTCCGCCACCTCCTCATCGAGCCCAACCCCGACGACCCCCTCGAGGCCCGCATCGCCGACGAGTTCCGCTCCGCCCGCCCCGAGTTCGACAAGAACGCCCGCAGCTACGTCGCCCGCTACGCCCAGCAGCTGCCCCCCCGCAAGTAGCCCAGCCAGCCAGCCAGCCGGCTTCCCGATGGACCAGGAGGGACTTATCGGTCGTATGCGACCGCCGGGACGTTTACGCCTAGTTGCTATCGCATTATGCCCCTCGGAGTGGAGGGAGTTCAAGGAGGAAGAAGAGCTAGCTGAGCAGCAATACCTACCATGAGCGATATGACCACACGAACTTATGAACACAAATCACTCACAATCATACACCCACACATACACATACACAAATATAAGTAACCTTGGGAAGAATTGAAAAAGGAGGATTCACTTCATACAGACAGACGATAACACACACACACACACACACACACCCGCAAATGTCGGGAGAAATAAAAATAGCTTTTTCAAAAAGTGAACCCCTCAAAAATTACACGAATAAATAATACTTATGATTTGCCTGCCAGAGATGCTTTGCCATCGTTTTTAATTTTTGCCTATGCCGGGAATGCATGCTACGCCGCCAGCCGATGCTATGAAAACCCCTTTCTCGCCCCTCGCGCACGCGCTCTGCCTCTCTAATGCGAATAATATGCGACACACGCTCTCTCTAGCGAACCGAACGAAGAATTCCCCTCCGGCCATGCGATCGATTTCCGTAAACGCGACAAATTGAGACCCTTACATAGATATAGCCCTATGCGACTCCGGCCGGCGTCGCCCTGCCAGGAATATTAATATATCAGCGCCCCCCCCTTACCTCTTAAGCTTCCCTCTCTCTGTCTTATTAACCGAGGGGGAAGAAGAGGAGGACAGGGAAGGGGGGAGGAGGAGGAGGAGGAGGAGGAGGAGGAAGGGGTAGAAAGGAGGAGCGAGGAGGCTATAACGGTGAGGGAGAAAGGTAGTAGTAGTAGTAGAAAGGATATTAAGACCGCATCTGCGCCGATCCCTTGCGGCGCAACGCTGTCCTGACTGCGACCAAGAGCGTCGATGCTGTCCCACCCGACATTTTCCCCCCCCCTCAACCCCGAAAACAGAAAATAATAACAAAACCGCAGTCGACCACGCGGTCGTTCCCTGTTTTCCTCACTTTCTTACTCTCACTCACTCACTCTATGTATGTATAACTCCACCCCCGCCGAGAGACACTTTTGGGTGTTGAAAGGAAAAAAAAAAACGCAATCAAACATAACGTGTTATGTCGTGAGATATCGTCAATGGCATGTACATGCTCGAAGCAAACAAGACGTCGTCATGGAAGCGAAGTGTGCGGCATGGCAGATTGCCGGCTGCGCGCACGTTCAAGGGGGACTCGCCGTAGCGAGCCGAAGAAGACAGATGGCGCGCCCCGGGGCGAAATCGTATATGCGGGGCAAGAATCGAACATAGACGCCTCGTCGTCGTCGTGGGCGCGAACACGTCCCTCCCGCCAAGGCTCACAGCAGCTCGGCTGGACTTCGACTCGGATTCCTGCGCCGGCCAAAGAGAGCGGCTATCCTCTTATTCGTCGTCGTCTTCTCTCCCGCACGCGGGCCCACTACCTAGGTGGTCGCCAGCTTTTCCCGCTCGGCCTTGACTTGGATTCGCCTCTCCTGTCTCTTCTGTTCCACCGTCTCCTGGCTGATGTGGCCGAAGCCGTTACGACGCCGGAAGCAAGCCTCTATCAGCCGGTTGGCGTCGACGAGTCTGCGGGGTATCGTCTGCACCACTTGGAAGATCTCCATCGGATCTCCGACCGCCTTGATCTCGTTTTCGCCCATCTTGAAGATCGCCAGCGCGATTCGGAAGAGCGTCTTCGACCCTTCGTAGAAGAATACGTCCCACACCCGGAGCGTGCTCTCGATGGGCAGGGTCCCGATGTAGCAGCTCATGAACCAGGCAGTCATGCACAGCGTGATGGGCGGGAGCCGGGTGGGTTCGGTCTTGTTGTGCCTATACCTTCGGGTTTTCGGCCGCACGGCGTCCGTCCCGTCCAGCTCGCCGCCTATCTTCGCCCACACGTTAGGCATCGCATCCCTCAGCGAGGACATCAGCACCCCGAGATCGACGTTGGCGCCCTCGAGGTTCATCTCGTGCGTCCCCGGGAGGTAAACCCGCGTGATGATATTCAACAGCCAGAATGCGTGCTCCTCCGATTCCACAAACAGGAGGAGCAGGCCGGCCAAGAAGTTCAGCGACTGGCAGTAGCCGATGCGTGGGTTGTAAATGGAGAAAGCGTGGAGGACACGACGCAAGGATGAAATCATCGGCTTCTCGTCCTCCCGAGACGCGTTCTCCCACCGCCTCCTAGGCGTCCCTGGACTCATCGGCGTTCTCGGGCTGCTCCCATGAGTCGTGGCGGCAGAAGAAGTAGCCGAGGGCCGAGCATTGCGGAACCTGACGTTGTCCGGAAAGGTGCGGTGCAAGTCGCGTTCGATCGCCTCGACGTCCACCTCCTTCGCTGTCTGCTTCAATAAATTTTCGTATACGCCAGCGTGCTTTGCGACGACAGCTGGCCCACCGGCGTAGTAGAACCACGCTGCTCCTCTCCAATCCGGCGGGATACCTTTCCGCACGAATCTCTTTGTTTTCGCGGACCGAGGCGGGAAGCGGTTGGGGTTGTCCGTCATGAGCCCGTTCTCCTTCAAGAAAACAACCCACTTCCTCCTCCTCCTCGCCAGGTATTCGATATACCCTTGATTCCAGTCGTCGTATTGCTCTCGGTTTATGTATTGGTTGCTCTTCCTGAATCCGTAACGATCTCGTTCGTCGTCGTCTTCGGCAATGGTAAGGTCGGTTTGCCGGCGCATAGGTGGTGGCAACTCCTCGTCACCGACTTCGTCTTCGCCATTGCCGATTGTTCTGTCGCCGTTGCCGTCGCCGTTATCGTTGCCGACCTCGTTATCGTGGTAACTATTGTCGTGGTCCGCCTTGTTTGCCCTGCCGCGTCCGTCTCCCTCATCTTCGGCTTCGATGATTTTATTTTCCCCCTCGGCTTCCTGGTCCTCAGATTCCTCGGGTAAGGGCTGCATATCGGAATCGTGGAACATGTTGGTCGAGTTTCGCGCGGTCAATTCGGAGACGGGCGGCGATATTAGCGACTTGCGCGGTAATAAAGGTCCGGATATAGCTTCCAGCACCGAGGCCCTCCTCCGGCTCAATTCTGATTTCGCTGTCGGCGGCCGCGAATCGTCATCCTCAGGCATGGAATCGTGGAAGCCTTTCTCGTACATTCCCATGATGTCGTCCAGGCTAAAATCGTCATCGGCACCGTCGACGGCGTCGACGGCTTCGTAAACGGATGTTATGGAGCTGCTCTTCGTCGCGACGCTGCTTCGCTCGGTGGCCAGGGTCCCCTGCGCCGTCGACGTCGAAAGCTGGGATCGGTAGCTGGACCTGAGCTCCTCAGACGGCAAAGACGCCATTCGGGGTATAGGATCTCTCGCAAAGGTTGGTCCGCTGCTCTCGGCACGACTATACAGCAAGGGGGGTCGGGAGAGCGGAGTCTGGGGTTGCCGACCCCTACCGCGATGGTTTTCTCGGCCGTACATGTCGGGAGGCGCTCGAACGGGGACAGATGCGAAGGTGGAAGCGGATACGTTGGAGGAAACGGAGTGGCCGCGCTCTCGCGGCCACGATACGGTGTAGTTGACGACGAATTCGGGCTGGGACTGGCCCGATTCCATCGAAGACAGATTGGCAGGTCGTAACCACGGAGACTCGTGGGAGGACTGTTTTATGCTGGCCGTCCTCGGTCTCGAGAAGTTATCGACGCGCGCCGGCTCGGTAGCGTTCATCTTCGTAGTAGGCGACCAGTGAGTTTCATGTCTAGCTCTAGAGGTGAGTGGGTGAACACCGGGACGCGACTCGTCGGTCGTATTCGTAGATTTCGCGTGGTAATTGCCCGGAACTGGCGACGCAGGACCTAGGCAATTACCAGGTCGCCGGTAGCCTAGAGAATCCCACCGAGGCGACAGCGGCGAGATGTGTGCTGGTGGTTGGAGAGGCGAGCAGTCGTAGATGGGGGAGGAGGAAGGGGAACGCGAGTACAAGGTGAAATTTGTCGATGCAGTGCTGCTGGTGAGGGTAGGACTTGTCCAGGAAGCGATGGTCTCCGACGTCGTTGTTGCGGTCGCCTCGAAGTCATTGTCCTCGTCGGCTTCGTAACCGTCCGGGTCGGTGGTGTACAGGTCGTAAATGTCAGCGTGGAAATTTGGGCTGTCGTCCGGGGGGTGTTTCGAGCCTTGGTACTCCTGGGCTGGCGAAGCATGGACTCCATACCCTTGGAATTCTACGCCGCGCTCTGGTTCTGGGCTAACCCCGGCAGCCATCTCTAACCCTGGTCCCGATCTCGAACTAGATTGTGTCACATAGCGAGTAGGTGTAGACGCAGTACTCGCAGCGACGGCATCTCGGACTTCTTTTCGCTGCTGCTCTCGCTTGTGCTTCTGAATTTTGCAAGAATTGGGCGAGACCGTATCATCTTGTAGTAAGTCGCTGGTCATGGCTTCAACCCGCGCCGCAACCTAGAGCCAAGCAACCTAGAATCTCGCTCCGCTCTGAGAGGGGAAAAACGCCCTCCTTCCTCTCTTCCTACACTAGGCTTCCCAACTTGCTTACTGTGTAAGGGTAATCCAAGGGGGGGGGGGGGAGCTTGGTCAAAGAAAGTCTTGCCCGAGGTCAAGAAAGGGGGAAAAAAGAAAGAGAGAGCGCCCCTTTACCTACAGCGTCCTTTGAGTTACAGACACACTTGCAAGGGAATCCAATTCCTTTCAACGACAGGAGACAGCAGCCTTCGGGATTGGCGCACGCACAAGGGGTGGACTGGTGGCACCCAGCCCGAGACCAAGTTTCGAGCGGCAACAAACGGTGGTTATATGCTCGATGAATGGATAATGGGGGGAGGGTGACTGTAAAACAGAGCGAGCGTCGTGGATCAGGAGTCACCGAGCGTCGACAAGAGAAAGAGATGGGATGGAAGTTGGCCGGGCAGAGTATACGGTTCAGGATCCTTCCATAACGGCTGCCGCCCGTCGGTGATGTCGGACGAGGAGAGAAGCCGGGCACCTCGAATATGCGCCTTCCCGTCTATTGACGTAAGTCAACAAGATAAGTCGCCCCCCCCGGCGCGGTCGGTGAGAGGGGGTGCGGCGTCTACACGTATGTGACGATACCTAGGTGGGATGGGTTATCCGAGCGCGGGTTGCGTTGTCTAGGCCAGCGGCAGCGGCTAGGAAGGTCGACTCTACACGTACATGCAGAATCAGCCGCTGGTGTTTTGTCTAGGCAGTTGAGACAAGGTGATGAAGTTGTTAAAGCCCGTCTGAAGACATGTCGTCAAAGGAGGCCCATAGGAGAGGGCGCGGCGCGGCGAGCCCAGGCGGATACCTCAACCAAACTTCGAGGTCGGGATAGAGAGAGGGGCGCGGGTGGTGCTCGTCTGGAGTCTCTAGATGTCTGCACACATCGGTGTGGCCTTGTACCGCAACCAGGAGGCCGAGCACGGATACGCATATTAGGTAGGGCCGCGGTGGGAGACTAACTGGCCACGCAGCAGGTACCCTGACAGCTGCCGTCGGTACTGGAACTTGAGCTGCCAAATGTACCCAGGAGGCAGGTCGCCGCCTGGCCTAGGTCGATACAACGGGATTTACAGACCTACCTACCTACCTAGGCACCTAACGTACCTACGACCTACCTGTTAGGGGGTAGGCAGGTACCTAACGTACCCATAAGTAGGTACACCCCTAGGTGCCTAATGTATGCTACCTTTAGTTATCCTACCCTACCTTAGGCCAGCCCGGGTGGTATCTGGCGGCATCTCAACCCTCAGATCCCCACTCTCCAGGGCTACCTACCTACCTAGGTACCTATGTAGGTGATATAGGTCAGGCGTGTTCATGTAGGCCAGGCACCCGAAACCAGGTAGGTATAAGCCAAAGCTGCATACATATGCACACGGCAGCATGCGACCTCGATAGAGGGACTCAAGCGACATTGCGAACTGCGACTCGTCCGAAAATTGGCCTGACAATTGGCTCCGGTGAGTCAAGGGACCGGGAGCGCGCTGGAGATGACGCGAAAGCCGAAGGGAAAAAAGAAGAAAAGCACCAAGTACTCTCGGTATCTCCATCTGGGTACTCTGGCTGGGTTCATTTTACGTAGCACCCTCCGCTCTTCCCGTTCGCCCTGAACTCCACATTCGTAGTATCCATGCCAGTTACCTGCACACCCGCCCAAGCTTATAAGCCGTCGGAGGTACCGGAGATGTAATCGTGGAAATTACTCCCGCGGATGCGGAACAGGCTTGTGGTCCCCGCCCGCCATCCATTGGATAAGGCTGTCCAGCGGGAAGCAAGCCGGCTGCTTCCATTGGCCCAATTCGTCTGACGGCGATCAAAAAGGGTAAAGAAGGAGAACCGCAGCTGATCAGGCTTGACACTGACATCATTTCCCATGTTCTCCGTCTCGCGACGAACATTGCAATTTCCCAAACTCTGGCCGCACTTACCGACAACAACAATACATGTAATAACAATAACAGAACAACAACAGCGACGAGACAATAACACCGAAGAACCTTCCCCCTTCTCCCCCCACTCAATGGATCCCCTCGGAGAGATTCTAGCATCTGCGCAATATTAATTGGTTCAAGGTAGGGTTCTAACATTAGGCCCTCGATAGACGACGTACATATCTTCAAGAATGGCAATATGGAATCACTTGCATGTCGCGTGTGGACATATATGAGTACAGATCTATTGCCTGTGCGTACCTGATGTAGTATATAGGTACGTACGTACCTAATGCAAGTGATGTTTATGTAGAATATTGGGGCCTTCCCAGCATGGATCAGTCCATCCCGACGGAGGCGTCGAAGGCCAATGTGTCGTTTCCGACGTAGGCCCGTCTCTCATCGACAGGGAAGATACGGGGAGATGTCGGGTTTGCTGTGGCTTTTCTCTCATCTCACCAATGCAGTCTAGAGTGCTCCCGGCTGTTTCACAGTCTCGATTCGAGTCGAAGGTGTCCTAACCCAAGAAGAAATCATTGCTTCTAGGAGCGCCTCGTGCGAGGGCTAACTGTGGCCGGGTACGGCGTAGGGGGAAGGGAGGGGGCCTCCCCGAGGACATGGATCAGGGGTAACAGCTTAGAGTGTAGTAGTGTAGTAGGTACATTGCTTGGCGCAAATGGCATACACCCACCACGTTGGTAAGTACCTGCCTCTTGGGTTCCTATTGGCGAAGGTACCTGCCTGCCTACCTTTACCTAGGACTTAGCTACCTAGGTACCTAGGTAGGTAGGTAGGTACCTAAGGTAGGTACATACCTCCGCCTACCTCCTGGTAGGATGTACCCGACGTACCTCATACCTGCCTATGGCCTATAGGTACCTGTAGCCTGCCTACCTCCAGCACCTATGTGCCCGAGGCATAGCGCTGTGGACAATAGCGGGAAGGTCTGCCAGGAGGTACCCGAGGTAGGTACCTGCATGGATACTACACGTACTAGGCATACTGCAGGAACCCTCACACCAGCCTGCCTCCGCTTGCTGACTCCTTTACTGCCTCCCACCACATATTACCGTCCATACCACATTCTCACAGCCCTGACGGCGGCTAGCAGAGTGAACCCAGCCTCCGCTAAAGCCGTAAGCGCAATTTGGTGCTGTCGAGGCGGACACGCGCACGTAGCAGTAGGCAGCCAGCACCCCGGAATCCGAATTCATCAGTCATAATGGATCTCCATCTGGCAATTAATCGGTTATCGTCAGCGGGAAAATTTTTTCCTCTTCCTTCTCTTCCTCACCACGTTGGGCTCAGCCATTGACCATGCGCAATTAGCGGGCTGTCGGCACTGCCGAACAGCTGAGGAATGTCCCCTCTACCTACCTAGATATATGCCTATACACATCTTGTCCGATCTGCAAGGCCGCTGGCGCTGTCCTCGCTGCTTCAAGGCTGCCCTCCGTCCGCCTCATGAGACGTCGACCTTTGGGGGAGTGCTCTCCCCGCCACCTGCGATTGGAGCTTTCCTCTGTTCGACCTTAGGCTACTCGACGCGTGCCTACGCGTTTTCCCCTTGACTCTTGGCTCTTCCCGTCGACAAGGCCTGTCACGGATTCCACCAATAAGCATGCCGATCACTCGACCATCAGCTCTGCTTACATCCCTCCTCTCTCCATGGAACGTCGCGGGGGTCTCTGTCCGATCCCCCCGCTTACGGCAGCGTGTCCTACCCCCCCCCCCCTCGGGGATCTTCCCTTAGGTCTTAGGGCTTTATTTCTATTTCTTTCCCGTCGTCGCAACCGACGCACGGAACCGATGCAAGCGGAGCAAGGGGCCTCTGGTATAAAGCCAGGTGCAACTGTGCAGCGGCCATCGCATGCCATACCTCGGACGACTCAGGTATTCTCGATTCTCGAGAACTCTCCCTCTTCAGGTGGCATGCGGCCTCGATCAATTGATTGGTAGGCGACCGCTTGCCGCCGACTTCTGATCGTTCACGCGCAGTGAAGAAAGGTGAGGTATCGGTGCGTGTCCTCTCGCAACGCTTCACGAAAAGCCAGGTATGCAGTAATGGAGGCTGCGGGTTTTGTCAAGCTCCGCGGATAAACCTAGTGGCTTGCGGGAGGGGAGGTGGAAAACGGGAGGGCGCAAGAAGGGGAAGATGTGGCTGGGGGGTGGGTGGGTGAGATGCCTAGACTCGGAGCTACGGCCTCGCAATCGTCATCAACCGGTCAAATCCAACGAACTCCACTTCCACACTGCCTTCGCTTTGGTCTGCTTAGATCCTGAGCCTCCCGGCCCCGATCAGGCCCAGGGGGGTGGTCTGCTCCAAGTATCACGCCAGCGCTCCCACGGTTACGAGTGACTTTGCTGGGTTTGGGGTGCGCATTGCTAGCCCACAATGACGGACTGCCTCGAGCCTTTCCTGTTAGGGGAGGGGGAGGGGGAGAGGAGGAAGAAAGGGACGAGACGAGCGGCGAGGGCGCGGGAGAGGACGGGCGAAGGAGAGAGAGAGAGAGGGAGGGAGGGCGAGTGGGAGCGAGGGGAGAGGGAGGGAGAACGCGCCAGATCTGGGGCGTCCCGGTAGCAAGCAGCAGCACCAGCAGCAGCACCAGCAGAGCTCTCCAGAGCTCCCCCAGTCTAGCCCCCTTCCCCCTCCCTCCCTCTCCTGCATTCCGTCCACCCCCCAAGCTCTGCCAGCTCCTCCCTCTCACAATCCACGCTCTGTTCCCTCCCCTCCCTCCTCTCTCCCCCCCCCCCAATTCCTGTCCTAAGCAGCCTTTCCTTCCCGAAGCGCAACGGCCGACGTGCCCTGCCAACCCCCCCCCCCCCCCCCCAGCTCTCCCTCCCCTTTCCTCTCGTCTTCCCTCCCTCTTCTCTCTTCCCTTCTTTTTTTACCCGTCGCCGCTCCATCGAACTCCCACCCCATTTTTATCGCCGAGCCATCCACCCACGCCCCCACAAACTCCCGATAACAATCTCGTTCCAAATTATGTCGAGCATGACTTCCCGGAAGAGAAAGCAAGAAGAGGAGGAGGAGGAGGAGCTCGTTGCTCTCCCCAGCGATGAGAGCGAAGAGGAAGAAGAGTAGTAAGTCCAGCCCTGGAGCTCGTCGTGCTTCGCCTAGAATTCCTTGGAATCGCGCACTGGCGGCACAGTTGCCGATGAAACCGCTTGTCGCAAACGATGCGACAGTGTATCCCATCAATCATTATCGGCGTCGCGCTCCCCGTCGTTCTCCGTGTCCAATGCTAGATGTCCCCCTTGTGATAGATAGTTCAACTGGAGAGCGGGTGCATCCGGTACTCCTTGAACAATTTGCTGACTTCCACGTAGCGTAACGGACGGTGACGAAGAGGATGACGCCGACGACGTTGAGGAGGAGGACGAGGAGTACGACGAGGACGACGAGCCTGAAGATGAAGAGAACGGCACGAAGCGTAAGTATACTCTCCTCGCGAAGCCGCCCCCCATCGGTCGAATTCCTCTTGTATTCCGCTCCGACTGACACATTTCCGTTCAGCCAAAGCCCCAGTCCCCGCACCGGTTCAGGCTCCTCCCAAAAAGAAGCTGAAGACGGTTGACGCCCCGACCGAACCCGTCCCCGTCGTCAATGACGGCGAAGAGGAAGGCGGTGAAGGTGACGAAGAGGAGTTCGACGAGGACGGTGCGGAGGTCGACGATGAGGACGAGCTAGAAGAGGAAGAGGAGGACGGGTATGACGATGAAGGCGAAGGCGAAGACAATGAGACCAACGGTGTCGTCCTGCCCAAGAAGGTGGTGGTCGAGGTCGACACGGTCACTAACGGCAAGGCCAAGACAGCAACCGAAGTGGCCGCCAATGGCAACGGTGTCGAGGCCGAGCATTGAGCTTCTTTTCCTCGCCCGTCAACCCTCGCTTCACCTCATCTCGTCTCGTCTCAGGCTGGGGCAACTCGCTGTCACATACCACTATCCGGGCTCTTGCTCACGTAGTGACGGTGAGCAGCTACGGGCGCACGCATTGCCAGCCTGGTGTCCTCTTCGTTCTGATGTGTTTCGGACCCTCCTTATCTGTTTCTCCAGTTGTCTGATTTTCCCTCGTCAAAGGCGTCGAAGGATTCTTGTGTAATATCCAGAGCATACTTAGCGGAGATCACAAGATGCCCTGCTTTCGTTAATTCTCAATAGACTACAGGTGCTGAAATCCGAGCCGTTGCTTAACTAGGTTGATGCGCTGTGTCATTTGTGTCTTTTCGCGATGCTATCCTTCAATTCGCACCATAATTATCGCATTCGTCGGTCTCTCCGTAACAAGACAGAAAAGCTACGCTGCTCCCGCTCGGCTTCAGTCGTGCGCAAGCCCGTCCTAGCAATAGAGATACTTGTCGGGCGCAGACGAGCAGACGCGAGGAAGCATCGCAGCCTCTTTATGCCCTATACGTGTTCCGTCACGTACCCCACATCCCCACGGTCCCTCGAGCTAAATAGGGCCAAGGGGAGCCCCCCTGGGGTGTCGACAAGTGTCGTTCCGTCTCTGGTTGGTCGAGCCGATCACGAACTCGGCCAGTGACTGCGGCCTAACGGACCCGACGGGAGGAAAGCGGGCAGCGATACGGGGAGAGGGAGAGAGCGTCGGTAGACCCACCTTCGTGGATACGTCAAAATGGGGCGGACGCACGTCTGCTCGCGACGGCATCTGCGCCGACATGCAGATTCTCGCTCGCGGTGCCGAAGCGAAGCTCCGCAGCGCTGCCGTGCGGGCAACCCGAGAGGCTGGGCAGGCGGCCGGCTACATGAGGCCTTCCAGCGGGAGGTAGGTAGGTAAGGTAAGTAGGTAGGTAGGCAGGTATAGATAGTACAGCTCCGTAGGAACGTGCGGTCGGAGCTTGCAAACAGAAGAGATAGATGCCCACCTATATACCGCGCACAACCGCTTCCTCTTCAGCTCCGCGAGCCGCTCCATCGAGACCAGGTCTCCCGCCTTCTCTCCTTCGCAGCCGCGAGGAGCAAGCTTCCGGCCCTCACCCGCCGGCGCGTCAGGCCTCCCGCAGGGCTGCACGGCGTAGCGAGGTCGCATCGCGGCGGGCCTGAACTTGCGGTTTGATAGGATCGCGGCGGCGGGCTGGGCGATGCGGGTGCTGGTTGCGCCGGTCTGATTGAGGACCTGCCCTGTCGGCCTGCCTCCTACTTGGGCCGATGTGTAGGCACACGCTACGGGCCTGTAGAATCTGCCTGCACCTCCGTGCCCTAGGCGACTCGCGTGCTAGCGGATTGTGGGTAGATGCTACTGCCACCGCCGTCCCGCGTGCCCTCTACCTACGTCTTCCTACCTGTCTATCTACCGGCAAAACGGCTCCTACGAGGCAAGGAGGACGGCTCGCGATTCGAATAGGCGCTAGGTTGATGGGGAGAGGATGGGCGGATGTGCGCGTCTAGACACCTTACAGCTGAACAGCATAGGCGACAATGCGAGGCGGTGACTACGAGAGGCAGCCGAGAGGAGCACAGCGTGTCCCTCACCTACCTTCCCCTCTTCCACCCGTTTTCTCCCACGCCGGTCGCCCCAAGCGTCATCTACCTACCTACTAATTTGAAACCCATCATTTGCAGCGCGAGCACCACGAACCACGCTGTTATTCTCGAGCTCAGCACCGACCTACCTAGGTAGTCTACCACGAAAACTGAGAGACCAGCCTCCGGGCCTGGTTAGTCAGCACCGCCGCTCTCACTCAGGCTTTCATCACCCTTGCTCAGTGAGCATCACCTTTGCTCACCCTAACCTCCCTCCTCCCTCCAACGGGCCGCCTGCGAAGCTATCATCGACTACTAACACAACCTTTTGTTTGCACCGTACTCCATTAACTTCATGCGGCCATCGCCATGGTTCGGGATTTAGGACGCGCCAGGAGCGAGGGGCGAGGGGCCGAGGGCAGACTGGTTGGTGAGCCCGGCTTCTGGCGTCCCCCTTCATTCTCTTGACACCTGGATGCCTGATGCTCGGCCACTACACTTGGAGGTGGCGCATGTCTTAAATTCCCTATATCACGTCCAAAATGGAGTTGGGCGCTCTAATCCTGCATAAATATACGGAGCAGTGGCCCTCGACTCGACCGGATGAGGACATCATTGCCTCGCAGGTCTTTTCACCTAAGGAGTGCATGGAGTCACAGTTGCCAGCTGAGGAGCCTCGCGCTGCGTTGGCAGACTTGGAGTAGGCTCCCGGAGCTCAGCAAGAAGGGGAGGGCCCAGGGTTCCTCCCCTGGCTTCCAGATGGAAACGTCCCCAGCCGCTTCTCCGGCAGCTTCATGTCCAGAAGAAATCGACCAAAGAACCACCCTCCTTCATCCCAATCAGTTCCAAAGCCGACGTTGAGGGCATTCCTGTTAAGTTTATCTGGAAGCAACGCGCTAAAGGGTGGATTGACCAACGCGATGGAAAGAAACGTCCCGTTGCCGAGTTCATTCCGCATCTTAGGTCTGTGAAGGTAAGCCTGAGTCCTCGTCTATTTGGCGTGGACCTGAGCAGGAATGGTAGGTAATCATTGGGAGGGGCATGACATTCAAGAAAGAGAGCTTTGCTTCACCAATGAGGAGATTGCGAGGATGGTACTGAACTATGAGAGGGGTCGTTTCATTTTCAGACGGTAGCTATTTCTTTGCGCATACGCCAACGGATCCAACATTCTACTCGCCCGCATCGTCACCAAGAGACAATACAACAGTTTTTCCGTGAGATCAATGTCCTCTATTGATACCCATGGCTGGACCGATTCTACCCAGCGAGCAACAGGGTTGGGCTTATGACGGAGTTTCCGTCGCTCAACTCACCTCGGGTACGGAAGTTATGGACAAAACGTTGCGACATTAGCGCAAGACAGGCGGTGTAGTTGCAAGCTAAAAACTATTACATACGAATACAGGACTTAGAGACGTAATTGACTTGAAAGTCTCATAGCAAGTAGGAAAGGAACAATACATTCTAAGGTGCTTAATCGTACACGTCAGACAATGAGTTATCGCAGGGCTTTTGCCCACAACCTGCGTAGGTAACAGCGAAGAAGGTATTACACAAGAGCTTTTCTTATTGTTTCTGGAAGGCTAGCATCCCAAGTCTGTCTACTTACGCTTGGAAAGGGGCTCGCCATCCCTGATCTTGCGCTCGCCATACTTGGCGATGCGTATAGCATTCACGTTTATAAACCCAGTTGCGTCTTCGACACTCCAATCCATTTCAAGAGTGTCCTGCATTTCTTATGTTAGTTTTGATCCGAAGTGGTCCTCTTCAGGTACTTACCATGCTGCTCTCTTCTTCGCTGTAGAGATTGGATGTCTCGCTGGAGCGGCCAACGATGATAACGTTGCCCTTGTATGCCAGAGCTTCGACCTTGCCATCAACCTGCTTCTGGCTGATAGAGATCGACTGCTGAACGAACTCGCGCTCAGGCGTAAAGTACATTCCCTGAAAAGATGTCAGCAATGTCTAATCCGACAGAGCTTGAAGAGAAGGGGCTACGCGCGTTGTATATACATTGCGCCCAGTCATCCGAGAGACGGTCGCGAATGATGCGCACCTTGCTATCCATCACGAGACCCTGAGCAATCGTTAACTGGAGTCCTATACTTATTAAAGATAGAGGGTGTTTGGATTGGCTCATGCTCAGGTGACTCTTGACTCCCTGGATTGGCATTGTATTGCAATGGGCAACGGCACAAGCCCAGAGCGCTGGTCAAGACTGCCACACGAAGGCCGGACTGCAGAAACCATGGGCCTCAGGGGCTGAGGTCCAGCTGCTTTGGCCAGTAGCCTGAGCCCTTTAGGCTTTCGAGGGCTCTTGAGGCAACCCCGCTTGTAAACGGCAAGAGGATTTCGGCCCAAGAGACGACTCTGGAATCGCATCAAGGGATATCAAACACCGCAGCATGAGCCAATCCAATGCTCAAGGAGGTGACAATTTACCTCCAGGTTTTGATGCAGCTTGCGCAAAATAGTCAGGCCGGGGGTATCTGCATACAAGGTTAGAACATCCTGTCAAAGTGCATGGGGGAGAGCGGAACAGGTGTCGCCTGCGACGGGGCCATGATCTACGTCGCCGGCCGCGCACACCAAAACATCGACAATGCATCCGCAACCTCAAAGACGTCTCCAACAACCACAAATCATTAGAAAAGCAAGGAAATAAACGCGACTGACCGTAGCAACCACGAGATTTTAATCCTGAAATAAAAAATTAGCAATCGCGTGCTGATGTTAAAGTTCCCTGAGAGTAGACATACCGATGAACCTCGACTCGACGATATCCTCGCGTCCAATACCTAGGACTACGTCAGTACTCGCTTGAAAGCCCTTCGGTTCGCAGTCCTACCGTTAGCACGGCCCAACTCGTTGGCCTCCTTGAAGATCTCTAAGGAACCAGTAACGGCCTTGCCCCCAACTTCAAGCTTAATGGGAACACCCTCAGCAAAGTGGACGGTGAAGCGAGTAGGCTCATCGGGAGCGTCCAGGGGATCTTCGGAGAGGCATTAGCGCAAAATCTAGAAGTGTGTAGGCTGAGTCGCCTCACCAACTGTGCGCTTCCACATGTCCTTCGGGGGCTCCATGTCTGTTTGCTCGAGAATCTAGCAAGTTCAGGGTCAACAGGGCGCAGAGAGAGGTGTTCCCGTAGGAGGACTTACACCGGCCTCGTATGAGCAATGCTATCGGATCGATAGTCAGTATTACGAAGAAGCAATGGGACCTTTCATACATACGATGATGTTGTCGTCCATAGACCAGGGGGCCTTGGGAGTGGAGCTGACGGGGATGTTCTGCTCCTCGGCGAACTTGAGAAGATCGGCACGTCCCCTGCGGAATGATTAGCTTGAATATGCAGTAGTGAACACAAAAGGAGGCTTACTGGAATCGGTTGAAGAACGCAGGGATGCGCCAGGGGGCCAGAATCTTCATCTTGGGGTCACATGCCTTCCACGCCAGCTCGAAGCGGACTTGGCTAGAAGAAGGAAGTTAATACGGTGCAAGAGCGACAGAGGGCGACAACATATGTATCGGGATCATGATCAGGACTTACTCGTTGCCCTTACCGGTGCCTAGGGTTAGAGTTACGTGTTAACGACTGGATCGAACAGTAATGAGACCAGTTGAACCACGACAACTTACATCCATGGCTGAGGATCGTGCAGTTGTTATCCTTCGCAACTTGCACCATTGCCCTGGCCAATACCGGCCGGGCTAGGCTTGTGCCGAGAAGGTCTTCAGGGCATTAGCGATGTCATCGAAGAGCGTCCGAGGTGAACCATCTTACATTGTCCTTCATAGATAGCGTTGCCTGGTGGATTCCGTTAGTAAACCCGCTGCATTACCATAAACAGCCTGTGAAGACTTACACTGGATGGCGGGCCACACCAAGTCGTCAATCAGCTCCTGCTGGACGTTCTTGATGATCATCTTCTCAGCGCCGAGCTTCAGCGCCTTAGCCTTGACGGCATTGAAGTCTTCCTCCTGGCCGCAGTCGCCGAGGAAACACACGACCTCATAGCCTTGAAGGACGAGCCACCTAAGAGTGATTGGTCAGCTCTTGTTAAACAATCCCACATCTTCGATGATTGTCGTCTCCACGTCGAGCTCGAAGACTTGACAGCGTCGAAGTCTTCTCCTTGCCGCAATCCGTCAGAAAGCAAGACATGGGGGCGCAGTACTTGAGAATAGTGGAAGTATCCAGGCCTGTCCATTGGTCAGAATATCTGATGTTGATGTTGATGATATTGCTTCTAGAGTTCTCAACCCACCGCCAGAGTAGGCACTGGACAAGGGTCAGTTATCTTGCTCGAACCAAAACAAGTAATTGAGTGGCAAATGACTTACAGGCAAACACGTTCGGGAGCCATGATGAATGTTGTTCGAAGTTTCGTGGACAACACGAGACGTTAATGTTGGAAGTGACTGATAGATATATCTCGACAAAATGTTGTTGTCGCGCGAGTGTCCAGCTGTCGAGGTTTTTTGGACGCAGCTCCGAAGACGGCCGAAGCGAGTCACAGCCCGCAATGTTTGGTGGGGTTATGCCCTCTTCTGTTGGGTGTGTAAATATGGTTGCTTATCTCTTATCGTTAATGCAATGGTCAGTGCTGGAAATGCGGAGATCAATTCAAAATCACGAAGATAAACTGCGGCGGCGGGGCAGCCGCACCGGGAATCTAGGCACCAATGTCGCTCAGCGGCCTCTCGCCGGGTCGCATCTTCTGCGATTCGAGACCATTCCCACAATTGTCCACAGTGACCCTGGCGCGCGTGTGCCCGGGCCCTGGAACTGGGCTGTGTGCCCCCCCGGCTGGAATGCGGGCGCTGCGCGCATAACATCGAGACATGCATCAGCAGGCCGCGCGCCTCGTCCTGGACACGACCGGTGTCCACGCCGGTCTCCCTCGCAGACACACACCCCCGCTTGCTTGCCCGCGCGGGGCGCGCGCACGCCACTACCTTCCTGTTGCTTATTCGAAGAGAGGCAGGCCGTTGCGTGGGTGCGAGAGCGCCGGCCGGATGCTGCCCCCTTCTGCTTAGGTGCCTCGCGCCCGAGCGGCCAGTTGTTGTCGTGGTGCCGCGGGTGTGAAGCTTGCATGTAGCGCGCAGCTGGCGCGGGGTACGCTGGGGAGGGAGTCGGCCTCGGTAGGTATGTAGTGAGGGCAGAGCAGCATTCCTCCCGACGCTAGCTCTGGCGCTCGAGGAGCTGCTGGCTATACCTACGAGAGAGAACCACTGCGCACACGCATGGCAAGAATGGCGTACGCGAGGGTAACGAATAGGGAGAGAGGTCTGCGACGCTATGGGAAACATTGTAGCACGTCGAAATGCCATTCACTTCCACAGTTACGGATATCTGCCTGCTTTCATTCCATTCCCCCACGCTCGTTCCCCTCCACCTGCTACCGTCATCGTCAACAAATCACCCTTCCTCGGCGTCCATGGCGTCGTCGCGCCGCCGCTTCTTGTCCCTGGCTTCGTGGCGACCCTTCAGCACCGCACCCTTCTTGCCGCGGTCGTCGAGCAGCTGCTTCATCTCGTGGCGCGCGTGCTGCTGAGCCTCCTCGACCCGCGGCTTGAACACCATCACCTCGTCCCGGCTCGCCTCGTACGCCTCTAGCTTCTTGCCGAGCGCCGCCTCGATCCGCTGGTAGACCTCAAGGTCGTACTGGTTGACGATGTTGATTGCCTGTCCGGCGTTGCCCGCACGCGCTGTCCGCCCGACCCGGTGTACGTATGTCTTGCCTGCGCGATTCCGTCAGCCCGCGTCCCCCCTAGAGCATAGTAGGTGGGGGATGATTCCGCTCCTGGGGTTGAAAAAACTTACTGTCCCTGGGCATGTCGTAATTGATGACGACGTCCACTTTGGGTATATCTAGACCTCTCGCAGCGACATCAGTCGCCACTAGGATGCTACGCGACCCAGCCTTGAACTTGTTCAGGGCCCCCAAGCGAGCCGACTGCGACAGTTGGCCTACGGAGGGCAACGAAATTAGTACGTGCGCGGGCCGGCAGGAGGAGGAATTGGGAGATTCTTTGGCTAACCGTGGAGAGGTATGGCTCCAAAGCCCAAGAACCGTAGTAAGATGGCGACCCTCTGGGCTTCGTAGACGGTTCGGGTGAATATGATAGTAGATCGCCCGACGAACTCGCTCGCCACCAGGAAGATCAAGTATGTGTCCTTGTGCATGTAAGGAATGAAGATGTAGTATTGTTTCAGGGTCGAGACCGTCTGGTACTTGCTGGAGCTGATGGTGACGCGAAGAGGGTCTCGTAAGCTAGCCCTCTGCAAGCTCTCGACCTTGGACGACATGGTGGCGCTAAAGAGGAATGTACGCCGCTCCCTCGGGAGGAACTTGAGCAACTTGTCGAATATGGGGCCGAAGTCCATATCCAAGAGCCTATCGGCCTCGTCAATCACCAGGTACTTGGTATTCGATAGCTTGAACCCCTTCGTCTTCTCGAGGTGGTCCAACAGTCGCCCCGGCGTGGCAACGACGATGTGAGGTCGCTTCGACAGAGCGATCGATTGAGGGACCATGTCCAGGCCGCCAACGATGACGGCGCATCGTACCGATATCGTGGCCCCGAGGGCCTCGACCGCCTGGCCGATCTGGGTAGCCAGTTCGCGGGTCGGCGCGAGTATCAGGCCGAAGAAGGGCGAGGGCTTTTCCAACAAGGCTTGAAGTATGGGCAGGACGAAGGCAGCCGTCTTCCCGCTACCGGTTTCGGCCAGACCGATAAGGTCCCGATTCTGAAGGGCGAGGGGGATAGATTGAGCCTGTATGGGAGTGGGCGTCTTATAACCGAGCGAGTGGCAGGCCTCAACTAGAGGGTCGACGATGCCCTGCGGAAAGAGCGTGCGTATTAGAAAGGGCCCGGAATACGGCGTCGCAGCGAGCACAAACATACGAGTTCCTTGAACGTCTTCGGAGCCTTCTGGGAAGACTCGGCGGTAGAACCTTCGATAGTCGCGGAATCCGGCGACTCGTCATCGGGTTGCTCTAATGATGGCGGGGGGGCAGTGGCAGACTCGGTATCGTGGTCGCCGGGGGGAGGCGACAACTTTCTCCGTTTGGCGGAAGACATGGCTGTAATATTGTTTAATTCGATCTGTAGCGCTCTAGTTACCGCAGAAGTTACTACGATTGTGGTGCAACGTGATGTAGGTATCTGTATCGAGTGAGTGGTTGCAGGCCGGCGACGAGGAGGAAGTAAAATATGTTGCTATAGGTTGGTTGATTCTCTTCTTTTTTTGTGCATTTGACATCCTATTATGCAGGCTTTCATAAAATCCCCTTCACCGCCTTCTTCTTTTAGCTTATCTGTATTATCATATCCATTGTCTGCCCCCCGCAAAGCCGTAGTGCCGCGTAGCCTCTACCCGTGGTGTTGTAGGCTAACACAGGTCTGTATTAGTACCCGGTACCTGCAGAAAAAAAAGCTGTTTATGCCTGGCAAATCTCCCAATCTTTCTTGCTCTTATTTTTTTTCCTATCGAAAGCTTCCTCTTGGTTTGTGTGAAGCTGTTATTCCACCGCGAGAGAGCAGTTCGGCCAAATCGACTATTATAGACTATCAGAATTAAGGGGGCGGACCATGGCTAAGGCTAGGACGAAGAAGCGCACCCATGTGGGCGCGAACAATCCCAAGCACAAGGCGCCTCTGGCGGGGCGCTCGGTAGCCCAAGATCCCAAGAGCATGGTGATCCGCATCGGCGCCGGCGAGGTTGGGTCCAGCGTCAGTCAATTGGCCAAAGATGTCCGCCAGGTCATGGAGCCTGGAACAGCCAGCCGTCTTAAAGAACGTCGCGCCAACCATCTACGAGACTATGTCAACATGACCGGTCCTCTCGGCGTCACCCACCTCCTTCTCTTCTCGCGGTCCGAGTCCGGCAACACCAATCTGCGCATAGCTACCACGCCCCGCGGACCTACGTTGCACTTTCGCGTTGAGAAGTACTCCCTGTGCAAAGATGTGCGCAAAGCCCAGAGACGTCCTAGAGGCGGCGGCAAGGAGTACACCACATCCCCGCTGGTACGAACTCGCCCGATTGCGTCCCCTGGAGCTTCCCCCGTACCCTATGTGGTCAACTGCTGACCCTGTGCTTCTTAGCTGATCATGAACAACATCTCGACCCCTGGCGCCGATGCCAATTCCAAAGTACCCAAACACCTCGAGTCGCTCACCACTACTGTATTCCAGTCTCTCTTTCCCCGCATCAACCCGCAGACCACGCCCCTCAGATCCATACGCAGGGTTCTCCTCTTGAATAGGGAGCCCTCAGGAGACGAGGCCGACGGCTCGTTCGTGCTCAACTTCCGACACTATGCCATTCACACGAAGCCTGCCGGGGTATCGAAACAGCTACGCCGACTCGACGCCGCCGAGAAACTCCTTAGCGAGAAGAACCGCAGAGGCGGTGTTCCGAATCTGGGGAAGTTGGGGGACATCTCGGAATACATCATCGGCGGCGAGAACGGCGAAGGCTACGTAACAGACGGCACGAGCGGCAGCGAGATGGATACCGACGCCGAGGTCGAGGTCCTCGACGAGGCGCCGCGCAAAGTACTCTCGAGCAAGGCTCGCGCGGCCAAGCTGGAAAGAGAAAGAGAGGGAGAGCCTGCTGCCGAGGACGACGAGAGGATAGAACGGCGGCGCGTTGCCCTGGTCGAACTCGGGCCACGCATGAAACTACGCATGACCAAGGTCGAGGAAGGACTCTGTTCCGGCAAGACGATGTGGCACGAGCACATCCACAAGTCGAGGCAGGAGATCCAAGACCTGGAGCAGCGGTGGGAGAAGCGCAGACAGGAGAAGGAGGCGAGGAGGAAGGAGCAAAAGGCCAACGTCGAGAGGAAGAAGAAGGAACGGGCGGCCAGTGGCGCCAAGCAAAATAAGAAGGAGGGTGAGGGCGACGACGGTGACGACGGCGGTGACGACGACGATGTCGAGATGAACGGCAACAACAGCGATCTGTTTGACGAGATGATGGATGACGACGAGTTCGACAGCGAAGGAATAGCGGGAGACGCCGAGGAAGCTATCGGCGAACAGATGGACGACGACGAGTGGGAAGACGAAAGAGAGGAAATCGCGGGCTGAGACCACCTACGTCCTCCTCCGCCTTTGGCGGGACCTACGTGTTGGCATAGTTATGGCGTCCCGGCGTTATCGAATCTACTCAACATAAGTGTTGTTATGTAGTAGTGCTATTAATAGACATTTCGAGCTACCGGAGGTTAAATCCATTTAGGGGTCTTTCCGTCTCGGTCTCCCCGCGCCGATTATTCATGTGTGTGCACCGCGATGCCATGGCGAGGGCAACGATGTGAACGATATCTAAACCTTTCTGGCCCCACTAAGTCTAGCGTTTGATGACGCTCGACGAAGCGTCCCAGGACAAAGCGGAGTTGCGGGGCAGGACACTAGCAAGTCCGGGTTGGAAGGGTGCCGTGACCGCCGGGATTCTCAGGTCCGGCTTCGGATTTCTCAAAAAGGATCGCAATACGCTCGGGCAGTGCAGCCGGCGGGAACGTCAAACGCTTCTACGATAGACCGAGCGAGCTTCTGGCGCCGCCGTGAAGAGCGACTATACACTTCAGGCCCAGGCCTTCTCGACGGTGGTGGTACCCGCTCAGGTCTACTTTGGCCGTTTGGCCCAAGCTTACCTAGCACAATCGAGAAATACCTAGCATTTATATCGTATCCCGACTCACATGCGGCTCTTCAGAAAGGCCCGAAGCGCTGACAACCCCGCGGTTAGATTAGGTGATTCTCGTCACCTTCGTTCGCCGGCCCTGAAGTGGCCTAGGGTTTGGTACGCCTTCTGCCTCCTTACCACTGATGGAGAACCCGCCACACCCCGATCTCTAGATCAACTGCGTGCCTGGTTTGTAGCACGGATTGCGAGAGAGTACAGGCGACCACTGTGAGCTTGGATCTTCATATAGGTAGACTGGCACTGTGCCGGTCAATCTTTTTCTATTTAGCCCTGGGAACCTACCAAATCGGTTTGAGAACAGTTCAACGTCTCACTTACGACACACCTCTCATCTTTATTACTAATCTACTTTTATTATGCCTCTCGCCCTGCCATGGCATTCCGTGATCGTTGGCTTAAGATGCCTGATGGCCGCAACTTTGATAGCCAGCATCTGCTCTCACCTTGGCCCGCAGTGGTGTAACTGTCCGTTCCACGATACGTGGGATGTGGACCTACTCGTCCGGGAAATGGAGGAGAATCTCTGTACCCAGGTGGTTGATATTCCATGCGTTTCTAACGGCCCCAACAACCACCTGCCTATATTAGTTCTGGCAATTCCCGAGGTCAACTTCGAGACCGAGGTATATAAGCTCCTGTAGATAGAACCGGATATCTTACCTAGCTTCTCGTTTGCTTTATTATCGCATCCCCGTACAGCATGAGCTTGATAGAGACATCACAGGCAGGCGCTTGGTTGCATTCTAAAGAGCTGAAGAGAATAGCGTACGGGGTACCCTTGACCCAGCTCAGAAGGTACGGGCGTATATTAGTCCTGCTGCTCCGTATGTCGATTTCCTCTTCTCGTCTTGCCTTCTTTCTCGGGCAGCTCACATCCATTGCAATCGAGATGTTGCGAACGTCAAGGTCGCCGTGGTCAAAGACGAAGCGGTAGGAAAGACTCTCGTGGGAGCAACAGTGATGGGAAACGATTCCCGCTTCTGCTCAAAAAGGCGTTCACGAAGCCAGGTAGAAGCGAATCCCGACTGGACCCGGAATCTATATAACGATGCGCGGATGCGAAGAGCGAACCCCCTGCGACGTCCCTGTTCGACTGAGAGACCAGGCGCATTGTGGCAGCGATCTTGTCCGGCCGGTTGATGGCGGTGACCGTCGATTTGGTGGCTGATGAAGATGCGAGTCAGCTACTGTAGTGGAGATCGCAGTCGTGAACCGGCCTTTCAGGGACTGGTTTGCGTGAGGCGGCGGGCGCCCGGTTTCCTCCATGGCGTCGCCTCTCCGTCTACGTGTGCGTCTTCTCTCTTTCTCGACATGACGGGCGGCGAGTAAGCTATTACGGCACCACAATTACGCATAGGCGACGGCGGCGATAGATCGGGCAGTGTCGCGTGTCCGTCCCGTTGACGACAGCGACATTCTCGCCGTCGCCGACTTGCTCCCTCTTAGCAACTGCCCCTTGGTTTGCGTAGTAGGTATCGTCGGAATTTCTTATATCGAGACGAGCAAGGCCTCGGGCACGAGGGAAGCATGGATGTGTGTGCATAGGGATAAATGTGCTCGCGATCAATGCCGTCTCGTATTCATTTCCGCCTCAGCGGCTTGACCTACCACGCGCGCCATCGTGACCATTTACGCAAGACCACTTACGTAGGTACATGGATACCTGCCTACCTGTAGGCATGGCCCCGCGAGCCGATTGGGTGCGGGATATTGATATGTACATGTACGTACGTATGCACGTGTGCATGTACACGCATCAGCAAACTCCGGGTACGGACCTCGGTTAGCCCAGTCAGATATGTACACGCTACGTAGTATAGGTACATGGGACGGAAGACGGGATGAACGAAGACAACTTCGGCCGCGTTCTCGAATGTATCTACCTCGATAGCGGCACGTACCAGAATGTACGCAAGCCCACCACCGATGTTTTTTCTGTCCTTTTTTACCTACTTCTTCTTTTCGCCCGTCCTTCTTTCGAGGTACCTGAAGGGTGGGATAGGGCGCAACGCCAACAGCCTCAACACGATCCTGAGACGTGCCCCGTTCGTGCTTAGCGTCGACTTGCGGAGGAGGGACGGGGACACGGAAAAAGGAGGCGGGCGTGCGAGTCGATTGGTTTCATTTGGGGCGAACCCTGGATCGTTTGGGACGATGCAGGGCCCCCTCGGGAATGCTCTGTTGTAGGCAAATAAGGAGGCCGACCAAAGTCCAGTCCGGAGTCAGCCAGGAGTAAGTAGGACGGGCAGTAGGAGTGGTGGATCGTGTTAGTGCATTGCTTCTTTGAGCCACGCTCACCTAATGCTTCTCTCTTTCACCCGGACCGCCCCCCGGACCGCCCTCCCTCCCTGACCACGATGCCCACGCTTTATCAAAAAGTCAAAAAGCACGGCGCCTCCCTTGCTCCCGGCCCATCCATCGAAATGGCAAACAAGACAAGCTTGCTCCCAGTATAGCGATATAGCGTGACCGGCCACACCGGCACTCTCTAGGTTCACCAACCTACCTGCCCTATCATGGCGCTGAGCATCTACTGGACCGCGCTGTTCGTCCTCGCGCCCCTCGTCGCTCTCGCCGTCGGACACCAGATCGTCTCACGCCGGTTCCTGACCTCGAAGCCCGAGGACACCACATCCGCCCGCGATGCCGACGCCAAGGGCTTCTGCAAGACGTTCATGTGCGTCTACCTGATCGTGATGGCGTCGGAATGGCTTCAGGTAAGCGGACGCGCGGCCGGGGACGAGGGTGTGCGCGTACGCTGACGTCTTCCTCATCCGTCCTGTCTAGAGCCCCTACACCTACTCGCTTTTCCGCGACGAGAAGCAGCTTAACGAGCGGTCCGTCGCGCTCCTATACGCCACCACCTATGCCTCCGCCGCCGTGTCCGCCTTCCTTACCGGCTACCTCGCCGACCGGTTCGGCAGGAGATCGGCATGCCTGGCGTCGTGCGCCATCCACTCGCTCGCCTCCCTCTCGGTTAAGTTCGACCAGCTCGAGGTCTTGATCGCCGGTCGGGTCCTGAGCGGTATCAGCCTCAACCTCCTCTGGACCGCCTTCGAGAGCTGGATGGTTACCGAGTACAAAGCCCGCTCGCTGGAGAAGAGCTCTTTGGCGCTGAGCACCATGTTCAGCATCATGACCACCTTCAATAGCATAACCGCCATCTTCGCAGGCATCTTGGGCCACTACATCGTCCTCGCTTCCGGATCCAAGGCTGATCCATTTTTCGCCGGAGCGGTGAGGCTATTTCCTTTTTATCTGTCCCGCGCTGTCGGAGGCGTCTACCTCCTGCTAATACCCGATGACCATAGGTTTTGGATGTCTGCGCCGCGGTGCTCATGCTTCGAACGTGGAACGAGAATCGAGGAGCCCCTCGTGTCGCCACCGGCCTGGACGATGACGGACGTAGCCCTGAAAGCGATGCCGATGAGAAGACTCACCCCGAGAGAATAATAACGGCGTTGAAAGACAGGAGAGTCTGGGTTCTCAGTTTCGCCTCGTGCTGTTTTGAGGGAGCCGTTTTCCTCATCATGTTCTTCTGGTCCGAGTTGCTCCAGAACGCATACGACAGGGAGCATCCCGAAGAGGAGGGCGGCTCGATCCAGTACGGCGTGATCTTCTCGACCTTCATGGCCACCGTAGTTTTAGGCTCGGTGCTATTTAACTTCATCACCCGAGACACCGCGCCTTCGCCCACGACAGAAAAGGACGCCGAGGTGGGCGAGGTCACCCCGAACTTGCTCTTCGGCTCGGCGCTCTTCGTGAGCGCGTTGAGCCTTCTCGTCGCCGCGTTCGCCCAGAGAGAACTGTACCTCTTCCTGGCGCTTCTCCTCTTCGAAGCGTGCAACGGCGTCTATTCCCCTAGCATGGGTTTCCACCGAGGCATGATCGTGAAGGATTCCGGCCGGGCCCTGACCTACGGCCTGATGAACGTCCCGCTATTCGCTTTTATCATCATCGCGCTAGGTACTACGGGCAGCACCGGAGGTGAGTGAACCCCGAATTTCCCTTGTGGCGTCTATATATACTGACCCTAGTTTCCTATAGCCGAGCATCGGCAGATCGTCTTCATATTCTTGGCCATGCTGCTATTCATCGCAGCTTTATCTATCATTCTAGCGCTTGGGGATTCTGACACCCATCTGGGCTTCCAGCAGGTGTCAGATATAGAGCTCGAAGATGCCGACGCCGCTGGCAAGGAAGAAGCGCCAGGCAACAGCACGAATTGAAAAAAAAAAAAAAAAAAAAAAATAGAAACCTCCTTTCCGGTCTGCTAGGTAGCATAGGACCGTTGATAAGAATACGAACTAGACCTGCTTCATTCGATTAGGATCCATCGATTGGCTGACTGCGCCCGGCATATTTACTCCCCCCCCCCCCTCCATTGTGCAATAAATAGGGGAATCGCCTGGCACTTCGCAAGTCGGATTACTGGAAGATAGCCGTGTAGTCCACAGAAGCGTCACCGGCTGAGAGTAGCCACTTGACCAAAGGAGATCCTGATGGTGACGCCGGCTCGGTTCCCACCAGGTTGACCCCCGCCTTGATCCACAGGCCGCGGCACCGAACCTAGCAGCAAGAGTCCCCGAGCCGCTACGCCGAGATATATGCACAATATAGTTGGCCGACGACGCCGGAAAGCAACGCTACGGTAGCTTTGCGGGGTACGAAGATCTCCGATTCGTTCGACGAACCCCTTCACGCGCTGCTCTGTCAGAAATTGCCAGGAATTCGTGGTCGTAAGCCTCACCACAGGTGTCCACTCGATAGAGGACGCAAGATTGAGATCTCCGTACGAGAAAAGCCACCCCCTGGCGTGTTACCGACACGATTCTTCAGCCCCCCTGCGGCAACAGCGATTCTGCTCTTGTCTTTTATCAGCTACTCGTAAAACAAGAGTCTCCTGCCATCATTGTCGTGATTTCGTTTCACGGAATAAGGAATCTGTAGGGACCTATGAGGGGAGACATGCAGAACGAAAGGAGATGGCGCACCGAAATGAATGGCATGCCGCTCGTAAACATTAGGGTGCCTCGAATCCTGCTCGCCCTGAGCTGTGCGTACCCCGACTTACATATACTAGCTTGCACCCCTAACCCCACATGTATATACCATAAGAGAGTGATACGACCTGATTATTGTCGCGTTGTGTCTGGTGTGCCGGTGTGTGTCTTTCCACTTGAGAAGAAGAGTACCTAGGTAATAAGACACGCCGTTACGTGCCTGGGGCACGTACCTAAAGGTGCGGAGGGTCAATCTAACAGCCGGTGGCAGAAAAGGGGTAAGCATAGAGCTGCCCTGCCGTAGACGCCGGGAATGACTAGGAAATAGTACCAACGCCCGCGCCGCAGCGGTGTCTTTACCTTCTTCTCCCCTCTCCGTGCGAGAATCGCGACAGCAGCCCTCGAAGAAGATTTGACGGGTTCTCGAGTGAGCGGCCACGGATGCGGATTCCAGCTGTTGCCGATCCCGAATCCCGGTGCGTGGAGGTTCTAAGCATGCGACACCGTTAAGTATCGGCCGGTATAGCTTCGCCGAGGAGGGGGTTGGTTATTGAACGCGGGTTTGAAGTAGGCTTTTCGATCGTATCATTTGCGAATCTAAGAACCAGCAGCATCTCTCCTCATATGCCTGGACTTTACACCTTACTTCACACGACCGAAAGGGGCAGGAGGAGGAGGGTGGTGTGCGGCAGATAAACCGACACGACGCGATTGGCCCCCCCCGGGGGATACGTCGGTTGGCTATTCCGTCCCGACGCGCAACGTCGCTATCCGCGATACGGCTGCTACCAAGACGGCGTCAAGATGTGCAGTTGCCAGCATGCAGTCGCACCCTGTCTACTTCGACGGCTTAATGGCCGGCTGGGTTAACCGATGGAGATACGTGATAGCAGGTTTTCGTGCCCTGGTCGTACTGCGGCCTGGGAGATAAAACCATCTAACGGCTGCCGTCACTGTGACACCGTGATTACCTTCACCCCTCATCATCGTGGACATTCCCATTCCCATACTCACGTCCGACGCCACGATGATATCAGAAAAATCACAGAGCGTGGGGGTTGAGAGCGATGGTGGCCCTGGTGACTCGAGGGCCGTAAACCCCGAGCTCAAGACTACGCTAGACTCCTTTGTTGAGTGTGACGTCGAGGTCGCGAACGGGCATCTAGCTAACTTGGAGGTGGACGTGGGCGGCGTCCTCTCCAGGGCCGAGGAAGAGGGCAGCTGGGATGCCGACACGAGCCCGTTTCCGGCCGTGCGCGCCGTCGTGCCCGAGACAGACGACCCCGCCATGCCCGTGAACACGTTCAGGGCCTGGTTCCTGGGCATGGTAAGCATCGCGAGCTGAGGAGACGGGGCGGGGTTGTTGACGGCTCGCAGATGTTCGTGCTGCTGGGTGCCGGCGTGAACCAGTTCTTCTCGTTGCGGTATCCCGGCATCCACATCGTGTCGCTGGTCGCGGAGCTGCTGGCCTTCCCGCTGGGCGTCGCCCTCGCCCGGAGCCTGCCCATCGGCCGGCTCAACCCCGACCGCCGCTTCAACATCAAGGAGCACGCCCTCGTCACCATCATGAGCAACGTGTCCTTCGGCTTCGGCTCCGCCGACGCCACTAATATCATCCAAGCTGCCCGGTTCTACGGCTTCGAGGTACCCACCGGCTTCTCCGTCCTCGTCGTCATCTGCTGCCAGCTGTGCGGGTACGGCGTCGCCGGCCTCTGCCGCACGCTCCTCGTCGAGCCCGCCTCCATGGTCTGGCCCGGCGTCCTCGGGAACGTGGCGCTGCTGAGCTCGATCCACTCCCGGGCCAACGCCCCCGCGGACGGGTGGAAGATCTCCCGCATCCGGTTCTTCCTGCTCGTCGGTGCCGCCGCCTTCGCCTGGTACTGGGTCCCCGGCCTCCTATTTACCGGCCTGAGCTACTTCACCTGGATATGCTGGATAGCGCCGGATAACCTGGCCGTGAACCAGGTCTTTGGTATGGTCACCGGTCTGGGCCTGTTTCCGCTGACGTTTGACTGGTCGATGATCGCGTACAACACGAACCCGATTCTCAGCCCCCACTGGGCGGCCGTCAACGTCTTCGCCGGCTTCGCGCTGTTCTTCTGGGTCGTCACGCCCGCCATATTCTACACCAACACCTGGTTCACGTCGTATCTGCCCCTCTGCACGGCCGACGTGTACGACCGCTTCGGGCAGCTCTACGACACGGCCAGGGTCATCACCGGCAACCTATTCGACCAAGAGAAGTATGCCGCGTACTCGCCACCGTATCTGCCGGCGACTTTCGCCTTCGTCTACGGGCTCTCGTTCGCGTCAATTACTAGGTGAACCTGCCATGCTCTCTCTCTCTAGGTCGATAGTGCCTTGCTCACGATCCCACAGCGTTTTGTCACACATCTATTTCTTCCACTGGGACGACATCGTGCACGCTCTCCGGGGGTCTCTCAAGCTAGATATCCACGCCCGACTCATGAAGCGCTACCAGAAGGTCCCCTGGTACTGGTGGGCCGCGATCATCCTCGTCGTTTTCGGCATGAGCGTCGCCCTCACCGAGGTGTACCATACGGGGCTCCCGGTCTACGGGGTCGTCCTGGCCCTCATAATCCCGGCAGTATACATGGTCCCGTGCGGGATGATCCAGGGCGTGACTAACGTGAACGCTAACCAGCTCAACGTGCTGTCCGAGTTCATCGGCGGGTACATGTTCCAGGGACGCCCCATCGCCAACATCCTATTCAAGGTGCTGTCTCAAGACGTGGTAGGTCAAGGGTTGTACTTCGCCGCCGATTTGAAGCTAGGCCACTACCTCAAGATCCCGCCGCGCACTCTTTTTTGCGCCCAGGGACTAGCTACTGTGCTCGGCGCGCTGACCCAGGTGGGCGTCACGTTGGTGCGTGTTCCTTCGTTCGTTCTTGGTTCTTTGCTGTTCTCATAGAGTCAGAGGGCACGGGTCCGAACCTTTTGAACGGAGTAATGCCTAACGCGTGGCGGTGATAGTGGATGCTCGGGAACGTGCCGGACATCTGCGCCCCAGACCAGCCCAACGGCTTCAGCTGTCCCAACGGCCGCACCGTCTACAGCAGTTCGGTCATTTGGGGCTTGGTCGGGCCGGGCCGGCTCTACTCCGTCGGCACGATCTACAGCGGCCTGCTGCATTTCTTCTGGATCGGGCTGATCCTGCCGCCCATCACGTACTACGTGTGGAAGAGGACGGGCAGCGACGTCGTGCGCAAGATCAACTGGCCGCTCATCTTCGTGGGGACGTCCAACGTCCCGCCCGCCACGGGAATCAACTACAGCAGCTGGTACATCGTCAACGTCATCTTCAACAAGATCATCTACGCCCGGGCCTACGCCTGGTGGGTCAAGTACAACTACGTCCTCGCCGCGGCCCTGGACACGGGCCTCGCCATCAGCGGCATCGTCATCTTCTTCGCCGTCACCTACGGGCCAAACGTCCAGTTCCCCGACTGGTGGGGCAACACGGTGTAAGAATATAGTTTCCCCTCCTCTCTCACCCCTCGGAGCGGTATCTTGGGTGACTAGGCGACGAGCGTGCTGACGCGTACGTCTAGGTGGCGGAATACCGCGGATGGACAGGGCTTGCCCTGGCTCCCCATGCCGGACGTGGGATACTTTGGACCGCCGAACGGGACATGGTCGTGACGGGCGGTAGCGAACACGGTGCCGGATACTTCGCCATCATCATCATGCTGTGAGATCTCGCTGCGTCTTCTGGCCTTAATTAGTCGCAGGGCTCGGGTCTGTCAGTATTCAGTGCCGAGTACTGGTCTTCGTGCTTACAGGATCGGCAACATTTCCCTGCGTATACCCCTACGTGGCATTGCTTAGTCTATTATGGTCCTAGACCTGGATTAGAGATTTGTTTTTGTCGCTCGTTTTCATCTTCGTGTCGTCTTATCTTGCCTGGCCTTCAATTATGAAAGTTCGCGGTAAAAGGTTTTTGTTAATGCTCACATGTCCGCAAGCTTGTGGTAAAGTAAGTATGAATGTATTTCAAGTCAAACCTCTGATATCTGTAGGTAGCCCCTTAAACGTACGGGGTATGTAATGTTGGTGGTCACTGCTCATCATTGCATCCAAACATCTTACGAGTCCCGGATGAGCTACAGCGCTCCCCCGTTACGAATTACGCGCAATTCATGTTGATTACTATACGACAATGTTACAAAGCCTAGATCCTTTAAATAACACCTATCTCTATATATAGGAGCCTCTGCCTTAAGATGGTCATCCCTAGCTATGTAGGTAGTGCTTATGGCGTACATGTCCATGAACACACGTAGACAGACAATCCCCACAGCGTATTACCCTAATATACAACTGTCTCTATCTCGTCATACCAATGTGCTCTCGCTGGCTCACCGTCCGATGCCTCTTCTGGAAAATTTATCATGGAGTAGAGACCTTAGTAGAGACCTTAGGGACTTGTGGGTATTTCGGGCACGTAGGTATAACTTATTGTGCTGTGAGCAGGGCATAAAAGCTTGCACCTATGATAGCCTCATCATATCACAAGGTGTCTGCAGAAGTAGTTTAAGGGCCGCGCTCGAACACCGGCGTCGACGGTGCTCCTAAACACCGAGTTCGAATCTAGGTGTTCGCCGGCCCGTCAGCGGTCAGGAAATCAAAGTCGCAGCCCTCGTCCGCCTGGTTCACGTGCCGCTCGTAGAGGCCGCGGTATCCGCGCGTTGTCTTCCTCGCCTCCCAGACGTCGCGACGCCCGGGGAGCGCGGCAGCGGCGGTGGCGGTTTCCTGCCTGCGCAGCTCGATGCGGCGAGCGATCTCGGCGTCGTCGACCTCGAGGTGGAGGCGGCGGCGGGGGACGTCGCAGGAGATGAAGTCGCCGTCGCGGACGACGCCGAGGACGGAGGCCGGGTCGGCGGCCTCGGGGGCGACGTGGAGGACGATGGTGCCGCCGGCGGTGCCGCTCATGCGGCCGTCGCTGAGGCGCAGCATGTCGGCGACGCCGCGGCGCGCGAGCTTGCGGGGGATGGGGACGAGCCCGGCCTCGGGCATGCCCGGGTGGCCGACGGGGCCGACGCCCTGCAGCACCAGCACCGAGTCGGGCGCGACGCCGAGGTCCTCGGCGTCGACGCGCGCGCTCAGGTCGCGGCTGTCGCGGAACACGCACGCGCGGCCGCGGTGGCACAGCAGCCGCCGGTCCTTGGACGCGCTCGCCTTGATGACGGCGCCCCGCGGCGCCAGGTTGCCGTACAGCACGGCCAGGCTCGACCGCGCGTACAGCGGGTCGGCCAGCGGCCGCACCACGCGCCGCGAGTACGCGAAGGGCGCGAAGGGCGCGGCGTCGAGCACGGCGCCGAGCGGCTCGCCGGTGAAGGTGCGCGCGCCGAGGTGCAGGAGCGGCCGCAGGGCGTGCATCAGCGCGAGCATGCCGCCGGCGCGGTGGAAGTCGGTCATGTAGCCGTCGCCGCTGGGCTTGAGGTCGACGAGCAGCGGGGTGGCGGCGCCGACGTCGTCGAAGGTGCGCAGCGTGACGCGGCCGCGGACGGCCGGGTGGCGGTTGGCGAGGGCCAGCAGGTGGACGACGGCGTTGGTGCTGCCGCCGATCGCCTGCAGCACCACGATCGCGTTCACGAAGTTCTCGTACGCGAGCAGCCGCTGCGGCCGGAACGCCTCCGCGTCCTCGAGCATCTTGACCGCCTGCCGGCCGGTCGTCTCGGCGACGCGGAGCCGCGCCGACGACACGGCCGGGCTCGTCGCCCCCGCGCGCAGGTCGACGAGGCCCAACCCCGCCGCCACGCAGGCCATCGTGCTCGCCGTCCCCATCACGCCGCACGTGCCGGCCGTCGGCGCGAGCTCCTCGTTGACGTCCATGATGTCCTCGATGTCGAGCTCGCCGGCGCGGAACTTGGCCCAGTTGTTCCGGCAGTCGGTGCAGGCCCCGACCCGCACCCCCTTCACCGACCCGGGCATCATGGGCCCGGTGATCAGGGGCAGGAAGGGCTTGTTGGCGGAGATGCCGCCCATGAGCTGCGCCGGGACCGTCTTGTCGCAGCCCCCGATCATAACGACGGCGTCCACCGGCTGCGCCCTCACCATCTCCTCGGTATCCATGCTCATGAGGTTTCGCAGATACATGCTCGTCGGGTTGGCGAAGCTCTCGTGGATGCTGATGGTGGGGAACTCCATGGGCAGGCCCCCGGCCGACAGGATGCCGCGCTTCGTCGCCTCGATGAGCTGGGGCACCTGGGCGTGGCAAGGATTGAAGGACGAGAAGGTGTTGATTATGCCGATGATGGGCTTGCTTAGGGACTCGTCGGTGTACCCCAGGGCCTTGATGAAGACCTTCCGGAGGAACAGACTGAAGTGGGCGTCGCCATAGCCGGGCAGGTTTGATCGCAACCCGCCCTGGTCGGTCGAGATCGGGGTGTTGAGGTCGTAGTCAGAAAGAATCGACCCGTCTTTCGCGGCGCCGTCTGGATTTGATTCCACCATCCCCGACTCCCGCCCGGGTACTGGCCCGATCCGAATACCTGCCAGGCGTAGGATCTTCTGTGCCTTGCCGTATGCCGAGCAGCCCCGGAAGCTGACAACGCAGGTATTTCCAATGCGTCGACGGCTCTGGGATGCGAGGGGTAAGCAACGATTCTGGGCACACACATGGGTAGATGTGTGAGGCAATGGATAAGGCGTCATAGGCCCAACTACCAGTAGCATCCTCTCTAAATGTAAGCTAGAGATGGAGGGGCACTGCCGAGCGGAACCGGACTCCGACGGGTTGCCTGGCCAGAGGGGGATGGGATGCGGAGCGGGAGCCCCTTGTCGGCTTGCACTCCACCGAACGGAATGTCCATTTCCTAGACGAGTGCCTACTTCTCAGGTGCGTGGTATTCGGCGACAGGTAGGTAAACATCCCCAAGCAGTCTGGGCACTATTATAAGATGATGTTTAGGTATATACACCTATCGCGAAAACGGGCGAAAACGGGCGAGGAGGGGAGATCTCGATGGACGGATACACATTTCCGCAGTGTCTTATTGCCGAATAACGTCTGTACCTCAGTATTACCGAGTTATATTTTATCCACTACTCTGATAAGCACATAACCTCGTATTTCCCCAGCTTCACTTGATGCGCCCTAGAGCTGGTAGGGCCAACAACTTGCCTAGTAAATCTCCCCGCCGAATTACTTAATCTCTGTATGAGGAGGAAAACAAAGGAGACGCACGAGTATAGACACAAGAACCCTATCTACTAGTGAGCTATCGATGTAATTAAGGGGTACCGTTATGGGAGCCTCAACTACCTGCGGGACGAATCAGACCCGGGGTTAGTCTTAATACGCCCCCAACAATGTCACCGCTACGACGGCTTCCTCGCCAGATTTTAGAACCAGACAAAGAAGGGACTGGGAGAGGGCCCGCTGGTCCCAGGGGAGAATATCGCGAAGATAGGCGATAACAGAAAATAGGCGAAGTAGGGACCAGGGACGAGGTCATGACGGGCCACAACTCGGACTTTAGATGTAATATAACTTGATTATACGCTACTACGTCAACTCGACTCGAGTCCACCCGCGTGTAGTTATATCCGGGCATTACTAGATATTCTATCTGGGGGCACCTCATTCACGGATTTAGCACTACGCTTGTCTACTATGTGACCTTTGAGTATTCGACTAACATATCGTCCCTGTCGGGCCTCCTAGACGATAGCAGTACCTATCGTGTTAGTATACAGCATGCCGGCAACGCTGGCGGACGTCAGCGTCGAGATGACGCCTGAAATCAAAGCTGAGAAGGCAACCTTGGAGACATCTCCAGCGCGGCCGGGGGCGATCTGCGACAGGACACCGATCTGGGTCCCGAGAGAACCGAGATTGCCAAAGCCCTAGACACCGCACTGAGTTAGTATTTATTATGGGTGATTTTTGATTAATAGAAAAAAAAAAGTAAGAGCCTTCAACTCACACAACAAGCATAGGTAGCGATAAGCCGGGCCCGGTCGGTCATGTCCTGGTATCGCTCGACGTTTTGGAGGGAGCGGAACGCGGCGAACTCATTGATGACAATCTTCTGCCCGATGAGCTCGCCGACCTGCAAGAGGTTCTGATTGGGCACGCCGAGCAGCCAGGCTAGGGGGTAGAATATGTAGCCAAGGATCAGCTCGAGCCTCAACGGAGGGTCGTTGATACCCCAATAGCCGCCCCACCACGTGAGGAGGCCGTTGATCAGGCCGACGAACGCGATGATGCAGAGCAGCGTGGCCACGATCATCCCCGAGATCTTCAGGCCGAGCCAGGCGCCGTTGGCAAAGGCGTGGAGCGCGTTTGCCGCCCTGTGCTCCTCGTCGTCAGGGATGACGACGCGTCCCGACGTCAGCGTCTCCTCGGTCTCCGGATACCGCATCTTGGACACGGCTAGGGACGCCGGGATGGACATGATGCAAGACGACACAAGCGCCTGCGCATTCAGACCGAACCCAATGTACACGATCAGAACGGAGCCAGCGATGGTGGCAAAACCGCACGTCATGACCTGGTGGATCTCGGCCATGGTCATGTGCGGTACGAACGGGCGCACGAGCATGGCCGACTCTCCCTGTCCGATGAAGGGCGTCGCGGCGGCGACGACGGCCTCCGCACCCGACACCTTGAGACCCCAGAAGAAGAAGACGGCAAACTTGCCGATGAACCACTGGATAAGACCGACGTGATACAGCAGGGAGACGAAGGCGACAAAGAAGATGATGGGCGGTATGACACCAGTGAAGAACCAGGGTAGCTCGGGCACCGAGGGGTCCGTGAGAAATATGACTCCCTCGTCGGCGAAGCCCAGAAGACTTTGGGCTAGCTCGGAAATGAAGTAGAAGATGTCGTATCCGGCCTGTGTTCGCAAGACGAAAACGGCGACGATAAACTGGGTGAGCATCCCACCTGGGAGAAGGTGTTGGTTAGTCGTCCGATAAGAGAGGAGGGCGTGACATTCGGTCCAGCTTACCTATGACGGTATGCCAAGGGATCTTCCTCCAATTCCTGGACGTCACGGTGAGGACAGCGATCATGACGACGAGGCCGAAGAGAGACTGGGCTCGGCTGGCGCGGGTGTTCTCGCCCGTCTCCTCGGGCACCATGGAGCCGATCAGGAAGACGGCGACGGTGACGGCAGCAGCGATCGGGTGGTGAAGCTTCTTCGGGGTCATCTCGTAGGCCTTGAAGGCCGTGTGACGCCATACTAACTTGACAGGCATCATGGCGTACTTGATGGGGATCCAGAGGAAGACGATGCGAAGGGTGATGGCCAGATACACCAAGAACGGGATCAGCCAGTTCTTCTCATTCCGGAAGCGGACGAGGCCGTAGATCCACCACCTGAATGGAGCATGCTCGTTAGCCTCAAGACTACCTAGAAAGACTGTGGTGGGACGCGTGGCTTCTCTAGAAAATGCCGCGGCAGACTTACGCTGTGAAGACGGCCCAGATGGCGAGGTGGACAACGAGCCTAAATTTCCGGTAGTAGTATTTGATGAAGCCCTTCGCGCTACCGTCCCTGCTGCTGCGGATGTGGCCCACGTTTCCGCTATCCTCGTCGGTGACCGACTTCTCGGCGGCGGCGTAGTCGCGGGGCTTGTCCATGCTCTTGTCTGGTACAGTTGCCGAGTACATGACCTCATCCGGGTGGTTGGCATGGTCTGCAGCCGGGCCACCGTGGTGCACATGTTCGTGACGGTGCTCGTTCGCGAAGTCGAGAACGGGATCGGGGTTAGCAGCCACGCCCTCTTGCGCGGAGGCATTGTGGCCGGCGGGGCCCTTGTGCTCTGGAGACGCCATCGTCTCGAAGTCCCAGTCGCGGAGAGGGCAATTCCTGGACAGAACACTCCCTGTGCGGGTCCGCCCTCGAATTGAGCCCCGATTCTCACCAATTCGACGTACCGAGGTCGTATGAGGTAGAAACCGGCGTAGCGTCCCCCGGGCGCGCAACGGGGCGAGGAGGCGAAGGAGCAGAGAGGAGGGATGAGGGGCGGGTGAGGGTAGAGTATCAAATGACCTGGGATTCCCCGGGTGCGAGCGAGACCTGGCGAACTGGGCAGGAGAAGATTTTTAAATACTTTCCTAGGTCAGCCTCGGTGGACGAGACATGCACATAGTGGCGATCGTGTGGCCGGGATAGGAACCCTGCCCGCGGGTTGGAGGGAGGTCTTCTAGAAGGGGAAGGCCGTCCTATCTCGTCTGAGCGATAGACGCGCCCAGCATCCATCCGTGATCCCGGTAGATAATGATACCTACAGCGGATTTATCTCGAGGTTGATAAGTAGCCGGCCGACACCCGCAGAGATAAAGGTCGTAATACGGCGCCACCGCCTCAGAGATGACAGCCAGTGAGGGTTGAAGGGAGAGAGCTCCTGTGCTAGCGGCGCCGGGGGGGAGGGGGGATTCTCACCCACCTATGTCTTTGTTTGCGATAACAGGTGTACCCAGCGGAAACGAGAAATGCACATACAATTCAACCGGATAAGAGTTCTATCTGGTGGTATGAACCACAGCTTGGCTTCTTCATGTTACAAAGAGGTAGATTTACCTCCATCTGCTACTAGGCTTGGAGAGATGGCCGAATTTTTTTTTTTTTTTTCCTTCAGAGGAGGACATCACTCTCTTCCTCTCTGTCCATGTCCGCCTGATTGGGTAGCCGTGTCATGATAGCGAAGAAACTGATGTAACCTTACCTTTTTTTCCTTTCCTCTCTGCCTCCCTCCCACACTTGTGCTGAATATCGGGCAGGGTTGCGATTCGGGGGACGCACCAAGGATGGTCACCCCGGATAGCCCTTTGCCTTGTCGTCCCACCTGTCCAGATCCACTGCTGATAGGTGCTGGAGGAGAGAGCAGAGGGCAGGGCGTTTGCCTTCGGCGGCGGCGACCATGGCTGCGGGCAGCCTGCGGGCGGGTTACTTCGCCTCAGATACCCGTAGAGCTGCGCAGGTTGTAGGAACGGAAGGACGCGATCGTCTGCACGACGCCCTCCCCGCGGACGCGGATGTCACGCACACATATCTCCACGGGCCCTGTCGTCTCGCGACAACACGTCCGCTCAGGCGATGCGGGGAGGCAATGCTACCTGCAGGCTCGCGAATGAAGTCGGGGCTGACAAGATATCGTGGAGACACGAAAGGTGGAAACGGGCACGGTAAGGCCGACTGTTGTCCCGCGGACCCATTCACCAAAACGGAAAGGAATGTCTCGAATTGCATCGGTCATCCCTACCATCTCCGGCTCCTCTCCGTTTGGACGAGGGGATTGGTTCGGTTCGTCTTTATGCCAACGCCACTCACTCGGGCCGCAAGCACAGACTTCTACTGCACGTAGGCGATGTGGCTGGCATAGGTTTGGGCTACTCCGCCACCGCAAATTTAGGTAGGTAGTGTAGCAGTGTGGGAAAACGCTTCGGTAAGGGCAGACCGAGAGCTGAGGTGTCCAAGGCGAGACGTAGGCAGGTATTCGTCGGCGGGGATCCCATGCGGCGTCGAGATATGCAGGTAATAGTAGTATCTGCGTGAATGGGTGTGTCGACGTAGTATGTTACGCCCACACATACTATGCCGTCGCAGAGACAACCTGAACGACAAGCCCAGGCCAAGAATCGCCGCGCAACTACATATATCACCTTCCCAAAAGGGCTGCCCAACACGTGCACGCACCCCGGCTCATTGGTTTTATCGTACCCCAGAGGTCAGTAGTACTCTAGGCCTTATGAGCACTAGTAAGAGCATCATCAACTTCCCAGTTGGGCGCTGCTCCACCACCGATAGTATCACTCCACGATACCCTCATCGTGGTCGGTCTCGGTGCTTCGCGTAAAGAGCTAGGCAGGGCGCCAACGCTATCTAGCGACTCGAATGCGGGAATGGCTCCGGGGCAGAGCCAGCGGCACGTCCGTCTGCTTCGAGGTGTCTTCATCTTGATAAGCCGAGATGAGGTAGTATAGGAATGTCGTGGTGGTGGACGAGGGTGTCCGGCGTTTAAACAATAACTTAATACCTAGGTAGGTATTGTGTCTTGCTCTGCTTGCGGATAGTGCGGGACGCTCTGACTCAGCTGTTCTTCTACGTCGGGGCCACCCTGGTGTGGGATAGTAAGAACGGCAAGCGTCATTTATGTCTTTTGAATCTCTCGCGCCCGTCGGACGCATTGGAAATGAGGTGGCTTCTAATGGATGCTAAGAATGGGGGTGTTGTGTGTAAAGACGACAGCGGTAGGTGGATATGTTTACTCATAGGGGTTTCTAGCACGTGCGAGCGCTGAATGGTGCGGTGCGGTCCATGGCGAGTCGCTAGGCCACCAAAGGCCCTATCTGTATTACCTAAATGTTCCGAGTAAGCTTAGCTCTATAGCGATAACAGGCAGGTAGCGCGCTGTATAGTACCTACACGTAGATGCAGGGGGCACCTAGGGTACCCCATAAGTATTTTTTACCCCGGCACATGGTCATTCAACTTCCAACAGGTAATAACCTAGGTAGGTACCTCGGGCAGTTGTCACAGCCATGAGTACACCTACCGAATGCCCTAACTGGGCACGGAGGGATCGGGGTTGGCATCTCTCATCATACCGTACAGCTTCCCTCGGAGCCGCAATGATAGACGTTGATAGATCACTCAGATTCTCAACTTTCTCCGATCCCGTCTTTGTCCGTATTGTTTTGATTCAGCCTGTATTAGGAGTGAACTATATTCCCGGCGAATGGCCTCTACAAGAAATGTCCGCTCCTGCAGGCCCATGCAGGCCCATGCACATATCCGTCGGTATTAACAGGTAGGTATACTATTTCGATATCTCACCACGAACAGGCCGACCTATCTGAGAAGGCAACCCCCCCCCCCCCCCCTGACGCCTACTGCACCTTTTCGCACGCTACAAATGAACGCAGAAGAGAGATCCTACAGGGTATACAATGGCGTAATGTCGAGGCCTTCCCGGCCGTGTCGCTCTGCAGCTGGGGTGGCGGTGGCTGACTACCACTTCGCGGTGACGGGCAGGTCTCTCGAGCTCCGGCCGACCATGAACGTGTACTCGCCGTCCACGACCATGGCCCAGTTCTGGAGCTCCACGTCCCAGTAGCTGAGGTCTCGCCTCGTCAAGTTGAACGTCACCGTCTTGGTCTCGCCCGCTTCTAGTAGCACCTTGTCGAACCCGCGCAGCGTCTTCGTTGGGAAGTCGACCGCCGACGCGCCCTGTGGGTAGCCTAGGTACAGCTGCGGCACCACCTTGCCCGGCTGCCCGCCCGTGTTCGTCACGTCGACCGACACCCTGACGTAGGTCTCCCACAGGTCCGGGTTGCCGCCCTCGTCGCCGCCTGCCCCCGAGCGCGGCTGCACCACGTCGTAGCCCTCGGGATACGGGTACGGCTCCGCCACTATGTCGTCGATAGAATCGAGGTATGGGTACACGTATTTCTCCAGCTTGCGGATGCCCGCGGGGAAGAGCGCCTCTTTGGCGTCGGGGATACCTTGGTCATACGACGGAGGGGCGGCGAAATCCTTGGGTCTCGAGGCAGGGAGCTTGCTCTTGGCCTTGAGGCCGTTGACGACGGCGCTGTCGAACTCGAAGGTCGTGTAGCTCAGCCCGAACCCGAACTCGAATCGCGGCTCGATACCGTACTTGTCGAAGTGTCGGTAATCGATATACAGCCCCTCCTTGAAGTCCTGCTGCGGCACGATGCCGTTCGGCAGATACATCACCTGCCCGCCCTCGCCGTATGCGTCGAGGGACTTGCCGATAGTCCAAGGTAGTCTGCCGCTGGGGTTGACATCGCCGAATATGACATCGGTGAGCGCGTTCCCGCTTTCCTGCCCGGGCAGGTTGGCTAGGAGCACCGCCTTCACGTTCGGGATGTTGATCCAGTTCTCCATCACGACGGGGCCCACCGTGTGGATGACGACTAGCACGTCACCGTCCCCGCCGTGACATCCTCGTGCGACTTGCTCGATGAGGTCGTTGGCACCTTTCTGCAGGAATAGATCGGGCCGGTCGCCGCTCACGTCTTCCCAAGCCTTAAAGCCCTCGCCCGAGTCCGCGTTCCCGAAGACGATGCAGAGCTGCGCGCTCCGGAGAATCTCGGGATGTGTCGAAAAGGGCGGCTTGTTCGTGGCGTAGGCGGACACGTTCACTGCTTGGTTGCCTTTCCATATTTTAAGCAGTGCGTCCACCGGGGTAATGAGATAGGGAAACTCGACGGAGCCGGAGCCCCAGCCTGAGGCTAGTGTGCCCTGGTTACAGCCGCGATCCTCACAGTAGTTAGCCCCTTTCCCGGCCCCAGCATCTTCGCCGAATATGGTAACCTGCATCGGGCCGTCGAGCAAAGTAGTCTTGTTCAGACTAGGGCGACCGTCGCGCGTAAGGGGGAGCAAGCCTTCGTTCTTAAGGAGGACAATGCCTTCTGCCGCTATCTGCCGCGCAATGGTAGCGTGATCCTCCATCACGTTGACGAACTGGTTCACCACGGTCTTTTCTTGCTTAGTTGGACTGCCCGGTGCGAATACGCCCTCGGCTTCGTCGGTCCACGACGAGAAATTGGGGCCCTTGCGGTCAAACTTGGTCTCGTCGTCCTGTCCAAGCTGATACCACGCGGCGACGATCCTCGTGACCATGTCGTTCAGCCTATCGAGCGGCACGGAGCCGTTGAGGACGGATTTCGTGAGCTCGGAGCCCCAAAGGGACTTGCCATTTTCCCAGAACAAGCCATCGCCAGGCATCGTCATGTCGAGACCAGCGAGCGCGGTGGATACGCCGCCCCTCTGCGCGAGCCAGTCGCTCATAACGAAGCCCTGGAACCCCATTTCATCCTTCAGTAGTCCGTTGAGGAGCTTCGAGTTGCCGCAGGCGTACGAGTTGTTCACCATGTTGTAGCTACACATGACGCTCGCCACACCGGCCTTGACGGCGTCCCCGAACGGCCACAGGTACAGTTCGTGCATCGTCCGGTCGTCGACGTTAGCGCTGAGAGCGTTAGCGAGTCCCCACTCCCACGACTGCCGAAAGTGCTCCTGTTCATTCGCGACCAAGTGCTTGATTGTCGCCATGACGCCCTCCTTCTGGATACCTCTGATCGACTCCGCGGCCGCGATGCCCTGGAGGTAGGGGTCGGCGGCGAAGCCCTCCCAGTTGCGGCCGCCTGCCGGCATGCGGCCCAACGGCCCAATACAGGGACCAAGAATTACATTGACGCCCTTCCTCCTAGCCTCCACGGCGTGTGCGTTACCCCACTGGTACATCAGCTCCCTGTTCCATGTGGTGCCGACTGTCACGCCGGCCGGGAATGCCGTTGCGTTGTCGGCGAACCGGATGCCCAGCGGACCGTCCTGAAGCGCGAGCGCCGGGAAACCCACGTGCACGGCAGGCCCCGTGTTGCCGACGGCAGGGCCCATCTTCCAACCCGTGCCGGTCGTCACGTTGACCTTCTCGGGGAGCGTCATCCGCGCGACCATCTCGCTCGCCTTGCGGTAGCTCGCTGCCCAAGTCCGTGCCGTGCCACCCTTCGGCGTCGGGTACCACGGCGGCGACAGCCCGTCGGGCGGTGCGTGTGTATACTTCTTAAAGGCGAAGAAACCGCTTAGGCTGAGGACTAGCCACGCGAGTGCGCCAAGTCCGACGCATCCGAGCATCCATCTCGTCGAGCGGCCGGCGAGGCATCCGCATGTCTTCCGTAGGAGCCGGTCGCGGGGCCGCGTCGAAAAAGCGGCATTGCCGGATAACGGTTTCGAGGAGGTAAGGGGGTCTGATTGTAGGAATTCGGCGGCGTCGAGGTCAGAGTCGACGTCGGTGGACTCGCGGGCGTCGTACGAGCGCCGGAAGCGCTCGAATTCGAGGCCCGGAAACTCCTCCTTCTTGCTCGAGCCCATCTTCACGCGACTCCAATGAGCCCTCCTCCTACTCTCTCTCTCTCTCTCTCTCTCTCGGACGGGTGGGTGTGATTCAACGGACGGACTCTTCTCTGAGAACTAGTTATTTTCTTTTTCGGTGGCCGGTCAGGGAACTTGTGTCGGATAGACGAAGGTGGACAAGGAAGAGAATCCTGTCTAGAATTCGTGTAGCTCTGTCAAGTATTCACACACCGCACACATGTGGGCAGCCAAGTAAGTATAGGTAGGTATAAGCAGTCAATTCTCCATCGATATCAGTCGCTTGATTATCAATTGATGATGCGAATAGCGGGCTCAGGGGCGGTAGCAAGGGGGGAATTGAGGATTCATTAAGGTATTGACCAGCGTTCATACACATCACCTCGCGTGGGCAAAAGTCGAATTCGGAATGCCGAGAGCATCGTGCCCGAAATTGAAGCATCGACTCAAAACCCGGGGATCGGCTTGGCAGCAGCGAAGCATTGGACAACATGTGTAGCACCGTGCGTAGACTTCTCGCAATGCACCGTGCGTGTCTTTGGCTTCTCCATCATCTAGTTTATCTCTCTCCTCGCATAGACTGCCTCTGAAAGTCGATCGATTCCTCTGCGTACGCCGAACATACGGTTAGGTCCCTGTATTCATTTAAATAACTCATCGCTCATGGGCCTCCGATCGTCGACCTAACCGGATTCGCTTGGCCCGTTCGGCCCCCTGCACCCATATCCCAGCATCGTGTTCGACACCACTGAGCTCTGGCTGGCAAGCTTCTCTGCGCTCTCGACTCCTGCTACCGGAAGACGGTATTCCCAACTAGCAGCGCTTGCTGCCGCCTCGCCGGAGACGGGGTACGGGAACGGGAGGTAGTCTGGGAGGAGGCCCAGTTGTCGGAGTAGCGTCGCTTGGTCCCAACTGATGTGTTCGTGATAGAGGCGGTCGCCGCGTATGTTGACTATGCTCGTGAAGGGGACCTTTATGTACCGGCCCGTGGGCGGCACGCCGGGAACCCTAGACGACGTGCACATGTTTAATTACGCCATCCGTCCCTTCATCGGGAGAAGGGGAGAAGCCACCGACCGAAGCCTACGGGCAGATATAAGGCGGAGTTACACGTACAGCCAATCGATGACGCGGTCGTGAGTCAGCTTGAAGAGGAACTCGTCGACGACGCGGTCGATGCCCACCGTCCTGCTTACGAGCTCGAGTTCCGTGTCGGGCGGGTTGCTGAAGATGAAGTGGTTCGCGTAGAAGTCGGTCAGCGCCCGACGCCCGACGCCTCCGGTCAGGGTCGGCACGTGGTTGACGTAGGGCTCCTCGACCATCGTCGCCATCGTCTCCTCGACCGACCGCGCCTCGAATTCCCAGTACGTGTGCTCGTCCCAGATCCGCTCCAGGTCGAAGTAGGGCCCGCCGACGAGCGGCTTCAGGAACGACAGCGTCCTCGTGTGGGCCAGCGAGGCGGACCCGGAGCGGTAGTGGTCGTGCGCCGGGATGGCGAACCGCGGCCCCGCGCCTGCGTAGTAGTAGCACTTCACGTTCTGGCCGTCGCTGCTCACCTCGTCGCCGCTTCCAGCGCCGGCGATGTGCGCTATCGACGCAAGCTTGCCGCTAACAAGGCTCGGGGGCGAGACCCCGTAGTAGACCACAGCGCAGATCTCTGCACAACTCTCAATTGCCTCCATCACGGCGGCCCCCACGGCAGACATATAGGCTTATTGCGGCCATGTGGTCAGTCGCAAGCACAACGGCAGGCGAAGCAGTTGATAAACGTCGCTATCTACTGACTGATGATGCCCATCCTCTCGGATTGGTCGCACGATGGCAACGCCGACAACGCAGAGATCGCAGCCCGGAGATCGGCACTCACCGAGGTGCGTCCCGCCGAGCTGGCGATCTCGAGCTGAGCGACGGCGAACCCCTCCTCGGCCCATTTGTGCAGCGGCGGCGGATCCAACGTCTTCTCGTGCTTTCCGAGGTCGAGCCCCGCATCGACGAGGAGAAGCAGTCCCGGCCCGCGGCCTCGTCTCGAAAGGGGCGCTGCTATTGTCGCACCGGAGCCCTGGTCCGTTAGGCGGGCACCCGGCGAGTCGACGGCGGTGGAGTCTGCCGGCATTGCTCCCGGAATCGACATCGTCGAGCCTCAGAATAGCAGCATTCTTTTTTGTGTTGGGGTCTATTGCAGCAGTGGCAGTACCTTGCAGAGCAGGAGAAGCGAGGCCGCTATCTGCGTGCGGGGTTTCTTGGCCTCGAGGCCGTGTGCATCCGATACCTACTGTGAGCATGTCGATATCTCCAAATACCACCTTGCCGAAGAGGTAACAACCACCAGTATGATGAGTGAATATGGCGGTGCTTCAGCTTAATACTAATTAGGTCAGGTCCCCTATTTCCCCGTCCAATCAAACCCCTTTCAGGTTAGGACTCAGTGCTTGAAGCAGGTCGGAAATGGCAATCCTTCTAATATACCGAGCTTCTCTCTCGTGGATGTGAAGGAGGCAGTGGAAGCCTCGTCGCGTGACGTGATGGGTCACCGCGACGGGCATTTTAGACCTACGCGATAGGAGAGATATTTTCCGAGTTGATATATCACATGCGTGGGATACAATGATACTGAGCAGCATTGGGCTGATGCCAGAAGTGCTATTCTAGTCTCAACTAAAGATACAAAAGAGGTGGTATGCATATAAATCTAGGAAGATAACGCGTACAAATCATGCTGGAAACCATGGAGCCTGGGCGAGATTAGGGGCCAATCACTGCGACGCTAATATTCGGGAAATCGTAGATCTCGTCGTCTGTTGCGACGTCCGACGTAGGTAGGTATCCAATCACACCGTTTCGATATACCGCTTCAGCTCCCAGTCCGTCACAGCCTCATCCCAAAGGCGGATCTCGTGTTCGCGAGTGCCGCCGAAGTGGTCGACAAAGTCGTCACCGAAGACTTCGCGAGCGATGCTATCCTTGCGCATGAACCTATCGGTCGCTTCCCTCAGGTTCCTAGCCAAGCGAACTCCTTTGTCGGCGCCTCCGCTCGTATCCTGGCCCAGCCCGAGCGGCGGGATCCGGATCTCGAGTTTCTTCTCGACGCCGCGCCAGCCCAGACCCAATATAGCCGACATGATAAAGTAGGGATTCGCGTCTGCGCCAGGGACCCGAACCTCGAACCGAGTAGCCCCGGGCGCGGAAGTCGGGGGTGCGATCACGCGGACGGACGCGGCACGATGCTCCAAGCCCCACGAGACCGTTACGGGAGCCCAGAAATTCTCGACTAGCCGCTTGTAGCTATTAATGGTAGGGGCCAGCATCGGCATGACGTCAGGCAATCCGTCCAGGATGCCGGCGAGGAAATGCCTCCCGAGATCGCTCAGGTGCGCGATGTCGGGGTACTGCGCGTTCTCGTCCTTCTCGCTGCGGAAAAACATGTTCTTGCCGTCCTTGTCGACGACGGATACATGGGTATGGCCGCTATTCCCGGGCAGGCCATGCCTCGGCTTTGCCATAAAGCAGGGGGTGATCCCGTAGTCGCTCGCGACCGACTTGACAACATACTTGAAGAGGGACGCCCTGTCGGCCATCTCGGAGATCTGGCCGAACTCTAACGCGGCCTCGTAGACGCCGGGCCCGCTCTCGGTGTGCCAGCCTTCCAGGTCACACCGGAACTTGGCGCATGAGTCATACACCTCGTGATAATAGGACTTGTTGAACGTCGGCCGCGTAATGCTATACCCGAACATACCCTCGGTGAGAGGGGGTAGATCATGCGGGTGATTATCGTTAAGATATGCGGCGACCGACGTCGAGGCAGAGCCGGTCGCGGGGTCGCCTACCGGCGGTACCCTGAATTGGAAGAATTCGACCTCGGCTGCATCGTCGTCGGCGTCAACATGAAGGAAAAACACAGGGAATCGGGGAGGGGGGCGCGAGGGAAATCTCACGAACCTCCTGCCATGGCATTGTAGCCCTTCTTCTCTAACTTGTCAACGACGGTCTTGATTAGACCGCGCGGGCAGGCGCACAAGGGTTTCGAGTCATCGTTAAAGAAGCTAATGAGGAAAAAGGGAATGTTGTCTTCCCAGGGTATCCTTCGGAAGCTATTCAAGTCGGGCACGGCGATCAAGTCGCGGTATCCGTTCTGCTTGTTGCTGATCTTAAGCTCGGTGTCGTAGGTCTTATCGTGCATATCCCAGCCGAAGATGACGCTACAAAAGCCGAAGCCCTCCTTAGCTATGGAGAGAAACTTCTTCTTGGAGACGATTTTACCACGTAGCATTCCATCGACATCCACCCCCGCCAGCTTCACCTTGGTGTCGCCCTTAAGGAGCTCTGGGAGAGCCTCGACTGTGATGGGATATGTCAGAGCCATGTCGGCGAACGGTTTGATAAGGGTAAGAAAAATAAGGGCTGTGAGGATCGGGCAAGGCGATCGGTGGATAGCGTCGATTTGTGATGTGACGGGGGTGTTACAGATACACGTAGAGATGAAGAAGAAGAACGAACTGCTCGGGCCATGCAGGGATCATCAGTCCAAGTTCGAGGGGGGGCGGCGAGGATATATACAGCGTGCTGGGAGCTAAGGGGAGGAGGGGAGGGGGAGGTAGGCAGGTGAGGTAGGTTGAAGGGAGGAATCCCTCGGGAGGGGGAGACGCAAGAACTGGCAGTAAACAGAAAAGAGAGGGAGAAAGAGAGAAAACAACAGACGGATTAGGGAGTCGGACCGCATACGAGGCTCAATATGACGGTATCAGATGTGCGTCTGCTAACCCAGCGTCTCCGGAACCTCTTTCGATACAGGTAAAACCTACATGTATGTATAGGGCATGGCTGTCGAATGTAGGTTGCGCGTCCGTAGATGGCTGCATGCAGAGGAACGAACGTCGCATCGGGGACCGACCTGGCTGTAGCCCAAAAAAATGGCCTGCGCATGCTAGGGGAGAGAAGGGAACCAGCGGATCTGGGGCCAAGGATGAACGACCGACCCCACTTACACCCACGTACTACCTCTCAGTAGGTGGTAAAAGTAAACACATCGTCGTCTTTGCCTGGACGTACGAAGGCAACTCGTGTACTATAGTGCGTGTCACCGCTGTTGGTGAGGTTCGAATGCACGCCCCCCCCTCCCTCCGGCCCGGATATACTGTAGGTACGCAATTCCGTCCGCTATATGTCTGCCTGCCTACCTAGGACCTGGCACCTCGTAGGTAACATAACTTACCTAGGTGTCCTCCTATCTGTTACCTAACCTCCCAATGAAGTACCTTAGGTAGGTAAGATACCTTCTACCCAATGAACGCGTACATAAGGTAGGTAGGTAGGTAGGTAGGTAGGTAGGTAGAGGTACCTACCTCCTAGGTTAGGGTACCTGTTTCTTGGGATGGGTTTAATACCCGGTCTATACCCCCACATTGTGCACATTGTGTTAGGTAGGTACCTAAAGTGCATGGGCTGGCACGAAGATAAGCAAGCTCTCTCCAGACATTAGGTATCCTTACTCCGAAGTCCCCGCCCCGCTCTGCGGTGCAGCCTCTCGTGACCTTGGCCTGAAGGCATATATAAGCCTTCGGCGCGGTCTTAGGAGGTAATAGGCACTTAATATATGCTGTGTCATATAACGCGTCGTCTAGGTTCGACACATGCATAGCCTAGCTGGGTTACCTACCTACCGAGGTAGGTCCTTATGTCCAATACTGACCTGTCACACGTAGCGCATAGATGCATATGCATATACCTGGGCAGGCACAGGGTATGTAAATCCATGCCCACTTCCTACTTAGGTGTTATGCCGAGTTATGTTACCTGTAGCTGGTTCCTAGGCGAGATTACCTAATCTTAAGTGTTGGACGTCTTTCTTATCCAGATCCGCCCAATCCCGATAGTCCCCATCGTGCCGAGCACTTCATGCAATACGCACACCTCATCTCATCATCTCGTGTCTCATAGGCCGCCCAAGGTCACGATAGCTACCTACCTACCTGCCTGCCTACCTACGATCCCGCCCACGTTGTCCGGCTAAGGTCGCATGCTACCTACCTACCTACCTACCTACCTCAAGCGTGTATGTACGTCTACGACCAATTCCCAGAGCGTGGCACCGCTGCGAATCGTAAGGCTGCAGTAGCGGGTGAGGTCAGATGCCCGTACCGACGACAGATGAATCGCCAACCCATCATCGTGCCGAGCCTCCAGTCCAATGAAAAGGCACCCGGCGCCTTTCCAGCCACGAATCTGGCCAAAGGGCGCTTTGTAATATCACGTCTACCTAGCGGAGAGACTGGTTGGTAGCTGACGCCGCGTGACTGTCTTTGTGCATTCGATGCTATTCCGACTTCGCGCCTTACGGCCGCCTCCCAAAAAAAAGAATTCCTCTCCGTGTCTAACCACCCAACCAAAGGTGGGATCCCATTCAGAGGACCCGTCGCCCGTCGCCCCACGCGGCACCGTGCCGAGAGACCATACGTCAGCTCCTCAAATATACCGCAGACCGAACGTCCTCATCCGTATGCCGATGTACTCGCGTTGCTACGTCTGGTAGCTAAGCTACCTGCCGGCCTATTACCTTGGGTACTTCTCGCCTTGCTTAAGTATCTCTATATATAACTCTTTAGTTGGGCAGTCCGTTGTCATCTCGTCTTCTCCTCCACCTTTTCTTCGATTACCTGCTTCTTCGCCTTCCCGTCTGCTGCATGGCTTACCCCCGGTGCCCGGTGCTAGTAGGTGACCTCCTGGACTGAGCGGCACGGATCTGACCTGACCCTCTGTAAGGCGACCTCCCGCGCTTTCCCCGCCTTCGATATTGCTTACCTCTCCGTTCCTTTCCCCGATATATCGTACTTGCTGCCAACGTGACAACAAATTAGACGCGCTGGACCCGGCAGCGTGGGTATATGTCGTGCGTCATCGTTGTTTTTCACCGCTCCCTATAAGCATAGCGAGCCCAGTTGCGGAGGCTCCGCGCGAATGAAATGCACGTCGTATTCTTCGTGACCCTCAAGGCAAGGCCGGCGGACATCGGTGTAGCCTACGTTGAACATGCTCTATATAATCAGCGCTTGTCCGCCTCGAAGCGCTCCTGGCTTACGGTTTGACGAGGTTCTCGATGCCCAAAAATATCGCCTAGATTACTGCGTCTTGGCAGACACCCGCACTGACGTGTAACCGTTTTGTGCATTTCGACAGCACATCGCCATGCTTCTCGGCTAGATTCGAGGGCCGCTAGCCGTCTCGTGGCCCGTCACGCCCGCTTACGTTCGGCATCGACCGAAATTCGGCGAGTCTGACGAGAACTCGGGTGCGAAGCGGCGAATATGACGTCGCGGCCGGATAGGACCCGAAGTGTCGAGGTGGCTTTCGTCGAATCCTACTCGGAACGTCGGGAGTTTGAGCAATGAGAGCTACAGGTAAGCCGCTAGTAACTTTGGCTCTTTTACGAGGAGTGCCATTCGTGTGCCTGCGGCGGGTGGGTCACGTTCTAAGCCAAGGAGGACCCCCCCCGCGAGAGCTTCGGTCAACGGGTATAAACACGCAACGGGCAGCGTCCGTCAGTTACCTAGATCTATACGCACCACGTGCCAGCCGCATTATCATTAGAGGAAGATTGGGAAGGGAGAGGGTTGGGTTCTGTGCCGTCCACGACCACGGCCGGCATAACAGCCAGTATAAGCAGGGTTTACTGATAAGAGAAATGCGTCTGTAACTTCACTATCAGTCTAGCTCGCGCCGATCCGCCCACTTATCGATCGAAACTAGCCCGTTACCCACCTGTCTTGGGCAGGGTTCGCCGTTGTCGGAAGCTGGCAGATGGGGGGAGCGGAGGGACCAGAGCTTCGGCGACGGAAATACCCCTCTAAAGTTGCTACGACGCCGAGACATTACCTAATATCATGTCTCGGACTTAGCTCTGGTGACTCTCGCTAGGGTTTCGTGAACATCCACTATCCAACTTACTATCTCTAGGTGCCTCTCGCCACGATACCCGCGTAGCCGCACCAGCTAGCGACAGTCACTTCCGTGCTTGAGGATCCCGCGTCTACGGCCGTTGACCCCCTCCCTCCTCACACCTGTCTAAGCAAGCAGACTTATTATACCGATCTCGCGTCCCCGACCTCGACGGGCTAACTCTTCTATACCCTCCCCCTCCCCCGCCCTCCTAACGTTGTTTGCCCCGGGTAGAAGGGGACCTCCCTGTGGCCAAGGCAATTTACTAGACGACTGTGAACATGGCCTCGGAGACAAAGGGCCGCTTGGCCGGCAAGAATGCCATCATCACTGGAGGCGCTGGGTACGTTGTTTCCCGCCTTTCTCAGTTGTGATCTCTTATGTTGCCCGCGGTGGCCTTGCGTCCGCTGAGATCTAGCCACCCATCGGTGGGTGGCGTACTGTGGGGTAGTAGGGCCAAGTGCTAGTTCCGCAGGCTCGAGACTAATTCGCGTCGTCTACGCAGTGGCATAGGCCTCGAGACATCGATCCTCTTCGCTAAAGAGGGCGCGAGTGTTTTGGTGGTCGACATCTCCGGGCCGGCGCTCGAGAAAGCGAAGGCGAAGGTCTTGCAGCTGGTACCGCACGCCAAGCGGGTAGAAACAGCGGTATGTTATCGTCAGACCTCGACCCCGTCTCCGAGAAACAACAAGCCTTAGCATAGGCAGGAAGGCGGTCCAGGCGTCTGGAGAAATGCTGAATTTGCGGGCTGACTCGCGCTTCTCATCCCCTCTTTACCCCTCCCCCCAATAGACTTGTGACGTTTCCAAAGAAGATCAGGTCAAGGCGACGATAGAGTCGCTAGATTCGTGGGGGGGCCTCGACGTTATCTTTAATAACGCGGGAATTATGCATGCGCGGGACGACGACGCGGTCGGCACGCCCGAAGATATCTGGGACCTGACGATGTCGATCAACGTGAAGGGGGTTTGGTACGGGTGCAAGCACGCGGTGCTGGCGCTACGGCGGAACAAGAAGACGAAGGGCAGCATCATCAATACGGCGTCGGTGGTCGCGCTCGTCGGCTCGGCGACACCACAGCTCGCGTACACCGCGTCGAAGGGGGCTGTGCTGGCGCTGACGCGCGAGCTCGCCGTCGTCCACGCGCGCGAAGGCTTCCGCTTCAACAGCCTGTGCCCGGCGCCGCTCAACACGCCGCTGCTCCAGGACTGGCTCGGCGACGACGCCCCCAAGCGCGCCCGCCGCGAGATCCACTTCCCCACAGGCCGCTTCGGCGAGGCAGTCGAGCAGGCCCAGGCCGTCCTCTTCCTCGCCTCCGACGAGGCTGGCTTCGTCAACGGCCACGACATGGTCGTCGACGGCGGCATGAGCAAGGCCTACGTTACCGCCGAGGGCCCTGCCCTCCCAGCGCCGACGAACAACGCCCTCAAGAACGAACTATAGATGCCGTCGCGGCTGCGAAAGCAGCTCTTGACGAGATAGCTGGGTCCTACGACTAGGCACCGACGCAAAAATGTCCAGAGAGCAGAGTCTAGGTACCAGAGAGGGGCCGAAGCGGCCACGCGGTATCAACCCTGACAATCGAATATGTTCTTTTATGATATTTCTCGTTTGTTTGCTTGTTTCTCCTATATACCGCGCTTGCTCTATCATATCCCAAGCTTCGCGGCCGCCCGAGCTACCTCTAGATATTATCGGACGGCCAGTAGGTATTAGCTGTAGTGACCATCTATGAAGCACCTCCACCGACCATGTACCCGCATGTACGAACCGCCTTTTTTAATCTTGTGCAGCCGCGCCGCCGGTCAACACTGGAGAGAGCTGTCCCAAACTCCGACGCTGTAGAAAGAATTGAGAGAAAAATGGAAGCGGGGCCGAGCAGGGCCCGGAATCAGGCAGGTAAGACATGCATCCATCGCTAACTTAGGTACAGCCGAGCCGACGCTCAGTCAAACTGGCCCTCGGTGTTGCCGTCGCCCATACTCTTGCTACTGCTGCTACCGCTCTGGATGGCGCCGAGGATGCCATCCATGTAGCTGGCGCCGCTCCACTTCTGGTGGGTGAGCACGTCGCAACCGAGCTCCTTCTCGCGGCGCTGGACGAGCTCGACGTAGGCGAGCATGCCGTCCGTCTTGTAGCGCCGGGCGAGCTCGTGCGTGATGGCGGCAGTACTGTGCAGGCCGGCGAGCGAGATGAGCTGCAGCACGAAGCCCTCCCGCGCGATGTCCCAGATGAAGGACCGCAAGCTCGCGTCGGTGAAGCCGTGCGCCATCCAGTTGAACGACGGCGACAGGTTGTACACCAGCCCCTTGCCCGGAAATGCCGCACGCACCGCCTGCCCCAGCCGCGTCGCGACACCGACGTCCGGGTCACCCGTCTCCACCCACAGCAGGTCCGCGTGCGGCCCGAAGGCGATCGCGCGCTTCGTCGCCGCCACCATGCCGGCACGGTAGTGGTAGAAGCCCTCGCGCGTGCGCGGCAAGTCCCAGCTAAACGCGATAGCCTGACTGCCGCCGACCTTGCGGGCGAGCGCACGGCGCCGCGTGATGCTCATGTTGCGGTCGGCGGCGACGGCGCGGAGGTAGGCGTCGATGCTGTCCTTGGCGACGCCGCGCGCCGTCATCTGCTCCACGGCGGCCTCGTCAAAGGTCACGAGCCGCGTTTTCTTGACCCACGCGGCCTCGAACTCATCGATCTCGGCCCCGGGGGCGCCCGCCGCCTCCATCTCCTGCAGCGTCTCAGCGAGCGCCGCGCCCGCGACGGCCTCCTCGCCGGAGACGCCAAGGATGAATTCGTGGTCCCGCACGTCGACGGCGCTCGAGATGAGTCGGCCGCTCTCCGAGTCGGTGCGGGCGATAACGAGATTCTCGGTGCCCATCACGTCCCACTGGAAGCGCGCGGCTGTAAGGCGGTTGATGTGCTCGCCGACGGGCACCAGCACCTTACCAGCCAGGTGGCCGCACTTCTTGCCGCCGTGCATCTGGTCCTCGAAGTGGACGGCGGCAGCGCCGTTCTCGGCGAACAGCTTGGCGAGCTTCAGTACGGTGGTCAAACCGCCGTGGCCCATGTCGCCGTCGGCGATGATAGGACGCAGGTAGTCGGTGTAAGGCGTCTTCTTACGGCCCTCGGGCGTCATCTTCCGCCGCAGGTCCCATTGCTTCCGGTCGTGCATGGACTGGGCCTTGGCAAGGCGCTGGACCTGGTTCGGGACGGTATTATAGGGGTAATCGCCAAAGTCGGGCGAGACTTCGTTGGTGGTGGTGAGGACCGAGGAGCAGGCCCAGCCGGAAACGTAGAGAACCTCTTGGTGCGGTGCCTGCTGCGTCATCTGTACGGGGTCGATAGCGCCCACTATTCACACACGTTAGGGAAGGGACAGAGACGTTCTCAACGCGCGGCCCGGACGTACTGGTGTGTACCGGCTCTCCTTTCGCCCCCCTCTCCTTGAGCAGGTTGAAAAGCTTTCTCGCCATGAGGGAGCTGGGATAGCTTTGCAGCTGCGACCCGCGCTTCGACACGACGTCTGCGGCAGTGTATGGCCGTACGATGCCCTCGTACCTAGGTGTGGCCCACCAGGCCTCGACATCTCTTATCTGCTGTTCGTAGAGGGCATCCTCGGCGGCACCGGGCTTCTCGGCTTCCGGGAGGAGCTGGAAGGCGTCGGAGGGGAGGGCGGTCGACACGGGGGGGTTGGCGGGAGGCAACGCCATCCGCGTCGCGGTAGAGGCGAAGTATCTCGGGACAGCGAGGCAAGCGGAGGCGCGGCGGGGAAGCGCAATGCTTCGAGGAGCCCGGGCAGCAACTCGGCGGAGCATCGCGATCGCTTGCCTGGGACTGTGAACGAGCCTATTCACTCTGTGCGCGCCGTCTTCCTCTGCAGGGGTATTTCGTACTAAATATATACAATAATGGGTATCTGGGTAGGTATGCAGGTAGGTATACGGTTCGTGGGGGAGGGGTAAGAGATGGTATATTGGTGTTGAGGATCAGATCGGCCATGGAGAGAGAAGAAGCTCCTCGGCTACCTTAGGTACTTGTACCCACTAGAAAGCACCTCTATATTCTGCTGATTGATTGACAAATCGGCTCGCCGATAAGCCTCCGGTCTGCTGGACTCGGTACTGGACCTGCCCATCAGCAGGAGAGGCTTAGGTGCTTCCGGGCTAACTTGGGTAGAGCGGCTCAGCGCATCTCGGGTACCTGCTCGGCCTCCCTAGGTACCTACAGGTACCTAAACCTATGACCATTGCTTATGGCTCCTCGCTATATATATAGGGACCTCCGACGGCCGGGAACCCTATAACCAACCCAGGCCAGACGGGGGCACGGGGGTGGGCTGCTACGTACCCAGTAGCCGCGGGCCTGCATCGGCAACCTGCGGCTTTCGTCTCGCTCTGGCCTAGCGCCTCATCCGGCCGGCGTCTCCTGGCCTTCGGACAAAGAGCTAAAACCGACAAGAACGAGCCCTTAACCGAGGCAACCGACTTGAAGGCTCACCTCACCTTACGACGGCCCAGATCGTGTGGTGAGGTATGTGGCTGCTACTACATCGCTGGCTTCTACACGACTGCTAGGTGCATGATTACGGCACGACTACGACACGACTCTCCACCTACGAGCTCGTTGCAGAAGATCGAGCTCTCTCTGGCCGGACGCAAACCTGCGTACCTACTGCTCACTCGTACATACGACGCCATGCATTCGCCGTATCACGACACGCACGCAGTGTCGCGACAGATGAGCGTGAATGTACCTACCTGATAAAAAGTCACCGAGACAATGGGGTTGCCGTCATCCGATTTCTCAAGCCATGTCTCAATGTGTCGGCAACTTGCAACGTCGTCAAGTCTGTCCCGCCCTTGCTTGAAGTGTAACCGGCAACGCGAATCCTTCAGAGTTGGCGTCGACGGACAAACGGGGCAGGGCTAGCGGGAGACGGGTTCCCTCGGTTGACGCGGGGGAGAGGGAGCGCTGAGTAGGCACCCCCCCACACCCCCTCGAGCCCCCCATACGTAGGCACAACGACCTCCAGATTCCCCCATTAGGGGAACTGGGTAGCCTGCTAGGGAGGGTAGCCTGCTAGGGAGGGTAGCCTGCTAGGGAGGGTAGCCTGCTAGGGAGGGTAGCCTGCTAGGGTGGCCTGCGAGGATGGCCTGCTGCGACTGTTGAGAGGGGTAGGTCAGGTAAGTAACGGGGGGACGGGGCGGGGGTTAGTAGGTTCACCTTTGTGCCCTGCATTGCATCCTCCTCCCCACGTCGCCGGACAGAGAAAGGTCTAGGTAGTTGTTCGGTCTTGGCCTGGGGAATACCCCGTATATTTTATTACACGACCTTCCCTTTTTTTTTTATCCCTCGTCGAGCTGGCGCTAGTATTTGTTCTCTGGTTTCCCCTCGGGTCGCCGTAGTTTTTTGTTATTTTATTTTTGCTTCGCCATCTTCGCTTTGCACGCTGAACATACCGGACATACCGCTCTTTCACGTTACACTTTTGCTTGGTTGTAACCCCGGCCGAGCCAGATCGTCGACGGCCCATCCGCCTTCGTCCCAACATGGTAGCCAAACTAAAAGCCGCCACGAGGGCGTTGGGTGCCCTGAGGGTAAGTCGGTTTGGCGAGAAGCAGATACCTGTTTCTTTCTCTCTTCCCGTCCGTAGATCGTGCCGGCTGACATCTAGCTAGCCCCGTACTAACCCGGCCGTTGTCGTCCCCGCTGTCAGGTCCTACTCCTCCTCCTCCGAGCCCAGTTTGAAGGATGCCCTGAGAGAGGCAATCCCCGCTAAGAGGGATCTCCTCAAGAAGGTCAAGGCACACGGCTCCAAGGTCATTGGCGAGGTCAAGGTCGAGAACACGATCGGCGGCATGAGGTTTGCTGCCTACTTCCCTTCACAGCTCTTCGGATCTGCTCGGGTCGGCTAACACCTATGCCGCAGGGGCCTGAAGGCAATGGTGTGGGAGGGCTCTGTGCTGGATGCGAACGAGGGTATCCGGTTCCACGGCCGCACGATAAAGGACTGTCAAAAGGAGCTCCCCAAGGGCAAGACGGGCACGGAAATGCTTCCGGAGGCCATGTTCTGGCTTCTCTTGACCGGAAAAGTCCCTTCGGTCGGTCAGGTCCGACAGCTATCGCGTGAGCTTGCCGAGCAGGCCCAGCTCCCCGATTACGTAAACAAGATCCTAGACGGTTTCCCTCGAGACCTCCACCCCATGACCCAGTTCGCCATCGCCGTCAGCGCCCTAAATTACACCTCCAAGTTCGCCAAGGCCTACGAGCAGGGTTTGAGCAAAGCCGACTACTGGGAGCCTACCTTTGACGATGTTATAAGCTTGCTGGCTAAGCTGCCCACCATCGCCGCCAAGATATACCAAAACTCGTACCGCAATGGTGGTGCTCTCCCCGGCGAGGTCGACCTGGAGCAGGATTGGTCGTACAACTTTGCCACTCTGCTTGGTAAGGGTGGAAAGGAGAACGAAGATTTTCAAGACCTGCTGAGGTTGTACCTGGCGCTTCACGGCGACCACGAAGGCGGGAACGTCTCGGCGCACGCCACTCATCTAGTCGGCAGTGCTCTCAGCGACCCGTTTTTAAGCTACAGCGCTGGACTCCAAGGCTTGGCCGGACCGTTGCACGGGTAGGTGGACATCGTCGCTCGGAACCTGTCTCAGGCTCGGCTCAGCTAACAATTCTCTCCTAGTCTTGCCGCACAAGAAGTCCTCCGCTGGATTCTCCAGATGAAGGAGAGCATACCAGCTAAATACTCGGAGAAGGATGTTAACGATTACCTGTGGTCGACGCTCAACAGCGGCAGAGTCATCCCCGGCTATGGCCATGCTGTCCTTCGCAAGCCCGATCCTCGGTTTGAGGCGCTGATGGATTATGCCGCTACTCGCCCGGCGATTGCCAACGACCCGGTATTCCAGCTGGTGAAGATCAACAGCGAAATCGCCCCCGAGGTTCTGAAGAAGCACGGCAAGACCAAGAACCCCTATCCTAACGTTGACTCGAGCAGTGGTGTCCTGTTCCACCACTACGGGTTCCACGAGACTTTGTATTACACTGCCACCTTCGGTGTAAGCAGAGGATTGGGACCGCTGGCCCAACTTATCTGGGACCGCGCCCTCGGCCTCCCCATTGAGCGGCCCAAGAGCATAAATTTGGAGGGTATACTGAAGCAAGTAGAGGCGTAAAACCGGTTCGCGCGTAGGCCGAGGCTTGTGGTGTCGCCTTAGCCTCGAGTTGGGAGATGGGGTCGTGACGTTCCTATGCTCGCCAAAGTTGCACTGCACTTTCGCGCGCTCCTCGAAACCACAAACCCTTGGCTCCCTAGACCTGTTAGACCAATCGATGGATAATTTCACAACACGCGATATAACTCGACTCCCGCGGCGGCGCGAGGGCCCAATTGAATCTTTTTCAGAGCTCTTTCTCCGCGCCAGTTCCGGCCACCTTGAGTGTCCCTTTCCGGAGCTTAGCTCCCCTAGCTCTAAATATCCCCATAAGATCGAAAGCCCTCTCTAGTCAGCCTCGTTAGCTCAAGACCGCTGCGCGACAGGGGCAGGTCAACGTTTACCACGTCTTGACGATGTAACCGTTGCCCCAGTCAGAAGACCAGGGGAGGGACTCGTTTCAGAGCGCTGATGACGCGACGGAGAGTCGAGATTTCGCACAAGTTGCTTATTTACTCGGTAGCAGAGCTTCTAGCCCCTCAGCGGGGAGCAGGTGTCACGCCCAGGACTCCGTTCATCAAAAAGAGTTAGCCGAGCGACCCGGTGTGAATCTCGCCATGTCCACGAAGGCGGAGCATGGCATATTAACCGCCAACATCTCGGTTGCCGGATTGCAAGGGCGGTTCTAAATTTGGGGTAAAGACGCATCTCACGAAAGCCACGATAATGCGGTTCGTGCGACCTCGCCGCTCTCCCCCTCTGCCGCAACGTCGTATTCGTCCGCCACGTCAAACAGTCGAGACGCCTTCAACGGAAGACCCAGAGCGTGTGCTCTTCCACCTGCCCTAGCCATGTGTGTCACGATCTGAATTCCAGCCCATTCCCATTGGCGACAGCTAACTTCCCCCGGGAAACGGCTTGGTCCTTGGGAGGACACGTCCGTATTCGGATCAGCTCTCAGCCCAGAGCACCAGCAAGGTTGGTCTGCGTTGTCGGAATTCGGACGATGCAGCCCATCCCGTCCTCGGGGAACACGTGTGGGCAACATCGAAGCGGACTTAAATGCGCATCTCCCCCTGCTGCTCGTCAACGCGGCTAAAGAGGCTAAAGAGGATTGAAAGCCAAAATATGGAGATCTGCCTCATACATGGAGCCAGGACGCCCTACGCGACGCGGTATTCCCTCCCCCCAGCGGAAGCAGCCGAATCGGTATCATCTTTCGTCCACATGTCTCTGGACTGACTCACCGCGCTCATGTGGCCTTACGTTCTGCGCTCCCGATCCAGAATGCACCACTTTGTCCCTATGCCATTTCCAGCTGAACGGCTCTCCGGAGGCGTAAGCCTGGACTGCTGGCAGGCAATGCGGCCGCGAACGATATCCTCCGATATCTGTTCAGAGTACATTCGGATAGCCCAGCTGGCTATAACGTGCGGTATCGAGAGCGGCTGGCCCTCCCTGCCCTCGGTGGCGAGAGGCCTGACGCCGCCTGTATCGGGAGGAGCGAGTCACCGCATCTTGTCCCAGCGTTCCGGCTTCAACTTGCGGTCGTTGGCGTAAGAGTCGACAGGCCTCCAGGATGGATAATCAAGCTCACTCTCCCGGGTCCCAGAACGGACTTAAAATAGCATTGGGTGCGGTGCGTGTGTCTGGATGCTCAGTGATGTGACGTCTCGCATCTTTATCTCGGAACCTAGATCTCGACTCGGTACCATATTGTCTAAGTTGCCAGTGCCCAGGTTCCTGTCTTCAGAGCCTCCCTCAGGCATCCCCCGGCGGATCTCAACTTAGTGTATCGCTAAGCACTGGGTTGCCTCTCAACCGTGTCATGTGGCCGGCTTCTCGCCTTCTACTGGGGTTTCGGTTTGCTAATGCTGTTACTATAAAAAGAATCCGGCACCGAGTCGACGGAAAGACTATAATAGCTAGGCTCGCTCGACTTAATATGAATTCATCTATTTCACCTTGTCCGCCAATTCAACCGTAAATTTGTAGGCGAGGCTGGACGGCCGACGGCTAGGGTTTCGCTCCTAAAGCCCACGGTCTAGGTTCGCAATCTATTCCCGAAATTAATCAGCGCGTCTTCTTGCGATTTCTCACGATCCCTCACGATGTTATCGAGAGCTTCTCGGTTCGCCAGAAGCTAATATCCATGCTGGCCGGAGGAGACTCAGTCGTCGACTGGGTTGTCCGCCTTGGGCTCTGCTGATTTGCTATCCGTCGACGAGGATCGAGGACTATATAAGTGTGGCCATATCCCCCGATGAAGTCGATTCGGGTTCACATCAGCACAACAACCCAGGAAGACAGCTTTTCCGGCTTCCCAGTACCCGTACACCCTTCAAAACACCCATCTAACCAGATACTCGGTGTATCAGAGGTCAAAATGCGGTCCTTCATCGCTCTCCTGATGCCCCTTCTTGCCGCGGCTAACCCCATTGGCATCATCGGCAACGGTGACACCCCCAATGTGAACGAAATTACCATCGTCAGCGCTTCCGCTAGTGGTAACGGGTGTCCTCAGGGGACCGTGACTACCGACCTCTCCCCTGACCGAAAGGCGAGCCCCCTTTTCGACTCTCGTACATGGAATTTACCACCCCCATTATCGCCCCCCTGTTTGGCTTACGGGCTGGCTGACTCGATACTAGGTCATCACCTTCGGATTCGACGCCTTCCAGGTGTACACCGGACCTGGCACCAAGGTGTCTGATAAGTCTAAGAACTGCCAGCTTCATCTGAACCTCAAGTACCCAGGCGGCTTCCAGTTCGCCATCGTCGAGTCCACGTACCACGGTTATGCCCAACTCGACCCTGGTGTCACCGGAACTTTCTATTCGACCTACTACTTCTCGCAGGACGCTGGTGCTACCGTGAGTACTCCTTACCCCTGACTGACACCGCCTCCTGATCCCCGCATTCGTAACTGGGACCTCGGGACAGGAAGATCCAGAGGGCTCTAGGAGGCGGTTGCAAAATCCCCACCATTTAGCTTTTCAATGGCCAACAATGTTAACCCGTCGATTAGACTACCACACGCACCTCCATCGAGGGAGGCGGTATCTGGGCTGGCGGCCAGGTGTACACCAAGCAGGACCAGGTCCCGACTGCTTCCGTCATCTGGTCGCCCTGCGGCGCCACTGGAATCCTCAACGTGAACAACCGTATCGCGTTGACGTCGAGCAACGCGACCGCCTCGGGCCAGATCTCGGACGACGATGCCACCGTTGCCTTCACCCAGCAGGTCCACGTCAGCTGGCAGGCATGCAAATAGATGGAAAAGAGCGGTTTCCGAGCACCCGAATGAGGAAGAGGTTTCCTAGCTAGGACGCCGGCGATTGGAAAGAGGATATCGTACGGGGGAGGGAGGAGCAGGGCGAGAAGGTGACAGGTTACGAGGGGACTAGGAGGACAGCCCGCACATATCGTAGGATAGCCCGATGATCCAATATATTCTTTTGAAACTCGAACCGGGAACGGGGTGCGAACAATCAATCCATGGGCTCTCTTTTCTAGAACAACAGGTTGCCGCTCGAACATACGGAGACCCAGAGGACGGCGAGCAACGCACGCGCGCCTCAGTTGGAGTGTAGCCAAATACGAGCGAGAGCTTCGCGCTGGACCACGGATACCAGGGACTGTTGGGAGGGCGGGGGGTATTTTTACTGTTTACGTCGGCGCTGTATTAGTGAACCCGAGAACACCACTACCAAAGACTATAGGATCCCCTCCCTTCTTCTCAACTACAGAAATGCTAGATATTCCCACCACCGTGGTGGCAAAATGCCACGGACGACACAACAACGTCAAAATATGCCCGCCCCCAGCTCCTCACACCGGGGGCCGGTCCTGCGCGAATAGTTGTATAAATCTCGTAAACCGTTCGTAACCAGCCGAAAAACCCGAACTCTTTTTTCCCCTCTCTCCGCTTCCTCTCTTCTATTGCCCCACCCATGCCCGTCTGCGCCCTTCCTCTCCCTAGCCCCATCTCGATGATTTCTAGGGGGTAGCAGTCTAGCGCCTGCCGACCGATTCGATCCCAGGGACCGCTCTACTCGGCCCGCAGGGGCACTAGTATCCAACGAGAAGACATCCGAGTCCGGGGGGGGGGGGGGGGGGAGAGGTACGGCGACCTCAGAAGCGGCCCTGCTGGGGGGGGAAGCTGTTATTCCGGGGGGGGCCGACAGGGCTGTTCATGGCGTCGTCGCGGAGGAGGGGGACGGCGGCGGGGGCGGGGGCGGGGCCGGTGGGGTCCCAGGCGGCGGCGGGGGGGCCGGCGGAGGTGCCGGGGGGGGAGTCGGGGACGGCGTAAGCAGCGGTGGCAACGCCGGCGGCGCCCTTGTACTCGGCGCCGTCGAAGCGCAGGGCGTCGGGGTCGCGGCCCTCCTTGCGGAAGCGCTCGAGCTCGAGGCGCTCCTGCTCCTCGCGCTGGGCGGCGAGCGCGGCCTCCCGGCGGCCGCGGCGCCGCTGCTTGAACGAGTACACGGCCAGCGCGACGATCAGCAGCCCGCCCACGCCCCCCGCCGCCCCGTACACGCCCATCTTCGTCCCCGCCGGCAGCGCCTCCCACTTCTCCGACAGCGACTTCTCCGGCTCCCGGTGGATGTTCTCGAACGCGGTCGAGTTGCCGCTGCGGGGGGGCCCGCGGTTAGCGAGGGGTTTTGGTTTACGCAGCTGTGACGGAAGGAAAGAGGAGAAGGATATGTCTGGGCGTCGAGGAGCCGACGCCGCAGCAGGGAATCACCACTTACCTAACGATCTTGATGCTCTCCCACGACCCGCTGTTGTCGCTGTACGAGTACTCCTTGCCGGTCGAGTAGTCCTCGACGAAGGCGCTCTTGACCCACATGGTGTAGGGGCGGGAGTAGTCGGTCTCGCCGCCGGCCCACTCGATGGTGCCCTTGGGCTGGTCGGGGTCGCCGCCGGCCCAGATGCCGAGGCTGAGCTTCATGGGGGTCTGGGGGTAGTAGTAGGAGTCGTTGGCGTCCTTGGCGTGGAGGGTGCGGATGAGCTCGCCGTCGATGAACCACTCGAGCTTGTCCTCGGTCCAGGTGGAGGTGTAGTTGTGGAAGTCGTCCTGGACGCCGCCGGCGACGGGGTGGTAGCCGGCGTTGCGGAAGTCGGGGTGGCCCTTGCCGAAGTAGTTGGTCGACGCGTGGGTCGCGTTGCCGCCCATGAACTCCCAGTCGACCTCGTCGAGCACGTCGGAGGACCAGACGATCGAGCTGATGATGCCGGTGCCCGACGCGGCGCGCAGCAGCACCTCGGTGCGCCCGCCGAAGAAGTAGAAGTTGGAGATCAGCGTCGGCGACTCGCCCTTGCGGTTGATCGTGAACGCCGCGCCCAGGTCCGCGCTGTAGCTGACCACGCCCGCCGTCGTGTTGAACGTCCCCGCCGGCGGCGTGCTGTTGAACACGAACGTGTGCGCCGTCCCCAGCGCCGGGTCCGCCGGACACGTCTCGTTCAGCGGGTTGCAGTCCGTGTGCAGCTGGCCGGCGACGGGAGATACGAGGACCGACGCGAGCAGCGCTAAGGCCGCTACTAACGACGAGGAAGACGGCATCGCGACGGGTAGCCGAGGATTTTTGGGGGGGGGGGGGTGGTAACGACGGTAGCGGTAATTAACGATCGAATGGTTCGGTTGGGCGTCTCGTCGGGACGTGATTTACGGCGCGGAGAGGATTTGACGATCCCAGCCTCCTCAAGCCAATAGATTGAGTCTGTACGGCTATATCGTCCACGACATAGCTCTTGAGAAACTGGAAAGAGAGAGAGAGAGTGACGGAGAAGTTCAAAAGACTGTGTGTGGCGGTATGAAACAGAGGCAAGCAAGGAGCGAAAGTCGGGGGAGGGGAAAGGATGGAGAGAGCGCGTCGCTAGGTTCCAAGGCCCGATTAAGACGGAGAGATTATCATCACGATGGCTAGTATGGATTAGGGATCTATAATAGCAATAAGGACGGACGCTGAAAGGCCTGCTAGAGACCTGGACAGGCGGTAAGGATCGTGGGTGTCGTTTCAAGTCGTCGCACACAATATGCGATGAAGGAGCGTGGGTGTGTGGCAGTTTTTTTTTGCACTTGGTAATCTTGGTAAGTCTTGGACTTTCACCAGGGCCTCGACGGGAAACAATAGAGAGAGAGAATAAGGGTCAATGGAGCATTTCCTGCTATGTGAAAGCAAATGACGAACGAAGGCGGAATGGACAAGGGGAGGGAAGGGATTGGAGGGGGGGGGGTGGCCTCTCCTCTCTAATTAGCCCCTTTATTCAACCCCGTCATCCCTTGTTCTGCTCAAAGACAACAATAGCTCTCGGTGCCAATGATGAGGGTGTCGAAGTAAAATGACGGTAACACCCAAGGAAGCCCCCCAGGTACCAGTTGGGAAAAGGGGGCACCCGCCGTTGGCTCCACCATACAGCGCCACGGAGCACTTTAGATAAGGTCGCCAGGGACCAGGGGTGGCTCTGGCGATCTGCAACGGGCGTCGTTCGACGCGTTGCTTGTTGCAGTCTAGCTGATCGGCATTTAGCCTGGACTTCTACACGTGCTACGCCCATCGACATAGGTAGGTATAATACCCAAATGTGTGTGTGTCTTAGGTAGTATGTAAGGGGAGGCCATCGTCGACCTTCTCACCGCGGTGCAGGAATCGGTAATGAGATAGACATATGGGGTTCGCGCCTCGACGGCCTGTCTGTGGGGAGAACCCGGCAAGGAGGAGTAGCGGCAACAATCGCTTCCACGAGAGATACCGTCTCCTCCTCCCTCTCCCTCTCTCTCTCTGTCCATCTCTCCTTTTTACCTACTCAAGTCAGACCAACTACGGATTCCCAAAGGAGTGAACTGGAGCGAAATATGTGCTTGCGCCCATAACGTGCATAGACAATAAATATATAGCTAGGCCACATTCTATGTATACATATATGCCAATGGTGTGGGATGGGGCTGGTTGGTTTCACTGGGCCTGGCTTGGTATCTTGGTCTCTAGCCAATATTACGGCGCAGACCAAGAGGATTCACAATGGCATCAGGCGGGACGCAGCACCCGTGTACCTACATACAATACCAATCCATCGTGGCGTTGGCAAAAGGGCGACTTGGCGGGATTAATGCCAAGGGCTTCTTTCGGCTCGGAAACCGCACTATTGGTCTTGACTCTCGGGAGAGAGCCGAGGCGCGTTGAGTCGTAGCTGTGCAAACCCTCTCTTCTCTCTCTCTCTCTCTCTTTCGGAAGGTCACCCATCGCGGCCTTCTCTGGATATTCGAAAGACGAAGAAAAGAGAAAACGCACGTCACTACTATTCGCTACTAGAGAGAAGCTGAGAAAGCGTTCCGCGAGGCCAATTCGTATGTATATTCTGTTCTCCGCAGCGTTCCATCGTCTCCCCTCTCCCCGTCACGATCTATAGTATTACCTCCTACTACTATTACCACTCGTCGTATACCGCTGTCCGGTAAATCTGAAGCCGGGTTATGTCGTGAAAACGGACCACAAAAGAGAGTACCGCGGAGCGTGGACAATGCATTATATGTACATGTTCCTCTCCACCGCAAGAACTGCCGCCGTTCCGTGGCGGCAGGGAGACATTAAATACGTTCAAGGGAATTCGCTCGCTCGCTCCCGCGCTCGTTTATGCCAGTGCAGTGTCTAATTAAATGATTTCGTGAATATTCGCCCGAAGGCCCTTCTCGTCTTCGTACGCCTGCCGGCCCTCCACCGCCATTCGTTTCCCGTACGGCCCGGTAATTGGCATGCCGTGAAAAACTTGCGTCGTGTGCGTATCCAGGCCTCCTTCTAGATGTAGATCTCGCTTCTCGCACTCAATCCATCGTACTATTCCCGTCGCGGTGCGCGCGGGAGCGCTTCATCCAAAAACGGTCTGCAGACAGAAAGAGAAGAAAAAAGAAAAGAAAAGGGCAGAAATGAGGGATCAGGCGGGATCGAGTCGGTGTCGCCGCCGACATGTCGATCACCACGAAAAGGTCATCAGCGCCGGGTTGAGGGCGAGGGGGAGGAGGAGGTGGCTGCCCGCGACGGTCGCCATGGGCAGGATGGCGACGAAGTCGCGGATGCGCCAGCTGTAGGGGACGAAGGGCGCGACGGCCAGGACGATCATGGCGGTGATGAAGATGAGGGAGAAGATCATGGAGAACTTGAACTTCTTGAGGACCTTGGGCACCTCGATGAAGAAGTTGGAGAACTCGGCCTCCTTGGACGTGGCGCCCCACGTCATGTTGATCTCGAACATGTGGGCGAGGATGGCCTGGCTGACGTGCAGCGACAGGCCGCCGAGGAAGATGGCGAGCAGCAGCGTCCACTTGAAGTTCTCGAAGATGGCGTGCAGCAAGCTGCTCTCCCCGACCCGGTATCGCATCACGGCGAGCGCGATGTTTCCGAAGCCGTTGAACACTATTATGATGGAGAACCAGACTTGCCACGAGTCGATGTAGTATTTGTCCAAGTAACCGTTGAACCAGCCGACGATGAAGTAGTTGACCGACGTCATGATCCACGCCGCCGCGATGGCGTAGTAGGTGCCGATGTACGAGACGATCGTGATCTTGGATGTGAAGCGGATGTTGGAGAAGAGGAAGCGGCGGAACAGCGGCGTGAACGGGCCCTTCCACAGCCACATGCGGATCGGGTGGAAGAGCAGCTCGTTGCAGCCGTACGCGTACTTCTCCCACCGCGCGAGCTCGTCGTACACGGTGAGCGAGACGCCCTCCTTGAAGCCGTCGCCGGCCCAGGCGGCCAGGCGGATGATGTAGCCGCTGCACTGCAGGCGGAGCGACATGTCGAAGTCCTCCGAGACGTGCGACTCGGACCAAAACTTCTCGTAGCCGTCCTCGTCCTCGTAGGATACCTGCTGGATCGCGCTCCACCGCAGGATGGCGTTGTGCCCGACGAACGGCGCCACGTCGCCGTTAGAGACGGTGTACCTGATCGCACTATATATCAGGTTCGTGAAGAAGGTGATGCCGTTCTCAAAGTACGTGTGCACCACCTGCATCACCCCCGACGAGAACTGCATGATGCCCACATCGGGAGACTGCTCCATCTCGGAGACGGCATCGAGGAGGCAGTCGGCCGGGACACGCGTATCGGAGTCGACTAGAGAGGAAGCAATCCGGTTAGCAATCGTCGGTTCCGTCCCGCCGCAAGGCCCGCGGTCTCGTAGAGTCTGGATAAAAGGAGGAGGCGGGGCGATGGAAGGAGGGTGACGGTAGGGACTTACTGAGGAGGATGTAGTCTCCGACACGGATGTTGCCGTCGGCCCAGGCCCGGCCGTCCTCGCCGATCACCTCCTTGAGGGCTCTCTCGTAGGCGGCGGCCTCGTCGGCCTGGGTCCAGTCAGGGCCGCGCTCGTACAGGGCGAGCTTCTCCTCGACCTTGCACGAGACCATGAGGGCGAAGTTCATGTTGGACGCCTTCTTGAACTTGCCGCGGCGCAGGAACCCGTTCTCGCCGTGCTTCGGCCGCGCGACCCAGCCGATGCTGTGATCGGCGTAGAACTCGATGCGCGCCCGCCGCTCCTCCTCCGGCAGCAGCTGCAGCCCGTCGTCGTTGACGAACAAGTTGGCCGACCCGCCCTGCAGCTCGTACGTGCTGATGGCCTGCTTCACCGATCGGACCGTCGGCTGGATGACGGCCGAGAGGCCTTCCTTGTAAACCGGACATTGCACCGTCTTCGTACGTCAGCAACTAATCCTATCCGAGAGCCCCTGGGGGCGGAGGAGGGGGGGAGGGGAGAAGGGAGAGTATAATAGTAGGTTACTCTTATCAAGGGGGCGGCGACTCACGACGTGCGGTAGCATCGCGCCTCGCAACCTCGGGGGCGGGCGGGCGGAGTAGAACTTGGAATTCTGGGTAAGCTGGCGGATGGGACCGAGGACCTGAGCCAAGCAGCCGATGATGACCTGGGCGAAGAAGAGCGTGAAGAAGATCTGCACGGGGAAGAGGGCGATCAGGGCCAGCCGCGTGTAGCTGCCGTCGACGGAGACCTCGATGGCGAGCTGCCGCCAGGCGGCGCCGAGGGAGACGGTGACGACGACGAGGACCATGGAGACGAGGTACGTGTTCTGCAGATGGACGGGGCGCTTCTCGGGCTTGATCTGGCCGCTCTCCTCGTCGATCTCGGCCTCGACGGCCTTATAGCGCGGGCTCTTCTCCTCCTCCTCCGCCATCTCGTCAGTCCGCCAGACGAGCTCCATCAGCTCGGACTCGATGGCCTTGGCGCGCTGCACGAGGTGCAGGGCGTCGTCGTCCCAGACGACCAGCAGCGCCTCCGACGCGACGAAGGCGGCGAACTGGTGCTTGCGCGCCCTCGCCAGGTCGCTCACCGTCGGCACGATCTGGATCCGGAGCCCGTTCATGAGCGGCACGTCCACCGCCTCCGGCGACCACGACAGGAACGTCTTGATCACCCGCGAGTTGACCGTCATGGCGCACTGCCGTCGAGCGCGGTCAGCATGCGGACGGACCCTTCCGGCAGCACCGAGAGGAGGAGGAAGAGGAGCCTGCGCGCGGCAGGGAGGAGGGGAACATCTCGACTTACCTGGACGTTGAGCGCCAAGCAGGCGTTCGCCAGATCCGAGTCCATTAGGGCGGGCGGGCAGGCGAGATACGTGCCTCTGCTCTTGCGGAGCAGTACGCCCTCGACGTCGCCGCTGCCGTCGCTGACCCAGAGGTGGGAGCACTGCTGCTGGTAGAGATAGTTGACCATGACCTCGTGCTTGATCTGCTCGACGAAGATGGAGCTGTTAGCCGACACCGCGGAGCGCGCCGATAAGGAGTTGCGCGACGAGAGCGCGTTCGAAGGCGGCAGCCGGAGGCTGGCGAAGTCGTCGTGGCTCATCGGCGCCTTCTCCGCAAACGGGTTGCTCATCACCTGCGGCTCCTGCGACGCTGACGACGCCGCATTCTTATTATTCTTCTCCTCTTCCTCCTTTTTCCTCCTGGCCTCGGGCTTCTGCGCCCGGAAGTAGTTGGATATACCCATGGCCACGCGCTCGTTCGCCTGGCCTGGTCTGTCGCCGGAGGGCTAACCCCCCCTCCTCCTCTGAAGTAAGCGAGTGGCTAAGCGGCTACCTAAAACCCGGACCGAGTATTTTGAGAGAGCGAGAGTGGTGGTGAGAGGGAAGAGAAGCACCGACGAGCTGGGTACCGTATGGTGGGTTATGTTAGTATAAGGCGAAAGGCAAGAGAGGAGCAGCACATGGATGCGACGTACGGCGTCCAACAACCGGGGTTCTCTATTCCTGCTGTTGCTGTCGTGGGATATCATATGGCAGGGAGGCCTAACATATAGCCGCTCCGGGTCTCCCGAGTCACAGGTACTATAGAAGCCTTAGCTGTGATCTACGAGCAGGAGGGCGAGAGGAAACTCACAAGAATAGTAAATAAGAAGGGCCCGAGGTGGGGGTCGGCAACCAGAAGCGAAAACTAAAGGGAGGGGGTATTATGACGATGCTGGTCCGATATTAAGCCACCACAGCTCTAGAATTATTTCCTGTCGTCGGAAGAGGTCGACGGATCAGGCAAGTAAGTAGGTAGCGAATGACTGTCCCACGTCCACTTGACTTTCGTAGGGATGGGGTTAGGACTCTGGAGGCTCGGAAGAAGGTGAGAGGGGCCGTATACAGATATGGAGCGAGTGGGAGGGTAAGAAGGTGGGAGGGGAGAAGGCGTGATAGGTCCTAGTCGAGGAATCGACTGGTCTGTTTCTTCGTCCTCCTCTCTTCCGCATACGAGAGCGAAGCAAGGGCAGCTGCAATTAAAAGCTTACGGGATGGGCTGGAAAGGGACGAATCGATAGCTTCCAGCTTGACCGCTTACACCAACTCTCTCTCTGCCCCTAAGATCCTCTTTTCTTCTTCTTCTCGCGCCGTTGGTCTAGTCGACAGCCACATCCGCTGCGCGTAATCCTCGACGAAGGGGCCAGAGCGATATCTCTGGACGACCAATAGTCGCCGGACCGGGACCGGGACAAGAATGGACAGCGAGGTTTGGCCTCGCAACAACCGCACGACGAGAGGGAAAGAGAAAAAAAAAAGAGCAGGGACTGGAGATAGTGGAATTCCTAGTTAATCAATAATATAATAAAAGCTTTCCGGCTCGGGATAAGGGCAGCAGCCACACAGCTGTCCCTCGTCATCCGGCTCATCCCACGCAGAATCCAACATAGAGTCAGTCGCCCGGTGGCAGTCAGTCGACTGGTCCAGGGCCAGCGTGGGCGGATAGACGGAGGCCCACCATGACGGGCTGGTTGCCAAGGCAGGCCAATTCCAGCAGCGCAACAGGGGTTCGGGAGGAAGAGCTTTCAACTCGAAGTTGTCGTTTGCGATTAGATGGATGTGACATGGACTTGGCTGACTGCTTTCGGAAGATACATACCTTCTCGTTAGGTGGCTATCCAAGTGTTGTTGTCTTCCCTCTCCCCTGGATATATGCAGCTAAGATCTCCTGGCCCCGCCCCTGGTCCCCCCCTCCCCCTCCCCCCCGGCCCCCGTCTCCATATGCAGTACTTACAATACATAGCAGCGGTCGTATCGCCGCCGCTAAGCCTTGCTTGATTGATGTTAGTGACGTGGTATAGAGGAACTATTGCTACGTAAGTTCAGGTGGTGCTGCGGATGTCGACCCCGGATGGATACGGAGTCGAGCGAGGGGCGAGCAAAAAAAAAGATTTCACCTAGAGAATACTGCTTCTCTCTGGTGGTGACACCCACACTGCTTGGGGCGACTCGGCTCTGCCGTTAGCAAGAGAGGGCTTTGTGAACTGACGTAAACATGCCGGCTAGGATATACCCGGGGAAAGCTTCGTTCTGGGCTTCGAGGTTCGATGAGTATGCGAGCGGTCTCGTGGTATAAGGCTCTGGGCACGTTCTAGGCAAGCCGAGTTTGTGGTGGGAGAAGCAATAGATTGGTGCTGGGCTGGCGGGCTTGCTGTCAGAAGACCCTTGCCCGACTCTGCATTGTGCACCTTTGAGCATATGTGTGTGAGTCTACTTGCTCATCTCCGGGTGTGTGAGTGTAAGTCGCATGCAACCTACATGAGCTACATCCATCCGGACATACCTAAGGTGGGAAATATCTGTGTGTGTACATAGAAACATGGGCATTGCGATCCCAACTTACTGAGTAACCGACGACGGGGTTCGCTAAATGGGATGCCTGGAAGTTTCTCGCTTCTCTTCTTCTCCTTCTTTCTCTTCTCCCCCCACTCTCTCTCTCTCTTTCTACATTTTCCCCCCAACGTGCATGCATATAACCACACAAATATGCGGTTATTTATATAGTCGCCGCTGGCGGTTGGCGTGATAAGGGGACAGCTCGCCCACCTCGACCCAACGCGCGCTTTTCTTCCATAGGCTGCGAGCATATGCTACGAGATAGCGTCTCCCGAGGTGGAAGGGGTAGAGAAGGCTGCCCCTGGCCCGCCGTGATTCTCTCTACAGCTGTGGCGTAAAATAAAAGTAGGTCGGTAGCCTCTTTCGCAATCTTGCAGCAGGATACACGATAGACCGACAAGTTTAGACGGGCTACTGCTAGGACACCGCGGAGTTTTACTACGTGGTAGGGACCATGTACGTAGGTAGGCATGGTCCACGAAGTTCAACAGCCCACGGTGCCGCAGCCGTACACAAGCCAGGACCCCTGAGTGCCCATCCGCCCCCCCCCTTGCCCTCGTCCCAATCGGTCGATAAAATAAATAGAATAAATTCGTATTTTGCCGTGGTACATCTCTGTACACTGTCGTGACCGGAGCTACCGCGATAACGAGCGCAGTATGCCATTGGCGCACATAAGCAGATTGCTGCTGCTGCGTGGCGCGCATCGTGTGTGCCCTGGTCCTCGACCGGGGTCGGGATTGGAACGACGGGGGACTGTTGGCCATTTTGGGCTCCTGTCGCCTTTCTCGTATTCTTCCTGCAAAGACTCGCGCGCAAGGACGCTCCTAGCAGATTCGGCTCGACTCCGAGCTAGTCTGGCTAACCTGTCAACCGCAGACAAGCTACGCCGTATAGGAGGGATTGCCTCAGGTGGCTCGCTCTGTTGTTTTCGTTACCGCCGATGCCTCATCCTTAGCACGGATAGCGCACTGCGGTCCGATTCCCATGCCACCTGGCTTGCAATGACGGACGAGCAAACGACCATGGCGTATTCCACCTTCTCGAGTGTCGTGCTGTTCTCGTGAGGGCATAGCGGCTGGCGATCGGCGGTCAGCTCTTGTGACTGGTCGTGTCCGTCGGTCTACACGAAAGAGGGCCGATATCTAAACCCCATCACCGCTTCAAGTTCCGGTGTTTGAGGCCGGTTGACGTGTAGATGTAAACAGGGTGGCCTTGTGACGAGCCATTGTAAAACCACCTAACCAATCGACATTTTATTCCGAGACAGACACTACGCGCCTACGTCACCGGTTATGCTGAGATACGAAATTGAGCTATCACGTCGCGCTCTGATCTCAGAAGTCATCGTCCGCAGTCGAATCCCCTTCTAATGGTTCACGGCGGGTGCGAGTGGTGGCCAGGATTGCCGCGGGTCAGGTCGTATCTATGGCACAGTGTGTCAGGTAGGCAAATCCTTACACGCCGTCCGAGCATACCTGGCGGCTGGAGGGGATCCGGCGGAAAAGGAGAGACGCGGGTAAATATCTGAGTAAGCCGACAGCGACTCTATCGTCTACTTCACCAAGATTGATTAGACAGCCCACCTGATTGGCTTCGGATATAGAACAGCGAAGGGGCGGTATGAGCTTCGTCTCGTTGTCTACTTGACTAGAGGATGTCCAGTCGGGAGCCCCCGAGTGTACTCACATATGAACCACCCGGGGATCTGACACAGCAGGTCAACTCATAACGGGCGGATAACATCTGCGTACAATGTCCTCAAAAGTTGCCACGCATCGTTGACATGAGGGCTGGTACACTAAGCTCTGCCCTCTGTCTCAGACATGTTGAGGCTGAGACCCGACCGTGGCCGTGGAGTAGTTACGAGGAGCGTGGGAGATCAGGGTTCTTATCCTGGCACCCTGGCTGCCTTATGCTGCTGCATCTTGAGATCCCTAGCATCTGGTCCGCCAATTAGTTGGCCCTTCGCCGTCGATCAATTGCCTTCATACTCACCCTTCGAGCCGCATTCTCCCCGCCAACTCGGGAGGAAATCCAACCTCAGTCGTCGCATCATAAGTGATTTGCTCTCGCTTAAGAGTGTACCAGTGTCTCCATTATCTCAGGCCCTGTTCGCAAGGGTGCTATGGGTGGGGAGGCCGTCCCGCTTCTAGTTGCCCGCCATTAGAATAGTGTAATAGTGTATCTCGTTTCCTCCCTGTCTTCGTGTTGTTCTGAAGCGATCGCCCCTCCCGATGAATTACGTGACACCCTTTCTCTCTATGATATCCGAGTAGCCAATATTTGCCCTGCCTATGCCACATGTGCTGAAACAGCCCAGCACGTCAAAGTAAAAAGAGAAAAAACGCCTGTGTGCCCACCCCACCAAGAGAACTTCCGGGGCCTCTATAGTTCCTCGTCGCCGTCGCATTGCTGCCACATTATTACTTTGCTAACCTCCATAGCCGGGCTCGTCCAGGTAGGAAGCCAACTATCTCGCGCATTCCAAAAGTCCTTCTTGGCGTTAGGACTACCGTTAATCCAGGGCTTCCCGCTCTTCGAGTCCTCAAACCATCCGTTGGTACCGCCGATAGCGACGTTTATGATTAAGTAGAACTCCTGGTCGAAAGGGGTGCTCAAGCGGCCCGTCCCCGTCCAAGTGTCCGCGAGACGGGTACCGTTGCTGCTGGCCTCGGGGAAGTTCCCGCGCTTCCAGAGGGGTTCGTCAAAGTTAGTGTAGAGAACCTGCAGCAGGCGAGAGTTTACGTAGGTGAAGAGGTACTTCTGGGACCACTCGAGGCCGAAGGTGTTGAATCCGGCCGAGTAGGTAGTGTGCAACGCTTCGCGCTTGACATTGGTCCTCCACCAGGCGTCGTTGGCGGGATCTGGTCCCCAGTGAAGGGCCGACGATACAATATTGTTGCCACCCTGACCGTACGTCCAGTTGTTTCCTCGGCTCTCCATGATGTCTATCTCGCCGCTTGCCGGCCACGCCCCGTAGGTATCCCTGACGGGCATCATCCAGATGGCCGGCCAGATCCAATCTCCCTCGGGCAATTTGGCGGTAACTTCGACGCGACCATATTTGATACTCGCACCTTTCTTCGTGTGAATGCGACCAGACTTAGTCGGGGGCACAATGGTCGCGTTGCCAACGGTCGTGTTAGTCGCAGCTATGCAGTCAGACGGCTGCGTTGAGGTACAGGTTCCGTCCTCGAGGAGATTGATCAACGCATCATTTTCAATCAGGTTTGCATCCTGAAGAGTGGGTCTGATGATGAGGCGGCCGTCCTGGACAAAGACGTTCTCATCATTGCCGGTGGTCTGCACGAATTCCCCGTTTCTACGCGCTCCGACGTTAGTTCTGCCGTCACATCTCTTGCCTAGAGGGTAGGATATCGTTTTTTATCGAAAACTTACCCGAATCCGCCGACCTGGACTTCCTTGGTCCACACATCCGCGTTGAAAGTGGCGAAATTGTCCTCGAGAACTAAGCAGTAATCATGCTTGATCACGCTGCGTATGCCATCCCATACCAAGAACCCAGAGATGCCCAGGCCTACGAGGATACCGAGGATCGGGATGATGGTAACCCACTTCTCCTTGGGGTCCTTCTTCTCCAGCCAGGGCTTCTCTACCTCTCCCTTCTTCACTCTTCGCGAGTGAAAATAACGCGGACCGGGCGCCTGCCCAAGGGCATCGGTGCTATCGTAGCTAGAATTTGGGCGTGAGACGGACGGTGACGTGAAAGGGTTCACGGGGCCGGCGCTTCGCGAAGCCCGGGACTCTACCCTGTCGTCCTGAGGAGTCCCGTCCGTATTGGGGGTCCCTGGTCGGACGGGTGTGGGTAAAGCCGTCGACTGGACGGAAGGACTGCCTGCCTGATGTTGTTCCATCGCGCCAGGTTTCGCGTAGCCCTGAAGTATTAGGACTCCGGCGTGGATGGGAGATACGAATAGCGCTGGCCAGCTGCAAGTCCACCCTGACGTAGCCCTTCGATACCAGACGAACTCAGAAGAGGGCCAAAGGGAATGCAATTATAGGATGAGGCAAGCAACCAGCCCAGCAGGAGAGCAAGTATTTATCATCCGATCCTAGGGAGCGTCGAAACCGGGTGCACCTTTTAAATCTAGCTGGTAAGAGAAGCAGGCAGAGGATATACCGGGTGAGGGGGGTAAAAAGCAGGTGAGGTCGACAAGAAGGACTGGCCTTCCCGGTGTGTATATCCCGGGTCCAATCACGACTTCTCTCCCTCTCTACCTCCCGGTCCAGAACTCGCTGTTCGATACTGTTGCTGTGCTTTCGAGGGATGGTTCGTACATAGCTAGGCAAGCACGTAGTAGTATTGGTGCATACATATGTATGCAGCTCGAGGGCTGCAGGGGGCCAATATGACAGTAAGTACCAGGGAGTAGAGGCATGGTATCAGGACAAGGCTCCTCTCGTTCCTCGTCTAACTTGAACGGGTATGTACCAGCGGGCAGGTAGGCAGACAGACATATGGGCAAATGGCATGGTGCCGCCCTGAAGGATCTAGCCGCCCAAACTTTTGAGCTATGCCAGACAAGAGAAGCTTGCCTCGGCGACTCTCAACCCCCTAAGGTCGCAGGAACTACGTAGAGACATACCTACTAGGCTAGATCAGCTACGCGGTCCGGACGCCTCGGCAGAGACTGGGTGATCGACACTTTGTAGACTAAAATGCCCTGGTGCGCCATGATGGGCGCTCCGGGATACGACGATGCATCGTCGACGAGATTCACTCGTGTGGATGGGCGACCGCCAACTGACTGGCCCGGTCGCTTCGGCTCTGAAGGCTGATATCGCCATGCTCACCGCAGGGCATTCGTTGGCCGGAAACTGTTTGCGCCCCGAGCGGCTGGACCTCGAGCTGCAGAAGCCTAAGGCGACAGGTCACTTGGCAGGCCGGGAGGCGAAAGGTGGGCTGGGAGATTATTGATGGGCGTGGCTCGCATCCGTGTGACGGAACGGGCGAGGAAATTTAATTTGCCTAGAGTCTCGAACTTGGGACGTGAAGAATGTGTGCCATGTAAGCTGCGGCTGGCTCAGCTCTGGCGTCTGGCTAAGGTCTAGAGGTGGAGAGTGATGGGTCCTGGAAGGGTTCGCGAAGCTTTGCTGTCTGAACAGGCGTCCTTCAGCCCTTCCGAATCATCAATGCCACGGACATGACGAAATATTGACCAAACCAGCCCGCCACCGACATCGATAGACGTGTCGAGAGCGGCGACCAACACCCGAACGGGAGGCTAGGCCGTCTGATATCTACGAGATGCCAACTCTCGAGTTGTACGGAGGCGAACGGGTCTCGCGTGGGATGAGCCTGTGCTTTGCGCTCCTCGCAACCGATGCCGCCGTTTGGTCAGGAGCGCGATAGGGCCAGACGGGCTCGAGAAAAGGGAGAGATACGGGTTGCGAAATTTTCGCACGGGAGATAGAGATCTTACGGGGGGGCAAAGCTCGTATTACCCCACCGACGACGCCTAAATATGGAGGCGCGTAGGATGGGACTACTGGATTGATTGCCCGCTACTACAGGGTGACATCGAATAGCGATGGCATTGGACAGGTAAGAATTAGACAGCACTCACTAGGTTCCCTCGGGGACGATCCTTCGCACGACGGCTCTATGCTACGAATTCGATCCCCGAGTCGCTCTCCGTCAGCACCTTATCTTCTACACGGTACGAAAGCAGGGACGGGCAAGAACAAGGTCAGCACGGATGTCCAGGAGGACTCGGGTGCTTGGATGCTTAGGTGGAGCCACGCAGAGAGGACTGAGGCGATCGTGGCATCACGCAAAATGTGCCGAGAGCTGTGGTTGGCCCTCTAGGGTCACTTCGCTCTCCCAGGATTGTTTCTCATCATTTGCCGCGCCTTGAGGGGGGACGTGCTGGAGCGATCCGGAGGGTGAGTACCTATTCCAGCGGAATGTGAAGGGAACATAATGGGAATTAGGCGGCGGTGGGCAGCGAGGGAAGAAGGAAGGAATTGAAAAGGTGACGGGGAGCGAACAAATTCCTCTCGTGTGAAGGGATTTCGGGAGGTTAAGTCAGGGTTGTTGGCCGTTGGCTGTTGGCTGTCGGCTGCCAGCTGCATCGAGGTGGTAGTCGTAGAAAAAGGGCAGTAAATTCCGATTAGGTGTCATGCCCACACCACCACGGGGTAGGTACTTGGATATATACCTATCCAGGTATCTTCCCTCATAGAGCAGGTAGATGTGTACCTACACATGTAGGTACCTAGGTAGATAAAATTACTTAACCCTAGGTCATGCCCTTTAGGTCCTCGTCTAGTGGCCGCTGGCGTCGCAGCGGTGCGCTACCTAAGACGGTCTAACAACCTGCCGCGCGCTACCACGTAGCACCCGTTAGCATCTCTCGGCTCGCCCCTAGCGTGATCGTTGCTAAATAAACCACATACCAACACCAACAAGCCCAAGGCTCAATTGCGGATGTAGGTAATGCGAGTCGCTATAGTGTATATCTAGGTAGGCAGCCAGTGTGCTAGTATATGAGCAAAGGAGTATCTAACAGGATGTAGGCAAAGCATACCGAGGTTGGCTATCGAGGACATGCAATCCGGAACATGCATAGGCCATGCATGCTATATAAACAAGAATCAGACGACTTCTCTCACCGCAGACCCAGGATCGGGCCTGTAAGCACCGCGTCCGAGCGCCAAGGGGAACCGCTGCGCGCACGAACTAGGAACCCAGCGAGCGCGCAAGGCGAACAAAGCCATCGAATTTTTGAAAAGCCAAGCAGGAAATAACGTGGATATTGCGTCGTCAAGGCGCTTCGTGGGGTCTCCGATAACCGAGAAATCATCGCTGCCGCCGCCATGCCCGTGGGCTCAAAGTCGGGTCGCCAAATACCCCATCCAAATACTCCTCGGGGGAACCGCCTGGCTGGGACGCGTCTAGAACGGATAACTGCCTCAACTACCCAGACTGCTCACGCCGCTTTATCCCTTCGATGAACGCCCTCGGAATGGCCCACTCGACAAGTTTCGAGAACCGCCGTTCCCGGTCTAACCTGGTCCACAATTCGTCACCGAGCGCGTCCAAGCTCTGGTAGGCAGGTAGTCGTCAGCTGTCAATCTTCAACTGCTCAGCTCCGTGACGATCCGTGCGAAAACCAGACCGCGACTTACCATGGCGGCGACAGTAAATTTTTCGCACAATACACAAATGCTACGACGATATGTAACCACAATCCGAGAGGATAGCCAACTTGCTTCGCCGAAGGATGGCCTGATGACGAGCACGTCACGCCCTACCTCTAGGGATATCTGTCCGTGCCTATTAAGACAGAAAGTTATGCCGAGGAGGCAGGCGGGAGGTCACTCAGACACGAAAACCCCCACGTACGTGTAGAACGAAAATCGAGACCCCCATGCTGGCGGTAAGCAGCGACGGCGACGAACAAGGTAACAATATCCGCCTACACGATTCTTCTACCGGCGGCAGAAACCACCTCATATAGATAGATCCGTCATATCCGGGGCACACAAAGAGGAGGGAAAAACATCTGAGGAACAACACCTGCCCCGGCGACGATGGTCGACTACGTCGTACCCATCGAGAAGGGTCCGCATCCGTCTCTGTCACCTGCCGTCGCCGTCATGTGTCTTCTCGAAGGCAGCATCCTCCCCGCCCGAGGCTCGTGTCGTAGCGACGCTCTGATGCTACTACTCCTGCCCGCTACCACCGCTTGAAACAGCGACGAGGGCCCATGAGGGGTCTCGCCCGGAAGTCCGAGAGTTGTGCTGCTGAAACTGCTGTGTCATACTCCAGTCGGAAGGCCGTCCATTGACGGGCTCATGACTACTTAGAGAGCAAAGTGGTACGGGCGCACTGCGAGGTTGCATCTCGCGCGAGGGCAGTCGCGCGTGCCCGCGGACAGCGACGCACGTCCTGCCCAAGCGCTGCCGAAGACCGCAGCCGAGGCAGAAGTCGTAGCTACGGTCCGGTCCAGCTGATTCACCCGGCGATGTCTAACAGGCAGGTAAGTTATATCGTCGAGTCAGCCGGATGGCAGCTGGTTCAGGTCGAGACCGGTCGAGATCAGATTACGTCATCAACAATCAGCCGAGGAACCTTCCCCGTTTGGGGAAAAGTGGGGACGATATACACAAGGATATAAGGTTATCTGCAGCCAATTGGCGTCCGCAGTGCTAAATTAAGGTTGGTCGCGTTCCCGAGTCTCCCGCTCCCCCGTCGTGGAGACCTCCCGAATCAGACCCGGCCACAACTTCGCTTGTACACTGCACACGACGTAGCATTCACGGGATAGGACGGCACATGTACGCGCGTTGTACAAACTTCCACCGGCGTCGGCAGTTAGAGAGGTTTTTTCCTAGAGCATATCTAAGTCTAGGGATTAGTTTGCGGCATGCAGACGGGATAGGACACGCCGTCAACGATCATTCGCTTACCCCGACAGGCCTCTCTGCCCGCGTCCACATCGCAGAATGTGGGGGCTGGCGGTTAGAGTGTGATAATGTGCGCATAGGCACGAGCAACAAGAGGTACAGCTGTGTCTCGTAGCGTGGGGCGGCATCTTTTGCTTCAGCCTTGCGCTAAAGATTTAAGCCGTAGGGCTGAGTTGGGCGAAAGGTTGCGCGGCGGTTAAGTTCGACACGCCGAGTTTGTGTACCGCGTAGACGGTTGAAATCCTATGTTGTTTTACAAGTGGAGTTGTTTAAACTGGACCTCTTTGTGTGGCTGATCAAAAGCGTAATAGCGGAGCGAAAGGGGCGGAGGGGAAGTATGTGGGTAGTTGTCGGGCGAAGCGCAGGAAAGCAAGGATCATAAAAACCACATATTCTGTACAAAACCATACTTCAGGAAGAGCCATTGGTTTATGTTGATTCTATAGTTGTAATCCATCTCTCAACACAGCAAAAACCCGCCCGGGACCCATCACAACCAGAATGTAGCCAGACGTGGATAGATGCTCTCATAGCGTAAGCTACCGCAGCTCGTGATGGATAAACTACGATATCTCCAGTCACTTTTGGCACTATCAGTTTAGAATATCTCTATTTACTTTCGTAGCTCAGAGGCTTGTTCGCGCTCTATGACTTGAGTACATGTCCTCTTTGTGTATGTATCGGGTTTTCGGTGTGGTAATCTCATCACGACAAGTCTGCGTTGTGGGCAATACTGCTCGAAAGTCCCCAAACTCGCTATATTTACGAGACAACGTCATTTCTTAGAAAGGGCTTCAAACCCCAGGTAAGCCTATAAAGTTCAATTTAGAAGCAAGCAATCACAAACGCAACTACTCCTGGAAGGCGAGATCTCGAAGGTGGCATAGTTCCTCCTGGCCTAATACGACTTCCTTGGTGACCGAGTCGATTCAGAGAAGGAAGATGAAAATACGGAATCTAAGTAGCATACAATAAGTTGCTAAGACCCTCGGAAATCCCGTTGCTTCTTTCCTGCCTCATGTGTTCGAAAGCCCATTTCCTCCTGCCGACCCTGTGTCACCATGAACGCGTCTTCGGCGTATATTTTGAAGTTCTTCGGTTTTTTATTGTTCTTTCATCGGACTCGGGGATTTCCAGCACCGGCCGATATTGTTCTTGGAAATCCGTTAATGCGGACTGGCTAGGTAGCTAGGGGACCCTGGACTTCTTTTCCAGAATCCAAGTTAAGAACCTCAAGGCTTTGTCCAGCGCCTGCCGCTTCCACAGGCCAATATGCTCGAATATGGTAGTTCTCTTTTGCAAAATGCCCTTACCACGCCAAACAGTTGCGACCCTCACGGTGCCATGAGAAGAAGTCTATTTGCAGGGTTTGCCACTTCCGCAGCTCTTAGGGGATTCGGTTTCGAGCACCCGGGGGAGTTACAAGAGAAGAGCCGTGGCCTCAATTGACTGAGAGCTTTAGGAACCTGGTCAGCCTAGGAACTTCTGATCTCACCTTCCCTTTGCTCTGTATCCTTTTGAGGTATTAAGGTTCATGTCACGGAAGGGGCAGTGAGAGGGAGGAGGCATAGGCAGGAGCCAGGGAAGTAGGAGAAGATAGTTGTATCGAAGAGAAGTCAGTCTAGTTCAGCTTCAGTTTCAGATAAGCTTATAGGAGCAGCGTTGCTTGTTTTCACTGTCCATTGCCATCGTTCATTATCCGTGTTCTCTTATCGTGATCCATTGATCATGGTAGTTTAATTCTAGTCAACCTCCTCAGTGTCATCTTCATCTTGTTCAGCCATGTTATCGTTCGCACGTTGCCAGTGTCTCGCTCAGCGCCACGACTGCAAGCACGTAGCTTGGTACGGTTCTGGTTCAATATATTCGCGCTGTAGGCATGATGAAGTTGGCCCCTACATTCTGCTTCCGGCCTGTCGGAACCATCACGATGATTCCCACTCTATCGGGGATTACTACGACCGGTCTGTCTAGACGGGGGGCCCTTCAAGTTCCCGGCGCCCAGTTGCCGCTCTGTTAGTTGACAGAAAGGCTCGTAGAGTATCCGGACAGAGACGGTGGAAGAACGGACTATCCTGGAGGGGCATCCCTGATCTTACCCAAGAGGGCAAATGCTACAGTGATGACGTGGGCAAGGCGGGTGAAGATGGTGGCGGAGGCGTCTCCACAGTGTGTTTCGTTGTTACTAGCGAGAACTAAGCTAGGAACGAGGAGGTTTACTAGCAATCTATAGGTAACACACGAGGTAACATGCTTCCAAGCCTCGCTGGTTGAGACGTCGGAGGTTGACCTCGAGTCTTCGCGTACTATACAGATCATCCCATAGGAGCAGCTATCTACACACTTCATGTCGCGTATAACCACATCCCGCGATTCTGAAGCGCAAATAGCATAATACTCTCGCTGCGGGACCTGTCGTTCGGCACCAGGATTTCCTAGGCGCCATTAAAATAGAACGAATACCACCCACCCACAGGGTCCTGGCGGCGGCAATACGTTGACAACGCGACTATTAACGTTAGTGCCGGCTGGGCGGGAAGCGGTCCTATCAAAACTGCAGTTCCCCAGTCCCGACGTCGGTTCGGGCGGAGTGAACGCATATGACCGGGGTGGATAGGCAATGGGGAACTGGGTGGTTGTAAGCACCGCGACGAAGACGTGCGTGATAATCTATTCTTGTCTTTAAGTGCGGGAATTGTAGCTGGATTACCGATTCGTAACCGGCTTGGCAGATAGGTAGGTATTTCGCGGTGAAGCGACAGCATCATGAAAGGACCAACAATCCCGATTCCTGCATCGTCACCCCGTCAACTAGTCCCGTTACGCCGATCAGAACCCCTCGGCCCGGAGGAACCCCACGGAGTTTACTCCTCCTCCTTCCTCTGTGGCGGTGCGGTGTGGCTAAGCCAGAATCTTGATACCTAAGGCAGAAAGTAGCTAGGTACCTTAGGGACATAGGTAGTTACTTGTCGCACGCCCTTTCATATTGCTCGCTATCACGGCCCGTACGTGTATTCTTCAGCTTCCAAACATAGAGGCGCTTTGCTTCGCCGGCTGGTTCGGGAATCCATCGCTAGCCGCCCGCAGTCTGTCTACATGGCGCCATTGCGCTGGAGCGGTCCTACAGGCCTCGTCGTAGGGGCAGTCTATTAAGGACCACCAGCGGAATATCCGTGGCATCCTGCGGGCTCGTAACTCGAGCAGGGCAAGGCGAATTATTGTCCCTCATGACGCGAATCCACCCCCTCTGATAGCCTGCCATAACCCGCTCAAGAAAACCGGATGCGTTCCCTGCGAGGTAGGTAGGGGAACCTTCTCGTCTCTCCCATCTGCGGATGGACGCACCCCCAATGCTTACCTACCCCCCTCGTGGCCGACGCCGCGTAATGGCTCGATGGAGAGGAGGCAGCCCGCGTGGTATAGTCACCACGACATCACATAGCAACGACGTATGGCCCGTCGGCGTGATAGACAACCCGGGGCATGGGATCCCACAACCATATGAAACTTTCCGGGATCTGTTGCTGCGAGCCAGACCTGTTAACCTGGCCCACGGCATCCAGGCGCCCCATCGATACGCCTTACCTTGAGTCAAAATGCTGTTCGCTACTCTGCCGTACGGGGATATCTACGCCTCCGTCGTAAAGCGTCGAGCTCGAGAGCGCGGCAGGTGACTGCTGGCGGTCGGGAAACGATCGAATAGCGACGTCTCCTCCACACGCTCATTGCGCAGCGGCGACGACCTCGAAGCTGTAGCGAATGGCCGCAGCTGGCGGCGATCACAGAGACTGGTGTTTGAGACTCTGGGCATGAGCGCTGGATTTGTCATCTCGGGGAATATGGTGTATTGGGTTCTGGCCGGCCTCTCTCTATCTGCCCATAGACCCCTGGAGTAGAGGGCCTTCGGGCTCGTAAATGTGCCCCTATGCTACTAACATCCTCCTTGCAGCAACTCTGCTCCTGCTCGAGGGGAGGGGGGACGGGACTGCACGCATCCTGGCTCCCAGGTCTAACCTAGAGGGCCGTCGTACTGAGAACGGCCATGCGTTACGATGTAGCATTTTGCCATGAGGAGCGGGTTCTTGGTTCACGGCATGCCCGCCATTGAGAATTGGCCGATGCCACTGGTGACGCACACAATCTCGGTGTGCGTCAGCTTGCTGCAGCTGGTCATGAAGTTGTCCCTCTCCTCGCTGGCATCTTCACTTGGCTGCCCTCTAGGCAGCTATGTAACGGCTGGCCAGAAACGCTCGGGTTGGCCTCATGGGGTTATCGGATCGTCGCAGACCCATCGACCTCGTGCACTCCGCTTGCTGCCTCCCGTAAGATTCTCGCGGGATCTTATGGCCGGCGTCGGCCGCTGAGCAGATCGGCTTCGTAAAGCACATCATTCCCGCCCCCGCACCCGCGCTACTCCCATCTATCCTTGCACGGATATGTCCTGCTGCTAAGGCACGAGAGGTAAGCAAGATCTACGTTACTGTGGACGTAAGGCAGGGATGTCTAGTCCGACCCGACGCCATCCCACCTCTGTCAGCTTGGTTAGGTGCGTACTACGTGGTCGATCGTGAGCTCTTCGTGGATGCCGCTCTCCCGCGCGTCCCAGAGCGCCGGGACGAAGCCGTGTAGCTAATAGGCCGCAGACTCGCAACAGAACACACGAGAGAGCAGACCACTGCTACCCGCCCGTTTCTTTGATTCGCGAGAACTCGGTGACCATCTCTGTCATCGACCAATGGCTCGGGTACTCAGCCCATCCTGCTGAGGACTTGTGGATATTATTCCTCGTAACAACGACGACGGTGCTACTACTAATCTTATTCTCGTGGCGTTCTTGTCGCCATACAGGAGGCGTGAGGGGTGCTACCCCGCCTCCACTACCTCCACGCCTCTACGCTTTACGCACCACGGGACCACACCGAATTGGTGGTCTATGACTGGGCTATGGATGCCGCTTCGACCTCCAGGTGGCCTCCGAGACACAAGTTGCTCACGACACCGACATAGGAGACCGGGTCTGACGACAAAATAGAATATTTGCGACATGTTCATGTAGGCCAAGCATCAATGGCTGGCACCGCCGTGCCGCAACCTCTGATTGACCCGGTGCCGCACGCATTGTGTGTGGAATTATTGTCCAGAGTTAAGCACGCGTCGTATAGTTCATACGATGACGGCATCGCCGTCTCTCCCAGTACGCCCGCTGGGAACGATAGCGTACCTCACGCAGACGCCTTCTCGCATATAGGATCCCCTTACGATCTTGCGTTTTTTTTTTCGACCAGCATTCTATTTCGTACGTGTTTTTTTTTTAAATTATTTTTATCTTTAATCTCTTCCTTTACACGTGGCCCGTCGCAGGCACATGCTTTTCTGACGCTTCCGCCGTTCCATTGGGGGTCTAATGCGCAGCGCAGCAGTTCCGCAAAGCCCTATCCCGATCCTCTTTCTAGAAGAACCATCTCGAACCATCTCAGTGGTGCGAGTCGAGTCGGAAGACGTCCTTCCAACCGCATGCGCATGCATGCTCGCTACGAGGTTGCACGCGTCTCACCGCGTACGTGACTTGAGGAGTAGCGACATAAGCCGAAGCTGGGTACGCTACCCCTTTCCACCTCGCTCTGGCATGCGGCTTTATCACGGATATTAGTTCTCCAGACGTGAGAGATTGCGCGTACGCGGTCCCTCTCCCGCTGGTCGAGTCTGTCCGCAAACGGGATAGGGGCCCTGTAGCTCGGCGTGGGCTTGAGGGAAGACGGCCGCGTACGTCAGGAGACCCGAGGACGTATTATCCGGTGAAACTGGCAAATGGTGAAAATGATGCGTATTTCGAGTCTAGGCTACCTCCGTGTTGTGCGCGCTTCATACTGATACCTGAGCGCTCGATTAGGCTCCAGAGCAAAGAGAGGTGAACCTCTACTAAGCATCCGGAGACGGTGCTGATTTCTAATCCCGCCAGACATCGTTGTAGGTGCGTGGCCTCCTTACAATCCTGCCTCGCAGAAAAGGGACTCATCTTCATCTATTATCGCCTACTTAGCCTCATAAGCTTATTGTCTTGCCTATTGAAGCCGCCGGGTGGCCCCGGCGAGAGACAACCAGACACGAAGCCAAACCTGGGACTGGATTGGTACTCGGAGTACTTCTCTGGGAGTCGTATCTTTCTCTATGTCTCGAGATGGGTATTTTCTTGTTCTATAGGCCTCCTAACGGTTCTGGCGCGCCCTACGCCTCCTCGGCGCCTGAGAAATGAGAGGCGTATTTCCTGCCTACCTTCCTAGGCAAGCCCGCCGCCCACGACGGGCCTGAGAGGGGCTAAGGAGGCAGCCTGGCGGAGTTCGTCACATCTAGGCACGCTCTGAGGGATATACTACATGCCGTATTGAGGGAATGCGAGTGTGGCATGTTGCCGGCTGCACCTCTGGAAATACACACATCGGTCGATCGCGGCCCATCCTTCCTCATTCCACCCCACGCGCCCGATGCTACCTTCAGCCATTTTTCTACCGCCCTACCGATATTGGACACCGTAGCGGCAGTTACCGGAGTGGGCTCCCGTGCTATGTTTCACTCGCCGTATCCGAAAATATCGCCTTTCGCTGAGGGTAGGTGTGAGGGGCAAGGCGACGCGGCGTAGGAATATGGACGACGGCGACGCCACGGCCTCCACATCTCAATCCGCCTAGTCAATCAATCAATCAATGAAACGACGCGCTCGTGCTTGGTGTGCCATCGACGAACCGTGCTGGAACCGGCGGGACGGATCCATGTCGTGTATCCCCAGCTGCGCTGTCCTCGGGACCGCACATGGAGGGGCGCCTGCCTGCGCGCCCACAGCGTGGGCTTCCCGGGTGTGAGCGTGAGCCACGTTGGTGGTACACGCCAGAAAGGGTTGGGGGGAAGGGAGGGGAGGGGAAAGGGGGGGGATATTTTGTTGCTTACTTGCACGACACGCTGCGGCGTCGTGTACAAACCAGCTACCTCGCCCTGCCTCCCCCCATCTCGCGACCGGCGACTGCGACTGTGACTGCGACGGGAGCGGGAAGGTAGTAGCAGCAGGTACAGGCTAGGTATAGTGGCACGCGTCGGCAGTGACGCCTGCAAATAGTCGGTTAGGGCTGAAGCGACATGGGGGCGAGGTGTACAGATTTGCCTACAGGTGTGAGAAGTGTGAACAGGGAGCCTTGCTTTCCTAGGTACTGGGATCTGGGGCGGCAGGATTCCTTACGGCAAACGGGGACGACGGGATAGGAGAATTGAGTCCAAATAAAGTTGAGCCGTAAGATGACATGTCCAATTCCCTTGCGAGACTCTCCGGAGAGGGAGAAGAGAGGGCGGCAAAAAGGGGAGGAGAGGGGGGCAGGGGGGGGGGGGGCTTACCCTGGAAATAGCAACAGACTACTAAGTCGAGGTTTCATGTAGATAAACGACTCTCGAAGACGGACCCCGGCGACGTTTGGTACAGCGCTGGTTGCATTGGGTAGGTCGCAGTTCGCTTTTGTCACGGGGCCGAGACGACGTCGAATGTCCGGTTCGCGGTCTCTCGCATCTCTCTCTCGTCTCCTTCTCTCTCCCGACGCGGCTGCTACTGTCTCAAGGAGAAAAAACTACTACTAAAAAAAAAGTGCGAGGAAATAGAAACGACAAGACTGAATTGCCCTCGTCGCAAGTTGATACGCGCCCGCTGCGGTTTCTAGTAAATCCTGACGGACAAAGCACCGAAGGAATGCATGTCGACAGGCGGGAAACCAACTACATGGGAAGATAGGGAGGCCGTAGTCAGATCCAGCTGTGTGTATTGCGAATAAAACAAGGTCTATAGGATGGCCGATTGGCCAGTTCTCCTGATCGTGGCTAAAAAAGATCGACAGGCCCCCACGAGAGCAGCAGCAGCAGCAGCAGACAAATGCGTGGCTCTGTAGGAAAATAAAAAAGCGAGTGTTGCATCCGCCCAGTCCAGATGTCTGTCTAGTCTCTCCCATTTCCATTTCCATTTATACCTACTCCCCCTTGCGTCTATCATTGGTGAGTTTCTAAGAGCCCTTGTCCATCCCCACGCAGCCTGGGCAGACAACCCGACGTCGCCAAATGCCGCAGGCGACCCAAATAAATTAACGCCAGGAACGGCGAAAATCGACAGGAACGCAACCTCCTTGCAGTAGCAGCGTTGTTAATAAAAAAGAGAGAAAAAAAAAAAGAAACATGACTCTCTACTACTCCACCTCCCCCTTTTGCGGATCTTTTGTTCCCGAAAGGGGTGGGTGGTCGGTGGGGTCTCTCCCGCGAGGAAGGTCGATGATGGGTCTAGTAAGTCTAAATCTATAACGGCCGATGGCACTCGCCGCCGGCGAGGAGAAGAAGAAGAAGAAGAAGACGAAAAAGGCACAGAGTGAAGAAAAAAAAAGGGGAGCCAAAACGAAGACCAGAGAAATCTGCCTAGTGACGTGGGAGATAGGACCCCATAGAGAGAAGTAGTCCTATACCCAAGTAGGCATCAATGAGGAGAAAGGGAGCGACAAGAAAAGAAGCAAATGAGACGTGGGAAAACGGGTAGGGGATCCTCGAAGATTCGACGCACCAGAAACTAGCTCAAGGCGGTGCGGTGCCTGGCGCCGCGCAGCCTGCGCGTCAGCGTCGTACTATCGTCGAGCGCCAATCGCATCCGCCAGAGGCAGCGTCCGGTCCGATTTGCCTCTCGCGGCAGCTCTCTCAGTAAGCGGCACCCAGACGAGCCTGGGGTGCGTTCAAGCTGCTTATCTGCTGTTTATAGCATGTGGTCTGCAGTCCCGAAGCCCACGAGCGCGCTCCAGAGGCAGCGGGCCGGCAGATGGCGGCGTCGCCACCACCACCACCACCACTACCACCCGGCGCTCTCGGTTCCGGGGAGGCGATCCCCTGCGCGAAGGAGCGCGAGTTCTGGCCACTCAGAGCTCCCGCGCGTCGTGCCTCCAGCTGTAGGTGAAATGCGCTTCCCGTGACTGTAGCGTCGGACTCCGGTTTGCGATATACGTCAGCGGCTTGGCTCGTCGTGACTGTGGCGAAAGACAAGCCTGGGGCGGAGCCAAATGGACCAGGGCGGCCCTCTGAAGATCCCGGCGATGGATCCGGCAGTGGACCCGAGTCTTGGGCGCAAGTTCCCACGCCATCGTGTAGAGATAGCCCTGGGACGTATGACTTGCTTGCGCTGCAGGAGCCGGGATGAGACATGTGGAGATCGAGTGCCCCGTTGGGGGTTGCAGCGTAGACGGAGGTATGCAATCTTGTTTCACCTCGCATATCAGATCCATCGGTAAGCTTATCATCGTATAGTTTTCTCTCGGTTCCTATGACTGTATCCCCACGCAGGTTGAGCGCTGACGTCGCCGGCTTAGCTGCCACTCGGGAAACTTGAAGTCCCCAGGAAGCATGGAACGGTCCGAGTGGATACGTGTCAAGATTGTTAATTTTGACAACCCGGTCGTCCTGAGTCATCTCGCCAGCTGTGTATTTCACCGATCTCTGCGGGCTAGGCGGTGGCGTAGGCACATCTGGCCGAGGGCCAATGGGGCCTGGTCTGTTAGGCACCATATGCAGTTAGTGATAGGTCCTAGCTATATATCTCGCCTATTTTCGGGGGTTTCAGGAAACGGCATGCTGTAAAAGCTGGCGACTAGCCCAAGACAGCGTGCCGGGTTTTGAGGGGCTGTTCTCGGGGTCGATAGATACTGACCTGGGACCTGGCGTAGGCGGGCGAGGGGGGTGAGGGTATGAGATGGGCACTCCTAGAGCGAACCGAACCGCAGCAGCGAGAAGAGAGAATTCCTGAGCCGCCAATATGTAAAAGCACGCCAGTGGAGATTGTGGGCTGGGCGGTGGTGTTGGTACAGGCGGACGGGGGGGTATTGGGGGTGGCCGTGGAGGGGGTCCCGGAGTTGGGGGACGGGGCGGATCTGGAAACGAGAGCTTCGCGATCGTTTCCAGGCGATCAGTTGAAGGATCGATTCCGAGAAAGTCGAATTGCCCCGTGTAAGCGTGGGCTCTCGAAGGCTTGGACATGACGTCCGAGCATGGAAGGGGGAGTGACGCTTGTAGTTGCAACATCCTGTCAAGACTAGATGCTCTCTCTAGCGGCAATTGTAGACGGACACTCGTCTATTTATCGTAGAATGAGACAGCTTGATATGATGGGATCGATGAGTGACTGAGTGATGACTCCTATTTGGTGTCGAGCGAGTGAAGACTTCTGCTTGGGGATGCTCCCGGGCAGGTGATTTTATAGTTTCTTGTGAGGTCCGATAGAAGCACTCCTGGGGGAGGAGGAAGGGAGGCACGGTAAAGGAATGAAAGGATGTAGGGTAGACGATCGGTTCGGCACGTACCGCAACGGATTCGACTTGGTCCCATCGTGAAGCAAACATACGGCGGAAGTATTTTCGGCGGTCGTGTGAGGACCCAGCTACCTGCAATGCTCGCCATACCGAATATCATCCCAACAGGTTCTTCATTGTGGCTTCTACTATGAAAAAGTCCCGGTCCCCGGTAACTCGACTTGTAACAGGCAGCTGAGCCTGCGCCTCCATAATCCGTAGTCGGCGGTCAGGTATCCCTAGATATGCCGCTTTCTGGAGTGGCGGTGGGGTGAGATATCCAGTCTTCAAGACGCGAGTCTAAGGCAAAGAAGATGCATTTTCGCCATCACAGAAGGGATGACCACAGCTCGGAACGACTTCATCCATCGTTAACGATACCCGCCGCCGCGGATCTGACGACGAGTGGTGGCGGGCACACCGGAAATCGCAGATCTAGTGAGACTCGAAAATTGCCCACGGATTAGGTGTCTCGTGATCGACTCAGAGGGACGGAGGGGCGGGAATGGGCCGTTAGGGATGGGCCATTGTTCTGGTGAGCGTCCTAGATAGTGTGAATCAGTATGACGGGTCATGGCGAAGCATGGTTGGAGTATACTATTCAGAGGCAGAGAAGTTCAGCGCCTCATTCGTCTCGATAGGTGTGCTTTGGACCTATCAGCGGCCGGCTTGAGAAATAGCCATGATGAGTGTGGCACCGTAAGTATCTGTGCGGCTCATGCAGGCCATGGGGAAATACCCGCTGGTCGTTGGCCGCCCTACGCGTTTCGAATCGTATAGCGTATGCATAATATAGCCAGGGCTAAGCGCGTTGGGAGAGAGAGGGGGGGAGCCGGAGGGAGCGTGGTTTCGACTACACGGCTGTGCGATTGAAGCGAACCTAGAGCAGAGATTAGTTCGTAGAGTCAAGACTCGACCGCGCCTCAGGCTTACCGGTCACCCATCCTCCCATTGGTCCATGGAGACCATCCGCCGTCCAGGCCGCCGACCTCGGCTGACTCGTTGGAGCCGTTGCCGCTGCCGGTGAACGATTCCCCTCCGAGATGGCGACGGATTCGGACTAGACGAACACGCAGCGTTCGTATGGCTTTCAATACACCCCGAGGCTCCTATTACCATGCCCACGAGTGTGGCTATAGCATGCCTATATATTGCGGCCCACAAAGTCTGCAGCGAAATCAGCATGGGCTCTGGGCAATCTAGTTGTAGAAAGGTAGGAAAATAGGCGAAACGGGAAACAAAGAAGAATAGAACCAAACGCCCCCCTCGTAACACCCACGCGTACATGATACAACACTCGAGGCCGCCATCACTCGGCTTAGACGAAGTGTCCGCAGTACCTTGCCTCTCGATCACGAAAGGAAGGGGTAGGGAGAAAAAGGGAGAAAGACGTGATGCGGCGTTAGAAGAAGCGGGAAGTCTCTCTCCAGGACAGCATAATCCGTCCGTATAGGTCGTACTAGCCTCATACCTTCATACTTGGGGGCAAAGAACACATGTCGTACACATCGAGCACACCGCACTAATAAGAACAGCTCAAGTCAGCAAATTGCTATTTGCGGAAAATGTCAGAAGTGGGACCTGGGATATTGTAAAGATTTGTTGAAGCTCTCCGTCAAGTCATCTAGAAGGAGAAGCTGGAGGACTCCGTCGTTTGGGGTCGAGATCAGGAGGAAGCCCAGGAACAAGGAATGGGCCCCAGGAATGTTCGTACGCACAATCCCTACCCCTAAAGCTACCATACTACGTAAACACTTAGTCACTGCTCATCCGGTTGCTTGCTCACTTAGGACGACGCCGTAGCTACTCGGTGAATAGGCACGACGAGTAACCATTTAATTAAAGAAAAAGATGTGAAACACGGGCTGGTACTTACTGCTTATCATTACTAGTCGGTAGCCTTCGCCTGAATGCTACTCTCGTCCTCGTCACAGCGCGCCGTTAGACGGGTTTGAGCTTCAGCGCGGTCGAAAGGAGTTCACATGGCAAGCTCACGACGCCGTTGTACGGCGTCGGATCCTACAACGAGGAGTTCCAAGGCAGAAATGCACCTGGAGGCTGATCGGGTGACCCTGCGAAGACCCCTTTCTGCCCATCCTATACGGTTATGGGTTGGCTTGGAAACAGAGAGGATAGCGTAAGTGTCCAAGATATTATGGTGCAACCTGCCTGTCCCCATACGAAGCTTTATAGACCCCAACTTGTGTGTGTATATATATGCGTGTGTGGATTGGTAGCTAGTGAGATTAGCACTTGTCGGGCACGTCGTGACATTGGCGATAAAGTCAACACGTTAGCCATCAACAGCTGGTGGGCGTGAATACCTTTGCACCCCTCAAGGCAACTAATACGTAGCGACTCGAGTTTAGAATAGACTGTCGAGTCGAGGTGATGAGCTTAAGTCACGGAACCTCGCGTAGAAGTGTGGAAGCGCGGAGATTGGATCATTCTACTAAGCACTGCTGTCCGTAAGACGAAAAACACGGCGTTGCCTGCCACGAAGAAGAGCGAAAGCGGACTTTTAACAACCTAAACAGAGCAACAAATGGGAAAACTGCCTCCCGGGGCACGAAGAACGCCGTAAAGGCAGCACGTACGTCTGTGCAGCGGTGCGATGACTCCCTCGTTCAGGCGAAGGCGGCATAGCACGACCTAGAAGGATCATGAGTAATGGATCCGGTGGTTCAGCAAGGAACAGACATACTGCTGTAGAATCGGTAGTCAATTATCAAAACCCCTAAGCCGCGAATGCCACTCTCTTCCGAACCCTTGTCTCGATACAGCAATGCTGGATTTCCCATCTTAACGATAGCCCCTGCCGCGGCTACGCGAGCGGCTGCGGGCACGGTGGCTGTCATAGCTAGGGCTCCGTCGTCGAACATCATCGTAGTTGTCATAACTATCTCTCCTTCCTCGTCGTCTTGGGCCAGATCGGGACCTGGACGCGTACGAGCCTGACGGGCTACGATTGCGACGGGGAAAAGGGGATCGCGACCGCGAATAGGAGCGGGGACGGTAGGTGTCGAAATTATCGCGACCCGGCCGGCCATATCGCGGAGGCGAATGAGGCGGTCGGCCTCCGCCAAGCCCACCTCCTCTTCCACCACCAGGAGGACCGCCGCCGCTGCTGCTTCCACCGCCACCGCCCCTACCGCCCCTGAAGCCAGGCGCGGGGAGTCGCGGATCGATATTTGCGCCTCGGCTAGCAGTTGGCGGAGAAGGCGAGAATTTTCGGCGGGGGAGGACGATGGAAACGTTGATAACTGAGCCGTCGACGACAGCCTCATGCATGTGGGCGATGGCCGCTTCCGCATCAGCTTCGTGGACATAGAGAATGTAGGCCGTGCCGCGATTCGTATTAACTAAGAGGTTCAAAGGCCAACCAGTCAGCCTCGCCGCCTCCTACCATCGCTAGGAAATTCGGGTTAGACGGATTCACTCACATTGCCGATTCATGGGCATGTCTAAATCTCGAATGATCCCATACTGGCCGAATATCTCGTGGAGGTGGTCCTCATTGATAGTCTTGGTTAACTTCTCGACGACGATCTGGGAAGCGATTGCGTAATTCGAGTTAGCGTACACTTCGGCACAGGGAGGAGAATATGTCGGATTAGAGGAGGGAGGGCGATTCCTGGGTGCGTAGAGCGAGCTGACCGACCTTGGTGCTGCCCCTCAGGGGGCTCTCACTCCTGCCACGAACATCGCGATCGCGGCTCCGGCTTCGACTGGCGCTACGGAATCTACCATTGCGGCGGGGAACCGGAGACTGAGACCTGGTGGGCGACCGGCGGCGTCGAACGGGCGAAGGCGATCGCGAATAACGAGACCGAGGAGTCGGGGAGCGTGACACGTAACGGTCTCGGGAAGGCGACCGGTACTCCATCTCGGTTGGCCGCGACGGGTTGGGTGCCTAACACAATACCTAGCACAACCTGTGCCCCGATCGGTCTGCGAGATGCTGGAAGGCAAAAGGGCGGAAAGGCAGGCGGCTGGGCGTTGGCGTTGAAGGATGCAGTCTCACGCTGGCGCGTGTAGGGAGTTGAAGCTGTCAAGTTAAGCACCAGCCAGCTTGAGAGGTAGGTAAAAAATAGCTTTCCTCCATCCAGCCTGGGCGTGTCCTGCCTAGGAAACTTCTGGGTGGGGACCTCGTGGATGTACAAGGTACATATCCTGTCAACATGGGTCCATGTGTAATGTATCCAGCGGTGGTATTGTACATGCAGAATCGCCCTGGGGCGCGCGCGAGACACAAGTACCCGGACACAGATATAAGCCAGTGCGCTGTATCTCACGTGACTGCGACAGGGACAATCGGAGAAATCGGAAAAGGTCCATACGTTAGGTACTTACCAGGTACCTACCTAAGGTATCTAGGTACCCACAGCTAGTAAAGGCTGTACTCATAAGCTGACCGGGGCCTAACAAGTGCCTAGCAGGTGCCTAGTGCCCGGCTAATCCATGGCTCTAGGGGTGGCCGGCCCGACTAACCCAGCTGCATGCCGGTACCTACTACATTACATGCGCACAATTATGGGTGGCCTACGATAGCTTCCCCCTTCTCCATCTCCGGCGACAACTCCCAACCCAGCCCGGCTGTCATGCGGGCCATCTGTGTACTCATATACCCGCGTATGCATGGGTGTCGGCGCTTCACGAACAGTCTTCACGAGCTACGTGGACAACTTGCGAATTATTACTTGGTAGATTCGATGGTTTAGCTCGACACCCCCAATACACGCCTATACCTATCCGAAGCAGGTATGCTGCCATGTTCGAGCGGGAGACGGATGCAGACTCGTCACCCTCGATGCCGCGCGCCGGTGCTGGCGGCCCCATTGCAGGCCCCTTCTAGTACTCGTATCTGAAGTTGGGGTTCTCCCGATCCGTCAGGTCCTCAAACGCGTGGATCATCTGGGCGTCGGCGGCCTCCCTGGCGCCCGCCGCCGCTAGCGCGTCCCGCTTCTTGTTCTGCCTAACGAGGTGGAAACGGAAGTACAGCAAGATGAGGACGAGGGCGGAATAGCAACCAAGATGGGTCGCGAACGCCGTGTAGTACGTGGGCGCGTCTCGCGAGAGGAACACTTGAGGGCCTAGACGGGCAAATTCACTATCGTCAGCAAACGAAGCATGCCTCCCTCGGCGGTAGGCCGACGGCTGTGAGGTCTCACGTACCGATAGCATTTCCCGCAGACCAAAAGATGAAGTTTAGAGCGACGACCACCGTCTTCTTCGTCTGGCCGCCGACGTTTCGGGACATCAGCGAGAGACCCAAGGTCTGCGCAGCCCAGAAAGATAACGTGATGTAGTAGCTGATGAGGAGCCCGACGTGTTGCGCGTAAGTCTCGTTGGGGACGGTCATCAAGAGGATGGTGCCCACAAACGATCTAGCAGTTAGAATGTTAGCTGAGAATCGTGGTACGCTTGTCGGGTGGAGAGAGGGGTATAAAGATGCAGCTTACGGAACGACAAAGCCTAGCATGGTCAGGATGTTCTGGTTGAATTTCTTCACTAGCCAGACCGAACTCAACAGCACAATGATGATGTAGATGCCGAGGACCATGGCGAGGAGCTGCGTCTGCAGGTTGGTAAATCCAAGACTCTTGGAGATGATCAGGTTCGCGAAAGCCCCGAGCCCGCTGGTCGGGAGCGTCGTTGTGAATTGAATGCTGGCATAGCACCAAGTCTGGGGGTCCGTTAGGGCGTCCCAAACCTGCTCTTTCTTGAAGACGCGGTTCTGCAATCCCGTCTGGTTGTCACGGACACGCTCTACCATTAGGTGCTTGTCTTCTTCGGTAAAGCACTTGGCGCGCATCGGCGAGTCGGGCATCCAGTAGAAGACGAAAACGCCGAAGATCACGGAAATGATACCGTACGTCAGGAAGAGCCACTGCCACGATCTGAGGGGACCGGTCGTGATGAGGGTGAAGCAGTAGGCGAGTAACCCGCCGACAATCTGCTGCGCACCATTCATCATGTACCAATACGTCACCCTCTCGGCTTGTTCTTCGCGTCTGTACCACATGGAGGACAGGATCACGAAAGCAGGCTGGCAGGTCGACTCGAACAGCCCGAGAAGCGTCCGAACTACGAGCAACCCGGTGAAGTTATTGCAGGCGGCATGGCAGGCCAGGACGCCACCCCAGGCCACGATCGAGAAGCTTAGGTATTTGGCAACCGGTACGCGGGCGAGGATGTAGTTCTGTGTTTTCCGCTATCAGTACGCTTCCGTATAACAGCCCATAACGGGTAGAATGAGAACAGTGGGAGAACCTCATACCTGTGGGTACTCGACAATGAGGATGGTAATATAAATACAGGTCGTCAGCCATGAGAAATCCTGGCTGACTTCGCCTCTCGAGTTGACCAGGCCGGTGTCTTTGGGCAAGCCCATGATCGATGCAAAAGACATGGTGCCTTTATCGATGGCCTGGAGGAAATACGTCGCGATCATGACGACCAAGATGCGCTTATCGATCAACTTCCGAAGTCTGATATTTTCCTCAGGTGAAATCTGAATCCGGGCAGCTGATGTGTATTTGGCAACCTCCTCGTCGACCTTGGCATAGTTGGCGTGGTCTCCCTTCTCTAACTCATCTGGCACAGACTGGGCCCTCTCTACCTCTGCTAGCGAGATGCGTTTCCCCCCATTATCTGACACATCAGCCGTGGCCTCAACTTGGTCGTGATCGGGGACCGGAGCGGACGACATGGTGAAAAAAAAAAAGTACTCCGCCTCTCGGACTGCGTTTAGAAGCTAGGTTTCACGCAGTCTTCTGTTGTCTAGTGGCTTTGTAGCGATGGGGGGGACGAGTCTCACCGCAAGGTATGCCTGAGGGGATAGAGTAGAAGAGACGAGATAGGACGAGGGACCTAGAGTCGGGAGCAACAGGATTTTTATTCACAGCTCGTGCCATCAACCCCCCGACATTACCATGTATACAAGCCTGTCTAGTCGTGGTGCCGTGACATCGCTACCGAGCCTACGCAGCAAGGTGGACAAAGGACCGACGGTACGGCATACGCCCATTCGTCTAATACATCTCCCCAGACCAGGGGAAAAGCTCGTCAGATCGCATATTGGGGTGGGGTTCGACAGGAATCATACTATTACCTGATTGAATCAAGCACGCTAATACCACTACTGGGGAGGGCGGATTCTGGGCAATCTGGGGCTCCCCGGGCCGCTGGGGTTTGGGTATTCTCCAAAATCTGGGGGGGGATGGGGAACAAACCCTGACAGCTATGATCGGCCTGGGGGAACTTGGACCGGCCTGAACTGCCTCCCCCCCTGCCTACCTCGACGGAGCTCCAACTTCTTCGGGATAGAAAGGGCTATAGTCCGCGGAATCTCGAACCCCCAGGGAGCTAGGCTCGGTACCCGTTGGCCCGAGATCGTCACCTGTGGGATGCGACGGGCCACCGGAAGGGCCCCATCCAACACCCGTCTCCAACTTTGGATTTTCTGCACGCCCGCTCTTCTCGGTCCAAACACCTCCCGTATCTCTCTCGCTCGCTGTATCGTGGCGACGAGAGGGCTCATCACGCGGGCATAAAAGTCCCAGACTCTCCAATTACCTATTACGAGATAGATTCTCGTGTGCGTGGGCGTTGAGAATACCCTGCAGGAGACACTTCGAATGTTACTCTGGACCTGTGGAGAATATCACAAGTGTACCGCACTGACTCCTCACGGGGAGGGGTGGCATTTTCTGCGTCTCCATACGATTTACTCGTTAAGCAACACTCCAGGTATTTCGAGAAGCCCGAAGGAGGTTCAGAATTCCCGTTCTCCTATATAAACTTGCCCCTACCGAAGGGTGTGCGTAGGAGGGAAAAAAAAGAGGAAGAGTTGGATTTTTCGATCTTGTATAATAATTGGCGAAATTGGCGAGGTGTTGGATTTAATACCTGCCCCATCATCCCCCCTGAAAAACTGCGAATACCTCGAGGGCTTCCGAATTCGGCTCGCCCAAGATGCCGGCCGAAGTTCACGGAATCAAGTCCAGCGACGTCCACGCTAAGATCCAGCTCCTCATCGACGGACTCGTAAACATCAAAGACAAAACAGGAGAGTTCCTATTGACGCTCCCGGACGGCCGCGTAATCGACACGAAGGGATGGAACGACTGGGAGTGGACCCATGGCATCGGCCTCAACGGGATCTGGGCCTACTACTCGCTGACCGGGGACGAGAAGTACCTCAAGATCATCGAAGACTGGTTCGCCAACCGATTCGCCGCCGGCGGGACGACCAAGAACATCAACACCATGGCCGTGTTCCTGACGCTGGCTTACGTCTACGAGAAGACCGGTAACCAGACCTACCTGCCCTGGCTCGACAGCTGGGCCGAATGGGCGTACCACGACCTCGAGAGGACCAAGTACGGCGGCATGCAGCACATCACATATTTAGAAGTCAACGACCAGCAGTTGTGGGACGACACGCTCATGATGACCGTCATGCCCCTGGCCAAGATCGGCAAGCTGCTCAACAGGCCGCACTACGTCGACGAAGCGAAGCGGCAATTCCTCATACACATCAAGTACCTCTTCGACACCAAGTCGAACCTCTTCTTCCACGGCTGGACGTTCCACGACGGCGGTCACAACTTCGCCGGCGCGCTGTGGGCGCGGGGCAACGCGTGGCTGACCATCGTCATCCCCGAGTTCCTCGAGCTGCTGGATCTGGCCGCCGGCGACCCGATCCGGTCGCACCTCCTGGACACGCTGAACGCGCAGTGCGAGGCGCTGGTGCCGCTGCAGGCGCCGTCGGGGCTGTGGCGCACGCTGCTCGACCAGCCCGAGGCCGAGGGCTCGTACGCCGAGTCGAGCGCGACGGCCGGGTTTGCGTTCGGCATCCTCAAGGCGCAGCGCAAGAAGTACATCGGGAAGGAGTACGAGGAGGTGGCGCTCCGTGCCGTCCGCGCCGTCCTCGACAACGTCGACGCCGACGGCGAGCTGCGGAACACCTCCTTCGGCACCGGCATGGGCCACACCCTCCAGCACTACAAGGACATCCCCATCACGAGTATGCCGTACGGGCAAGCGATGGCTATCATGGCGCTGGTGGAATTCTTGAGAGTATTTATCTAGATAGAGAGAGGAACAAATTCATGCTATGACCGTCGGAGCGAACGGGGGCCTCGCGGACCCGTTCTCCTAAAATGCCCAGCATCATGAGGAATTCTTCATAAAAAAAAACCCCTCCTCCCCAACCCAGAATAGCGAATCGCCCCCTTTAGTCGAGAAGGGCCCTCTTAACGAACTCGACGTCCTCTGGCGTCCCGCACACCAGCCCGGCAGTCTCGCCGGTGTCGCGGACGGGGACCTCCATGACGGGCCGGCCGTCGGCCGGGTCGATGGCGCGGCCGCCGGCGCACTCGACGACGAGGGCGAGGGGCAGCAGCTCGTAGAGGCGGCGCAGCTTGGCGGGGCTGGCGGCCGTGGCCGGCGAGACGTAGATGCCGTGGCCCTTGACCAGCGCGTGGGCGACGTCGGGGACGAGCCCGCCGCTGTACCGCAGCGTGTAGCGCTCGCGCGCGAAGTGCGCCACCAGGGCCATGTACCGGGGGCTCTCCGCGGCGGCGCGCAGGTTCGCCGGCGCGAAGTACCGCGCTAGCGGCGGCGGCGGCGGGCCTGCGAGCCGCACCTGCGCGCGCAACACCTCGCCGCCCCGCGCGCCGCCGACGCCCAGCTCCACGCACGTCGGCGCGCCGCCGGGCGCGCGCAGCGCCACGAACGCGGTCGTGCGCGGCCCGTAGACGGCGAGCACGGCGGCGACGAGGCGGGCGGCGGGCGGGCGGGCGAGCGCGGTGCGCCCGCGCCAGACGCCGACGATGGTGCCGACGGCCCAGTTGGCCGCGGCGACGGAGCTGCCGTCGAGCGGGTCGAAGGCGACGGCGTACTGCTCGCCGCTCGCGCCGCCGGGCGCGGCGCCCGTCGCGCGCTCGACCGGGTCCTCCTCGCTGCTGGCCGCGACGACGAACGGGCAGCGCGCGAGCGCCGCCCGGATGCGCTCCTCCGCCACCACGTCCACGTTCAGCTGGGCGTCGCCGAAGGCGTTCGCGCCCCCCGCGTGGACGACGCGGTGCGAGCTCCTCAGCGCCTGCGCGATGTCCGCGACGCAGTCGATCAGCGTCGGGAGCACCGACTCGATGAGGCCCTCGTATTCCTGCGGAGGGACGGCAGACCGCAGGTGCTCGGCCAGGCTCGTCGGGGGCCGAGCGGCCTCGCTGGAAACATGCATATCCCGCCCGCTAGCCAAGACAGAGCTCTCTGAGGTTGGTGTGGTCTTGCGTTGGTCTCTTTGCTCCGGAGACAAACGCAAATTGACGGCGTCAACGAGGTGGATTGCGGGATATAATATGTAGAACGAAGTTGTTGGCCGGCGGTGTACAAACCAAACACAGAGTGTAGGTAGACTTATGAGGCATTTCGATAAGTACATAGACTCAACCCGCCGTGCTTCTCGATAGCCGAATACTCTTCGATTCGCAAGCCCAACAGATTGTATCACGAGAGCGTGCGAAGGGAGAATAAGGAATACTAAAACCGGGTATATAATTAACTTCCTCCCCTATTCTCTCTCTCTCGGCCTCCTTCTTTCTTTTTCCGCACTTCGTCTTATCCCCCCTTCTTCTCTGAAACCAGCTCCTCCCCCGGCGTATTCATATATTGGCACCAATATGGAAAGAAAATCCCCCTCCACAACCCCTTACCACCTACCAACGTTGGTAGGACACCAGACTCCGAGAACGGCTCTGATGTTAGGCACGCGTTACATCTCTGCTTAACCAATTTAGAACTCGTCTGACCTGGGTCTCTCTTCTGCGCTGCCACAAGTCTCGACAAATCTCGTGATACTCCTGGTGGCGAAGTGACAGTGAGGCTCTAGATCTCCAGCGTAACACTACTTACGTATGGAATGCCGGCGTAGCCGCCTAGGCCCCTAGGTGTTCCGGTTAGGAGCAGGATATTGGATACACGCATACTCTAAAACAACCACCAATCGGAAGACCGACCAGGACTTGCCCCAACTGTTGTTACCATGGCGCCGGGTTCGTTCAAATCCTCGAGCAGGTCGAATCAACCTATTGGCTGACAAGCGAGAGGATGTAACAAGCGGCATTGCTAATAACTATCAATATTTCGTTAGAGGCCCGGTTCACATCGAGGAGCTGTCTATGTCTCACGAGAGACGTTGATCAATCACGCCATCCTGGTATGGCTGTCGTAGAAGATGTCTGAAACTACTTTCTTGTTCGAGGTGTCTATCACTATCATTTGGGATAAACGTTACAACCCAGGTCCGCTATGGCTTCAGTATTCGGCCGAATACCTATAACGCGGGCCTAATTAGTATTCAAGTGTCTACTAGTCGGTCGATGTCCCAAAGTAGAGGCATTCCGCAGGCGGTGACCGAGGATAACCGACTACGGAGGGTGGATTGCTACACCCCACGGCCGCCTGCTTGTTGGTAACGCTTTTCCGCGATCCGCCATCCGAGTTCCGACGGATGATGCATGAGGCTCTTGATGGAACGCCGAGGGCTGCTCGGGCCTAGACATTTAAAGCGACTAATCTCACGACCGCATGTCCTTTCCGAGTTGACTATCGTAGTTTCTTTTTAAGATATAGGAGTTGATCGTTGATCATACAACACCGATCTCGCTCTCACAATGCCGGGCCGTACTCAGCCTTCGTCAGGATATACGGACTCGTCGATCGAATACGAATTATTCCAGACATATTCGGTATCCACAAATGGCTTCCTCCCCGCCAAAGAACCCTTAAGGCGGCTATCAAGCTCATACTACGCGCCGTGGGAGTCCACTGTAGAAGATTTGCCGTCGTTATTAAGGGAGGGGACGCTCCGGAAAGCCGTCGATGACTTGGAGACGCTTTCGACAAGCAAGCTGCGCTCAGAGGAAGAATGGCGTCGGGCATACGTAGTGCTGTCGTTCTTAGCTCACGGGTATATTTGGGGGGGCGAGAAGCCATCAGAGGTATGAATTCTGTTACCAGGCTCCATGACCTCCGCCGTTCATTGACCCATGGTCAGGTTCTTCCCCGGGCTGTATCAGTGCCGTTTCTTCAAGTTTCAAAACACCTCGAGCTCCCGCCGGTTGCGACTTATGCCGGACTCAACTTGTGGAACTTCAAAAGCACCGGATCTGACTTCCGAGACCTGGACAAGCTAGAGGCACTACACACGTTCACCGGCACGGTGGACGAGTCGTGGTTCTATGTTGTTTCGGTGGCTATGGAGGCAGAGGGTGGGACCATTATTCCTGTCCTGTTCCGGGCCCTGGAAGCTGCGCGAAATCGCGACTACTCGACAGTGATAAAGGCGTTGGGTGAGGCGACGGCCTGTATCGGGAAGCTAGGCCAGCTTCTTGACCGCATGGACGAGAAGTGCGACCCGACAGTATTCTATCACCAGATCCGCCCCTTCCTAGCGGGCAGTAAGAATATGGGGGTGGCTGGCCTTCCTAACGGGGTCCTATACCAAGACAAAGAGGGCAGGACGAGCTGGAAGCAGCTGAGGGGCGGTAGTAATGGGCAAAGCTCACTCATCCAATTTTTGGACGTCGCCCTGGGGGTCGAGCATACGTCGACTGGTGGTGGTTCGCGGATTGGTGCCGTGATGCCCCAGGGAGGGAGAGGAGCAACGCCAGGCTTTCACGAGGAGGTCCGATCCTACATGCCGGCACCCCACAGAGAGTTTCTGCAGCACGTATCGCGCATGGGCAGCCTTAAAGAGCTTGCGAATGAGCCGGCTGTATCGGAGGAACAGAGACAGCTGCAGGTGGCGTTCCAAGTCGTCACTAAAGCCCTTGGCGACTTTCGAAACAGGCACATGCGCATTGTCTCGAGATACATCGTCGTGCCATCGAGAAAGCAGACCCGAAACTCGACAGTCAACCTCGCCACCGCATCATCGCGAGGTAGCAAACCACCCGGAGAGGAGCTGACTGGGACGGGAGGGACAGCGCTGATCCCGTTCCTCAAGCGGACGCGCGACGAAACATACTTGGCGGGCGTCTTGGCACCGGATATGCAAAGTGAAGTCCGTATATAAGCGCGTCTGTGCGGGATTCAGGTGATCTAGTACGGGTTGTCGACAGGTCTAGAACTGGTGGAGCTTGGGATAGACGGGCAGGTACATGTGGAGGTACTGAAGAAGACCCCTTCGGCTTGTTGTAATTATTGGTCCCGAGATGGAAAGCGTTCAAAGAAAGAGCTCATGAAGTTCGTGTAATCCTCGCCGATGGATAGATATCTGTGCTATGGTGAAGTTCTAAGCCGGTGACAAGCCGAGCCTATCTTGACGACGCCACTTACAGTGGTGATTACCCCAGCTGCTTAGTTGCGTAGCACGTGACTTGGCACTTATCGGGGCATGCATATGTGTACAGTGGGTATTTATCGCCGTCAAAAAATCTATTGCATGGTATCCATTAGATAGATCGGCGCTGTCGACAGAGGGCAAGTAAACACAACCAGGGCAAGGCCCTTCGGGACCTGGGGAGCGGAATTGGACTAGAAAGCGGTGAGGCTTCATGCACCACGGTAGCGTACGTAGATACGATATGCCGAGGATGGCCGGCCTCGCAGCGGAATTCCTTCTTGGATCCGCCATTTCATCCGCATCCGAAGTTCCGACATCCGCCTCCCCTGCTTACCGCTGACGGCCGCGAGTTATCGACCAGATCCCGATCCTGGCACCAACACGGTGCCACTGCTTATTATCCGTCATCATTGCCGCGGTGCCCTGGCGGAATTCTGTCGCCCCGAGAAACCCTCATGGCCGATTTCGTTCGCCGCTGGCTGACACAGTATTCCGTCCCCCGCGATGATCCGCACTCGAGTAGCTAATGCTTGTGATGCCTGTAAGAGACGTAAAGGTGGGCGCGTATACATTTCTGCTCGTCTCGAGAGCAGAGCCCTATCTTAGATTACCTACACGACACGGCCGCTTGCTAACTAACGGCTGTCTGTGATAGTTAAATGCGACGGGAACTTGCCCTGTGGCTACTGTAAGACCCGGCGGCATGGCTTGACCTGCCACTTCTCCCCTGGCACCCGGCGTCGGGCGAAGAGACCACATCTTCCTTCTTCTGAGTCATGCCCGCCGTCAAATCCGGCATCCGCCGGGATAGACGAGTCTCCCCATGCTTCCGCCGGCCCCTGTCTACCAACGGGGGCTAGTCACGCCCCTGACGACGCCATCCTCCGTGACCTTTCTCGGGAGGAAGAGACAGACGTGCCCCGAGAGGCGCGCTTATTGCGTGACGCCCAGGGAAAACTGAGTACGTACTTGTGGATAGATCCCGTCGCATCCTCCCATATAGTGCGTTTTGGCTGACACTTTTTGATCTAGTTTTCGTTGGCGATTGTGCGCCGCTGTCTCTCTTCCAGACCGTACGCCAAATTGTGACCACGCGGGTGGACCCGAATGCCTTCACGCCCCAGACGAGCCGAGTTTCGATGTTAGAGAACGCGACCTCCGATGAGTTTCTCTCTGTCGGCAGTAAGCGGCCGTACGTGGACTCTACGAGCATCGACCGGCTAACGTCCAACTTTGTATCAGTGGTATTCTTTGGTCGGGCCGTTCGTGATGCTGATGTCCAGCGTTGTCTAACCCCTTATCGCAGACGTCTGGGCTAGTGGATGTCTCTGAAAGCGCGCGCCTCGCCGAGAGCATATCGACGAGAGCTGTTGAGAAAGAGGCGCTACATGACGAGGCCTCCGCCGTCGACTATTTGGTGTTGGCCATCGGGTCGCAGTCCGTTCACGAGGAATCTGCCGCCCAATACTTTGGGTATGCGAAGAGCCTGGCTCTGTCCCGTCTTGGCGGAGACTTGAGCATCGAGACGGTACAAGCCTTCGCTCTGATAACTTTTTATATGCTTCGAGCATGCCAGATCAACGGTGCATTCATCTTCTTTGGTAAGTGGCGATTGGAAGAGGGGACGAGAGGAATGGAGTGTGCAGTATATCGCGTATACTGATTTCTGAGGAAAGGTATCGCTGCGCGAGCTGCGTACTCGATCGGATTGCATCGAACAGAGGTCAATTCTCGATTCGAGGTTAATGTGCATGCACAACGGTACATCCTGCGCCCTCGCTCGAGGCTATACGGACTAACATCCTGCAGAGATCGTCTCTGGAAGAGTTTGCGGGTCCTTGATTTGTTTCTCAGCATCTCTATGGGTAGGCCGCCCTCGATGTCGGATGTGGACTTCACAGTGCCTTATCAATCATTGGATCCTGACGGCCAAGATAAATTTGACCTTCTGAACGCCTCCGTGCAGATCCTGTCCATTACCGAAGACATCGTGCTCCGAGTATATTCGAGAAGAAAGATCTCGCTTCAACTTACCGAAGGAATCTCGCGCCAGCTTCGGGATTGGTCAACCAGATGGCTTCTTCGCCTAAGACGAACTCTTTCTGAATCGTCACAAGGAGAGAAGACAGAGGTTATCGGGGCCTGCCAGGCGATGTCGTCGTATTATTACGCAGTGATGCTAGTAGCCAGGCCGTTTCTCATGTACGAGCTGTGCAAACGCTTGCCGGAAAGCACTGCTACCGCTTACACGCCGAGCGCCAGCAGCAACGGCGATAGCTCCGGGAGAACTAGGCTCGCAAATGCGTGTATTGACGCAGCTAGTCTAATGGCAGAAATGGTACTGGATCTGGTGAACCGACGGCTCTTAGACGGACGCATGCCGCTCATCGTGTAAGCCGACGACCCACTTCGTGCCGCCGACCTATACTAATACTTCTAGCAGGTCATGGCTATTCGCGTCATCCCTGGTACTCGGAGTTGGCCTCCTGGGTGGATTTGGACGCGTATTGGAGAAATATACCCGAATGTCGATCGCCGCGCTGGAATTTTTCGCCAAGGACGACACGCATGCCGTGCAGTACTCGCTCATTGCCCAGTCGCTGCTGTCCAGCGCATTGAGGTACCTCCAGAGGAGAGACACGGACGAACGCGTGCAGATCATGGGGAGCTCATCTCAGTTGTTTGGGTTAGTTCCAAAGAAACGACTACCGAGAGATAACCCCGTATCTGCCGGCCTGGAGGAACCCCAGGCGAGCCCATCAAGCTCCCAAGTTGGCAATATGTCTCACAGCCCGCAGACTGGCGAATTATTTACGTCGCCCTTCCACGACGTCGACCCATCCCTCCTGTCGTTGGGTGGGTTTCTTGATCCACCTTCGGGTGCTTCCCTTCCAGGCGGAGATCAGCATGGCCAGGCCGAGCACGTCTTCGGAGCTCTTAACCTTTTCCCCCTGTTGGACGGAAATGGGCACATAGACCTCGCGCATTATCTTTAGGCGTGCTCCATAGGGTCGTTTCTAAGCACGGCACCAGGTTTTTTCTCTACCCCAGCCTCTTCCCCTGATGAGTAGATCGAGAGTATTGCGGTGGAATATAATCTGGACGTGCTCGTCGAGTACTACCTAGTACGCTCCACGATGTCTCTGATTAGTATTCTGCGAATCGTAGTACCCGGGCTGGGGCGTGAGCAGGGCATGTCTAAGACGGCGGGGTCGGACAGCGCTGCCGCGACCAACCCCAGAAGATGTTGTTAACGAAGCTTGAACTACCTACATATCGAACCGAGACATTCTCAGTTGAGGTTGGTCGCAGCCAACATTAATATCTACCCCAAAACCAGTACGTCGTGGCAATGTGTTGGTGCGCCCTCTCGGTCGAGGTCTCGTGGTAGCATCGATCGCCTAGCCAATGGCGTCGGCGACGGGATGGTGGCCTCCAAGTCCTGAGCCGTAGCATCTGCAAGCCGAATCCTTCAGCGCTTGGCGTAGTGCACCACGGTCCTCTCCGTCACTGGTAGCTACAATTGCAATAAGCTTTATCGTGGTGAATTGGAGTCTAGCGACGAGATCACCGACCCGTCTAGGCATCTTACGTGAGACACTCAATCGCCGATGGTGGGAAGTTGTGAGCGCATCTTGGTGGATAAGGTACCTACAGGTGTCCGTCCCTCGTATCGGCGGACGCAGGTTCGGATGCTAGCCACGGAGAATATCTCCAAGGCCAACATCGGGACGTAAATGCTCGAGGCGAATTCTTGGCGCCTTTGATTTCTTGCACGGAGAGACGGGGGAGCAGGATGGAGGGACGGGGGGGGAGTTATGTACCGGTAGGAACCTTTTCCGAGCGCTGGACATTCGTACCCTTACCCCTGGAGGATGTCTTACAACTCTCATATGTCTCAGTTTCTCGCTCGGAGAAACAACGTGATAGGGCCAAATTTAGTCCGTACGAAGAGGGCCGTGAGGTGCTATGATGTGACTTTGTTGGTGGAGATCCTGTTGACATTCTGTGCCAACGTTCACATCGGCCGGCTCTCTCATTATATAGTAGTACGGTTCCCCGTTCTACAAGCTTAGCCTGTAACCCAGAAGGTCTCTCTCTCGACTTATATGTGGCAGCAGAACGCGGACCCATTGGGCTGATAAGCCAGCGGGTCGACCAATTGCGCCCGTTACGGCTTGCCAGAGGGTTAGAAATGTAGAATGGGGGGTGGGATCGGCACCCGCATCCTTGTGATATCGTCGTCATGTTCCGCGTAGAAACAAACCGCCCCAGGAAACATAAGAGCGTTCGTTACTTCAGTTGTGGATTGCCATGTCTTTTCCCTGCTGCAGCGGCACTTCAGTGCTTCACCCTGCTTCGCCTAATTTATATATAGACATTCAGGTAGGGGTTTCGCGTACTCCACAGGCCTGCGTCCGGGATGGGGGGCAACCGGCGGTAATTCCAGCTTTCCCAGATAATATAAGCAGTACTGAATAACCTGTGTTGCGTGGGTTGTCTCGGTTCCCATGTGGCCGAATGGGCCCGGTAGCAGCATCTAAAGCTGAGGACGCGATGGGGGGTGTTACAGACACCTACCTACCAGCACCGAATCCCTTAAATAGTAGGCCACGATAATGCATATGACCCTGTCCTGAGCCTGTGGCCGCATCGCGGATCACGTATGACTGCAACCTAAATCCTAGAGATGAACTGTCTCTGTGGTGGATGGTTACTCGATAAGGTGGGTATATCTAGTCGACTATGATCATCGTGGAATGAAGAGACAGCCCACCCCCTCACCCGCTGTCTGTTCTTCTCCGGCGTTGTCTTAGGCCTCATAATACTGCCGTCGCAATGATTTCAGGCTCCGTTCTCGAACTGTTCTTGCGCCAATGGCTACCAGCTGTCTTGGTGGTAACTATCCTATATCTCGCCCGAAACTACTTCAACAAGGGGCTCAACAAGCACCCAGGACCTTTACTGGCGCATTTTACCGACTGGTTCCGATTCTATAAGGTGTGGTTACGGCACCCTGAACAGTGGCATATACGGCTGCACGAAAAACATGGGGATATCGTGCGCCTAGGGCCGAATGTTTTGTCGTTTGGGAACCCGGAAGCCATCAAGGTTATCTATGGACTCGGAAAGGGGTTCACGAAGGCGAGTAATCATACCTATCACATTTCCGATCGGCCGCCAAAAGACATGCTAATAGAACCAACGATCAGTCAGACTTTTACCCTGTCCAGATGGCGACGGCAAAAGGCAAACCGCTCCCTACGCTGTTCAGCACACAATCGGAACACTTCCACTCGCAGCTGAAGCGGAGCGTGAATAGCGCCTTCAGCATGTCCGCTCAGCTGCAGTACGAGCCGTTCTTTGATTCGACGAACGAAGTATTCTTGGACCAGACAGATAAACGCTTCGCGTCCACGGGCGAATCGTGCAACTTCTACCGGTGGCTCCAGTTCTACACCTTCGACGTCATCGGCGACATGGTCTACTCGAAGCGGCACGGCTTTCTCGAGTCCAATGTAGACGTCGATAACATCGTCCGCGACAACGCAAGGCTCTTTGACTACGCCGCGCTGGTAAGGCTGAAACCCCCCCCCCTCCCCAGACAAAACGGGAAAAGGAAATGAAAAGAGGAAGAGGAAGACGGAAGAAGAAAAGTATGCAGGTCGAGAATTAGGAGAATTAACGAATAACTCTGGAAAAGATTGGGCAGATTCCGGTCCTCGACAAACTATGGAAGAAGAACCCGATCCGGTTATGGGCAGCGAAACACGGGATCGGCGAGGCGACATTCGGCGTGGCGCGGTTCGCGAAGGCGCGGCTGGCGGAGCGACACCCGGCGGAGGGGGCGCTGTCGACGGATAAGTTCGCCTGGGAGCAGAGGCAGGCGGCGCCGGCGGACCTGCTGTCGCGGTTCGTCGAGGCGAAGGCGGCCCGGCCCGACTTCTTTACCGACGAGCTCGTTGTCACCATGTGCGTGTCGATGGCGTTCGCGGGGTCCGAGCCGGCCGCCGTGTCGCTCAGCGCCGTCTTTGCCTCGCTTCTGCGACACCCGGCCTGTATGGAGCGCGTCGTCGCCGAGCTCGACGCTGCTGCCCGGGACGGCTGCTTCGCCGACACCCACACCGGCCGCGTCTCCTGGGCCGAGAGCCAGGGCCTTCCCTACCTCGACGCCTGCATCCACGAGGCCTTCCGCGTCCACCCGGCGCCCGGCCTCCCGTTCGAGCGCGTCGTGCCCGCCGGCGGCGTCCGCATCGGTGCCGAATTCGTCCCCGCCGGTACCATCGTCGGGTGTAACGCCTGGGTCATCCACCGCCGCGCCGAGGTCTTCGGCGACGACGTCGAAGCCTTCCGACCCGAGCGCTGGCTCATCGACGGGCGCAAGGACCAGGACCAGGAGCTCGCGCGGATACGGCGCATGAAAAACACCCTGATGCAGTTCGGCATGGGCCCGCGCATCTGCCTCGGCAAGCACATCGGCCTCATGGAGATGTACAAGCTGATCCCCAGTGTGCTGAGGAGATTTGAGGTGAGTGCTACGGCGTATACCGATCCTTGTCCTGCGCGTCTTGCTACGACCACGGTTAGCGTTAACACAATTCGGCGTAACAAAGCTTCAACTAGAGGAGTCGTCCAAGGAACCGAGGTTCCGGAACGGCTGGTTCGTCAGGCCTATCGACTTCCGAGTGCGGTTTCGGAAGCGAGAGCTCGTCCAACCGGTGATCTCGTGAACACGTCGCCATTGAGCTAGTAACTGTCCCAGTCGCGTTGCGGGCAAATTGGTCAGGCAGGGGGAATCGCTGCACAGAAGTTAGCGTCTTGTTGTCGTGGCTCGGATAATAAGCAGGTATTCTGTTTTGTGTTCACTTTGACCGCTGTTGATAACGTCCTATCGGCCTTATTTGGGAAGCCTTCTCTACTGCCTCTGTTGTTATTGTTATTATTGTTGTGCATTGCGACGAGATCGAATCTAATTGCCAAAATTGCAGAGCCAATACTTTGTCGTGACCAGCGATCCCATCGTGTTCGAGTTCTGTATTGCCATCTGCTCTAATGCTTGGAACTGCTGCGACCGTTGATAATTGGGGGTCTCTGTTTATCCGTTCTGCAATGTGTAATAGGGGAACCTCGGACCTGGGTATGTGCATATCTACACCTGGGGAAAAAAACCCCGAGGTAGGGAGGGGTTATTCAATTACACAGCCATAAGTTCGGACCTCCGTACCCTTTTCCTTATCGGGAGGTGGGTGCCCTTTTCGTCGGGGGATAGGTACGTACCCTCTTATCGGAAGGTAAGTATCCTCTTCATCGGTAGGTACGTACCTACTTATTCGTCGTAAACCTTCTCCTGCCTTTCGTCGCAACTGCCTTCAATTTGCACCTACCTTAAATCTACACTTGTGCAAAGAACGATAAGAGTAACTTTTATAATTGAATATATATTACCATATTCACTGTGTTACATTACCTATGGTATGCATTGAAATTGACACCTCCTTTTATTGGGGGTGTAAGTCTATACATTAAAAGCCAGATGTAGATATGCGTGGTGTAAGAGGGGAAGAGAGGAGGATCTATTAATCATTGACGAGTCGTAAGCTTGATCGCGAGATAGGGCACACTACGTGGTGATTGGGGGGCGGCCCAATGGGTTCCATACAGCCTAACTGAGACGGTATTTGTCCGCCGGCTTCGAGATCGATCTAGCGCCTGATCTAACTATCGTGGGGTTCTCCTAAACGCCGGGCTGAGACGGGTGCGTGGTGAAGTCGCCGCAGCTTGCTCACGCTATACCGGGTACCTCGATTTGGCACTATGGCCGTGTGCGCCGACATGCTGAAGTAGACCGAGGCGATGGCCTCTAGATCTGGAACGTGCCGGCTATTTCGCGTATAGCTCCTCGCCGCCGTACACCGTCATGCATTCGCCCCCCTCCGCATACGGAGCCGGCCATTCCCTGGCATTCCGGTACGTCTCTAGATTAGGCAGTTGTAAGCCCTGGCTTGGCTATGTTTGTGCAAAGCCCTACAGTTCCGCCGAGGTAGGCGGTCTGGAATGGTGGTGGTGAGACGAGAAAGATGGCTATGCTGGGGTTGAACGATGGGATGACCCATGAAAATATCCCAGTTGTTGATAGGGGTGCATCCTGTCGTCAAGCACGCGTCGTATCTGCTACGATATGTGCTGCAGCAGCAGCATTTCCGCCCGGGGCGGTGCTCTCCGTTATAGGCTCCCCGCATCGACATCGTCGACCTTGCGTGCAACGAAGGACATCATAGGTTAACCGCGGCCACGGGAACGGGCCCCAACCAATCTTCATGACACGGGAGATGACGACGGCATGCATGTAGGGCCCCGTGTCAGTGTTGCCCAGGCATACCTTCACCCGAAAGTACAAGGTGAGTACATAACCTCGACCGGGGTAATCGGGAAGTGAAAATGCAGGATACGCTACGAGCATGGCTGGTTTGTGGACGATACTACATCCTACTTCCCAGCCTTTGTTCGGGCGGAATCGGCTGACGTAGCCGTACCCCTCCATCCATTGCGGTCCAGTTTGGTTGGATGAGGGCTCGCGTATGCAACACGCAGAGAGGCTGGTGTAGATGGTGGTAGTGAGGATCGCACGGATCCCTAGCCCATACCACCACGAGCTGCACCCCAGTGGCTACACCTTATCGCTTCTCGTTAGGTACGACGCGGTATACCTACGTGGTTCGAGGCAAAAATATGGTATGTGGGATGCCAAGAAACAAGGGGGTAAGTATGTACTCTCGGACTTATTATTTGAAATATTGGAATGGCCCCCCTTTCAGTCCGGATCTTAATCCGATCGAGAACGTTTGGGATTGGATGAAGGATTATCTAGAAGAGAACTACCCAGAGAAGATGTCGTACGATCGGTTGAGGACTGCTGTAAGAGACACTTGGGAGAAGGTTTCGGAGCGTTGGTTGCGTGGGTTGGTAGGTAGATAGTATACCCGCGCGGTTTCAAGCTGTGATCGACGCGAACAGGATGTATAGAAAATATTACCTAAGTAGAGGGTGTAAGCATACCCCCCTGTTTCTTAGCATCCCACATACCATCTTTTTTTGCCTCCAACTGGTAGAGCGGATGGATAAACGGAGAGATAAAGAAAGACGCGAGGACTTGCCTAATGAAGCATGCTGCGCTTATACCTACCACAATCGACGATAAGGAGGCCGAGGCCGTCACGTAACAAATACGGCAAGGAAAGACGGTAGAAGACCGACCCCACTGGCCCAGTCGAATGAAGACGAATGTCGGCGGTTCCTAGATAACCCCGCCATCATCCGCACCGCATCGGGTCCGGGGAAATTCCCTGGTCTCCAGGGCGAGCTCGTTCGCTTCATTGCCGAGCCCGGTGCCTATCACATGTGTGGATACATGCATACATACCTACTTACCCAAGCCTCCTAGCCGGTTTAGATCCCGAGTGCACTTCTCTGTCATCCAATCAAGCGTAGCCCTTATTCATGCCCGAGGGTCCTCGAGGAGCTTGACCGCCGTAGGTATATAAGTGGGAGGGAATCGCGAGTTGGGGGCGAGTCGTCTCGGTGAAGCGAGACACCTATTTATCGTTTCCCCATTCTCCAGGTTGTCAAGAGTTGTGCAGAGTAGCCGCCTCGATACCAGCCAAAAACAAAAGCACGAGAAGAAATCACGCTTACCTCCAGTATGGCTACCGCCAAACCCGCCCCATCCACCCTTCTCCATCCCCTGCGGCCGCTCGCCAGCGACGAGCTTTCCAAGGCCCGGGATCTCGTCGTCGAGGCGCAGGGTGGTGAAGGCATCGTCATACGCTTTCGCTCGGCCATCGTCGACGAACCAGAGAAGGACGTCTTAACTGGTTTTCTGGCCGCCGAGCACGAAGGCCGAGTACCAGAGACCGTCCCGCCGAGGCAGGTCAAGTTGCAGTACGACGTAATAAAGGGCGGAAAGGCACAGCTCACGGAAACGGTCGTCGATGTTGATGCCGGCGTTATCCGGAAGACGAAGACGTTCCCGGAACGGTGTCAGGTCAGCTACACGTTGTATGAGTTTAGCTTGTTTTATGACGCCTGCGTCTCCTCCCAGCTCTTCAAGGATGCCATAGAGGAGTTCGTCCTGCCAGACAACTTCGTCATTACGATAGATCCGTGGCCGTATGGTGGTCCGGATCCCGGCGAAGAGATCCCGCGCTACATACAAGGCCTCGTGTACGCCCGCGATTCGTCTAAGAACAACGCCGACTCTAACCATTATTCTTACCCCCTGCCTATAATTCCGGTGATGGACGCTGCCACCATGGAATTGGTCAGGGTGGACCGCCTCGCCACCGGAGGGATCAACGATGGGCTATATCAGCCTCCGAGGGGCGCTGAGCCTAGGAAGCTGTTCGGCCATCATGCGTCGGCAGAATACGCCCCGGAACTGCTAGACCGACCCCTCCGTGCTGACCTCAAGCCTATCAACGTGACCCAACCCGAAGGCGCTTCTTTCAAAGTCCACAGCGATAACCTGGTCGAGTGGCAGAAGTGGCGCTTCCGCGTTGGGTTCACCGACCGCGAGGGCGGCGTGCTCCACGACGTGTCCTATGATAACCGTCCGGTCCTATACCGGCTCTCGTACTCCGAAATGACGGTTCCATATGGTGACCCCCGTCCACCTTTCCACAGGAAACAGGCCTTCGATTTCGGCGACGGCGGGATCGGGCGCGCCGCTAATAATCTCAAGCTCGGATGCGATTGCCTCGGAGCGATACATTACTTCGACGCTGTCATACCTAACCCGGAGGGTAAGCCGGAGGTTGCGAAGAACGTGATCTGTTTACACGAACAGGATAACGGCATCGGGTGGAAGCACACCAACTTCCGGACAAGCCGCGCCGTGGTGACCCGGTTGCGCGAGCTGGTGGTGCAGTTCGTCGCTACGTTGGCTAATTACGAGTACGTATTCGCGTACAAGCTGGACACGGCGGGCGGCATCACGCTGGAGACGCGCGCCACCGGCATCGTGAGCGTCGTGCCGATTGACGAGGGCAAGGTGTCGACGTACGGAAACATCGTGTCGCCGGGGGCGCTGGCTCAGAACCACCAGCACATCTTCGCCGTGCGCATCGACCCGAGTATCGACTCGCACGACTCCAGCGAGACGACCGTCGTGATCGAGGAGAGCCACCCGGTTCCGGTGAACCCGGAGACGAACCCGCACGGCAACGCGTACGAGATCCGCCGAAACCGGATCTCGCGCGCGGGATTCGCCGACGCGGCGCCCCAGTTCAACCGCCTGCTGCGGCTCGAGCACGCGACCAAGAAGAACCCGATAAGCGGGAAAAACGTGGGCTACAAGATAGTACCTAGCCCGACCCAGCTGCTGCTCGCAGACCCGCACAGCGTGCAGGCGGCCCGCGCGCCGTTCGCCAGGCATCATCTGTGGTTCACGGGCTACCGCGACGGGGAGCTGTGGGCGGCGGGAGAGTTCACGAACCAGGCACAGCGGGAGGAGGGCGGCGTCCAGGCCATGGTCGAACGAGGGGACTGGTTCACCGACGAGGGCGAGGAGGCGACAGGCGACGGGGAGAAGAAGGGAAAGAAGAGCAGCCCGGTGGTCTGGAGCGTCTTCGGCCTCACGCACAATCCGAGGGTTGAGGATTGGCCCGTGATGTAAGCAACCCCCCGGCCCTTCGCTTGCCGCCATTCTCCCTTTTCTATTTGTTACTGCCCTCCCCCACATCTTTTGCGTTCTCCCTTCCCAAGCTGCTCGAGAGGATATCGTCGTGACTAACAACTCTGCCCGATAGGCCCGTCGAGATCCACCAGGTTCATATCCGGCCGGCCGATTTCTTCACCAGCAACCCGGCCCTGGACGTGCCGAGCACCAGGAACGAGAGCAGCGTCCTAGTCCCCTGCTGCGATGGTGATGCTTGCCACAGCGCCGATTCTAACGGCAAGGCGTCTTCATCAACGGTGCAGCAAGACCCAGTAACGCATCTACAGGGCACAGGCCCAGACCTCAGCCCGAACGACATCCCGGTCTCCAAGGAGAAGAGGCGTTTGTCGGCGACGCTCTCCAACATCTTGAATTGGAAGAAGGACTAAGCGGCATAGGTCAGTCGCGTCCTTTCGTGCGGTCCTCGGGCACAATTTGCTTACCGGCCTCGGCAGATGCCTGTATATGTAATTGTTAGTCGATTTGGAGGAGGGGAAAACGAGAGGAACATAAACAAAGGTATTCGCTAGTCCGACGAGCTCGATGGAAGACAGTCTCTACCGACGCACAACTTAGATTGGCCGTGTATAATCCACCAAGAGCAGGCGCCGTTCGAGCAGGGGATAGACGCATATTCTAAGGCATAAATGCACCCCACTCTTTTCCTTTTCTCGTGCTTGGTTCCGTCGTCTCCGCCTCGGGGGGGTGATGCGTAGTGACTGGACCGGCGCCAGGGAATAGTCGTCGCATCCCTCACCGTGCTCGTATTGTTGCTGGGAGGTATGCGAGGGGTTGTGTTCGGTCGAAGCCGTGAGGTTTGGGTTGTCGTCAGGCGTGTCGACGACCACAAGAAGGAGAGGAACTTGTCTCTCGGTGTCCGGTACTGTGCCTGCTGGGTCGTAGGTACGTACTAGTGGACGTCGGGTATGCTTAGGTGAAGCATTGCTCTCCGCAGCGGATTGCTTATGTTGGTTCCAGGCACGAACCCCACACTCCGGTGCGGACATCCCCGTCCTCTTGCGTAGCCTAGCGGCGTGGACAGCTAGCAGCCAAGGCACCACGCCAGGTACCTTTCGTCGTTATCCGAGATGGAATGCCTACGTGTAATTGCCTTTGGATCCCACGCCGTTCGTCGCAGGTTGGTTAACCTCCGGTGAAAATGACGCTGAAAAATGTGTGTTCACCAACAAGATCGGAAGAGGGTAGCCGAATATTATAATGTGTTAGCATTACTCCCCCAATACACACCTACCTACCTGGAGGGATGGAAGTTGTTCCCACCTAAGCAACCTAGCAGATGAGGCCCGTGTGGCACTTTACTAGATGTACCTTAGCGCTAGGTACATGCCTACCTTAGGTACCTAGGTAGGTACCTAGACACTATACACCGCCCGTTGTCGGCGTAATTGCCCACACATAGGTACCTAGCCTACCCAGCCTCCGATTTCTATGCAAGCTCACCTGCCTAGCGTAAGTATCACCTAGGCATGATTTCCTCTATTTTCCCTCCAGGCTAAGCCTTCATAGGTACCTAATCCCATCTCCAAGTCTTCCACTTCCCACTGGGTGCCCTGGGTACCTGCCTACCTACCTAATGTGTGGCTCACTGGACATGGCCGCGACGCACGTACTGCGTAGTACCAATGCAGGTTCATCCGTGTTGGAATTAGCCTATGGGACAGGTGGGGGAGGCCTCGTGCCTGAGGCAGGTACCTGCTCTGTATGTATATACATACGCCAAAACTACAGGTACCTGAGGTACATCCTAAGGTACCTAGGCAGGTTACGTGCAGGTAAAGGCAGGCAGAATCCCTTAGTCATAATACCACAACAGCACCGATCCTGGTAGGAAGGTGTACTTCTGGCTTCACTTTAGGTACCTCCTACCTTCCTGGCTCGTATCTCCGAGTTTCCAGGCTCCTCCCTCTCGTATCCCTCATCGTGACCCACGAATGCTTCGCTCCAACTCTCCTCATCACCTCCGGGACTTCTACGCGCTGAAACGCGCACCTGCGTGACGGTTATACGCACGTCAAATATTCTCAAGTCTCGGCTCATCCCGCTCGATCCCTATCCGTCGCTTCCATCCCCCGGCGGCGGACCAGGCCATGAAGAGCCGCGTCGATAGATACCCCTCCTTCGGTTGAACCAGCGAGCTCGGATATACCGTCGCACACGATGGTGCACGCCGCGACCATCGCGCCGGCTACCGCAGCCGCCTCCCGTCCGGGGAGAGCACAATCAAGGTCGGACTCGATAGGAAGCTTCCGTGCTGGCTCGCCTCTGCCAGCTCTCGCGTCGAACCGAGCGTCAACCTCGACCTTCCGCCGCTTACCCGCGCCCCATCACTACCAGACTTTCCCGACCCAACCCCCGAGGGCGGGTGGCCGGAGGTCAGCCTCAGACTCGGACTCTTCAGGCCTCGTATCCCGCGATCGCCACGGCCCGACGACGCCCTTGCCTGTGAAGCAGCTTGCCCTGCTAGCCCTCTTATCCTTATCCGAACAGACGGCCCTCAACTCGATATCCCCTTACTTGCCCGAGATGATAGAGTCTTTTCCCGGCGTGAGTCACGATCAAGTTGGGTTGTACGTGGGCGTGCTAGCCTCCGCGTTTGCATTGGCCCAGCTGGCGACCAACCTTCTATGGGGGTACCTCTCAGATACTATCGGCCGGAAACCCGTGATGCTGTTGGGAACGCTGCTGTTGTGCTTCTGCTTCGCCGCCTTCGGCTTCTGCACGAGGTATCTTCACATCGTTCTCGTCCACGTCGCCATGGGACTGTTCAATGGCAATGCCGCTGTGGTGCCTACTTGCCTCGGGGAGCTGACTGATCGGAGCAATCAGAGTAAGGCGTTCACCTGGCTACCCGTCGTGTACAGCCTGGGTAGCATTACCGGACCGGCCTTGGGTGGGTTGCTCGTCGGCACGGTTGCGAAAGACAGTCATCCTTTCCTTGCCCCGAACATACTAGGGGCCTCGCTCCTCGCCATCACCGTAATCGTGCTTGGTCTTTGGTTCGACGAGACCTTAGAGAAGCACGGCGAAGTTCCTACGTGGTCCGAGCGCATCCCGTGGCTATCTGGATCTTTATTGAAGTATGGCAAGAAAGGGGGTATAGGCTCGTGCGCTTGGCGAGGCGATAGCGATGCAGACGGCGCAGCTGAGGATAGGGAGGAAATGGAAGTCGCCGATGAAAACGCAGCCGAGGAGGTCACCTTGCTAGAGCCGCAAGAGGGCGATCAAGGCCAAACGAGAGGAGACCTAAAATCGCCGTCGGACACGACTACGTGGCGCCAGCTTCTAAATCGGACGACCGTTGTCCTTCTCGCTACGCACCTGGTATTTCAGCTATCTAACAGCTCCTTCAATAGCTTGTACCCCATCTTCGCATCGGGACCGAAACCCACCGGACGAGAACTCCACGCGGATGTCATTGGTGTGTCGCTATCTGTGGCAGGGGGCTTCACGATTCTTTTCCAAATGTTTCTCTTTCGATCCCTAAAGTCACGCTTGGGTAATGTCGGGTCCTACCGTGGCTCTCTGCTCGGCTTTGCAGTCGCTATGGCCTTGATGCCGTTTGTCTGTTATGAAGATTCAAACCCGCCCTTCGGTGTTGGCGACGGAAAACTCTGGCTCTACGTGGAAATTGGCGCAATACTAATCCTGAAGAATATCTGCGCTGTAGGAGGTCTATCCAGCGTCATGCTACTGGTAGGTTTCCAGCATGTCAACAGGTGCCCTTGGCGAGAGATTACTGACCTGGTTCAGATCACAAACTCGGCTCCAACTCACGCGAGTCTAGGCACTCTCAACGGCATCGCACAGACTCTCTCAGCCGCTGGCCGGAGCGTTGGGCCTTTCCTCTCCGGCGGACTCTTCACGCTCTCGACGCATGTCAAACCCAAAGGAGAGGCCCTAGCTTGGGGTTTATTCGCGGGGATTGCCCTGGCCGGGTGGTTTGGAAGCTACGCCATTCACGGCCAAGGCCTTGAGAGTACGGATGATGGTTACGAAGAACCGTCAGCCGGCGACCACGCAACCAGTGACCCTGCATAGTAGCACAGATTCGAACACTACGATATGGAAAGACGACACGAACTGGACCTTTCTACCCACACCCCAACCGGGACTGTTCCCTCGGGAGATTATTGCGGGTGTCTATATTGGCACCCAGAACAGTTCCACGGCCGCATACCCAAATTTACGGGCCTGAACAATCCGGAAAGATGCCTGCAACGCTGCGCGGGTATTAGATTACCAACGCTTAGAAAGCCCTACCTAGATATGAGCAACGATTCCTTCGATAAGCAGTCTCGGCGTGCCCGGATTGGCGGAACTCTAGGACTGAACTTACCGCCGTGGATATGAGCCACCCAGTCGGTCCGGTGACAGGACCTTCTTGTCCACGTTATACCCTCTAGTTACAGCGTCAACCCCAAGCTCTGGGCTGTCGGTCCGTACGAAGGCGGTTAGTGACAGCGAGCAACGATTATGAGATACAAGTGATAAAAATATGAACTGAAACAGGAAGGAATATGATCAAATAAATCTCTGAATCGGGCCAGTTCGTTGACGTTGTATGCTCTGGGCTGAATGTTCTGCCAAACGGCCCAACCATCGTTGTCATCGCCTCCCGTCCGTTTTCTCGGGTCGTGTTTTCTGACTAGTCGCAGTTTAACAAGGCAACATACGCCCCCATAGCTAGCTATAAAGGTAGGTAGAGAAAGGTACGGACTCAACGCAACAGGATCCGCGCATGCCTTGAGCGTACAGGATACCGTCATGCTCGTGGCTTACTCGGTTCATAAGCGACGGTTCTCTCATTGATAGATAGATGGGCCCGGGACCGCAGAGCTCGCACCTTCTCCTAAGGCTAAACACACGCCTCTGATCAGATGCGATGCGATGATGGCGACGTCCCGGGTCACGCACCTCTAGAGCGAGGCTTTGACGTTCAACTCAGCGGACCGATTCCAATATAACTTCGTACGAGGTCCTGGGGAACCCGCAAGGTCAGAATAGCAGAGATAGAAGCGCCTAGTCAGGTGCGGATGGCGTGGGGGGGTAAAGAAGCCGGATTACCTGCTTCCAGGATGCCACTCTCCAGAGAGGCAGGGCAGGCCTATAAATGGAATGCCCAACCTATCTAGGTAGGTATCTGGCAGGTAGGGAGGTAGGTAAGTGGGAAAACGGTAGGGGTGGTGGGAAGGTCAAGCTCAGGGGGGGTGTAGGTACCTGATAGCCTCAGGTAGGGCAGGGCAGGTTGACAGGTGGGCAGGCGAGTACCTCCGTCTCCGTTCAGGTACTTCGGATACATGCACGGTACATGGGCGGAAGGGACGTTAGGTAGGTACTTTTTTAAGAACGCAGGCAGGCAGGTGGGTGGGCACCGCGCGTGCGCTCGGCCAATAGGGCCGGGCGGTCTCTGGGTTAATTTTGGCGCGCCGAAGAAGCCTTACCCGCTAAGCGATAGCTCAGCTCGCTTAAAAGCGGGCCCGCGAGCGGTGATTGGCCTCGGCCGGGCGTGGAGGTACGTACCGAGTCCTAGAACTGGCTAGGTCGGGACGGGGAAGCTGCACGCCTGCTCCTTCCTCGCCTTGCTAGGTAGTTAGCACCTCCCTACCTAAGATAATCCGTGATTAGAGAGCGCTCGTTAAGCAGTGAAGCGATGCTAATTAGGTCACTGACCAGCCAGTCCTGCTCTCAGACTCTCCCGCTGCTCTCTCATCATCCTCGCCTGATGGGGGAGCGAACTCCGGACGGCGAGGTTAAATCCTTCGTCAGCCGCCTCCGCGGTGCCAGAGGCGCCAACAGCCTTCTGTGGAGGCATTCCACCGGTATCGCAAGCTGGCACCTTGCAATCCTAACCCGTTTCGCGACAGCGTCTGCTGAGGCCGTCCACGGGAAGCGCATAAGCACGGATGGGTCCCAGAAAGCGATCATTTCTGGCTGATGACAAAGCTTTCCAATTATATCCCAGCGACGAGAACTGCCGCAGGTCGGCGTCGTGATTCGTCGGCCTTATTTCATCTTCAGCCTCCTGCTCGCCATTGCCTTGCATGTGTGATGCATCATGCGGTCCGGACATCATCCGCGAGTCTTACGGATATGGCAAGTAGCTACTTTTTGCACGAATGCTAGCACTGACCATTCTCCCGAGGCCGCCGTCGTCTATGAGCAGAGATACCCACCGGGCGAGCCAAGGGTGTTGCGCTGTACCGAAACCGTCCGCCCCCGATTGGACTCTAGGACCGAGCCCGACCTAGCTGGGTCGTCGTCGTCGTCTTTACAGGAGCAGCAACCTCGTGCGAAATCTTTCCTCGTCCCTACCCTCGACTGTTGAATATCTTGGCTTTTCCAGGGTGAGCCTGGTGGGAATATGGGTCCCGGACATCTCGACAGCAAGGTCACACTGATTCGTCGTCCGCAAAGCGCGAATCATGTCCTTTTCCAGGCGAGCCACGATTCCTAGCCTTACGGTGCTAAATTCTGACTGGCACATCAACAGCAACAGGGGTGACGACGTTCGCCTGCAGTCTTAGCGGCTCGTCGCATCCGTGCCGATTCTGCTGAATATCTGCTTCCATTCTCGACTTCCTAGCCGCAAGGTCGAATGCGGGATGCAGCTCCATGCTCCCATTGGTGGCTCGCAGCCATCACTTTAGAAGTTGTCTTGTAGCCCATTCCGTCAACTTCCTCTCTGGCCAGCTATACCCTCGCAAGGGTCACCTCCGGAGCCAGAAAAACCACTTAGCTCTCTTGGAAGCACTATATCTATGTATATCTAGGACTCACCAATTAGGGTGCGGCTCTTTACTCTTGACCGACACTTGGTCTGTTCCCGCCTACCTAGTTCCCCAACCCCCCCGTTTGGGTAGCTATATCCTCCATACCGAGGAGCCGTTGATCCAACGAGATGGAACGATAACGCGAACCCTCGGCGTGGTCGATATTGCCGGCTATCGTCAGCACCCGCCCTAGCTTCTCGCGAGCAGGGTTCGCACCGAGATGGATCTGGCTTCGGGTTCGGCCCATCGCCTACTCTTCACCCACCGTCACTCACACGCGGTCATCCTGAGCGGGCCTCCTACGGTAGAGATTTACCTAAGCTCAATGTCATATGTTGACAGCCCTCCCAGGTCAACGGCCGCGGACGGGTGTCCCCTTAGTATATCCCAGGGAATGTCATATCGATTGTCGGCGAAATAGCTAGGCGACGGTGTAATGACGCTAGCCATTCTCTCCCCTGCATGATTTTTGGCATGAAGCTGTGGGAGGCACGTGGCCCTTGAGGGTGAATCACCATAGAACGTCCGATCTTAGTACACCTTCGCCTTCTCGTTGGATATCACCCTACGGGCGGTTTTAGTGGCTTCAATTATAGATCAATCTGTCGGGGATAAACACTCTACGGTCTCGTTGGCGGGGCGGCCTCAAAACGCTCTGCTCCGTAGAGCAAGATATAAACATCGACGGATCTCCCTAATCTCTAGACACATGTGTTTTAGAAGCCAAGATATCCTTTCCACCCTGTGACCACGTCGTTTCCTAGTGAAGAGCGAAGAAGACTTACGCACGCCATCCCGAGAGACCAAAACGTTCTGTCCCAAATCGATCCAAGAAGACCGGAGAGCTGTTTCCAACATATCTGCCATGTCTTCCTCACATTCTAGTCGTTCGGGAGGCCACAGGGGCTCTGGTGCGGGGAAGGGGAGACAAGTGCGTGACGGTTTTCAATTCGTAAACCCATCCCTCTCGATTTCCCGCACGAGGTCAGGGGAGTCGTGCCGGCGACCCCGTGGCCCCGTAGCGTCGAGGAGAGGATGACGGCTAACCCAGGACCTCGGCAGTCCTCGTTCCAACAGCTGATCGAGTCGCTGCGGACGCACAGGGTCAACACGCTGACGGAGCTGTGCCGGATCGAGCGGGTGGCGGCGAGCTGCGAGAACGAGGAGGACGCCCGCGCGTTCCAGGGGCCCATGACGTCGGCCTGGGAGTACTACGTCAACAGCAACCAGCTCCTGACCGAGCTCCGCGGCCTGACACGCAACTACCCCATCTCCGGCGAGGTCGTCGACCGGGCGCACCAGCTCGTCCGCAACGACCCCAACTCGAACCGCAGCTGGAACCTGGCCTGGCTGTGCCTGGTCAAGATACGCGACGCGTAAGTTCGAGGGCCTCTGGCGTTCCCTCACTCACTTACACACTCTCTCTCTCTGTTGTTTCTTGTCCAAAGAAAAATTATTTTCCGCTTCCCTACTGTGAACTACCGCCCTCATACTCCCCTTATCCACGTCCGCCCCCTCCTCCTATCCCACGTTCGCGGGAGCAGCAGCGCTAACAGCATCGTGTCCGTCCCCCAAACACAGCGGCCTGATCCCTACGTACGCGCAGGCGGACGCCTGGCGGAAGGAGATGTGGGGCGGCCGCGACCCGACGCAGGAGGAGGCCGACCAGCTCTCGCAGTGCTTCGAGTACGAGTGGACGCAGGCCGTCGAGAACATGCTGCGCCACTGGTCGGCGAGCCCAACGTGGTACTAGCCGAGTCGCCGACAAGGGGGGCAGGGCTCCGGGGCGCCCTCGTCTCTTAGCATGTGTGGGATCCGGCGTTGGTCACTTTGCGGATTTCTGGGCGGGCCAGGGCATCGGAATGCATCCTATCGGCGCTGGGTCGGTAGGGGACATTATGAGGGTTTCCGCTTTCGTTACGGAAAATGGCTGTCGTTATTATAGAATTGGTGATCATTCAGGGGTACTTTCTTTTCCTTCTTTTGATTATAGACTCATGGTATGCCGGGAGTCTTCTTTTCTTCTTTTCCTTTTCGTTCCCTGTTTCATGGGTTGTGTTTGGACCTTCTTCTTCTCCTTCCTCTCCTCGTTGTCTCTGTATTCGCATAGATATTAGACAAAGCTCAGGCGCTTCGACTCTCGTTAAAAACTCTTTTTACCACCACACATATAGAGATTTTTCCTCACATGCTCTTCTTGCTAGACAACTCGCATGTTTCCCCCAATAGGTCTTCTATTCCCTCACAATCTGATAATTCTTTGCATGCTGGGCATGCCAGTTATCACGTAAATTTCCCCTGATATAGTCAAACGCTATCGACCGAGCTTGACACCTATACGTTTTAGCTCAAGTTACCCCAAGGGTTATATTGAAGTCAGTGTTCTTGCAGTACCCCTTACTAAAGAATCAAATCCGCGTCGTCCCGAATTTACCTGTCAGTGGCTAGCTAAATGTTGATGAGAGCTTCAAAGTAAGGCTTCCCTGGAACAATGGGTTAGTAACTATGGGGGGTAGCTCGATAGACCGTACCTGACTTTCCAAATGCCTAAGGTCCCCCTCAACACACATAAGCAATTGAGTTAGTTACCAAGCATAATAGTAACCAATGGACGGAAAATTCACAGGGCTGTTCAATTAGCATTAGCTCATGCGGAGCGTTGGGTAGGGTATCTGAGATGCGATCTTTATTATGAAGACTAAGTCACAAGAACGTCGTTGGATAGGGGATCTCTCAAGTTAATATTTGCGTACACCTCATGATAAACAACGCGATTACATGCCTTCAGCGGATGGCTGGGTTGCCACAGTATGGATACAAACAAAACGGCTAACTATGGCATATAAGGATAAGCTATCAAGGTGCCTTGTGCAGACTATCTTCTAAGGAAAAAATTTCATCATCGCCGCCTTCATCTTTCAACACACCAAAGCTGGCATCGAGTTTTCACAAGCCATGGGTAACTGCACCACAGACAATCCAGGACCTGCGCCGCATGTGTTTTAAGTCACTGATCTCGTCCCCTTTCAACTCGACATCCCCCTGACGCATGAGCGATACAAGCACTGCTACATCTCATTGGAGCCCTTGGGACTGTCATATTGTGCGTATCTACGTCTCGGGTATCTACCTCTGTCTTACTGACCTCCAAATCCTAGGCCCCATCGCAGACGAACCATACAAGCCTCCACTACGAAGCCTCCTATTCCATATCAGCAACCAGGATGGGTTCAAACAATATCATATTTGACCTGGATGACATTAATATGCCAACACAGGTCCAATCTCACTATCTTGGGTCCGGAAGCGTGTCGGCTTACTTCCGCGCCGTTCCATCAGTTGTTTTGCACCCCCCTTTCAACAACTTCTCGAGCCTCTCCTGCGTCATCTATGAGAGTGCTGAGAAGCTGGTGGTTCTGATCCATCACAACGATGTGGAGGCGATGAACGGATTTAAGCAGGCTTGGGTGTCCAGGTACCGAAGATTCGGAGACTATTGTATGCTGACTCTCGCTCCACCTTCTCCGAATGGTGAGCCTATCGAAGTGATCTACGAGTATCTCGGGGATATTATGCATCGCATCGAGGAGGGCGAGGAGCAGGGGCAGGGGCAGCAACCAGTGGACGATGGACTCAATGGCACCCATACCCCCGACCAGGATCCTGCTCCCGGATCCGGCGGCGAGTCTCAGGGCAGCACAGGTATCTATCAGAATAACGGAGACGCTTCCCAGGACAGCTCAGACGCTCCCCGAGAAATTTAAAGTCGCCTTCACCGAAACTGAGAGGGCAGTTCCACATCACCGTCATCATCGTCAAGGAGTAAGAAGTAAGCTGGTATGCCCCCTCGCTCACACACATACCCGTGCCTATCTGGGAACCTGCCACTCACGTGAACCGGCGGCTAGAGCTCTGTAGGGCGGTGTTCTGTGATTGGGCTTCGGAGAGGAGAAGAAAGGGCGGAGAAAAGACTCAACTCATCGCGGTATCGCGGCAGCATTGTGGCATCGCCGTCCTTCCCCGATATGCCCCTCGACTTCTCATATCGGGTCTTCCGCCTACTCAACGACCGCTAGTTGCAGGCATTAGACCAAAAAAAAATTTTTTTTTTTTTCTTTATTTCATTCTAGTATGCAGGTACGTTAGCTGGGTTGCTGGTATTAGATTTGCTCAGGGTTCGCTGACGACACGATCACAGACGGAAATAGGTTTCGCGGTCAGCCGCGGTTAGCTGCTAAAGGGATGAAGTGTTAGCAGAAGTACCGGCTGCCTACGCCAGTATTCGGGTACATTCAGGACACGTCTTTAGGAATGCACAGGTACTGTTTGTATGTAGGTGCACACAGGAAAGGCATGAGGCTATTTTGACACGCAGGTTGTCAACAAGTCGTTTTGCTTATCGCGTTAAAGTCCCCGGTAAACTCCCAGATCCATGCATATGTGAAGGTGTGCAGCAAATGCGTAGATGAGGTAAGCATGTGTACCTAGGTACCACCGTTTAGCGGTGAATCGGAATTACTCCGCGCTGGCGGGAAAGGCGCTCTGGACGGATTACATAGAGTATCCGAGCCGTCGATGGAAGGCGGGTTGAACCGGCCCAGCGATCGATGGATATGCCGAGCTGGCCGTCTCCCATCTCAACCGCCTCCATGCCATAAATACCTGCGTCCCTAACATCGTAGCATCATCACGAGCAGCAAGAACCCGAAAGGAGCAGAGAACGAAGAGCTGTGTACCTACCCATCTGCGGTCGGAATCACGTCTTTCGTCGTCGAGCCAGGCCACCCGGAGCATCTCTGGGTTGTCCTCTACCTGCTATCCCTCTGCATCCTCCCGCATCCCGCTGTACCCTACGGAAATGTCTAAGGACCTACCTATCAATCACGGCTCGCTGGAGCACCTCCTGCCGCCGAGCTGGAAGGCCCAGGTTCCCGCCTGGCTCGCCGAGGATACACCATCGTACGACTACGCCGGCTTCGTCGTCGGCGAGCACCCGCGGACCGCCACGCTCTGGGGTAAGAGCACCGGCATCCTTGCCGGCGTCCCCTTCTTCGACGAGGTCTTCCGGCAGTGCGGGTGCACCGTCGAGTGGCACGTGAAGGAGGGCAGCTCCGTCGAGCAGCCGGGGGACGGGTCGGGCAAGGCGAAAGTGGCTACGGTGACGGGGCCAGCGCGGGGGCTGCTGCTGGCCGAGCGGGTCGGGCTTAACCTGCTGGCGCGGTGCTCGGGGATCGCTACGGCGAGCCGGGCCATGCTGCTGAAGCTGCGGGACGCGGGGTACGCGGGCGCGTTGGCGGGGACGCGCAAGACGACGCCGGGGTTCCGGCTCGTCGAGAAGTACGGGCTGCTCGTCGGCGGCGCCGACGCCCACCGCATGGACCTGAGCTCGATGATCATGCTCAAGGACAACCACGTGTGGAGCCGCGGCAGCATCACCGACGCCGTGGCCGCCGCCAAGCTGGCCGGCGGCTTCGCCCTCAAGGTCGAGGTCGAGGTCCAGAGCGAGGCCGAGGCCGACGAGGCCATCGCCGCCGGCGCCGACGTCGTCATGCTCGACAACTTCTCGGGCGACGGCGCGCGGGCCGCCGCCCGCAGCCTACGCGAAAGGTGGCGCGGCAAGCGCGAGTTTCTCATCGAGGTCTCGGGCGGCCTGCGCGAGGACAACGTGAGCGCGTACGCCAACAATGGTGGGTTTATCTACCTACATTCCCCCCTCTTCCTTTCATGCTAACGCTAAATCCCTCAGATATCGACATCATCTCCACGAGCTCGATCCACCAAGGCACGCCGCATGTGGATTTCTCATTGAAGATCGACAAGGATCAAATCAAGCATTGAGAATTCCGAGGCACAACCTGTTTCTCCTCGGAGGATGACACGTTGTCTTTTGTACATTAGTCACGGAGGATGCAGTAGGTAGGCACGCAACCAGAATAGGTCGGTCAGCGAACGGATAAATTGATGCATACGTTGATCGATGGCAGCTGGTAGTGGGAGTGCCGATAGCTTGTCGCGGCGATCCCCGTCTCGACCAGACTTCAACAGTCAGAGATGGCCCCGGTAGCGCGAAGACGGCCCGAGGATTTCGAGCAGTATGCATAGGTGGATGTATGTTTGGCAGTGGACTGCTCGCGCGTGACGCACGGTGGCACGCCTACCAAGTCTGGTTCGGAATCGTGGCCTCAGACACCTTCCTATATGAACATCTACCGGCAGCGACTGACGATACCTGCCTCAAAGCGGAACACCGATCCTGATGCAATGATGGTGGGTAAATACCCCCCACGTCTGACCTGCCGGCCGAATCAAGGGTCCCCCGAGATCCTGCGACGCCTGTCGGTCATCACCCCAGCCTCTATGCTTGTCTCTACGGGGAGGGGGGGGGGTGTCAAACCTGCTGAGTGGTGTGTGAGACGATGAGGCTCGCCGTTAACAGGACCGCGGCTCACTTCCCCGGCAGAGGTTGCGAGTGCGAGGGAACCTGTCGTTGGCAGCTCTGCTGCGCGTCTACATTGCATAAGTGTGCAGTGACTAGCCATGCCGGCTCCGGGTATATCAGGAAGCCGGAAGGAATGTCTACGTACTGACACGTTCTACGCTAGTTACACCTGTTACGCCGCCTTGGCTGGCCGTATATCGGTCGAGGCGACAGGAAACTAGACAACCATCTAAACAACAGAAAACACGATTGGGTAGCAGAACGGGTAAGCGTTCGGAGGGGTTTTTTCTCTTTTGTCTGCTTCCACATTGCCATACGACGGTTCCTATGTGAGGGCCTCGGGGGTGGTTTGGACTGGCTGTCCTGTTTGTGGCTCACCGCAACCCAAGCCGCCCGGGGGAACCGCAGCGCTGGGCCTGTCTCTCTCTCACGTCAACGGTCTTCAGTCGTTCGACGGCGGAGTAACCGCTGCAGCGTCGGCAGGACGTGTCCGATGCCAGACCAATAGCCCTTCGAATTATCATCGCTCTGCCCCCGTCAAATGCCGCACTGGACTGCCGGAGTCGTCCTTCCACCCAACGTCCAACTCACTCACACACACACCTCTCGCCTTCAGCTTATCCCCCCCCCTGCATACATCTTACTACAGCTCTGCCTTCGCAATTGCCCGGAATGGGTTGTACACGTCAGACCTCCGAACGATCGGAACATGTGTGCAAGCGCGTATGTGTTAAGTATGTTCTCGTAAGTGAGGCACGCGAACGTCGGCGCCGAGAGAGGCAGAGAGAAAGGGGAACAAGAGGGGGGGAAAAAAAATAGTGGCTCGTGGTGGGCGACTCGATATCCCCCCAGACCCTCCCCGTCATCGAGATGCATGCGGGCACACACGATGCGAGAATCACCTCTCTACCGACAGCGCGCCTCGTGTGCCGAGTTCTCGTCGTAATTCTCGGCGCGACGTGGCTACGTGTCAGTTGAAGCGACAACTACAACGCTAATCCCCCCCCGTGTGCCGAGAACCGTCGGCATCATACCGATCAGATGCAACGTCAGCCAGCAAAGCGATAAGACGAGCTCGTGGCAGGTCGCGGATTGACGCTATATATGGAACAGGGGGCTGACACCATCCACTCAACACCGCGTACTCTGACGGCGGTGGCGTATGCGGTAAGTGACGCCATGCGCGTGTGCGTATCAATGGAAGTGAATACTCTTTCTTTCTTTCTTCCTTCGTTCTCATGTAGGTATACATATACATAGACGCGTGCATCATGTGCCGTCGAGCCGGCGATGCTCGCTCGCTCGCTCGCTCGCTATTATCCCAGCTTACATTTCCCGTAGATGCAGCACTCTCCTAACTAAGGGGTATATCCGGAGATCGAGGTGTGCCTAGTGCTCGTAGTGACTAGGTAAGTTTCGGGACTCTCTCTCACCGTCCGTGAGCCGGCCAAAGGCCGTGCGTATATCCTGCTCGATCAGAGGCCACGGCTCTCCTCTGTTGCCAGGAGTATGAGCCTGATAGTAAAGTAATAAACGACCTGTTTTCAAGACCCGACGCGCCGGACGCCCCCCCTCCCCTCTTTCGCTCTCTCTACCCGGCGTCATGCTTATTCCTATTCGCGAGGTTTTCTCGCAGTCGTAAAGATGCTATAAGAGGTGCAGTCAGCAAGTACTCCTGCTAGCCAAGTCGTTGGGCGAGCCATGAGCTGTCTCGAGACGCCGTCCTTACGCTGTTATATACGGTCGCTTGTCTAGTCTTCTAAGCTCCTCCCAGAGCGGGGGTATCTTCTTCTCGAAATCCGCCTTGTCCAATCCGCACTTTGTGAATAGTAAACCGCAGTGGTTATCTGTTTGTTCCGCGAACAGTTAGAGAGACGGTGAGGATGACGACGAAAAGGAGACGGGTTGGCATTGTAAACACGACTAGTAAGAGCAAACGAGAAACAGAGAGAGAGAGAGAGAGAGAGAGAGAGAGAGAGAAAGAAAGAGAACCGTACCGAGGTGATCCGCTATTATCTTGTTCATCAGCGCCTGGCGGGCCTGGAGCTTCTCGTCGCCGGCCCAGGTGCCGAGGGGGAGGATCTCGCTGCGCTGGACGATCTTCTCGAAGTCGGCGTCGATGAGCCAGTCGAGGGCGAGGGGGCTGGGGTTGAACTCCATGCCGACGCGGGCGCCGAGGTCGCGGAAGAGCTGGAGGAAGCCGGGGAAGGCCTCGGTCTCGGCGAACTTGCCGTCGAAGTCGAAGACCTGCATGTGGATCTCGGTCATCTCGAAGAGGCCGCCGGGGCGCAGCTTGGCGCGGGCGCGGCGCAGGAGGGCGGGCCAGTCGCGGACGCCGCCGGCGAGGCCGCGCGCGTGGACGAAGTCGAGCGACGCGTCGGCGGCCGCGAAGCCGTCCCAGGCGTCCTCGACGTCGGCGACGGCGAAGCGCACGTTGGGCGGCACGCCCTTGCGCCGCTGCATCGGGTACACGTCGACGCCGACGATGCGCGCCTGCGGGTACCGCGCCGCCATCTCGACCGCCCACACGCCCGTGCCCGTGCCCAGGTCCGCGATCCGGCCCACGTCCCGCGGCAGCCGCGTCGCGGTCAGCTCCCCGTCCAGGCACAGCCGGAACAGCCGGTGCTGGATCTCGTTGCGCTCCCGCTCCGCCCGGTCCGACGGGAAGAAGATCTTCCCCGACGCGTGGTACCGGTGCCCGAACGCCTCGATGTGCGGCAGCCCCTCCAGCCGCTGGTCCACCGTCCCCGCGTCCGACGCCGCCGAGTCGACGCTCTTCCGCCCCGAACGCTCGCTCTGGTGCGGCGCGCGGACGCTCGAACGTTTAGCCGCGCGGGAAAACGGATAGATGGGTAAGAGAGAGGAAGGACGAGAGGCAAGGGAGGAGGAGGAGGAGGAGGAGGAGGCTAAGGGTAGGGTTCGACTTCACTCACTTCGGCGTGGTCCTTCGTCCCCCGGTTCTTCTCTCTCGTCGAGGATTCGCTCATGGTCTCGTCCTTCGACCGCCTTGTATCTCGCGGTGCTCAGCTGCCGCCACGTCCGTCTGGTGCCCGGGCGCGATCAAATGGGGACGCCGCCTAGAGGGAGAGGGAGAAGGAAAATAAGGGGGGGGGGGGGTAAGGGGGGGGGGGTTTGTTATTTAACAAGAAACCCGCGGCATCGATGTTCTTTAATTGTGCGCTTCTCTGTGTGTTCTTTCTTCCTGCCGTCCTATGTCTTGCGAGATGCCCGGCGAGTATCCACACCCATCACACTGTTGGTTGCTGGCTGGCTGGCTGGCTGGCTGGCTGGTGTTGCTACTGTTTCTACTGCTGCTTCATGGGTGGTCTCCGGCGGGGAGCAACTGGATCGCCGTTGTCGAAGGCCAATGCCCATAGGAAAAGGAATTCTAGGTCGGGAAGCAAGCGACTTGACAACTGAGCGCTCGAGGTTAGCGATGCCGGCACTACTGCCTCTGCGTCGGCATATATGCAACGCGTTCACGTCCATCCGCTCCTCGGCAAGCAGGTGCCTTGCATCCCGAAGATGTCTTGGAAGCCGATCCATGTAGGCTAGGCGTTGGTGCTTCGGGTAGCCAGATCCTGCCCTATCTCGTCCTCCCACCCAACGCCGGATGTAATCGTAATAGGTAAGCCCGGGAAGGGGAAGGGGGGGGAGGGAAGGCCATGTTGTCGTAAGTAGGGTACCCCTCTCGTCTCCTCTCGCCTGCCACCCCCAGGCGCGAACAGCTGATGGACCCAACCTGCGAGTGGATAAGCAGGAGAGGAGTAAGTAACGAAGAGCTGCAGTGGTAGCGCGTGCTCTGCAGAGAGCCACTCTGGGGAACAGAAAAAAAAAGTACGTGGACTAGGACGGTCCGAATCCTAGTGGCTAGAGGGAGGGGGAAGACAACTTAGAAGAACGGGGTCATGATAGGTTGGCATGCGTCCTGCAGTCATGAGAGATGCGTGTGGTCCTGAGCGTAGGGTGAGGCATTCCGCATCGACAGCGAACGATGTCGTCACGAGAGGATTTTTTGCCATATGTAATATGACCTCGCGGTCGTCGAGCTGGCAGGCAAAGGGTGTATGTGCCCATTGCAACCCACAAGACGAGATCTTGCCATTATCTGGGCTTCTAGACTCGAGATGGATGCATATGCAACGTCTGCCACGCCCATCCCCCTGTCCCTGCAGTGACTGGGCGGCCTACAATACTTACTATTAGGCGCTATAGACTAAGTAGAGGATCCTTACCATGGTCAAGCCGCCGCCCCTCCCCGTCTCATATCCCCTCCCGTCTTACGCCAATATGTACGTACAGACATGGCTCCTCCGTACTTACTTACATGAAGCCCACGGGCGGATAGGGCACCCCCCTGGAACGACCCGCTTAGGATCCGCCAGCAGGCTGACACGAGTAAGTGAGTGTTGAGCGAACACGGCCCTAACGAGTGGCAGCGCCTGCGGGATTCTTCATCACATTTTGCGGCCCGGCAAGGCACGGAACCGCACCTACATTGCGTATCACGGAGTCTTGCATCCTGACTTACACCTGGGGGAAGGAGGCGGAGGAATAGGGTGGGAAAGGCGGGATGCGTGCTCAGCGCGTATGTACGCGCGGATGGATGGACGGATGGGTCGACGGATGGACGGAGGCGCATACTACGTAACACAGGCTGATCCCCAATACCTCCCTATTCCTATGCTTGCCGGCTCGACGACAACCCTCGCGGACCTTGGATGCTCTGAAATTCGACGTAGCATTCAGCGGGACGAATGCACACCTATCCCTGTGAGCACCGGGCCACGTGGATGGTGCTGAAACCTGCGCCCGGACGTCGATGGGCTAATAGGTAATTAAAAGATGCTGGTAGGGCTGACGACAATAATTACTTACTCGCGCGCCCGCCTCAGGATTGTTTACACACCACGGAGGGAAGGGGGCATGTGATTGCTGTCTTCGTTCGGCTCATCGTCGAATCGCCTACATATGTACGTATGTAGGTATGTAGGTGCCTACCTACCTACCCAGTATAGGCGCGTAGGCGTATGTGAGGTATGTGCCTACGCCGGCGAGGTGAGCGACATGCTCATTTCCACGCCCGCATAGAGCCAAGGTTCCGTCGACGACGACCTAGCGCTCTACCTATCTAGACACGCAACATAGCCAGCCGCCTCCGAGCTTACATACTCTAGGTATGTAGGTACAATTTCAGCTCTCTCTCGACCACGCGACGCCCTTCGAGGCGATCGATAGAGACCCTCCTCTTCGAGCTAAGAGCTAAGAGGGAGAGGGGTTAGGGGTTAGGGGTTTAGGGGTTCGCTATCTACAAACTTCAACATACATATGAATGCATACATACGTAGGTAGCACACACATACGTCCCCTACCAGGGACCCTACCCGAGAGAGAGACCAGTCCGAGAAGAGGGTCCAAGCCCGGCGCTGATGATCTTCGACAGGCCCCTTCCTGCAATCTTCGACCGCTCCCACATCTACCGAATAAACGACGAAAAGCCTGTTGGTGATATAACGTGCAGATGCTGCAGGGGACGGTCCGACGCAGGAAGAGCAGCGCGATCAGACGACGACCCCCCCCCCGGAGCCAAGGTGGAAGCGCTCGCCATCATAGGCAACATCGGCCGAGATGCGTTGTGTTAGTCCGAAGGAATCAGAGATGCCCTTCCTCTTACGCTTCTCTGCTTCTTCTCTTCCCCCACCATCCTCCTCCTCCGCCGCCGCCTCCTCTCCACTTCCTTGCGTTAAGCGACGAGTCGACTGCATGTGTATGTATGTAGGTATGGGCGGATGGATCTGCGCATGCATACGCTTCCTTGGAAGAGCACACAGACGTGACCTACCTCCGTCTAAGCAGACCCCCCTTCCCGTGATAATGTTGCGCACATCAAATGCCGCAGGTCCCGCAGGCTAACCGGGCGCGATGAGGTGTTCGCTGGTTGGCTAGAGGAGCCGTTCCCGTTCAGCGTCGAGTCAAAGCTGGCACGCGATGCAAGAAGAAAAGCAGAGAAATTCTTGGACAGCCACCCACCGTCTAAGCACGACGCCGTCCCGCTTGTTCTTAACTCGCAATCCTATAGTGTCTCTATATACGCTTCTAGGTAGCCTACGCTGTGGATCTAACCTACATGACTACCTACAAAGAGGGCTCCACATCGGGCAACGCGCTAGATACGGAAGTAGATGCAGAAATAGACACAGAGAGGTAGGTTTGTCCAGCAGGGGTAGGGGGGGAGGGAGGAAGAGGAGGGAACAGAAGGATTTCTCTCTAGTCCACAACCCTCATGAACTGGTTCGCTATGAACGTCGCGCTCTTGTGCACGCTATCGCGCCTCTCTGGCGCTGCGAACCTCTCGATTTTCTTCGGAAGCACGAATCTCGGCCTACCGAACGGCCCCAGAGACGACCTCCTCGCCGTCGTCGTCGTCGTCGTCCCGTTCTGCGGGTAGTCAATACTACCGTAGGCGCACTTACCGCCCTTGAAGGCGGCCGTCGCGGCGGCCTTCCAGAGCTCCGTGATGTCGGTGACCATGGGCGCCGTCCACCAGAGGCGACAGTCGGATTCCTCGGTGACGAACTGCGCGGGAATCCCGTCCGCGAGATTCCCGCGTAGGATCTGGTCTTTGACGTTGAGGCTCGCTGCCGTGCTGCGCTGCCGCACGTAGCCCGTGTAGCGCCGCAGCGTATCGGCTGTTTCTGAGTCATTCGTGAACGAGAGCGCCGTCTGTGCCTGCGCAAGCACGTCGGCGAACCCGTAGCTCTGGGAGCCCTTGACGCCACCGACGCCCTGGATGCGGCCCTCCTTCGACGGCCGCCCGCCCATCGCGATGCTCTGGACGCCAGCGTTGACCTTGAGGAACTGGGAGAAGAGCGTGCACGTCGACGCGCAGTACCCGTCGAGCAGGAGCACGATGTTCTCGGGCCCACCGAACGGCCGCGTGAAGTTCTGCCGGCTGCGGTAACCCGTGATGTCGGTGCCGAAGCCGAAGGTGTCGTTGATCGTGCTCAACGGATCGTTGAAGTTCCACTGCATCAAGTTCGTGTACGTGTCGCCGCCAAATTCCTGCGGTGCGAACTTGTCCTCATATGAGGTGAAGTTCCCGTTCGTCGCGTTGTAGTCGTAGCGCCAGTTGAAGACGGACTCATACGCGTTGATGACGTCGGGTGACGCCGTGTCCGGGTCAAAGTCGGCCGAGATCTCGGAGAACACTTTCGACACAGCCGCGAAGCCCGGGTGCTGCCGCCACCGCCCCAGGCCCTCCTGCACAATGTCCGGGAACAGCTGACGGAACAGGTCGTACCCCGAGAAGATGTAGCCCCCGCCGTTCGCCTGCACGTCGACAACCACCTTCGTCTTCCCCGCCCGGACCGCGGCCGCAAAAAAGTCCTGCGCCACCTGCTGGAATTCGACCGTGCTCTCGGGCGAGAAAGACAGCATCACGATCACAGCCACGTCCTCGAAGCCCGGCTGGTCGATGAAGTAGCCGGAGATCGACGAGTCACTCGACACGATGACCGGATCGGGGTATCCCACAACCCGAGCTGCCGCCGTGGCCGCCGCGGTGGTTGTCGTCGTCGTCGTCGTTTCGTCGACGGCCTGAACGGTGGAAACCGCACCGGGACAGAACCTGTTGAAAAAGGACGGGCCATCAACGACGCCAGTCCAGCTACCCTTCAGCCTCGCTAAATTTGGCAGATCTAGCACCGTCCCGTTTTCGAATGTGAACGAGGTGAGCTCGCCAGGATAGATGTACCTAACGCGTAATCGTTAAAAGTCATGTCTCCAACCGGAAATGCCATCTATCGGTCGTAAGGAAGTAAAAGGGACGTACCTTACCCGGCCTCCCGTCTGGAAATAGCCGAGATTGTTGTTCTCGGCTAGGAAGGCCTTCTCGAAGAACATAGAGTTATACGCGGCGTCGGCATCCTGGTTTCCGGTGGCCTGGTTGATCCAATCCTCAACGAATGTCGCGGCGTCGACGCCGTTGATGAGGGCGACAGTGGAAGCGGTGTCGGGCGAGGCCACGACGTCGTCGTAGACCTTGATAGCGGGGGCGGCGCCGGCGGGGCCCTCCTCGCTGATAGAGACAAGGGCGAAGGGCCGCTGCCATTCGAGGGCTCTCGACAGGGCGTCCGGGTAGACGACGAAGTGGCCATCGTGAGCCGGCCCGAACAGCCTCTTATACAGGTCGGCCTGCCACGAGTACTCGTTGGGGTACTTGTCGGCGGCGAGGTCGGCCTTGACATCGGCTATAACGGCCCAGATATCGTGGGGCGGGTAGAAGTACTCCTCGGGCGGGTTCTTCTTGAAAGCCGTGTCGGACTGCCACTCGACGTACGGCTCGAGCTCGTCGATGAAGCGGAGGGCGGCGTCCTTATTGATCGGCACCGAGTTAAGACACTCGTACGCGATCGACGCCTCGACAGTCGGCGTGGCCGTGGCCGTGATCTGGGCAGCCCACGACGCGCTCACGACAGCACACGGCTCAGTAGGCGTCCCCGTTGGCGTGCTACTAGTGGCGTCGCTAGCCGCGTTCGCCAACGAGGCGAGCGCCACGGCGCTAACAGCAGAGGACTTCATGGCTATCGACTGCTTACTAGAGATTGAGGCAGGTAGGTCGAACCAACCTCACACCTAACCGTCCCGGTGCTGCCAGAAGACGGGATTAGGGAGGGGGAAAGGGGGGGGAGGGAAGGGGAAGAGGGCGTCGCAGACATGATGGCATTGGACGTGTCGGCATGTAAATATATAGGTCTTTTATACCTACATGCCAGCGTGCCTTCACGCCATCCGGCGAGCATGCCAGTAAATCCTCTCGTGCGTTTGCAGGAGTTCCTATTTGGGGAGGTGATATAGATGCCTGCCATTTTTACCGATGGAGCAAGATCTTCTCGACAGGGGAGCCGTGGGGGACTAGGGGGAGCGTCGCATGTACATATATATGTAGGTATGTGTGTAGGTATGTTATGGCACGGAGGAGGAGGAGGAGAAGCAGAAGTAATAGGACGGGTTGTGATGGAGAGAAAGGATAGCGATAGGGATCTGTGCATGCAGCTTCAAGGGCGTTATGCATCTGATTTGTCATTTTGTGTGTATAACTTGGTGTATAACAACACAATATATAGTACCTCTAGCTAGGTATATCTAGGTACCAGGTATGCGCCGAATGGTGTGCCTGTCTCTATCCAACGGACTGTAGACAAGTACCTAGGCATAAGTTACCTACCTATTTGGAGAGGTCAACAATGTTTATGCATCGCTCACGGCTTCTTTTTATCTATGAATATTTTTTCAGCTTGAGACGGCGTGCCTGGCTCTATCCCCTCCTCCCTCTTCTCCTGCTTCCACCCATATGCTGTTAGCTGTTATGGGCCGTCGTTGTCCCCCTGACGGCACTGTTGCTCGCAGATCGACGTGAATGGAGGCCTCGCATTCCTACCGCTCCCACGGTACCCAGATCCCAGCCGGCACGCCTCTTCCGACTCGTCTGGCCCACCCGAGAGAGGGCTTGGATGAGCTTGATTGTCTCTTCGCCCACCCGCTTCTCTGGGCATACGTACACATCGGACCAGGGAAACACGACATCTACCTACCTATAATGCATGCTACCTACGACGACGCTCGGATTTAGCATCAGTCCGCATAGCCCGCTTCACCGGGTCCAAGGCCACGGGGCCCTCGTCTGTTTGTCTCTGCCCGGAACGCCGAGTCGGTGTGATTGATGTGTCTCTCCTCGACGGTTAATCTCCTCTCCCGACAGCTACTCCTCTCCGTTTCTCTCTCTGCTCCTCACTACGGGCCTAAGGCGGCATGCATACCTATACTTGCGGAGATATCGCGTTGACTCTAACCCAATCCTGCCCTCGGAACCGCGCAGCCAGACCCCGTGCCGTCATCACATCGTACGCCCCCATGTACATACCTAAATAGGTATCTATGTAGGTACGTGCCTTCGGTTGCCGACATGCATCTTTACCATAGCGCCTGCGTAAGGGGGGACACGACTCACGATAACATCGTCCGAGTCCAACGTAGAGATACGGCGGCGTACCACCTGAATACCGGTATAGCGCCAGCATCCGCGCCACACTGCAGCTGGAGTATTGAATTCCTACCTACTTGATTCTAGATTCGTGGGAATATTGTCGCCGCAGGCGGACAGCATACCGGAGATACAGCGGGCCAGGCGGGGAGGGGCCTAATATTCAGCTGGCCCCATCGGAGCGTGAAGCCATTGTCAGTCGGAACCGACGAGATACGTGCATACCTGGGAGTTTATACCTATATATAGGAACGGGGCCTTTTCCAGCCGCCTAGGTTATACGCCAACCAGCCAGCCAGCCAGCCACCGTCACCAAGACAGCTCCCCATGGTTAGGACGCTCCAGATCCGCCAGCAATATACACAAGGCAACACAATATAGCCACGTATTCTCGCCCTGCTCCTGCTCCTGCTCCTGCTCCACCGGCCCCAGCGGCTAATAAACATGCCCCCGGCATGCCGCCGGAGACCAGCGCCTCGGCTAAGCTGACCCCCGAAAACGGCTTCCCTAGCCCCGAGATATCCCAGCATCCTCGACCGTGGACAGGCACTAACTTTTGTCGTAGTAGACTAAGTATTTGAAACTTTACGACCTGTAAATGAGTAGCTCCTGGGGTTCTTTGTGCTTGGACACCCTCGCGTACCTACAACCCTGGATCCCTGCGGCATCTTTCCAACGCGATGTGTGCTGATCAGTCAACTCCGTGGAGACTCTTCCAAACACAGTATGGTGAAGCTTTTTATTATAGTGCTCGATGCCGAAACAAAAATGGTCGTAATCCGTTGCTTGGTGGAACATAAATAAAGGGTATCTTTTTCCGCATTATACCTTCGCTCGGCCCCTCACACACACACACACACACACTCCCCCTCTCTCTCTCTCTCCTACCGAGGTAACGCAGGAACGGAGAACACCCTCGCCGTCCTATCAGCCCACCCTCTACCCGTCCTTGACCTCCGCCTTCGCGTCTTCCTTCGGGTCGGGCGGGGTCTCGGCGCGGTCGGCAGCCCCCTGTATGACGGGGGAGCGGCGGCCTCCGCCGCGGAGGTCCCTGACGACGGCGCGGGCGGTGCGCGCGAGGGTGGCGCGGCCCTCCCAGACGGGGAACAAGCCGACGGCGCCGAGCGAGCAGAAGATCCAGATAATGCCCACCGTGACCCAGCCGGTGAAGAAGGGCTTCGAGAAGACGTAGCCGGAGCCGTACATGGGGAACGGCCACAGCACCAGGAACGCGAGCGTCAGCCCCGCCGTCGTCCACTTGGACACTCGGCTCGCGCGCGCTAGCTTCGCCTGCTCCTCGTCCCGCTCCCTCGCCGTCGCCGCCGGGCTCACTCCCGCCGCCGCCGCCTGCTGCTCCGGGTCCAGCCCCGCCGTCGCCGTCAGGTCGCGGTCGTCGCCCCGCCGGATGTCCATCATCGACTTCCAGTCATACTTGTCCTGTTGTTTTATTCGTAAGCAAGTCTTCATGAGCGAGCGGGCGTGATTCCTCCGGGATTGCTGTTGGGGAGGGGGGAAGAGCGGAGCGAGGGGAAAGCGATGTTGTAAGTACGTACCAGTCCAAAGATGAGGGTGAAGATCGGTATCAGGACGAGGGGCGAGAGGAGCGCGACAACTGCAAGCAGGTGTGTCGTGTTAGTTTACGCCATCTGAGAAAAAAAAAAGGAGAGAAATGAAAACGTTACGAAGACTACGAGGCGGGGGAACCACTGACCGTTCCCGGCGAGCATCGGGTTATTCGATCCCGTGCACGCGACGTCCAAGGCGCCACATTCCCTCCGAGCGGTCACGAGCCACGCAACCAGGGCGAATGCGAGCCCGAAGACGGGCGACAGGGCGGCAGCCCATTTGTTCTGGCCCTTCCACACTAGGGTCAGCGTGGCGGGTATCACGGCTGCCGAGATGACGCAGCCCATCATGAGGTCTAGAGGACGGGGTTAGACTTTATTCGCCGCGAGAGGAGAGCGCGGCGGGCGCGGATTGTAATAGTATACGTACAGAGGTAGCCCATTGAGATGCCCGCGTACCAGAGGCCGACGGAGAAGGTGGAGATGAAGAGGGCGTAGGCGACGACGATGACGTGCGATATGTAGATGAGGCGTCGACCGCTCGCGTCGGGCTTGAAGTATGTGCGGTACAGGTCGTAGGTGAAGATGGACGAGACGGCGATGAGCTCGGCCGAGGTAGCGGAGGTGACGGCCATGAAGATGATGAGCAGCGTCGCGACGGCGCCGCCCTTGCCGAGCAGGGCGACGGCCGCGTACGGCAGCACGAGGCCGGCCGACACGTCGGCGTCGGACATGCGGGCCGGGTAGGTGGGGAAGGCGGGCGTGTTCTCGAGCGCGAGCGCGGACAGGCCCATAGTCGTGGCAGTGAGCCACGGGATGGCGAACCAGCTGAGCCCGCCGATGATGTAGCCGGGCAGGGCGTGGACGGGCGAGGCGGCGATGGCCTTGTTGTAGTAGCCGTTGTCGAGGAAGACGGTGCCGAAGTTGCCGACGATGTTGATGACGAAGAAGACGGCGCCCTCGCGCGAGCGCATCGTCAGGTAGCTGCCCTGCACGTTGCCCTCGACGGGGTGGCGCAGCGCCGCCTCGACGAGCAGGTCGTACACCGCTGCCGGCGAGCCGAGCTGGTCCGACGACGCGTACGCCGTCAGCGCGAAGACGATGATGATGATCAGCAGGATCAGCGTGTGGATCCAGTCCGTCAGGATCGTCGCCTTCAGGCCGCCCACCATGGTGTACGCCATGACGCCGACGGGCAGGAGGTAGATGGCCGCGATCGTGTGCATCCCGGTGAGCGCGCTGACGGTCGCGGAACCGCCGACGACCAGCATGAGACTGACGAGGATGTTGGTCGCGAGGCCGAAGACCATGAAGACGACATGAGGGATCGTTCCGTAACGAGCTTTGATTCTAATTTTTGGGGGCCCCCCGGTTAGCGGATTTGCTTTTACCTATGTCACCTGTTGCGGGTAGCCAGACCACGCCCACTTACACTTCGAGGAAGGTGTGGGCGTTAGGGGCCCGCCTCTTCAGCTCGATGGCGAGAGTTGCAAAGAGCAGGATCTGGACGGTGGCCCCCGACGCGTACCAAAACGGGCCGGAAACGCCGTATCGGTAGCAGACGCCGGTGCTCTGTAGAAGTGTGGCCGCCCAGGTCCACGAAGACACAACGGCAGACCCGACCAGCCCGCTCTTCACCGTGCGGCCGGCGGTGTTGAACATCTCGGATGTCTGGAGCTCCGAGTTGTATCGCTTCAGGATGAAGGTGACTAGAATCTAGAGGTCGCGATTAGTACTAATGCTACGTAGAAAGATCGTAGTCTCGATCCGACTAGTATGAGGCCTATGTAGGCAAGAGATCGCGACCCGTCGTGATGGTCGAAGCGCTGGGTAGTTTCCGAGTGTCACTTACCATTCCGAGGGCGAAGGCAAAGCCCAGACCGAGAACGATGCCATAGCCGACGCCCTGGTCGAGGGGCGCGGCGATTTGGACGGCTTCCATGACGCCTGTCTGCTGCAGCGGAGGCCGGAGGTTGCGATATCAGTGTGCAACAAGTTCGTCAGACAGAGAGCGGGCAAAAAGAGGGCCAATGCTAAGGGGTAGGTACAACATTATATACATTAGATAAATCTGCCAGCTTCGCGGATCGATCTTCAACAAGATATACGCGTATGTGTGAGGTATGTATGTATGTTTTAAATGTATAAGACATTCCCTTATCAGCAGCTAGGCCCTCGAAGCTCTCCCCATGCGTACCCCGGGCTTGGATGGCGTCCCGATATCATGCTCCTTTGTAAGTGAACCGATTTGTTCCCCCCCCCCCCCCCCCGCGCATGCAGGGTCTCGCCCGGAAAGCCACATGAGATAAGGAGCGATACGCCTTCAGACGCACATGAGATGCTCGGGTGTATCGCCGCCGGGTGCCCGTCGGCCTCTTTGTCTTATGGGAGCATCGAGGACTATTGGGCGTCGGCAACCGAACCTATCACGGTCTTGGCCGGGCTGTTGGCAACGACCAGGTCTACGGAGACGCTGTCTCATTGCGCCTGTCGCGCAGTGTAGCCTTGATACCGCCATCGTGGAGCGCTGCCGAAGTACCTGCGTTGCGTTGCACGAGCGTATCGTTCCCCATCATCTAGGTTAATCTTCCAACTTTTCGCTCAGGTCGAGACGTGCAGCTAGTAGGTAGGTAGGTATTCCGCCGAGGATGGCGCTATATCGCCCTCCTTCTCCCGCTCAGCGCCGCTTCGGCTACGGCTGCTCTTGAAGCGCGCTCGTTGACGGGCCGCCGCCTATATGCAGGCTGTAGGTGCCCACCCCGAGACGAAGGCAGACCGGTTCGCTGGGTAACAACAGGGAGGTAGGCGTAGACTCGATCTCTAAGTCGACACAAGCAGCGGCTCTCGAGGTCGCGATAAGGACGGCGAATAGAATCGTGCGATGTCAGATCCAAGACAAAACAAAACCAGGGGTCCGGGGGATTCCGCGAGCCTGAGGTTGTAAATCTGGGACCCCCGTGGACGTGTAAGCGGGCACTTATCAGGGTGGATTGGCCAACCATTGGGGGGGCGGGCTGGCAGCCGGGCTGATAAGAGAGTCGCGACGCCCGATAAATAGCCTCCCTGCCCAGCCCGCCCCGTGGAGAAAAATCACCCTCTGATGGCGCGCCTCTGACGTTCGATATGCCGAGGACTCGTCGCTAGCATCGAGGCTAAGTAACAGTTGCTACTATGCATGTGGTTCACGGCCCGGGTAGACGCACGCGAGATAGGAAGTATTCCATCTTGTAAGGCAGATGACAAATCTACTCCGTACCCTGCGGGTCTGGGGAGCAGGGGCTGTGATGCCGGGGAGAAACCAACTTCACGATCCGTATCTGTGGATCCCGAATTTACGTCGAGCTTGACGCAAGACACCATCGGTTCTCTTCTATTTTTGGGTCCTTTTTTTCTTCCTCGGCTTCGTTCTTTTCACACGACCTCTTTCGTTGTCGTTACTGTCAATGTAGTAGCCATATTGTTACCAAGCATTCCTCGTCCCTCGGCGAAGAGCCGGCGAGGTGAAGAGAGAGGGAGGGTTGAAAGAAGGATTCGCCCTAAAAAATATCGGAATAGTTTCGTCCGGAGCCGCCCAGCCGCCGTTCCACTCTGCCCTCGAGGCATCACCCGTAGCCGTCGCCGTTTGGCAAAGGCTTAGGATGCTTAGGATGCTTAGATCGGTGGATCACTTGAAAAACAAGACCTAAACGGGCTGTCGTGGTCCGCCTGGTTAATGCCCGCCTAGAGGATGAGAAGACCCCGCGATATGCACCTAAGCGAAAACTGGATCGACCCGCTACGAGTAACTCTACGTGGAAGCAAATCTCAGGTACTTAGCAGTGCCTTGGACACGAAGCGCCCAATCACAAACCTGGCCTCGTGGTGTAGTTGGTTATCACGTCAGTCTAACACACTGAAGGTCTCCAGTTCGAGCCTGGACGAAGTCAACCTTGACCTTTTGCTTAACCTTTTGCTTAACCTTGTCGGCACCTGACTCTCACCCCATCCTATTTTTGTGCCTACCGCCCAGCTTTGCCTCCAGGCGCTCCCCACCCGGGATTATAAGAGATCTGTTCTTGAGATACCAGGCGTCTACCCCGAAGATCTTAACTCAAGAACCCACCTAGCGTCGTTCTTAGCTACCTAGGCGGTCCGTCCTGGAGGGCGTACAGAGTGAAAGAAATCAGCCCGCCGAATAGCTTAGGGTTCCCAAACACGGCGCTCTCCTCGTAGTAAAGAGCTGCGATACACCCCGAATGCTGCACGAGAGTCGAACAACCCTGCTTAACTGCAGTGGGATCCGACAGCAGGCGCCGGCTCCTGCGTGCTTGGCCTGATTCTCCGTGGCTATCTGAAAACGGCCGTGCTAATTCGAGACCTACCCCCTGGAATGATGTGTGTTTGATGTTGTAAGTTGTGTGGCCGCCGAGAGGCTTCGCTGCCACGGTTGTCATCTTAAAAAAACGGATGGGCTGACATGTTAAGAGCCGGCCCGGGTTCGATACGGGGGAATTTTTCATGTTGTTCTTATTTTCCGGTATCCCTTGGACTATGTGTCGCTCGCCTGGGTTCATCTCGCATTCTTGCCCAATCTCGGATGTGGAAAGCTTATATGGCGGCTCTAATATGTTTTGGAGTTACTTCACCATGTAGATCGTGTCCTTCCCATATTAGGGTTATGGCGGCGTTGCGATCGAATCGGTACAATTTCTAGTTCTGCTCTTAGAGTCGCAACACCTACCATATTTCCGTGCCATACATGGGTCTAGCAGTGGAAACAAGATGGGTAATGTCGATGATTAGGCCATCGTTATATTACCAGGCCTAGAGGGGCAGTGATAGTGCAAGTATATATTAATTGACCCCTTCGCCGTTTGTAACGGTGAGTAATTTGTTGTAGGTACTCATACAGCTCGTTATAATGTCACCGCCCCGCGCTTTTACTACATCCTTAGAAGGTGTTAATGAAAAACTGGGGTGACTAGACTTCTACCCACCGAAATCCCTTACGACTGCGGGACCTGTCCGAATCGATATTGCGCCCACCCCATACTGCCTTCGTGCAGTGTCCACGTCCTCTTGCCGGCATCATCACCGGCCGCACCGGCCGCTACGTAAACCGGCATTAAGTGATCAAACCGCTACGGAGGGGGTCAGTTTCTGTCTTCGCGGTCGCTCGGGGAAAGTTGAGACTCACTGGGTGAGCTTGCCTCGCGTCGGGGCGTTTGGCAACTTCTTTCAAGCGAGACTGGCGCTCGCTCGGCGGGGATTCGACGGCCTCCTTCAAAGCCTCGTCGAACGACACCGTGTAGGGCAACGGCTGCGGATCGCCCTGGGTGACCCACATATCCCTTAGGTTATGCACGGACATGCCGGCGCCGATGATGACGATGTTCTCGTCGCGGAGCGAGGCCACGGCTTGCCCGAGCCGGTAGTGCATATCCACGTCCTGGTTGGAATACAGGCTCACCTGAACCAGGGGAACATTGAGAGGGTTGTTCTCGGGGTTGAATGCTATTTTTTTCAAAAAGAAATCAGCTTAATCCTTGATGCCGGCATGTAGTGTACCTATGAAAGGCGGAAGCCTACCGACATAGAAGCCCGACCAAACACCGTGGTCGAGGCCCCGAGTTACTCCCCTCGCCTTTATGCCGGCCTGGGTAAGAAGGTTGACTATCTTAAATGCCAGCTCGGGGCTTCCCCTATTCGGGTACTGAGCCTTGTAATATTCAGGCGGGAACCCGTAGAAGCTATGGCGAGTCCTATTAGCGTCGACGACCCGGAGCGCATCGCGGTTTGCCACGGCAGGGAACGCACTCGTAGATCAGATCTGTGTGTTCCGCCGAGTTGACCTCGATACTGTTGGACCCAGCCTCCCAATGGCCGGAGAAGACCACGACGGCTTTCGGTTTCACCTTCTCGGTGATCTCCTTGCCGATCTTTTGAAGAACGGGGTAGACGGGATGGCCCGTCTCATATTGGACGTTTGGCTACCGGCGACCGGCGTCAGCAGGCCGCTTCGCAGCACTTGTACGAGGGGGCATGTGAACTCACACCACCGTGGCTGAAAAAGTAGACGGGGGGCCTAGTATGGGTTGCCATGGATGCTGAGGGTTGCGCAGATGGCGGAGGTCGGGTCAGTAGTGAGCGTATGGGCTTCAAGGCGGAAAGGGGTAGCAGGGTACGAAGGAGCGGTGTTGAGAAGATGATAGCCACAGCTGCTACAATTACAGACACGATCAAGGATAGTCTGGCTATCAATCTCATAGCATCGATATAGACGTGGAGGCGGGCGGGATGGTTAGGGAGGGGGTTAACTGTGCAGAGGCAGCCATCGACAGACATGCAGGCAGGCGGGAAGCCATTTGTACCGTCGAAAACACGCTTGTAGAGGCGATCCCAAGAGCCGTATCCCACATTATCCCACCTGGGGCGTTAGGCGGGCTAGTGGGCGAGGTGGTTCGTTAGACGGTCTGGCAGCGCTGAGGGAAGGCCACTTAAGGTACTGTGGCGCTTGGGTGGACAATCCCATCCCACTATGGCGAACAGCCTCTAATTCTTCAGCAATTACCAAGGATCAGTCAGCACAGGAGTTTTTCCGAACCTCGTCGTTGCTTCCGACCCCGTCTTACCTAAGTACCTACCTAAGGTCTAAGTTACAGGTGTAGGAGGTAGGTAGGTACCTAGGTACTGCGGTTCGCGCGTTGCGACTTCTGCGCTGCCTGCGGGGCTGCCTAGGTAGGGTTCGATAGTGGGGCCCGGCTGGTGTGTGACGTGACTAGAACTGGACCAGGCCCCTGCCCTCTCGTTCTAGCCACCTGCAAGTTGGTTGAGGGAGGTGCGGGCCAACTTGCTGTGGGGCAGTTAGTAGCTGCTGTCACCCAATGAGGACTCTTACGCACTATCTTCTAGGTTAGGTACGTACCTAGGTACTTTTTAGTATACCTTGCCTTGCGAGGAGGGTGCAGTGTCATGACAGGTACCTTGGGTAGGGACCTACGTACCCAGGCGTCCCTCTTGAACATCTTCTTCTGGTTTCAGACGAGAGAAGCATGTCCGTGTACATAACCGGAGAAACTCCCGCTCGATAACGTCCCTGTCAGCATGCGGAATTTTCCCATCCGCCACCGGCATTGGCCTCTACGAAGGAGAGCCGGTGTGTATGGGAATAGATACCTAGACAGGTTATCCAAGGCAAGGGGTTTATACCGAGCGCGTGCCTCGCCACTAGAACGTAACGTACCTAAAGAACCAACTTTGCGTCCGCTCAGCAACTTTGCTGGTTCGCGGGGCGGGCATATACCTACAGGGCAGGTATTAGCACGGTAGCGGGTTAGGACGGGTAGATCTTTTTCTAACGGGCTCCTTCGCGTTCTCGTTGTGGTTAATAGGGTATATTTGACGTCTTTACGATTCCCACCAGCTCCGCGCCATTGGCCCTCGCGAAGGCGATCGCCGCCCGTCACCTATGTACGGCTCTCGTTGGTAGCCTACCAGGGCTCTTTCTCCACCCAAGTTCCGAAACAAGTATCATCGTGTGTTGTAGGTGTGTGTAGGTGTGGAGGTGTGGAGTGAAAATGTTGAGGTCGTGTGGGAAGGGCGGCCGACTCGATGGACATCAGGACACACGATCCGCTCAGGAATATGCACAACAATCTACCTACCTAGGTGGGCATGTAGGTAGATATAGCCACTTCTAACGTAGGTAGATATAGAAGCGTAGATGCCCGCTTTGCCACGTCTCCAACCCCAGGTAGGTAACTATAAGCTTATATTGGTAGTTCAACTGGGTATGTTCTCCGATCCCTGATATAGCATCAAGCTTGGTCCCACGGTCTTATTCTTTCTCTTTTTTTTCAAGGACCCTCGTACAGTGGAAAATACAAGTAAAACCCCTAGATTTCCCTTTTTTAGAAAAGAGAAAAACAAAAAAAAGAAGCTCGGCATTGAAGCCGTTTCGTGTAGTGTACGCAGGTGTCGTATTCTAGTAAACCAACCCCTTTCCTGACAAGGCGGTGGAATATTCGAGTTGTCTGGGTTGCTTGGGGGGGGAGGGGATGGGTTCGGTGGAATCCCTTCAACCATCGCTTGTCCGTTAGGCCTATTGAGTCGGCAAGGCCCTTGTGCGACGGCATGCATACACGTTAATCGGCTTAGCAGCCCAGTCTGTGGTGGTATGACAATTATATAATAGCAAACGGGGCCCTAGCGGTGGTCGGTCCGTATCTCTCTTCCCTCTCTCTGCTTCTCCCGAATTCCTTCTCGTTCCCACATCCCGAGACTTCGATAGCCCCGACACCAATACCCAGCACATTCCGCCCGCCACCGCAGCGTCTAGTTGCTAAAGTGGACCGGCATTCATTCGCTATCTACTTAGTTCGGCTAGCGGATGCGTTCGGCCTCCGGTGTATTCACCCTCTTCGTTGTCTGCTCTCTTCTGCTTGCCCCCTTCTTCTTCGCCGGTGCAGAATCCGATCCCACCATGTCCATACGGCGAGCTCCGCCTCTGATATTCCCGGCCGCCGCCAAGCACACGGCCACCGTCATCTTCGTCCACGGCCTGGGCGACTCGGGCTACGGATGGGCTAGCGCGGTCGAGAACTGGAGGCGTCGGCAGCGGCTAGACGAGGTCAAGTTTGTCCTGCCTCACGCCCCGCGCATCCCTGTCACGGCGGTAAGTTGTCCGTTCTCGGGCCTTCCCACATGTGTTCAATGAGCTCACAGCGGCCGGGGGGGGGTGAGCGGTAGACCGACGGCATGTCCCTACCCGCGTGGTATGACATTGTAAGTATTGTACACACGTCCTATCCGGCGTCACGGTTGTGTTCTAACTACCAAAGCGCATCTTCTCTCAGTTTGCGCTGAGCGGCAAGATCGACGACCTCAGGAGGGACCAGGACCAGGCCGGCATCTTGCAGAGCCGGCAGTATCTGGGCGAGCTGATACAAACCGAGATCGACGGCGGCATCCCCTCCGACCGCATCGTCCTCGGCGGCTTCTCCCAGGGCGGTGCCATGTCTCTCTTCTCCGGACTGACGGGCAAGGTGCGGCTCGCCGGCATAGTCGCACTCTCGTGCTACCTACTGCTGGACGATAAATTCGCCGACTTCCTCAAGGAGAGCGACCTGAACCGCCAGACGCCCATCTTGATGTGCCACGGCGATGCGGACCCGGTCGTCCCCTACGGTTTGGGCCAGATGTCATTTGAGAAGCTGAAAAAGGAGGGCTTCGACGTAACCATGAAGACATATCCGTAAGTACCACGGTCAAGTGCTACGTCATCCACTCTCCTTCTACCTTGCCTCCGGAAGAGTGGTCTCGGGCTGATTCCCCTGGCCATCGCAGAGAGATGCCGCATTCGGCCTGCGTGGAGGAACTCGACGAGATCGAGGCATTTCTTAGAGCACGTCTACCGCCCACCGAAGACAAGAAATCCGAGCTATGAGCTCTCTGCCTACCTACGTAAACACGACGCAGCAAGCTTACCGCTCGGCTCGGCGGGGACGGGGTCTCTGTTTTTTTAGAAGCAGGATGCTGGCAGATGGGTAGAGTCGGAAAGTAGAGTGAGTGCTGCGACGAGAGGATGATGGCATCGTGTCCTTTGCCTTCGTGGATGGGTGGAGATGGGCGTGACGGGATGTCTCGGGGAAAATAGCTGCATGGCAGAGGGGGAACAGAAGGAGGAAGAGAAGGGTACGAAAGATGGGCCCCTCCTCCACTCGGCGACTTACAACCACTGTCAGACCCCCCCAAGCCACGCCTACGTGCTGGCGGTCCGGCGCATAACCTCCCCTCACACATACTGGGCTACATGCCTCTATATACAGACAACTAGAGCTCGCTAGACCTCGCTAGACTTTGCTAGACCTTGGGCACTTTTGCACATCCTCCACAGACGCCTTCATACTTACGTGTGAGTTGCCGGGGATGCGCAGGGAGTGCTTATCTTATCGTGGTGGGCGGTGGAGTCCGCGTCACCAGCCAGACTTGGAGGGTCCCGCCCTGGCTTTTGGGGCCCAAGCACTTGACTGCGCTGGACCGCCGCCACAGCCAGCACTCTCTCGCTCTACAGTTATTTCTCTCCGCTTTAACGAGCTTGCCCACTCCTCAACCAAACCTACCTGTCATTTTATTCTTCCTCCTCTTCCTTCTCCTCCTCCTCCTCCACGCCGCTTGCCCGTGATCGTGATTCCGTAACGCTGTGATTGACGTCTGCCAACCAACCTCGCACCCCCTCGATGCAGAAAACCCTCCTCCGCCGTCTTGTGCCGCTACCGAGTTGTGGTGTCTCGTCTTCGCCCTCTCCTTCGCATACGTCGATAGCCTAGACCAAGTTACCCCAATAAGCAGCAGCCAGTCCAGTCTCCCATCCTGCCGGGTTTACCCCTCTGCCTAACCAGCACGCCGTATCCTCGACGACGGCCGACCCAGCGTAACCAGCCACCCATTGCTGTCAGGTATACGCGCTGGATGCATCTGCCCCCAGTAAACACCAAGTAAACAGGCCCCACCCAATAGTAACCGCCTACACCACACCGGACGGCCCTGCAGCGGAAGCAGAAGAAGAGGGGGAGGAGATAACGAGAAGAATAACAAGGCTCGAGAGGGGAGGAGAAACAACAAAAGGAAACGAGCTGGGGAATCGGTGCAGGCCGAACCACCCCTGACTAGAGACAAGGCGAGACAGATACGAGACAGCATAAGGAGGGTCCGGTAGGATAGGATAGGAATTGACGACAGGAGGACAGAGGGGACCTAAATATGATGCAGAGAAAACCAGCTCCTCCGCCGCTTCGGCCGCCCTCGCCTTCGCCCTCGCCCTCGCACCCGCCCGCGCCCGACTCGCCGACGTTCTCGTACGCCTCGACGAACCCGCTTTCGACTTACACTCTGCCGCTGCCGCCACCGCCTCGCCCCGCCCACACCGTGCTCACCAAGAACGACCTCGAGCAGTCGCAGCAGGCGTACTCAGACCTGCTGTCAACCGCCAAGTCGTACCGCATCGCGCTGTCGACGCTGTCGACGGCCGCCTCCGCCTTCGGGTCTGCCCTCGAGTGCTGCGCGCGGCTGAAAGAGTCGCGGGCGGACTCGCTCGGCCCTCTCGCCGGCACCACCACCTCTACTACTACTAGTGCTGCTGCCGGCGCCGTCGGCGGACCGCCCGGCGGCGTGGCTAGCCTCAGCAATAGTTTCACAACCAAGGGCGTGTGCACCGCGGACCTGCTACTAGGGGCGAGCGGCTTGCATCACCTGGTGGCGAACCACCAGCAGATCCTGTCAGAGACCGTGTACCGGTCATTTGAGGTGCCACTACTGCATGAGCTTGACCGGTGGCGACGGGCGATCGAGGACGAGGATGAGGCGTATCGGAAAGAGGCGGCGGTGCGGAGCCGCGAGATCCGGCGGCTCGAGCGCGAGGGACAGCGTCTCTACCACCAGCCGCGGCGGCGTGACGTTGCTGCCTTTCGCGAGCACCTTGTCACGCTCACGGGGCGACTCGACGGCCTCACCACCCTCCACGCGGCCCACGCCCGCGCCCTCCTCCGCGATTGCCAGGAGACGTCAGAGCGCATCCTCGACGCTAGTTGCTCCCTCGTACGTGCCGAGGTTGACATTTTCGAGGGCCTTGCCCGCAAGGGGTGGACCGGCGGCGGCCTCGACGAGCTCCTCGAGAAGGGCCACGACCTATTCGCCAGCGATGAGGACGTCCCGGTCGGTGTCGTGGCCACGGTGGGCATGGGAGGGAACGGAGGGCCTGGACTGAATCTAGATGGCGGCGGTATCGGAGGAGCAGGGGCTGGGGCAAAGCTATTTAGCATACTGCCGCCCAAGAGCATACTCGCACCGGACTCAGTCTCAGACTCCGGACGCACGATACGAAAGAGCGAGCACGGGCGGGCAGACAGCCTGCTCGTCGACTCCGAGGACCACTACCAGAGCCTCGTCGGGGCCGTCGACCGCGAGCGTGACGGCAGCGGGCGTGCCGTAGGCGTGGACGGCCTCAGCAGCCCCGGCCTCGGGGGAGACCCGGAGGGCCTGTTCAACGACTTCAACCAGAACCAGGGCCTGCGGCCGTTCAGCCCGCAGCCTATCCGCCGCCGTGCCACCGACGTCGTCATCAACCCCGAGGCGCTGCTGTTCGGGGGCGAGGCCGAGGGCGAAACGGAAGCTAAGGGTCGCGTCGACAACGACGACGACGAACGTGGCGAAAGCCAAGACCGGGACGGCAACGGCGGAGAGAAGGCCGAGGCCGAGGCCGCGGCCGAAGAGCGGGACGACGCTTCGGTCCTGACCGCGATGGAGCTGCCGGCTCCTCAGGCGCCCGCCTCGGAGCCGGAGACGCGGCCGAGCATAGAGACGGACAGGGACGAGTCGGACGACGGGCCCGAGCCCCCGGTGGCAGACGAGCCACGCCTGGAAGCGCGCGTGGCCGACGGCTATATAGACGTGAGCGAACGTGCCGAGTCGCCGCCGACGATAACGGACAAGGGGCCGGCAGTGGACGATAGATGATAGGAGAGAGAGAGAGAGAGAGATTGGTCATGACTTTTATTATAGACGACGTGCTTCGGGCACCGCCACCTGCCCACGTAGTACCACCATCACTACTACTACTACAACAACTACTATTACTACTTCTAACTACTACGCCTACTTCTACCGCACCCACCTCCCGGCATATAGAAAGAGAGGACAGGAAAGGTGCGGGAAAGGGGGGGGGGTTGGGGGTAGACATGAATGAATAAGAAACAAAGACTGTCGGCTTCATTCCTGCCTTGCTGGGCAGACGGGTTCCGTTTGGTTGGGCTCTTGGTTAGGCCAGGTTTGGCTGCTTTTGCTAGCATTTGTATGCGAGGGGTTGCTACAACTAAGATCCATGCTTTCTGTACGTATGTTATGTATGAGACGGAGGGGGGTTGGTGCCCGAATTGTTACGACAGAGATGACAAGACTGACAGGCTACATCCGCGCTCCTTTTTTTTTTTTTTTTTGAAATCCGCGAGCACGAAGCGTACCTCCCCTGGGCCCCGTGTCGATATCACGCACATCCCCTTCTCTGTGCGACACCATAACGTAGGCACCCCCCCCCCCCCGCGCTCGTATAGGCACACGTGAGCTCGAAGTAATCATCTCGACTCGGGCTATGCTGTCATTATATGTACCGATGGATGCATAGAGTATTGTACAAAATCCCGGCCTCGTATAGGAAGAAAAGAAAAGGGGGGGAAACCAGTCAGTAATAGCGCATCGCCGCCATGCCTAGGGGTTTGCGTCTATGTACGAATGGATACCTTGATTATTCCGGGATGGTGGGGACGATCGTCTGGCGAAAAAAAAAAAAAAACACATGCTGGCCCTTCTCCATCCACGAGTCCTTCTCTCTCTCTCCTTTTTGTCCGATCCTGGTAAAACTCCTTACAAATGATTTCTCGTCAAACCCGGCTAATGCGTGTAGTGTGGGCTCCCTGTGCCTCCTCCGTCCGCTGAACCGTGAGGCGGCCCGTTAGGTGGTTAGCCCCCTTGGTCCTCCTCGTTATATGTGAGTAATGTGAATATACACGCGATGAAAAAGAAAAAAAAAGATTCTGGCTTCTTAAAACGGGAGAAAAAAAATCCGGACGCGTCGATAGACAAGTCAGTCGTCCTTATCGCCACTGACGAGTTCACGACCGAAGAGACCGAACCAGAGGTCGAGGTAGAACATGATCTTCCAGTACAGGCTCGCCCGGTTGAAGTCGAACTCTCCAACATCGTTCCGGGGCACCTCGTTTCCGATCATGGAGCCGCCGAACCACGCGAGCAAGGGAATCCACATGAGTATTCGCTGCTGCCAGGTCTTCTGCGGCGCCAGTGCTTGGTCGGCCGGCAGGAGTTTGACTCGTCGGGCTTCGGGGATCCGTCGGCAGTACGCGCTGTCCTGCTGCTCCTTGTTTTGCTGCGCATCCGCGGCGGGTCCGGTCACGGTGGCCGTCGAGGCGGTGGCCGTGTCGATAGTCTGAGTGGAGGTTTGGGACCCGGTGGGAGACTCTTTTTGCGCTTCGGTCCTTTCCGCTCGGTCGTTCGATGGGAATGAGTAGTTGGAAAACGCCGCACCTTTCTCCGCGCGTGTTTGAGATGGTTGTCTCGACGGGGCTCCGAAAGACTTAGTCCTAAACGGGCCGAGCATGCCGGCATCTCCCGCTACATCAAGCACTGCAGCATCTTCCTTAGGAGGCAGGTTGCGGAAGGGTTCGGCATAGACCAGGTAGCCCAGAATCTTCTGCGGAGACGCATACAGCGCAGTGTCTGCTGCCTCGGACGACTCGAATGTAATCTTGACCCAATGCTCGCCGCTAGCAATTCGATTCACCTTCGCTCTTTCGGCTGGCGATAATGGTTTTCGCCTGGTCAGCGCAGGGTCTCGCAGATCGGACTTGTATCTTCGCGACTCCATCGGCGGCTCTCTCGAGTAGTCTTCGCATATCCTCCCCGCCAACTGTTCGTAATGGTTTATGGCAGCATACTGTTGCGAGGGCGAAGCGTAGCCCCTTAGGATGATTTCGGTAGGCTCTTTCCGGTAGGTCGAGGCTTGGGTGGTGGAGGTAACCTCCTCCGCCGGGGGCGCGACGGGTTGTCCTAGATAACTCGACTTGCGCTGCGAAGGGGGGGAAGGGGTGGTTCCGGACGTCGTCGCCGCCGCGGCGTTAGAGGCCTGCTGTCGGCTGGCAATATAATTCGAAAAAATTTTATCCGCGTTTTGCATGGTAGCATCTTCGCGTTTCGGCGGTTGGCTGCCAGTCCGCGATCGCGATCTCCTCGTCGACTTGCCAAAAGACCCGGTCTCGGTAATCTCCCGTACGCGCGTGCGCGGAAGGGGTCGCTGGCGGTCGCCTCTTTGGTGCGCCACAGTGGTAAGCGGATTGGGTTCAGAGGTGACGGCCTCCTGTGGAGAGGGAGGAGAGGGAAGAGTTGTTACGTACTCGGGCCAGATCATGGCGTAAGGGCGTTGAATGCCATCATCACCAGTATAGAGCTCCTCATCCGGGACGTTATGTAGGATCAAAGGTCGCATTGTCCTGGTCGGTCCGTGCCTGGATCGAAGCCCGGGAATTCAGAATACAAGAGACAGCACCGGGGTGCGCCGAGCAAAGAAAGAAGGAGGAAAAAAAGGCACCCGATCGGGACCCGACGGTATTGGTGGGAAGGGTAGGTAGGTAGGGCGCCGATGGTCACGACGGAGGGACGAGAGCGCGCGTGTGTGTACTAATCGCAACGATCCAGTTGAAGGGAGGATTAAAGAACGTGTGGTGAGTGTGTTGTACGTATGTAAATGCGTACGTATGGTGCGGGTGATGCGTGTGTAGGTATGGCGAAGGCTACGTCGGCGCCTCGGAGAGGATGTCGAGGTGGTAGAGAATGATGGGAGAGAAGGGATGTTTACGGCGTTAGCAGGGGCGGGAGCGCTGGGGCAGGTGCGACGGATGTCGCCAGAAAAATACGGCAGGTACAGCGCGACTTCCTCGCCCGGCTGCGGCGAGCGTATCCTGGCAACCACCAGCGATGTGCCTTCCTTAGGTACCTCCTCTAATGGCTCTTTCTCAGGTACCCAGGTATATCTATACCTTAGGTACCTCTGTACATATGGCAGGAGGTACTTTACTGGGTACCTAGGTACCTACCTACCTAGATACTTAGGTACCTATCTGAGGGTAGATGGCAGCAGCAATACCTTACAGCTGCATATGCACATATGCGGAAAGATACGTAGGTACCTCAGGCGGTTCCTGGGCGGAGTCGACGTCACCTCTCGCCGGCCAGCTTCGTTTTTTAAGCTATCCCGAAACGGCAAATCCAACGACATCACGGCGGCCAGCTACTACTGGGACTTCCGACTCCTGCCTCTCGATACTTGTCTCCATCCACAGCTCTCGCGCTCACCCGCCAGCTCTCTTCCAATCCAGACCGCAACCAACTGCCCGTCTACGCCCGTCTCCAGCCATTCGAAATCAGCGAAAACCCGGAAATCGCCAGCATGTTCCGCTTCGTAAGTGGCTAGCGCCGGGCCAACCGCAGTTGGCCGTGTTGGTGGGGGATATTCTGCCAGGATGCTAATTGGCGCTGCCGCCAGCACAAACCCCTCGACACCGTCACTCTCTTCCACAAGGCCGGCTCGCCCGCTTCGCTGAGGGCGGTCGCGCTCCTAAAGCAGGTCTCCGCCAACGCTTCCGAGACGGCGACGGAGGACCAGGCGAGTGACCACACTCCGCAGTCGCACCCCAAGCGCCACCGCCAGCAGTTCGAGTTGAACATCACCGAGGAGCCGCCGACGCCGGACCAGCTCAAGACCATCCTCGAGTACGTCGGCACGAGCAGGATTAGCTCTTTTGTCCAGGGCGCCTCGACCGAGAACGAGGCCATGAAGAGGTTCAAGGAGAGCGCCGAAAACTTCCAGAGACCCGTGGTATGCTTTCTCTCTTCCGTCTTCTCTCTCCCATTCCTCGCTTTCCCCTATCCCCTACTCCACCCTTTTCTTATTTCCTAGTCATTATATCTTATTTCCTCCCCCTCTCCGTAGCCTCTCTTGTACGCCCCTGCGATAGGCTAACTCAGATGGTAGATCGTCGATTGGAATCATGGCAGGGTTGTTGCTGGTGACAAGGAGTCTGAAATACTCAAATTGTTGGAGGAAGTGAACAGCAACTAGTCACCGGAAACCAGGTGAGAAATATGCCTCTATTTCGAGCGAGCGAGAGAGAGGCCATGCGGACACAGGCGTTTTGTCTAATTATTGCATAGAACCTATATTTGCTATAGGACCTCCAGTGTCAGGAAATTAGATCAAATCGCCAACCTCAATTGCTTTTCAGGGCACTTACATATCGGCGTCTAGGGTTGTTGTCTCTCCTGTTAGCAAGAAAACATGGATTTTCTCCTTATACTGTAATTAGTCACACAGTGTTTGCACCCCTACGCCTCGCTTGTCGTAAAGCTGCTATTCAATCTCTATCAAGCCAGCCGTTCTACATTCGGCCCGTATAAGCACAAGTGAATAAATGTGGCGAAATTCACTCTCCCGATAGCACAGCAAGGCCTATCTATATCACATATCGTCGGCAGAATTTCAGTGAATCAGGGCAGGACAGAGACACATGTGACCGTGTTCCATAATAGCATCGAGTTGGTAACTAGATGCAAACCGCCGTTGCTATGGGGCAATCTCGCGAGTTACGGTCTGTTCGGCTAGATTATATATGGCTTCCGTCGTCCCCTTCACCAACACGGTTGCCCCTAGGGCGTATACCGCTTCACTCGCCTCCGGGACAACCGCCTGTCCCAGCAACACGCCCACAACCCGCACACATTCATCCATATTCCCATAACTGCCTTTTTTCTCCTCTCCTCTTTTCGTCCTTCTCCTCATCCATAAAACTTCTCTCGTCAACCCAAAGGCTCAGTTCCATCTCTTGCCTGACCAGCTATTCCTCCGCCGTCAACTTTGGTCAACCTCATCTCACACCTACACTGCTTTTAGTCCTAGCCGCCACAACATCATCTCTCTCCTATTTCTCCCCCCCTTTGGTGCCTGTAACCTCTCTCTGGCATCTCTGCTTCCATCTCCATCCGCTCATCCCCAAGCAACTACTCACTTGCCTTATCTCTAAGCGTGTGTGGCTGTCATCATCGTCAACATGCCTCCCAACTATCCCGGCTTCACCGTGGAGCAGGCCATCGAGGCCGCCGGGCCTCCCCCGCCCCCTTCCGCTTACGGCTTCCAGTACTTCTACCAGGGCGAGCCCCCGGTCAGCTTCTACTCCGACATCGATATGGAGAAGGCCCACGCCATGTTCTCGACCAACCACGGCGCCGCGCCGTTCCGCCACGTCGAGGACCCCGTCTACGAGCGCGAGGGCTACTACTGGTGCGCCGCCGAGATCCAGACCTTCTGCGACCAGATCCGGAAGGTCCACTACGGCCCTTGCAAGTACATCGCCCCGCTCCCCGACTATAGCTACCTCTACATCTACTTCGACGCCTTCGACATCTACCGCTACGGCGCGCAGAACCTGTGGCGCGTCATCCACCACCTCCACTTCGAGAACCAGTACTACAACCCCGACCACCTCGAGACCGCTCGGCAGTTGATCGAGCCCTACATCGACAGCGTCCTCACCGCAGACGCCGCCCGCAAGAAGCTCCTGGCCTGGAAGCCTGCCGTCGACAGCGACATCCTGAGCGTCTTCGACGAGGGCGAGCTGTCTGAGCTCGACGGGCTCGAGCAGTTCTACCTTGGCACTGTCCGAGGCATTCTTATTACCAGATACTCAGATCTCTGCAGAGGAGGGCCCGTCAAGCCCGACCGTAGAATCCATACTCAGCCATTCCGGCTAGCTAGCTGGGCTGAGAACACGGGTAAGTAATCTCCCAGCTCAGCTGACCGACCCCCTTATTCCTATTCGATGACAACCACACCGCCTTCACCAGGTCCACTAACAGAACGGGTTAAACAGAACCTCTTAAAAACTCGGCCACCGAGACTGGAAGCCAGACGAGCTCCAACAAGACCAACAAGACCGATGGCACTGCCAGGAAGGGTAGAGTTGTTAACGGTATCGTTATCGTAGATGGCTCCTCTGCCTCCTGTACCTCTTCGGAGGTCTCAACTTGTACGACCCCTCACAAGGGCATGCATTTGCTAAGATCAATATGGCTAACCTATACCGCAGCAACCCAGGGCTCAACTCCCAAGGAGGTACTCAATAGACCAGCCATTGTCCGTTCTGAGATGGCGGCAAATGGCACGCGATACCCAAGTGCGCCAGTCCTCAGTACCAGCCATGCGGACCACAGTCCCGAGATGACTGGAAATCCTCATAACGCCTGCGAGCAGCAGGTGTGTTGCTCTCAGCCTCAAGCGTCCGGCCCTGTCCCGGCCGACGCCGCCGTGCCAAACTTTGCTCCTCCTCCTATGGCTCCGGGTGCTCCTGGTGCTCCGGGAACCGTCGGTTCGTACATGGGACACCACGGCCCGCCGCAGCCGGCGGCTCGCGGCTGTCCGCCTCCCCAGGCGTACCCACAGCCTATGATGCCGGCACCTCCTGCCGCCGGTCCGCTGCCCGTGTACAATAACGGCATGCATGCGCATATGTCCCGGCACCCTCGGATCCAGCCCCAGCCTCAGAACTGGGGCCCGGCGCACTACCAGACACCGCCGTTTTTCGAACCCTCGCAGTTCGGCACGGCGACGCTAGCTTCTAGCGACGGGTCGCCCGCCAGCGCGAACTCGTCTTCCCCTGGCCGACGAGCCTCGATGGCGGACCACTCCCGGAACGCTCATCACCCCATGTCCCACGGCCCTCACAAGCCCAGTAACGGATCGTGGGAGCTGGCTGGCTCGGACCCGGTCCACGGCCCCACCTTCAGGTCTCGCAAGAACTCTCCGGAGCAGCCCCTTAACGAGCACTGCCAGCAGCAGAACGGGCACGCTCAACCGCCGCTTGACTGTCCTGGAGGCCAGCCTGCCAACAATTGGCCGTATAGGCTGCCTAACGGACGCGCAAACCGCCGCCGGTCGTCGTCCAGCGGTGACAGCAACAACGGCTGGCAGGTGAACTACGCCCGTCCGCGTCAGTATAGCAACGTCAGCCGAAGATATAGCAACGATATCAATGGCTGGCACCACGAGCCGACGACGGCATACTCTGCGGCTGCAAGCACTCCACCAGGACCGGGCGGACCGGGCGGCCCTATCCACTACCCCAATCACGGCAGCGGCAGGCCCGGGGCCTACCACCCCCCGCCGTTCTTCTGTGTCAACGAGGCCCGGCTCCGGAGCGCCGACCCAAAGAGATGCACGTTCGACGACTGCCCGTGTCACCGGTGCCGCGAGTTCAACCGCACCATCTTCATCAACGGCTTCAAGGACTGGGTCGATACGAGCCCCGCCGCCATGCACAACATCCAGGCCATCTTCAGCCGCTTCGGTCCGGTCGAGAACGTGTCTCATGTGCACGGGAACGCCGCGGTCCACGTAAAGTAAGTTTACCTATCGCCCCTCGCCTAAGTCGACGCCTGTGAACTCCCTGCTAACGAGAATCTTTCCAGATTTGTCCACGAAGGGTCCGCGGCCGAGGCAATCCGGATCATGGACGGCAGGATCGAGCCGTCGATTTCCCCTAGACCTCTACGCATTAAGTGGCGCGTCGGGTCTAAATACTTCCAGCCCCGTACATCACCTCAAATCACGTACTCTCCTACCGCGGTAGATCGAGGTTCCATCGCTGGGGGGCAGCCGGGCCCGTATGTGCCTGGACAGCCTCGCCAGCCTTTGTTCGGCAGCCCTGTCCCGACCACGATCCCCGAGGAGCCGTCAGGAAGCCAGGATCCTTCCACAACTAAGTATTACAACTCTAAGAAGAACGGAAGACCGACACCGAAAAAGATCGATCATTTGCGCAGTGTATCCGACGGCGATAAGGCCTTGGACCGGTACTCAGCGCAGAACCTGCCTATCTCTCCCCTTCGCCGGAAGAACAGTCCTCATATCGGGCAAAGTCTAAGTCAGGGGGGATCTCCCAACTACGGCACCCCGCAGACAGGCGAGGTCATCCGTAAAATTGAGGATTTGAAGCTGAGCATGGGCGGCAAACCAGAAGACGGCGAGTGTGCGCCTGCCGAGAACTCAGGGGCCGTTCAGCCAGACATCGATCACAACAACGCTGCGGCCGAGAAACCCGTCGGGGGACTCGACATGCTGCCGCCGCCGAGCTGGGACGGCCAGCCGTCCAACGCGCAGCTCCACGCCAAGGACTTCGCGTACACAGAGGATGGCAAGGCTGTCGATAGTGGAGCGCCCCGTAAACAGTCATTCGCCAGCATCGTGGACGACGCGCTGAAAGCGAGGTCGAAGCGAAGGGAGGAATTGAAGAACGCCAAGCAGAATGATGAAGGGAAAACCACGAATGATATTAATGGTGGCAGCGACGAGCCTCCAATTGAAATCCTGCCAGCGACAACATATCAACCAGAGAAACCCGAGCCCACGGCCAACCATCAAGCAGAGGCGGACCGACAACAGACGAAACAAAACGGAGACATCTCAAAGAATTCATCGGCTCGATCCCCTGTTAACGGTTTCTCCCACCCCGATCCGCAGCCAAATGTTCCCTCGGCCAATTCTTCCCCTTACCAGGAGAATACCGACGCCACTGGACGTGACAGCTCGCCGGAGGGCTACCCGTACGGCAGCGGACGAGAGAAACAGCCCGGGCGGGTGAGGAAGAACCAGTGGACGGGTCCGTCCCGGCCGCCATACGCGGGCGGCCCGGACCAGCTCAGGGTTAAGCGGCAGCGCATCGACGAGATCCGCAACACGGGGCCGTTCACGCCGGCGCCACCGCCCATGGAGCCGGTTTACATCCGAACTCAGGAAGTGGTATGTTTGTCATCGCTACCTGTATAGGACGACAGACCTTGCTAACATGGGACTTCTAGCAGCCGCAACACAATACTGATCTGCAGCGACGGTACCTCTCGGGTCCGAACCCGGGCTTCGGCCCGACGATGGGTGTTAATGATTCGCGGTCCAGTTACTTCAACGCGCCTAGGCCTCCTACGGCCTACGGGCCACCCTTCCAGACGGCGCCTGGAGGACTTTCCAATGGTTACAACGGCCATGACGAATACAACGCTCGAGGAGGCGGGCGCCCCCCATCGTTACAGGGATACCAAGGTCAGGTTCCAGTGCCCAACTCGACTATGAACCACACGTCCACGGTTCCCGCCAACAATGCGGGCGGCGCCAGAGGCAAGGGAAGGGGCGGGATCTACACGAAGCTGGACCCGCGGGCTAAGGAATTCAAGTTCGCGCCCGTAAGCCTAGATTATGCACCCCCCTCATCTGGGAACCACCTCCAGCCGATGGAGTCGGGCCAGCATCAGCCTCAGGAAGGGGGGAGACGCTGGTCGCAGCGAGGCCAGCAGCAGAGCAACGGCCGCGGTAACCGCCGTGGCAAGAAGCAGTACAGCCCACCCAGGGGCGACCATAATAGCGTATTGCCAGCCGATGACGTGGGCGCAGCTCACGACGATACGAATAGTATCCAGTCCCATTTGAGCATCCCTCGCGTACTCTCTCGGGGCGACCCCGCTACTAAGGACGAAAACTTGAGCAATGACGGAAATAGGGGTGGAAGTCCCAGTAACGATGAAATCAAGAATGGTGATGGCGGCGGCAACGGCGGTGGCCGTAAAAAGAAGAACAAGAACCGTAAAAATAACGGCGGTGACTCCTCCGAAGACAGCCGTCCATCGGAGCCATTCTCGACTATCTCCGCTGACCCTCAGCTGCCACCCGACACCAGCAGCGATGAGACCACACAGACAAACCCTGCCTCTCCGGTAAAGCTCGATGAAAAGCACGACCGGCAGCAGCAGCCGGAGGAGGAAAGTTCGAGCAATACAGCCCCTCCCGCCGCTCAGGTACCTCTCAAACCAGGCAAGGGGGAGGGAGGCGAGCCTCAGCAAGAGGAGAAGCAGGAAAAAAAGGATGAGAAGCAGGGCGAGAAGCAAGAGCCTAAGAAGAAGCAGAGGCAACACAAGCCAAAGAAGCACAACCTTCCGCGGGTGCAGCCGGCCGTGCCGACGCTGCCGCTCCGCACAGGCCCGTCCAAGAAGCGAGCCATGACTGCCCCTACGCCCAAGCCGGCACCCGAGCCGGAGCCTGAGTCGGCATCTGTGCCCGGCCCGGAGCCGGTGGATTGCAAATCTACGAAGACGGCAACGAGCGTGTGGACCCAAGGCCCCTCGCGCTCGGTCCTGCAGCCGCCGACGGCGGGCGAGGCGCTGTCGATGAGAACCGTGCCGCAGCCGCAGAAGACAAGTAGTTGGGGTGGAGGTTGGGGCGAAAGTGACGATAGCAGTAGAGATGGTGGTAGCGGTAGCGGTAATAACGGGGGTGGTAGCAATGCAGGAAGCACTGCTCGCCAGTCGTCGGTGCCTCCTGATGGCGAGAGAAAGGGCGGATAGATGATATGCTCGAGATGGCAAGATCATAAGCATCCGGATTGCGTCGATTAATAGAACTATCTCGCGGTTCTTGATCGCCTCGAGGCTGCATATACGAAGGCTCGTACGATACGAGTCCTGCTATAGCCTCTCATCGTGTCTATGTATTCGCCATCCCCTCGCGTTCCTGTTCCAGAGCTGTAGGGAGGTGAGGGCGATGACCCGACGGCTTGCGAGAAGGCAACCAAGGAGGATGCAATCTCACCTTCATATGTCAGAAGGGGAGATGCTGTTTATATCCTTACTATTCCCTATCGTGTTCTCCTAACCCCTTTTCATGCCGGCTGGATTCATCCGGGTTTCCCCGGCGCAAGCCCGAATTATTAGGGAGGATTCGGGGGATAGTACCATGTACAATAGGTCTCAGATAGGCGATTTCTCCAGAATTGAAAGCTCTTGGCCGGACCGCTCGTGCATTACGTAGACGAAGTGAAATGTAACGAAGGCAGACCCATACCGTGCTAAGGCCAATACTACGGACCAGTGATACGACGGAATAGACCGTATTCCTCGTGCAAGTCCGGCGGTTTGTATATTCACGCGAGGTTCGTAGTCATTATTCTAACAACACAATTCGTCGGTGCCGTTCGTCTCCCCCGCACGGCTAGAGGTTGTCACGCTTCGTTCTGTACTAGCTGCGTTACGGTCTCTTCGATTTGCTTGTCTGTGAGTCCTGTTGCGCCGATACGTTAGCCCTGAAGCGTGAACATCGTGGGTGAACCGGTCTATAGGCACCTTCTAACGACTTGCTCGTCTCCTTTCCAAATGCTACCACGGAGCGATCAGCAGCTTGTCGTCGGAAGAATAGAAGATGATGATGATGAAGGACGGACCATATCTCGCATAGACCTTAGGCAAGGTGCCAGCGGCCTCGCGCATCAGGATGGGCGTGTACGGGTTGTTCTTCTTCATGGTGGGGTATGCCTTCGTGAGGAACGTTCTGCCGAGCAAGGTAACGGTTCGTCAGCTCTGAGTCGCTGGTCTGGTAAATCGGCAGCGTCTCCGATACACGTAGATCCACGCCCCGTGATGCGTGCGCGTGGCGGAATGTCGCGCGCTCACCTTGTCGCAGCACTACCCTCTCCAGTGTGGCAGAACAGAAAGCGGACCTCTTTCAGAGCCTTCGCGAAGGCATACTTGCTCGACATCTTCGCGATCGGGAGCGTTGCGACGGACGATGGTCGGGTCAATTCGGCGTTCTCGTCTGGGAGGGGCGGTTCGGAAGCTTGGGCGGATGGGATGGGATGGCACGGGACGGGGTGGGTTTGCTCAGTTGTCTACGGAAGTGAGACACCGGGCCTGATTAGTGAGCCGATTAGTTAACTGATTAGTTGATTGGAGGGCTCGATGACTGACGTCGATGTTGCATAATGTCAAAACTGCATAAATCACAAATTGGGGGAACGGTACCTTGCGTAATCTGCGAATTTTGGGTCCGTAGCAGGCTGACGATTCAACATTTGTGCATTTACACAGACCAATTTAGGTACCTTCCGAATGGACCTTTTCCCAACCAACCGCGCTAGTCTTCTAATCTTATCTCCGGATCCCCAACTAACAAACCGTCATTCACCTAAATTCCCTCCCTTCCCCAAAGCGCCACGACCAGACTGACTTCAACCTCTTTATCCTACCTCTCCGACTCTCCCTTATCCGATATCCCTTCGCTCGAAGACTCTCCTGTCCTCACCTTTCCCCTTCTCCCGAAGCCCTACCCACCAGACCGTAAAAAACCACCGAAACGCATACGCCTAGATCAACGCATTTCCCCCGGGACTAAGATCGGAGGCGACGAAATCCCGCCCGTTGAGGACTCGTCATCACCTTGGCAGCAGACCTACGCACAAGTATATCGAGACGATGCCGCCCACCGCCACCCTCTTCCGCGGCGCCCGGCCCGTCTTCCACCCCGCGGCCTCCCGCGCTGTCTTCCGCCGCAACTTCTCCCGCGGCGGCCGACGCTTCGCCAGCACCGCGTCCGCCGGCGACGCCGCCGCCGCCCAGCCGCAGACCTGGTTCCAGCGCATGTGGAACAGCCCCATCGGCCTCAAGACGGTGCACTTCTGGTAAGCGCGCAACCCATCCGCCGTCTTTCCTCTCTCCCTCCCTCCCTCTTTCTCTCCGCGCAAACAGCATCGTCCACATGCGTAGGTATGCGGCACGCGACTCCGGCTAACGTGACCCCGTTGGCGCGCGCGCGCGCGCACAACCCCCCAAAACGGAACAGGGCACCCGTCATGAAATGGGTTCTCGTCCTCGCCGGCATTTCCGACTTCGCGCGTCCGGTCGAGAAGCTCTCGCTGACGCAAAACGGCGCGCTCACCGCCACCGGCCTCATCTGGACCCGCTGGTGCTACATCATCACCCCGCGCAACTACCTGCTCGCCGCCGTCAACTTCTTCCTCGGCTGCGTCGGCCTCACCCAGCTCGCCCGCATCGGCATCTACCGCGCCTCCCAGAGGAACCTGCCCGCCCCCGCTAAGGCCGAGGCCGAGGCCGAGGCCGCCCCCGCCGCCGAGCAGGCTGTCAGGTCGTGAGCTCACCCAACGCTCAACCATACATTCAGTTATTTATACGGAGGGGGGCGGATCGGATAACGGATAAGGGACCCTCCCGCTGCAGCCTCGATGTGGCGGAGAGGATGGATGGGGGGAAGGGAACGACGACGACAACAACTACTCTGGAGAGTGGTTGCGTCCCGTCATGCCGACTGGTAGATTCGAGGTCGAGTACACACTCGAGAACATTTCATTAGCACTACGGCGGGGGGCGGAAGGCATCATAGACTACATAGGGGTACCAGGATAGGACAGGTGGCGCAACCCGACCTGAGGGAGCATAGACGAAGACGGCGTGGGGGAAGGCCTCTCTCGTCAGATCTCGGGTTAAGTAATCCCGAGTGACTGAAAAACAGGGCTACCAGCCCGCGGTAGTGTAATTCATCGAAGTCGATCATTTGCCTGATTTCTTGTCCTCACGGCTGGCAGAGTCTCGCGGATCAGAGAACTCGCTTATTATAGCTTTGAGTTGTAGCACTGGACCTGCTCGCCCTAACTGCTTACTTGCCTAACGCTTCACAAACTGCACTCAGTGCAACGGAGACGCACCCTAGTATCAGTAGGCCTCGAATCTCTAAAACCGAGCGCAGCCCTTCCTGGGAAAGGGAGGAGGGAAGGGGGGAGGTGTTGTCTAGTCAACGAATCACGTCAAGAGCTTTATTTGAGTTGACAAGATCCGCTCGATCGGATAAGTGTATTTCTCAATTACTTTTTAAGTAGTAAGCAGTGCCAGGTATCTAAGAACGCCGGAAACGGCTACGTCCCTCATCTGACGCCCCGGGGAAGAAAAAAAAAACATACAATATCAAATCCATATAACCTCGATGTTATACAACGCGGGTCTGACCAGGTTGGGCGACCAGCCCTCCTATTTCTCTGTTCTATGCTGAAACAAGGCGCATTAGCCCTAAATGTCGGTCCTCTGCTAAGGCAAGGATCTTCCAATTCCGCATCCCACTCTAGGCCATCGGTGCGGGGCAGTCGCCCAAACCTATGAATCGGCTTCTAAAGGGACGTCTGATCTATCTTGGTATGAAAGTGGAAAATAACTCGGAGAGTTCCTGGCGGTTGCTTGAGAACTTAGACTTGGCGGGCTTCGGTTCTGTCTTGCGAGACCGGGCTTTCGGCATGGAGGATAAGCTGAACAGGGACTGCCCAGTTGGTGATGTCTCCTCGTTTCCGTCTTGACTACCCGATGAGCTGTCGGTTGGGAGTTTGGTGGGTGTGGCCCGAGCATCCTACATCACGGAGCACTCGCCCTCCTGTTGTTTGCCCATCTTGCTTCGAGAAATGCGCTCCCGCTGACGAGGCCCGTTCTTGCCAGATCGTTTCAAATCCTCCAGACGCTCCCGGGCTTTGGGGAAGTCCTGACCTATGTCCTCGTTAGTTACACACGCAAATATGAAGACTTATAACTGCGTTCATATCCCGAGATCAACTCACTTGCTGCTCTCCAATACCAACGTTTCGCGTCCTCTAGATTGGCGGGCACACCAATGCCGATTTCCGTAAAATAACCCATGGCATACTCGGCCTTCGCCAGCCCAGCTAGAGCCGCCTTTCTCGCCCATAGGTATGCCTCCGTATCGCTTTGCTGTAGGACACCATCGCTCCCTGTCAGGTACCAACCGCTAAGCGCCAGTTCTGACTGATGCTCTTCTTGAGCAGCGGCCCGGCTGTACCACATAATGGATAGGCGCGGGTTGTTCTGGCAGCCCATAAGCTCGTACTCATAGGCACACCCCATTCTAAACTGGCTGAATTTGTAACCTAGCTGAGCCGCTTGCTCGAATAGCTTAAAGGCATAGGCTTCGTCGCGTACGATAGCATCATTGGGCTGCGCCGACTCATACAGGAGCCCTAGTTCGTGGAGGGCATGGGGATTCTCGGCATCTGCTCGCTCCGCGGCCCGTTTCAGCCACCCCACAGCTTCCCGCGGGTTCTTAGGCTGACCAAGCAGTCCCTTCAGCAAGATCATTCCAACCTTATACATCGCGGGTGTGTCTCCTAGAGTAGCAGCACGCTTATACCACTGAATCGCCTTGAGCGGATCCTTACGCGTGCCGCCTCCTTCGTCATTGCCTAGCTCACAGCACACGGCTGTTCGATAGGCTGCAGCAGCGTTTCCTAGCTTCGCAGCAGACTGGTAAAGTGTGAAGGCTTCCTTGTTGTCAGTCTCGCCTAGCACGCCACGGCCCATGCAGTCTGCTAGGACGAACATCGCATCCGAATTTTGCGCGCTGACGAGCTTCTTCAGAATCTTATGCGCATCCACTAGGTACCGTTCGCGGGATCTTGCCCTTGACTTTGGATCGGGGAGTCGGGGGACGAGGACATCTGCCGCTTCGACGAGTTTTTTAGCGAGCGTGAGGGCCGACTGCTGATCATTCGGATCGTTTTTTATAGCAGCCCGGAGACGCTCTAGTTCCTCGATAGTGACCGGCACCTTCTCAACGCCAGCAGGCCGTCCCCCATTCTGCGCCGGCGGTGGAGAACGGGCTTGTGCTCCGGCAGCCGCAGAAGGGCTCTCGTTATAGTTACGGACGGGAGCCGGCTTCTCGTTCATGTTGACCATTGAATTCGGCATGAGTCCAGGACGAATAGGAGCCGGATGTCCGGAACCAGGGCCGCCTTGGAATCCTCCTTGTGAGTTTTGCCTCATAGCAGCAGGGTTTCCAGGTAGACCGGGGCCTGCGCTTGGAGGTTTGTATGCTTGGAACCCGCCCTCTGGTACAGGTGGCATATCGCCGGCCATTTCGAAAATAGCAGCTTGGGGCTCACGTAAGTTCGGCTGCGATTTAGCTCTCGACATTTCGGGCAGTCGACCAGGGCCGGGTTGAGGCATTCCAGGCTGGCCGGTGGTCATATGCTGCTCAAGAGACTCACGCGGGCGCTGCGACGGAACGGCGTTGAAGTCCGGGATCTCTTCCTGGAAATGGTTTCCATGACCAGGTGGACCGATGGGCGCGGGCGGGCCAAGAGGGCCCGGAGGGCCAGGTGGGCCAGACGGACCAGACGGACCGGGCGGACCGGGCGGACCGGGAGGGTATTGTTCACCACCCGGTCCCTGGTCGTAGTAAGAATCGTAGAAGTCGCCAAAGGAAGAACGGTCCGGCTCATCGTTCCAGCCCGGAGGTTGCAAGCCTCCGTTATTGAATTGTACCGGCGGGCCCTGGTCAGGATACGTCCTCTGAGGAGGGGGCCGGCCGCCCTGGGCGGTGGATGGCCGTTGAGGGGGAGGCATATTACGTGCTGGGGGGCCATTATAGGGGGGGCCATCCATGCGCGGTGGAGGCATAGCATTCCGCATGTAGTCGTTATTAGCAGGCATTGTCATGCTTCTGGGAGGAGGTCCAAATCCATCTCTGGTAGGCGACATCGGGGGACCATATCCGCTGTCGTGATATCCATAGTCCTGATCGGGCGGCGGGCCACGTCTTGGGTCCGGATACCCATGGGGGGGACCTTGGGGGGGGCCTTGTGGGGGAAGACCTCCCCTCCCACCTCTTTGACCATCCATAGATGGACGCCCGTACTCGTCCATAGATGGCGCCCTTCTAGGTCCGCCTCTTCCAGGACCAGCGTTGTTTGGCGGAGACATCGGCGCCCTCGCCCCATTAAGATCAATCCCGCCCATCTTGTGTAAGATTTCGTTCTCCTCGTCCAGATCGGTCCTCCTGGCATGTCCGGGAAATACGGGGAATGGACTACCGAAATCATGTTCGTTCGGGCTTGCCATCGGAGGCGGGTGACGGTTGCCTACGAAGATTAGCTGCAGCCTCCCGTCTTATTTTATCCCCTTACCATTAAAGTCCGAGGTAGCCGATCGCTCGAGGGGTCCTGGTCGACCACCTCGGCCGAGAGGCGGATATCCTCTACCAGGACCCGGGGCCTGCCCACCACCGCGGGGGAAAGGGGGCCCACGCATCGGTCCTCCCCCCCTGGGGGGAGCACCAGACGGAGGAGGACGGCCTCCCCTGCCAAGACCGCCAGGTCCGAGAGGTCCGTACATGTCCTGGGGCGGATAACCCCGGTTAGGGGGCGGTGGACCTCTGCCATAGCCCATGTCTTGCGGTGGAGGGCCGTAATCCTGTCCATAACCATTATCGTATTGATCGTAACCATAATCGTAGTTGTCTTGATACTGGTCGTATTGTTGTGGTGCCGGAGGGTAGCCCCCTCCAGGTGGCCCGCGGGGTGCTCGTGCTGCCGGTCCTGCATAGGGCCGCTGCTGGTCCTGATACCCGCCGTTGTTGTATGCCATTTCGAATATCGGAAGGTTGGAAAATTGATTCTGGCGGGCTGCGATACTCTAGGGCGTGGCTATCCCGAGGATGAGAATGATCAACACTCCTCAGCTACCTCTCGAGAGGTATAGCCGTTCTCTGCGCCGTGTTCCTCGTCGTTCCTGTTCGTCGTTCAAGGTCGTGCGGAAACAAGCGTATCGAGGTTAAGATAGGCGTCAGGCAAGTGTTAAATGAGGCCGGGTAGGGAACAGAAAGGACGGGGGAGAGACTTCGAATTTGTCGCAAGGGTGTCTAGTGGCAGATCCCCCAGTTGGTACCTGAGCGTTTCGGCTCCGTCACGATCGTCAGTTTCGGCAAGCCAGTGTCAGCAGAAACGCGACCAGTCAGGACTTAGGATTGGCTGGCCGGCGTTGCCCGAGGCGTGCCCGGGGCATGAGTCGCAGAGGGTAGTAGGAAGACAGCCGGGTGACAACGCACACTGCCCTAGGCAACGGGTAGAATTAACGCTGTCGGCGAGCGAAGAGGGGTGAATTCGAAGGGGTTGTCATGCCAAAGGAAGGCAACGATGTTAAGACATTGTACCCAACCAGCGCGCGACAGTGATGAATTAGGAGAGCAGTATTGCTAGACGAGGGGGGGGGGGCGGTCCTTAAGCCCCTTTGGCGTGTCGTGCCGTGTCCTGGACCGAGCTGGGCCGGATATATGATTTATGCCTCGAGGCCGCGGCAAGGGCAATGAATGGCGCACCACCAAAGGTCTGCGGCGGTCCAGTGACGACGAGAATAGGTTTATGGCAAGCGACGAAATTAAATATTCGGTAAGGCTGGTGGGCGAGGTTCCGGGTCAGTAAAACCACCAGCGCACCCGGGTTTCTGGTAGGGCCGATGGCAAATACCTCAGTTGTTATTAAATATGGTTGTCTGCTCCGGACCAAGATAATTATGGCTACAGTGTTTTTTTTAGAGATTTGGGGGGGGGGAGGGAGAGAGAAATGGTTGAGATGGTTGCAATCTGCTGGTCCCCGTGCAGAATGGATGGGACGGATATAGGTCCTATAATAACAAAAAAGATATCACCCATACGCAAGGTACATGTGCTACCCAGGACGGCTACTACCTATCCGACGTTACTAGTAGGTACCTACTTACCTAACGTTCCCACCTACGACATGCATCAATCTTATCATGCCGCTATCGATTTGATCGAGACGGTACATCCGTCCACGCAAGGAGGTACATCGACGTGTGCAGGTAGGTACCTATGCGGCCCGCCCCTCCGCTCTCATCCCCTAGTAACCCGTTAAAGCCAACCCTAGTGTAAAGTACCGACCTAGGAGGCTAGGTACCTAGGTACCTAATTTAAGACACCCAACCTGAGGTAATATGCGCCGGCAAAGATATCCGAGTGTAGGCACATCCGGAGGACCTGTCCAAAGTCATCAGGTACCTGAGGTACCTGTCGTACGCCCTATTAGGAAAATATATAGGGTTGCGGACTTGCCCACAGACTCAGGATGCAAATCATGCCTCCGGTATATAATCCTATGCTGTCTGCCTAACCGACCTCTTAGACCTCTTAGACCTGACTTACCTACATTAGGCACCTCGGCACCTTCAGGTACACACAGAATACATTACACATAGGTGCATGTAGGCAAACTCCATCTCAATGTCCGTGTTACCCGCTACAAAATTAAGGCGACCTACCTGCGGGGGAGCTTGGCGGTGCTAGTACCTCCTAGCACTCTGAGTCCCTGGCCTGAGGGACTGGCCCACCCGATGTGTATGAGTACAGGTAGTAAGTACCTTGGTACATTTACTTGATGCAGCAGCAGTCTGAGATGCTGACCTCAGAATTGGGAGGGAGATTTCTCTCTCTCTCTCTCTCTAGCTGTCTCTCATCCTTCTGAGAATGCCATCCTTTCAGTAATCGCCCGTGCAACCAGCTGGCTCTCTAGCACAGCAATCACCTCTCAGCCGGACCGGTCCGACTTCGTGACTCTCTCGACGGCTATGGTTTGTCCAAATAAAACGGGGATGGATACACGGCAGCACCCATAACGAACAATGTGGGTGGTAATATTGCATATCGCAACGAGGAGAGGGGAGTACTGCAATATCCAGCTAGTCAGCTTAACATTGGAAATCCCACCTTCATTTCAGCTGTCCAGATTATCCTCTGCTCGGATTCAATGGGCACCCATATATATATATACTATACGGGTATTATATACCTACTCGGTTCCCGGATTCTCGCGTGCTCGTCTGCTAATACCTATGTGTATTGCAAGTGTAGCGTACCTACGCAAGTATGTCCAAACGTGGAAATGGATCCGTCACATCTCAAGACAACACCACTCTCGGGGCACCTGCAGCACCTGTCCCAGCGCTGTCTTGAAACTAGCCAGGGCCGATATCCTCGCGGCCACCAATTGGCACGCCAGCTGCCTCGGGTACCTGGCAGCGATGAGGCCAGCCTCATCTGCCCTTGTCGGAATCTCCACGTTCACTCGCACTGCCGAAACCCAAGTGACAATAACCTGGTAAGCCCTACCTACGTGTACACTACCTACATGGGCAGGCTCGCTAAGGGTGTGCTGTGTTTAGTTCCTGTTTGAGCACATGGTGATCAAATGCGTAAATTACCGGAGTGATAAACGACTTCTTACTTGACAAACCTACTTCAAAACCCTCTCGCTCTCAATCTCGCGCGCTCCCCTGGCCATAGGTGTGACGTATGTCTCGATGAGGTGTGGCTATCCCCCATATTGGATTGCCGGGAGGCTTGGGTGGACGAGGTGGCCAGTTGCCATGCCCTCACGCTGAGGCAGCAAAACCGGCCAGCGGGGGAATCGAGGATGCCAGCGTAACCATAAAACAGCGCGTTGCAGCAGACAAACTGGCCACTCCCGAAGGGCAAAAGGCAGGCCATTTATCAGACGTACATGCTGCATTGTGTGCCTAGTAGATGCTGTAGAACGCCTGCTCTAACGCTTATTAGTGGCATCCTGTCGGTTTCACCTATTTTAAACGCAGTACATGCGCGTAGGTCGGCGGGATTGGAGACACGAGCAGATGAAGTTCCCATTTATAGCGCGGATGAGAAAATTGCGGCCATCAGAACCCAAGGAAACCCAAGGAAACCGGCGGCGCGAGATAGAAGACAATCCAAGCCACCGGAAGGCCCATCGTGGGGGCCTAAGCTAAGCTGTGCTTCTGCCCGTATGGCTTTGGCGTTCCGGCGGCGGACCCAACTCGAATACATGCCTCCTATACTACGTACCTACCTACGTGAACTCCCGCTGCACCTATAGGGTGGACGTTTTACATCCCTGGTGCTTCCTTACCTAATGCTTGTCTGAAGCTGACTACCTCCTGTGGGCTACAAGGTATATAGGTAGGTAATGGCCTAAAGGGATCTACTGGTGTATCGTCGGGAACCCAACGAGAAGGCCGAGGGAACCCCCGGGGAGCCGGGGAGTAGCCTCGCAACGTTGGTACATATTAGTTAGTTCTACACGTACGTTGCTTAAATAAATAAATAAAACCCCCGAGATGAAACAAGTCCCGAGGATTCCGAGTGTTTTCCTTTCCTTTCCCTTTTTCCGCTGTCTCGGGGGATTAGCAGGTATCGTTAGATGTCTTAGTGAGGCCTACACGTACCCGGTACGGATACACCAGGCGGTTCATGTACCTAACCTTACTAACCGAATACCCCAGGTACCTCTCTTTCCTTTTGGGCGAGATGCGGCATTGTGGGGATGGCGGTTGATATGGGACAAGGCCCAATGGAATGGAGGGGGTTTGATGTTTTCGGAGCCGCCACATACACATTTCTTTCGGTCACAAATCGTCGCCTATGCATTTTATGCACAGACCCCGGAGACACCTAAGACAGCAAGTTTCGTCATCGATAGGACCAAGCGCAGCAACTTTCATCGTCGATATGCCCTTCATCAACCCGGCACATTCAACGTACAATTTTAACTGAAAACATGGCTCGATCAGGGAGGCTCGGGTTATGGCTCAAGATGTTGGGCATGTAAGTAATCCGCATCGTCCCTCCCCCCTCCCCCCCCCTCGTTCAATCTCCCTTTGTCAAATTCCTCAGCCCTGCCCCCGAAAGTCGCCAGCGATGGGGACGGTCGACGCAGCAAGTAGACCGGATACGCCTGGGCTAACGCGCGATAGCGGTGGCGTGGTGTGCGTCGGCGGCCCCGCCTTCGTTTACTGGGTGCAGCCGACCGACGAGGAGCTCTTCCTCAGGTACAACCCGGACCTGCAGAAGAAGAGCCTCGACCGCCGGTATGAGCGCGAGAAGGAATTCGACGATTACGTAGTCCAGCTTAAGGAGTACGCCAAATCGAACAAGCCAAGTACGTGCAGCCCGTCCTCCCAGCTCCTCTCGCCCCGTGCCCTGTTCAGGCGAGCCGTGCGTTCCGTGCCAGGCGTGGATGCGCGTGCGCGCCTGCTAGGATCCGGCCCGGCCGTAGGGGATACCTACTATTGGGAAGCAGAGCCCCCGCGCGTGGGCAACCAGCTGACATGCCGCAGTATGGGCGGTGCAAGAAGAGGACATGCGCACGCGTAAGGAGGAGAAGCTGCGGCAGCAAGCTCTCGAAGCCGAAGAGGCGAAGAACCGGAAAGAGGCGATGAGAAAGGAGGTGGGTTTGCCGCCGAAAACCGACAGCTAGGGATCGCGGTTACGCGCCAAATTATTATGTATACAGAGGGCCGTTGGGATAGGGAACAAGGAAAAATGGGAGGGGGGGAAGAGACTCGAACAGGAGGCATAAGAGCATGAGAGACAGGTACGACAGCATGATGTGGCGCCTGGGGAAAAGCTCCGCCAGCGCAAGTCAAGTTGGTGACTTGCCATGTACTATTAATTGATACCTAGGTAGGTATCTACTACCGAAAACCCTCATCAATGTTTACTGCGCCAACCCTCGCGAATCAGACGGGGTGTGGCCGAACAAATTCTCTTCCGCTTAGCTAGAATTATTTGTGTCGAGGAGTGCTATATTCGTATCGACCAGGTCCCGGATCGAGTGCCACCGCTGTGCCAGCACCTCTCGTTGCGGGGGGTCGCCCAACTCCGAGGCCTCCACTTGGGAGGCCGTCTTCTCGGCGTTGTGCCGCAGTTCTCGTAAGAGCTCGACAATCAGCCGGTTCGCGTCGGCCTGGCTGCTCTCGCCGTCGTCTACCCCGTCCACAAACCGCTTCCACTCCCTGACGCTGCAGCATAGCAATCTCACCGCGACCTGCGTCCGGTGGCAGACGGTCTCGCGGTCGAGCACGTACTTGCCGAGGAACCCGACTCCCTCGAGCCTCTCCTTCTGCCGGGCGTTTAGCCTCGGCAGCAGCGCGTCGTCGAGGCGGATCTCGTCCCACCGGTTCTCGGCCATGACGAAGCCGTACTCGACGAGCAGGAAGTCGCCGCTGTGGGGGCCGTAGCAGATCTTAACCTCCTCGCCTACGGCGTACGCGCGCGTGGCCTTGATGGAGAAGCCGTCGGCGTCGAAGGCGACGTTACAGCCCTCGTCGCCGTGGTTGAACAGGTCGGCGACGGGCATCAGGCACATGTGGTCGTCCTTAGCGCGCTTCTCGAGCCGCGCGTTGACGTAGTAGAAGGTGCGCGTGTTGACGAGCAGCCAGGCGTAGCGGTAGCGGGCCTCGGCGAGCTGCGGGTAAGCCGCCGAGACCGTGGCCCAGTCGCTCCGCAGCTTGGCCTCCTGCTTCGCGAGCAGGGCGCGCGCGGCGGCGGGGAGGTGCGCGCGCAACTCCGCCGGCCAGACCAGAGGCATGCCGGCGAAGTCCTCAGGAGCCGGGCACACCGCGTCCCACACCGCATATTTGGCCGAGCGGTCCAGCGCGAGGTCCGCCGCCAGCAGGCCGTGGACGGTGAGCGTCTTGGGGAGCCGGCGCGACACCGGCTTCGGGACCGTGTCCACGCTGCGGAGACAGGCCGTCGGCACCTCGAGGATGACCTCCTCGGGCTGAGGGGCAGATTAGCAGACGCTCACGACATAGGCACGGCAAGCGGGTCTCCCCGTCCGGGAGCCGCCGCGCATCATCCGGCGACGAGCAGGGGCGGTGACGGACCTCGATCGCGCGCGTCGCAACTAGGCCTATGCCCCGGCCCGGGATACGTCGCGGCGCGATGCCATCGAGCCTGACGCCGTGTTCGGTGGCCCAGGCTATCAGCTCTTCGTGAGGCTCAGTGGCCATAGTTACGGGTGCGGGCGGGGTGTATCAGATAAGAAGGGAGAACGTTTCGGAGGTAGAACGTTTCGGGGTGGAAGCGATGGTCGAAAGGAGGGTGCGGACGGGATGATATAGGGGTGGGCAGCGAGTCGGCGAGCAACTAATCGTCTAAATCCTCTCTCCCATGCCACGGCGGAAACTTCCTGGAGCCAGCATCGTCAACGTCAATCGCAGGGAAACACCAACGTGCGCGACGTAGCGTCGCGACTTCGGGCACGAGCCGAGCGAGTGCGACAGGAAAGAAGGACGAACGGGTGTAAGGGATTTTCAGTGTTCCGTCGGGCAGAATTACCCACATCGGTAGGTTGGAAAATGGACCAAACAGTAGCGACCTGTAGGTAGAGAGGCCGGGTCGGCGGCAACGAAATAAATAAAAACACAGCATCGTCCTTCCTCTCTACCTATCGCGACATCTCGTTCGAAATAGCATCCTCTCTCTCTAGGCCCCTCTTTCAAATGGGGGGTTGGTGAGGTTGCTTTACCCTGTAAGTACGAGGGGGTAGGTGTACGAACTGTTCAATCTTCACAGGTGGTTTACCAACGCTGAGTCGCTGTTAAGCTGGTCTTCGCCTTACCCACCTACATAGGTACTGTTATCTAATCTACCTGGGTGCCTCTATAAGAGTTGCCTTTGATGGCGAGGAGGTAGATTTTACCCAGTGCAGTGCTTATTTCGGCGGCAGAGGCAATGAATGCTTCAACTCAGAGATACCAGGTATACCTACTCCGATCTCAAGCTTCCAATTTCCATCCCATTCAAAGCCTGGTAGGTACCTGTCAGGCACCAGACCAGGGCTGTTTTGGGGCAGGTTATGTACCTACCTACCTACCTACCTAGAGGAGGTACCTAAGGTATACTCATACAGCCCACCACCCCACTGAGTGCTATCTGCTGGCGGTTCTTAAGTCCGGCCTAAAAGCCGACACACATACACGTAAGGTGACATTGATTACCTATTGGCCTGCTCTTCATCCGGTGGGTGGGTAATCCGTTAGGATGACCTTTCATTCACCTCCCACATCAGACACCCCGCCAAAGCGCAACTTATCGGAGCCAAGCTCTCTCTCTACCCGCCAACTCCCGGCCTAACTTCCTACCTACCTATATCACCATCCTCTAGATGAGCGAAACAACGAAGACTACCGAGTAGCGCTGTTAGGAATCGAACCTATCCTTCGTTAAGTAACCTACTGATCTCCGCCCTCACCTCGTCACCCCCACCGTTGGACCGGCGAACAGATTACCTTCCAGCCTACGCACTATGAGCGGGTCGGGGTCTGCGTACGAGGACGCGGCGGGGCTTTATCCGGATATCTTCGTCGACGCGGAGGATCACGACGAGGATGAAGAGGATGAGGACCATGATCCCGACTACGAGGAAGACGACGACGACGACGAGGAAGAAGAAGAAGAAGAATTAGACGAGGATGACATGAGCCACGACCTGTTTGGCGACGAGGATGAGTTCCACGGTACGTACGAATGCCACCGTGCCTAAGAACAACTTACGGACTAATGCACACATGTACCTACCTAGACGCCGAGGAAGGCGACATTCAATTCATCGTTCATGTAGAAGATGATGACGACGGCGACGCCGGCAGCAGGGAGCGTTCGCGATCGCCTGGCCCTCAACACGCTGATATGCAGCAGCGCCTTATTGATTTAATAAGTGGTGCATCTCTATAGGTATCCTCTGCCGACTGTTCGCTCTGCTGACCGATGCATGTAGCAGGCCGCAACACCGGCTTATTGTCGCGGCGTCAGGTCCTTGACTTCCTCCGGAGGTCTAACCTCGGGCAGGCGGTGTTGAGCAATGCCGACGGCGATGCCCGCCAGATCTTTTACAGAAGATCGCACCCTCAGCCAGACCCGCATAAGTTCCCCAAGGTTCCGAGCGAAAAGGGGAGAGAGCTCATGAACTCCGGCGCCTTCGGCGCGAACGACATAGCGAGCCCTATACGGTCCAAGAAGCAATTAGCCCGTCGGATTTTGGACCGCGAGCTGGGAATAGGGGATAGGACCGGCCGCCGAATCAATCAAGCCATGATGGCACAGGTGAAGCTTTCTGCACTCTTTCCCTATCCTCTCTAGCCTAGCGCCGCCATATATGCTAACGCCCTGAAAAGTCGATGATCCCCAGTTCGGACGCAGAGATGGTTATCAATTACGACGACAATGTCTACTCCGGCCAGTTCTCGGACGATGGTAATTTCTTCTTTGCCTGCGTGAAGGACATGAAGGTCCGCATGTACGACACTTCTAATCCTTATGACTGGAGGCATTACAAGACGGTTTCTTTCTCGTTCGGGTCTTGGACATTGACGGATGCGTCCTTGAGCCCCGATAACAAATGGCTAGCCTACACTTCGATCCAACCCAATGTCTGTTTGGCACCGACCGACCCCAACGACACAGGTGACCCTTACATCTTGAATTTAGCCCAGCGCAACGTGGGCTGGAGCGGTAGATTCGGCATCTTCTCCATTCGGTTCTCCGGTGACGGACGGGAATTAGTTGCCGGAACCAACACCAACTCCATAGTGGTTTACGACATAGAATCCCGAAGCGTCTTGCATACCATCAGCGGCCACGAGGACGACGTCAACGCCGTTTGTTTCGCCGACAAGTCCTCTCCGCACATCCTCTACTCGGGCAGTGACGATGCCACGATCAAGGTCTGGGACCGTCGTAGCATGGGCGATCGCCGGGAAGCCGGCGCCTTCATCGGCCACATCGAGGGTCTCACGTACATTGATAGCAAAGATGATGGTCGTTATCTCCTCAGTAACGGTAAGGATCAGAGCATGAAGCTCTGGGATCTCAAGATGATGTACTCGACAGCACGTTGCGCAGAGCTCAACCCCAGACAATACACTCGATCTCGCGACTTTGATTACCGATGGGACATGTACGACGAGAACCACTGGTTCCCACATCCGAACGACAACTCGGTAGTTACTTTCCGGGGCCACCAGGTCCTTTGCACGCTCATTCGCTGTCACTTCTCGCCGCCTAGCAGCACGAACTCCCGTTACGTGTACTCGGGCAGCCACGACGGCAAGGTTTACGTCTACAACCTAGACGCGACCATAGCAAGCGTCATCGACGTTAAGGCCTCGTCGTCTCGATCGAGACCGCAACCTACCCCATATCGCCGCTACAACCGCTCGCGCGACCGCGGCGAGTGGACCACGGTCGTTAGGGATGCGAGCTGGCATCCTACTGCGCCTTTCATTGCCGGTAAGTCTAGTCCGAATCCGTTCCCGTACTCTGATACTTGGTACGCAGAAGGGGAAATCGCTAATTCTGGGGATGCAGCCTCGTCCTTGAATGGGTGGGACACCGCCTACGGCACGGTCACGCTGCACTCGTACAACGAGTCTTCGCGCGATGAGGGAGAGCCCCGGATGGGGACCGGATACGACGAGAAACTCCGACGCATGAGAGAGGGTACGAGGGGCGCCAACAGAGAGTCAGACGACGAGGAAATCGACTTCTAGACATCGGCGACGCAAAGGGCTTACGAGCGCGAGCGCGAGCACACACACACACACACACACATGTACACAACCTCATCGCGATTTCTCGAACGACGGAGCGGACTTGAGATACGAGATACTCTAGGGCGTAACAAAGGGGTTTGGGGAAAAGGCGCTCGAGGTGTTGACGGCTGGAATTATTACTACCTCGGTAACCAGATTTAACGCTCGTTTCTGTCACGGCCTTCGACAATTGTAGTTCCATAGGAAATAACCATTGATTGCCCAATCCAGATGCGGCCGATCTGGTTGACTCGGGCACTAGCTCACTCATATTCTCGACGTCGTCAGCCACGACGACGATGGGTCGTTTAGTATCACGTTATTGTCGGGAGGCAAACCCGTAGTTTATAGTACATATTACGTGTAATGTAAGTATCTTATTTGCGGTTTTCGTTCATCGACTTTTTGCATCACCGTCTCCTGTCGAGTTGTCATCATCGTCGTCGTGGTTTATCACCGACTTCGGCAGTAACTCCCGCCTTCCGTGTCCTGGGTTTAAACCCGCTACTTTTTTATCGCCTTTTCACCCCTTCTTCTTGGGGTCTATTCGATTCGCGATAAAGCTTCGGTCCCTAGGGAGGATATTTTCACAACCGAGTTTACGCAGCGCCGACGAGAATGTTGTTGACGGGAATGTGGACTACGTGGAGGCGTCAGCAGGCGATCCCTTTGGCATGGGGAGTGCGGACCGCAAGGCAAGGCGGGCGGATACAAAGGGGGGGAAGAAGGCAAGAGGGGGTAGTTCATACTCAGCTTGATCACGTAGCCTATCGCGCCCATGACCAGGAAGCCGACGCCAACAGCCTTGCAGATCTGCACGAACTCCTTCTGGTCCGCTGCGTAGATAGCGTTTGCGTTAGTACGTGTCCTGCGATATCCCCGTTTCCCGCTTACATCCTCGCCTTCGCGCTCGCATCGCGCTCCCCTTGCGCTGGATCCTGTCCACGCGATGGCAGCGACGACGGCAGCGAGGGCTAGACAGGGAAGGCAGCTGGTCTGGGCGGGGGGGATCGATAAATTGGGGGAGGACGTACGTTTGGTGCACCGCGTCATGAACTGGGTGCCGTCCTTGATGAAGTCCCGGGGGATTTCGAGGAGGTCATGCACGTCCGACATCTTCTCTCGTGGGTAGGAAGAGGGTAGTGGTTTTCCGTCTGTAGAGTGACAATTGGTCGGTGTCGAGAAGAGAGAAGGACGGGGAGATTGCGGGAAAGCAGCAATTCGTTGGTTTTGAGGTTCAGGGAGCGACGAGGAAGAGAGAGAGGGAGGTATGGACTTGGAAATATTGTTGTCGCGACGGGGGGGACGGTAATAGTAGAGAGAGGTAGGAGGTAGGTAGCGATGTGTGGCATGTGGTGAAATTCAAGCCAAATTGTTACGTGGTTGATGGGATGCGGCCAGATTGCCAGCTAGGTACAAGGGTACCTAACGTCTACACCTCAGGTGCTTACCTGTCTCCTGCACCGGGCTCGGTACGTACCTAGGTACGTAGTATCTATATGTATACACGTACAGAGGGATTCCGGGGCAGGAGCGCGGAACCCAGCCAAGGGAGTCTGGCCCAAGCACAAGCTAAACCCAAGGGGGTTGGAATATGCTGCCCTATTGGGCTAGAGGTGACCAGTAATTTAACCACGGCATGGGATACGTACCGGTTTTTAGCTCTAGACGGCCCCACATTACCCAGCGGGTCTCCAATCCAGCCTATCAGCCTCATCCGCATTTTTGGCAGCAGCAGCACATTTCGTCCCCCAGAGAGACAACAAGAAAGACCGGCTCATAATAAGTGGACCCGGCGCCCCTTCCACGCTCAGAGCTCCAACCACTCTACTACGTAGCGCCACCTCGGTGGTGCCTTCCCATCAACCGGCTGCCGTTCACCTAGCCTACCCTTGAACTTTTTTCCCTCGTCGGCGATTTCTGCCACCGTCTCTTAGTAACCCTTGAGCTTCGAACTCCTTTCCCGCGATCTTGCATACGCTCAACCTCCTTCGAAACCCACCTCCCTGCTCCATCCTCAACACCAACCTCCGTTCTCATCGCCAACGTCGCCGTGTTCATCGCTGTCCGTCGTCGACGAATCGGTCAGCTCCTACGCACAACCCTCGCGTCTCTCTCTCCTACTACTCTTCTTTCCCGTTCCCTGCTTTTCCGTCGACTATGCGCACCCCTACGTAGTGCTCCAGCCTTGGGCCGCTTACGACGCGTCGAGTCTACCCCCTTGATTTCTCTCGATCGATCTCTCTCCCTCCCTTACTTTTTACCATTTTACGCTTCCTCTCACCCTCTCTCTCTCTCATCGGCCAGCTGTCGGATCCACCCGGTTTTGCTTCCCTTCTGCCAACTCGAGTTCGACCGTCGTGCCGGAGAGCAAACGCAACCGGATCCCGCCTGCAGCCACCCCCGAGGAGGAGGAAATTTAGGGGCGCCCATCCTACTAACCCACACGCACGTCGCAGCAGGAGATTTATTGATTGACTGATTGACGGACTGGGAGCTGGGGATCGTTCCACTCACTCTGCATCTTTCTGGTTCTCTTCGGACGTCAGAGCTGTCTGTGCTCTCTACTCTTACCAATCCTATCATCGTCCTCGTCCTCGTCTCCGTCAACCCAGCTTGGTTTCACCTTCGATTTGGGAAAGAGAGGCACTCGCCCCACGTACGGACGATTCGAGGCAGAGCGCCGAAGATTGCAAGCACAGAGCTTCGTCTTTGATATCTCTATTTGTTGAAGATCATCACCCATCTCTCAGAACAGGGGTTACTACTGGGCTTAAGTTCGTCAAGACTGGGGAACGTCTAGCAGCATCGCCAAGAGGATTTCGGCGGAGTGTACGTACGATACTTGTGAGAATTTTTCTTTTCCTCCTGTTCTGTTCTCCTTTTCGACTTCTAAACTTCATTCCTTTCCTCTTCCCGGTCGAGGGCCCGCCAGCATGTATTTCTCATTGACTGATAACATGGAGTGGAAGACCACAGGCACCTTCTGTATCTACTCTGAATACATCCTCACTTTGCAGATCCCAACGCACCCTTCTTCTATCCTAGTCCCCTTGGCCCCCTTGTGATCTCCGTCAGCTCCTCCAAGATGGCCGACGAAGATTTCGAGATCGATGTCTACGGTGACGTGAATGCCGAGACCGAAGAGTCGAAGGCCGAGGACTCGAATGCTCAGGCGTACGAGAACAACTCGTCGATAACAATTGCCAACGGATCCAACAACCCGGATTCGACCACTCACTTCAACAACAATAACAACAACGACGACTATAACGCCAGCGACCAAAATAACATGGAGGTCCATAACAGCGGCAACTCAGCCCCCTCCCAGTCATATCAACAAGGCGTCAAGCGCAAGGAAGGGTCCGATGACCGACCTATCGACCCTGGCGCCACAACTGCTCTGCTCCTCTCGGAATTGCAATGGTGGACTACAGATGATCACATCCGGGGATGGATCCGACGGGCCTCGTGCGAGGAGGAGTTGAAAGACATTACGTTTAGTGAACACAAGGTCAACGGGAAGAGCAAAGGGTATGTGGCATCAAATTCCCGAGCGAGGTTCAAATCCGGTAGATAGGCCCTTGCCCCACTAACGCGTTCCTCGCAGCCAAGCCTACGTGGAATTTACCTCTCAACAGGCGGCCACCGCCGCCAAACGCCAAGTAGAGGCGATCGCGACCGAGTCGACTCAACCAGGTGGCAAGAAAGTGACGGTTATCTACTCCTCACCTACCACCAATCCATTCAAGACCCTACCCAAGGACGCGCCAGCCCGAGCGAATAAAGATGCAGCGAACCGAGGCGGCTCCAACATGGGAGGCTACAACGACCGCGGAAACTTCAGAGGTCGCGGCGGTTTCAACGGACCCCGCGGAGGCTTTAACCGCAACTTCTCGGGCAACATGGGAGGAGGAGGCTTTCACGGCAACGTGCCCAGTGGGTTCAATAATAACATGGGCGGTGGGAACTTTGGCTTTAACAACATGGGAGGCGGTGGCGGCGGTGGAGGCGGGAACTTTGGTTTCCGTGGCGGCATGATGCCCGGAGGCATGGGCGGAGGTATGCGCGGAGGAGCGATGCGTGGCGGTCGGGGCGGCATGAACCCTGGAATGAATGCTAACATGGGTCAAGCTATGGGCAACGGCATGATGGGAGGAATGGGCGCGATGGGAATGCCTATGATGGGCTTCCAGCAGCCGCCGCACTTCAACCCCGCCTTCTTTGGCGGAAATCAGCAGTCCGACTGGCAAAATCCCCACGGCGCTAAACGGCCCAGAGGCGAATGAGTCGTCGATCGGTACGATTCGTGTCTGGCCCCACATTGTGGCTATCTCCCATCTGATGAAAGGGGTAAAAGAGGATATCGGTACGGCATCGCTGCAGGGGTTTGAGGATTCGAAGGTTATAATCAAGGGTGGGCGTCGTAATTGCAGACCGGGCCATCTCTCACTACTACACGCCGAGGGATTAGAGGCTGGTGTTATCTGTACAAAAACTAAATGGATTTTTTCAAGTGTGCTTCTGCCAGCCTCGTGTAGATTGAAACGTGGTTTTTTTTTCACAGCTCCCCTCCACCTCCCCGCCCGCATGACCCTACTGTAATATAGAACGTCTCTGAGGCCTATAAGGCCGTCGAGGTACCTCTTTTCTTTACTTTTTTCTCTTACGCCTTCTTTTTGGTCGCGGGAGGGGCCTGTTGGCGATCCGGACCGAAGAGACCGAGGAGATAGGCGGTTCTAGTGAGGCAGAGGAAGGTCTATATGCCAGGGGTGGTGGCGATACCACCTCGTTAGCATCGGCTGCTTAGCCCGAACGGGACGACGACGACGATATGTCTTTGTCACAGGGACGAAAAGGGGGCAAGGAGGACGGGCAGGCGGAAGAAGGCAGAAGCGAAGCCCGCTCACCGTAAAGCCGACGTTGCCCCAGGTCACGGCGTTCCAGGAGCCGACATCGACGGCCCTCTCATACCCGAGCGTCCAACAGGTCACACCAACGTGGCTGATGTCCGCGATCCTATATCGTTTTCCCCGACGCATACCGGGAGAGGAAGGTTAGTAGGTGCGATTTGTATAGTTACAGGCAATTCATGCACATGCGTATGTACATGTAGGTATACGGAGTTGAGTTTGGGTTGAGTGTGATGGGAGCTCGGATATGGATACCATGCTGGTTGTATACATATGGAGGGGAATATATGCATAGGTATGAGAAGACTAACTCCCTGGAAGTAGGCACCGGAACATTCGCGCACTGATATGAGGGGGGTTAAAGAACAACTCACCATAGGGCGACGAGGTAGTTCCGGACGACTCTGAGCTCGGTGGTGGTGTAGAGCACGGCGACGCCGAGCAGGAAGAGTAGGCCGTAGGCGTTGCCTAGCTGCAGAGCGACGAGACGGGCGTTGTCGTCGTAGCCAGGGGCGGCGACGGGGAGCTGGGAGGCGACGAACCAGTCGGCGTCGACAAAGGGCCCCAAGAAGCCGCCGACGAGGGAGACGGGCTCGAGGACGGTGAAGACGGCGCGGGGGAAAGCCGGGAGCTGCGAGGCCATGGCGCGCGGAGGGGGGGGGGGAGGGGGGGGAGCGGGAGCGGGGATTAGGTTAGAAGCTAGGTAGCTAACTAACGGAGGGGGTCACGCAGACGCCTATGCATCACACATACACACGTAGGTGGTAGCTATATTACCTATACCTAGGTATGTCACGGAGGGAGGGCGGAAGGGCGGAAAGTATGTATGGATATGGAGATGAGGACCTCGTGTTCCTCCGGTCCTAGGCCGGCCGACGTTGCGATATCGAGTTTGGTAGAGGTACCGGTTACTGCATATTAGTAGATTGGGCGACGGATAGGAATATGCACGAGGGTGGATGCTGAAGTCTGAGTGGCTGGAGTCATGGAGTTCTGGTTCTCGTGATTGGCCGGTCGGTTGCGTGGTGGCCAGGTGGTATGCCGGTACACACATGTACTACCTGCCTACATACATATATGTAACTTGCCAACCTTGCTACCCTCTCCCACCCCACCCACCGCTAACCTACGTACATGCATAATCTCATTTGCCTGTCTGGGCATCCGCACCCGACTGGAACACTACGTCGCAAAAATGTCCGACTTCTACACAAATTCCTAAATTGCGGAAAAGCTTCATTCCTCTTTTCCTTGCATACCGTATATTGCATTGCAACGGTGTGAGCCGCAAGCAAGCCGAGCCGAGCTACGTACACCCTGCCTGCTCGACTGACAGGCAAGGTAGCATTGCCCGCAGACTGGTCGCCCCCATGCTACGACATAATGCTCGATATATGCAATGGATGTACGACGGCGTTGCGTATATTCTCGTACTCCTCCTCCCGCGACCCCGAGCAGAAGCCAAAAAGAGCGAGCAGAGAAAAGGGGGGAACGAGAGGGGGGAGGGGGCGAAGAGAGGGGAAAGGCGAGATTTCCAAAAATATGCATGATTGGCTTCGTGCGATTGTTGTTGCATCTCGAGAATTGCCATCAGATAAAATTGCTTCTTCCCACCATGATTCGGTGACTCGAGCAGCCCCCCCAAAGGCGAAACGTGGGTTACCACACCTATCACATTACAAATCCATTCCCCCCATCAGCGAGCGACGCCACCACCAAAAGGAAAAAAAAGAACGTCATGTAGGCGTGAGCATCGTAGCCGGGACTCCCTATCTATCAACAGCTACCTGTCTCCATCCCCTCTTCTCTTCGGGTTGGTACCGGGCTAGACGGGCTCAAGCCCCCGTCGAGCCGCGCAGTTCTGGCTGGCTCCTCGGTCGGCGGAACGAGGGATACGAGAGCTGCTGGTCCTAGTTGGCCGCGGCCGATTATAAGATTATACAGGCGCCCCTCGCCGGTTACCGTGTGATTCCGGAGCTTACGAGCCATCAATACGAGGCCACGAGTCTACCCGTCGGCCCTGGCCCCTACAAAGTGATCTCCGCCGAGGCTTTTCTGCCGGGCCACCTTGCTAGCAACGAAGGCAGGTCGCGCCGGTCGGTCGGGCGGTAAGTAGGTAGGTATCTCCGTGCATTGTAAGAGGGGGGGGGAGGGGAAGTGGAGGGGCTTCCTTCGCCGCGGCCGGACCTCTACATATACGCCCGAGGATGGCCGCGTATGCATGTATACATATGTAGGCGTACATAGGTGAATATATAGATATAGATAGATCGGTAGATATAGGCATGTATAGGTATATGTTTTGCCTCTTACGTCGCTTTGGACGTCGAAGCGAAGGCCTCCGCGAGCTGACCATCCTCTTGTTTTCGTCTGTGGGGGACGGGAAATCCAAGATAGGCCAGGCCAGTCAACGACGAAAGGGCCACATCAGTGCCGCATTATCGTTCGAGGTGCATACAGGGAGTATGTATTGGCACCGACCTCCCTACCCACCTACATGGCAGCAGATGCTACGTAGAGAACCGCGATGCAGTCAGTACGGTAATTGCGGTTTCGCAGGATGAGCCGCGAGCTTGGCATTTTGCCGGGCGAGAAGAGAGGGAGGGATAATTGATTGAGTGACGGATGCCCGCCTCGTCGAGATGCCTTATCTCTGGTGCGACCGCGTCCCCCCGTTCTCCCCTTATGGTTCTCTCCCCCCCTTTCCTCTCTCTCCCGCTTCCGCAGCAGTAAACCCACTGGATACGCACACGTCTTGCTCGGCCTAGTCCCCGGTCCAGGTCGACCCAGTCTCCGAAGATCACATCGCGTCACTGATAAACGACCCCCTGGCTAAGTCCGGCGCCGCCCGAAGCCCATTTGGCGATGGCGATGGCGATGGCGTACGACGGCCGCAGCATGTAGGTACGTGCCCAGGCCCGAGCAGGTATCGGCCATGTATGAGTATTGGAGGCGAGCCTACCTGACAGGCCCGTCCGATGGCTCTGCGCTCCACGCACCCATACGCACATATTACCAGCAGCCAACATGCCACCTTGGTGTGTCATGCACATGCCGGGCGATGCTCTGTCTATGCATACCTGCCTCGACCTCGAATGATAGCTCCACCCCCGACGAGGCCGACGACGGGCTTTGTGTCTGCTCTGATCTCGCTCTGATCTGCCGTCTGCCCTGATCGGTGTCTGCCTGCCTCTACCTACGTCTACTCCCCGGTCTTGGCTGGGGCAGCCTACGTAAGATGTAGGTAGGTAAGACGCACCGCGCGCCCAGCGTAGCCCGGCCGGTAGGCACCGCGTCTCGTCGACGCCCTCGCACACGTCTGACGGTGGGCGTGAAGTGAAAATGCTCTTCCGAAGACCTCTGAACCTACCTGCCTGGGTCGCGTAGGCCGGTAGAGGTAAGCCGGTAGAGGGAGGGGAGGTAGGGAGGTCAGTTAGGGTTAGGTACCTGCAGAGCGGTACCTAGAGGTAGGTAAGGTAACCTACCTAAGGTAGATGATGTGGGTTGCTAAGCCTTCAGTTGTCCGTAGGTAACTTTCCTCTCCTCTCCTCTCCCGTGGCCGCTCGCTTACCACCGCCTTAGCTGCCTCCCATCTCTCCCGTCTCGCCTCCTATCTGACCTCTTTTACTCTATCCCACACACGCAACTCGCCCTCCGTCCACCACCACCACCACCACCACTCCCTTACCCCATAACCGCAATCCCAACTCAGACCTCCTACACCATCCCGCACCATGTGCACGCGCGGATGCATGGGCGTAGCTACCGGTCTCAGTCGCACCTACGCATGGCGAGGCGTCCTGTCCGTCTCCACGTGAAGCTGTTGCGCGCAAATTCCCCTCCAGCGCCGCTAGCAATATTTCGAGGCGCGACCAATCCGCGCTAACACCAGTCCCATATTACCCAGTCCCATACCCATTCCTATCACTTGCATGCCCGTTGCGACGAGCTCACATCTCGCCTCTTTCCTATATCTTGCTTTTTTCTCTCTCCCTCTCTTCCCTCTGACATCTCCCTCTCTCTCCTCCCGCGTTTTCTCCCTCCACACCAACTTCTCTCTGCCCCTATCTCGCACAACCTGCCCGCCTGTCTACATACCTATCTGCATACGTAGGCACACGCTAGGAGTGGGTGGAGCAGAGATCGATTCCAGCAAGTTCCGGTCGGCGGGCTTGCTCTTCTTCTTGTTTTTCTCCCCTGGGCCGTTGCTGACTGCTGACTGCTGATCCGAGTAGACCCCGTCGCGTGGTGGCGTAACGGGATATTCCTCCTCTCCCTCCACCTCGCACTACCACCCCGGAGACTTGCAGAACCCTCCCAATCCACCTCTTCCCGCACAGACAAGGTGGACGGAACACGCGGACACAGACGTACGGACGGACGGATGCGGCGACACGAACGTGTGGACAACCCTACCTGTCGTCGTGCCGCCTTGTATTCATTTCTCCTGGCATTTCTCCTAAGTCAGGTTGGAGTGCCTCCGCTGTCTTGCGTGCCCTTGTTTTTTGTTCCTCTTTTTTTCCCCAGCCTCCCTCTCTGGACCCTCGAGTCCTCGACCAGGTCCCGGCTCCTCTCTCCTATCGCCCGTTTGCTTCTGCGCGACCTCCTCGCCCCCCCGCCGTCGTTGCCACCAGAGAGTCCGTCCGGACCCTTCTCTCTCTCCCAATGCTCTGCTCCTGTATGCTTCCATCGACTCACGATGGCCACCATCGAGCCGCGACTGATTCATCTGCTGAACGAGTCGGCTGCTACGCCACGGCCGCACCGTGCTGAACTCCCGCCCATCAAAGTCCTTCCGCTCCCCCAGACGCCCGGCCGTTTCCTCCCCATCGACCCCGGTACCAGCCAGAGATCCGATGTCCCGGATGTGGCGCCGACCTCGGGCCAATTGGTCTCGCAGCCTGTGCCCTCCCTGTATTCCGCCGTAGACGAGGTCTCTACTCCGAATTCGGCCTTGAGAAACGACGCTGGGTACCCGTCAGATCGAACGTTGCTAAGCCACATCTCGTCTCAGGACCTGCGCATGATCCTAGATGACACCCCCGATAACGCCGAGGATTCCGGAACGAAGAAGAGGCGACCCGTGAAGGAGGATTTCGTGCAGCTGCCCCAGCCACTGAAGAAGCAGAAGGCTGCTACGCAGCAGCACATGTTCCCTCCCATCATCGTAGGGCTACTCGAACCTCCGTTCGAGGCCGCCTTGTTCCCGCCGATCTCCTCAGCGTCCTTTGACGACCGCCCGCATTCCGAGCCTCCGCAATCCCTAAGCATCGCAAAGCCGACCGAGATATCCGAAGCCGTAGACGACAAGCCCAATCCAAGCCCTCCGCTCGATTCCGAGCGGACCCCCACGGGTAAGATCAAACGACGAGCAGCGAAGCCTCGGCGGAAGTGGTCCGAGGACGAGACGAACCATCTCCTGCTTGGCGTAAGCAGACACGGCGTCGGAAGATGGACCGATATTTTGGAAGACCCCGAGTATACGTTTAACGATCGGACGGCCGGGGACCTGAAGGACAGATTTCGTACCTGCTGTCCCGAGGAGCTCCGTGCCAGCTCGACTGCCAAGAATGACATATTCGGGGCCAAGAGGCCGACGGTGAGGACCAGGGGGAAACCGAAGAAAGGTCTCATGTCGGAAAATATACTCAACGAGACCGAGGAGGAGGCCGAGGCTGAGCAGACCCAGTCGGGCCAGAACGAATCCGATCCTACCCCTGCGCCGAGACAGCGCAAGAGTCGAGCCCACCGCAAAAAATTGGAAGACCTGGCCGAGCTGGGGATCAAGGGACCATTCAAGAAGTCGCATCGGAGGGAGCGACGCCCGTTCTCCGAGCAGGATGACAGGGAGATACTGGAGGGGTTCGAGCTGTATGGCCCGCAATGGACTAAGATCCAGAGGGATCCTAGGTTCAACCTATCCAGCAGGCAACCGACGGACCTGCGCGACCGGCTACGGAATAAGTATCCCGAGAAGTTCTCGGGTACCGAGAAGACGACGATGCAGGTCCGGGAGCCGGGCCGGGGCAACAGCCTCTTGGAGCCCTCGGTCAACATGGCTATCGAAAACTCGCTGCACGTTTCGAAGTCAGCTCTGCTGGAGCCCCAGCTAAACCGGACCAACTCGAAGGAAGACATCCCAAGGTGGCCGTTGTCTTCCAATCATAGCGCGGAGCTCGGCGAGGCTTCTCAGCCGCCGCACGCCAACTTTTACTGGAGCGAGGGGCCCGGCACGGGATTCGCGGCGACTGGCATGGGAGAGATGGACATATCGCGGCTCCTTCTGGACGATACGCAGGTGGCGACCGACGCGCCGTCGGATAAGCGCGGTCTGGGATGAAGATTCGCTCCACTTGGCTGGGGAATCATGCTAGATATAAGCCGTGCCCGGACCTACGAATTCTTGCCCTGGCATGGATATGGCGAAGGAATTCTCGTGACCATGCCGTAGGTCTGACTGAGATTATAGCGCCCTGCACTACTAGGCACAGGCGTGCAGATAGACCACGGTAGAACCCGCCGAGGCACGTGGAAGGGGGAGTTGGTTTCCACGACAGGCAGTCGCTAGGGTTTGGCCGGATGACCTTGGAGGAAAGAAGGCTAATTCTACACGGTATCATTCTCCGCTCGGAGCGGAGTTCCTGTCATTACCTCGTGGACATGTGTGTGTATGTGTGTGTGTTAGCTACTGGGCGAAGATGCGAGTGAATTAAGGGAATATATGCATGAGAGATAGTAGATCAGGACAGCGCCAGGTGTATGAGGCATACGATAGATGAGGCGAAGGGAGCTGTTGCCTAGTTATACATAAGCTATAAGATATAAGAAGTTGGATATATCGAAGCTATATGGGGGCGAAGGGGGGGGTCGTAAGCGTATAGTAGCTCTTGGCTCAGCGTGTATAATTTCCAACATGTAGAGAGAGCTTAGTAGGGAGGCGTCTCATCAACTATTCGTCATATATAGCGCGACACATCTATGTCCATATTTTCCTCCATTTCACGCCTCTCACCCTGTCCAAAGGCGGGTATATCGACGTAGGATGTTATACACGGTTAAGGAAGAGCCCCCCTTTCCCCATCCACTACCTATATTGTATGGCGTCGGATCTCTACCGACGATAGACGGAGAATAAATCTAGACCCAGCCAATCATCTGCCAGGTATGTACTCATTTCCTTTGGCAAAATACGGGGGCTGCCATTTGCGCATTTCTAAGTGAAGCCTACCTCCTCTTCTTGGACGTGCACATCTCCGGTCTACGGGTTAGGTTGGGTTGGGTTAGGTAATGGATCTGATATCGGTATCGGGGTATCGGTTGTATACCTACCTCCTTAGGTAGATGTGCGCGATATAGGTACCTATACAGTACTTGATGTACATACGTAGTATCGGCAACATACAGATTACCTAACCCAACCTTGAGAACAAGATGAGGGGTCTTCAGTACGTACCGTCGAAGGCTTGGGGGGGATTCCGTGCACAGACCACTTTACACTAGGGCACGAGCCCGCGCGCAGCTTCGCTTCGAAATTTTGAATGTTGAACTTTTCCTTAGAACGGAGACGCAGACGCCTCACCAACCCTCGACACATCTACACCCACCCGCATCCAATTCCGTCTGCCACTCTCCCGATACCCCCAAACATCCGTCAATTGACCAGGCAAGATGGGCAGAGGACCGTAAGTCACATCGGCTATCAGAGTCACTATTACCATTCCCACGCTCTTTCCGTCCGCATATGAGCATCTTCCCCGGCCAGAGCGAAACCCATCCTCACTGCTGGAACCGGTTGATCTTCCGCGTTGGCCATCTGCTAACATGACGGCTCCGCTCGCAGGAGGAAGCACCAGAAGCGCCTGAGCGCCCCTTCGCACTGGCTTCTCGACAAGCTCTCGGGCACGTACGCGCCCAAGCCGTCGGCCGGTCCGCACAAGCAGCGAGAGTGCCTGCCGCTCATTGTGTTCCTCCGCAACCGTCTGAAGTACGCGCTCAACTACCGCGAGACCCGGGCCATCGTCATGCAGCGCCTGATCAAGGTCGACGGCAAGGTCCGGACCGACATGACCTACCCCGCCGGCTTTATGGACGTCATCTCCATCGAGAAGACGGGCGAGCACTTCCGCCTCGTCTACGACACCAAGGGCCGGTACACCATCCACCGCATCCAGAGCGAGGAGGCCGAGTACAAGCTCGGCAAGGTCAAGAGGGTGCAGCTCGGCAGGGGCGGAGTCCCATTCTTGGTCACGCACGATGCGAGAACGTAAGTTCTGTCAGACATCATTCAGCCGTTGGATCAAGCTTTGGTTGAGACCACCCTCGCTACCCCCGTGAGAAAGAAGATCGAGCTTTGACCGATGGCTGGTATGTTTTCCCCGAACTCCCTGCGTGGTGCTAACCCGGCGTTTTCTTTTTCCCCCCTTCGCAGCATCCGCTACCCTGACCCCCTGATCAAGGTCAACGACACCGTCAAGATCAACCTGGCCACCGGCAAGATCACCGAGTTCATCAAGTTCGACACCGGCGCGATCGCCATGGCCACTGGCGGCCGTAACATGGGTCGTGTCGGCGTCATCACCCACCGCGAGCGCCACGATGGCGGTTTCAACATCGTCCACATCAAGGACGCCATCGACAACACCTTCGCTACCCGCGAGAACAACGTCTTCGTCATCGGCTCCGACAAGCCCTGGATCTCCCTGCCCAAGGGCAAGGGTGTCAAGCTGACTATCGCCGAGGAGCGCGACCGTCGCCGCGCCCAGGCTCTAGCTGGTCATTAAAAAATGGTCTGGTAAAAACACAAGGGGCAACGAAAAGTGGGGTCCGGCAGGTGGTGTTGACTTTTCACGCGCATGGGAACTGGAGTCTATGGCATATCCAATCGTGCTTACCAAACGAGTAAGAGTCGCGGTTTAGGTCAATGATGAATGAGAATTTAAAATCGATCCGCCGTACCGTTAGCCCCTTGTACTGGACATTTCAACTCTCGGCCTCCTCTTTCCGTGCTATCTGGTAGTGAAGTGTGTGTGTATACATGAGTATATATGTCCTAGCTAGCGCGTTAATGCTATCGTAGAGTATCCCGTGCTACCTTCTTCTCGACATAGGTGTCTCCTCACTCAACATGTAACATCCTCGTCCCGGCCCCGGCCGGTCCGTCTCCCTTTCCCCCCCCCCCCCCCCTCCCCCTCCTCCATTCCCCTTCCTCTTGCTACACGCCATCGACGCCGGCTGGGACACGGCTTTGTATGTGAGCCGGGGCGCCGGGACTACCTACCTACTATCTATAAGTGTCTACGCCATCTCGTGCCAGGTAGCAGGTAGGCAGACACCTTAGGTATCTTAGGTAGACACAGGCGCGAGCTACCTACCTACCCACTTGTGTACGCGTCTCGCATCTGCCGGGTGTCTACCGAGGGTAGGTACATTTTATAATAGCGCGGGGGGAGATCTGCGAAGAGGAGGAGGAGGGGGGAAAGGGGGGGTAGTCGGCGGGACGGGTTACTGGACTGGGCAGGAGTGGGCGAGAGGAATGGATACGGGATTATCAGGGAAGGGAGGATGGAGAGGGTGGTGAGGAGCGGGGCGGTGGTAGGTAGGTAGGTAGGTAGGTAGGTAGGTAGGTATAGAGGGTAGCGGCGGGAGACGGGAGCGAGGAGGCGGCGGAGGACAGGGGGTCTGGAAGACTGGTGCTAGCGTTAGCCACGGACGGAGACGTCGCCGGCGGGTTCCTTAGCCGGCCAGGGTCGAGGCGAGCGTACGGTGCGGAAATACGTCCGCCCGCCCGCCCGCGTCCCAGACGCCGACTCGCGCGCTTAGGTACATCCGGCGTAGGCGCCGTCCGCCGCGCGTCGCGTCGGGGTTCTCGCGGATCGCCAGAGGGCACCGCCCACAGCGGGCAGATGTGGTTACGGACGACGGCGTGCGGGTTGTGCAAAGGCGCGTACCCCCAGGGCTTTCCAAAGATAGCAAACTGGGTGTTCCTCGCCTAGGTAGGTATGTGGCCGCCTCGCAGTCCTACTCCTTACCTACCTACCTATCTCTATGTCCTAGGCGCGGACGGGCGGCGCCAGTAGATAGACGCAGAAGGCGTCAGCTCGCGATACTAGCACTGCCTGTGCCTGCGTGAATCTCTTTCTCTCGGTGTGGCCTGCTACGGACGAGGGTGCTTTCCCTGCGCGTCCCCCAGGAGACGAGGCCAGGTAGCTCTGACTTGGGCGCTACAGCCTGGGCGAAGGCGGCGTGTCGGGGGCACAGGTGGGCAGGAGGTAGGCAAGCACGTCGTTACGCACTTGGGCTGCTGCGCTCCTCGCGGTGGGAGGCACCGTCAGCCAGGAGGACACGGGTCGTGCCGTGCCCGATGGATGTCAAACGGAAGGGACGTGCTTTCACCCACCAGGGGAGGGTGGTATATGGAAGTTGTTTTTCTTACACGAGAGGCTGTCCTGTTGATGGGGGGAATGTGGTAGCGAATTTCGGTAGGAGCCAGAGCCAGGCTTTGAGCGACTGTCCTCCTCGGCTCGAAGGTCTCGAAGCAGAAGGGGGGTAACGAGTAAGCCAGGTTGACCTCTACGTTGTTACAAAACATCACACGTAGTGGGCCAACGTAGCAGAGAAACAACGGCACAGCAGTGACAATTTCTGCAGTGTCATCCGACAGGTAGGTGGTCGCCATACATTGATTCTGCAGAAGGCGATGGCTCTTCCGGTAACACGACGCAGAAGGGTGGAATTAGGCTAGATCTGCTGGCTTGGTAGGCATCCCGTTACCCCGACATGTGGGCTATGACTCTTTGCTTCCCCCGCTGTTCATGAGGTCTTAGTTTTCGGTCTCGTCTGACGAGCTTCTAGCGAAGCCATTGGGGCCGAGGTCGTGGTCTCTCGACGGTCAAGGCCCGCGGCATCGTACCACACTGGGGGGCGCCGTGACGCCGCGCGATTCGACGGACTGAGAAATCATAGTATCCCAGACGGATATTTTGGCGGGTGGACGAGCTTCCTGGCACGGGAGAGGGGAAGGGATACTGAACTCATCGAAACGCTTGACGAGGCCCCCTTCCCGAGAGTCGACTCAGTATACGTACCATTTACTACGCGGCACATGGGTTTGCCTCCTTCTGCGGATCGTCTCAGAAGGCCAGCCCGATGGCCACATACCCGGATATCGTTGTATTGGATGACGAAGTGTTGTGCGTCTTAGCCGAGCTCGGCCAGGGAGGCTCATTAAAAATATATGAGCGAGTGAATCAAAAACTCGCTAAATATTGATTAGGCCAGGCGTCATGGATGAAAGGAATGCCATACCGAGGTGTACGACAGACAAATTCTATAGGCTCGTGAGGACCCGATAGGTCTAGCTTCGGGTCTCGAAAAGGGGGGAGGGGGGAGAGAAGGGGGTGAGACGGTTGGTGAACTTACCCATATAACCAGCCTCATCGGCTGACAAACCGAAATGACATGTCGCTAGATGGATGATGAGGAACCGGGGAGCTTGGCCTAGCCTTGCTATTTCATCATGCAACGTAAATGCGGTCTAGGCTGTAAATGGGTGTCAATATATGCTCGGGAGCGTTGGAAACCCGAGTGTCTGCCATAGTGCAGATGATAATAGGATCTAAAGACGTGCCCTACGTCGGAAATCCGGAGACAGGCGTTAAGGTCTAGGGATGCGAACGACATACTTCCAGGTTTACCCTAAGTGAAAAACACCGAGAACCCGTGACATATTTGTTTGACGAACACTGCCCCATGAACGAGATGTCTTATGGAGACACTAGACGGTGCGGCCCGTGGCACAGACAGCCAACCGGCTGGTGTTCGATCTGCCCTAATTCCCACATTCACGCCACACTGGTAAGCTATTTGACGGAGGTTGCCCCTCGAGATGCCGTACACTCGCACAAGTTTATCGGCTCTACTCTGATAGGCCCCAGTCTCGAGCTGGGCATGAGATACCTACCTAGTGTAACCCGCAAACTCCTGTTGTGACACTGTAAGCTAGGAGGCGTACGACGACTGCATAGCCGGTAAGACACAAAATATTCCAGGGATGGCTCATGTGACAGGTTGATCGACGACTTCGTCATATTAGCTGCCAATATGCGGTGGCCGTCGAACATGGCCCGCCGCGGCCGCTCGCCTCCCTAGCAGGTAGATGGGGACTGGTGATGCGTATCGGTGATTCGGGGTTAGGAGGCGTCGAGTAAAGCTGATGTGGATCAACCACTGAGTGGCGCTGGCCGAATGAAAACTCGCCTCACCGAAGCACAACTCATAGTAGCGGTACTTTCTGTATGTATGGGGTAGAGCCCACATCGTCGGGGACCGGGGACGGTGTAGGGAAGCCCGGGGCGCCAGCTCGCTCTAGGCTTATATAGATTAGGGATGTGATCGACAGCGGTTTCTAGTGAGGCAATATGATGATTTGCATGTAGATGAGGACCGTACAATGCCGTTACTTATACGTACCTAGGTGCTTCCTCTCTTACTAGGGTTGTGTGCCCTTTTTTTTTGGCATTGTGGTAGGCAGCCACACCGAGAGAAGGATACATTTTGCGGCCCTTAATCACTAAGGGGGTTGGAACAACTCGTGATTATTTCAAGATGGGCGTCTGCTGCCGAAAAATGTCGGGGCGAGCTTCCATGTGTCCCCCAACGGGTGTCATCTCGCAGAGGATGACGGACGGGTGGCAGTTATAGACACGGCATATTAGTGCGTAGGTACCTATGTCGGGAAGTGTCTAGACGCATCCGAGACACGGGACGGGAGGCATCGTAAATGTCGAGGCGGGAAGAGCAGAAGCCCTGCTTATTTTCCCCGTCGTCTGGTCTCTTTCCCTTTTTTTCCTTCCCTTATTCTCTAGCTTGCGCCATTTGCTGCACCAGAGGTAGTCGGCCACTACTCCTATTACCTCCTTCTCCCACGGGCTACGTGGATAGGACACCGTGATGCCACAAGGCAGGGGGATAAGACGGCAGACTGCGTATATCGAGCAGCAGCCAAAATGGCGGTCTGCTTTAATCAAAATGGGAATGTCATGGATATTGGACGCCGGATACTCGGGATGGGAGGCAATATCTCACGAACGGTAGGTGCCTCTTAGCTGATGAAGATCGCAGCTGAAATGATCCCTTGTCATCTTACGTCGGTGTCGTTGCAGGGGGGCGAATGGATCCCGAGGGGAGGCTCTCGTGGCAAGCAGAAGAAGGGAACTTCCCGCAAGAGCTTCGGGAGGGGGGGAGGATCTATACGTAGGAGGGGTTTTAGGCGAGTGGTGATGATCGAGGCCGGGTACGGGGTGGATAAAAGGACCTCAGACAGGAGCTGTTGCATAAGGACCTACCTAGGTAGGTAGGTAGGTAAGTGGGCATTTTATATCGGCACAATGACATAGGTATCCAACTGCATAAGCACCCGAGCTTGCGCCGACCGAGACCGACCTTTCCACACCTCCGATTCGCTCTCGTGCCTGATCCCGAACGCGAGTGCCGTCCTGGCCTGTCCCCCACGCACACATACTGGCCTCAGGTAGATATCTTAACCTGTACATACCTCCTATACTTGGGTGTAGGCACTACCTTAGGTACCTCCCGTGCCTGCCTGGTAATCCGTAGGTACCCCGAAACGTCGGCGATCCCTCTTCAGCCCTAGGTAGTCACCCTACCCATCCTATCACCAGCGCTATACATAGGTAGGTATACCATTCCCGGGGTTTTATTTACCTTAGGTACCTCTAGTTTTGGTCTATCTCTTGTATCTACATCTAACCGCCTACCCACCCCTATCGAGGTAGCATACGAATAGTAACACCGAGGGCCTGATCCCAAGTCGTTATCTTTCGCGCACGCCATCCGCGCGGCATCCCCGCCGACTAGACGAGCTCTCGAGCACCACTTTATTTGGGGGACAGCGGCGCCGCTGAGGAGCTACGCGTCGTCCGTCAGCGCTCGACAAGTGCGTCTAGTCTCTTGTCTCGGGATCGATGTCCCGAAGCTCCTCGTTCTCCTCGTCGGCTTAGGCGATCGTCAACTTCCCCGTACAATAGATGTTCGCCTCCGCGCCTCGTCTATTATGGCCGACATTTGCT